CATGTTCATGAGTGACAGTATATGAAAGACCTTGGCAAACGGACGTATTATGTATCAAAGATAAATAAACTTTTAAAAGGAATAGAAGGAATAAGAGCTGAATGAATAAAAAAAAAAAAAAAATGGATAGCTATATAGACTTTACCAACAATCCCAATCTAAGACTTCAACCACTAACAATGATACCTAATAATCAATAAAAAAGAGAAAGATCAGGATTCAGTTATAAGGAAGACTACAATTCTGTCTGCTCTATAAACTCAACGAGAACCTTGGAAGGTCCAACGCTTCTTTAATAAGTAGCAGGAGTTTGGGAGTCAGAAGAAAAAATCTGGAGAACGATCAAAGCCAAATTGATGATTTTAAATTCAGTTAAGTCTTTTTCCGTGGGATCTTATTTCGTGACTATCGTTAATTACGCTTCTGATAATTAGGGAAGCCTGGGAACCTGAGAAATAAGTAATACCCACTAAAATCGTATCTGATCAAATGAAATCAAGATACGAAATTTTTTTTTGATTTGATAAATAAGGCATCAAGTATAACGTTGAGAGTCGAATTTTTATTTAGAACAAAAAACTAAAGATGTATTTATAATGCGACTGCTAGTTTGCATGAAATGAGAATTCATTGGAGACCGTTTCCAGATTTTGTTTTCTGGCTCAAGGAGATGTTGAAAACGAACAAGGAAAGACGAAAACATAAAAGGGATGGGGAATGATTTTTCTATTTAGCATACAAATCATCCGTCTCAATTGTGTACCATGTTTAAGGCTGATGCAATCAAATGAAATTCACCCATGGGAGTCTGAATGACAGAGACGCAAGAGCGAAGCGTTAATTTTCAATAAAAGAATTCCTAATAGGATTCTATGAAATGAACATTCGCTTTCAAGGTGCGATTTTAGAGGGTTTTGCGATGAAACTAGTGAATTAAGATATTGTCAAACGAAATTCATTTGGAAGATCACTGTGGGAAATCTGAGAAAATAAAAGTCAAAAGTAAATAAAGCAATAAGAGAAAATCAAAAGGTCACCGTTCCAAGTTTGATGTCTTGATTCCGTTTCTCAGTGTTTTCCCTTTTCATCATCACTCTGTTTCTTCTTAATTGCTCGAACAATGATAACTAGCCATATTCTTTCCGATCCCAAAGCAAATTGATAAAGTTCTAACGGTCATAAAAATCTCGAGGATTTCCTCCTTCGTGCTATAATCATCCTCTATGGTCGAATTTAAGCAAAAGTTTATTCAACCTTTCATTAGTTTAACGGATTTATTTTTTTTCTTTTTTTTCTAAAAAAAAGAAAGAAAAGCTTGTTTGTATCCAAAATGCTTGTCGTTAGTCCACCTTTGTAACATATTCACACCAAAAGGTATATTTTTTTGGATCTTATTTAAAGATTACATTGTATTTAATTTTCTTTTCTTACTAACACTTCTTTTCGTGTCCTATCAAGCTAATTGAAATACTTGTATTACCTTCCTAATAGAGCTGTTTCCCTTTTAGCAAAGTGCACCTACCCAAAGTGGACCATTTTCACAATCTTAAAAAGCCTTGTTTTCATAAACGGTTTAGCGATTTTTTTACTTGGATTTATAGATTCCATGCTCTTTTTTTGTTATAATGTATTGTTTTTAGCTCTAAAGCAATTATAACGTAGTTATATCCTACTTCTTTGATCGCATTGGAAACTAATCATAGGAAAGAAAGGCTTTTCCATTTTCATTAGTATTTCTCAACATACGTCTTTTCTTGTTTGTTTCTTTATTTTTTTTCTGCAATATTTAGTTGTTTTCACTCTTTCCCATAGAGTGATCGGGTTTCTTTACTGTTTTCTTTTCCTTTTAAATCCTGTTATTGAGAAAACTGAAAAGGTTTCCTCCCAATATGCCTAGTATAACTTGTACTTGGTCTGATGGGGATGCGAGGACCTTGCCCAGTGGTTCTTTCAAAACTCGTTATGCGCCCTCGATTACACCCCTTGCTCATGATGATCCAAGACATTTAGCGTTTCGAAAAACCTGCGGAAAGCTGCTAGCTCAGCATATTTTCGGTGGTTCCGGTTCAACCCAGCAGGTCTTTCATGATCTTTACCGACATTCTATTCATGCTTCAAAAGTGTCCTCAAACTCATTACCTAATACCTCCTTTACTGTTATTAATCCAACTTCAGCTCCTTCTCAATTAAATACAAAGTCCCTTGTCTCTTCCCATCGATCACGGCCCCCTTCCAGAACAGTATCAACTGATGAGCCCAAGGAGAATGCTCCTCCAAAATACACGTCTCGTATAATTACGGCGGAAAGGTTTGATAATTATGTATTGGAGGCTTTACCAAAGCATTATCAGCTTTACCAGCGTGATCTTAATCGTGATAGTTCTGGAGCAAAACGTGAGTACTGGGTGTACGGGCATCCTGGAGGTCGCCCTTTTCGATCGATGAATGACTTTCAGCATCATCTCTACTGGTTAATTTCAGATTTGTCAAGGAATGGAGCGAATTGCTGCTGCTCGTTATGCACCAATGGCCCAGCCAAAGGTCGAAGAAACATCCAAAAGGATATGGAAAGGATGTTCCACGAGTGTAAAGATGATACATTTACTTGGCCATCTTCATTTCGACTTGGTGAAGTTGTTTGGATTGATACGAATTACGAAATTATTCCTGGAATCATTGTGGCTAGGAATTTAATCAACTATGAAACAAATAAAGATAATTCTGTTAGTCCGTTTTTGGATGCTTACATAGAACCTTACCAATATCATTGCAAGGAATTAGGAAACTCCAGATTCTTTTTCGACATGGCTGCTGCTGATATTGAACCTTGGACGCAGCAGCTCGTAGATATGAGTCGCCCAAGCCATATACTCGCTAACGATATTGCTCACAGTTGGTGTCTTTATGGAAAGTTTCGACCCATGGAGAGCACGGATGTTGAACGCCGTGTTTATATAGATGAACATCATCCTTTTCCGATGACCGTTCTTCCTATTATCGAAAGTGAGTCAGAAAACGTTGACGATCATTTTTTTGGCGTTTATTATGGAGCTGAGAAATTATGGATTAATGATCTTTGCATCTTGCATACTGACTCACTCCCCCCTGAATTTTCCAAAGCTTCTTTAATGTATATATCCGATATCTTTGTAAACGTTGATGATGTGGTTTGTGTTCAAGGATCTCTTTGGTCACAAAAAGATGCTACACCTCAAACTTTTCACCGATTTCGAGATCGGAAGAATCTACCACGTCGGTTACAGATGGCTGAACAGTTTTCGCAAACTGAATACACTCTCATGCATAGTGATTCTTCAGAATTTATATGTGAGCTTGCAGATATAGCGGGTAGGTGGTACGAACCTTGGTCAATAAAAGGGAAGTATCATTTTTCAAAGGAACAAAAGAGACGAGTATTATCGAGACTGGAAGCTGTTGGAAATGAAAATTGGGTTGACGATGATTTTTATGAGCTTTTACTTTCTGAAATCGATCTAGTTTCGCCAGTTGTCATGTGAGTTTTCTCCTGTGCATTTCTTTTCTTTTTTTTTCTTTCTTTTTGTTTGTTTATTAATATATACCGCATATGGTTATATCTGCCTAGGTATTTTGTTCAATAGGAATAGGTTTTAATGGAAGGCGATTCAAACATTTTTTAAAGATAGCTTGTATTAAAGGACATTATGCTATTGAATATATCTTTCACTGCTATCCAAAACAAAGAGCACGGGGGATGAACGATATGCATAAGGTCTTTAGGTGAGCATCTTGGGATCAATATTAATGAGTTTAAAATCAAGCACTACACGAAATTAAATTCTTCTCACATTTCTACCACGGGGACCGCCAAATTTAATCGGCGATTTGTCCATGATTTTGACGATTTTATCTCGAACGAGAGAACCTTCCTGGCCTAGTAAACAATTTTGCACGGCCTCACGAGCTTGACTAAATCCGCAAAATATAACATACAGGTTTTCAATACTCATATTTTTTAGACGAATTTGCTCGAGGACTTTTGAGGTTACGGTGTACGCGGTATCGTATCCGCGTCTTTTTCCTTTCCGGAATCCACATGATCCAGAAGATGCCTTGTAAATTATTTTTTTGTCTGGATTACAGAGGGTTATATGAGTGTTATTCTTTAAACATTTAGCATGCAAATAGTAAGGTCTAGGAAGAAACTCAGAACCTGCAATATACGTAGGTTCCTTCTTCTGAGGCGGAATCTTTTCTGGATTCGATAAAACTGATTTTTCTAGCACCTCAGTAAGATTGATTTTACCATCATTCCTTAGATGAGGATGGGTCCAAAAACGACGAAGCCCAAGGCGCGTCAATCCCAGCATTTTTCAACAAAAATTTAGTTGTAAGCCTAATGAATTCAATGATTGAAACGTTAAATCCCCTCGTCGTATCAATATTCCTAGATTTCCTTTCGTTACACAAATTTGTATTTTCTAATTGAAATCTTATTATAGATACACTTTGTGGTCGAGGGCTTCACTCCAAGGTAACAAGTCTTCGATACTTATATTCCTATATCATAGCGTTGAAGTCTGCACTAAGCAAACGAATTCATACGAGAAATCCGGAATTACAAAACGTTTTATTGCTTCAGTTACTTTTATAGAAGTTTGGTAAAAGAGAAGGAGAATCTGGATCGTTAGATGCTTTACTTACCTGTTACTCATACACGTTCACGAAACGTAAATAAACCCGGTCAACTGCATAACAGCAACGAATATGGATTCGAAGGAAAAACTAAAATTAACTTTCATCTCGTTATTCACCTTTATTATTCAATTCTATCTGTCAAAGTCAAAATTTTCAGAAGCTTTGTCAAAAAGAATTGAAATATCAACTCCTGTGTCCAGCTTTCTGCGGGTACAAGAAGGGCTTTTTCTGTATCGCCGTGGGCTTGATCCATACTCTGGAGGCGTTTATTATCAGTCCCCCTTAATTCTGTTTCTTCATTTTAGCTGTGAATTGCTAGGAGGAGTAGATGCAATACGCATTCTTTATTCCTTCTTGACAGTAGCTAGCGGCTGGTTAGTTTACAAGATTTCTGAAAAGTATCAAGAAAATAAAAAACATAGAGATCTTTATTGCGGAACTTCTTCTTTGTGGATTTCTATCATGTAAGTGCTTTTATGAATGCTTTCACTACCATCCATTGACATTACGTGGCTTACTCGTTCTTTTGCAATTAAATTTAAAGCTTCATTTTGGCTCGGATTCTACTGTTGTACTAACAATGATCATAGTTACTTATTGAATCCACTTACGTTTCTTCCGAATATTGCTTGCTCAAGCGATGTAATTTTAAATTTCTTAACACTTGCTTTTATATATTTTTCAATTCAAGGCTTCCAAGTGGGATACGCTTGCACAGTTGCCTTAAGTTTATTTGTCAATCCAGGCACAATTTCTCTTGTGTTACCCAGTTATTATATTTTGAAACAAAGCAATCCAAAGGCATCAATAACTGGAACTTTTTTTGTTTTCTTATTTTACATGTCTTGTTTAATTATCGGTTCTGCAATTCTTTTACAGACATTTACTTTCCTGATGACTCCGCTTCATGTATATATGAATGCCCATGACCTCACTCCTAATATTGGGCTCTGGTGGTATTTTTTTACTGAAATCTTTGAAGAATTTCGCTTGTTTTTTCTGTTTGTATTCGCTGTTGCTCCTGTCATGTTCATCATACCAATCACCATACGTTTACAAAAGCTACCATTGATTGCGACTGTCTTGATGATGGGGATCCACAGTATATTCAAAATTTATCCATCTATCGCCGATTATTCCTTATTTTTGTCTCTTCTCCCCATCTTTGGAAAAGCCCAGGAAAATATGAAGTATAGTCTTTTGGCCAATAACGGAATAGTCTTTGCTCTTGTGTTAGGAACAACCTTTTACCATTCTTGGATTACCCTTGGTTGTGGAAACGCAAATTTTTTTTATGCCAGCAATTTGATACTAGCAATAGGAATCTCATTAAAGGCGATGGATTTTTTAAGGGCAGTGCTTATGATTGAATGGAGAAGTAAGCATCCAGAAAAAAAGAATGAGCCTTTGGTACAAATTCCTTAGAAATTTCTATTTAAAGGAGAAAAGAATTTGCACAATAACTACTCTGTCCATTAATCTTTACGGCAATCGCTGGAATGATTTACTATTCAGTAACCATAAACTGAATCCAAAAATTTTAGTATTGTATTACAATTATAAAGGGTTAATTGATTCTTCAAATTCAATTCGTGGCTAACAGGTTTTCGATGTGATTTCTGGTTTGCATCCTCTTCCACCACCTCCCAGCTGACCGTGGTTATTGAAGTCCTTGAGCGTGTTGATGTTTAGCTCAAAGAAGTACCTCAACTCTTTTGGTTGGCAAGAGGGAAATGCCTTAAAAGAAGGTGGTCTCCTTAAACCTGTTTTGACGTCTAGAAAATATGATACTCGTGGTGTACGTGCTTGAAAAATTTAGGAATGAGGGAAAAGACTTCATTTCAAGGAAAGCTTGAAAAAGAAAACGTTCTAATGAAAACTATAGTTGGGTACAAAGCATGATTACGCCGACCAATGGTGGGATAATATCTTTTCTTCACAGTTGAAATCTATCCAAGTAAACGCTGGAAATGGCAATGTACGAATTGATCAGAAATAATTTTTTATACTAATAAAACAAAACTAGGTTCAATTGGAAACGAAAGGGACATCTAACAAGCTAGCAATGGCGAAGTATCACAGTAAATACTCGGCCTTGTCGACTGTATTTCGATATGCGGGTTGTCTATCTGGAACAATAGAAGAAGAGAAAGAAAGAGAGGGTTTGAAAAATAACTCTATTCAAATGTCAGAAGAACAGCCGAAAGACAAGCGCTCAAAGAAAAAATCTTCTCGGAAGGCAAAATCAGGATCTGACGAGCAAAAATTAAAAGATAAAAAGCATAAAAGAAAAAGAAAGGATTCTGAGGATTCGCTGTCATCTTCTTCCAAAAAGCGCAAAAAGGAAAAAAAATCGTCTCATCCCAAGTCAGATCGGAAAAAAGAGAAGAAAGCGACCAAAAAGTCGAAGGGGAAAGATTCAGAAGCTCGCAAGAAAAAAAAGCTTTCTAGAAAAGACATTTAAACTGCTGGTTTCGATAGAAACTGCTATTATGTCTTCAAAAAAGTATTGGATCTTCTAATAATCAAACTTCAACTAACACACTTTACACTGTTGGGGTTACTTAAAGGTAATTATTTTTTTCATAACAGTACTCTTGACTTCAGAGGCTTCATTTAATAAACGACGGACAATATCACCTTTTAATTGTTTGTCTGCCTCACTTGAGGAATGCCTTTTATCAAGCTTGGTGCTTTTTGCTTTGTTCTTTTTTATGTTAAAGCATATCATAGAAAGAACACTATGGTTTTAGTTTGGCGTACTTTTTTCTCGGGTTGCTTGACAAATTATGTACATTTTTAATGTAGGTTAATAGAACGGATTCTTTGGGTTTTCATTTAATATTAAATTTCATTAAATAGATGAAGAATACAAAAAGCTGTATAAATTTCTGCTAGCGGTAGACTTGTTCATTCGTTCCTTTAATCATGGCCAAGGTAGGAATTTACCTTTCCAAATGCACTCTTTATATTTTTCTCTGGTTAAAAGAAAAGTAGTACCTTCTAAACTTGTGATATAAAGCAAACCGAAGATTCGGTGAATTCAACATCTTTTGACTTGAACACAGCCAATTCTTAATGATGGAAGAATTGTTCAACAAGCAGAAAGAAGAGCATAAAGGGCTCCAAGCTCAAATTGCTTCCCTTAGGAAACAAACAAAAGAAGGAAATAAGAAACAGAAGAAGCAAATCCAGCAAAAAATTGCGGACATGGAAGCTGATTTGTCTCAAAGGCACGCTCAGGAAAGAACAGACCTTGAACGGACCCTACAGCCAGAGGAAAGCAATGATCAAGATGACCTTGTTGCTACATTGCTAAAACAAATGGAATCAACGGATTTAAACAGTCCCCCAAAGTCGTCTGAAAAGCCAAAGGGTGAAGCAGTAGAACAACCTAAAGGACCCAAAAAATCCAGGAATCGTCAAAAAGAACGTCTTGTACGTATTTTAAAGGATATAATTCATGTCCAAATTATTAACGTTTCTTAGGAGCGCAAGAAAGCGGAAATGCGACAAATGAGTGAACAAGCGGAAACGGAGCATGCGAATACCGTGGACAAACAAAAGATAGAAAAGGATAAGCTTTCGAAAATTCTTTCAGATTCAGGATTGGTTGCCTTTGATATAATTCCGGACGGCCACTGTTTATTTGCATCAATATCGCATCAGCTTAACTATCATTTTAATATAAAGTTGAGCTATCAACAGCTTCGCGACCATGCTGCAAGCTATATTTCCAAACATGGAGATGAATATTCTGGGTTTTTACTCGATGAAGACACGGGAGAAGTAATGTCGGTTGAACAATATTGCAATGAGATTTCGACAACGGGAAAATGGGGAGGCGATATTGAAATCCAAGCGCTTTCAAATGATCTAAATGTTCCTATCCATGTATATAATACTAATGGCCCTGTAATTAAATTCGAACCTCAGGATGTGAAGCACACGACGCCTGTATGCATCGCATATTATCAACATTTATACGGATTGGGTGCTCATTATAACAGCTTGATATACAATAAGTGAAGGTTTAACGAACAGGCATATAGTCAACTTTAAAAACGATGGTTTCCTTGGGATTATGTTTTGTTAGCACTAGGCACTAATTAATATATTTTATTTATATTGGGATACTTGCAGTGATTCGCACTAAGATATCTAAAAACAGCTACTAAATATGGCTATTGAGGAAGAAAGAAATAAAAATTACTTTGACATTTGGTGATTATTATGAGTAAGGAGGAAGCTGCTCCTCATGTTGATTGGGCTTTGATGGTAACTGCTGTTGCGATGGATTCAAGTTACTAGGTTGAGAGGCAGGTTGCGGAATCATCATTCCTGGATAGGGAAACTGCGCTCCTTGAAATCCTTGTAATCTCGCACCTTGGAGACGGGGTTCGTCCTGTTTTTTCTTTTCAATTAAGTTTTTGTTGGAAGGCTCCCACCATCCACAAACAGAGCATCGAAGGGCCTGTATCCGTGTCAGCTTGGGTCGATTTGTGTTGCAAAAAAACTTCACAGCCAAAGAGATATGAACTTACTTTTGTCGTATAGACAGGCAGAATTGGTAGAACAATAATGGACAGTGTTTTCCAATGTCGACAAACACGAACTATTGTATTGAGGTATTAATAATGCATTCGTTAAGATTTTCGTTGACAGACTGAAGCACAGATGAGATGTTCAATATCATACCTGATTTGTTTAGACTAGAGATGGTTAGTAACTAGCGTCCATCAAGGGGTCATGCATTGTAATTTTGAAATTATAAATGTAAGAAAAATGAAAGTAAAGGTACTAGAGAGTAGACCTCCTTTTTACATTCCTGTTTACCCTTCTAAGGGTTACATGACTGTATAGTTACATACCATCTTGGACAAGTCAATAAAAGGTTTGCGTATTTACTCTTATTATGCCAGAAATCCTGGACTCCTAAAGGAAGGAAGAAGAAGAACATTATATGTCCCTATTTTAAGAAAAAAAATCAAGCAATTGGTAAAAGAAAGAAACATTAGAAGAGAACGCAGACTTTGTCACAATGACCAAATATTTTCTTAAAAAGTGACAATCATTTGGTTCTCTATCGAAAGTGAGTCTATAAGTTAATATTATGCTAATTACCTAATATTGTATTACAGTTAGGAAGATATCATTGCAACGAGATTTGCTACCTGTGATCTCTGGGATTTGCGTTTGTTTACTTCAGGATAAACAGTAAAAACAGTGGATCTAGGGATACGATTCTACTTTCTGCTGATATAGATGAAATAAAGATACATAATCCTTTCCTTAGCCTGGCCTGAAGCTCGTTCTATGTTGGTAACCTGTTTTTACCTTGTTGTAAATTTACGCAATCCCAAGTGGAAAGACTTCATAGCTATCTAAGTACAAGTACAGCGAAAGAATGTATAGGAAGTCAACTTTCATAGAAAGAGGCGTTCTATATACGAACACTGATAGATTGGGCTATACGTGAAGAATGCTATCACCGTTCCACCGCAAACTGAAAACACTGGAACGAAGCCATCATCATAGATTCAATAGAACAAGAATCGATAATACATATTCTACCACCATTCTATCCCATCCCGTCTTCTTTTTGATTCTGTTTTTCCAGCTTATATTTGACATTTGCGAATAATGACACGCAATGATTCACTATATGGAAAAAAACACTACCACCATAAAAGAACCTACAAGAAAAAAAAACCTGGGTTTTTGTAAGTTTTGGTTGACGGTTTCGAAGAAAATGCTTTCATTTTGAGTACTCTATTATAACTTTCTCTTTGTTGTGTCTCCGTTTACTACTCATAGTTTTGTGTAACGAAAACGAAGAAAAACTATCATTGTCAGCGTATTATAAGTGTTTTGTTGTACGAAACGTGATTCCTGTTTTCTTGCATATTTTTGTGGGGAGATATCTTGTTTGATTGCTTTCTTTTCTTCGGTTTGGGGTGGACTGGACTTCAGGGCTGTAAACAAATAAAAGAGTTATTTGAAAGTACGATGAATCCAAATCATCACTACAACGAGGAGGAAGAAAACCATACGGCTATGGAAATTGATAAGCCTACTACCATCAAGGAAGAGAGAAAAGAAACGGACTCTGAAATACAGTTGCAATCTTCTCAGGCCATAAATGGAAATGATGCAGCGACTTCCAAACGTCGAAGATTGCTTTCGTCTGACCTGAAAGTAGACTTTGATTTGGGACAACTTAAGATTTTGGAAAAGCCTGCTGCTTTGGAAGAAAAACGAGGAATCATTAAGTTTCGTGTGGTAGCAAATGACGGTAATCCTGAAAGCTTTATTATGTTGACAGGTCTAAAAAATATCTTCATGAAGCAATTACCTAAAATGCCAAAGGAATATATTACAAGACTTATTTACGACAGAAATCACCTGTCCATGACCATCGTGAAAGATAACTTGCACGTTGTGGGTGGCATCACCTACCGTCCCTTTGAGCAACGTCAATTTGCCGAAATTGTTTTTTGTGCGATTGCTTCTACTGAACAGGTACGAGGTTATGGCTCACATTTAATGAATCATTTAAAAGATTACGTTCGTGGAACTTCCAAAGTCCAGCATTTCCTCACATATGCCGATAACTATGCCATTGGTTATTTTAAAAAGCAAGGATTTACCAAAGAAATCACCTTGCCGAAAGAAATATGGATGGGCTATATAAAAGATTACGAAGGTGGTACTTTGATGCAGTGTACCATGCTCCCAAAGATTAAATACTTGGAAGCGAATGTAATTTTAGCTATTCAAAAAGCAGCTGTTATTTCAAAAATCAACAAACTCACTCGCTCCAACATCGTTTATCCCGGACTGGAAGTATTCAAGAACGGACCCGCACATATCGAACCAAACCAAGTTCCAGGTTTGATGGAAGTCGGATGGTGCAAGGAAATGGAGGAACTTGCCAAACAACCAAAGCCCAAGCCATTCTTCGCCGTATTAGAAATGCTTTTTACTGAAATGCAAAACCATCCTTCCTCTTGGCCGTTTGCTCAACCTGTGAACAGAGAAGATGTTCCCGATTACTACGAAGTCATTGAGCATCCAGTGGATTTATCTACTATGGAGTATCGACTTCATAATAACCAGTATGAATCTGTTGAAGAATTCATTCGAGACGCAAAGTTAATATTTAATAATTGCCGACAATATAATGATCCAAGCACTACTTATTACAAAAACGCCGACCGCCTTGAAAAGTTTTTCCAAAAAAAACTTTTGGAAACAGAGTACTCTCATTTGGCCGATTAAGAATTCTTGGTCCTCTTCCTTTGAAATTTAAATCAAAATGATTAACCTAATTTATATAGTCTCTTTTTATTTCTGGCATTTAATATATAATAATTTCCGTTCATTTATCCATGTATCCTTTAGCTAAGTCTAGCCATTAAACATATTAGTCTTCGGGAAATGCCTCTAATAAAGCCGTAACCATAGGCTTTTCTTCAATTCTATACATATCATCACTTTCTTCATTTTGAGCCGAAGGATCTTCCAAGCTTTCATGATATGCGAGCAAGTTTTCCTTTAAATCGTTCAGAGGAAAATTAGCGTCCTTGAAAAGCGACCTAATGACTTCTAACATGTCATTGTCCTCAACACATAACCAGCTTAGAATAACAACCACTGATTGAAACGAAAACAGCCCATGATCTATTTGTACTAAGAACCACCGGGTGGACTTTTCTTCTGTTTCAGGTGTTTGATCTAAGTCTCTTTGCTTATTGATTTTCTCCAAGTCCACGTGTAATTTTCGATAAATTGAAACGATTCTTTTCGTTTTCTCGTTATTATTTTCAGAAAATTTTCTGAAAAACCGCATTCTTTCTATCGTATCCGCTGGTAATGATCGAAACAAGGAGCAAAAGATAGCTAATAGATGGCTTACCGTTTCCGAGCTTTCACTTTTCATAAATGCAGAAAAAATGTATTTTAATCCTCCAGCCTGAACAAAATGCTGGCAATAGGGCATCGAAAGAGGTCCAAATAATAAGTAATCGATAACTTTATATGATGAATTTCTACTCTTTCCCTTGTACTTCATGTTTAAAATACATAGTTCGATTCCTTCTTCCTTCAGGAATGAGTCTTTTCCGTATGTTTCCTGGGTAAGACTAGACAAACAATCAAAAACATTTTCCATTGTTTCTTCTTCTAACCCTTGGGACGGGTCGTGTAAACGGTAGGGACTTATTCTTCGTAGTAATAAGTCTATACCATTTAGTTCACAGACCTTTTTGCGGGCATCTTGGGAGTGACTAAGGAAGATAGCCAAAATTTCAACCGAATATTGTAAATTGGCTGTAATATACGTTTCAGAAACAGAGATGCGTTGTAACAACCATTGTAGCATGTCGGTTTTCTGAGCCACTGTTGAGCATACTTCATTGTCAATTGAAATAAGGTTCTCTAAAAGTGATAAAATGGCGTATACGCCATGCCTATCAGCTTCATTTTTTTCATCAAGCCTCTTAATTCCGTTGGAAAGCACTTGCAAAAATCCTGTTTGTATTAAAGCTTCATACAAGGAACTCAAGGCATCCTCATCGATATCTTCGTTAGTTAATTCGAGAAACATATCCAGTACCGTAATCATAATATCTGCGTTTTCATGAGTCATAAGCTCTAAGAATGTAGTGACACATCCCAATTTTATAAACAAAGGAAACAGGCTGGGATATTCGGACAAGAGGTTGAAAGAACGAATTTCCTCATCCAAGTCAGCTTCTGACTCGATGAACTTCTCGGGGGACTCTGGGTATTTTGAACGAAGCTCTTGATTCTGGTTCAAAACTTTCTCCAACTTCACAACCTTCTTTTTTAATTCATTAGGTGTTAGTATTACAGGTTCTTCTTTTTCCTCATTCTGATCCAAAAATTGTAGACTTTCCTTCTCCTTTTCACTTAAACCACTTCCAAAAAAGCGACCACCTTCTTCGTCAAATTCTTCTTCGTCTTCTATATCTTGCAATTCCGGTTCGTCCATTCGACGTTTGCTCAACGACTTCTCAGTGGCGCTTGGTTCATCGATCGTTCTTTTTTTACTCGATTCATTTGCCTTTTGAAATATGGAATCTACATTCATCCTTTCTTCTTCTCTTAACACTATTGTGTGAAAGTGTACGAGCCCTAGTGGTAAATTCAATCAAACTTTTGAATTCTCCGAAATTAATGAACTTAGAGTTTGTATAGTTAAGTTTATACAAATTTCTATCTATGCTTTGGGGTATAGCACTCCTTCCAAGTGAAGTATAAGAGACTACAGGTTATTGTTTAAGAAGGGAAGGGTTGCAGGGTCAAAGATAATAATGAAATGTAAAATAGGAAATTACCAAGCTGCTAAAATATATTTGAAAGATTAGTGAATTCTCTTGTGACAAAATGTTTTAATGTTAGTAAATAGATGTGAAAAGCGACCAAAAATTAGTCAATTGAAGAGCACTGCAAGAATTCAGCGCTGGATATCTGTTTCATCTAATAATTTATTCATGATAGGAATATAGAGCAGAATCCCTACTGAAAGCTTCAAGAATCTGTTCTCTTTTCGCTAAGCCTATAAAAAAAAAGCACGTTGTAAGACAAATTTTGAAGGTTCTTGAATGTTATTATATACCAGTTCAACAGGTCGCATAGTATATCAAGGAATATAGGCCAAAAAAAAGAAACGAATCAAGTTATAGCTTTTCATAAGCTCGACAGGCATTTCTAGCGTTCGGAACCAAATAGTCTTCTAAACAAAGAAAAGCCTCACAAGGCAATTGCTTTCAACTCTATTTAGCAAGCAAATCGTATACCCTAACTAGGTATGCTTTACTGCTCAAAAGGTAATGAAATCTCAACTGCTCGACGAAGCATGTGACGCTCAAGGAAACAAAAGAATTCGATAGTAGAAATCATTTTAGATGATGGTTTGGAATACACGAGCTGAATCCACCCAGAAAGGTTTTTGAACATCGGCGCACTATGGCTTCAACATTCGAATCCAACGATGAAGAAACGCACTCGTGTGGTACGAATGAAACAAATCTAACAAAAAAAGAGAGGGGACTCCTTTATAAACAGCTGAATCAACATTTGGGATTTATTATTCAGTATAGAAAGCATATCTCATCAACTCTTGGACAAACAGAAAAAATAAGTAAAGCATATTCTTTTCCTTTCTTGAGATATAATTCTCTAATCCTCTTCCTTAATAAGGACATATAAGTTGGATGCTGTTTCAGACGTTAGAGGATCCTTCATCTGTATAAAACTTCCTTTTTCCAAGTATCGCCTTAGTTACTCTAGCGTTGCACGTAAAATTTAAGACCTTCTTAACGCTTAATATTCCTCCAACTGATTAATTCTCTAAGACTGGCCGTTGTGCATCTCTAGTTTTCACCATCTGAATGTTTCAGGCGGAAACAGTCTACGTTAAGCATATTCATTCAACTCTTAAATGTGTTGATTTTGCAAAAGAATGTACAGTTGAAATTACGAATCGTGGAATCCGTTTTGGAGTGGATGAATCTCAATCCTTACAAGGTAATACTAATCAGTAGATGATTGAAGTCGAGCTTGTTGTCCAAGATTCCTTTCTGTAATTCATTATTAACAAGGAATAGCACATTTATTTATTGACAAAGCGTTATTTCAAAAGTACAATTTTGAGGATGATGAAGAAAATTATAGTTATCTTTTCAAAACCAGGTTAGCACCATTGTTACAGTGCTTGTCGATTTATACAGATGGAAAAGAAAAACAAGTTGCAAGCCCTTGGGACCAGCAGCCTTCTACAAATACTATGCATAAACGGGGTGTTGTATGCAAAATACACTTTGAGGGAATTGGTGCTCCCTTTGAATGGGAGTATGTTGAAAGAATTTTCATTTAAATTGACACGGTTTATTGCTAACATAGCTATTCAGAGTTGAAGAAATGGCAGGATACTCTACAATATGCGAGTTGTCAACACTAGATTATGAAGAAAACATCGATGTTAGTAGGTTAGCTACTACTTTGAATACCAAAGTTATTATGAGAAGTGGGTGGTTATACGACGCTCTTTTAGAGTTAGACAACAACATGAGTGAGTCTCTTATGATTGAAACGTCTTCTCAAAGATCCACGTTTCTTTTGCGATGTGTAGGAGGAATGTCTACGACAGAGATGGAATATCCAAATGAGAAAAATGTTTTAGAATCTTTTGAAACCAACTCTGAGTATACATATACTTACCGATTTTCTCTTATTCGGCAAGCTATCAAAGCCTTGCAAGCAGGCACCAAAGTTAGCTTGCGCATAGATGAAAATGGGACCCTCAACATTCAGCTGATGCTTGTAGGTCAAGATGGCTTGTGTACCTTTGTTGACTTTCGAATTGCACCACTAGATTTAATGAGTGAAGACGAAGACGATGATGAAGAAAATTTGGCTAACAATGGCTACATGGAAAACTATAACGACCAAGAGAATTATAATACAGAGGAGGAAGACGATTGAGGTTTCAATCAAAGACATAATTTGATAAATAAGGATAGAAGGCTTTCTATGGAATAAGCTTTCATACACAATAAGGACATGGAAACATTCACCTTTCTCGAACAATACAGCTTAAAAGGGAGTTTCCTCGCCTTTTGCATTCCACTTCACAACATGGTCTAATCGTTGATCGCTGATACGGGCACTTTGCAGTTTTACTTTGATGACTCGAAGGCCTTCACCTTCAACATACTGTTTTGTATTTCCTTGGTCATTAGTATGAATGTGCTTGCTTCGGAAAAAAATATCTTCCTCACTGCCGCTAGGCAAAACTGTAGCTAAACCGTTCAAGCTCACAGCAGTGGTAGAAAATTGAGCTTGATTCATCTTGTACAACAGGTTACAAAGAGACGAAGCATCTGGATCTGCTTCTTGTCGGTTTGTAGTCCAATCGTGTACCAGTAACGATACTCGAGGATTCTTGTTTTAGGAGTTAGTGAGGTGTTCTATTCTGAACCTGTCTAGCTCTACTTACAGAACTGATATTAAAATATTTTTTGCTACTTTCTCCAGTTGTTAGGATGATACAGTCATCAGCTTCATAAGGTAGAGCTTGTCCTAAGCAGATATTAAATATTAGTATGCCAAAAAAAAAGCCTTCGAATACTTCACCTACCGGCAGGCACATAAGTAAAGGTCATCTGTATTTCATAGTTAATACCATTCATTTATTCAATAAACTCGCTCAAAGTAGCTCTGTAAATAGTCGCCATCATAGCTACATGTTTTGCTGTAAAAAACCACAAGAATTGTGACTTACCAACGACGAATGGGGCTGATCATGATAGCATGTTGCCAATTGAATATACTTTGAAGAACCCAAGCAGCGGCGGATTTGCTCTGGGAGTTCTTCATTATGATTCACTCCTCTTGAAGACATTTTTCCGATATAAAGGGTGTTTTACAAAAATAAAAGAAACAACTAATTTAGCGTATAATGAAGATCTTTTTGAAGATGAAAAATATTTGAAAAATACGATGCTTTGCAAGTTCTGGTATTTGGATATTCCAAGGAGATAGAATCTTGGAAGTATCAACACAACTCATATACGATGAGATAATACAACACCATAACCAGGATATATAAGACTATGCATAAGACAAAATAGTCTACAATTTTTCTGAGAATTACACTAGAATAATCAGTATCAAATCTGTTGCCAGCACCTACTATGTACGTGTATCAAGCTGTATTGGACATATAAAGTACAACGGTCGTTTACATAGTAAAGAAACAATTTCCACTTTAAATTGATGTTATTATCATAGAATAAGAGGTCATTAATTGGTTCGTTGCGTTTCAATTCATTTTCTCTAATAAGAAGAAAGATCAAAATGATCATAAGCAATATATCATAATAACGAAAAAGAAAACTTGAAATTATAAACCGTCTGATGACAAAAGTATAGCTATTTGCGAGGAATGCATCTTAAATCCAGCTTACCAAGAGTCAATCTTCATGGTTCCCTTCTCTACCAAGTTTTGATGCATCTTAAACACACTAGAAAGAATATGAGGCTCGTGGCCAATTCCTTTAGCTAGACAGACTTTTTCAGCCAAATTAAAGTAGTCATTCAAAATAGGCTTATAGTCGGGATGAGCACAATTCTGAATAACTTCATGGGCACGCTCACGGGGAGATAATCCACGAAGATCGGCTAAACCTTGTTCGGTCACGATAATATCCAAATCATGTTCTGTTTGATCTACATGAGTAGCCATAGGGACAATGCAAGAAACACCAGTAGGATCTTTCTTAGATGGGCGAGTAGAGGGTGTGTGCATTATACTCAATTTAGCATTACGAAGGAAATCGGCAGACCCACCAAGACCGTTCAACATTCTGCTTCCCATAACATTTGTACTGTTTGCGTGGGCATAAATATCCACTTCAACGGGAGTGTTCATAGCAATGCATCCAAGACGACGGATAATTTCTGGATGGTTGGAAATGACCTGGGGGCGAAGCATAATTCTATCTTTGTAGTATTCCCAGTTAGCATAAAACTTTTCAAATCCTTGAGGAGAGAAGCGAGTTGAGGTAGCAGTCGCAAAACGGAGTTTATCGGTGTCAAACAAAGGCAAAAAGGTGTCTTGCAAAACTTCTGTCCAAACTTCCAAGTTTTTAAAAGGAGAATCTGCCAAACCGCCAATAATGGCGTTAGCAATGTTGCCAATACCAGATTGAATAGGGTGTAGATGCTGGGGTAAACGACCGAAGTCCACTTCATGTTTCAAAAAATCGACAAGATGACCACCAATAGCACGTGAGGTACTATCTTCAGGAGAATTAGGACCCGTAATATCACCATAGGTAGCTTCCACGACGCCAATAACCTTGGAAGGGTCAACTTTGACATAGGGTTTACCAATACGATCATCGACTCGGTTGACCATCAAGGGGGTACGATAAGGAGGGTTGGGGATGTCAGCAATATCATGAAGACCTTCAAAAGAAGGAACGGCAGTATTGACTTCAATGATGACTTTTTCAGCCATCTGAAGCAGTTCAGGGGTAGCGCCCACAGAAGCACCAGGAATAATACCGCCATCTTCCGTAATGGCTGTAGCTTCAACAATCGCTACGTCCAAAGTGTTCTTTTCACGGCCACGAGTATAATAACCATACAACAAGTCCTGGGGGAACATGGAAAGATGTTTGTCAAAAAACTGAATGCGGCCTTCGTTAATACCCTTTGAGATAGGCTTACCGACTTGATGGGGACAACGACGCTCAATCATGTCAAGCTCAGCCCATTTACATTCGGTATCTGCACCACCCGAAGCGCCTACAAAGAGTTTAAAACGCATTTTTCCCTGAAGGTTCTTGGACTCTACATGCTTGGCCAAAGCTTTAGGGATCATCTTGGGATAACCGACGCCAGTAAAGCCGGACCAACCAACATAATCACCATTTTTAAAGTAGGGAATAAGACTAGCGGGATCAGAGACGATCTTTTTCGCGAATGCAGGGTTGCGAATGCGAGTAGATAGAAGAGACGGCATAATAATAAAGTAGAAAGCTAGAAAAAGAAGTGAGAGGGGGGTACTTTAAAAAAATTTATGCTCAAAAGAAAATAATAAAAAAAGTTATAAGACAGATAATAAATCCAGATCTAATCCGAAAAAGTAGAAGTTCGCGTAATTTGTTACGTATTTCGTTTCTTTTTAGAAAAAGAATAGGGAAACACAGAAATCAAAAAGATAGAAAATAATAATGAAGGCGAAAATAAATAAATGGAATCTACGAAGAACGATAATCCAAAGCTCTTGCTTTCAGCAGGCTGAGCTTTTTAAACCTTCAATTGAGTTTATATAAAAGCAAATGAAATCAGAAATCGCGATTTGAACCAAAGCGTAAACAATATCGATGAACAAAGCAAAATTGTTGAAAATTCCAGATACCAAGAAGTCAAAATATTGTTATTCTTCTCAGATATCAAAGAAATTGTAAGGATGATGTACTTGTACAAATATGCCTTAGGAACGGATGGTGGTTAGGAATAAATGGTTAAGAAGAAGTTCGCTTGTGAAGCGGCAACGCCGGTTATATATACTTTTCCTAAACGGATCCCATTGCCGATTTAAGGTTATAAGCAAATAATATGGCTTTGCCGATAGATGCATCGGGAATGACATTTGGATTTCGTAAAAGGAACATAACGGAAAGTGATTAATACGAAGAGTTTCGTTATGTGGCATAAGGAGCTTTAGGAGTTGTAATGTTAGTAAATAATGAATAAATCATTATTGGAAGGAATGAAGAATCAAAGAAAAGGAAGTGGAATTATTCTTATTTGTAAAAGGTAACTAATAATAGAAGGAGCAACTTTTTGACAGAAAGAATGAACTTGTTAGATGTTGACAAGAAAAGAAAATGATTTCGTAAGTGAAGACATATTCAGATGTATTCCTTCTTCAACGGATAGAAACGAATGAGTTTGATTTCTTATTTTTTTTGTTTATTTATAGTTGAATTATATTTTTCGCTACCAAGTTTCCTTCGAAAATGAGTTCCTTTTCCTTTTGTTTAGTAAAGGATTAGAAAACAAAAAACAAAAAAACCTAATGAATAGAGAAAAGTGCTTGGAGAAAGATGGTTTGTAAGAGTTTCTTTCATAGTTTTACAGAAAAAAATGATTCCTTTCCCATGGTAGAGAGATTCATTTGTCGTCTTTCAACAACTCTACTTTTCAACTAGGAAAACCTCTTTCAGTTTCGTCATCGTCTGCTATCATTTAACCAAATAGAATACATTATTATTTATTACCTTGTAGAATTAGAAAGCGTTGACAACATGCATTGCAAAGAAGCGTAACCAACGCCGGTTGATACAACGATAAACGGAAACAAGCAAGACCTTCTATAAATATTAAATATCTAGGATAAACGAAAAGAACGAGAATTAACGATAAAGGGAAAATGGTAAATCCTTCTAACTGAGATTTAGGGCTGGACATATATAAAACCGGAAATCCATAAAGACAAAAAACCTTCGATGAAAAGTATGCACCACAACATCAACAAGAACGCAAAGAACAATAATCTCAAAGTGAGGATAAAAATTGAAAGCTTGAATGAAAAAATGTACTGTTAATCGTCAATTGGTCTTCGGGACCTTGGAAGATTCAATTCACTTTTGGACTCTTCCTTTTTCTTTTGATTCAAGTAATTCACTAAAAAGATTTGTAAGCCATAGTTCAAAAACAATTCCCACATACAGTATTCACGAAGACCATGTCCAAAGTTTATCATACATGTAATCCCTATCCCAAATGTAGTTAAAACATGTACAACGGTAATCAAGGTCACAGGCAGGGTAGATAATCCACTATAGTTATCTAAAGAACTTAATCTACTTTCGAACGTAACTAACATATAGTACAGATAATACGCCGACCCTGCAAGCATCATTGTCTCCACAAATCCCATCAACATATAGCTTTCTCTACGCACAGCGTAAAGGGCAACAAACAAAACAAACAGGGTATAAGGTATCACCAAAATCATGAGGATTACTCTAGTCTTTTGATAATGACCACCATAGGAGTGTTTATTAGTCAATAGAATTTGAATAGATGAACAAGTACCTATATACAATAGGTGTTAGCAAAGACCATTATGTTTCAATGTGCACACAAAACTTACAAAAGTAGAAATCTAGCTTAATCAAAGCAACAAATATTTCGTAAATAAGGTAACGTCTTCTCATATGAAGATCTGGCCCATGTCGCTGATACATAACCCATCCATATGCTTTGTTCATGCGGTAGACTAAAAAGCACAATATAATACCAATCACACCTATGACAACGGGCAAGGCAATGTAGAAGGCCTTAATATTATAAAAAGTGAAAGTCGAATTATGAAATAGAAAATTGTACTTGCTGAAGGAGGTGTACAAGTAGATCATACGAAAAGGCGAAAAACGAGATTTATTGACAATCCAATCAGTAAAGTGTACGCAAGTACCTACTAGCACATACTGAATGATTGAATAAATAAAGAACGAAACATGGAACAGTAGGACAGCACTAGTCTACTCAATATGTTAGTGATTATAGATACTAAAATAACAATTACATACGGCAACAACATTCTTCTGCAACACTGCTTCCCAACCAGCATATAGTAGATATACTGACCCTAAAAGGATCACAATAAGCATGGAGAACACAGCATCGAAAACAATTTCTACTTTATCAGTCATATGGCTATACTGTCCAAATGAGTATGAAGAAAAACAAATGTTAATTATTGCCTCCATTGTGATCAACAAAATAAACCATAATGATGATTTTGTCAGAGATCGAAGAAAGTATTTAAAACGACCAAGTGACTGAATAAACCGCATTTTTTTCCTTATTGTTTACAAAAGATTGAAGTAATGGTATAAAAGAGCGAAATTTCCTTTTAGTTAGAACAACATTGAGCTTAATAAGTGAGGGTTAGTGGTAAAGTTGTATTTTCAATAGACCCACCTCTTCACCAATGAAGTCGGTTTAACATTCAAAGTTTTAGCCAGATAACATTTACTTTGCTTTACCAAAACAATAGTCTTTAACAAACGTGAAAATAACTAGTTGTACTTTGATCCTTGAAAAGATTTATCGCCGTAGAAATATTTGTCTTAAATGTGTATAGTTCAATATTAATTATTACATATCTTGTTCATTAAATTACTGTTTTCATCAATTTAACTTGGGCAGGCAGATCTGCCGGTGAATTCGTCAGAAGATGAAATACCCTTGGGACAAAGGAAGCGTATCAACAGGGTCACATTCCATAATGACATTGTCAGCAGTTACTGTATAAGATTCAGGATCTACACTCATTTCAGGCATGTAAGAATTCAAAATCATATCCTTTTTCCCAATACCTCTTGTTCCTTTTACTGCTTCAACTCGTTTATGAAGACCATAGGTGTTCATTACACCGTTTGATACAGCATAATCGGAAGCAAATGTAATACTTCTCTCAGGAGCTTTTGCTCCAAACATTTGCAAAGAAACAATAGGGGAAACAGTTGGGATCGATCCATTAGGATCTCCCATCATTGCCATTGCAATCATACCTCCTTTAAGCACCATACAAGGTTTGGCGCCAAAGTCTGCAAAGTCCCATAAGACCAAATCTGCAAATTTTCCAACCTCCACGGATCCAACAATGTGTGAAATACCATGACTGATAGCGGGATTAATTGTATATTTGGCGACATAACGTTTGACACGAAAGTTGTCTACCCCGGTTCCTTCATCTTCTGGCAAGTATCCTCGCTCTGTTTTGTTTTTATGAGCCGTCTTCCAACTTCTTGAAACGACTTCACCACAGCGTCCCATAGCTTGAGAATCAGAACTAATCATACTGATTGCACCCAAATCTTGCAAGACATCCTCAGCAGCAATAGTCTCAGCACGAATACGAGACTCAGCAAATGCTACATCTTCAGGAACATTTCTTGACAGGTGGTGACAAACCATTAACATATCTAGCTCTTCGTCCAAAGTATTTTTAGTGTAAGGTCGCGTAGGGTTTGTGCTTGAGGGTAAAATATTAGGATTTTGGACAAGAGAAATAATATCAGGAGCATGCCCGCCTCCAGCTCCTTCAACGTGATAAGTATGTATTGTGCGATTCTTGAAGGCTTTAAAAGTTCCTTCAACAAAGGAAGATTCATTCAGTGTATCCGTGTGTATTAGACATTGAACGTCATATTCATCACAAATAGTTAAACAAGAATCAATGGCAGCAGGAGTGGAGCCCCAATCTTCATGAAGCTTCATACCACTACAGCCAGCTTCGATTTGGGAACGAAGAGAAGCATGCCCACTATCATTTCCCTTACCTGTAAGACCGATGTTCATCGGATAGGAGTCCGTAGCTCTGAACATGGATTTTAAAAGATCTGCATTGGGAGTGCATGTCGTAGCATTACTTCCTGTACTAGGTCCAGTTCCGCCACCATACATAGTTGTAATCCCTGATGCTAGAGCTTCTTCAATTTGCTGGGGACATATGAAATGAACATGACTATCCATGCCTCCGAAAGTGACGATCTTATTCTCAGCAGATATAACATCAGTAGACGAGCCCACAACCATGTTGTCTGTGATACTATCCATTGTATCAGGATTACCAGATTTACCGATACCCACTATGAATCCATTCTTGATACCAATATCAGCCTTGAAGATTCCGGTATAGTCAATAATTAAGGCATTGGTTAAGACAGTATCGAGACACTCATTCATCGACTTTCCACTCGCTTGACCAGTTCCATCACGAATAACTTTTCCACCACCGAAGACAGCTTCATTACCATATTCTGTTAAGTCCTTTTCCACTCTTACAAACAAGGAAGTATCACCCAAACGAACTTTGTCACCGGTTGTGGGTCCATACATGGTAGCGTATTGTTTACGGGGAATCCGAAAAGGTTGAATCTTTTCAAGAGTATCCTTACTTAATACTTCCATTTGATGCATGAACCCTTGGTTAATCAAGTTATCAAGGATTTCGGTGGTTCGTGATTCATCGACTGGGCCCTTAGAAAGAGCATTACCTCCCTGAATGACTCGTTTACCGCCAATAGGAACCAAACTAACTATCTTTGTGACACCGGGCTCAAAACGAATGGCGGTACCCGAAGATATATCCAATCTTTTGCCATAAGCCTTTGCACGGTCAAAGCATAGTTTTTCATTAGTTTCGAGAAAATGATAATGGGAGCCAACTTGAATAGGACGATCACCGTAATTCGTTACTTGCAGAGATATACGAGGCAAAGTAGGTAAAAGGTGGATTTCTCCTTCTTCTACTTCTACATAGCCAGGAGCATTTTCTGGCGCATATAAGCTTTCATCTACAGGAGGGAACATCTCTGACTTAGGGATAGGAAGAAAGCTCCCATACAAAGCGTTTTCAAGATTTCCGTCTGGAGTACAAATAGGGTCATGGATAGTCACCAAATAAGTTCCATCAGGAAAAGTGGCTTCAACCATAATTTCATGTAATAAATGAGTCACTTCCGGCTGAACATGGCGCTTCCCTAGCATATTCTTACCAAGACTCATTAATTCAGCAACGGAATGGGTACCATCACGAACAAACTCTTGGGTTTGAGAAGCAATCAGCGAAATTGCTTCCAGTTTATTGAGTCTAACACCACGACAAAGTCTTTTTTGAGCCACAGACCCCAGCTGATGAAGGAGTAACTTATGTAATTCTCTTGGTTGCATTCTCTCGTACCAGTTAAACGACTAGCATGGATTTCCATAAAAGTGAATAATGGAAGGATGGAAAAATTCCTAGACGATTTATATCGACATAATCTTAATCAGGAACGGAAGGAGCATCCAAAACAGCTTATCTGTATATCTGAGATAGCAGAATAAAGTGTATTAAGGTAAGAGCGTAGCGAGGATCAGGATATGCAAAAAAAATGCATGAAAAGTCAGTAAAAGGTGAACGCTAAGAATTTCTTAGTCGCTTCTATAACAGTTACTTTTTTTTTTTTTTTTTTTTTTGTTTTGTTTATCCAGTAGTGAAGTAGCACAGGTTCATTGAAAAAAGTGAAAAACGCAACAATAGAACTACTCCAAAGATAAGTTAAGTTTTAAATAAGTTGTTGTTACTCTCGAATAGGTATGTTTGAGTGTAATTTAGGTGCAGAAAAACCTAGAAATCAAAAAAATAAAATATGGTGGATATGAGTGTTCGTTTCGATATCAGTGCACTACGAAGTCTTCATTCAAATGAAGTAGACATTTACTGCAAAGAAAGACGTTACAAAGATTCCTTGGATGCGACTTTCTACATAGTATATTAACATACAAAAGAGGTTGAACAATTGAAAGTAGGGAAACAGCCTTCACTCTTCCATGGAACTATCGTCCGCTCGAGCACGTTTGTCCGATGTATAGTGATCCATGCCGTCACCACTAGACAGCCGGCTCGCACGTTTAAATGATTTGGTCAATGGAGGATGCATATCGGTTTTAGGAAAGACTTCCGAACAACGTAGAATAAATTTTGAGAGAGTCTGTTTCATTTCTTCAATTCGGTGATGATTCAAACTTCGTTCCATGGCCCATGACACATGGAGCATCCGCGACTGTGAGTTAATTTTTCCAACGAGGATTTGATTCATCATTGCTTGGATCAAGTATTGTTCAAGAATAAAATCCTTTTCTTTTGGGACAAGGGAATCATCTAATCTTAACTGTTTCCACAAATCCTCATAGGAAATGCTAGAACCTGTGCACCGTACAGCAGCATCTACCAGCGACAGAAGTTGTAGCTTGTCTACTCGTTCCTGGCTCCAATCCGATGAACAATCTTTCGTCGATCCTTTGTAGAACGTGCTCAAGAGTTGATATATTGCTGGGGACACAGTATCTTGTGTCGCTTGGCATTCCTGCCACAAGGACTCAAACGAGAATACGTTGGGATCATCAATTGCGGCTAAAATCTTCTGATCCATATCCTAACTTAAATAAATATATAGTATAGTATATTTTTATAATGTATGATATTCACTGTGTTGTTTCTAGATACAGGAGCTTTCAGAGGCCAATGCAACTCATGAATTATGGACAAATAAAAATTCAGTTAATGGAAGGGAAAAATTAATGGATTGAAATCTTTGGATACACTTTCTTGGTTCAAACAAACATTTGAGATGTACCCTACCTGTCTGAGTAAATAAAACCAGTAACCTCGAATTAATTCCCCAATTGAATTGCAAAACAAAATCAATTCAAGTAAACCGGAACTGAAACAAGCTTTTTCTCAGGTTTTGTTTGTTGAGAACCTGGTACTCACGATGGGTACCAACACCTCAAAAAGTGTCCCATCCTTCCTATGAGTAAGTAGTGGTATGAAAATCGTACATTCAACCAATACCTTTCTAAGAGAGTAACACGATGCAATATGTAGGAAGGGCGTTTGATTCTGTTACGAAGACGTGGAATTCTATCAATCCTGTACGTACAAGTAATTAAGGGGCGTAATTGCCCGATAATTGTTTGGATAACAAACAGAAACTGACTCAAACAAATAATAGTCTACGCTTTCAGGAGCCATTGACTTGATTGTAGTGGAACAGGAAGACGGGACGCTTGCATGTTCCCCCTTTCATGTTCGTTTTGGAAAATTCAGCTTGCTGTTGCCCTCTGATAAGAAAGTTGAATTTTCAGTAAATGGTCAGTTGACCGATTTCAACATGAAGTTGGGAGATGGTGGAGAAGCTTTTTTTGTTTTTGCTACTGAAAATGCAGTTCCTAGGGAATTACAGACTTCTCCTATTGCTTCTCCTACTGCCTCTCCTACCGTTTCTCCCAAACAAACTCCTCTAATTGTATGTGGATTAGATAGAAAATCTTTTCATAATAGCAGACTGAAGAATTCTAAAGGTTATGTTTCTGATAAGTAGGAAACCAGTACAGTTAGTCTTGACATATGGTTTTGCTACAGAAAAGAAACTTCCATAACTAATAGATTTTGAACGAAGCTAATTTATCATAGAGCATTCACGAGCCCCAAGACTTGCAATTGGAAGGTCCTGCTCATAGCGAATATCCACATTCATCAAATCTATTTCTTGGTGAATCAACTCGCCCATTTCCTGCTGCAAGAGACTTTTATCGGCGCTCCAACTCTGATGCAAGTAAGCTTTACCAAAAAAAATTGCTTTATATTTTATGTTCCCTTTTTACTAACGAAACCTTTTTAGGTGAGCAACTTCCATTTCATAATTACGTCCACAGGCGGCATTCCAGTATGGGTGATGTGGGCAAGGCCGAGACAGATTCATACAGTCGATTAGAAGGGACAGCTCTAGTAGACTTGAAACTTTTACAAAAAGCAAAAGAGCTTGGAAAACGTCTATCTGGTAAAGAACTTCCCACACATATTGATGATAACGGCGATGTCATGTTGGATATGACAGGCTATAAAGCCTCAGCCACGAATATTAACATCGCCGAGCTCGCACGTGAAACATTTAAAGATGAGTTTCCTCTAATAGAAAAATTATTTCGCGAAGATGAAGAGGGAAACCTATGGTTTCATGCCTCAGAAGATGCGAAAAAGTTTGCCGAAGTTTATGGTCAAAGCCCTCCCGGAAGCCCATTAAAAACTCCTTCTTCTCCAAAGTCCGATTCTGCCCTTATGAATGATGAGAAGGGAGATTTACGGCCGTCTTCGTCTTTGTCTTTGTCTCCCCTTCCTAGTAATCTTTCCTATCATTATGCAAAAACCTTACGACTTACTTCTGACCAGCTTCGTTCTTTGAATTTGAAAGCTGGAAAAAATGATTTATCGTTTAGCGTCAACGGAGGTAAGGCCACATGCACCGCTAACTTATTTTTTTGGCGGTACAGTGATCCTGTGGTCATCTCTGACATAGATGGTACTATTACTAAATCTGATGCACTTGGTCACATGTTTACGTTAATTGGAAAGGACTGGACACATGCAGGAGTCGCAAAATTATATACCGATATCACTAATAATGGGTATAAAATAATGTATTTAACCAGTCGCTCTGTAGGTCAAGCAGACTCTACTAGACATTATTTGCGGAATATCGAGCAAAACGGGGTTTCTCTACCCGAAGGGCCTGTGATTCTTTCTCCGGATCGAACAATGGCAGCTTTGCATAGGGAAGTCATCCTTCGTAAGCCAGAGGTATTTAAAATGGCATGTCTACGTGATCTTTGTAACTTATTTGCGTTGCCAGCTCCAAGAACTCCCTTTTATGCTGGATTTGGGAACCGAATCACGGATGCTATTTCCTATAATCACGTCCGTGTTCCACCGACCAGAATATTTACCATTAACTCTTCGGGTGAAGTACATATTGAACTACTTCAAAGGAGTGGATATCGAAGTACTTATGTTTATATGAATGACTTGGTTGATTATTTTTTTCCTCCAGTAGAGATATCGACCAAGGAGGATCTATCAAATTTCACAGATGTCAACTTTTGGAGGTCACAATTGCCTGAGTTGAGTGATGAGGAAGATGAACCTAAAAAGAAGTCCCCTAAGTCTCCAAAAATTGCAGATTCAGTTGACAGATTTGCACCGGACAATGATAATGATAGTGAACAAAATATCGATATATATAACGATGAAGGAAACGATGAAGAAAGAGGTGATATTTTAAGTCCTCTCATGCAAACTTTGCATAATATCAATTTGGATGACGATATTGATTGGGAGCATCAATTTCTTGACGAAACTGAAGAAAAATATGATGATAACTACATGAGAGCCTTTTAATGAATCAGATTCCAGTTAATGACACCAAAAAACGAGACTTACGATTCTTAACATACATGAAAAGCATAATTGACTAAAGCTAATAGAATAGAATGGTTTGGACTTAAAATTTTATACGTAACCTATTTAATAAAAGGAGTGTAAAGGCCCATAATTTGAATGAAAACATAGTTTTGCTCCATTGAATTAATATACACATAAAAAGCTTATTATGAAGGAATATAGAAAATAGTAGAAAGTAAGAATTATGATACCATAGACATTATAGCAGGTTCGGTACTAGAACCAATATACTCAAGGCATTGAAACTACCAGCATAAACTGAGAACACAGATGCTTAACAGGAGAGACAATACATTGGTAAATTGATCTTTTCAATTTACAATGGAGGAGCTTCAGATTGGGCATTTCGTTTTTGTCGATCTTTTTTGAATTTTTCAGTCTTCTGCATAGACTCGGAGAGCTTCTTTTGCCTATTCTGTAAAGTCTCTTCTCGCTTACGTTCAGCAATTCTTCCTTTAGGAAACAAAACGCCCTTCAAAATGTGCCTGCTGGAGTCTTTATTCCAAGTCATCTCTTGGGGAATTAAATGTTCCAGCCTGTGATACTTTGCTTCCTTATAGATATCAGCTTGGCGCCTATTGGAGTATACAGGGTCTCTTAAAACTCCGTTTAGAGGGTTTCGAGTAGGCAAAAAAGGATTTATCCTATCAGACTTTGTCGACCAAGTATTGGCGGTTTCTGGAGGATACTTTTTTAAGAATTTCTTTAAAGGAACAGAAAATGAATTCCAAACTTCTTTGCTGATGACCGACATGGTCAATTCGGGGGTGAAGGGAGATGGAGAAAACTTGTCGGAAAGGCTGCGTATTCACAACCAAAGTGTCTCAGCATTCAGCAAAAATAAGAGATTGGATTCCAATCGATAAAACAAAATTATCTTACAATGAGATTATTTTAGGAATTGTAAATAAATTCAGGAAGACCGAACTTTTGACCCAGTATTCATTGACCCAGTCACTTAAAAAAATCTGAGACTCATTTTGACAATGAAGAAATAAGCCTTGTTTCGCTTTCCATCACTTTCAATGTAACAATGTAAAAAAAAAACAAGACAGTTGCCAGAATTCAGGTATCGTCAAAAAGGTCGTTAGGCGGCAATAGTTCTTTCAGCCCAGTCAGCAGAACATAAGAAGATGCAAAATTAAATTCTAAGTCACTTGACTCAGATATATGTGACTCTTCTTGATGAATTAGGTCTCTCAGCTTTTGCACACCAGAATTTGCAATCTTCGAAATACGAGTGTCATATGAGTGGAGACACGGAAAAAATATTTCTGTAAATGAAAAAAAGCATTCACTATAAAGAAGTCGCGTTTCGAAATCCTCACTCTTGCAATTAAGAAAGCACGTTTCCAATTGTGACACCACTTGGCGTACAAGCTGCTCAAGCAAGTTAGGAGCTGCAGAAGAAAGCTTCAAAAATATCGATTGTTCCAAAAATTTATAAAAGTCCAAAAACTTTGCTCTCGACAAAACAGGAAATCCCTGTGTAGCGTTTGTTTGCATAATCCGATGCGTGTCGACAATTAAATGTAAAACGTACTGTGCCAAGTCCGCCAACCGTGTCGCAATTTGGAGCATCCTTAAATCTCTTTTTAGTAAAATAAGAATGTCCTCGAAAAGACTTTTAATTTTGGCAAAAAATTCGTCTGGATAGTCTTTTGCAGACGATATTTGTGGATCAGCTGAACATTTTAAAAACCGGAATATCCCATCAAAGACATAGTTCAGCGTCTTTAAAGAGACCCCTTCAGAGCTTGCTCGTTTTTCTTGAAGACATTCATAAATGTTAGAAAGCAGGTACAAATCTGAAAGATTCTGTCAGTAAGTTTTTTTTTCAAAGAGTAATTTAAGAATAAATTACTTTTAAATCTCTAATCACCCCAATTTCATACTTAAACACGTCCCAAACACATACCAATATCGTCAATTTCCTTCTGAAGCACTTTGCTAGGAAGATGCAAGGTCTCGAGAACGCAAGAAGCTTCCAATTTCAGTTTGCTTTTCTCTTGATTAAGTACTTTCTCTGCCAGCAATGTTGCTTTCAATTCGTGATTCTTTTCATCTTGCAATTGTTGCCTCAGTCTTTTGATATAGAGCTCCAAGCTTTCTCCCTTTGGCTTATTCCTTACAATGCTCCATGAAATTGCCAGTTTAGTCTCATCTCCTTCTAAAACATTGTCCATTTTAAGAACTGGAAGTTTGTTTACGCGTTGAGAACGAACGCGTAAGACAAGTAACATTTGTATTATTTAGTGCAGCCTAACAATATCTCGTTAATGACTCTTTGTTTACATCCTGAACACGACTTTCTTCTCTGCAATATACATCTATCGTTTGCCAAATTGAAACCAGAAGAATTCCCTTTTATCTTTGCTATATAAATTGCTGTATAACTTTAGTAAGTAAGTCTTTATCGAAAAAGCTCAAGGGAAACGTGTCTTTTTTCTTGAAACATCTACCTTATTGCTATAAAATAAGGCACTAGGGAATCTGTAGCTTTTTTAGTTTGTTTCTATTACTTTCCTATTATGATTGACTTGTATCAGAAATCCTAACCATCGATGTAGTCAGTTATTTCTTTATCGAAAAGGGGTAGGAATACAGCGAGAGTTCCTTTTGATAATTTTTGAAACTTTTTTGAGATCTAATGACGGCTATGTGGGATGGATTCGCCGATTCGTTTTGGACAAGAGATTATATAACCGGTGTCAAAAGTGCCCAGGAATTAATTAATCAAGGCATTGAGCAAAATAAAAGCTGTAAGGAATCTGAAAAAGTTTTTTAATACTAATTATTTTTTAGTACTTTCTTTATTACAAGCAAAGTCGAAGGCATTGATTGCATGCTCCGACATTCTTGTCAAAGCATGTGCTAAACACGATAAACAATATCCTTTCAGTCACGATACAAACATCCTCTTGACTTCTGCAGCCATTAACGAGTTGAGAGAGGATTATTTCTGCGTAAGTTGTTGTCTTTACGTGTAAACAATTAACAAATTTGTAAATAGGAAGCGTCTTTGCAAAAAAAGTGGAGTGAGCAACTAGAGTATTTAGTAATTGGTCCCTTTGAAAAATGGAATAAGAATTATGCAAAGCGAGTTGGCTCCTTATCTTCGACGATTCAAGTCAAAATTGAGAATTATAATTCACGCTTGCTACACGTTCAAAGACTAAAATCTTCCTTACTGAATCCAAAACAACGAGGGCATCGAAAATCAAGCTCTCTTAGCTCTATTAATTCACGAACCCAAGGCAGCAACAAAAAGCTCGAATCTGAGATGCCTTTTATTCTAGCTGGCAAAAATTACTCAAACGATGAGTTTTCCAAGTTTCTATCGACTTTAAAAAAGACAATGAACAAGGTAAGCAATAGTCAGCCTGCCGAATACGTGACGCATGATGTAGACTTCCAAAAAGCGTTGTCATATACTCTTCCTGGTTCAGAAAAATCAAAATTGGAACAAATGACTGATGAATTGGCTGCTCTTGATATGGTGAACGTAAAGGAGCGAACGGACAAGTCGGTCGGTACCCCAAATTCGAATGTTCAATTGACACAGAAAGCAATAAACCTAATAAACACCAACCAAGAAGACTCACTCGACAGCTCTTCCTTTTTTAGTACACAAAACGAAAACAAACCAGTGTCATTTTCTAATGATCTAGATAAATACTATCTGGCATTTAGTAATTTAGAACAATCAAGGATAGAGCTAGAGCAATACTTGGTATGTGAAATCCTAAATGAGTTTTAAAAAGCTAATAATTCAGTTTACGTACTACAAGGAACTTGAGAAATGCGAAATTGACCGACTCTCAGCAATCGAGACCATTTTGGCAGACCATTCTGGCTGCTTTTCAAGTTTTACAACTCGTCTTGAAAGTGTTGTATCGAACCAGACTAAAACGACTCGCTCTCTTGACAAATTACAAGATCTCTCTAATCAAGTCAAACGTTATTATACTGGTTACTTTACATCTGTCTCCAATGCTGATCTTTTTTTGCAAAATGGTAAGCTCTTTTTTCCTTCAAATCCTAATTTTCCAGGTTATGAATCCCCCATTAAGTCATATTCTTTCCTTGATACACAGATATCCAGAGTAGTACCAGAAGTTTTGATGTACTTAGTAGATGGTAAGAAAAATGTTTTATGTTACTATTTACTAACAAATTATAGGATACTCTTATATAAAAGATTTTGATGGTATACAGCTTCGTAAACATTATCATTACTAACATATAGCTCTGTACACGATTTGGACAAAGGAGGTACCTCTGAAAAAAGCTTATGAATTAAAGTCAATATTGCTGAATAATGCAATTATCGATGTTGTTCCAATATTGGAAAAATATCCTTTACACACTATTGCTTTTTCACTAAAACTTTGTTTATTGGAATTTTCAGATTCCCTTATACGTTCCAGCTTTTATGACTATTTCAATGCCCTTTATTCAACTTACACCGAAGATAAAGATATAGAACATCGAGTTTATTCTATTCGCCAATGCTTACTGCACCTTCATAGTACTCCATTGAGATTATTGGAAGATCTCATATCTCACTTCAAATTTTTTGCTGATTCTGCTCAATTTTCTAGAGACGATCTGTACAAAATCGCAAAGATAATTGCGCCATGTAAGTCATATCCATATAACTATAATCTAACCCTTTTAGGTATACTAAGACCCCCTAAAAATGTAACTCGAATTTCAGTTGAGGACACGCATCCAGTTTCGTTAGTTTTAGATTTGCTACAAGAGTTCAAACAATTATTTGGAAATCTTGAACGTTCTGTCACCCCTCCTATAGAAATGGAACGAGCACTGACTCCTATCAATACTTCTCCGACTAAATTAAAGTCCTCTCGGTCTTCATCACCTATTAAATTGCCTTCACCAACCAAGCTATTTCGTCCATTTTCTTGATACAGATTGAACTATATTGTCGATTAATCAAATTACATTCTTTCGAGATACTACTCTTCGTCTGGGTGACTCCTCGATTTTGCGACTTGTGTCAGTAAGATCCTCTTCTTCGCTATATTCTTCTTCTTCCGTTATATAGCGCACAGCATCACCAACGATATTTCCTACTTTATGGAAAATGTTATTACTCTTAGCTTTTACAGAAGACCATCCTCGCTGCGAATCCTGATTTTCTGGTGTTTTAGGGTGGGCAAATATTGTTCGAACGTTATTATTTATCTAATTTCATGTTAGCACGTTAGCATGTTTCAGTTATTGAGTCTTACCTTAAAAAACGGATTCGGAGGTGCTTCATCTAGAGAATTTCGAAACCTGGGGAACAAGGATCTAGTGTTGTTCTCTGGATATTCTAATGATTTACCTAAGGGTTTATCGTTCGTTTGAGAGCTGCTGCTTTTAACGCTGTTGTAGGTTGCAAGCACACCATTTTTTATTGAGTTAGTCAAGACGTTTGTATCAAGAGATTTTCTTGGGATATAAGACATATCGCTTCCTATTCGTTTGTTTTTCCTTAGTGATTCCAATTCAAAAGTCACGTTCAACAGGGTTGGCATGTCCGCAGAAAATTGAGATTGAAGTAGCTTGATAGAATCAGCGAAGTTATATTTTAGGAGATATTCTCGTAATTCAATCAGAATAGCACAACAAAAATCTATAGTAAAGTCGAATGCGCCATTGAAGCCATCTTCATTTTTACCTAATAAACGTGCTCGCGTTTGGTCAGCTATAATCGAGTCCCAAAGGCGTATAACATCTGGCAAAGGGAATTCCTGAGTGAAAAGGCAGGTATACCAGCGAAAAGAGTAGTACGTGGGATTGATTTCTTTCCTATGCTGTGCAGTTAATCTGTTAGCTCTAAACCTTTTGAGAAAAACACATACCATACACTGCCATAGTTCAAAATCATATTGCTTCAAACGATCTGTGAATTTTGACATTAAAAAATAAATACCATGACCAGAGTCGTGATCCAAAGTTTTTTCATAAAGGTCTCGAACTTGAACCATCATCTTGGTAAATAGAAAGAAGGAGTCACATTCGCAATAAAACCGATTTTCATAAGAAGGGTCAGTTGCTAAGACATAGTATAAAGGAGCGAGCAGTTCATTCATGCCTTGAACGTAACCAATTCCGGGGTTTAATTTAGCATAAATAAATAAAATTCGTTCTGTAGCCTCTCGATGGATTCCTAACTCATCCTCGTTTTCTTGAATTGATTTTTCTATGCTTTTTCTTGGTTTGCTGGAAATAATACTAGAGGAAGTAGGAGACTCATTTTCTAGATGATAAATTCTTTCTTGGAGAGAGCGATGTGAATCCTCAAGAAACTGAAAGAATTCTTCTTCACTCTGAAATGGAATGTCTTCAATTGAAAATCCAGTTTGCATCGAAAATGCGGTGCTTCCTTTTGTTGAAGTAGAATCCTCCGTTTGAGCTTCTGCAACAGAGGAAACGGAAAAATTCATGGCGCTTTCTGATTTTCCTTGAAAAAAAGATAGGTCAGGTAAAGTTCGTCGGATGTCTTTGTCAATCTGTTCCAATGTCTGGTTATCTTCAAAATATTGCTTCCATTTTGAGTCCTTATTCGTGCTTAAAGGCTAAAGATAGATTAGCAAAGGAAGCTCTTCTAATATTTATAAAAATAACTTACATGATCCTCAGCCTCTGCGTCTTCAGAATTCTCCTGTAAACTGAGTTTTTTCCACGGGTCTATGAGGAGTTCCTGGACAAATGACTGCGTAGTTTCAATTAGCAAGAAAACACTAAGATAGATCAGAAAGACCAATGTATTCCCATACTGTATAAGTTTTTCGATGACTACTCAAGACGTCTTTCCATTGTAATTTATCAGTGGGCAAGTATTCTAGCATCAACATCCAAGCTTTTGAACGTATCGAATACTCGTCTGGAATGCCTAACCCGTGTTAAAGGATTGTTGATTTGGCACAGAACTTTGTTTTGCGTACCTTGTAGACATAATCCACATAATCCAGGAAGAGACACTGGCTTTTGAGAATTTAAAATGGTCGTAAATCTTTTTAGCCTAAAGTCATGTTAGCCGAAGGTTCTCGTCAACAGAAAGCAATGGTTATACCGCTCCTTGTAATCCATTTTGAACGATAATACTTCTAGATCAATTCAACATATAAATTGTTTAACATAAATTTGATTGATACTTAAAATGAAAGAATCATAAAAAAGTTTGATATTTGCACTTGTTCATCAAACTTTGCTAAACTCGAGGTTAAGAAAACACAAGTGAGCATAGGAAAGCAAAACTTGAAAATAGTCTGCTGGAGATGACGCTACCATTGAAATGTTAAAAAATTGGAAAATATTCTATGACTGTAATTGAATTTCTTTCTACTATGTAGATTTACATGAAACAGTAGTGAAATCATTGGTCACAAACGAAAAAAATCAAGTTTCCATATACATCAACGATACAGTGAATGAATTCAACAAAAAAATCTTAACTTTTGGAAAAAGGTTCAAACAATTTGGCCATGTGAGTCGTAGATGAATATACATTATATAAGCAGCATTTGCTCCATGAATGATACCCAAAATACATAACTTTTATTAGATGAAAAACATTATGAGCCGAATATAAGTGCAATTATACACCTAATAATTTAACGCCGTAAACACAAGCGAGAGAACATACACTGAATCGAAATCCGCGAAAGTAAAGTACATACAAAATTAAATAGAGAACTTATCAGAAAGATAAATAAAACAAGAAGGCCTTTTCTGATTCAAAGCGACTAAAACGGAAAGACGCGATTGTTTTAGCGTCTTTCAGAGAAGGAAGCAAAGTATGTCAAAATGAAAAGAGGTCGAAAGATGAGGAATGGAATTACCTAAGTCTGTTTCATTCCAAGTTTTTCTATGACTTGAGCAAGCTCCTCGCTCATTTGAATAACTGCTTTACGTTCATCCCTTTCAATTTGAAGTTGTTCTTGCAAGGCTTCAATTTGGAAATTTAATGTATTCAAGTTATCGGTTTGTTCAGACTGTTGTTGGGTTAGGTGACGATCACTTGTAGCCATGTCAGCTTTAAAGTTCTCCAATAACGCTGACATCTCTTGATGTTCTTGTATAGCTTTTTCCAATTGTTTTCGAAGAGTATCATTATCCTCTTGTAGAGTTTTCTTTTCTAGTTCCCAAGAGGGGTCAACAATATTAGATCTAGCAGCGGCAGCGGTTACTTGTTGTTGAAGCTCTTGTATTGTAAAATCATATTTTTTCGCGTAATTCACTTTAAATGCAGAGATTTTTTGAGTATGTTTAGCAGAATACTGAGCATGAAGATCTTCAGCAACTTTTTCCATTCGCTCTTGAAGTAGCTTGTCGACGTCTTCCTGAGTGTATGTTTGCCTTTTTGTAGACGAAGAGGAAGAAAAACTAGATACGGAACCCTTGTCTTCTTCTTGTGCTTCAATCAGCTTCTGACTGGTACCTTTAGCTGATGAAGCAACAGCGTGTTCGGTTTGCAGCTGTTGAAATTGCTCATTCATCGCAATTAGTTGGCCAGAAAGATATGCCAAAGAACTTTGAAGAGAAGTGATTTCATGCTGGTTACCATTGAGCTTAGCCTTATAACTTTCGACTTCGGCTTCCAATGCTGCTTGCTGCTTTTGTGAGATATTAAGGGTGATTTCTGGAGGTAAGTCAGAGGAATTAGGAAGAGAAGGAACGGATACTTCAGAAGATGGAGGTGCGTGCGCAAAACGAGAGACGGGTTGTGCAACCTGCAAGGAAGAACCGTCGGGATTGCTATTCTTTATAGAATTGGCAGATGTTAAATGTGGGGCAGGCTGATCAGCGAATTGAGATTGTGAGCTCGAGTTTGGAGGATGAAATGAAAAGGATGATGCGGACGAAGGTACATATGAAGCAGGAGGAGGCTGTCGGGGTGCTTGTGTAGAAGTATTAGATGAATTATTGACAGGTGTACCTGCTGATGAAACAGGAGCCTTCGGGGTGATAATGGATTCTGCATTTCGTTTTCGATGCTTAAATTCTGGAGTCTTGTGTTGAAAGATTTGCGGAGGGTGCATACGCATCTGTCGTGGTGTACTGCCATAGGAAGACGCCGAAGAATTAGCAGTAACAGGAGCATCGTAAGACGACCGATGCATTTCCAAGGAATGCAGACGGTCATTCACGCGCTTATTTAACGATTCTTTGAACTGGTACTGAGTCGTGGCTGGTCGTGCGCTTAGTTTGGGGTATAATCGTGGAGCCGGCATCGCGTCTTCTGTTCCTCGAATTGAAGTGGGCTCCCGCTGCCCATACGAAGTGCCTTCTTTCGACGTGTAACCATGTGGAACAGATTGGTCTTCTTGCATACCATTCATATCGTTCGTTCGTAACTAAAGGAAATTCTAGTAAATAAAACAAGGTCCGTGTTGAAATGAAAAACCCAATGTCTATGACAACGCACCCTATGAATTCTTGAAAGATGCTTGAAAAGAAACGAAACCACAACACACTAGGATTCCAAAGAAAAGCTCATATATTCTATAAAATGCTATTAAATGAACAGTTTTTCTTTCATTCAATGCAATAGTAAACTCTGCAAACCTCGTTTTTTTGATAATTTCACAATTGTTTTGATGTGTAAATAGAACCTGGGTAGTTCCTTACAGTGCGTAAACCTCTTCGAAAAGTCACCGAATGTCCGGTGACTTTTGAGCTCCCTCCGATGTAATTCTCCGAGAATGAGAGTAATTTTTGCTACTGCTACAACAACATAGTAGAGCAAGTCAGCTTTCGATATTATGATAGCCAACATCTAATATGAAGAAAAATGAAAGGGCAAACGTAAGGAATGAATTATACTGGATGAAATTGTCTAACTTGAGTTTCTGAGTAGTTATCGGCCTCTTATAACGATCTAATTGCGATGATCACCAATCCTCGAACTTCGATCATTGGTACATACCGCATTGAAAGTGTTGTCGGTGAGGGTTGGTACATATTGTTACTTTATTTGTTTGTGTTTGAAGACGGATTGCTTACAATGTCATGATTAGGAAGTTTTGGAAAAGTGTACCTTGCAGTTCACCTCCTTACAAACACAAAGGTATGAAATGAAGGACAGGACCCAGAGTGAAAGCGTGGTTGATTTAGTGAAGTAAAGTCTCAAATGAGACGGGTAGATTCGTTTTGTACTTCATACTGGCTTTTTCTTGGTGGGAGCATGCTCTTTGTACAAGGAATATGATATTAACAATTATATAAAGGTAGTGTTGAAATCTTCTTCTCGTAAGCAGGCTGTCATTTTAGCCCGAGAAATCCACCATCATCGTCGGCTTTTACATCCCAACATCACTCGCCTGTATGAAATGATTTGCGTGGAAGATAGAATTTACTTGGCAATGGAATATTGTCCCAATGGCGAGTTGTACGAATATGTGTCACGTCAAGAGGTGTTGGATGAACATACAACATGCAGGCTTTTTTGGCAATTGTGTTGCGCCATCAAATACCTGCATACGCAAGGTTGTGTTCACCGTGACTTAAAACTTGAGAATATCTTCTTAGACAAAAATTTTGATGTCAAAATTGGTGATTTTGGGTTTTCAAGGGACACTGATTGTTCACGTAGAACTTTTATGAGTACACGCTGCGGCACTGTGGCTTATTGTGCTCCTGAAGTTGTGCTTGGCCAAAAGTATATTGGTGAATGCGCCGATATTTGGTCCCTTGGTATCATCATGTATGCTATGTTGGTTGGCCGTTTGCCGTTCGATGAAGACGATACGAATCTGACCGAACTCAAAATTATAACTGAACAGCCGTTTCTTCCAGAAACAGTTTCCCCCAGTCCAGCTGACTTGCTCACTCGATTATTATGCAAAGATTATCGCTTCCGACCTTCCATCGATCAAATCCTCTCCCATCCTTTTTTCCAGGATAATGGGTACCACGTTTCCTCAATCAAAACTGTTAAAACATCTGTTAAAGCGGAAGATAAAGTTCGTAGAAGGCTGGAATTGGTTGGCGTCGATATAAATCAGCTGAACATAAGCATATCCCAGCAGCGTTGTGATCTTCTATACGGTTGGTGGCTCTTGTTGCTAGAAAAGGAAACAAAAAAGGAAAATAAGAAAAGTAATTTATTTTACTTGCAGCACTCCAAGGGGAACTCTTCTTCCTTCCATATCCCGCCATCTTCTCCTTCACTGAAAACTGCCGAGGTGTCTGTAACTTCTAGTCACCCAAACTCTAATAAGTTATCTCGGTCTTATCATGGGCATAGTAGTGGAAATTTGCTCTCTACGTTCAAAAGTTGGTTGTTTGATTCGAAATCTAAGCATCCCTCTGGAACTACTTCCCCAAGTTTTGATACTGTTTCAACGTCATCCAAATGGTCAAAGCGTAGTAAAAACTTGAAAAAAAGAAGCTCTTTAGAGAATACTTCAAGTACAAAAGGAAGCGATCATGAGCGGCTTTCAAGCTCTAAACATTCAAAGGAGGCGATTGTGGATTCTCATGAAAATACCGCTTTCGAGCAGTCTTTACCTTCTACGGACTCTCATTCTAGAATATCTAATTTGGTAGACGAAAAACCAAGAGATCTTGTTTCTCCTACATCAGAAAAGAACTCTACCGATAATTCTCAATTACCGATTCCTGTGTCTGAAGGGTCGCTTATATCACCCAATTTCGCGAGTACCGCTAATAGTAACCATCGTCCCAATTCCCGTAGATGCAGCTTGTCCCAGCTATCATCTGTTAATTCTTCCAGGTCTTCTCTGACCCGATCTTACTCGAATGTCTCTTCTACGTCTTCAACTTCGTTAGTATCAATTGTGTCCTCTCGACCATCAACTGGATACGGCACTCGTCCTGCCCCTTACCATCTTCCTATAGATCGTTTGCATAAAAACATTCAATTTCCCGGTGGTGACTCCAGCAACGCACGCATTAATGCAACTGCTATCCTTACAGTTGGCTCTACTCGTCGCATACCTCCAACATCGTCATCGCTAATGTATAATAACCAAAATTTTGTACAGGAGGAAGATGAACCTGAAGAAAGTTTTACATCCGATTCTTCAAGACATTTTTCCGACATCTATTAAGTAAAAGTAATGACCTATTTATTATTGAATGCTACTACTAGTTTTCATATTAATTTTATGTGTTATTTTATAATTCAGTTGTATATTGATCTAATTGTAACTAAATAAAGGAAGTCCTTAAATACATAGAATTTCACCGATTCCCCAAAATTTTTGGATATTTAAAATCCTTATTGTCCCATTTTTACCTACCTAAATTAAACAAGAAAAGCCAAGCCATGCTTTATTGGCTATTGTCGAAGGACGAAGATTGATTGATCTGAAGCTGCTTGTCGGTACCACCAGTAACAATACCTACAGACTTGTTCCAGTCTACGGAAAAAAGTTTATCCCACTGAGAACCTCTTTTGACAGATCTTGGCAATGTATAAATACTGCCAGATGTAGCACGTACATCCCAAACACGACATGAGTTGTCGTGGGAGACTGACGCAAACATATATGGATTTTCAGGACTGGCAGCTAAATCTGAAACAAGGTTCTTATGTCCTGATAAAGTCATAGAAGTAATTTTATCACTTGAAGCACGAGGGTCATGGAGTGTGATGGAACGAGCGGATGAACCGCAGGCAAGGAGGTGAAGATCGTTTAACTTTTCAACACAAAGAAGGGGGTTTTTGGTAATCCTTGAAGTAACAGACTGACCAGTGATAAGATCCCAAGTTTTAATAGTATGATCAAGACCAACTGAATAAGCAGCGGAAGGATCATTGGAAAAAATCACGTCCATCACGCTCTCATTATGTCCTTCACAAAGGAAGAGAGGAGCACGAGCACCATTGCGAGGCACAAGTTCATCATTTTTACGACGTCGTTTCGACGAATTTACATCCATTGACTCCACTGTCGTCTCTGGGGACCTTTCAAAGTCCCAAATACCAACAGTTTTATCAGTAGAAGCAGATAAGAATACGTTGGATTCAGGTAAAGCGCGGACACGTTCTACCACACCTTTATGACCAGTAAAAGTTGTACTGAAAGCTGCTGTAGATTTTTCGTTTTCAATATTAGAAAGATCATCCTCAATTTCCCAAAAATGGATTTTTTGGTCAAGAGAAGATGTCAAAAAGCTTTTCTCTGGTGCCTTCCAGGAAATATTTTTTAAAGATGAACCTAAACCAAGAGATTGAAGCTTAACTTGACCACTCTTGTCCCAAACACGAGCAATACCATCGTAAGAAGAGGTCAAAATGTGGTTGGAAGAGAGTTGAACACTAGAAATCCAATCATCATGAGGAAAAGCAGCGAGATACTGAGGAGGAAGCGTAGATTCTATGTACTCAAGGTCCAAAGTGGACTCCGTAGATAAACCATTTTGAGTAATGTAGTCGTCTAAAGAGGTTCGTAGAAGGTTACCTTGAATTAAGAAATCAAAAGGAGTAGGTTTGTCTAGCAGGTTAGTAGGTGAATAAAAAATAACAGAAAGAAGAAGACAAGCTAGAGACACGTAAGGAAGAAACCAGTTGCTATTGAGCTTCTCGTTGGGCAACATAGACTTTGTTGAAGGATCCTTAATAAATAGGGATGGTGTGAAAAGAAGAAAAGTATAAAGCAAGTTTAACTGAAAAGAAAGAAAATAAATGAATAGGTGCCAATTACGCTTATGAGAAAGCGCTGCATCTCATTCAGAGCTTTTAAATTGACAATAGCAATGGTTCCTTACTCTTTAACTCGTGCATACATAAAACAAAAAAAGCATAGCTTCATTCTTTTTTTTGCTTCAATTATCATGCGAGCACAACTTGTAAAGTGGAAGCGCCATACCTGATTTTAATAGATGGTTGACAACTTGAGACAATCCATACCGCTTCAAAGAAGTTGGAATCAGAATTGGTGTATCACCAACAGTTAATTCTGGATTCCTTGTCGTAAAGCGAACTTGCACTTGTCCCGTAGGATTGGTTTTCGTTTCCATTGGGGTTGGTAAAAGTTGAATGTAGAGACCAGCTGTAGGAGAAGCAAAGTGTTCGCGGTTCTTCATTTGTAAAGGTACAAGAGCATGCAAACAAAGTGAAAAAAGATAGTTAAATCAAGAAGAATTAATGTTTAAAAATTGAAGGTTTTCGAGTTGAATAAACGTCGTTTTTTTACGACGGTCAAACTCGTCAGAAATAGCCTGCTCTGTCTTTCCACTTTTCATAATCATGAAAAAAAGTTCACTTGTATTGTAAAAAATGATTTAAAATTGAGGATTCGTCCAATTGCTACGAACTAAGGAATCTTGCAAAAAAATTTTGCAAGTCGAAACAAAAATCGCTTCTTTGCTATACGCTTTTTTAAAACAGTTTTCTTTTTTCATTTACATTCATTCGTCACAAAAGAGCTCCATAGTCTGAAAGTTTTATTTTCATGGTCATTCTCACTTGATCACTACCATATCCAGGTCAAACCAAGGATTTGAGGAATTCTTGAAAAGTCCAACTAAAAAGTGATAGAATTCAAAGAAAAAAGAAATTTCATTTCATCAGGACTCTTCGAGGTAGAACAACATTCTCTGATCGTGGAATTGGAGAATTTACCACAAGTCGTTCGCTTTAAGTATAAAATTCTTTTTGAACGCAGCCTTGGCAATCTGGATTTGTATATAGCTTGAGAATAGCTATACTATCTGCTTTCTTTGTGCACTCTCACACACTCTCTCTTTTCTGTATAGAGCGACTGGAAGTTTCTTTTGGTAAATTCGTCGTTTCGCATTCTTTATTAATTTATATTTTACTACAATGGGATTGGCAGGAAATAAAGCGAAACAGCAAATTGGGGCTGATCCAAGAAACTCTAAATGGGCAAAAAACAAGGATCGTAAAGGATACAAATTGCTTGCTTCCTACGGTTGGCAGGATGGAAATGGCCTTGGTCAGCAACAACACGGTCGAATTCATAATATTAAAGTGTCCTTGAAAGATGATACACTTGGTATTGGAGCTAAACCTTCCAATGACACAGAGTGGAGCGGGTTAGGTGAATTTAATGCTATTTTTGGAAGATTGAATGGTGACGAAAATGCCTACGGTATGTCTGCTGAAAAAGCAAAGCAGCAGAAACAAATTGATCAACGAAAGAATGCTCAGGAAAAAAATCTTCGATCTCTCGAGCTGGCACGCCGATTTGTTCTGGGTGGTACATTTACAAGCGAGTTTACAGATTGGATGAAGAAAGCAGCTGAAGATGAAAACAGAATCGCTGAAGCGAGCTCTGACAACGAAGATGAAAACTCTTCTAAGAAGCCAGACACAAAAAAGAAGAAAGAAAAGAAGCATAAGCGCTCGTCTTCGAAGAAGAAAGACGATGAAGAGAAAAGGAAATCTTCCAAAAAGGAGAAGAAAGATTCCAAGGAGAAAAAGAAAAGAAAAGAAAAGAAAGATTCCTCCAAGAACTCAACGACAAAGTCTGACAGAAAAGAACAAAAGAAACTTAAACGGAAGAGGAAGCATACTTCCTCTTCCGCTTCTTCTGAGTCAGAGGACGAAGATGTGGATACCAAAGGCTCGTCTCGTAAGAAGCCCACAAATGTACATTTTCACACTCGAAGAAAATTTCTTGCTCAGAAGCGTGCTGCAGTCAGTGATCCCACTGCACTACGTGAAATTTTGGGAATTAAGGGTTAATCAACTTTGGATGCGGTTTTTGTTTGGTTTATATAGGGCCTTTAATGTTGTATTAATATGATAAATGTCTTTTTCGTAATCTGATATAGTAAATTCAATTCATTCTAAAGAAAGCCTTGGCGGTACACATGTGTAAGTCGTCTCATCTGCAAACTCATATCATGAATGCAACGCTTTAATAAACAAATAAAACCATACTTTAAATGTGGATAATGCAATGTTTCAACGTTTGCGACTTCCGTCCATAGACACTACTACGCTCTTTAAACTGACCTCCGAAAGAAACAGAGTCAGTTCATGCTCATACTGTTCTACAAAGCTTCTACTCCCTACTACTTCAAACTGTACAACATAAAAGACTACAATACTACAATTCCTACCATGTCTCACCATCTCGTAAAACACTTATATATTAATGTTAACTAAATTTCTAAAATCCTGTAACTTGTTAGATACTGTTTTAAAAAGAAAATACCAAGAGAAAGATTGTAAAGATGCTCAGCTAATATATCTACTATCTTTTCCCGAATGTTTTTCAACAGTATTTTTCTGTTGTCCCTATCGAGTGATCATCCTTGCAAACATAAAATCCTTCTCTCAAAAATAGCGACTTACCATATCAATAAACCAAACAATGATTTTATCATATTTTTGTTATTCCATACCTATCCACTAGTAGTTGGTGAAAGGTAGAATATAAGTTGGCATTCAGCCTTTATATAGTATCCAAGACGAAAAACTGCAACTAAAGCTAGAATTTAACTTTTCCTATATAAAAAATAATATTTTCTTATTTCATTCGTGTAAAAAAATATTTATTACCATGTACATTTGATTTGACCAAATCCTCGTATACTAGCTACTCCCTAAGGAAACGTACCAGCAGCCAACTTCTCAAGCTTTTCTTCTTTGGAGCTTGAAAACCATGGATATCGATGGTTCTTCTTTTTCCTCCTCAAAAAATGGACTATATGAGCCGTTAGCAAGAGGATTTGCTGCCATCGAAGCGGCAACAGAACGAGATACCAAATTGCCAGAACTTGGCGACATCATTGGACGTATGAAAAGCAGTTTTACAGATTATATTAAGATTACTAACTTTGCTTTTTCAGATGTCCATTCTCCAGAATATGTCAGTCAGCCGTTGAACGGCTGGAAACCGTTTTATTTACGCTCAGTAATCAACATTCCGGACCGCATTTTTGAGCAATATAATCGTAAGTCCCTTTGTCAGAAATATTTGTAGTTAATTTACTCTAACCTATTGATGTAGGAACTGAATGCTTTACCCAGATGGGATTGTTTTCTGAAATACAACGTGCATGGATCACAGTAGACAATCGTCTTTTCCTCTGGGACTATTTATCTGGCCAGAACTTTCAGGCATATGAAGATCTTTCGCATACAATCGTCAGTGTAAAGCTTGTTATACCAAAGAAAAATGTGTTCGTAGAGGAAGTACAGTATTTACTGGTAATTGCTACCACCCAGGAGATTATTTTACTTGGCGTTTCCATTGATAAAATTACCGGAGAGCTCACATTTTATTCCACTGGAATGCAAATCTCAATTCCTGGATTAAACGTAAACAATATTGTTTCTTCTAAGGATGGCCGTATTTTCTTTTCCGGTAATAGAGACCCTAACTTGTACGAATTCTTTTATCAGTCTGATGAGGGTTGGTTTTCTCGTAGGTGCAGCAAAGTAAACCTTACAGGATCAGCAATCGATAACTTTGTCCCATCTTTTTTCTCTTATGGTGTTCATGGAGACGGTGTTAAACAGATTGCAGTGGATGATTCACGAAGTTTGCTTTATGTCTTGCGTGAAAGCTCCTCTGTTAGTTGCTATGAAATTTCTAGTAATAATGTTCATCGTTGTGTTTCTTATTCTTTCAATTCCATGGTCTCCCAGGCTCAAATGCTGAATGCCTCTTCCGTCTTGCTTGATCCAAGAAGCACCAAGCTTGTATCAATTGTTCCTGTTCCTGCTTATGAATCTCAACAAATTTATTGTGTTGCTATAACTTCCACTGGTTGTCGATTTTACATGAGAGGCGGTCGTAGTGCTACTTCCTATTTTGAAACCTCTGACGGTTCTTTTGCTACGCATCCTCCTAGTACTTTACAAATAACCCACATTCGTTTCCCTCCTTCTTTCCAGGTCAATGACTATCAGCCCAAGCGCCAATTTTCTGGGTCTTCCTTTTTCCCTCAAAGTCAATCAGTGTCACAGCAGCCACCTCAAGACCTTCCTGTTCAAGCTAAGCGCAATGTCATGAATTGTTCCTCCTTGAGTTCGATATTCACCTTTGATTTATTTTTCGCTATAAGTTCTTCTGATGCTAATGCAGGTGATACACTTTGTTGTTCTGCTCCTGAAATGGGAAGAATTGCCAATGCTTGGCAAAGCGGCTCTCAGCCTTCATTAGTTGAGTCTGCCATGTACCTTCCGATTAAGGGATTTGTACAGGACGTTAAATGTCTACAGAATTCTGAAGAGCGTAATGAGCTTGTCTCACAGTTTAATACACCTCCTCCCAGTTTTGCTGTTCTTACAAACACAGGTGTTTACATCATTGTTCATCGTCGACCCGTTGACATTCTTGCTTCTGCTATTCGTATGGGACCCTCTTCTTCTTCCGGAATCGACGGACAAGTCCAAATGTTTTTCGAAAGTGTTGGACGTGCTGAGGGTTGTGCCACTTGTTTGGGTATCATTAGCGGTCGTCTTGATCAAAACGATTTTAGTGCTAGCAGTGCTAACTTTGCTGGCCCTACCACAAAGTTGACTCAAGCTGATCTCTTGGAAATTGCTAAAAAATATTTCATTGAATTTGGCGGTAAAGCTTTTATTGACCAGTCTCGCTATAACAACCAGTATGATGCCTCTTCCTTCGAACTTGTACGTCTATCAGGTTGTCATGACGGCCTTGCTTCTTCTATTTCACGTTTGATACGTACAATTTGGAAAAAACCGGTTATGATAACCGTGGCCAATTCGAAAAACCAAGTCAACTATGCACCTTCTTTTAAAGCTGACGAATTGCTGAAAATTCAATCTGGCTTACTTTCTCTATCCAACTTTTTAGAAAGCAACAAAAGTTTTATTGAAGGCCTAAATGGTACTGATTCCTTAGTCGGATCTTCTAATATGGGAGAAGAAATTGCTGTGCAAGCAGAACACAGAGCTTTATCAGCGTTAATGTTGGTTCTTCAGCAAGTGATTGAAGGAATATCTTTCCTTTTATTCCTCAACGAAAGTGATGTTTCTGATCTTAATGCAATTACTTCCTCAATATCTCCTGAATCTCGAAGCTTATGCTCAAAGCTAACGTTCGGTGAATTTTTTACATCTAAAAATGGTAGAGAGGTGACGAAAGAGCTCGTTAATGCCTTGGTCAACAAGCACCTTCAAGCTGGTGGTAATATTGATTTGGTAAGCCAATTATTACGAAAGAGATGTGGAAGTTTCTGTAGTGCAGATGATGTGCTTGTTTTTAAGGCTGTAGAGTCTTTGAAAAAAGCTAAAGAAACCGTTGATATTGAAGATCGCCAATCTTTAGTCGAACTTTCTTACAATCTTTTCAAAAAATCGGCTCATGTTTTTACTCCCGAAGATCTTCGGTTGGCTGTCGAAGAATACAAGTATTTAAATTCTTATGTGTCTGCGGTCAATTTAGCACTACATGTAGCAAGTGCTCGTGACGACAAGGATCAAGCTCTTTCATATCTTATTGATGGTATGCCACAAAATGATACCCGTGCTGATGTCTTTGCAAATCGTTCTAAATGTTATCAATATGTGTTCCAGATTCTTGATGATTTAGAATCCAAATCATCTGAAGAATCTACTCAAACCAAAATGTCTGTTTATAGTGCATTACAGCAATCAAAAGATGAACTTTTTCATTACTGTTTCTATGACTGGTATGCAAGCAAAGGTTTTGCAGATCGATTGATTGAGATAGATTCACCTTATATTCAAAACTATCTGGAAAGAAACAGCGCAAAAGACGTACAAATTGCAAATTTACTTTGGCAGTTTTACGCTAAGAGAGAAATGTACTATTATGCAGCTATCGTTCTTTATGATTTGGCGACAAGCAATCTTTCTTTAAATCTTGAACAACGAATTGAATATTTAACCCGTGCTAAAGGCTTTGGAAGCTGCCACATTCCGAGCCTTTTGCGCCAGAAAATGAATAAGGTAATGCTTAGTGTGTGTGAACAGCTGGAAGTCGCTAGTATTCAAGATGACCTTTTGATTACCATCCTTAATGATGTAAAAATACCAGCTTCAAAACAACAAGAACTTTCTAGTCAGCTGAATGTTGAAATATTATCACTTACAGAGTTGTTTAATAATTTTGCTGATCCTTTGGGATATGGTGAGATATGTTTGTCTATTTTCCAAAGTGCTGATTATCACGGACTCGCTGAGATCGTTGGTTGTTGGGAATTCATTATTAAAACAACACATGAGAATGCGGTAACTTCACCCATTGGATCTTCTCCAGTGGATTCAGTTGCTTCTACTTTGAAAAATCTCACACTTCGGTTTTCTCAGTTTGAAAATGTTTTCCCTGTAGAGAAGATTGTTGCTCTTGCCGAGAATTATAGTTTTGATCAACAAAGTGAATCTGTATCAACTGGCTGGGTTGTCGATGTTTTTTTAAGTGCTGGTATATCTCATGAATTGATGTTTATTATTTTGAATCAGCTCTATGACCGTAGGGAGAAGCCTTGGCAAGGAAAAGACAGATTACTTTATCTTGTGAAAGAAATCTCACACCTGTTGAAGTTATGGTACGATGTCAGTCTTAAGGCCGGTGTTGCCCAAGCATTTAAGCCAAATTTTGATGCTCCTTTTGTTCTTGAAGCCATTGAAAAATATAAGGCTGTTTTAACTGATCCTAAATCTACGAACTGTAAAGAAGAATTACAATCTTTGGAGTCAGCAATCCGCCAAACTTACTAAAATTAAATGGTTAGATTCTAAGTCTCAGCTAAGATCTCTTACTATATATAGAATTCAAGATAGTCAGAATATTTACGATGTTTTCGGGTAAAACTTAATAGAATTTGTGTCCAGGGTTTATGAGGTGTTATAATCGTAGCTACAGTGATAAATCTAAATAACCCAAAACGTATATTTTTTCTCTTACCAATGACTATTTCAACACCTGAATACTGTTAGTAAAAAAATAAAGATGAGGGAAGCACGCTTACATTCTGTAAGATAATTCTTCAGAAACAACTTCTCTTTCTTCGTCTTTAGGTATAAAATTGTAGGAGATATCGATGTCTAATTCACGGTGATTTCTTTCGGCAGGCTTGCAGGAGATTGTACCACGAATATATTCACCATTCTAAAGGGTATAAGGTTAATTATTGTTCCACATAAGAATGGGTGGGTAGACATACCTTGACAGTTAAATCTTTGTGAGTGTAGAAAACAGTTTGTTTCCAATGGGTGTAACGAGAGAAAGGTCCGGTACTGAAAGATAAAGGCTTGTGACAAGCAGAAAATTCTACGTCGAACCAAGCCAAAAAAGCATGAACATAGTCATTACGAGTTGCGGTAATTTCAAAAGGGGAAGAGAAAGAAAGCTCTTCTTTTTTAACAGTGGTAAGATCAATACTAAGAATCTCACAGCTATTCGTGTTTACAGCAATTCGATCAACATTGTCGACTAAGGGCTCTTTCCATACATCGCGTTTGATAGGGGAAAAGTCGAATCCATAAACATCATCCCAAACTGTTTGGTTAATCAAACGAACATAAAAAAAGTCAACATACATCCAATTTTTTCTTCTTTATACTCTGCATCTTCGATAGCGGCAATCAAGAGCTTGGCACGATCAGGAAACATGAGTCCTCCAGGAGCAAGGTAACGGTCTCTAGCCAGCAAAACAGTATCAAGCATACTCTCGTAAAGTAAAAAATAACCCATCCACTCGGAGACAATGATGTCTACCTTCTCTACTGGCAACTGGATATCCTCCATTTTGCCTTTTATAACGGTGATGCGATCACTAAGCTTGTTGATGTTCACAATTTCTCTGGCTTTATGAATAATTTCACTCATATCAATCTACACGATAAAGTTAGAAACTTCCTGGTATATGTAATAAGAAGTTTTGCTTACGCCGTAAACATGTTTTGCACCAGCTCTAGCACAAAACATGGATAAGATGCCTGTTCCACAGCCCACCTAAAAAGTGTTAAAAAAAAGGAAGACTCAAAAATCCATACATCGAGGACGACTTTGTCGCGAAACAAATGGGGATTTTGCATAATAGCATCGCGGTACGAGAGAGTGCGGACATCGTCCTTGAGCATCTCTTCGTGAATTCCCCAGTGAGAATAGCTACTCGTTTAGTATGTAAACTTTCGGAAGAGAGGAAGTAAACAAGGTAATCTGACAAATTCTGTCTCACTAGAGGAGAGAAAAATTCGACAATTTCATCCGCCAAAGTATAGCTTACCTATCAAAATAATCTAATAGCAGTTAGTAAATTTTCTCAGACTCTAATTTCAAGAATAATTGCACTAAGCTTTCGCTGAATGTCAATACAGGAGACGAAAGTATGAAGAAACATCCACGCAACAACATGAAAAGACAAGCAAAAAATTATAAGCAGCTTGTTTTGTTATCAAAGATGCACCAAGCGTTGTCGTCACCTATAAAGACATAGATGAAGATGGAATTGACATCAGCTTAAGATGCTGACTTTCCCAATTCACGAAAAGTTCTGCCAATTTTTCTTTCAGTGCTTTATTACATACAATCCTATTTTTCAGTTAGCTTTATTCCAGAGTACTCAAATTGCATTTAAACTATACAATCCATGCTAAACAATTCTTCTTACCTGGGCAGTTAGGCCATTCTCTTGTTGTTGAGCTTCTTGCTGGCTCATGATTAATCAATGAAAACGATAGAAGATAAAAAAAACTTTATAAAAGTACGATAATGAAACGAATATTCGTTTTTTTACCGTCAAAGGTTCCTGGTAGATCTCTAAGTAAAGAGAGCCTTCTTGGCAATGTTACCTTATGGGTGCTACCCTAAGGAAATGGAACGTGGTTTCTATTCAAACGAAAACCAGTCCCTACCCTACCCTAATCAAAAACGCCGTCACGATGTATGGAAACAAACGTTTGGGAGCTGGGCAGAGAAACTTGTGCACAAAACCTCTCACAATGGTCAACACTAAGAAGAGCGCTATCAACCAAGTTGTCACTCGTGACTACACGATTCATATGCACAAGAGACTTTATGGTGTCTCTTTCAAGAAGCGTGCTCCTCGTGCCATCAAGGAGATTGTTGCATTTGCCCAAAAGCACATGGTATGTCTGAAACGTTGAAGATAGAAGAGATTGGGAAATAAACAAAATGAAAGAAATTTCTTTCTGCTTGTTCTATCTATAAGTCTGTCTTTGAAAAAAAAAATCAAATTTCTCCCGGTCACTAACTGATGAATAGCAAACTAAGGAAGTGCGTGTTGACCCCTCTTTGAACAAGGAGGTCTGGAAGCAAGGCATCAAAAGTGTCCCTCGCCGTCTCCGTCTCCGTCTCTCTCGCAAGCGTAGTGATGAGGACGATAAGGCTCTTTACACTCTTGTTCAGGCCGTTGACGTTGCTAACCCCAAGATGGAGACCGCCGTTGTTGAGGAATAAAATGTGTGCGTTAAATAGCGCGGTTTTTGATTATCTGTTCACGTTCCATTGGGTTGAATCTAATAGCGGATTTCATTAGCTGATTCTTTTCTGTAGTAACAGTAACAGTAATAGTAATGTAGGTTTTCATGTCCTTCCAGTATCCATAAAAAGTTACAGAACAAGTTTAACAATGATTTAATAAGTTCCTCTGTGAATTTAATATATTGGTAAGGTTGTTAACGTATGGTAGTGGTAGTGTATATAAAGCATGAATGTTTGAGAGTGTTGTTATGTTAAACAGAAGCCTTTTATTTCCATGACGGTTAATTCTTTTTTTTTTTTGGAAGGACATTTTTATAAGTAAGAAAAGACTTGGAAACCAAGATATTAAGACCTACAAAAATAGGCTTCATACAGGAATGCATTTGCTTTCCTAGTGTGATTTATTCAAGTAGGTCGGTTTTTTCTCTTAAAAATTGGTTTTTTCATAAATATAAACGAAGATAGACTTTTCCTATGGCCTTACAAATGAAACTTGTAGAGTCCCTTCTGCAAGGTCACTTCCTTCTTCATCCAAACCTTGAAGCTTTCGTTTATAGAAGCGTCCGCTCCTTTTTTTGTATATAGTTAACTTTGCTTATATTTTTTATGTATGCAGAGAAGAAATTTCTCACATCCTCCTACAAAGTAAGGTATCATGGAAGCAAAACGAGATTTTGAGCAATTGCAACCCATAATTGAGCAAGAGTCCCAGGCGAAAGAGGATACTGTTCTAAAGCCATGGTCCTTTCGTCATCCATGGGCTTCGCTGGTAATTGCCGTTGGTTTATTGGTAATCTCTTGGTATGTGAATTCTGTTATAAGAGTGTTTGTTGAAAGGATTGAACAGCTAATTCGTATAGGTATGCATCTTCTTTGCTTCTATCTATGATGAACAAATGGGTTTTTTCCAAAGATAAACTCGATTTTCAATTTCCCTTGTTCCTCAGCAGCATTCATATGCTCATCCAGTTTGCGTTTTCCAAACTGACGTTGCTAGCACTTCCACAATACCGACCGAAAACACAAACTAGCATCAGTTGGAAAGAGTATCTTTTTCGATCAGGTATTTGTGCTCTCGTCACGAGTCTGGACATTGGTCTTGGCAACACTTCTTTAGAAACTATTACTTTGTCCTTTTACACGATGTGCCGTTCCTCCATTTTGGTATTTGTATTTATTTTTTCGGTTCTTTTTCGCATTGAGCAGTTTGACTGGATCCTTTTGTGCATTACATTCATTATCACTGGCGGTGTCATCCTTATGGTCGCAACTGAAACTCAATTTGTGTTTTCTGGTTTTCTGTTTGTGATGGCCTCGTCAATTATGTCTGGTCTTCGATGGGCGTTAACGCAAAAGCTCTTGCTTGACCATCCATTTACATCCAATCCTTTTACGTCTCTTAGTGCTCTCACCCCTCTCAACTTTTGTTTTTTATTTTTAGCAGGTTTAATTTTAGAAGGACCAAAACAGTTTGTGACTTCTGGAATTTGGAAGCAACAAGGCCCCTTTATGTCCGTTGTTTTGATTGTTCCCGGCACGCTTGCTTTTTTCATGATTGCTTCAGAATTTGGACTCATCAAAAAGACAAGTGTGGTTACTCTCAGTGTCTGTGGTATACTAAAGGAAATTATCACCATTGTTGTATCCACGTTCTTTTATCATGATATTTTATTGCCTATTAATATCATTGGATTGGTTATTACACTGGTTGGTATTGCAGTCTATAATTATTATCGCATTGCTTTTACCAAAACTCCTGCTCCCCAACAAGAAACCGAATATATAGCTCTCCACGAGCGTGTGTAATTTGTAAAAATTACTTTGAATTTATTTATGATTTCTTTTTTTTTATTCTTTTTATTGCTTTCACCCTCTTAATTCTTCTCCACTCATAATGTTTAGCGGTTTTGGTTATCTTTCTTTGCGTGGACGCTAATTGTTGTTTTATTAATTCTAAAAACGTTCTTTTCAATCTCAAGCTTTGCGTTTCATCGTGAATAAGTAAAGGAAATTTAGAAAGCAAAGTTCCCTGCTTAATGAACAACATAACGAATAGGATTACTTTACACAATCCAACATGACCTATTACATTATGTCTCGAGTTTATGTTATGTTATTAATTCAATGTAATGAATTCAATTTTGAACTAGACTAATACTTTGCATGTTCCTTCAACCAGTTTTGGAGGTTTATTTATCTATTTTTTCAAAAGAATGGGGCACAAAAATTGGCTCATAACTTCAATTGATCTGTTTTATTCCATAAAATTTATGCTACAAGTATGCAAGATTTTGTAAGGATGCATACGTTGTGAGTACCTGTACGATTGGGTTTGTAACATTCCAAGAAGAGTTCATTTTTATCTATTTTTTCTAATTATGCTTAGTAAATGTAAATGTATAGAAAGAATCAAAGGTTCCTAAAGTTTTCATTTGGTTCACCAAATCCTATCTAAAAGAATGGCAAATATTGAATTCAATTGACGATTCTTCGACTAAATATGTAACATAAGTCAAAAAAAAAAATTTAGTAACTCAGGTATTCTTTTATTTCACAAACCGAACGGTTTCCAAAATCAATTTCTTTAATTATTGCATTTTTCAATTTTATTTACCTTTTCAAAAGTAAACAAACAAACCGACCTTTGGGGTAACAATACAAAGGCAACAATGAACACTTTTGTATCGAAAGGAAATAAACTTTACTTACTCATTACGCCACCTTATATACAATTGACTAGCTCACTAAACAGAATAGGGTTAGAAAAGGTACTATCGGTATTTTGTAATTTCTGCCAATTTCGACTTCGAAAGGAATTGGACTCTTCTCCTCCAAAGTGTATTAGTTTCGTCTTGGATTTTTGTATTTATTTGTTGTTTATTTTTGATTAAAAACCATTACGACTTCATAAGAACCTTTTCGCTTGAATTGCCGTTGAAAATCTGACACTTTGTTTTGTAGGAAAAGCTCACATTACTGCTCGATCAATACGTGTATTCTTTGGTCCTCCTTGTTTATGCGGAAATGTCACGCGGAAAAACGACGGTCGTAAGGAAATCTGGTGGCCAGGTTTGGGAAGATCCTACTTTACTCGAATGGGATCCTAATCACTTTCGTCTTTTTGTAGGAAATTTAGGAAACGACGTTACGGACGACACTTTGAGAAATGCATTCCTTGAATACCCATCACTAGCGAAAACAAAGGTTGTCCGTGATCGTGAAGGAAAAACACGCGGGTTTGGCTTTGTTTCCTTTCGAGACCCTGATCACTTTCTACGAGCTTGGAGAGAGAAGAATGGGAGATACATTGGCAGTCGTCCTGTTAAATTAAGGTATGAAAGCTTGCTCGAAGATTACAAGACTCTTCCAATATTTTGTTGGTGAAGCTACTTGCATTTTTTTTTTTTTAAAAGTTCTACTTGTGATCTTGTATTGACTTTACTAACACATTTTACAGTCGCGCAAACTCTGATGTTACACCGGCGGATGTCAGCGACACGACATTAGATTCCAAAATTCGTAATTCATTGTATTCTAGGACAAAATACCATAGCAATCGGATCATTAAAAAGAAGAAAGAAAAACGTTCATCAAAGTCATCAAATCAGGCCGCAGCAGCAGCAGCAGAACTCATGGCTTCTTCCGCAGCTCCCATCACGCAAACGGGCTCATCTTCTGCTGTCCATCATAAGAACACCCACCCCTCTTCAAGGATGGAGTCCTATTCCAAACGGGACTAAGATTGATAGAGCTAATTAATCTCGGTTTGTTGCATACACAATTTGCTTCTCGGGCATGCTAAGAGCTTCGTACACGGCGTCATAAGTTTCCTTTGTAGCCACTTGCTCCATCAACTTCAAGGCCCAAATCAAAGCGGTACCAGGACCCATAGAAGTAATCAAGTTGTTTTCGACGACAACTGGTTGTGGCACATATCGAAAGCCAGACTCTTCCAAATCCTTGCGGACAGAAGGGTGACCAGTGATTTCAGTAGCAGAAAGACCAGTCGTCTTGGCTGCCAAAGTGCCGGCACAAATCATACCGATGACCTTACCGGACTTCTTCCAATAAGAAGTAACGAGCTTCTTTACAAATTCGTCAGTGGAAAGGGTCTTCGCGCCCTTCATACCACCTGGAATGATGATAACGTCGTAATGAGAAGCAAACTCCTCAACACTCTTAAACTCTTTCAATGAGCGCTTTGCGTAGAGTTGGACGCCACGAGACATCGTGACTAGCTTCTCGGGATTTTCACCCACATAGACGCTGTCAATAGGAATTTGAGCTCTGGTGAAAACACCCCAGGGAGCTGAAAATTCAATTTCATCATTTCCGTCAGCAACAAAAAGACATACGTTCACCATTTTTGATACTGTTGTTTATTCGACTATGAAATCTCTTTCTCTTAGATTACAGTGGTTTGCTGTTGGTAAATCTGTAGCACATGTCCCTCCTACTTATATGCTCATCCTGTCAACATACTCAGGTCATAATTCACGTCAAAATGCTGTACCCCAGGTAGGGGAAAAGCTTCGACTTTTTTCGATGAGTATTCTTATAAGAAGTTATTACTATATTTATATATGAGTCGTAACGTCATATGTAACAATGTTACTTGGTTTGTTTATTTACAGAATTTTTTCTTTTTCTGGCATCACTAATGAATAAAAGAGATTGGAATAAAATAACTGAGAAAGAAATAAAAAATAGCTTTGTAAGTTTAAATAAAATACCAAATTCGTGCATTCTATGATACAGTCGGGGTTGTATACTGAATCTTTGCTTTCGTGTTTGTGCGATAAAATTTGCCCAGTATCTGCAAACAGTTGTCTCCCTCGAGTTAAATCCTGTTCGGAATGGATATTTTTTTCTTGATATTCCTGTTCAAAGCTCTTTTTTCGAAAAGGTAACTTCCTTCAACATCGATTACTCGTTAATATGATGCTTAATAAGATTTTCCTTAAAGTAGTATGATGATTATTCATTCGAACTTGTTCACTTAACCATTGCCATACTCAAACGAGCAACCCATTTTAGCAGGATTCCTTTTTATTTCAGAACCACTCGATAAGCTTGAGTCATTTTATCGTCAAAGATTCGCCATGGTGCAAGTACGTGCACGGGTGCTGTTCATGTATATCATCTCTAACTCGGTTGGTTTGTAGGTAGAATTTTTAGTGAGAGATTGCACAGTGGATGTAAGAAGTTCTATAGAAGAAGAATGCAAAAACTTGCAAATTGACGAATGGAAATGGGACGACACGCTCGGGCAATTAATTGTGAAAAGTTCACGTACGGCAAATTTCGGTCTTTAAAGATCAAAAGGGTTGTCTAACTTTATTTTTTTGTAGTTCCCCCTTCTGAAATTCTTCATCATTTGGAAAAAGTTACTTCCAAGCCCATTTTGATTCGCGGTGCTAGTTCCCAAAAAGAGTCCGGAGTCTGTATTCTCTACGACAATACAGAAGACCTATCTTCAGTTCCAAAAGTCTACGGTTTATGCAGATTTATTCCCACTGAGGACCGAGTTTACTTGGATTTGGTCGCAACCCAATTAGAACCCAATACCGAGTACATCGCTGAAGTTGCCGTTTCGGGTGACATTTCTCATGGACTGAAGTCTGTAGGTGGGTCTTTTGCTACCCTCGTATCTGTTCCTTCGAATGAGACTGGAAAAATTGCTCTCGCTCAAGAAGTCGATGGAAACTTGGAAGACTGGATAGGTCGAGCATTCGTATTGAAAGCCTCTAAAGATTCCTTCAATGGCGTCCTGGGAATCGTTTCCCGTAGTGCTGGTGTTGGTCAGAATACCAAAGTCATTTGCGCTTGTTCCGGTAAGAGCTTGTGGGAGGAGCATGCTGAGTTGCATCCCTCTTCTTCTGAAAAGTCTTGCTGCAAGAACGATGTTCCAAAAAAAAAGTGCTGTTGCTAAAAACACTGCATCTACCAAAAGTTCTGCTGCTGTGAACGAAAATTATGTATACACATCAACAGATTGGTTGAATAAATGATTATAGGAAATAGAAATTATAAACCAGCTTTCTTCCGACATAGCAAATCTTAGGAGATGTGAATGTTGCAATATTTGTCTTTTCATTGGTTGTCTATGAATAATACTCTTTTGTGTTAATTTAGAAAATTTGGAAATAAAAAGGACCATTTTTTTATTATCTGATAAAGAAAGAAAGAACAAACAGGTATTCATATAGCAAATGGATTTTGTCTAGTAAATGCGTAAAATTCTAGAAAGGGGCATGAATGAAACGATGACAGTAAGCGTTTCATCAAATAAAGTATATCATGTACAATCCTAAATCATACTCTCATTTCAACAGGGGCAAGGTATCCATAACTTGAGAGCAACTATAAGATTGCTCCAAAATCAAATTCCGCTTTTGCGGATGTCTTCATTGAATGTTTAACACGGAGCCTTTTCAACTTCATACCGTTTCAACGTGGAAAACTCAAGGATTCATAGAAATATTCCTCAAGACTGTATCTATACATAAACCAATGCGTGTAAAAGAAATAACAAAAAAGATCCCAGACATAGTTGCGTTTTGATCTACGTTTTTCAATCAAAAAAAAAGAGAATTAGCGCTCAGTCAGGAACATTACATCTAACGGGAACTAAAACGTCTTTTACCAATATCGAAGGGCACATAGCGGTATTTCAACATGTGCTGTAGCTGCCTGCGGAAGCAAAAGAACGACAGGACAAAGTAGTACACAACAAGGACGGGCCAGAATACCGGAATATCAAAAATTCGAAACATGCTAGCCGCTAAGGCCATAACGGTAGCACGAGTACTGGAATACCAAAATTTGAACTCTGGTAAGCGACGAATGAAGGGACGGAATTCATCATCTTTCGTAGTAGGCAAAACACCTTCTTCTGTCTCTTCATCTCGCATAGCCTGTTCAAGGCTGGGATCAAATTTGGGGGATAAGAAAAGCAAGAACAGATTCAGCAAATAAATACCGAGTGTGTAGCAGACGATATACCAACCACGAACTATCAGAATACGGATAACAAACACAGATAAAAGTCCAGCGAAAGACATCCATCTTTGATTTGTAAATGGAATCGTGCGATCCACCCAGAACTGGTATTGCTAACCAGAGTTAGTATTTTCTGTTCCAAAATACTTTTATTCAAAGAACTTACCCTCCCTAAAGCACTCCTCCTTTCTTGGACATTTTCAAATGCATTTTGTATCGACTCCATATCCAGATTTTTATACAAACTCCTTTTTCTGCTGTTTGTTGCAGATAAGTTTGTTTTTGTGAATTCCAGCTCGTTTGTGGGATAGGGAGCCGTTGACCAAACCCTTTGGATTCGTTTTACTGCATTATTTCCAATAGCGTGATGCAACATTACAATAGGTAGTAAACAAATACATATGGGATTTTTTTTAATTTCGTAACAAAAAAGAAAAGCAGACGAAGCATTGCCATGAGTCCTATTACTATATACAGAGATAAAAACTTGTTAAAATGAACGCGAATTGTAGGATGGTCCATGCTTTCTGGCACTATAAAGATTTAGCGTTACAAAACTTACTATTGAACGAGGTCAGTAGCAAAAATAAAACAAAAGGAAAAAAAGAAAACGAAAACTCATGAACTTTTGTCATGTTGTATTGCCATTAATAAGGTAGACACTTTTTTTAGGGACAGAGGCTAAAAAAACTACTACAACATAAAGACACTAGATAGTGAAAGTAGAGATGCAAATATATATATATATATATATATGTTTTTTGTGAGTGCCAAAGATGAAAAAACTTCCTCGGCCTCAATAATAATTAGCAGCAAATGTATCAACCAATTCGAGAACCAGGGCCGCATTACAATGCTAATAAAAAAGAACGAATAAAACAGAAATACACAAATAAAAAGAAAAATGTTCAAAGCAGATATAACAAAACACCTCTTCATCGAATATATATAGAAGAACGAAATCAAACGAATATGTAAAGATAAATGGAAGAAATAGAAAGAGACCGATACCCAAAGATCATACTACACGCTCAAGATATTCATTCCAGAGTTCTTCACAACGGTTATCAACCCAACAACCAGCTAAATGAATCACCAAGTGACCATGCTTCCACCCCATGTCCGGCCATCCAACAGGATAAGAATTGATCATCGTCTGAGGGAGAAGCCCAATAATAGCAGCAATTTCCGGGTGGTAGCGAACAAAATAGCCAAGGAGGGCCTGCTCGTGTTCCGCTACATCATTTTCACGGAAAGACTTATCATGCCAAAGGTCCAAAAAGAGGGCCATCATGGGTGACCTGCGTACGAAAAAGCTCCCAGCATTCAAGCCATTTAAGTCTTGAGAAATTAAAAGACCCAATGTATTAACCATTTCTAAAGAGTACTCTTCAGGAGTCATCCGTTCGAGATCTTTGCTAAACGGAGAACGCATTGGCGTATTTTTGAGCAAAACCTCCTGCAACCTCCTTGGTGAAAGAATGTGCTCTTGTAGAGAGAGAGAGGTATTGAGGATCAATGCATCTTGATCAAGCCACCAAATCCACTTTGCTTGGGGATGCTTAATCATTGTTTGCAAGATTGCGGGCATTTTGGCCCATACGGGAGGGACGCTCATCTGTGATACATTTACGTATTCAAATACATAGTTGTGAGCTTTAGCATAATGAATTCGATTTTCAATGCATTGCTCAAACATATGGGGGATTTTCCCGCCGCTGGACTGTCCATCACTTGCCAGGAGAATCACAATTTCATGAGATTTTGGTTCTTGTGGGTCAGACTGACGATACTCAGCTTCATGATAGGTGATACTCTCTCCCCTCAAGTCTTGATCCAGGGGAACAACGTAGTCTTTATACGAGGAAGTAGAAGGTTGACTGAAGTAATTTTGCAGCTGGTTCAATCCATCTGAGGTGGTGAATTGATTATGAAAAACAGTAAAATAAAAAACGAATGCCAAGAGGATGACGAAAAGAAGAAAGCAGACTCTGGACAACCGCCATTGAATTTGTGCCATTTTATTCTGTTTTCATAGGATGATAGCACAAGGTCAATTAGGAAATGGCCCTTTCTGTCTGAAGGGGAAAACTTGAGAACTGTTGTTTAAAAAAAAAAACAAATAACCAAGAATTAGTTTGTTTTGGGAACAAAAGCAATTTTTAGAAGCTCTACGTGACGAAAATGAAAAGCAGGCAAAGGGTGTATTTATCACTATATGTTGGTTTTGGTCCCTTTCTAGTGAATGCGACAAAATTTCGCTTACTGTAAACAGATCAGCAAGAAAAAAATTTAAGTTTTATGAAAGAAGAAATAAAGAGGGAGAAAAATAAATGGTAGTTCAAGATAGAAATCCACAGCTTCGTCTTGGGCTCATATAGGTTAGAATAGGAATGATGAGTCAATGACTTGTCTTACAGTCACGATCATCAAGTTTAGAGAAATTCAGATGAATAATATAAAAGACCTAAGAGACTAAAAGAATCTGTGTTGGAGGGTTTTAGTTGTGTGTTGTTTGTCGTATTGACATCTTGAATTATCTGAATCTTTCAATCTAGGTGATGCACAATTTAAACCATTTTTATTTATTTTTCCTTATTTTTTTAAATTATAATGAATAGAAAAATCGTTGAATCTCATTTGCATTTGCATATCCAGTTCTTTTTATTTATTTACTTTTTGGTAGAATGACCAAAGAACGGTAAAAAACCATCCAAGAACAATTGATGAAATTAAAGCAGAAAAAGAAGATAGCTTCGAGTATTGTTTTCTCCTTAAAACCTTTCAGTGCTAGTCACCTTTGTAGCAGGAATCGTCCATTTCGTTGTAATGCTTTCGCTTGATTCATATTTTATGACCAAGAGACTTAGCAAGACAGAAGTTTGTTTATTATAATCGTGAAATTCTCCTTTTCTTAATGACTTTAGGAATCTTTAGAATCATAGCAAGTAGTCCTTGAAATTTCCTTTCTGTTTTGTTAGAGTATTAGCTCGCCGACTTTTACATCAAAAGCAGCGAGTTCTTATTATAAAAGCCCGTATTTCTCTTTAAAACGAACGTAATTTCAAACAGCAAATCCTTTCTCCTTTGCTTACAGAAAATACCAAAAACCGACACTTGATTAAAAGCAGCTGCTTCACATGCTGAATGCCATTTTCTTTTTGTTCTTTACTTTTTCTTGAAAATGAATCCAACGTTTTGAAGAAACAATCTTGGCTTGCATTTTTGAATTGTATCATATTTGCGTTCCCTCCGACAATAAACAAAAGGATTGTAGAACTTCTGAGGAAATGCAAAGTGTGTGTCATTTTTTAACTTCCAATGTATGAAAGCAAAAAGGATGATGCTCCTACTTAGAAGGTTCCTATCATTCACAAGTCTCTTCCATGGTTTTTCAGAAGAAAACCACTGAATAAAGACCTGGGACATTCAGGACCACAATTCAATAAATCTGAAAGTTTTTGTAAGACTAGAACTACTCGTTCCAATCCTTTTTTTTGATCCCGTAAATAGCAAATACAAGAATCTAAGCTCTCACCATTCGATGTTCTTACGTTTCGAAGCAGGAAATCAGATAATTCCTCAAAGTAGAAAAAAAATTCTCGGCATATCAACATCCTTGTATATTTCCAGCTGAAAGCTGCCACTAGAGATTGTATGTTTTCTTGGAATCAATCTTAGACCAAGCCTTTTCAATACCTCGTTTTCTATTGGGAGCTTTAGTATTTAATTCCATTATACAAAGCTTTTTCATTTTCCCTGGTCCATCACTCTCTCACCTGTTAAAACGGTTGGAAGACTCCAATCCATCAAATCACAGACACACATCAGCGAATTTCTTCCATCCTTTCAGAGTTGTTTCTTTTCTTCCTTTTTTTTACTTTTCTTTGTGAAATTCAACATCTCAATTGTCCTACCTGCCATTCATCTGCTTTTCTTAAAGGAATCCAGAAAGCATCCTCCTTTCTTGTACACACCACCACAACATAGCTAAGAGCTTTCTGCAAAAAGCCAACAAGATGTCGCGTTTCTCAATCGAGGGAAAGACCTTAAAACTTGACACGATCACTAAAGAAGATGAAGAAAACATCTTTTCTGCTCTCATTAAGGATGATGATCTAAAAGAAATTGTGCTTTCAGGAAACACCATCGGTCCTGAGGCTGCTAAATGGCTGGCTGAGATCATTGTAAAAAAGAAAAATTTAGAAGTTGCAGAATTCAGCGACATTTTCACTGGGCGTGTGAAAGACGAAATTCCTGAAGCCCTACGCTGTCTTTTACAAGCACTTCTTCAGTGCCCCAAGGTAAATACTGTCCGTATGAGCGACAATGCTTTTGGTCCTACTGCTCAAGAGCCTTTGGTTCATTTTATTTCCAATCACGCACCTTTAGAACACTTGTATTTGCATAACAACGGACTAGGCCCGGAAGCTGGCTCGAAAATTGCTCGTGCTTTGCAAGAGTTAGCCCGCGTAAAGAAGGAAACTCAAGCCAATCCTCTTCGATCAATAATTTGTGGTCGTAATCGTCTCGAAAATGGCAGTATGAAGGATTGGGCCGCCGCAGTTCATGCTCACAGCGGTCTCCATACCGTAAGAATGGTTCAAAACGGAATACGCCCTGAAGGTATTGAACATTTGTTAGTTGAAGGTCTTTCTTATTGCTCTGAACTTCGTATCCTTGATCTCCAAGACAACACCTTCACCCAACAAGGATCTAGTGCCTTGGCCCTGAGTCTTAGCAAATGGCCTCAACTTTGTGAACTAGGACTTAATGACTGCTTACTGTCTAATCACGGAGCCACCGCTATTGTAGATTCTCTGTCAAATCTAAAAAGCATCGGCTTGCAAGCCTTGCGCTTACAGTACAACGAGATCGAAGTAGAAGTTGTCCGTGCTTTGAAGTCTGTTATTGAGGAAAAAATTCCTGATATCTTGTTTTTGGAGCTCAACGGTAATCGCTTCTCGGAAGATGACGACGTCGTCGATGAGCTTCGTGAACTTTTTAGCAATCGGGGCCATGGTGAACTGGATGAACTAGACGATATGGAAGAATTGACGGATGAGGAAGAAGAAGAAGAAGAGGAGGAAGAGGAAGAGGGGGAAGAAAAAGAAGCTGAAGGTCCCGAAGAGAAAGCTAGAGATGTTACAGATGATGAAAATCTTGCTGAAGAACTTTCCAAAGCTCATATCTAATATCGGAGGCTTTTCCCAAAAAAATCTTTATGCGGATATGCTGTAAACATGCACATTTCATTCAGTAATTTGACCATAAAGGGTAAAGGTGGACTTACGAATGCCGCAGAAGTTATAATTGTACTTTTAACACCATTTAATTAAAGCTTCTTGAAACACCTCTACTTAGTCTCATATGTATCTTTACGCTGTTAATTTAGACTAATGGAATTGGAATCGTTTTGGAACAACATGGTAGGATTAAATAAAGGAGGTATAAGCATGAAAAGAATACAAACGGAATAAAGAGTACTCTAGGATGAACTCTAGCTTTTATGTAGTTGCCTTACAAGCAAAACTGAAAAAGACTATACACAACAACGGCCATACGTCCGTATTAGCGTCATAAAAATTCATTTTGTTGAAAGAATAAATTGTATTTCTTATTGGTTCGTCTTGTATCTCAAATTTACAGCTTTCACATTTTTTTTTTTTTTTTTTTTTTTTTTTTTTTCACGCTTTCAAAACGTTGTCTTACACCAAAAGCACTTTTCAATGTCTCTTTATGGGTAAGCCAAGCAAAAACACAGTCTATAATTCGGTACATCGATTACCAAACCCATATGAAAGGCTTCCAATAAATTTAATATATGATTTTGCTTTGCCTTTATCAGAACATTTACCGGATTCTGTATGAGTGCTAACACAACTGGGAAGTGCGTTCTAACAACATATAGGATTTGATCCATAGTCTTCAGGACTTTGCAGCGGAGTATATGATCGCAACAGGCAAAAAATCGCTTGAATCCATGGACGAAACTGCACTTTTAGGACTTGGTTGTTTAGTTACTGAGTGGATGAACGCTATGGTTTCTGAATGTTTAGAAGAATTTGAAGAGAAAGGAGAAGAGTAACGAATTTAGAATGATCTTAATGCTTGCCGTATCGCTGTTGAAACATGAGAAATTCAATGTCTCCCATACTGGATACCATTGAAGAAATTAGAATGGTAAAGATCGTTTCTCTAGTTAAAGGAAATAAACGATTAAAGTATTCTTAGTTTCTTTGTTATATCTCGCATGGACACACTTGTTATTTCAATTGCATTCCTTCGATACCAGTACAGATTCGTAATAAAAAGTGATTCACAACATCTAGGATAGAAATAGCAGGGATTAACTAGTTCATATTGAACAATAATAAAAAAACATTAACGCTTCACAAGAAGATTCCTCTCTTCCACTTGTTTCATTCAATCCTTACACTATAGGTACACGATATGATATTCTTTCAATAACCAAAAATGTATTAAATTAAGAAATATTAAAAACAAAGATCTACAAAAATGAACAAATTTTATGAAATAATAAAGAGCGAATCAGACGAGCTACACGTCAGGAATTTCTTGAGCAGGCATCGGAACCGGAGACAGATTAAAAAACGAACAAATCCAAACCCATATTACAGATAACAAAACAAATGCAAGTAGTAGGAAAAACATTGTGAAAGCCAGCATCTCTCTATACGATGTTTCTAAAACGGTTGGTATGAAAGGAGTAAAGGAAGGAACAGTAAAAGGACTTGAGGTGGTGGAAGTAGCGGTAGGAGAAACTATATGAGAAGTAAAAGAAGTAGATAGTGGGATGGGTGTAGTACTCGTTGAGTTGGGCTGTTTCTCTGTAAACGTTCCCAGTGCCCCTTCTGAGGGAAGATTTAAAGTGTCATACGGGATAGCTATAGTCAAGGAAGGATCTCGAGATTCACCCCAGAAAGCCAACTGCCAATAATTGAAACGTCCAGAACAACCATTGCTATGATCACGGACGATAAGCTTCCAACTTCCTAAAATGGGTTCTGACCAATGTTGAACAGTCATAAACGTCCATTCAGGAAATCCTTCATTATTTTGATCGTAAGGACGAAGACTAGCTAACATAGATCTAATACCAGCAGGACTTTCTAGTTCAATTGTCATTGCACCTCGACAGGTAAATGGAATTGAAACTTTAATGGTTATTTGTTCCACACCCTTAAAATTACTTTTTTCAATCATTTCTTCCGTTACTACATACTCACTGATCAACTCACTGTCGGATAGGTTTTCTGCTTTATTAATCGACTTATCGACCACGATCTGTGGACTTACAAGCCAAGTTTGGGGATTAACAAGTTGCCAATCGCTTGCGGTTTCAATAAACCGCTTCGCATCGAGTTTTCCAAAACCAAATTTGTGAGAAAATTTGAATCCAGCAGGAGTCTTTGTCCACTCAACATTCGAGGGACTATCAAATGGGATTGCCGAATGCACAGTAATATGCTGTATATCCCTCCAAGTTAGATCTGGTCGAATTGATAAAGCTAAGGCGTAGACAGCAGAAGCAAGCGGAGCAGCTGCAGATGTTCCTCCGTGACTTTTCGTGCAGGTCCCCTCTGGATTCGTTGTTGCGATCGAGTGATGAGAGCCACTACTGTAGGCAGAGACAAGCTGGGCAGCACATAGTTCGCTGTAAAAAGGAACTTGATGCTCTATGTCAACAGCGCCCACGGTAACACTGAATATACTGTTTGTGTAACCATCAAAGTTACAGTTGTCACGATAATGGCCGCCATTCCCAGAGGCAAAGACAAAAACAGAACCCAGACCATTTCTTCCGTTAATTACGCCATTCACAAGTGCGCGTCTTGTACCCAAACGAGGTGCTTCCATAGCCCTTCCATCATCTGCAGGACCCCATGAACATGAGTAAATGTGATTCGTCTGAAAACCATAATTTAATGCTTCTGACTCAACCACATCATTAATGGGAGCTGAGAGGATACGCACACCAGCTACTTTGGCTTTTGGTGCAATTCCTACACCACAAACATCATTCCAAGAAGCTGCGACTTCTCCTGCACAACGCGTACCGTGTAGGTCATCAGATAATTTAGGTAAGGGGTCAGCCATATTATCATTAAAATCCCAAGAGCCAAGGGAAGTATAAGCCGCTTGCAGATCTGGGTGACGAAAATCTATACCATCGTCAACGAAAGCTACCGTTACGTTCTCTCCTAAAATACCTGCGTCCCAGACTTCTCGCAGGTTCAAATCATGACCAGGCTTTTCATAATTAAGAATGTGCCATTGTTCCGATAAAAGTGGATCATTTAAATGAAAATGATCACGAAAGTCTTCTAGCAACTTTGTAGAATCTGTAGGCTCCTCACGCTTGTATCGCCATCTTGGGATCTGTTGTTCAAAATCCAATACGCCAAGCTCAGCATTTCTTTTTTTCAATGTAGTTTTACTAGAGTCGTTTATATTCAAGGTAAACAGGTGATGATTTTCTAAATTTCGCATAGGGCGAACATAAACAGCACCAATTGCATCAGCCGTTGAATATGGGTCAGATTTGGGATCCAAATGGACCATAAAAACATTGTTTTCGTCAATCTTGGTACCTAAAACCAAAGAAAATTGCCATATTAAGAAAAACAATGGCCCATACAGCAAAGCAAAGAGCATGGCGCTGGGACGGTGAACTGTGGGAGACACCTTTTAGGTATAAGCCCATTCTAAAGTACGGGCATTTTATATAATTTCTATCTAAAAAAGAATGAAAAGATAGTTTTAAAGAATTATCTCATTATTTTTCGCTTTGAAGATGGGCTTTGATGTGAGTTATAATATGCTAGATATCAGGAATGCACTGTATGTAAAGTGATTTCCTAAATAAAAACGACAATAGAATTTACACATATTTCTCAGTCGCTCAATTCCTAGACTCAATACATTGCCTGCAGAAATTAACTTTTACTTGTGATCACTTAATGTTAGTGAAACATTCATAGGCTGATTATTAGAGCAGACTAACAAAAAGTATTATTATGCTAGGCTAGAAACATACTATAGATGAAGGTAAGACAAGACATTCATTGTCGGATCGAGATTGTTTTAGACGAAAGCCGAGGCGTAATTCGTTACAAAAAAATGAAATTTAGCTATGGATAGTTTAGTTATTATAGCAGCAAGAAAACCTCCAATGCTGGCTGTACTTGACTCTTTAAAGCTTCATTCAGGTATAAGGAAATAACGAGGATAGTAGGCCCTGAAATAGAAAGCTCTATGAGGGTATGGGAACGGAATCTATTATTTTGTTCTTTCAAGTCGAATATTTCTAGTTTGAGACGGAATACGAACTCGAATACCATCCAAATCTTTACGTAGAATGACCTGACAACCAAGTCGACTAGTTTCTTCCAGACCGAAAGCAAGATCCAACATATCTTCTTCGTCTTCTTCGGGAGATTCCAAAAGCTCGTAATGTTCAGGATCAACAACGACATGGCACGTGGAGCACGCAACAGATCCTTCACAAGCACCCTCCAAATCAATATTGTTCGCATGGGCCAAGTCCAAAATGCTATCACCTTCATTGCCTTCAATAAGAACTTCACGTCCTTCTGGTGTCACAAAGTAGACTTTTATTCCCGTACCAGGAGCAGGCTTTTGAGCGGCTGAGTGACGCAGCATAGAAAAAGAATGGAAGGATCTTTTTTGATTCAAAACATTAGTAACCGAATCCATATTAGAAGGAGATGAAGATGAAGAGACTGGATTTATCCAACTGCGAACGTTACGGAGAGCAAATTCTGGATACAAACGCTGTAGCAACGACAAGGCGGCGGTAAGTGCAACGAGACTACCAGCTTGATGCAAGACAGCCAACGGGACAGGAACAACATGGATAAGAGTCATAATACCTAAACCAGCCTGGGCCGTCAATACACCGGTAGTTATAGAAACACTTCTAGTTAGCTTCTTTGGTAAAGCCTTCTTCTTTGACTGAACATATAAGAAGATACCACAGGCTGTTAAAAAGGTAGTAACCGCTAAGGCACGATGTTGCAATTGGACGAGACTAGGATTATCTAACATATTACGCCAGTACAAATCCGAGTTATCTTCCTTACGAGAATAACGTGCGTCAAATAGCTCTTCTTTGGTTGGAGCTAAACGTCCTTCACCCATCGTAGGGAAGGTACAGTAGATCATACCGGCATCCAAACCAGCTACAAGAGCTCCAGATAACAGAGTTGTGAGAACAAGGCCTACAAGAGAGAAAGCTCCAAACCTCAAACCCTTCATGGATTTTACGGAAGAAACCATACTATTGACTGTAGAAGATGTTCCATTTTTAAAAGCTTTTAGAAAAGAATGACGCTGAAGAATTCCGTGGCCTGTCCAGATCAATCCCACGTAGAGAGCTACTGCAGCGGCCAAATGCGTGGCTAAGCGATAATGACTAACACGTGGATGAGAGCCATCTTCAAACAATTGTTTGCTTAATCCACTTTTCACCATCCACCAACCAATGACTCCTTGCAAACCAACCAGACCAGTCAACCCAACGAGACGCCTTTTTAGCCATGGCGAGTACTTTCCTCTAGCCAACATGTAGAAGGAAGGAACAGCTATTAACAGTCCAATGCCGCGTCCCAACACTCTATGGAACCATTCCCAAAAGAAGATATGCTTGAACTCATCCACAGTCATGTGGCTATTCAGCTTTTGAAACTCTGGCGATTGCTTGTACAGATCAAACTCTTGATTCCATTGTTCATCAGTAAGGGGAGGGATAACTCCAGTTACTGGTTTCCATTCAGTAATACTTAATCCTGACTCAGTAAGGCGAGTAATACCACCAACAATTACGATGGCAAGCACCAATGCTGAAGATCCCAAAAGCCAAAAGGCGACTTTTTTGCCAGGAATATTTTCAACTTCGGTGAATGCTTGATTCGTCTTCGAGTGCGCATCTGTACCAACGCGTCGACAGGTGTTCAGGGAACCAAAATTGAACGATCTAGTTGCATTCAATTTAAAAGATGTGTTCGACTTGTTAGAAAACGGTTTGCCCAAGGAGACACGAGCTAAAATTGACTTCTGCTGTAAAAAGGATGAGCGGCAAAACGGTCTGGTAGAAAGTCCTTTTCCTGCCAATTGAAGAACGTGTCGGCTTACAGTAGGCCTCGAAAACCACAAAGGATTCATTTAAGCTTAATTTAATCCTTTTCTTGTGGATACTTTTCGATTTTGTGCTGAGTACTCGGTATCGCTTTACGTGATCTGGTGAACGGACCACTAAGCTATTATATAATGTAACATATGAAGCGTACCATTTCCAAACTGTGCATTGGTATCTCTTCTTTTTCTGTGAACCATCCTTGCCTTTCTTTGTACTTACATTTTCTATTTTTGTTTCTTTTTGTCTTTCAATAACTGCTTTTCATGGATTAGAAGCGCGCTTTACAAGAGGATTCCAATCATATAACTTTTCATATAGGATTAATAATAAATGAGAATAACAGATTAATATTAAACTATACTATACAAGAAAAACAAGCTGTGTGGAGCTCTTTCATTGAAAGTCCTGGCAGCAACATTCACAAAAGGAGTTTGAGCTTTATAAACATGTGCGTGTAAATAGCTATAACAAACTCATATAACAAAGCAAAAGTATGTACAAAAATAAAGGAATCATGAAACAACTAAAACGATAGTATCGTGAACAGATAAATGAAGTTCCGTGTAACCAATGAAAAAATCGCCATAACAAAAATACCACAAAAAAAAAAGAATAATAACAAAGCATTAATCCACACCACTAAATTACCCTTATTCCATCAAACCTTTAATCATAAAAACAGGGCTCTCCATTAAGTAGAGGCCGCCGTATTTAGATTAGGAGCCGAGGGAACCTGCCTCTCAGCATTATTGATTCTGCCATTAGAATCTAATTGCTTGCTTTTCAAAGCTTCTTGGCGGCGTTGTCGATATTCAGAAAGAGAAAGCTTTTTTGGTCCAGATGAAGGAGCAGGACCTGGTGGAGGTGCCGGTGGTGTTGAAGTTGGCGGCCCTGGTATTTTCTCTTGTCCATCACTTCGCCTTACTTCTGATTGACCTTGACCTTTCGTATTCTGTTCTAATGTCACGGAATGTACAGTCTCATAATTATCGTGTCTTCGCAATAAACTTTCGGAAAAAGAGGGCACTTCACCCTTGTCCAACAGTTCCGAAGGAGCTGTTTCTAAATGATTGTGCGGCAAAATTCCTTTGGTAGTCATTGATTTTTCCGATCGAATATTAGAGTGATTATTGAGTCCTGAGTGAGTATACTTTGGTGACGAATTGGCTACCACTTTGGTAGATTCAGAAGTACCGTTAGCTACAAGCTTTTCTTTTGTATCACGCAAACCGCTGAAAAAGCTCGATTCCGATTGCTTCATTGTTCTTGGTCTGATTAAACCATCCTCAGACGCTAAAGAATCTGAACCAATATGTGTATTTTCACCAATGGGACTTAACGATAACAAACTCATGCCATCTGTACCAATTGAGTTTCTGGAATGGTCAGCTTTTGGCGGCGACCTAATATGAATTGAGCTTCGCCTTCTTTTCGTTTGCGGACTAGGTTCCGCAGACGCCATTTTTCTTCTGTTATTGTTGATATTGTTATCTACATCAACTTTGTCCTCCTTATTGGAGAGCAAAACAGCTTCTCCTAGTGATTTTCTGCGTTCGGGACTCACTGAGGCATTAAACGAATCATAAATTTTAAAACCGTGAGGCGGAGTCAAGGGTGCGATGTCCGCAGCATTTGGTATGTCACCATCACTATGTTCATATTCTTCCAAACCTTTTCTAGACTGACTACTTTTAGGAGACAAGTCAAGTGTCTGAGGCGTATGAGACATTGAGGGTGATGGAGGCGTAGGGGAAATCGCTTTTGATTCTACCACTTCTATCTTCGCAATATGAGGGTCCGACGCAGTACTATCCTCAACTTCCATTTTTATATTGCTATTGAACTCGCCATTCTCAACTGTCTTGCTGTTCGCGCCAGATATTAGAACATCATTATCGATTTTAGGTTCGACTGTTTCCTTTAACGAAGGAGAGATAGTTCCCAGAGATTGATACTTCGCAAGCCATGATTGTTTTAAAGATTTCACAGATTGCTTTTTGTTCTCTTCAGTAGCTTCTTCTAATGGACTAGACGAAAAATTTCCATGAGATAAAGTGGAAAAGGATGTAGTATTAGAGATGGGAAGCCGAGGTTTCGCATTAGAAGCATAGCGCTGTGGAGACTTCAAAAATCTCAGAATCTTAGAAAATACACAATTACGCTTATCGGCAAAAGCACAATCAGCGTTGGAAGTTATGGAAGAAAGAATGAATAACAGGCGCTCACGTTCTTCCTTTGTAAACGAAGGAATGGGCTCATTATTTGAAAAATATTGAAACGGATGAGCTGCATCAAAAGTCCAATCTACAGTAAGCTCCGACTCTGACTCAATAGGCTTGATAGGCATTAAATAGAAAGTCGGAGTAAAAGAATCGGCTTCATTCAAACAACTAATGACGGTGCAATTCGGTTGGCAACTTCTTCGAATGAATCGAGCCTTAGAACCGGCCACGCGTGCATCGATCACTAAATCAGACTTTTTGTCAAAATAAACATGCGGCTTTGGTACACCAATTAAACAGTACTGATTTTTGGGATCTCTCTTATACTCGTGTTGAGTAAAAATTCTTCCCTTAATTTCGGTGATGGGATAGTCGGGGACTAAATATCTAGAAGTAAACAAGCCAAAGCGACTAGAGCAAAATGATTTCGGTTGAACTGAGGCCACATAGCAGGAATCATCCGTATTTTGACCAATAGCATTAGGCATATCTGAACCAGATAAAGATTTGGCGTATTTTAGGGCTTCAGCGGAATACGTATTAGATGTCAAGGGCACGTATTCTAAATGGGGTGAATATGGAATTGAGGAAGAGTAAACCACGCTTGGGTTTTGGACTTCAGGTAAGGAGGGCGATAAATGACTTAATCTTTTTCGTCTGTTGTTCGTATTTGGAACGTTTGTGGCGTCGACATGAATATTTGGTGGAGGAGGAGCTGACACAAATCCATTCGAAGGGGAAGAGGTACTATGCGGAACTTGATGGGGTGATGATACACTAGACGAAGCATGACGAGAACCAGAATGGCTACGAGCTTTCGCACTATGAGGTCGACGGCGAGAAGCAGCTTTCACATGTGTTTCTTGTTGAATTCGTTCGAGCTGTAACTGATGAGCCTTCTCAGTATCAACCGGACGTGGATGGCATTGCTCGCAAAGATAATTTTCAGGAACATTTTCCGAACTAATTTCAAAGCAAATAGCATGCTGCCAAACCTCACAGTTCTCACATTGAATAGTAAAACCATCATCATCGTCAAATGGACAAACACATCGAATTCTCCACATCCTGACAGCAAACCAGCACTGACTTAACGAAATTTTGCAGCACCTTTACTAAAACACTTGTACACCAACAAAGCACCAGCTAAGTTTAATTTTCACAGAACCCACATGAAAGATTCTTAATCGCTTTCCATATACTCTTCAATCGCGGTAAAAAATTGTACAGCAGCACTCAACCGTGATTAATCAGGCCATGCACTTAAGAAAATGCTAGTTTTCGAACAACTCTTCAATTAACTTCTCTTCATGCACGTTATGGTGGTTGTCGCAGTTTACACCCATCTTTCCGTTATTCAGCATCTTGACAAATAGTGAACTACTTTCCACCTCATAAACAGGTATGCGCAGTCCAACACAAGTACGTTATACGAAACCATATGTCAAGGATCCTTCTTAAAGGAAGAGGGATTCAAGAGAGAAAGAAGTAGATTCTGAAAGAAAAAAAAACAAAAGAAATCAATTTTTAGCATTTTGAACTCACGTTATCGACGGACCCTCTTACAGACATATCGGCTTTGTTCCCTGTGGTACTAAAGGGCGAAGGTAGAAGTTCCAGTTACACCCAAAAGTGGCAAGCCTGTTTAGCGACGCTGCTGTAGCACTCTAAACAAACAAATAAACAAACAAAAATGTCTGGAAAAAGGGAAAAATTGCTTGTACTACAATGTTAACATACAGACAATTTTTTAAATCTGTTTCAAATATCTTAAATGTCTATTACATGGTTGTTTCTACATATACGCAGTTCTTCTAGGTTTCTACTTCATGCTAGCAGAAGCCATTATTATAAGATTAAAACCAGATCCATTAAACTAACCATAATAGTTTTTTTTTTCTCAAAAAGTCCTAGACCCAAAAGGATACAAAGAAACGAACCAGCAAACAGGCCGTTGCATATATATTCTATGATTAAGTATCAAAAGGGATACAAAAAAATGAAGGAAGATAAAACGATTGACATCGTTTTAGTAAAGATGTAGAGAGACAACTTTTCCAACAGAAAAGAAATATAGCCGATGCATAAAGTTTACAAATTTGACAGGGCGCTTCAGTCCATGTCCATCTTGCCCTCGCCGCGTGACTTTTTGTTTTTGCGTTTTTTGGTAGCCGCAACGGGAATCTTGACAGCTTCGGCAGGTTCCTCGTCCATAGCATATTCCTCGTCGGAAACAACTTGAGCTTCTTGAGGCTCGCTTGGCTTCTCTTCCATGGTCTCGCGCTCGGCAAATTGGGGAACATTCTGGCCAACCAGTTTTTGAGCTTCCGCCAATTGCTGAGATTTCTTGCCGGCCATTCTCTTCTTGTAGAACATGCGTTCTCTCTTGGCGTGGATTTGTGCAGAACGTTTCATCGCGTTCAAAGTGGTAGCCACAACATTCCGGTCGTAGCGTACAGGAATGTTTCTACGAGCAGCGGAGACAGCCAATGCCTTATCATAGACCATTTCTTTGCCATGTGCTTTACGGTAAGCCTTGGTCCAAGTAACCTATCATTGTCAGTAAATACTCCTCACTAGGATAATCGCATAGAAAAGAAAGAAATTGCACATTTGCTAAGCCTTTTTTTGTTAAGCCTAACGTAGCTGAACACGTCTTGACTGCTATTCAAACATCGCTCTACTCTTTTCGCAACTGAAACACTTACCTTACGAGGATTGCGTTTCATTTTAAAGTTTTTGTGACACTTGCTACGGCAGAAACGAAAGACTTTTGAATCATTTCGAACAAACATAATTCCATGTCCAGGATAAACTGGACCGGAACAAAAGTAACAAGTATGTACCCTAAATTCTATTAGTATTCATTTTCCCTAAATTCAAAAGTACAAACCTCATATTCCCCCTTAAGAATTGCTTGTCTTTTGGGTAAGTATTTTGGCTAAGCGCAAGTAAAATTCTCTAACTCTTTCTCATACATTCCTTCTATTGCCTAGTACCTCACTAAATATAAATTAACATCCTTTAACGCACTTGTATAGACTACGTAATTTCTGACAATGGATTGGAAAGTAAACAAAAAGAATTAAGCCCTACAAAAGGGTAGAATACGATTAATAATTGTTAGAATCATAGTACTGATTAATTTCTTAATCGCTAACTTCTACTTCCTATATTCTACCGTCAAATCCATTTAGATTCGAAAAAAGATATATTACTTCCTCAATAAAGTAAATGAACCAGAATAAGCAAAACCAAAGGTTGCAAGCGATAAAGGACCCAGAATTAATTACAAAGGAATTAAACAATTGTCACTGGATCCAGAAAAGCAAAATTATAAATATTATCTTCCTAGCGGTAAAGTCAAAAAAGAGCCAGCTCAATTTTTGACTTCCCCTATTTCATAATCCTTGTTCTATCAAACAAGCCGCATATATCAACGAAAAAGAATAACTTAAACTCTTAAACCCCCAAACATGCAGATGTAATTTCAATGATAATGACAAAAAGCGAAAAGTACAACGAGTTATTATACAAGCACATAATGCAATCTATGTCTTGGTCTATGGATCAATGTGGTCCATAAAGAAATCGTCGTTGGTACGGTTGAAATCTTGGTTATGGTAATCATCATGAAACGAAGACACTGAAGAAGTTGGAGATCCTGGCTCTGTATTATAAGCTTCATCCATTTGACTGCTATCAACATAAGTAAAGCCTTTAAAGCCATTTTGAACTGTGGAAGAGAGAGGAGCGGACGTAGACATGTCACCGACAGGGACAAAATCATTAGGCACTTCTTTGTTTGTAAATTCAACGTCAAAGTTCGAAACATCAAATTCTCCTTCCACGATAGGCTTAAAAGGAGGGCTAAATCGTTTAGCGCTCAGTTCTTCCCAGTTTATATCAGCAAAAAATGAATGTCTTTTCACTTCTTCAGCATCGCCATGAGCTCCAAGCCTGTTCTTAGCATTGCGGTTTAACAATAGCTTTATTAGGTCTCTTGCTTCAGCTGAAAGTAATCCACGAGGAAACCGAACTTTTCCAAAGACAATGTTTTTATACAGTTGTTGAGTGTTCTCAGCATAAAATGGACTCCATCCGCATGTCATTTCATATAGCAAAACACCTAAAGACCAAAAATCTACCATCATATCATAACCACCTTCGTCTAGAATTACTTCAGGAGCTAGATAATCTGTAGTACCACAAAAGGTTCTCGTCGTTGATCCCACCGACAAATTAGCTTTCGACAAGCCGAAATCGCAAAGCGCAATATGTCCTTGAACATCTAAAAGTATATTCTCCGGCTTTAAGTCTCTGTACACAATACCACGTTTGTGTAGTGCTTGCAATGCTAATAATAATTCGGCGATATAAAATTTGGCACGAGCTTCTGGAAAACGGATAGATTTTTGAAGATGCCAAAATAATTCTCCACCAGCCATGTAGTCAGTTACAAGGTAGAGGTCTTTAGGTGTTTGAAAAGAAAATCGAAGTGCCACTATAAACGGTGAGTCCGCTGCTGCTGTCTGAACAAGGATATCTCGTTCACCTATAGTATGTGTAACTTCTTTACGCCGAACGATAACTTTTTTCGACAAAATCTTCATGGCATAAACGCGACGAGTATCTTTTTTCCTCACCAAATAAACTTGTCCAAAGGTTCCCTTTCCAATCAGTTTAAGCGGTTCGAAATCTTCTGGGCCATATGACTTTTTATTTAGAGGCTGAAAGACGGAACTTAACTGCACACGCAAGTCAACTAATTGAGCATATGCAGAAGAAACTTCTACACGGTTACTGTATTGCTCGTATTGATTATAATCATAACAGGGATGAATCACAGTCTTGCCAACAAAGCAATTTCCACGTGAATGATCATAGATATTTAGTTCTACCGGTAAGCGCTTTGCAACATCGAAAACCACATGAGATGGTGCCGATGGATTTGGAGTAGAAGATGTAGGACAATAACTCATAGTTGAAGTATTAAAGGTGAAATTGCTTAACATGGAAGAAGCTCGGCTCGCAGCTGCTGAGGAGTCTCGAGAAGGGATTGAAATTGCGGTATCGCGAGTTGAGGATTTCCATTTCAATGGGGGAGATACATATTCAGAAGTTCCAAATTGGATGACAAGGAATAATTGCTTAAAGGAAGTACATTCCATTGCCATAGCTGCATCAGTATGGTTTCCTTCCAACTTTAACGAATCGATTTTCAATTTCAAATAACCCGAAGGCTCGTGGTCGACTTCAGGAAGAATGTCGGAATTTTTACCACTTGGGGAATTTAACGCTTCTCTATCAACTGTGGAGGGTCCACCTGACATCAAAATATCTTCGTTTGCATCCGGAATAGCGGAACTCATTTCCATATCTTTAAATGCGCCCTTCGAAGATACATCCTTCTTCGCTCCATAGTTTCCGTCTAGTGGATGGTTCGTTTTGGCCGTCAAGGGACTTCTGCTGTATTCAGGATTTGGCACAGCCGAATTCTGATTCGAAGTTGCTTTCTTTGATAATCCAAACCAGCTTTTAGTCCATCCTTTCATGATGAGAATTCTTTCATTCAAAGCAGCAAAAAAATCGAAAAGGAATATTAGAAAAGGATAGATCCAAACAGTTAAGCTAAAACCGGCACTTTCTTGGTTAAAAAGTAGTTAAATCAAGTTGTAAACAGTCGCTGATGTCCTGAATTTGGTATGTAATTTGAATTCTTCGTGATACAGACGAAGTACTGAAATGAGAATATCGCCAGACTTATCAAATGAGTTGTTTTTTCTGAATAAATACAAAAAAAGTAGTACTTCGCTTAACTCTTCATGAAAATACGATGTGTAGACTTGCGCAATGGCTCAATTCTTTTTCATAGAAACGTTTTCCAGCAATGTCCGGATGCTTTAACTTAAACTCTTTTTCTTTAATTAAATCTCCTCTATTTCAATCCCGTTCTTTTACAGAAAAAAGTGTTCTCAGACAGAAAGAATGCCAATGGTGGTAATCCCTGGAATGTGTAAATGTAAATTGCTCAACCTAAGAAAACGAATAATGAAACACAACGACGAGACTGTTAACAAATAGTAGGAAAAGTAAATTTTTATCTAGATGCAAAAAGAAATAAAATAAACAGAAAAGAAAAGAAAAGAATAAGAACCAAGAAAATTTACTATTAAAATTGACAACTACAGGTACTTCTTGAAAATTTGATGAATCATAGCGAGAGTACCTTACTTTACCTTTGTTCAGTCAGATTAAGCATCAGGAAATCAATTTACAGGTTTCCATGCTTACATTGATTAAGACTGAATCTTTCAAATACAACTTTCACAAGAACCTTTACATTCATCCAATCCATGTAGTCATATTTATTCTCGAAAGATTAAAAAAACCTTCATCTATGAACGTTTCATGATATTTTCTCATTAACCTCTAGCATACGATGGAAGGCATGCAAAAAAAAAAGAAAGTTGCTTTTTATTAAAATATTCCATTAGTAATGCTTTGAAATAGATCATAAAGTCTCGTCCATACACTGCAGTTTGCTTTTTGAATTAGTAAATCCACAAAATCATCACATTCTTTTTCACTGAGCTGCAAGTGAAATCGTTGTAAAAGCTGTGCACTGGTATTCTCCTTTCCGCGAAAGCATGGCATTGAAGAATTATTCTGCATGACTTCAACCAAAAGTATAATCTGGTCTGCTCGCTTACGTACTGACTTGAATGCTTTTTTCATCAAAGAACGAAATTCATCAAAACGATTATCCAGAATTTCTACATAATCGGCGGTTAATTTGAATGGCGCACTCTCAAATCCGACGTTACCAGGTGTATTCGTTAATAAAAATCCAAAATCGATATGTACAACGTGACCGTCACTATCAATCAGTATGTTTCCGTTGTGTCTGTCTTTTAATTGTAATAAATATGAAATGATGCTGTAGGCAACCAAGGATTGCATAAAGTTCGTTTGGGCTTGGTAATAACGGTCAGAAGTAGGTGATCCAAAGCGCCTGATGAAATAGTCTTTGAGAGTAGCTACCCCCTTACTGGGTACTTTTCCCTGAGAAATTTCAGCTTCTTGAACTTCTCGCGTCAGATTCTTTTTTATAGAATGCACGCTAATTGCGTTCGTGATGGTCTCAATCAAACCACTACTATCTCCAGTGACCAAAATTTTCATTCGACGAACCCACACTTTTTCTTTGCTTTCCTGCCAGATTTTACGAAATGCGTGAATTAATTGACATGCAAATGTTTCTTGACGAAGATCAGCACCTGTCTTAACAATAACACTGACCAAATCCCAGTTAGGTAAATGTCCATAAGGAGAAGATTTGCGGATTCTTTCTTTCTTGGTATACCAATCTTCTTGGAAAGTTGCAGCACTCGGATCTTCCCGATCACCCTTTCTATCTTGATGTTGAGCATCCTTGTTAGAACGTAAATCCTCAGCACAAGAAATATCTACCGAAACTGGATATGTCGATGGCTCATTTAGTCGCTCTTCTTCCAGATGTTGCATGTCCAATATTATACTGGCTTTGATCCTTTCTGTTTCATCCTTTGGTCGTTTACTACCTTCAATATCAAGTTGGCTAAGCATAGTTGCAGCTGCGCGCATTCTTGTAGTTATTTCGGAAGCATACGCTTTGTTTCGGCTTGTCACAATGTGTTCGCCAGAATCTGAGAGTCTACCGGGTACTAATAGAACATTTGTGTCTTTGTGGATACTAGGAACCCGAAAAGAGGAAGTATGAATGTTGGAAACCGATTTACTCACGGAAAGATTAGGCGGGAATTGCTTGCTGACTAGTGGTGACATGCTCAAATCTCCAGCTTCGCTTTCTGATTCGGAGGCCTCTGGATGCAAGTTATCATTATAAGCTGACGTTGAATTAACATCCGTCAAATCGAACCACCGTTTCTTAATGTTCTTGTGTGAAGAAAGTTTCTGAACTTTACCGATATTATTTTTTGAATGCGGTTCGAAGCTAAGTTCTCCGGATAATACTTCCACGACAATCAGGTACGGAACACGTTCGGCGGAATTGAGAATCGTGGCTTCCTTGGGGTCAATTCTAACGATCTTATGGCTGACTTCATTATAATAAGGCCGCATAATTGGAATATTGACGTCCGCAGGGAGATTATTATTGAGCAAAGCCAGCTCAGCTCGAAGTGATGAAAGTCGTGCTAGCCGTGGGACAATAATAAGCCGAATAGAGATATCTTGCAGAGCAAACAAAAACTGAATTTCCTGTTGAAAATAATTAGAACGTAACAGACGACGCTGTTCACCAACAGAAAGAGTGCTTGAACTTTGGTAAGAATGAGTTCGAACGAGGGGAGATGGTGTTGGCCGAAGAAATTCTGAATATTGAGTATCCATAGAAGGCGCTCTTGAATTTTGAATAGTATCAAAAGAATAACGGCTCTCAGCGGATAAACGCTTTAAAACATCTGTACCTGATTCTTCAGGATCCTGCCGTGGCGCCTTGCGACCTTGAGCTATGGCTATAGGTCCTACTTTTTTCAAAAGCTCAGGAACAAGAACACCGCCAAGCATGATTCCAGAAAGTATCAATGCCGGTGCAACATTCTCTGAAATTTTTTGTTGTGATTGTAAGGAAGATGTCATAAAAACCAAAACTTGTATACGATTGTAAAGACGCTTGCATATTTTAAAAGACGTTGTACGTGGCTGTAAGCTTAAGTCTACCATATGAGCCTGTAGGTACCAAAACGTTATAAGGGAACATTGCGTGTTTTTCTCGCATTGTGCTATAATAAAATCCTCCAAAGCAACGCTTTCAGCATCCTTGTTAAGGACAAGATGACTATTGAGTTAGTAAAGGAACAATGTATATATATTTCAAACAAATGAGTAGACAGGCAAGTGCGTTTAAAAGAAAAAATCGTATTTTTATGGTATATTTTTTTTTTCTTTCTGATGTAGCACACTTTACCCATCTTTCATGTCATTGGCAAGTACATACATTAGCTGAGGGATGAAGAATTCAATTTCATCGTATGAAAATCTAATACAGTTAGGTTTCGCTCCTTGTAGTGTTTCTTTCACTTACGACGCGAGTTTTTCACACAAAAAGTGATGGATGCCAATGTTATTAGGATAGCGTGAAAGATATGCTACACATAGCTGACTTGTAAAATGAGCAGACTCAAAGAATCTTAATAATAACTCCTAAAAAAGACAATTAGCTTCTCTTCATTTTCTTCACTAAAACCTTACATTTCCCGAATTTGAAGATGGCATTCTGTGGATTTCAGAAGCTTCATGTACATCATCCGTAATACGGTACAGACTTTCCTAATTATATTTAATAACTATGCTCATTCAATTTTCTTTCCAAAATCTCGGGTTTCCAACGAAACCGTCCTTGCTCTTAGTTTGTTGAAGAGTAACTCTCGTGGTCTCAACTTGTGTATATTGGGAAGGGAGAGACAGTTCACCCATGTGTAAACAAAAGAAGTATGAAACTATGGAAGTTTGGAATTATGAATATTGTAAAGGAATGTTTTTCAAAAAAAAAGACAATAAACCTTTTATACAAGAAAACAAAGGCTTGCATAAATTTAAATGGGCGTTTCATAAGTACTTTTACTATTGAACATAAAATTTGTATTTAACAATTAGAAAAACAATTACAAAACGTACAAGTGAAATCTCAAAAATAAAACATAATTGATGCTGGTACTGTAAAAGAAAAACTTGAAATCTAGGATAGGTTCTAACATCAATAGCAAGTTTTCCGGACATAAATTCATGAATGCTGAATCTATAAATCCTTAGGAAAAAGGGTACAGTCGTATAGCGGACGTTGAGGACGAAAGACAAGAAGGCTTAGATGTCTTATAAAACAAAAACTTTTTATTAATGAAATGGGACTAAAGTTTTCGGTCCTTTGCGCGTATGTACAACTGGCAAATCTACAGCACAGGTGAAAAGATTGTGGAAATCTTTGTACTTCATTTTAAAATGACTGAAATTGTGTAATGGAAACCTGAACCACCTCCTGACGAAACAACTCCTCAATAATTATAAAAAGACGGCTTATCAAACAGGTATAGAAAAGAAGTCAGAGAGCAGATTTTTCAAGGAACAAAAAATAATTAAATATCAAGGTACGAAATGATATCTCATTTCTGGATATAAAAAGACTAATAATCCCTTAAGGAAAATAATTAAACAAAATTAAAAATTGTATCGTGAGCCAAACTTTTGAAGAAAGTCCGAAAATTTTTCAGCTCCTTGCTGAAATGCATCTCTCAGAGCCTCAACATCTTCAGAAGCAGTTTCAGCAAGGTTACGGAAATAATCATCGGACTTTGGAGCTTTTTCAAATTCATCTTCTTCTTCACTTTCTTGGCCGAAGTAAGATTTGGAAGATATAGAGGTGGCACCACGGAAAGAAGCCAAACGTTCTTGAGCCTCTGCAGCAGCATCTGCATTGTAAGAACCACGTCCAAAGTACTGGTCAGATGAAATAGCCTTTTGGGTTGCAAATTTGTCACGTGCGTAGGTAGGAGCGTTCAGCTCCTTCTTTTTCGTTTCACGAGCTTTAGCAGAAGCTTTTGCGCGAGCATTCGAAGCCGCTGCAAATTGTCCAAACCCGAGACGTGAAAAGCTTGCGTCTAAATCTGCTGTAACATCCTTGGCCTTTTCATTCTTTGAAGCTTTTGGTTGAACAGTAGGTTCCTTCTTTGCTTCATGTGTCTTTTCGCTCTCTCCTACTGTAGAAGAAGCAGCAGGAGCATTTGTAGAAGGAGAAGAAGCAGCAGCTGTGGATTGAACATCCACATTTTTCCCGTTTGTCTTGTCGGAGTTACCAGACAAAATGGATTTTTCGAATTCGTCAAAGTCAATATCCGTCGTAACCTTCTTAATACCCATTTGAGGACGGGAAGAGCGAGTTGTTGATGAGGAGCTACTTTTTGATACGACCGGGCGAGCGACGCGCATAGGTCTAGAGGTAGTGGTAGAAGAAGAAGTTCTGGATGACTTAGGTTTCGAATCCACAGTTTGAACATTCGTATTCAAGGAAGTAGGGGAAGAAACAGAAGACTGAATTGAAGAATCCACCAAAAGATTTTCTTTACTTAAATCTTCAGAGGAAGCAAGGGTAACATCGTTTGGCATAGGAGAAGAAAGGGACGCAGCAGGATCCACTTCAGAAACCTGAGACTCAAGTTTTCTAACAGTAGGTTTATCCCATGCGGAAAAGAAATCATCTTCGTCATCGGCAGCTTTGTTTGAAAGAGCATTGGCGTCAGAAACACCTATGGAGCTCATGTCTACAATATTCGGGTGGAATTCTTCATCTTCAGCAGCGAGACGCTCTAATTCTTTTCGATACGACTTTGCCGTTTTTGAGGAATATTTGATCATAGAATCTTTGGAATTTAAAACAGAGACACCACCGTGACGCTTAAAGAAATTGCGCGCATTTTCGTTGCCACCGACACGCATAATTCTAAGCTGTGCATACGTCCAAGAGTCTAAAACTGTTGATCTATATACTCTGTTAGCAATGATCTCTTGCTATTTCGTACAGATCGAATGCCCAACCTATACCAAGTGATATTCGTACCGTACAAACGAGATATGCACGCCCATATTTCTATGAGAAGCACTGCAATCAAGACATAAATAAACTCCAAATGTCGTAGAACTCCATGTTGGATTTTTTGCTCCACAATCAAAACAGACCTATCTTGTTAGCAACTCCGCTCATAACGCAGCTATTTAAAGAAATTTCCTACTTTATTATCTCTTTGAGAACGTAAAGTTGTTAGAATTTTCTGAGATTCTTCCTTCGTAGCAGTCATTTTTCTATTCCCGCTTGGAGTGCCGCTGAAGGGTGAATGGATAGTCCGAAGGCGTTAGCAATTCTACAATGGCGGTCAAGTTAAAAACCAGTAGTTCTAATATTAAGCCAGTTTTGGAGTATAATATTACTAAAAACGCAATCTTTATATTTTTGACTTGGTTTTGCAATGGTTTGATTTTACTTTTGCTCTGTTTTGCCTCTAAATGGTGTATGTAAACATTGGTGTCTGAAAAAAAAAACAACATCAATCCGTAACTTTAGATTTCAATTCCCGGAACTTTTTACTTCTTTTTTATTTAGTTAGTTTTACATTTCTTTATTTATTATTTTGCCTCTATAAATGAAAATGTTATATGAAATGACTGGAGCGTCTTGCATGGCAAATTACACTCTATGTCTTGCATTTAACAAAACAGTCTTTTGATAACAATGGTTGACAATGGAATAGATGGTATGGGATTTTTGATATAGTTATGGCTTTTTTTAACTAAAGAATAAGATGAAATTGTTGAATCCCTCAACAAAGTTTTAGGGATTGTGGTAAACGCGCGAAAAGCGGTCGGTGCCATAGACAAAATGGATTTGCCCGTCGAGCTCAACAATAGTCCGCTTTCCATGCTCGATTCGATTGGAGAGATGATCCATCAGTACACAACAAAGCTCTCAATTGCTGCTAGACCGCCAATCACCAAGGATGCCTTGGAAAAGTACTCAAGTGATATGTCCAACATGGTATCGCCTTTAATTGCGACCTTGCAAGTTTATTCCAAAGAAAAATACGGAAAGATTGTTCATGAGCGTTTAAAAATACATGTGGAGCGGATTTTATTGGGAATAGAATGCTTATTACGGAGTGTTTCACCAAAACCTTTAGCGCATGTTACAGAAGCTTGGAAAACACGAGGACGTTTAATTACAACTGGAATGCTGTGGGAATCTTGCGAAAAGCTTCAGAAACTGGGAAGAGAAGGTGCCTTGGGCTATGTACTCGAAGAATGGGAAAATATTGTATCGATGTTGGATGACGCCGTGAGTGACATGGAAGCCTGGAAAGAAGGTGAGAGCTCTAATTGGGACAGTTTTGGTAGCGAATCAGAAGAAGAGGAAGAGAAGGAGGAGGAAAAAGGGAACGCAACCATTGAATCTCGGACTCAAGAACAGGCTGAATTCGCAAAGCGATTATTACAGCAGTTAAATGCTTGTAAAATTTTATTCCTTTCTATCAAAAAGCATAGATTACCGAAAACGGCTTCTTATTCCTACTTGGACGGTTTGTACGAAAACATGAAGCGCACTTCGGAAGCAATAGACGAAGTGGTCGGACAAGTTCAAGAAGACTCTGACAATATTGAAGATGAATTAGATTTGTTTGCTTGCTCTGCTAAAGAACTTGCTCAGACTTGTATTTCTGAATTTGATTCAGATTCTTTTACACCATGGTATATTAAATGGTTGGAAAATTGGGACCAGTCTTGGAAATAGAGTGTATTATATTTTATAAATATTTTTTGGTTATTTAATTGATTTAGTTACAAGTATCTGAGCTTTTTGTATAAAGACTTCTACTTTCATAGATGCTCGTGCTTTTCCCCGGGTATTGAAAGTTAGGAAGAAGTCAACTTCTGACTTTTCGTGCTGTAGTAGAATAGGATGAGTACATTAATTGAATTTTTCGAAGTAGTCTTGTGATGGAAATGAGTTGAGGAAGGCTAGTTACGCCAACTCCCAGAAACCATAGTAGACAAGTCTAACAATTTTATTTTAGAATACTCTTCTTCCGAGCTTGTAATTCTAGATTTATCAAAAAGCATTTCTTTCCACAAGCTTAACGGCTTTGCCCAGGTTGGACTCCTACTCAACGCATCCAACTTCCTTTATTCGTTAATGTAAAAAAAATTGGAAATTTGTGCTCTTATACAATTTTAAATTTTTGTAAATAAGATATTCTATAGAACTTATATGGATTCTGCTGTTTCAGAAGCAATTGACCGGACAGGGTTGACGTCGAATCCCTCAAACTGTCCTCCTGAGTCGTTTCCAGTGGAGGACTCGTACGGGCAACCTGAAGAAGAGGGATCAGAAACAAATACTTCTGTAACGCAATCTCCTACAAATTCTGAACGACTTACTTATGTGCTAGACGATAATGCCGATACAAAAGCTTTACAGAAGAAGTATATCGAAAATGTATACGGAGGAGAACCAACAAATTTCTTCAGAAATGTTGAAGATTACAGTTTTTATGGAAAAAATATAGAACGGTTTCATGAGCATAAACACGTTTTTATCAACGTGTTACGAAGTCGCCGAAAAGAATTAGATACAAAAGTTAAACATTTAAAAAGTACTTGGAATCAATTAGCAAACCGATGGGAAGAAAATATTCTTCGTGTGGACCGATTTACAGAGCTTGATAAAATGAAAGGCTCCAAAAAAAGTGGAACCCTCTGTTAAAAGGAGCACTCGCAAGGTAATGAGCAACTTTACAGCAGGAGACATCGTTCATTCTGAAGAAGAGTTTCTTGCGATTCTTGCTCGCTTAGAACAACAAGAAAAGGAAGCTGAAAATGCTGCCAAAAATTCAGGAGTAGCCCGGATTCCAAATATGGTTTTATCTGAAAACGATGTCAGGTCGAATTATTTTAATGATCAAAGCAGGCTTGTTACGAATTCTTTAGATTTCTATCACTTCAACTCTCCTTCTGATATTTGGGCGGAAGAGCAGCATTCGATATTTGTTCAACAATTTATGCTTCATGGAAAAAGATTTGGAAAAATTGCAGAGGCTGTTCCTGGAAAGAACGTGAAAGAATGCGTTTTGCATTATTACTTGACAAAAAAGACAAACAATTATCGCGAGCTGGCAGTCACTACAGCGAAAACACGCGGCCGTCGTCGCAGGAAAATGTCGCCAGGCCAGCGAGGTGTTAAGAAGAAGTCCAAGGGCTCTGCTCTTATGGTGGATATTGAAGCAGCAGATGAAACCAAAAACCAGGAAGAACACACACCTTCCCTAACCGAAAACACTCCTGCAGCGGAAAATTCCTTCACCGGAAAAGAAGAACCACCAAACAAATCGAAAATTCCAGAGAAATCGGACGAATCAAAGGTGGAGCAGGAAGCTGGTTTCAAAGAAGCTATTACAGACAATAAAACTAATCAAGAAACCGAAAGGGCTTCAGAAACAAAAGAGGTTACATTTGATTCTCACGAGAAAGTTGCAACAGTTAAAGAAGAACCTGTAGAATCTAAGAGGGAAGATATTGTTATGGAAGATGTCTCCCAAAATGCAGGGAGGCAAAGTATATCGACGGAACTGCAGTCAATTCAATTAAAAGATATATCTCCATTAAAAACACCTTCTCCTACTCCTACTTTTGTAGAGCAGCAAAGGAATAGCTTTTCTAGTAGAAAAGAGAAAGATGCTGCTTCTGCGCTAGCAAATCTCTCTTCAGTGGGTCGGTCAATTCCTTCTGCAAGTTTCTCCGCAGCGATGGTCGAAAACCAACTTTCTGGGTGGGATGAAAAAGAGGAAGCTCTTATTTTGTCTTTAGCTCATGGGATGAATCCAGTGAAACAACAGACTACACCAAGAAGAGCTTCGTCTGGTTCAAGGGGTGCCTTTACTAATTTGGAAATTTTGTCTTCGCAAACAACTTCACCTTCTAAAAGAAGAGCAAGTGAATGTATCACACCGTCTATTTCCAAGATCTTGGATCCTCTCGTTAGCAGCGAACACTCTCTTCAACACCATTCTGAATCCAATGTCTCTTTCCCTGGTCGATTTCAGATTCAGAGACTTCATGGACGAGATGTTCACTCATCCTCTCGACCGTCGCATCACAGTTTTGCGTCAATTCACACATTAGCAGCTTTAGGCGAAAATTTCGAAGAAGAGCAGACCGACGAGGAAAAAGAATCTGTGTCACCTGATCAAGAAACAGGGTCTTAACAGAACGAGAAAAAGGAAAAATTGCTTTGCTTTCACTTCTGCTTTTCTTAACTCTTCTATGATTCGTTTCTTCTGACTAACTGGAATACGACAGAGGAAATAGTCCAGTCTTCTTTATTTTTTTACTTACTACAGAACATCTCTCTTCATTTGTACAATATGTTTTTATTTATTCATAATGGATTCCTATTAATGATCAATTATAATGGCCAGTGTCCTTACTTTGTCTTTTCTATAGTGCGCTTTATTTACTTGGCATGTAGCAAAATGAACGAGCGTACATTCGCTAAGTTGCGTTATTTTTCGTAATAAATTGTAACGCCATTTGTTGTGAATCGGTATTATTACAATACGGCACAACTTCCATTTTTTAAAAAACTTTTTCTCTTCAACTGCCAACAACTGAAAAAGTGGTTTTAAGCGTAATTTGCTTTCAATAAGCAAACTGTGAAGCGTTACATAAATCAAGATAAAAAAGTTTGGAGAAAAGGCTTCCTAAGAATTCAATTAGGGATTAAATAACGCTGGAGTCAATATTGGAAACGCAGTAAAAAGTCCTTAAATAGCGTCTTTGGTGAACTTCCGATTGGATTCTTATGATTCAGACTGCATCTTCGGTAATCGGTAACAATAATAATGGAGCGAATCAGATGGTGGATATGAGTAATTCTCCCGGTTCTGAAACGCCTGTAGCGAATGCGAATGCTTTAACTCCTGTGGGTACTGGCTCGAATTCTGGGTCACAGACGAGAAAGATTACTCAGTTTAGCAACAAACTTTACAACATGGTGAATGACTCCTCGACAGACTCCCTCATCCGCTGGAGCGAACGTGGTGATTCCTTTTTCGTCATCGGACATGAGGATTTTGCAAAACTTGTACTTCCTCGATATTTTAAGCATAATAACTTTTCGAGTTTTGTTAGGCAATTGAACAGTAAGTATATTTAGAAAATTGGCAAGCAATTGCGTTCCAATCGCTTCGTCATTGCTGGAACACCTTTGCAGATTATAAAACGAAATCAGTCTCGTAATACCAAATTTGGGAACCAAGATGGATATTTTTATTTGTTTTTCTATTTCTTAGAGTGTTTAACAGCATGGCTTGCTTGTTCTTTTTTTTTTTTTATTTTGATAGATATTAACATCTTTATAGTGTACGGTTTCCACAAAGTTCCTCATATCCAACAGGGAGTCTTGCAGTCTGACAGTCCTAACGAGCTTCTTGAGTTTGCCAATCCCAACTTTCAACGGGACCAGCCCGAGCTCCTGTGTTACGTTACGAGAAAAAAGGGCGGCTCTCAGGTTTCTGACGACGCTTCGAACTCATTAGACATGTCAACAATTACAATGGAATTGCAAAATATTCGAAATCAACAATTAAGCCTGTCCAGTGAGCTAAGCCGAATTCAGGTTGACAATGCTGCTCTTTGGCAAGAAAACATTGAAACTCGCGAGAGACAACGTCGACACCAGGAAACTATAGACAAGATACTTCGTTTTCTTGCTAGCGTGTATTTGGATGGTAAACAGAACCCCCCGAGCAAAGTTATGCCAAGGAGTCGCAGACTGTTGTTGGAAGCGAAATACCCCTCTGTATCAAATCCAAATCTAAACGCAAACTCAAATGCTAATCGTACTTCTTCTTTTGATGCATCTCCCAACTCATCAGCTACTAATGCAAAGTTTTCTCCTTTGGGTAAACATCGGGAGAGTGACTCCGATATGAGGTTCCGATCTATGTCTGCAGGTCCTGCCTCATCTAGCTATGTTTCTACTGCTAAGTCTGAAACGGGATCTCCCCAAATTGTGGATACTCATAATTTTATGAATGAGTTTAATCCACAAAGGAAGAATTCCACAGAGTCTCTTGCGAATCCTGTGGATACTGGTATCTCTCCACACCACTCTCCTGCCAATGAGATACCGCCTTCTTCCAATCAAGAGGATACTTTAGAGACGAAGCTATCCAATACGGGTGATATTATTAACATGCTGGATGATGCTGGAACTGTGGATAATGAAAGTATGAATACGCTGTCTCCTTTGCTTTTTGATTATCAAGATTCCGGGTATCCTCCACATGCTGATACAGCTGAGGAAAGTCAGATGCCGGTCTATGGCACTCAAAATGATAATTATACCGCGGCCGAAAACAACGTCCCCAATAGATCAGCTTTGAATCCGTACTCGTATAACGATTACTTGTCTAACGTCAACCCGCCTTATCTTCCTCAGCCAAGTAAGGATCAGCTTATCAATTATTATCCTGGTTACTCCGATGATCAGAAACGGATTGCGAATGTATCTGATGGGATTACAAAACAAGATCAAAATATCCAGGCTTTGGCTGATATACTAGGTATTCCTCTTTCTGACGTGAGAGGTGATCCTAGCGGAAATCCAGCCTTCGCTTCTTCGTTGAACAACAATTATAATTTGCCTCTTTCTTCTGACTTGGATAGCGTGCTAAATGTCGTTCCTAGTGAAGAATCCTTTTCGGAATCAAATCCCGTTTTTGATGAGTTTACGAACATCTCTAATCTGACTTCTCCTCCTGAAATTTCCACAAATCAAAGTTTTGATCCGAATAATATTGCATTACCGGGATTGCAGAAGGCTCACTTGAATACTCCTCCTCCTTCTCAAGTTCGCAAAAAAAGAAAGTCTAGTGTTGGCATATAAACGAGTTTTCTGAATTGGAGTTTGTAGCTCTCAGTTCTGTGAGCAATTTTGTAATTTATTGTGAAAACAAGGGTTTTTAATTATGAGTCATTGTTGTTGGTTTTGCTTTATGATTCTCTTTATGAAGAAGTGATGGTATTTTATTCAATTGTTTTTTATTTTTCCTTATCAATTAATAGTATCTTGGTTTAGATTGTACTAATGTTACGAATATTTTCATGAAGCAATATACCGTTTGGTTTTATATATAAACTTTGAAGGGTATTTACGACACTTTAAAAATGGGAATGTAGTGAGTCAAATTAAAATTAAAATTACACATTTGTATTAAATATACTTGTGATTCAAATTACTGAGATACTTAAATTTTTTCCTTTACAACTGATACGTTAGCGGACATATTTCAAGTTTCAAGTATCAGGCTTACAATACAAAGACAAACGTTTATTGGATCTAATCGACAGATATAAAAAATAGGAAAATTAGATATTAAATTCCTCGGGACGAGAAGTATAAGCCAATAGTTTCGATAGAGGGCGTTCTTGAATAGTTAAAGGAATGTAAGGCTCATCAGCTATATAATGCAAAACATGAAGAAAGTGAATTGTTAAGCGTGATTAAAGAACGAGTATCCCGAGGTTATAAGGAGAACGAATGAATGAAGAATTAAACGAAGGTAATTAGAGGATGAATTAATATTCGTCTTCAGCTTCGTACATTTCATTATCAACAGAGTCCTGACCAACTTCTTGGTAATCTCTTTCCAAAGCAGCCAAATCTTCTCTGGCTTCAGAGAACTCGCCTTCTTCCATACCTTCACCAACATACCAGTGAACAAAAGCACGCTTGCTGTACATAAGATCGAATTTGTGGTCCAAACGAGACCACGCTTCAGCAATAGAGGTAGTGTTCGAAAGCATACAAACTGCACGATCCACTTTAGCAATACCGCTATCGGGAATATGTTGAGGAGGCTGGTTGCAAATACCAATCTTGAAACCAGTAGGGCACCAATCCACAAATTGGATAGTACGCTTAGCCTTAATAGTAGTAACAGCGGCTTGAACATCACGAGGAATGACATCGCCACGGTAAAGCAAGCAAGTAGCCATATATCTACCAGCACGAGGATCGCATTTGACCATTTGGTTGTAGGGCTCGAAGCACTGATTGGTAATCTCTTGAACACTGTTGGCTTCGTGGAAAGCTTTCGTTTTACTGACAATGGGGGAATAAGTAACAAGAGGAAAATGGATTCTTGGGTAAGGAACAAGGTTGGTTTGAAATTCGTTAAGATCAACGTTTAGACTTCCGGCGAAACGCAAGGAAGCCGTAATGGACGACACTACTTGAGCGATGAGGCGATTCAAGTTTTCGTAGGTAGGACGTTCAATATCAAGGTTACGACGGCAAATGTCATAGCAAGCTTCATTGTCAACCATGAAAGTACAATCCGAGTTATCCAAAGTCGCGTGAGTCGTAAGAACCGAATTATAGGGTTCCACGACAGAAGTACTGACTTGAGGAGAAGGATACACGGAAAATTGAAGATTTGATTTTTTACCATATTCCATGTTAAGGCGTTCTAAAAGTAAAGCACCAAGACCAGAGCCAGTGCCACCGCCAAAAGAGTGGAAGACAAGGAAACCTTGCAAGCCAGAACAGTTATCGGCCATACGACGGATTCTTTCGAGGGTATCTTCAATCATTTCTTTTCCAACCGTGTAGTGACCACGAGCATAGTTGTTTGAGGCATCTTCCTTGCCAGAAACCATTTGCTCAGGGTGAAAGAGATCGCGGTAGGAACCAGTACGTACTTGGTCGATAACATTCGGCTCCAAGTCTACGTAAATACTTCTAGGAACATACTTGCCTTGGCCCGTTTCTGAAAAAAATGTAGCGAAGCCGTCGTCGCGGTAGCTTATTCCGTGAGGCATTTGATTCCCCTTATCCAAAGGATAACCATCAGGTCCGATGCCATGCTCCAAACAATAGAGCTCCCAGCATGCTATAAACCTGTCAGTAATTCTTCTCATCTGTTATTACCTGAAAATAGTCTGCACAAACGACTTGCCTACTATTTCCTTATTTTATCACCGTACCATTACCGATTTGCACACCAGCTTGCCCAACATGAACGGAAATTACTTCTCTCATAATCTCTTTAAAAGAAGGAAAAATGCCTTAATTGTAAGCAAAAGATGGTCTAAACAGGTTGCTCGTAAAGGCAGAATTACTTGGTCGACGAACTACTGTATTAATAAAGAATATGTGCTACAACGTTGTATCTGGGATTATGCACTACAGCGCTTTGCACTATAATGTAAACAAAAGAGAAGTACGAATTTGTGAATTTGAAAAAGGTAAAATGGGAATAAATTCTCTTAAAGGAAACTTCATAAGGAAGAGAGAGAAAGGTATTTTGTAAAGGGCCTTGATTGAAATTGCTTACGATGGTTCAATAGTTAACTAGTTATAGTCTGTGAATAACAAACTTATGCCGGAGACTAGTAATTTGAATAAAGAAATAAAGGAACAAGAGTCAATTCACAACTCAAAAGAAGGAGTGCGTTATCCATTGCAGGTGTTAAACCTAGGAGAAAGGGAGCAGCGAACTTGAGATTTCTTCTACAGTCACTTGGATTGTTGAACAAACAAGTCAATGCATTTCAAAGAAATCTGTTGTCGGTTGAACAACAAAGGATAATAAACAAGTAGAGCTGAAAGAAAAGAAAAGATACAATAGAATCTTTTGATGAATAGATTGGTTTTGTTTGAGGCGCTTTCTTCTCAACTGTTTTTGCTTCTTAGTCACTCGGCATTTGGAATCCTATTCAGAGAGTTATCAAGCGTTAAAAACTCAGCTTTGTAGTCTAGGGAGGAATCTGTAAAACAGGCTTGAAATATGAAGACTTCTCTTAGAATCATTCAATTAAAAAATGCAAGCTGAAGGTCATAAAATAAACAGTGCTTTATACAACAGCGACTTTAAAAGAAAAACAAAACAGAGAAGGAACATCTTAAGAATTAACCAATTGACACGTACAAAAACATAGCATTAATAATGTGCTTTCCATACTCACATAGTACACAAGGCTAGGAAAAACAACAACAACTAATAAAAATGATATTCTCCACAGCTGAGCTAATTTCGAATCAAGTCTAAAAGTAATTTCGTTCCATATTTATGCACGTCGCATTCTTCCGATAAGCCGATCAATCCTTTATTTTGGTAATTCTGCGGTTAATCGCTTTTTTTTTCACATTAACCACTGTTTATAAACGATCTTTATCCTTTTTGTTGAATATGGGTCGCTCTTGCAAGAGTATTCGAAGAGATTTGGCAGATTGTTTATTACATTCAGACTGTATGTTCATTCACGGGAAATCTGCTCAAGAATGTATGAAAAATAAAGAGCAGCTCCCAGTAGAATGCAGGAACTTGATGACTTCGTTTGGTGAATGTAAACGACAAATGGTACGTTCAGTTTCAAAGAAAATAGAATTAGATCCATTGGCTAACCATTCTAATAGCTTGATATGACCAAACGATACAGAATTGCTCCAGAAAAAGATGAATCATCAGAAACGTCAAATCAACCCTCCCAGGAAGCCAAGTAAAACATACGAGTACGATATGTCGACCATGGTTCTCAAGTGGATGGGACCTCATTTTCTTTCTTTGGAAATACTAGTTCATTTGTATACTCAAAGGAATTGATACACTCAAATACACTTTGGAGCTTCAGACATTTCTTTTATTTTACTAGTACTCTTATACCAAAGATATCTAATTAATAAAAAAAACAAACTATTTTTTTTAGAATTCAAATAAAAAGAATTATATGAAACCTAAACAAATACCAAAACCATATTCATCGCAAATTAGAAAACTCCAAACTATAAAGGAGAAATCGAAAAGCTAGACATAAACTTAAAAGCAAATATTATAAAAAAGTTTTTTAAACATGCTCATCATTCTCTTCTTTTGCAGGAACTTTTTTCGCCCTTTGATCCATTGAAACACTTTTTACAAAGAAGACGGCGATAGCACCAATAGCCATGGCAATAGTAGCAAAAAGCCAAATAGTCTTGTAGGCAGATGCGTAAGCTTCTTTAATATGGTTCTGTTCATCGACTGGACGTTGTTGGATCTGTTCATATGATAGGCTCGAAATCGAACTGTCTCCGTTAAAGGCAGTAGTCACCCTTTGACTAAAAATTACCTCTCCTACGGTTATACCGATAGCACCTCCAATATTTCGTATAAACATTAAAGTGGCCGTGGCCATGGACATTAATGAGGGAGGAAAGGATGCCTGCATGGCAATAAGTGGAGGCAGAAAAAAAAAGCCAGAACCAAACATATAGATAGTAGTTAAGCCCATTGCTTTGGAAAAGGATGAGTAGGCACCCAAAGATATCAAACTGCCCATTCCAGCAGTGCAAGCGACAGCCCCAATATAAAGCAGTGGCTTGTACCGGCCTAGCTTTTTAAGGATGATACCAACACTTATGGAAAAGAAACACAAAATACCACCACCAGGTAAGAAGTGCACACCGGCCATGATAGGACTGTCACCTCGAATCCGTTGAAAGTACTGAGGAATATAGTAAGAGAATAAATAGTAGTTTAGGAAATGAATGAATGAACAAACAAGCAAGCTGAGACTGTTTATATTTTTAAAAAACGTAGGAGACAGTACAGCGTTTCGCTTGGTATGAAAGTCGTATACCATAGCAATGATCACAAGAACTGCACCAACAATAATATAAGGCAAAACACCAGGACGAGACCAATGACCAGAAGAAGCTCCCAAAGAAATACCTAACAAAAAAAGTACAATACCAGTTATAACGCTGATAAGACCAAAAAAGTCAAAAGTTTGAAGGAACAAACGAATGGGTTGTCGTTGCACTGGCAGTAGTCTCAAAAAGAAAACTATAAGACTTGTTGCTATGCCACCAACAGGAAGATTAATGAAGAAAATCCACCGCCAAGTAGTCCTTTGGCAAATAACGCCGCCGAGAATTGGACCAAGGACGAGAGCGATACCCCAAGCCGAAGCAATTAAACCGGTGTATATAGGGCGCGTTTTGAGAGGGGTGATATCAGAAATGATAATGTTAATCAGAGACATAATTCCACCACCCCCAAGACCCTGAATGGCTCTGGAAACAATCAGCATAATCATATTTTGACTAGCACCACTGAGAGCACTACCGAGCATGAAGAAAAAGACCGACACATAAAGCATAGGCTTTCGCCCCAAGATGTTGGAGAGAACGCCAACGGCCGGTAGGATTGCGTTTGTAGCCAAGGAATACGAAGTACCTATCCAAAAGGAGCGAGAGGAATCATGAAAATGCTGAGAAATGGTAGGAAGGGCAACGGTGACAATGGTGTTATCTAGAGCAGCCAAAAAAAGAGTCAAGACAAGAGCAGGGACCACAATTACCATGTTGTTTTCAGGAATCATTTGGATATCCTCATTATGGTTCTTTTCTTCACCCGAGTCATTGTTAATTTGAATATCTGCATTTGTTTTTTCGTCCATCTCGTTCAACGATTTGGGCAAAGGAGAAACGGTGGCTGAGAGGACAGCCGTTGATACCTTATCAGAGGACACGAGTTTATTACTTATTGGAGAATCCGCATAGGTTGAGTCTTGCGTGGCATCATTTATGGGAGAGTTCTTGTTGCTCGCTGGAGCTTCCTGATCGAAGTGATCCATAGTGTGATTGGAAGGAATAGAGATATGCATGATAGAACAGGACAAACAAAGGAAGAGAGAGGGGAGAAATTAATGGCAATCAAACGATGAACTGAATAATGGGATAATCAATTAGTGACGATAAATTAATAAATGAAGAAGACGTTTCCTAGCAAAAGAAAAAGTTAAGCAACACTTGTGGATTGAAAAGAATAAATGGGAACCACGAGAAACGGAGTAAAAATGGTAAAACCCGGAAAGAACCTCTTGTGCAAACAATGACCAAACTATCAGATATTAAATCTTAGCAAATTAAAGCCTACTCTTTCAAAGAATTAAAATAAAAATAAATAAAAAGGAAATGAATTGTTCTTCGTCCAACGTTTTCTGTATCTTTTCAACAGAAATAATCCACAGTTAATTTGTGCCGTGAAAGGAAAAACTGTTTTTATCCTGTTATGCAAGTATTGATAAACAATGGAACTACAACCCACGAAACCGGGTATATCTGAATGATCTGACGATTTAAAAGACCTTGTATAATAGAAGAAATCAGTGATGACAATGTCTTCGTATTATTATAAAAGTGGGATGATTTGAGCTTAGTTTGTTGTCTGTCTAACTTTTCTTCATATCAGAAAAGGAATAATTTTCGTTTATCCAAGTTGCTCGTTTGGTAATTACTTTCACCTAGTTTGAGTAGTCTCACAGAAATACTCACGAAAAGCGACTTTTCCTCAATTTAACAATTCTAAAAGAACAGCAGAAGTAAGAACTGAAACACGACGAAATTCTTTGTCACGAATAGAATCTATCTTCAGAACATTTAGTGTTTAGTCAGAATTTATCGTTTAAAGAAATCGTTTTAAAAAAGTCCCTGTGGATTGTAACTCGATACATATACAGATAATATGATATTTGTATCCTTCCAGAAATGTATTTATTCGATAGAAGGAGAGGTTAAAAAGAGGAGCGGATTGACTTTTGATGTACGTTAAACTTGTTTCTGAAATTGGTTACCTCTAATATAGGAAGAAGAATTATCCAAGAGGGTGACTCTCCGACATTACATAGTAAAAATCGTTTCTGGAAATTTGACAAATATGAAAAGCTTTAAAATTTCTTTAATAGTATTCAATAACAACTAAAGTCTGAAACTCAACATTTTCATCTGTCTTGTCTTGTTCAGATGTTACAACGTAGAGTCCGCGTTGTAAGGTTAATAATATTCCTCGTTGTAAGATAATAATATAATAAGGTAGCTATTATCGGAAGGATTAGAAAGTGCACAAAACCGACTACGGTCCTCTGACGTACATTTTTAAATTACTTTAACGACCTTGACCACATGTTCTTATTTCTGGTATTCTAGCAAGTGTGATTCAACTACGCTTACCTGAAAACAGCATAATTTCTCTGTCCCATTGAACTGAGTCTTCCGTTAAACTACTGCTTAGTAATTTGCGGAATTTTTTTCCAAAACTTTTCGAGGACTCGAGAGGTTTTATCTACTTTGCTGAAACAAAGAGCTTTGTAAAAATGTCAAATGAGTCATTTTCTTGGAAAGTCAGGACGAATGATTCGCATCCGTTAACCGCTAGTCCTGCTCCAAAAAAACCAAATCATGAAGCACTTTCTAGACTTCAATCACCACTGAATTCCCCGAAATTACAACCGATCGGATCTCCTCAAGCGCTTCGTAGAGTAACTTCCGCTAATGGGACAAACACGTCGATGTATCCAAAATGGTCAGGAGGTCTTTCTCTCTCTAGTAGCCGCGCTGCTTCTCCAGCTCCTTCAACTTCGGACCCGTTCGGCAACCTTGCTTTTGGTAATGTCCTAGGTGGTTCGGATGTCCCTAACAAAGGCAATTTTCCAAGTCTTGCTTCGGAATCAAACCCGTCCGTTTCAACTCCATCTCTTATTTCAAGAAACGCTGCATTCATGGGGGACCCTTTTGCTCAGGCTGTTCAAAGTGCTACCACGAACACTAACCCGCCAAATCAGGAACCTTTATCTTCCGATGCTAGTCGCTCTGAAGATGTCGAGGCCTTTTCTGTCAGAAATAATCCTTCTTTTTCGAGTCAGCGTACTCCAATGACTTCTTCGACCCGGACACCCACCCCTACTTCTGTTGAACCCGGTGAGGATACCATTCCGACTGCTATTGTTGTAAAAAATATTCCCTTTTCATTGGAAAAGGATGCTTTGCTTGAAGCTTTCAAGCAATTAGGTATTCCACGTCCCTATGCTTTCAACTATCATTATGACAATGGTATCTTCCGTGGCCTAGCTTTCGCGAATTTTTACCTTCCTGAAGAAGCTCAAATAGTTGTCCAAACGTTGAATGGCTACGAAATTAACAGCCGCCGTTTGCGTGTTGAATGGAAACGCCAACTACCTGCTGCCGAACGTGAAAAGGCCGAAAAAGCTAAGAAACGTCAAGCAGAGGAACGGCGTAGAAAGCACCAATACAAAACCTTTGAAGTTAGCTTTAAGGATCAGGGTTTGGATTTAAACAATACTACAACCTTAGAAATATATAGTAGACTTTTACTTTTCGCTAATCACTGTCTTCCTGGAAACGAGCTTGTTTTTGAAGCTCCTTCAAAGGACCATAGTATCTCAAATGCTGTGCGAGCTTTTGCTTTACATTTTGACTTGGATTACTACGTACAACCTAATATGGAAATCATCAAGCTCACTGTCACACACCCAGCGAAAAAGCCTTCCAACGTAAGTCATTCTCAACCTTCTTCTCCTGGCTTCCGCCGTGCGTTACATGCTCCTATGGCATCGCGATTTTTGCAAGAACACGCACTGAACGGAATAAGAAGTGCCCCTATCACTCCTCCACCCAGCTTTGCCTCACTAGTGAACCCTATTCGCTCCGTTGATGACAAGATTTATGGTAATGATTCTCCTTTACGACAGACGAGTACGTTAAATTCTCCTTTACATTTGCGAAACGATTCTCATCCAGTCCTAAAGTCCCCTTATGGCTTTTCTAATATTTAAGTGATTTATATTTCATAAGATCCGTCTCTTTTCTGCGATATTACTAGAAAAGTCTTGTCACGATTACTCTACTCCTTATCAACGTTCGATGCTTGGACTTATGCTTTTGATAATTTTACGATTTTGGTTTGGTTGGAGTCATTTTTTTACTGATTTACTTGAATGATTTACTTTCAATGTTTTTGAAGTATAACTTCTTTGTGAAGAAGGCACGATTCCTTATGATCTATCTGTCTTTTTATCTCGTATGCAATTTCTTCTCGATTTTGTCCTCTTGACAGGCATGCTGTATTGTGCTTGTTTATCTACCGATGGTCTAAAATTTTTGACTTCCAGTAATTCTAACAATGTCTTTGGGTCTTCCCTTGCTAACTTTCTCCTTTTATTACATTCAGTGTAATTTGGTTTTCTTGTTATTATGAACGAATAAATTACGATGTTACGAAGTGTTTCCTACTATAGATTCATTAACTATGAAGCTTTTGAGATTTCTATAATAATTTATTTTTGATTAAATTTAGCAGCATATGTATATTCCATTTACGAAGTAAAAACTCTCACCCGTTTCGTATAGACTGTAATGATACATTTGTACTTTTTTTTTTCATGCGTTCATAGTTCATTAAATCTCAGTAACGAGTTTACTAAATTTCTGTTCCTTCGTTCGACCTCTTTATTTTGGACCCAGATATGTGTACAATGTAATATCATTTCTTGGAAAGATCCATTTCTAAAGGAAACTGTATTCTGTTAGCTTTTCTCCAAATATTGACGAAAAAATCAGTTTTATTTCTATTAAAAGAAGGTGAAATTGGTTTCTTGCTTTTTCTATTGAGAAAGAAGTAATCGTTTGCCAGGATGGTATGTACAATATGCGCGAAAAGTGAAGGTTTTAACTATTGGGATCAGTTTGGCGGAGGTTTCTTTTCAGAAGATTATAATGGCTTTTCTATGATGTCTCATTTGCGCTCAGCATTTGAAGACCCTAACCAAAAGTTTGATGCTCATTATCGATGCTATCCTGCTGCTATGATGCCTGGAGAAAAAGGAATAAGTGTAAATTATGGAGGAAAAGGTAAGTGATGAGTGTTAGAAAGATGAGCAATATACGGAAAGTATAAGGAGTTTTTGTCCTTTGCAATGCGTCCAGTAGTACTGAAGTGATAATGACTAACTGTCTAGTGATTCTTCCTCCCTCTGCTTTAGAAAAACTTTGTACGTATTACACATAGAATCTCTAGTGGAATTTTTTTCACTCTAACAGTTGTCTAGCTCGGTTGAATGTCAGCTACCCAATGTTGTTTGAATTTGAGAACGCAGCTGCCCAGAAAAAGACCCATGGCGGTGTGTTAGAGTTCATTGCTGAAGAAGGAAGAGTTTATTTTCCTTATTGGGTAAGCTAGCTAAAAATGACAAGAAAGAGACTGTTTATGCTAACAGCCGGTTTGTAGATGATGAATACACTGGATTTGGAACCAGGAGACATTGTACATGTTATCAATACTGACATTTCTCAAGGAAGCTTTGTAAAGTTGCAACCTCAAAGTGTCAACTTTTTGGATATTAGCGATCATCGAGCAGTTTTGGAAAGCGCACTGCGGAACTTTAGCACGCTTACGAGGAATGATATCTTTGAAATTTTATATAATGGCGAAGTTTTTAGGATCAAAGTTATTGATGTCCAGCCGGATGACTCTCGCGGTGCCGTGTCAGTGATTGAAACAGATTTAGTCGTTGACTTTGAGACGCCTGTTGGGTATGAAGAGCATTTACAAGAAAAGGAGAAAGAACGCGTCGCCTCGATTAAAGGAACGATGATTCATAGAATCAAGTATAACGATCTTGTGAAACAAGGCCAAGCTTCAACGATGAGAGGTACCGGTTCTAAATTAAATGGAAAACAGATAGAGGAAGAAGAAACAGCTGAAACTGACAAGTTTGACAACTTGGAACAGCAAGAGTGCCCGGCGCCTTTGAACTTGCCGATTGGTGCTTACTTTTTTGGGTATCCCTACAAGCCGCCTACTGGAAGTGAAGAAGCCGCTACCAAAAAACAATCTCACACCTTTCAAGGTGCTGGAACTTCTCTTCGTTCGTCCCGCAATGCTGAAAAAGGTCGAGGAAAGAAATCTAGTTCTGGTTTAAAGGATGATCCCATCAACGTTGACGCTTAATGACTCCGTGTTTGACTCAATGATTGTAATTGATACTTTTTCACGAAAATTTTATGATCTCGAACCTTTCTCTATTTTCTTTTGATGTCATAGAGCTTGTTGAGCAAGCTCTATGTCGCGCTTAGGCATTGTATGTTAGGGAATAGTTGCATTAACAATAGAAGCATACTTTTACAAAAGGTTACAGTGGATTTACAGTACCTGTCTGAATTTATTCTACACTTTAAAAATATCGTATATAGTTCGTATTATCTGCTCTACTAGACTAAGGATAAATTACGTTGTTTACTTTCAGGGCTGACCAAGCTGAAACGAAAACTACTACGTCCGACCATGCACCTGTGGGCCCTTTTTTCTTCTTTATTCCTGTTTTAGCGACATTATAAGCCATGTCCTTAACTTACTCTAATATGACCTACCCTATGTAACAGTGACTGCTTTTTGGATGAATTAGTTGTGTAACGCAACACACGAATGAACTCTACAGCTTCCAAATGTCTGTTGCATCCAAGGTATGAAGAAATATTGGCAATGGTTGAAAATGAGGAATTTCAAGGATAGTTTTGTCGTTAAAAGGAGTTGATTTCTTGGGATAAACGAAAAGTAGAACATTTTTTGGGTTTATGCGGAAATGAACTGAGAGATTGTTTAGACGAATAGTTTAAAAAACCAAGCAATTCCTAGACGGGAATATTAGGGAACAACGCTAAATTGGTGTCGTCTGCTAGCGAATGAATACGATGAAATGAACCATTTGCCGAGAATTCATTAAAAAATATATATATTTGGGCAGTAATGTGTTAACCACTCTTTTAGAACCTCTTTGACCTCCTCGGAGAGGAGACTCCCGCAGCAAACGCTGACAAGAAACCCAGCCACCGTGAGAAGAAGGAATCTTCTTCTCCTATGCCCCGTGAGTTGGTTGCTCCAACTACTTCCTCCAAGAAACGTGATTCTAACCAACCTACTCCCCGTGAACGCACTGTCGCTAAGAAGGCCGATCAGCCTCGCAGACCTCGCCGTCAACCTCAAGGCAATGAAGCTTTCATCCGTGAAGGTAAGGATGCTCGTTCCAACAACTTGTCCCACCCTGTAGATTCCTCTTCTGCTCCTACTACCCGTCGTCCTCGTCGTGGCCGTGAGAACGACCGCCGCAGCCAAACTGGTGTTGTGTATGTGAAATATGAAAGAGCTGTTAAAGTTTGTACTTGGCTACATAATAGAAATCCAACATGGATAACGATATGACACTCTTTCATTAGATATAGTATCTCGAGCAATAACTAACATTTTTTTTAGTGACACCACTAAGCAAGTTAACCGTGGTTGGGGTGATGCCATTCAATCCGAACAAACTGCTGATGTTGCTGAAGATGAAGGCAACACTCCCTCTGGTGCTAACACCCCCGTCCCCAATGAAGAGGATTCTGTCAAGACTCTTGATGAGTTCCTTGCTAGCCGCAAGTCTACTGCTAAGCCCGTTGGCCGTAAGGTTGAAACCATTGACAATGCTAAGCCCATCCTAAAGGGTGAACCTGAGGACATCTTTGCTTCTGTCAAGAAGGGTGGTGCTTCTAAGAAGAATACCGCCAAGGAATCCAAACCCAAGAAGGTTGTTCTTGACATTGAGCAAACTTTCACCACTCGCCCTTCCCGTGGTGGTGGTGCTGCCCGTGGTGGTCGTGGTGGTCCTCGCCGTGGCAACAATGCCCCCAGAAACCAAACTTCCGCTCAAGCTCAAGCTCCTCCTACCCTTTCTGAAGCTGACTTCCCTGCTCTTGCTTAAATAAACTAAGCCGGCGTGAGAGCAGAACCGTTGCGACATGGAGCGTTTTATTGGTCTTGGATGATTTTTGTTGTCAAGCGCATATAGAAAAGGTTGATGTATTTTGCAGCCCTTTTTTTGTCTTTTCATTTGAGTACATTTTTACTGGTTTTGTAGAACCGGCAATGGTTTTCGTTTTGTACCTTCATGTTGATGTTAAAATATGCACGAGAACTTTGTCGTGTGTCTTTTCTGCTGAATGAATTGGCAAGGTCTTGACTATGTTTAAAATAGTTGAAGTATTAGTGTCAAAAAAGTTTTTTTCCACATCCTACTATATTTTTTTCTTTTTTATCCTGTAAGTGTCTGTTGGTAATATTGAGTAGTTTTAGAGTGGGATGAAAATGGGTATTGATTTAACGAATGGTATAAACCGAAAATAGAAAATATTATATGAATAGGATACTGTACCGGGATCAGAATGAGAAGAAGTAAATAAGTATGTAAAGTATCATGTAGGACATGCTGCTGTTGCTATTATAAAGGTGGAAGATCTGACAGAGTAAAGCCAGTGGTGTATCAACAGTATCCTGTTGAATGAATTACCATTTGTGTAAAGCCTTTTTGGTAACGTCAATCTCTTGTAATGAAATGGCTGGATGCATAGCCCTATATCATAATTATGGAAAAATTGCTTCAATGTCTACAAAAGACGTGGCCATTGATGAACAGATTAGCTGGATTTCATTCTTGTTTCATTTCTTTTTCTTATTTCATTTCTTCACCTTTGTTAGCATTTACTTGCTTTTGTTTTTCGTTTCTCTTTTTATTTATTAATGTATTGATGACATAAACATCTCGTTAATGAAATTTACTTGTAAACAAAAATTAAATAAAATACCTGTCAATGAACGAAAGAAAAATTTGTAGAATAGATCAAAAGTACTATCATTCTTTGTAACAGTCCACTCAAAAGAGAAAAGAAATAAAGCATACTGTGGGAATTTTATGGTCCTTACGTGAAACATTGCTCTTAATATCATAATAGTCATACACGATGAATTCAGAAGATTCCTATACTTTATTTAGTCCAGGCTTCATAACGAATAAAATAAATAAATAATATATTGTTCCAATACTCATTGAGATAGATTTTCGTACTCTGAAATGCAGTCGAACACAGTTGGTAAAATAATCGACAAGCAAAAATTACATAGTTCCGGTACAGTGTTTGAGGGATTACACGGTACGCTACAAAATAAATTCCATATTCTAATTCGAAAAAGAATCTAAATCATCTATGGAGATTTTAGCAAGCGTTCCTTTAGACCTTGAAGTATTCCTTGTAATGCGATGACAAGTAAGCATGATGATATATAGTGAATCCATACAGATAAAAGCAAACTGGGTTGTGCTAAATTTCAATACGAGAATTCATGAGCTCCGGAGTTTATAACTGAAAAACTTAGACGGTGCAAAGATGGTAACTGGGATTTTCTGTGATGAATTTAATCAATTCGTAACAAGTAGAGAAATCGTTAAAATCGAAGCTTCGTCTTTAATAATGCTCCCTTCCATCTCGAAAAGTTGTTATTTTCTAATAAGCCAACCCAGAAAAGAAAACCCTTTAAGATAAAAACCAACTGATATTTAATTGACAGTTCAATGAGATCAAGGAACTTTCCGACAATTGTAGTCTGACAAATCGACTCTTACTCTTTCCAGTTTCATAATAAATGAGGAGGAGTGAAAGGAATGTGGAGAAAAGCGTTTGAATGTTTCATACAGCTTTCTAATCATGTTTGGATTTCCATCCTGCATAGGATGTCTTCTTAAACTTAAGTATTTGCTAGATGTAAAGAAATACTTTGAGTCGTCAGAAATTATAGGATTGCTGTCTCGTTCAACTTTTAATATTCGTTTGAATCAATAAAAAGGGAATAAAAGAAGCGATATTTTTCCATTCACTAAAGCTCCAAGAATCCCTACATTTCCGTCCGTAGGACATATCGTACATTTCCCCAAGATCACATCTCTGCTTTAGTCGCCTTTACTTTGTGAATGCGAACAAAATCCTAATAATTTAATGCTTTCACGATTACATGAAATTGAAATACCAATTTAGCGTCCAATTTTCGCATCCTCAAATAGAGCAACTACATACGAATTTCAAACTTCTTTTCTCCGTTGAGATTGGTCAATTTTGCATACAACATTCCTTTTACTTGAGATTTATTATTATTATTTCCTTGGTGTTTTGTTTACGCGTCAAAAACGCGCGCGCTATGAAATCATATTTGTTCCTCGTGTCTAGGTAACATTGATCAGTCGCCTCGCGCACACGAAAACGCCAAACATTTTAGACAGCGCGCTAAGTAGCGCGACGCGTTGCTTCGTCGTATATAAACTGAACACTCTCAACCTTGTGTCTTGGGCGAATTTTGTTGTAAGCATCATTGTACATACTCTACGCGGCAATTCTAACCGGGAGCTTCGTATTTATTGTCGTTTTCTTTGTTTAGCCCAAGAAAGGCGGGATTGAACTAGAATGGACCCATTTTTGAAGCCTTCTACGCCATCGCGCAAGCAAGCAGATGGGGGAAACCGAGCCGCATTGGTAGAAATTAATGGTCAAGAGGATGCATTGCATGCGAATCTTCCGGTGACGCCTTTGCAAACAGCTCCAGGTAAGGAGAACACAGCCCCAGGATCAGTACCCTCTGCCGTGTTTCGGCCGCATAAGGACATATTTCCATTAGGGGAGCACAAGTCTCCCGTGAGTCTACGAGGAGTACCCAAAGATTATGAAAATGAAGAATCGCACTCTGTCTCTTCAACAAAAAGATCTATCTTTGATCACGAGGCAAATACTGACCAAGATATTGAGACCGAAGAACACTTAACCAAGTTTGCTGAACGCTCTGAACATATTCATGATATCAAAGCATGTGCCGAACACCTTCGATTGCGGCTGCAATTGGCCATGTACAAAGTCAAGGTCAATCAACCTTACTCTCCTCTGCACGATTTGCCCATTATCGCCAAAAACAAGCTACATCATTTACCGAATACTCCATGTATCACCTCCGTTTGGAAGCAAAAAACTATCCCTTTTGACCGTTCACCCTCTCCTCAACTATGTGAAGATAGCTTTTGCACAGTTGACTCGCCCACCAAGTCCACCCCCTCTAATACCAGACATACCCAATTGCACAGTCTCTTTACTCCCCAGTCATCTGGTTTGGATGATCTAGTAGCTGAAAATCAAACTCCTTCTCCTTTGAAAATACATCATCACCCTTTATCGAAAGCATCTTCATCTCACTCGCTTTGGGCTCGCCATGGAAAACTGACAAGAAGCGTGTCCCTTCTTAACAACCCTACACCCAAGCGAATTCGTCCCCGGTCTCTTTCAAAAAGTTATTCTACTCCTTTGAAGGCTTACAAAGGACTGAAAAAGTCCCCAGCAAGCAATTCTTTCACAGGCCCTCCTACACCAATCTCTATCACAAACACACCCGAAAACTCCTCCACATGTACTTCTTACAAGAACCAAAGCCTTTACAACAAGACACCGATACAAACGCATGCCCCAAAAGGACGCTTATCTGATTTTGGGATGTTGAGGTAAATATCTAAAAACTCTATTCCGCCCGTTTCCATTATTCGCCATTTTTTAGAAAATGGCCCCTTGTTTCAGAGTGTTAGTAACCTTTTTTTTTTCGTTATTCCTCTTAACCTATATATACTATTCACACATTGTGTTTCTTTTCCGATGGTATCCCTATTTTAATTTATCTTTTTGGACCTACTATAATACTGTTCACGCTCTTTATTACCTTTCGATTGTACTCGTTCATCCTTAATTTACCCTATTGTTCATGAGCTTCAAAGAATAAAAATTATACTGAACATTTCACTTATTTCCTGTATAGTCTATTTGTAATGAACTCTTATGCACTCCAGTCAAAATTATCCCCTCCGTTGCAAGTCCAATACTTCAAAACACCCCGAACTACTTCTTTTGCTCGCTGCCGATCGGCATTCGTTCGTTTCCACTCCTCATAATTTTTTTTCTCTAAACTAGGATGCTGGACATCTTGCAAGATGCGCATCATAGCCTTTCTGGAAATTATAGTTTGCGAACGATCGGTATCTTTTGCCTTTTTACCGGCTTGAATACCATTATGAATAACTTGAGTTGTATTCAACTGATTCCCGATCCATATTAGAACATTCGTGCTGGTAGCAATACGGATACCTGGATCTACTAATTTCGAGAATGAAAATTTTTTTTTGGTTGCTAATACCTGAAACGGTTGAAACGTGTAATTCCCAGACACTTGATTCAAAAGTCCCATACATCGACCTGAGGGACCAAATGCTCTTTTCATCGACGTATTAACAATTGCGCTTTCAGGAAGGACTAATGACGATAAGTATATTGGTTCAATAAGCAAGCTTGTTTGCGCATTCAAAATGGAAAGGTATTGTTTAGAAGAAATCTTGTCTGAACAGCTTTTGCTCCAACTGAAGGGAGCATCAGCGCGACCAGGTTTCGTTCGTACTATACCCAACTGGCCAAAGTCAGTTCGGCCACGCATGGGTTGGTCTGCTAGTGAAGCCATGTTCCAAGGTTCACTATTTTCTAAGCTGTTTGCTAATAGCTCCATGCTTGCATCACCGCATGGGCATTCTGAAACATATAGATGGAGCTTTAAATTTGGTTTCAAACAGAACTTTTTCTCATTTCTCTTTTCCAAAAGCCATGCTTTACTTGGTTCATCGTTGTAAGATCTGCAATGTTCTAATAGAAGCCTTAAATGAGAAAACATTAGTACCTTCCTTAAATAAATAAAAATCGTACCGGTTAAAGCATCGTAAAGCTAGTACCTCAGCATGGCAATCATGTAAGACACTTCCAAATTGATTTGGTTCAATTTTGGAAATTGGTGTACTGATGTGAATTGTAGTTAGTGCATGATTCTGATATTTCAACAATCTCTGGGTAACGCCGACTCAGAAATCTTTTAAAGGTTTAAATATACCATTTTACACCAGTTCTAAGAAAAATGTCAGTAACGCTCTGATTTCCAGACCCACTTACGATAAGTCAACACAAGTGAATTTTTTTTCTTTCGTATCTTCAAGGACAACTCCAGCTAATGTTGTCCATTCACGAACTCCATTAGCCCTTATAATAGGTTTTCCATGTGCAGGAAGACGATTATAAGCCTCCAAGACACACTGCGCGACCGTGTCTGGCATTTCATCTCCTACTGAGCTTGCAGGAATCCAAAATAAGCTCATTTTGTTTAAATAATAAGATATGTAGTTTACAGTGTACCAAAAATGAGAATTAACTTTAGTAGTTTAGTAGAATTTAGCCTATGCTGTCAAAAATGCCTTGATACTTAGCAGATGAGTATGCAGAGAATTGCAAAGAGAATTTTCGAAATATATAATTGTAAACTTTAAAGAAATTCAAAGGACGATTTTGTTTTCTGTTGACAGGGTTTAGAACACTTCTCTCATGTTGGTGAAACAGATCGACGAAGACACCCTGCCAACCGCCAAAATCATAAAATGTCGCTTTTTGGTCAAGCTACTGCAACAACAGTTTCCTCTGCAACAGGAGATCTAAAATCAGATGTAGAGGTATGTTTAAGGTCAATACGAGATTCAAAGATCACTAATAAACAAAGGTTCCACAACCCCCAGAAGACTCTATATCAGACTTGGCGTTCTCACCTCAGGCTGACTATTTGGCTGCTTCTTCCTGGTAAGTATTATTATTACATTTATGAATTATGTGCTGCATTTATCCTGTTTGCCTGTGAAGAAGAGACTCAGTGATGACAGACAATTATCATCGTACTTATGTGCTGTACTGTATCGTTGTGAAGTCAAAATAAAGAGTTTTTAATGAATTATATTGTAGCCATATATTGTTAAAGAAGATATTTCTCTTTATAATTGTTTACGAAAGCTGTTATGGTGTTTTGTTTGCTCTCACTTACTTCTTCAAATATATTCATGATCTTTTGAACTTAAGATCCATTCTAACACTAAGCAGGGACAATAAAGTCCGCATTTATGAAGTCCAATCGACTGGACAATCTGTTGGAAAAGCCTTATATGATCATCAAGGTCCCGTTTTGAGCGTTCATTGGTCTCGTGATGGAACAAAGCTGGCTTCTGGTAGCACCGATAAGTCAGCAAAGGTTTTCGATATCCAAACTGGCCAGCATCAACAGGTCGCTGCTCATGACGATGCAATTCGATGTGTCCGCTTCGTCGAGAGCGTCGGCAGTCCCCCCATTTTGGCCACAGGTTCCTGGGATAAAACTTTAAAGTATTGGGATCTTCGTCAACCAGCTCCTATTGCTACAGTTAGCCTTCCTGAGCGTGTCTATACTATGGATTCTGTCCATCCTTTGCTTGTCATTGGTACCGCTGAGCGTAATGTATGCGTCGTAAATCTTTCTGAACCCACAAAAATATTTAAAGTTGCAATGAGTCCCTTAAAATTTCAAACTCGAAGTATTGCATGCTTCGCCAAAGGTGATGGTTATGCTATTGGTAGTGTCGAAGGAAGATGTGCCATTCAAAATTTGGACGAGAAATTTCAGAAAGATAACTTTAGTTTCCGATGCCATCGTACTCAAGGAACAGGAACATCTGATGTTTACAGTGTTAACTCTATAGCTTTCCATCCCCAATACGGAACATTTTCCACTGCTGGATCAGATGGTACTTTTAGCTATTGGGATAAAGACAGTCATCAACGCTTAAAGAGCTATCCTAATGTTGGTGGTCCAATTGCTTGCACTACTTTCAACCGTACTGGTGATATCTTTGCTTATGCCGTCAGCTATGACTGGAGCAAGGGTCATTCATTCAATACCCCTCAACATCCTAACAAGATAATGTTACATCCTGTCCCTCCTGAAGAAATGAAGCCCCGCCCTAAAAGGAGGTAATTTTAACGGTTTCTATTAGTTATATATACATCACGTAAATTAAAATTCTGATTTCAAAACTCGGCTTTTATTCTTGACTGACCTCTTAAGGATGCAGTAAGTCATTTCTGACTTTTGGACTTGGAGGCCATAAAAGAAAACAAAAAAAAAATTCTCTTCGACTTTTTGTATACGTACTCTTAATGGTTTCTAAGGGACAGGTCCAGTAGCGGTAATCTAGACACAATACTTACTTAGTAATGCGTCTATGTAAAAGCTGCACAGTTATCTAAACAATTTTTGGCTTTGTAATGTCATCCTTGACGGTTTACAAATACTTATTCATGTTCACTACATTTGGAGTCATACAATTTATGAAGAGGCTTCTTGATTTAATTTTACGACGAGGATATAGTTTAAAATAGATAGCAATTAGTGAGTCATAATTAAATGGTTATTAGCAAGGATAATAAATCTTAAATAACAACTTGTCACGGTTTAGACTCTGTGTCCGTTGAGTTGGATGAAACATCAATGACAGGATCTGTATTTTTAGACCGGAAAACTTCCGAACGTTGAGAGGCTTTTTCAAACCAATCATTAAGGACTGCTTGATCAAGTTCGTAACCGAGTTCAAGATCAGATTTTGTAAAGACAGCACCCAACGCTTGCGATTGATCATGAGCTATCCGTTGTTGAATCTCTTGCTTGGCTCTCAAGTTGTAAAATTCGTGTCTAGCTTGATCATAAGCACTCTGTACATCCATCTTTTTATTTTGAGTTAGCCACATCGTTCGTTGAACAACATTTTCACCTGTGAGCGCTTTTCTAGGCTGATCTAATTGGCTCCAATCACAGTAGAGATGGTCGTTGCCATCATTCTCAGTAATAATCTGAGGTCGTGCCAGTTCCCATGGATGATCTTGATAAAACTTCTTACGAAGTCTATCTTCAGGCCAGTGGATGGATTGCGGGTGGTACATTTCCTTGTTGGCGTTTTTGGATTTTCGAACTTTTGTCGAGTAAAGAGGCGTGATTCGGTTTAAATACTGAGTAGCCGGAGGATACTTAGCAACGGCGCTATACCAACAAGGGGAATCTACCCATGGCTTTTTAACTTGTGCTGCAAAGTTGCGGAGAATGGAGTTTGCCTGATGCTTTGACATATTACGAATAAAAAAGGAGATTATAAAGAGAACTTTAAACTTTATATATGAGAGAAAACAAACCAGTTATACAAAACACAATGTCGACAGCAAGGATCCGTTTTTAAGTAAAAGACATGGAATCAATTTTCGTTAGAGATATTTATATAAAATCGATCAGCTAACACCAATGAATATAAGGGGAACAAAAATAAGTAAAAAAGATATCAAGAAAATGAGTGTCTTCCTTGAAAATTACAGTAGTGGTTTCCTACAAATGAAGTCGATGGGTAGTCAAGTAACGGCGTTACTTAGGTTTGTTTCGAAATAAAACAAAGGTTCAATGGAAAGAAAAGTAGAAGCCTTTTTAACGTCCTGAATTTCTTCTTTTTGTAGGTTGAATTTGACTTAAAGTGATTCTTTCATTCCCAAAAGCGAGACACTTTCCTGCGAAGGGAATTAAAGCAAGTACGGTTGTCGTTTGTCCTGTGTAATGCAAGGAAACGGGAATTCTTTGATGGTAAAAAGGGTTCAATGAGCTAAGAAAAAAGCATCTTTTGAGCATCATTTTTGTGGAATGGAAACTGCAAATCCCATAGCAGTTCATAACCAAATCAACATAAACTGAAGAGACTTACTGCAGTGTCGGACACAATGAAAAGATTTTGAGAACAAGAGAACAATAGCTGAAACCTCAAGTCGTAACTGCTAGCGTTAAGCTCAACATGGAATCTCTGGCAATGATTTTAAGTACTAGCATACCATGTGGAACCGGAAATTCAACTTCTCAAGACTCGGTGAAGCCACACTGAATTCAAGAAACGATATATTCACAGGCGAAATAACTAAAGACTCATTCGAACAGACGGAATTCGAGTGTTTACAAATCGTGAAATTTTGCACCTCAAAAACGAATTTGAATCGACCTATGTAAAGAATTAAAAAAGAATTGAGCTTTTAAATCAATAAAAGAGTCAAATACGTTACTAATTGCTGCTTTTTTGTTGAAAAGGAATATAAACAAAAGAAAAAACAATGTTACCTGTACAGGAAAGCACAGGCCTCTGATGGAGCTATCCTTTCCTAACACCAGAAACCAGAGTCCTTTGAAAAAGTCATTAATCCCTTATTTAATATACTTTTTTTAGGGACGATACTGGGTTAATGACATGAATGAGATAAATTGTCAATTTTTTACGGTGGAATTTGAATGTTCGTGTCATTAATACTCATGAGAAAAAAGCAAAGCGCTTTCGGCGGATCTCGACATTGATTTTCTCCAAATATTAGATTTATACCCCTCTCTTAATTTCATTAGTCGTGTTTTAGCTTCACTAGTCAAATTTCTACTAGAGGAACACACATTTCATAAAACCCCCATTCCTGGGGATAGTGATATACTGGGTTCCTGAAAAAAAAAGAAATGCAAAGTTACCAAACATCCGTACTCTCTGCATGGTTTCGGCATGTACGTTCCCCGCAGGCTGTATCGGTTTCTTGGAGTTACCGCCTAAATAGCAAATATTGGCATAGCGCGCCTTTCCCATTTTTTAATAATGGTATGCATCCCAACTTTTCGATGATAAGAACTTCTGAACCGCTCGTTAGTGGACAACCTACAAAAACTGGATCTTCTGCTTACTTTGAGTTAAGCGGATTAGCTCGATTTCTATCAAAATACCCTTTTTTCCGACAAAAGAATCATCATGATGTATCTGAGCTTGTACAAAAACTGGAAACCTTAAGTAATTTTGTATTAAGCACACCATCTTTAAGGCAATTCTCTAAAGACGAAAAGAAAGAATTTCAACAATGGGTTTATCAGTATATGGCCAGCTTAATATCTGAGTCTTCTGCACTAAGCTTGCAGGCTTATCAAAAGCTGAGCCCTTTGGCCCTGACTTATGTTACTGCTCACTGGGCAAAGATAGCTAGCGAAAGGCACTTACATGAATTCCTTCACACTGTTTTGTTTTTTTTCTGGAGAAATTTTCCGCATCGGAATCAACACATTCAGCTTTCATGTATACGATCTTTAAGAATAATTTCTGGTATCACACAGTGTTATCGGATGTTTTGAAACTACGATACTTTGAGTCTTTGATAGCCTATCATCTACAGCATCCAAACACACCAATGCCAAAAGAGGCTTTATATGCTTTAAAGAAAACTCTTTTTCCAAAACAGCCAGATTCTACAACCATGGTGCCTATTTCCTTTCCCTCCGATTTGCAATTGAAACATGTTTTTGACTTTCTTTCTCATATGGCTGCTTCTACCAAAGAAATCTTTTGGGCGAATCAATTAAGCAGATTATGGATCAACGCTGGCGTGGGTCCATTACCAAAGCACTCTTTTATTTATATTCTTCAATTATATTCGAAACACGGACTTTTGAAAAAGATGCACAACCTACTTAATGCTTGTGGCCATAGTCGGTACCTCTATGATCACCACGTTTTGTCAGCGTTTAACAACTGCTTTGCTAGAACTGTTGATCCACTCGTAATCCACGAGACAGTCAATGCTTGGAGAAGCAAATTTGCCAATCGCTATGAAGTGTACTTGCCTTACATATACAAGTTTTGCATGCATTCTTTTCTAAAAGAGAAAGAATTCCAAAAAGCAATTTTGTTTTTTGGCGAAATACCCCAGAAATATCAAAATGAATCCATTGTCGCTCAATTTTTGAAAGCACTTACTGGTGTCTGCCAATTTAATGAAGTACTATCAATTTTTCACACTTATTACTCTGGTGATACCTTATCGTTATTAAAAAATCAAAAAATATTAAATACTGCTCGCAAACCTTCTCAGTATGTATTTGGTATTCGTCCGAAATCCTTGGATGTTTCTCCTACGGCTAGTACGGCATTGGCAGTAGCCATATGTTATGTGCTGAACGATGCAACGGAAGTTTACAAAATATTAAAAGCCGCTCTTTCATATTCAGAAAAAACGATGCCACTTCACTGTAAATCCTACCATGTTTTATTTAATGGTGTGCTGAAATTGCCATATTCGAGTCATGAATTAGCGCTTCAGTCGTTCTCTTTGCTAAAACTTAGGAGGAAATCTTACATAGAGCAGAAAATTGAGTTTTACAGTGTACTCCTTTCTTATTTTGTTTCTGTTGGGGATTTTCCTCATGCGCTTGAAGTTATACGTATTCTTTCACGAAAAAGAAATGGATTTACTATACACACATGGAATTGGTGGCTCTTATCTTTATTACAATTAAAGCTTTATGATCGAGTAGTTCGTGCTTACTACCAATTTCAACGCTCCAAGGTTCATCCTAATGAACGCACAGTTGAAATTATGTCAATGCTACCCAGCACTTATCAGTCAAAGTTGAAGGAGTCTAGGTTAAAGGGGTAGGGCTCTTTTGTTTTGGGAAAAAGCATTACAGGAAAAAAAGAAATCACCCGACATAACCTCTAGTGAAGCACTTTGTTTTTTAGATGCATAACTATTGAAAAAGTATCATGCACTTAAAACTGTGTGTTTTATGAAAATTGCTTTTTAGAAACTAGGTTTATTTAAAAGTTACGCTGGATTCATCTACGCTCTTTACCTTGTTAACACTTTTTATTTTACGTTTTTGTTATGTACAACTGTTCATTTATGCCATCACCTATCTACTTAATAAAACGGCTTTTCTTGAATCGATCTGGAATTCTTTAACTTACTGTTTGATTCCTGATGTAAAATTATATGACTGACCGTCTTTAGACACCAAAATTGAGCATTTACCACCAAATTTTGTCAAACCGCTGATATTACCAAGCGCTGTTTAGATTATATAAGTATTATATTATAATATCTTTATAATCATACATTTTGGTTTTTTATGAACAATGTTTCCACAGCAAAAGCAATTTCCATGAAAGTAGATGAATATGCAGTAAAGGATGAAAAAGAAATCTCGACCTCAAACGAAGAATATAAGTTTAAGGAAGGTAGCGGCAAAGAATTGTCTGATTTCAAAAATTTGAGCAAAAATCAAAAGACATCGACGTTTGCAGAATCTTTAAAAAAATTTCAATATCCTTTAGAAAGCCCAAGGTTTAAGCACGAAGAAAGTGTGGACGTGGATCGTCTAGGTGCTGATTTCCCTAATGATGAAAAAAATGAATTGCTCGATTCTACCCTACAAGTGAAAAGAAAGCGTGGACAAAGTGCTTTGGAACTAGAATTGGAAAAAGGGTCTTCTATAAAGCGAACAACCAGAAAAACCACAAATAGAATCCAAAAAGGTTCTTTACCTGAAAACCTGCCTGGAGTACCCGACCATATACTTGAAAATCCCTATGCTATCCTAGTAGGTCTAAATCCTGGATTAACTTCTTCTTTGCGAGGTCATGCGTACGCTTCACCGAGCAATTCCTTTTGGAAAATGTTGAACAAGAGCGGTATTTTGGAAGAAGGTGCCGAGTTTACATACGAGAACGATCAAGATCTTCCAGTCCATGGTTTAGGGATAACAAATATTTGTGCTCGACCATCAGCCAGTGGTGCAGACTTAAGCAAGGAAGAATTCCGCGAAGGCGCTTTTATATTGGAAGAAAAAGTTCATCGGTTTCGTCCAAAGGTAGGCCTGTTTATTTCCGGAAAAGGAATATGGGAAGAGATGTACAAAGCTACCACAGGAAATAAGCGACTCCCAAAAGATTTTAGATTCGGTTGGCAGAATGAAACTTTTGGAGGCGCTCGCGTGTTTGTTGCTATTAGCTCCAGTGGACGAGCTGCTGGATACTCCAATGCCCAGAAGCAAGAGCTTTGGAATCTGTTCGCTAAGGAAGTTAATCTCGCTCGCGAGTTTGATCGCCGCAATCAATGAAACATGAGTGTATAAAAGGACCCTTCTGTCTGGATGTACTTATTTTACGAATAGATGAAAAGTTGTTTGTCCTCACAGATTTGTAACGAGTTGTCAAACTCCCTTATCACTTACTCATGATTCCCACTCCTTTCAATTAAGATAATAAGTTGCTTTCTTTAAATAGGCTGGCTAGCTTACTACAGTTTCAGGTTTCCTTTCATCTGCCAGCAGATGATCTTACGAAGCATAACCCAAAAATGATACGCTATAATTTTGGATCTTTTGCATTTTATCTGCCTATTCTTTTTACTATTTATTTTTTTTTATTTATCTTACAATTAATGAGTTTTCTCTTTCGCATACTACATATCGACGTCATTAATATATCATAAATTAGTTCACCTCTATATGAAGGCAGCTATGGCTATGATGGACTTAGCCAAAACCACACTTTTTATTTAATTCTATAGTAAATTATTTAACGAAAGAAGAGCTAAATTTCTGTTTAGCAACAATTGAGCTTTTAGTAATTGGAAATATGAACTCGATTGACGAGACACCTACCAAAGCTGCTTGGGTTTATAGCAGCACTGGACAACCACGGGATGTTCTTAAACTTGATAAGGAGTTTCCCAGTGAAAGAAACAAGCATTTTAAGCCTGATGATGTCCTGGTCGATGTTGTAGCTATGAGCATTAATCCCGTTGATTACAAGCTTATGCAGACTTACCAAATACTGCACAAGTTCATGCACAAATCTCCTGCCATTCCTGGTTTTGATTTTGCTGGAAAGGTTGCTGCCACGGGCCCTGATGTTAGGGGTTTGAAGGTAGGCGACCGTGTTTGGGGAAGACAATCCATGGGCCGCTACAAGGATCAGGGAGGAACTCTCACAACCCAGATTCTTACTGATACCAAATGTTTATACACTCTTCCCGAGTCGATTAGCTTCAATGATGCTGCCGGTTATGGTATAGCCGGTCTCACTGCTTGGGAGGGTTTGGTCGACCACATGAAGATTGAGCCTGGTCAAAAGGTAGTCATTGTCGGCGCTAGTGGTGGTGTAGGTACTTATGCTATCCAACTGGCAAAGGCTCTTGGTGCGGAAGTGACCAGCATCAGCTCAACCACTAATTTGCAATTGTGCAAGTCTTTAGGTGCTACACATGCAGTTGATTACAAGTCAGAAGATGTTGTCGCCAGGTTGGCCGAATTGGGTCCCTATGACCATGTTTTCGATTTAATCAATGACAATGGTCTTTACCGCGCTTCTTCCAAATTTATGAAACAGGGAGGTGCTTTCTATGGTATCGCTGGCGATATTACCATGGGATATCTGGCTAGTGCTTTATCTCGCAAATTTAGACCCAGAATCTTGGGTGGTAGCTCTCATCCTTATCATGATTACCTTTTGCAGGCGGCACCAAAAACTATTAAAGAGTTCTCTGAGTTTGTATTTCAAAATGGAATCAAAACCGTTGTTGACAGCGTTTACAACTTTGATCACGCTGTTGCTGCCTTCGAACGAGTGGCTTCTCACCGAGCTAAGGGAAAGGTTATTGTTAAGATGGATTAAGTGTTTCTTATTTTTATGGATCTGTCAAAGGTTTATGTGCTGATTTCGATAATTCTTTTTACATAGCATGGATTGCAAAATGAGAGGATAGTACCCAATGGATGAAGCTACATGATGATAACAATTTGATGATGTCTTATTTATGAAATAGTTATTTTTTTTTGTATTTTTTTGTTTCAATATAAATGGTGGAAATTTACTCATTGGTTTGTCAAAAAAGTGTATTGAATTCGTGTTCATGTTAGATTCCATTCAAATAACTAAGCAATATATATATATTTATATATCTGGTACTGAGATTTCAAGGAAAGTAGTGATTGTAAGAAATGAATTACATTAAAGGATATCCAGAATTGATGATAATTAACAGTTATGTTTGGGACTGAGAAGCGGAATTAGCGGTGGAAGGAAGGGTGGAAACGCTCGTATTTGCCATTGCCGTAGTAGAAGCGGCAATCTTCTCTTCCAAAGCTCTCAATGCGTCTTCGCGTGCTAACAACTGGCGACGTTTCTCTTCAATTTCACGTTGCACAGACAGTTCAATTGCCCGTAATCTATCTTCTCGCAAAACTTGGTCTTGTTGATTACCTGAATTAACATCACTAAAAGAGGAGGTACTATCCATTGCCAAATGCGAGGCAGACAATTTTTCCGTACGGTATGTCTCGTAGAGCTGATTGTTGGTGATTGATTGCAAGTCCTCCAAATGGGAAGAAAAAATAGCAGAACGCAAAGCTAAGAAGTCTGAATGAGAAGGATTATCGACATCTACAACGCCCCAAGGGTAGGCACGTCCGCGGATTGTGCTTCCATTAATGTCGATTAAACGGTCCGAACTTACAATTGCAAATGGCATTTTGGAGCGCAAACTCTTGCTCAAGGAAACTAACGCTTCATCATCTTCTTCTTCATCATAAGGGAAATTATACACAGGAATATGATAGTATGCAATATCATCAAGGATCATCTGCTTTGTAGCTTTAAGTTCTTCAGCGGTCAAAGAATCCGCCTTTGCAACCACGGGAATCACGTTTACCCGGGGTGCAAGTCGTTTCATCAATTCGATATCTAATTCTCTAAGGCCATGGCCTGTAGGGGAGATAAAATAAATGAGTGCGTGAACGCGCTAATTGTTGTTAGCTTAAATGATGAAGAATGCATTTGTAATGAACAAAATGATTCATTTAAAATAGACATACATCATCACAGAACTTGGCATTTCGCTTGATTCGTGTTTCTTCTTCCAAGACATTGTCGTATTGACTTTCAACGTATTGAAGAATAATATCAAAATTATTTTCATTATCAATAGCTTCATTAAAATGAGGAGTATCCAGAATCGTCAAGCTAATTCTAAATCCATCCTCCAATGTAATATCTACAACTCGTTAATAACAATGTTCACAAAAAGACGCGAATTCAAAAAGCAATGGGTGTTTTCAAAAGCAAAGTAGATGCAAAATATATTTTTAAATGCAGAAAGCTTTCAAAACTAATCCCTTTTCTTATGGAGAGCATCATTTACGCGCTTCCGTCTCTTCATTCATTATGAACTCTCAATCTAAGAGTCGCTTTCGGTTCAAGCCTTACCAGTCTGATATGGAATGACCTCCACTGGAGACATTGAGGCCGCAGACGAAGGATCAAAGTTGGCATTGTCGTTTCTAATCAATGGTTTTTCACATAAAGTGTTCACAAAAGCTGTTCTACCCAAACCAGCGTCTCCAACAACGAGCAAATTAAAGGGAACTCCCTTTTTAGACGTCTTCTTAGCCGTTCTCATTTTCTTACCAAGGATACACGACTATTCTCAAAAACAAGTGTTTGCTAAAGAACGAAACGCGTATGCAACTAAGTGCTGCTTTGCACCTTCAGAAATTAACGATTCCGAGCAAACTTCGTAGATTACATTTAAAGAAGTACATTAGTAAATAAAAAGCTTTTAGTTGGACAAAAGTTAAACAAAGCACTTTTAATTGTTTATTCCAATAACCTTTTATTATATATACAAGTATCTAAACTGTATGTAATTATACAAAACGCAAAGAATACGTAAACGATAAAGGACAGCAAAAAGTAATGCCTTAGAGGATCTTAGCAGGAATAAAAAGACTTGAACGCTAGAAGCTTCTCGTAAACACATTCAATACATTTCTAGTGTTCAGCATTCAATGAAAGACAAATAAAAAACCTGAAAACACAAAACAGGCGATTCAAAAAAAAGATGGAATCATTAAATGATCTATATACCTTTCAACAAGTCAACGAGATATAACAATATTCCAAGATCATTGATTTTTTAGAATTGGAAGCTGCTAAAGCCAGGGTAGCCTCCGGTGCTAAAACCTTGAGAATAGAAGCCACCGCCAGGGAAACCACCAGCACCGAAGCCACCGCCAGGAAAACCACCAGCACCGCTGGCTTGATAAGTACGAAGAATGTCATAGGGGTCCATACCGGCACCTTCCGCACCCATACCGCCCTCTAAGTCAGCACCAGAATCAAAACGACGTCTGCTTTCGGGGTCAGACAAAATACCGTAAGCTTCACCAATTTCTTTAAATTTAGCTTCAGCCTTTTCATCGCCAGCATTCTTATCCGGATGATAGACAAGTGCCATTTTCCGATAAGCCTTTTTAATTTCAGCATCCGTCGCGTTCTTAGACACACCTAAAATTTTATAATGGTCTTTGCGTTGAGATTTCTTCAATTCTAATTGCAAGCGGCGGAGCTCTTGGCGCAATGAGGAATCGCCTGAGTCTAAGTCAATCGCACTTTGAATGTCACGTACGGCATCCTCCCACTGTTCTAAAGCCTCATGAGCTTTAGCACGAGTCTTGAAACCCTTAACGTAGCCGGAGTCAATCTCTAAAGCTTTATTACTATCGTTGAGAGCTTCTTCTGGCTTTTTCAACTTTAAGAGTACCGTGGCACGGTTCATGTACAATTTGGCATTCGTGAATTTATTATCAACGTCAATGTCGAGGGCCTTGGAATATAACTCTTTAGCTTTATCAAGTTTACCTTGCTTAAATGCATCATTTCCTTGAGCCTTGGTATTTTCAAGTGAACGAACACGTTTAAAAAACGTTTTAGCAGAAGCGCAATCAGGATCCAATTTCAAAGCTTCTTGAAAATGCGTAATTGCCTTCGCGTTTTCTCCAGAATAGTAAAGGACTTGACCACGCAATACAAGAGCCTCTACATTTCTAGGGTTCTCACGAAGGAATCCGAGAGCAATCTTCTGCGCTTGACTTAAATCATTTTGACAGATATACACACGGGCTCTCAAGTACGACCATAAGGCTGGAGGCTTAGCAGCACCATCGAGGCGACGATGCAAGCGATCCAAAGCGTTAAGAGCTAGACCACCTTGCTTGTTTTTCAAATAAACCTCAGCTTCATTAAGTACGGATAATCCTTCCATGGCTTGGCGAATTCGAGCATGCGTCTTCGGAACATTACTGTTATACCGATCAGATTGCTTAGCATCACTTAATGCTAATTCAAACTCTCCCATGAGCATGTAAGCAGCTGCTCTGTTTGAATAATAGACACCTTTGGCGGTACCCGTTCCAAGCTCAATAGCAGAAGTGTAAGCCTTGATGGCTTCACTAAAGTTCTTTTTTCGATAATAATCATTTCCCACTGCCTTTTGTTCTTCTGCAATTTGCTCCACAGTTGCTTTATCACTCATTGGTGTCTCAACATGTTTGCTTTCCACATCTGTCATCTTGCTAATAACTCAAGCCACCTAATAATCCTCAATGAACCTCTCTAAGGAATAATTAACTAAAGAAGTACCGCCTTTTTGTATTCGCCAAAGCCGGAGAATTTGGCTAAAGTCTTTGTGGAGCTTACAATTAATTAAGATTGTCAAATTTTCCAATCCTTCGAATAACGATATGCAATGAGCATACAGTAATAAACAAATCTCTCAAACAGAATTATCAGGTCTTCAAATAGAATACATTTCTACCAGATCATCTTTAATGTTTCTAGAATTAGAAATTCTATAAGAAGCTGTCAGTTTTCTGGTTAGTGTGTTCCTTACAAGGTCTCCTAAGAAATTAAACTATCATTTACTCAGGGCTTTCTTGCATCTTTAACTTCAAACTCACTAACTAAATAAAAACCAATTAAACTTCGTTAACATCTCAGGTTATGGCTTTCCTATTCATTAATTTAGAAAAGTAAGAGGGTTACTTGGGTTACTCACTTGATTCCGGAAAGCGAGGCTTTGTAAGCTCTTCATGCTGAATTGAAGCGAGACCTGAAGAAATAATCCGAGACAGAACATCTTCGTTCTTTGGCAAAACACCTTCCGACACATCTGTTTGTAATTGTGTAATATACTTATTATAACGATCTGCTTCATCCTCCAATATCGAATGGAGACGCAAAGCTTTTAAAGACTGCAATGCTAAGTTGATGTCTTCCTTTGCAATGAGCCTTCGAACCACGCCCTCCATTTCAGAAAGAGCATCCTCCAATCCAAAAGGATTTTTTAATATTTCCTTAAACGTTGCCACAGGGTCCTTTTCGCTAACATGCAGGACTAATGTTTTATCTTCTTGTTCTTCAATACCGGCATTTAATAGCTCATCAATTTCTTGCTCAGAAATAGGGGCGCCGCTGTCCAGTGCTGTTTCCTGCGAAGCATACTTGGGCTCCAAAGGCTGTATAATAGACAATTTTTCAGAAACCGTGTCTAAATCCTTAGAGCACTTATCAAGCATATTATCTGGAGGACTAGTATACCGAACAACATACTCCGGTGGAGAGGGCAATTGTTTATTTGGAGACTCAGCGTAATGAGAAATCGCCTGCAAAAGTCGATGAGGTACAGCACTATATGTGTTTTCGGGTTCGAATTTTGGTTGAAAAGGGCACTCGGGGGAATCTAAATCCATATTATCAACATAATGATTTATAGCTTCGTCTAACTGATGCTTTTCATCAGGGTTAGACACTTCTTCGAGGTCTGGAAATTGATATGGTCGTACATCTTCTGCGAAGGGCAGTTGAACATCTACGAGGTAGTGTTTTTTTGATTCAACAAAAGGCATAAGTACAAGTAGAGTAGGAGCACCTTTTTCTTTCGAAACAAACCTTGCTAATGCATATCTGTGTTCACGTTCTAAAGATTGCACAAGAGAGGAAAATTTTTGTTTATTTCCCTCATCTCCTCTAGGAATAATTATATTTGAATCACTAATGGTATAGTAGAACGGAAGACTTGCTTTAGGTATAAATCCCAGAATTTCATAGCCTGCTTTTGTTTCCAACGCCAAAATGTCTTCATCAGAACGACTTATAGGTACAATTGTACGCCCATAGCTATAGCCACTTTCCAAATCTTTTCTATCCACTTCAAAAGCCTCAGTTGTTTGTGAATCTCGAACAACATAAGAACGAACTGTGGATACGGCATTCGATTCCCACGGTTTTTCCTGCGAAGATGAGAATTGCTCTTGATTTTCCTCTTCTTTAGGTTGCTTCAAACTCGCATTAAAGGCACTTGAGGTAGGAGGTTTTGTTAAACGAGTCCTCGGATAACGTTCAACATGCATACTTACAGAATTTTCGTTGTCCCCTTCACTGCCAATGGTTAATGATCCTTTAAATACAGCAATAGGTCGAACCCGATGCATACAGGGTCCTCCTAGGATTCTTTCCGCTTCTTGGAAAGTAAGGACTGTTCCTTTACAGCTATCGACAAAATGCTTTAACTGCGACTCGTTCTCTTTCTTCTCCGGGTCTTTGGAATGTTCGAAAGTTTGTGTTCCTGGATCATCGAAATCAACTCCTAACAAGCTTAAGTGAACTTCGTGCTGCACCATTTGCTCTGCTATTCCTGAAGAATCGCTAAAGTCGATGGTCCCTCGGGCGCCAGTAAGGACGATCATGTTTTTCCTCCATTTATTTTTTTTGCAAAATCGAGCGATAATATCAAAAGAGACAACGATCGCAGATATCAAATCGCCTTGCATTGTTCTATTGGGCACGAGTCTTCTCTTTGCAGACTGCAGTTTTGTAAATAGCGCCCTGACTATAGTTAGTTTGGTAGCTCAAAGAGAGGGATAGAAAGAATTTAGAAAACATACGTTTGAATTGGATACAGAACATTTATATTCCAGTAAGCTTCCTGCTCCGCTAAGTCATTCTTTGTTTCTAAAATTAGACATTAGATTTCATTCAGCCATCTTGAGTAAGAAATCCTTTACCATCACATTTATATGTCACGATTCCAATTACGTCGGTTTTTTTGTTTAGAAGAAGCTAATCCAAGTTAGTTTTTGAGTGTCAACATGACCACTTGCCTTGCGCGAGATTTGGTCCTGAAAATACGACAAAGCCCATTCTAAGTCCGTTTGTTGTCTGCCATGGTGGCAGTCACCCATGTCAGCACCCAAATCAATGACAAAAACTGTACATTCCTTGTCGCTCATAAACTTGGTGCTGTAAGTGCAGAATTGGGATTGATGGACGATGTCTTCCTGAGAAATAAGATTATGAAATAAGCAATCTACAACAACATAAGGATTAATTATCAAAAGGAAATGGTATAAAAACCTTTTAAGCAGTGAAGATAATGTTTAGTGTCATTCATGCAGAAAACGAATTCTTGGACTCTGAGCTGGTAATTCACTCCTAACCAGGAAGAATCTTTGTCTCTATAGAAAAGAAACAACTTTCCATTATTTTTATTTTTTGGTTTGTAGAATTCTGCCTTCTAAGTGTTAGCTTTTACACCATCGTCTCTTTTGTTTATTTCATTCTTTTATTTCGTTCGCAGCAACATCAAGCTCTATTGATTGTTAAGGTAATGGATTTCATTCGTGAATAATGAATGAAATCCTTGGAACGGTTTATGAGATACAAGTACTAAGCGCTCTGAACACTGGTGAAACATCTGAAGGGTTGAATCCAAATACTTACTTTACTATTATAAACTTCTAATGTATCTACGTCTGTAATGATTCAACCTACAATCCTAATCATTATGAACAATCAAACGATACCTTGCTATACACTACTAGAACCAACATTACTGAAAGATTACAAATATCTCTTATAACAAGCCAAGCATTTGGAGTAAACAAAAAGAAAAGAAAAGAAAACAATACATGCTGAAGAAGGTTCGTCATTAATGCTTTCTTTCATTTTATAGTAGGAGATCACCTTGGTCTGGAAATACTCACCACCATAATTTCATGCAAAGTAAATTATGGGAATAGCAAGTAATAGGAAAATAGATTTTGATTTTTCCCTTTTCGTGGATATTTAAGGTATTAAGTGGTGTATTCGTGTACAACGTTCTAAATAAAAAATGGTGCGCTTAACTCCACGTATAGTTGCTATTTTTCTCATCGAAAAGACTAGCTCTGGATCAAATTTTGTCTTTCAATGGCCGTCGCAACCTCAAGTCCATTTTCAAGACTCTCCCAGGTCCCCTGAAGATGTAAGCGTAGCCATGGATATACTGAAACTTGAAGATGAAGAAGTTCAAGAATTTGATGGCGCCGCAGATGAAAGTCATGTACTGGGATACGAAAAAGGATTTTTAGCAAACATGCTATCTCCACGTCCAGAATTGTGTAATCAAAAGTTTGAGATGTGGGTGGATGGCCTTACATTTTTAGGTTGCCCTGTTCATATTGGTCCTTCTGGTGAATGGGTAAAGCGTAAGAATCCTCCTAAAAATGTAGAGGTTTCTTCTTTGGTAGATCCGTTTGGAATAAAGGAAGATTCGACCAGCGCTGCTTCGGCAAACTTATCTGAGTTGAAAATTAATCAATCCAAGCCAACCTCATCTATGTCTCTTTTTCACGTCGTGTTCGTGTTAAACGTCCCTACCGCTTCTATTTATCGACCTACAATAAACACTATGTATGAATCTATTGTGGTTAAATTGGTCACAGGTCTAAAATATGAACAAGCTAAACGTAATTATGTGGAAAATGAATGCAAGCATATACGAAAAATGAATGAGAGGTATACTAATCAGAGGATCCCTTTCGACGATTTCTGTCGGGAGATTCCCTTGCATTCGAACCTTGCATCAATTTTAGTGACTACTTATGAAGCTCTAATACACCTGCACACTGCATATTTAGAGATCAATCATTCTATCAATATAACTCTGCTTTGGCCCATGACTGTCTCCGTTTCAAGTTTGGATAAATTAGAGTTGCAAGAACGTTCTCCTACGATTCTTGCATCTCAAACTATTTTCAATGAGGAAGAACCCTCTTTGATAGAGCCATCTGTAGCCCCCTACTGGTCTTTGCTTTTGCTACAAGATCTTGAATCTATTATGAAACGTCTTCCGCTTTCGCGCAACTCCTTGCTAGCTTCATTCATCACGGAAGCAAGACCTACTTCTACGTAAGATATTTAAATAGATATCTATTTTCATAATCTAACTATTTAGGTTTACTGATATTGCGAATTCTTTAGGTATTTCTTTATCGGAATGCTTTCTTTTAGCTAAGCATCTCATACATTGGAGAAAAGCTATAGCTATACCTCCACTTCTAATACGGAATACGTATGTTACTTCTCCGACAGCCGATCTTTCCAAACTTGAATCAGATGCCCGCCTCTTTGCACGAACGTTCCCAAGTCTCCCTTCCCTTCCTACATTTTTGGCTATTCTCTCTTTTAAACCGCGCCCATTTGTTTCTATCATACCTTCCAAAGATCATGAATCTACTTACTTGGAAATGTTAGCTTGGTTATGCCGGCGTAATTGGGTTTACGAACAGAATAGCTATATATATGTGTGCGTGACCCCAGAAATCAAGGAAAAAGTCAAAGAAGCCATCGAATCGCAAAGTTCAGAGGATCAAGATCCACAGCTACTTGAACAATTAAGGCAGGATGATGGGAGGGAATCCCTTATTATAGATCCTCATTCAGCATCTTTACTTGAACAAAAATGGGTCCAGGCTATAGCATACGAGAAAGGCCCCGAGCTGGCCTCACTGTTTCTTTCTGTTGTCAAGTATTTTAACGGAAGATACGCCCTTCAAACGATTTGGATTTCCGAAGGCTTACCTCGTAAATCCATGCGAAACGTATTAAACGAATATCAACATTATCTTGTTCGTTGGTATTCTTGGTAATTATAATGTATAGTTTTGCATATGTTCTGATTAATTAATTTAGTGTATATATTAAGAATGCTATTATTAAAAAAATAACTTAGTCGCTAGCTTTATAAATATTAGAATAATAATCAATAGATCCTAGAAATTTCCTTCAACGATATGCTAAAAGTCCCACATTTTCATCAAGAAGTTCTAAATCTTCCTTGTAAAACCATCTGGGCATTAAATATGTTCGAAACGGAATCAATAAAAGAATGACTATTGGAAATCCAATTGATGCTTTGTCAATTTGTGTAATTGCAAATGTCGCTCCAAAACCCAGAAGTTGAAGACAAGTATACAACCAAACTGCTCTACGCGATCGACAATGGTTCAAAACATGACCTTGTGATAGAACTTTTCGATCCCCAAACATCCAAAACAAATTCCTTGTTATATTATTACTTTCGATAGCAGAGAATCCCATAACCTACACAGTTAGTTTATAATTAAAGAAAAGCTAAAGCAATAAAAATACATACCCAGAATAAACCTGCCAAAACGCATTGAGGAATTTGATGTAAAACTATCAAAAGCGGTCCTGTCATAGTTCCCACTGTCATTAGTCCCTGGAGAAAGTTGCTTACTCTTTGCTCAATGACTCGGTCAATCACTACTTTTATTTTGCAGTCTTGCTTTTCTTCATCATCTTCTTCAATTTTTGTTACACAGAGGGTTGCTGTATGCATTGGCGCTTGGGGGATAAGGCCATTTGGAGCAGGTATACCGAGTATTCCACTAACACCAGTTGTAATTCCCAACAATAAAAAGTCCCAATGGAAACCGGAAGGTTTCTTTAAAGGAAACGAAGGATCCTGCGCCATTAATGACTTCATGAAGCGTTAGTAAAAATCAACCTTAAATCCTTACCGAAACATTATGATCAAAATAAAATAATATGGTCAGAATAATGGCAAAGGGAATAGCTAAGAAAACATCGCCTACGGAAATTTTCCAGAATTTTATAAACCAACTTCGTTTTTGGGTAGGGAAAAAAGCCTTCGACGTCGGCAGCTTCGATAAGTCTATTTGACGCATTTTTCCTATGTGTTGAAAGCCACTAAAGAAAATGATTGAAGCTACCAAGCCATAGTCAAGTAAGAAAACTCGGACTCTATGGTTGAAAAGAGATGAATTTCCGATATTATTACAAAGCCAACCAATAATTAGAAACAATAAGGCAATGGTTATTGCAAGAAAAGTATTGGTTAAGCCATATTGAAGCTGATCAATTAAAACTTGTACACCCTTTTCCAAATAAATAAATGCAACATATAAACCAAAAACTTCGCAACTAAATTTCGTACTTCAGGAAGTTAGTCGCAAAAACTTAGTTATTATAATACATACATGTGTTTGACAAAGTGCACGCCGTTCGTGAGAGCAATAATGCAATGAAAAACCATAGACCATAAGCAGATCCAACAGAGAAAAGGAAAATAAGGAGTATCTCTGTCATGAATAATGTTATAAATAGTGTAATTAAATACAGTAATCGGACCGGTTACACCAACAATGCATAAAGGCTGTGAAGATAAAAGGGAGAAAACAACTGAGCCAAGAACACTTGCTAGCAAAACCTCATTGACACCAAAACTATTATCTGTTTTCGCAAACATGTCTAGAGCAAATGCTAATTCGGGCAGTAGACTAACTATTAGCAATTGTTGACAAGAGAAGCTTTAACCGAATGAAAAAATACTTGTGCTATAGAATATATCCTGGAATCCATACTTTGCAAAATAAATATTTAAGCTTGCTGGCAAAATTCGATAGTGCCAAGCATCTCGCCAATCTGACTTATAATAGGGGACACGCTGACGGATATCATCATAGATTGATTGTCCAAGCATAAATTTAGGCTTTTTAAATTTTTTTCGACACCTTGTTGATTCCATTCTATTTCAGAATTAGATAAATTTGCCAAAAACTTAGTGTCTCCATATAGCTCTTACACAAGTAGAGTAACGGAACGTTACCTGGTTTTTGACGAAATTTTTGTGAAGTTGCATCGATGGCAGAATGAAGAATCGCCAGGTCATTCACATGTTGCTTTCATTTATATTTTTCCTATTCTTCAACTTTAAGAACAAAATAGAACCCTCTTTTTATGAGCATTCTCGAAGATGGTGAGATGAGAGGTCATACTAGGCAATAAAGAAAAGTATTGCTAACAAAGTGATACAACACATGTTTTCAAGTTTAGATACTATAGTAAATGGAATTGAATTTACGTCTTTGCATATATATTTTAAGAGACGCAACTAATAGGGCTCTGATGTCCAAGATTTACCCAGCATTAAAAAGTAATGCTTATACCAAAATACATATTATTTATTAAATCCTCAATGATAGTAGTACCAAAAATCCTTTTTGTTTTTCAAAAACCTTACACAGAAGGACAAAACGAAATACCATTATCCATGTACCCAAGTTTTTCCCTTTAGTTCTCTTTGTTTTTCATCTTTTGATTACTTTTAAGGCCCTTGGATTTTCTCTTTTTGTTTCGAAAATCATCGCCGGTACCTAAGCGACCACTGGCTATAAGTCTTTTTTCTTTTTGCTTTTGTCTACGCTCACCAAAACCACGATCAACCATTTCCAAAGAGGCTTGACGCTTAGCATCAGTCACCTCCTTCATACGCTCCAGAACCTTATTCTCAGATGCATGTTCATATTCGGTCATCATAGATCCCACACGATCTTCAATGGCATGAACCAATTCGACATCATGTTCTGTGACAACGGAAATTGCTTGACCAGCTCTTCCAGCACGAGCAGTACGACCAACTCTATGAATGTAATCATCAGGATCACGAGGAAGATCAAAATTAATAATTAATTGCACGGATGGAATATCCAAACCTCGACTAGCGACGTCTGTGGCCACCAAAATACGAGCAGCCTCAGCACGAAAACGGCCTAAAGAGTTAATACGTTCTCGTTGTGCCATTTCAGAATGTAATTCGGTACTTCGAAATTCCAATAAACGAAGCATTGAATAAATAAGCTCAGCAGTATGCGTGCGATTGACAAAAATAATGGCAGATTTTTCAGCATTTTCGGGAATCGAAAGTAAGTGTACCAAATAAGCCTCGCGGACGTGTGAGGCAACAAAAACATAATTTTGCTGCAAGGTGGAAGGAACCGAAATCTTATCGGATTCTACTTCATAAAGCCAAAGAGGAGGCTTATTACCTTTTGTTGGCTTTTCCTTTAATTGCCGAATTGCGTCTGTGACAGTGGCTGTAAATAGCAGAGTTTGTCGATTTTCTGAGGGTGGAAGAATTGAAAAACAGTCGTTCAAATCGTCCGCAAACGTTGAAGAAAGCAGTCGATCAGCTTCATCCATAACAAGAAACTTGACTTTTTGCAAGCCAGCTGTGGTTTCAGGTCCGTTGCTTCGAATTAAATCAGCTAAACGGCCAGGAGTAGCAACCACGACATGAGGTCTCCGTGATAATGCAATTGCCTGAGCTACCATATCCATTCCACCGACAATCAGCGTATGTTTCAAATTCATGTTAGAGCCAAGCGCAGCGAACTGTTCGTCAATTTGGATAGCCAGTTCCCTAATGCAAGGTTAGTAAGTAAGGTAAGGTTAAAGAGTTAAAGTTAGAGAAATCAGTACCTTGTAGGGGTTAAGACAACAGCATAAATTCCTAGTGGGTCTCTAGACCAGCTCTCGAGGATTGGAAGAGCGAATGCAGCTGTTTTACCGGAACCAGTTTTAGCACCGCCTATGCAATCATGGCCTAAATATCATCTTAGCAAACTAGTACAGAATAGAAAGCAAAATCAAACAGGAGAAGTCGTTTACCTTTTAAAATCTGAGGAATTACTCCCTTCTGGACATCTGTAGGTTTGTAGATAGCTAAAGCCTGTAATGTGTCAATTAGCCAAGGAGATACTCCCAGATCAGCAAATGAAACATCCTGGTTTACAGACATGTCAAGTTCACTCAAGTCTAGTAATTTACAATGCCAAACTGGTGGATTCTGTCAAAATATCTGCTTTTGTTATTCAACGCGAAATTTCAGTTTTCACCATGAATAGCATCGTTCAGCATCGGTATACTCGTTAATGAATATTAACGTAGGTTATTATTTTACTCGTCTTAGGAGCTGGTTTGTTTACTTTTTAAATAAAATGAAAAGTGAACGAAATTCATTTCGTTCAAGGTCAAGGAAAGTTTATAGCATTGCAAACTATTTATAAAGACAAAAGCTGAGAAAACAAACATCTGCAATTTACGCGTTGTTGTCCTTTTCGTGTTTGGTATGCTCCTTGAATATCGTTGAAATGACTTTTTATGATCCTACTTTAGCTTTTTTTATTTAATTTGTTTATTTGGTTATTCATTTATTATACTCTCTGGATACCTTTGCTTTTAGGATTTAAGCTCCCACGCGCCGTGTAAATTTAATTTACGAGCCTCGTGATTTACTCTCCGAAACGTGTACTCGACCACTACTCTGTTTTATTTTGATCGTGGATGCTTCTTGATAAAAGGAATATTCCTTAATTTTTTCTTCTTCTAGTTTGCTTTTTGTACTGACTCTTGGATTGGTAATGTCTTCTCTATGCGTCAGAAACCTTTATTGAATTTGGATACTAGTGATGGGTTCTCTGAAGAAAGGATCAGTCAACCTGAAAAACGTAACCAAGCAGAAATTCTGGAAATCACTGATATAGTTTTCTCGCCAAATGAAAAGCAATCGAATCCATTTGTCGACAAGCGAAGCGGCTTGGCAAATAATACTATACATTCACTAGAAGACATTGATGATGAGCAACTCGAAAACCTTGTAACCAATGGAGGAATTCTATACATGAATAGTTTAGGTGATGGTGTTAGCGGTTCTGTCCGAAAATGCAAGGTTCGTGGAACAGATCTAATTTTCGCATTGAAGGTATGTAAATAGGTTGTCGGCCTTTCCCGCCCTTTTATTTTTTGCTAATCAGTCGATGTAGACCGTCTTTAGCGCACCTAATACGACTGTACAACGCCAACTACTTCGTGAATTAAAGATTAATCGAAGTTGTGCCTCTCCTCATATTGTGAAATACTATGGTGCATGCTACGACATTGCAGAGTGCCAGCTAAATATTGCTATGGAATATTGTGGCGCTGGTTCCTTAGATGCTATCTATAAGCGTGTAAGCAGCAAAGGAGGTCGCACAGGTGAGCGACCTTTAGGCAAAATCGCTCATGGTGTACTAAGTGGCTTGAGCTATTTGCACGATCGAAAAATCATCCATCGTGATATCAAACCTTCCAACATTCTCTTGACTATGAACGGACAGGTAAAGCTATGTGATTTCGGCGTATCTGGTGAACTTGTAAACTCGTTAGCCGGAACCTTTACAGGCACTTCCTATTATATGGCACCTGAACGTATTTCTGGTTCTGCATATACTATTTCTTCTGATATATGGTCCCTTGGCTTGACACTGATGGAAGTTGCGTTGAACCGGTTCCCATTCCCTCCAGAAGGAAGTCCTCCTTTAATGCCCATTGAATTATTGTCATACATCATCAATATGCCACCTCCTGCTCTTCCTGAGGAACCGGGGATTACTTGGTCTAAGGCTTTTCGTCATTTTCTTTGTGTTTGGTAAAGTCGATTTTTTTTTCTTTTTTTAATTGTGCTAACTCTTTATGCAGTCTTATAAAAGATAAAGATGAACGTCCTGGACCTCAAAAAATGCTTTATCATCCATGGGTGAAAGCGTTTGAACGTATAGATGTGAATATGGAAGAATTTCTGCGTCAGGTATGGTTGGATTGATGACATGAATAAATCGAATTCCCTTACTTTATAATTCATTAATCTTCCTTGAATATAATTTTTTCCATTCCTTTTTTCGTAAAAAAAGGTTATCGATGTTTAGCTTTCTTAATTGGTCTTCTTCCTTGCTTGGAACCCATTCCTTTCGTTTTCGTTTTCAATTAAGTTCCTTTCATGAATATTTAGTCAAAGGTTTCTCATCGCTTTTTTTTTTCGAATAACGCTTGACTACACTACGATTTTTAATTTCTACTATTTCCTTCAACTTTTTTGAACCATGAACTTAATAATAATCAAGTTTTGTTCACAAATGCCTTTGTATCAATTTCGCTTCATAGGTTTTGGTAGCTAAAATAAATTGTATAATAAAAGGACATATGATTCAATTTTTTATAACTGCACCAATCCTTTCGTTTCGGCTTTGAGTGCTTGGATTCACCCAAACTACTGCGATTAAAAACGAGCTTTTTTTTTTAAGTCCGTGAATTAAGAAATAAAACTAAGATATATTCACAAAAGGAAAACACGTTATGTTCTTGTAATTATAATTGTTGGTACTGAGATCAATACTGAATCTACTTACTCCCAACACCTAATGGCTTTTGGCAATAATACGGTTCTTTCATTTTAGTCAAAAAAATTGATCTATTATTGTATTAGAAAAAGACAATTAAATAAAAATATTATGGCCGAAGACACTGCTTCCAAATATTGGAACGAAAGAGTCTACTTTTGGGGATTAAGACGCAAAGACATCTTCTTATTTGAAATTTATGCCACGACAATTCTCCTGGGAACTATATATGGTGGATTCCTTGATAAATCCAAAATCACAAACTACTTTGGCAATTCAAAAAACTTGATTAATATTTTGTTTGTAAAGAAAGGATGGTTTTGGACTACCGTCGTATATTTTTCACATATATGGAATCAAAGAAGTAAACGGTTCGGACACAAACTTATAATTCGTTATATATTGGCTACACTTTGGTGGTTTCTTGTTACACAATGGTTTGTTGGTCCAAGTCTGATTGATCGGGCGTTCGCCTTGACGGGAGGGTCTTGTATGGACTTTGATATCGGAAGTATTACTTTTCACCCGAAAACTGCGACTCACTGTAAAAGCGCAAAGGGATTCTGGACCGGCGGCCATGATTTATCCGGTCATGTATTTTTATTGACTCATTCCAGTCTTTTCATGCTCGCAGAAAGCTTTGATTACTTCAACCATTACGGTTTTAAATCTACATCGACAAAGCTTTTGTCTGGTTTGTTATGCTTATGGTGGTGGATGTTGTTTGTTACAACAGCTTATTACCATACTACGCTTGAAAAGTTTACTGGATTTTTTTCAGGAATCCTGGAATGGGCCGTTGTCTATGTCTTCTTTCCACGGTTTCCTACGATTTCGTCGATTATAGGATCTCCTGAAGACTCGTAAGAGGATAGGGTACTTTGATTATCCAAGTTTTTCTTATTTTATTTTTTTTTATTTTTTTTGAGACACTCTAATGCTTATACCTTTTATTACTAGAAAAACTATGAAAGCTGATTCTTATTTAAGATACCGTGTCATGTTAACTATATCCTTTCGTTTTAAGATGTATTTGTTTCCGTTAAATATCCAAAAAAATACACGAAGGGGTTGTTCTTACTTGAATCGTTGAGTACTACTTTACTATAATGAAAACTGTTTTTCTTCTTCTGCGACGCTCCGGTTCTATCATAGCAAAAACTCGACGCATACCAGAAACAGTACCTTACAGTTATACCTGATTATACTATTCTTTTTAGGATACATTCTCGTAATTTTATATGTTACAGGTTCAGCTTTAGCCTATGTACTTAAGTAAAAAGAAAAAAAAAATTGCTGTTTCTTTCAATACTTTTGTAAATCAACAATATACATTGTTTCGTAAGTTTTTCCAAAAACGAGTGGGAAAATAAAAAACAAATAAATATTATCTTTAAGTTGAGAATAAAAAAACAACAAGGATCAAAAATAGATGTTCACTGTATATAGCAAATATCACACGCACACCTTCTGCTGACCACCACTTCGCTCCTTCTTTTCACATTTACCAATACTACAATAATAAGGCAGGATTAATTATTAATCCTGGTTTATAAATTTTATTTGTTTTACATTTTATATTATAGGTAAAGTTGCTCACCTAATTGAAGGGGTAACTGCCTCTATAGAACAATAGCCGGTGAACAAGCACAAGTTTTTAAGCTTGAACCCTTCGTTCCATATTTAGAAGCCTTGCAGGAAGGTTTTATGGCTATCAGCTAAATAAAGACTAATTTGTGTCGATTAGCTTATTACGAATAACTCCTAATTCTGTCACTTATAAATCATTCCATTTCCTGTGAACTTTTGGTTTTAAGGCAGACTTGCAATTACTCTCATTGATCCCGTTTATGTTTAGGGCAATGATTTCTAAAACATTTAGCGCAGTCAGTGCGCAACAGGCTAAACTATATTCATCAAGATTATTGAATTCGAAATCCTATTGTCAGAGACATTTTTCCGTCATCCCGTCTCTCCTCAGAAATGATATTCACGGATCTCTATTGAGAAATGAGAAATTTATTAACTCGAAAAATACGACAAAGTCTTCTATACCTAACATTACTTCTCGGTTTTTTCACCAAAGCTCTCGTCTTTCGCAGAATAATTCATCGGCGCCGGACCCCAACTCTAAGGAAAAAAGGCAAGACAAGAAAAATGATGATAAAAAGAAAAGTGAATGGGGCGGTGATGGAAACAACAAAAAGGTATTTGAAGTAGCCCTAAACGGAAATACCATTTTAGGTGGTATTTTAGTGGCTTATATTCTATACAATGTTTTATCTCCTAATGCAAATATGCAAGAAATAACTTGGCAAGATTTCCGTCAACAGTTTTTGGATAAAGGTCTTGTCGAACGTTTGATTGTCGTCAATCAAAACCGTGTTCGCGTTATTATACGTGGAGGTCTTCCTAATGCATCCAGTCAATACTACTTCTCAATTGGATCTGTAGAGTCTTTTGATAGGAAGCTTGAAGAAGCTCAAAAGGAACTTGGAATTCCTCCTTCAGAATATGTTCCTGTTGCTTACCATGACGAAGTTTCCTTGCTCGCTACTTTACTCTCTTTTGCCCCTACTTTATTGATCATAGGAAGTGTTATTTACTTATCTCGTCGCGCTTCAGGTGCCGCTGGTGGTGGCCAAGGCGGAATTTTTGGAATTGGAAAAAGTCGCGCCAAAATGTTCAACCATGAAACGGACATAAAAACAAAGTTTGCTGATGTCGCTGGTGTGGACGAGGCAAAAGAAGAAATTATGGAATTCGTAAAGTTTTTGAAAGATCCCGCTTTTTATGAGCGCTTAGGTGCGAAGATTCCTCGTGGTGCTATTCTTTCTGGTCCTCCTGGTACTGGTAAAACATTACTTGCCAAAGCCACTGCTGGAGAAGCTAATGTTCCTTTCCTCAGTGTTTCTGGTTCAGAATTTTTAGAAATGTTCGTAGGTGTGGGTCCTTCTCGTGTACGTGATCTCTTTGCAACCGCGAGAAAGAACGCTCCTTGTATTATTTTTGTAGATGAAATTGATGCTATCGGTAAAGCAAGAGGTCGTGGTGGTCAGTTTGGATCTAATGATGAGCGTGAAAGTACCCTGAATCAGTTACTGGTGGAGATGGATGGTTTCACACCGAGTGAACATGTAGTTGTTTTCGCAGGTACTAACCGTCCCGATGTTTTGGATCCTGCATTGCTTCGACCTGGACGTTTTGATCGCCAAGTTCATATTGATCGTCCCGATATTGGTGGACGTGAACAAATATTCAAAGTCCATCTGCAGCGCATCAAGGCTTTTGATGATCGCAATGTAGTTGCAAAGCGTTTATCTGTGCTTACTTCTGGATTTACTGGTGCTGATATTATGAATGTTTGTAATGAAGGTGCTTTGATTGCTGCTCGTGTGGGTAGCGACAGTGTTCAAATGGTCCATTTTGAACAAGCCATCGAACGTGTTACAGCTGGTTTGGAAAAGAAGAGCCGTGTTTTAAGTCCCGAGGAGAAAAACACAGTAGCTCATCATGAGGCAGGCCATGCGGTTGCTGGTTGGTTTATGGAATATGTTGATCCTCTCTTAAAGGTATCTATTATTCCAAGAGCTCAAGCTTTGGGTTATGCCAGCTACTTGCCTAAAGATCAGTATCTCATGAGTAAAGGTCAAATATTAGATCAAATGGGAATGGCACTTGCGGGTAGAGTGTCGGAGGAGATATTCTTCGGTTCAGAGAAAATTACTTCCGGCGCGTCTGACGATTTTCAAAAGGTGACTAGAATGGCTCAAGCTTATGTCACTCAATTTGGTATGTCGCCTTCTGTAGGTACCATTTCTTATCCTATGGATGCTCGTGAAAGTGTTCAAAAACCATTCTCAGAAGCCACTGCTCAAATAATTGATGAAGAAATCAGGAATCTTGTCAAACATGCGTATGAGCGAACCAATAAATTACTCACGGATCATAAAGAAGGATTGGAAAATATTGCTAAACGCTTACTGGAGAAAGAAGTTATTACGTACAGTGAAGTTGAAGGAATTCTTGGTCCTAGACCATTTGCTCATCGCCATATGGACATTTCAAAAATAATGCGCCAGTATGGAAATAATGATTCTTCTGATCAGCAGCCCTCTCCTTCTCCAAGCCCTTCAAGCAACTAATGTATATTTTGAAGAGAATGTTATGGAAAAATAATGATTGATTAGAATAGCGTTACCATTCAGTTAATGAAATTTCATTAAGTTAAAATATTACAATTTCGAAATCCTGCTATTAAGTTTCATCGAAAGATGTTTTGGAGTTTTGTATGAAATCCGATGAACGCGAGACAGCAGCTGATGAAATTTAAATAATACTACCTGTACGAACAAACGAAGCAAATTAAAGCAAAAAATTAACGAACTGACAATTTTCTTCTATTCTGTAAGCAATGCCACATAACCAACAAGTATTCCTTGAGTCAGTGACAAATAAAGGTTATCCACAACCGAACAGTACAACATGGATTTAATTGTTTCAACAATTGTATTAAGTTTATTGATCCACTTCTTTGATAAATATTTAAAAGAAAAGGCTATTAATGGGGTAATAACAGAAAATAAATAACCGACGGGGATCAACTAACGAAACGATAGGTTTACCAGCTTTACATAGCTTTCAGTAAAAATGAAGAGCTGAAGAAAAACAAGGAAAATTTTAGAGAGATTCTAAGTCTGAAGAAAGAGTTAAACAGTACAAGTAGTCAAGATGAGTTTGCCAAATGGGCTCGTTTAAGCAGGAAGTACGAAAAGTTGAATCAAGAATGGGAAAGACAGTCTACGATTGTTCAACGATTTCAAGAAACATTTAAAAAGTTCATTAGCGTATTGTTATGGATATTGACTAGAGGATTCCGATTCTACATTCAATATAAACACTCTAAGACACCTGTGTTTTTCCTGCCAGCGTTTTTACTTCCTTCTTGGGCTTTGTGGTTTTTGTCTCTTCCACGATCTAAATATGGTAAGTTCCAGAAAAGTCGTATCTCAAAACGCAATTTGCTAATCTGGTTATGAAAGGTTCTGTCAGCTTGACCGTATGGAACTTTGCAGTGCAAAAGACAATCTCTGCTTTTCTTTAAATATAACTGAAATATCAATCTCCTTCATGTATTACTTGCTTTTCTGAGGCCTTGTGCACATTATCCGTCACGACTAAAGAATTTCTCAAGTATTGTTGGTCTCAGCAAGCAATGTTCGTTTACATCATGTTTGAAGAATTACTTTTTATTTTCCGATTAAAAGAATAATATTATGCGTAACTGAAACATACGAACGATCTATCATGTACCTTCATGCGGGTAAGCTTCTATGGTTTTAATGTTGTTTTCAAGCGCAACCAAATTCTCCTTAGCTTTTAAGTAAATTCTGAAGATTTATATTATTTACTCTTTGTTTTTACTTCTATATGTCTTGGTTTTCTTACCATTCCCATTGAGCTCGCAGATCGAAGCGACCCCCACGCAGTATTATCTCCTGTACTGTGTTTTGGTGTTTCCTATTAGACCTTCAAAGCACCTATAAGTACTTCGTGGGGGTAAAAAAGATTCATACTTTATGTAATAAGTCTGATCGTCGTTTCTTTTATGTGATCTACTACTGTTCGTAAATCATTACTACTCGCTTATGTGATCGACAACAAGAATGCGAAATTGGTATAAATCCATTGGAGTCGATTATTTACATGAACCATGGTTGAAAAGAGGCACTGAATTTCATTTCATTTTCCTTAAATCTTTACTGTTTTTTAGTGTTTCTCTCTGAGCTTTTTCTATCTTTGATAAGATTAAAACACGATTTCTGTTACTACTAATCAGTTATCGTAGAATATATTAATAACACCGAAGTTAGTGTGCTACCAAGTACCATTCATATAGAAACGTAAAACAACCTTTTGACTCAATTCTTGTCTTCAAGATGATGTTGCCAATTGTTATGTTGGCATCTGGTGTAGCAAACACCATTTTGTCCAAGTATGAAGTGTTAAAAACCAAACCGAAGAAAGAAAAGTCATGAACATTTTTTACTAACCATTGCGTTTCCTTTAGGTATCAAGATAGCCTTGCAGAGGATGCTGGGCCAGTGAAAAGTATGGCTATCTTTCAAAGCCTGAACATATTTTTAGGAGAAGCTTGTTTATGGCTTTATGTGTTCTATCGACGCTACTCTAGGGGATGGCGTTATGAATCACTAGAACGTTTAACTCTTAAAGAGAAGGCTACTTTGGCATTGCCAGCTATCATGGACATTTCTGGCTCGACTTTGATGAATGTTGGCTTGTTGTTTACGAGTGCCAGTATTTACCAAATGACAAGGGGATCTTTAATTATATTCGTTGCCTTATTTTCAATTACTTTCTTAAACAGATACATTGGTCGTAATCAGTGGCTTTCTTTGGCTTTCGTAGTGTTTGGCGTTACCATCGTGGGCTATTCTGGCTCCACTGCGAATGTTGGATCAAACCCCATGCTAGGTATCACGGCGGTACTCATTGGCCAAGGATTTTTAGCCATTCAGTTTACCCTTGAAGAATACATTTTGTCTTACATCCATGTCGATCCTCCCGAGTTGGTTGCCTACGAAGGGACTTATGGTGTCGTCTTTGTTCTCCTTGGCATGGTTCTTTCTTATTATTTTATTGGATCTACGGAGGCTGGACGCTACGGTTGGTTTGACTACTCTCACGTTTTCTCACGACTGAATGAACTTCCTATTCTTTACTTCATCTCCTTTGTTATTCTTGTTTCCATTGCGTATGTGTTGTTCTTTTTTGTTTAGTAGAATTTGTTTGCTGACTTGATAGCTTTTTTAACGTTAGTGGCCTGTCCATCACACAAATGTACTCTGCAACCACGCGTTCTCTTCTCGATATTGGCCGTACGTTTGGTATCTGGATTATTGCCTTGCTATTTGGAATGGAATCATTCCATCTCCTGCAATTTGCTGGATTTGTGTTGCTCATCTTTGGAATTGCAACCTATCACTCAATAATTAAGTTTCCTTATGCTGAAGTATAAGTTACATTTCCGTTTGTGTTTTAGAAACTTTTAGAGGTTTACGAGCTAATGAAATATTTACACTTCCTTTAGACGAACATTAGAATCTCATTAAGTAACGTCTATCCCCAAAAAAAAAACCAATTTTCTTAACCTAAAGCGCAATAGTTTTTTTTTCATTTATACCAACACTCACCGAGTTTTCTTTCTCACTTTTGTCGCGCGTGACTCTTCTTCATCAGATCTTTGCAAGTCGTATGTACGCTCATCCTTGTTTTTGTCGCTCCCTTCCGAACTGTCTTCGTCGATATTAAATAAATCTTTTGCGTTAACACGAGGATCTTTTAAAGAGTCAGCAGATGTTACCGGAGCATCCGACAGTCGCTTGTTCTGGTCAACCTCTTCACTGCTGCTTAACCCCTTTTTTTTTATTAATTCATCAGTCTCCTGTTCTACCTCATCTGAATCAGATTCATCTTCGACAAACTGTAAATCCACATTATCCGTAGGAACGTTATCAACATCAATACTGGAAAGTTGTTCAACATCGACCATCGGCTCCAACGAAACAGGATGTTCGTTGAAACAGTTCAACATATGAATTCTATGTTTACGGACACCTTCATCGACTGATATGATACAGCCTAAGATACTAGGAAAATCGCTTACTTTACGCGCACCCTCTCGCTCTATCCTAGAAGCAAGTGTAAACAGTTCGTTTGTTAATAAATCAAACCCATTACCCAGGGTGGCTTTTACACGTAGCAGTCCTCGACTAGACTTCGATACATCATTAGTAAATTCAACAGGATCCATAATAGATAACAGGTAGGGTTGGTTTGGTCTTAGCCACCCTTGCTTTTTCTTAGAAAAATAAAATCCACCATTATGAACGGCGATACCGACAGCATCATAATGGAAGCGCTTACCGTAAAGCTCCAGAAGCTCTAAAAGTAAAACGCCATAATTATCTTCTTCGCGAATAGAGCCAGTACTTAATCTCGGATGAAGTTGAAGAAACGAGGCTACTAAACAAACGATAGCATAACTGCTAAGACCACCCAAAAATACTTCATTCAAAGCACGCATGTTTAGGTAATGTTTTATGATAATTACAAGAGGGCGAAGGGCAGGAAATTTCTTCAAAAAACCGTTGACTACCAAGCAAGTCTTGAGCCCACCCGCTTGATTGAAAGATACATCGACATGGATTCTTGTTATTGGATCCACAAATTTGATAATAGGTACATTAGCAGTAGTAATGACTTGTATTTCTGTAGCCACTTTACATTTTCTCAGATGATGGGCCAAAATATACATGTCTTTTTTGGTTCCACGGTAATGGTAATCTGAGGACATGATTACCATATCAAGATCAGAGGTAGGAAGATAGAGTCGTGTTTCAAAACTGCCAAATACATAAACGGAAACATCTGGCCATTTTTTCAAAACTGCGCTATTTATCCGTGAAATTAAAGACTTCCGGACAGCGTGCTCCTCCGGCGTCGGCGTGATATAGTCAACGAATTGAGTGATATCCTGATGCAAAAGGCGAGACACCTCAGTATCTACTTTGTAAGGCCTATGCCAAGGACAAGAGCTAGGATCAATTTCGTACGCCATACGCTTTCTCTTTCTGCCTGTACTCTCATCTTGTTTACCAGCCTCATGGAAAAACCGACCATTGTTTTGCATAAAGCGAGGTATGTCATTACCTTCTGCAGCATTGGCTTCCTTTTTCGAAGAACCACTCTCGTCTTCTTCACTATCCCAATCAAAACCGATATAATCTGCATTCTCTTCCACAGCATTTTTTGGTTCTGGTGCTTGCTTTTCAGTCTTCCCATCTAGCTTATTTAAACCTAGCAAAATTGATGGTGCTCCTCTTTTAATTGCTTCTTCCGGAAGATCTAACTTTTCTAAGGTTTCTAAAGGATCGACTCGTCCTGGATGGTTCATTGATGGCTTTGAGGAATCACTGGTATTGCTTTGATGTTCAGATCGCTCAGACACCGCATTTTCTCTTTTAATATCCTCCTGTTCCTGTTCCAAAAGGCTAAAGTTATTGTTCACTTCTAATTCGTCAGGGTATTCTAATTTTTTTTTCCCGTCATTTTTCTTAAATCTGGTCCGATTCTTATCGTTTTTTTTAAATATTCTTCTTAGCAAAGGTTCTCGTTCAGCGATCTTTGAATCCTTTTTTATTTTATTAGCCTTATTTGCTTTGGAGAATGTACTTTTTTTGGCCATTTCCCAAGACAAAGGGAGTTATCACGAATTAACTTAATTTAGAAACAGTCCCTTGTTTGTACAAATCCACAAATTTGTGAGTCAATCCTTATACAATGACCACATAGGACTTTTTAAAATTTTGTGGTGATTTTGTTGCACAATTCTCAGATTCTTACTAGGGCAGTTTCTGTATTCCGCGTTATTCTGCGTTAAACAACAAAAGTACTATGAAAAGCAAAAAAAGCACAAAAAGGAAAGCGTTGATTCTAGTGAAAAAAAAAATGATCGTTTCACATTCATTCCGAGTCGGAGAGAAAGTAAAGGGATTTAGGAAAGACGTTTCCTGATGTAAAACCATTAGCTTAAGAGTAGCGACTTTTCTTTGTAGATTCTCAGAAGATAGTAGGGTTTAACGATAGGACTGTGAATAAGGATCCTGAGGGCGAGAGCCTATTCCAGGAATAAATGAGGCAGAAGATGGAGTGGGATTTCCGTAATCATGAGCAGAAGCATGCATCATTCCAGGAATTTGCGGATTCGCTGAAGATGCGGCAGCGGCCACTGAAGGAGCAAATCCAGATGCGTTCCCTAAACCTGGCAACGTAGGCATAGGAGAATATGGTTTGTTGGTGTTCGACAAACTCTCCACTGGTGAAGTTTCATCAGGCTCGTAGGCATCTTCTTCTTCAGCAACGGCACGTCTCTTTCCGATTACAGCTTCGGATTGTTCCTCGCCCAAATGATGGCGGTCCAAGAACGACTCTTCATCATCTGGCCGAGACCTTGACCAAAATCGTGTAGTCTTATCATTGGATCCAGTACAAAGTAAATGACCTAGCGGGTGATATTGCATACTCCATATACCGAGCTCGTGAGCATAAGGAATTTCAGCAGTAGGGTACAACAAATGAGAAGAAGATGAAAGTGTGGTGTTAGGGTGTTTATCGTGATATTTTTGTTGGGAATAAACGGGAGGCTCGTCTAAGCTATAATGGTTGACGCTTCCATCAGAGCCCCCAGTAGTAAGTAGGTTACTATGGACAGGATGCCATGTAATACAATTAATATCTTTTTCATGGCCACGCAAAACTCGGATATCTTTCATTACTCGTAAATCAAAAATTCGACAAGTGCTATCTCTTGAAACAGTAGCAAGATAATTGTTTCCAAAGCCGTTTTGAAAGCTTGCCTGCATGATCGTGTTTTTATGTCCATGTAATGTAGCAAGACAGGAAGCAGTACGAGGATCCCAAAATTTTACTAAGTTGTCTTTGGAACCAGAAGCCAAAAGGCCCTTAGAAGGATGCCAGTCTACTGTTTTGACATCCCAACCATGCCCGGTCAGTTTTTGTTCTTCAGTGCTCATCTGAAAGTTCCAAATTTTCAGAGAACCATCATCACTAGCAGTAACAAATTTGCTATCATTCGGTGAGAAAGCTACATCTCGAATTTCCATTTCATGAGCTTGAAGAATCTTGACATTATTCAAATTTGGTTCAAAGTACTTGATGATACCGCCTCCGTCACCAGAAATGAGCCAACGGCCATCTGAGCTCCATTCAGCGCATCGAACTGCATAATCATGACTTTGGTTGATGAGCTCAAAATTAAATGTGAGACCATTCCACAAGGTGAATTCTCCTGTGGAAGAACCAGTCAAAAGTCTTCTGCCATCCGGTGTCCACCTCACAACATTAATTACATGCCGTGCTTTATTCGCAGACGTATGAATATACTTTGTACAAAGAGAGTTAGAGTAATTGTATTCATATTCATATGGAGGATATAAATTAAGAATATGGTTGGGATTGGGCCTGGGGACGTGAACGTGATAGATGTTGCTTCGAAGATACCTGTTGACAACATACTGGGAAAGATTAGAGCCGTAGTCAACGGTTCTTCTTGTCATAGGCTTTTGAATAATTCTAGCATTTTCGGCGCGCTCCATTTTAACTGTTAAAACCAAACGTTGTTTTTGAAAAGTCAATAAAAGAGAGAATCAACGAACTTTGATGTTTCTATTACCTTTCTTTAATAATGCAAAGTAATTTTTTCTATTAAATTGAAATGAATTCGAAGAAAGTCCGAAACGCCCTCCACTATTATAGTAGAAGTGGTGATGCGTACACGATGAATTGAGGTTGTCTAAAAATAAATTAAGTGTAAGAGTAATCAGCTTGAAAAAGTGTTTTTCTCTTTTATTTTTGGAAAAATTTAGAAGAATACTAAAGGCCAGTTGAAGAAACTTGCCAGACCCTCAAGTAGCAACTTCGTTCTTTCATGAATGGTCAGTATGGTTCGCGTTGGCACAGTAAATAGAAAAGGCTACCAAGAAATGATTCAATGTATACAGGTCATTAAGATATTCTTTTGTTTAATGAAAAAAATATTTTACTTGCCTTCTTTTTATTTAAATCAAAGCGAACCCCAAAAGGAATGCTTCGTTATTAGTTTAGTTACATATGTATTTACATTTTCATAAAACCAGAAACGGCGATCACAACACGTAAGATGAAACGAATAAACAATGTATTTACTGTTATTATATTTATGTCCGCTTGAAATTGAAAACGCGTGAAAACGTTTGAGACTGTATGAAAGTGCATGTTTTGAAGAAGACTTTTGGCAAAAAGGATTTGCTCATTCGGAAATCTTTTCGGTTTATTCTCATTCATTTATTTTTTTAATTTACTTCATATTTTCAGTACTTAAAACCTTCTGACAAGAAGAATTCAAGTTTTTCTTCACCAAAAACGTTTGTTTACCTTTTAGTGATATAGAAGGCAGTAAATTAAACGGTGGAAATATATATACTGCATAAGACAATATGCTGATCCAAATTAACATAATATTATTATAGCTTGTACACTCGAAAGCAATTAGCCATAGAGGGCATTGTACAGAACAAACTTCATTTTTTGCAGAGACAGTAATGTCGAATAAACAACGGCCTACGTTGCCTCCAAAGAGGACAATTAATACGAAGCTATCAACTCCTGTTCACATTGCTCCTTCAGTAAACTCTGAATACTCTCGTTTGACACCGCAACGACATAGTCCTCCTGGGTTCGGAAATCATCGAGTATCGTCAGCCCGAGATTTATTTCAAAGAAGACAAAATGCTCAAAAAATAGACCATCCATTGGGTTGGATACTAAAGAACCGTCATGTGGACGCAAGTTCTCATATTCCTCAACGAACGACAAAGACATCGCAAAAGTTGGTACTTTTACCTGAGGACCATGCCGTCAATTCGTTTGAAGAAGATCCTAGTGTCTATGAAGATATGGTGCCTTTGAGTTCGTATAACATGATTAAGTCGGAAAACCTTTCCAAAGACAAAAGAGAGGAATTGGGATTTCCACGAGCTACCGCTTACTCTATATGTGATGCCTTTCAATTACCAAAGGTAAAACATTTCCTAAGAACATATCACAAGGTCAGACCAAAAAAGTATGATGAAACCCTGTACGCTGTCTATCATTTACCATTGGTGTATGGAAGATCAGAATCCTGTCGAATTGCCAGTGGTCCTCCACCGCCAACGGAGCAAGAAGATTCTCCTTCTACCTCTTCTGATCAATCACAGCTACAGTTTAATGACGAATCCAATTCCACTTCCTCTCAGCCGGCAAGTTCAATTGCTCAAATGTACCGCATCTCAGAAAGTATGTTGTATAGTTTTAATATCTACTAACCTACTTCTAGTTTTTGTTTTTTCCTATGGTGTCATAGTGTTTTGGAATTTCTCTCTAGGCCAAGAAAAAGATATTTTAGCAGATTTAACTTTTGCTGGTGGTGAAAACTCGCTGATGATTAAACCTTTGGCCGAGGAAGAATGTGAGGTCGAAGATTTACATTTTCATTATGCTCCACATACCAAACGCCCCCGTATTTACAACGATATGATTCATATTCCTTCTGCCGATATCAAAATGAAACTTGTAATGTCTCATGCTCTAGCACAATCCGTCAAGCTTTCTAGGTTTGAACTTAGGACAGACGTGACAATGAACTCGGCCCTTGTTTTCCCAAAAAAGCTTGCTTTATATGGTCATTTGGGGCTCTCCAGAGCCGAGGTTATTCGAATGAGTGGACATTTATTTCAGTTACGTGTGGATGTAAATTTAATCAGTAATGTCTTGGATACGCCAGAATTTTTATGGGATTCCGAACCCTTGCTGCTACCGTTATACACAGCTTTTAGAGAATATTTAGAAATCGGGCCTCGGACAAGTGTGTTAAATAAGCGCTGTAAGGTTATATTTGACATGCTTGATATTTTTGGAAAATCAAGTGCAGACAGAAAAATGAATTCCATAACGTGGATTATCATTATTCTTATCACTTTTTTCATGATTATTTTTATGGTATGTTCTTCTGGCGATATGAAACACTATTAACATTGGCAGTTTGAGGTTATACTCCGTTTAAAAATAGCAAAAAGCTAAACTTATTAATTATTAGTTGTTTTTAATTTCAATGGGGTAAAACTCTAGTTAGGTCTTTCGGTTTCTTTACGATTAGAATAAATGGTTCATTATTTCTTCTATTTCGATAAACATAGGTAACTCAAAACTGCCCCTCTCAAATCCATTCTAAATATATCTTGCCATAAAAAAAGTTTTAAAAATAGTACTCATGAACATTTCGCTGAACATAATCGGACTCTAAATTAAAGAGCTTTAATGCTTGACTCTCTAGTTCCAAATAGTAAGAGTCGGAGATTTGTAGAAAGCTTTTTGGATTAGCGTTAATAAACTGAAATAACTCGTTTTTGCTTGGTAAATTAGTGAACCGTTTTAGGGCGATATGCATTTTTTTCTCATAGTCTTCTGGTACATTATATTTGTTGGAAAGCGACAAATCATTTAAAACAGCTGAAATATCTTTATGCTTCTGAACGAGCTCTAGAGCACGTACTGGGCCAATTTGTGGAATTCGAGTAGAAAAATCAGTTCCACACATTAGACAATAGGTTTGAAATTGTCTATGGGAAATTTTTAGATTATTGCAAATTCGCAAAGGGTTCAAATAGGTAAAAAATCGGTAAAACAATTCTGAGTTATCTAAAAAATTTGTTACCATAGGAGCACCCAATGCCAATGTATCCGTATCCTGAGTAGCAACTACAGCAGCCAAATTCTTTTTATATATAGCAGAAGCAAATGCTTCAGCTTCAACCGCCACAGGAGCATAAGTCACCGGGATATTAAGAATTTTTAACAATTCAAATAACTCCTCGAAATGTTGTCTAGTTGGGGAGTAAAGCCGACGGTCGTATTTTTCCAATTCTGCCTTTGTTTTAAGTCTATAATCCCGCAAAGAAACTAGATCAAGTTTTCCAAATAAATATCGGATACACAATCTCAAGTCTTGTAAATCAATACGTGGCCTCACTGTTTCAAGGTACGCTTTAACGTCCGAACAAGGGCCGAAATCGCTAAGTACACTCATCAATTGATTATATAGTTCATCAATCTTTTCTAATTTCTTCTTTTTCTCTTTTTTGTCTATGAGATCCGACGAAGGGTTTTGGTCATCCGGGAGCTTTTGGGTGGATTCTAAATCTTTCTGCTTCGATGGTATAGTAATATATGATTCTTCTATACTCAACTCTTCAAGCAAGTTATCCATAGAATAAAGAAGCATCTCAGAATTAGAAACGGTACATGGGCTTGCCTGACTGAGCAAAACTAATTCGAGATTATTTTGAATCAATTCGCGTTTAAGGATATTATCACGGTCTTTCAAAAGATTTGCTCGTGTTAATCTCCTTTTTTCGTGTTCTTGTGCTTTAAATTCATTCGGAATTGGATTATCAAATACAACAATTGGCGTTATTTTTTGTCTTCGACAATACCTAGAAAGTTTGAATGCCCAGTCAACATGATTGTAGCTGTAGTTTAAAGCTGTAGACTGTGACCGAAAGTTCCTCATAAGTAGTAATGTTCCGTCAATGGCAACGACTGGACATAAGTTTGAAAACGCGCTTACTGCAATTGATTGAATACTTTCAGGAGCAATTCTCCGAAGCAGTGGTAGCAAACCTTGTACACCCATCCCAATTCACATTAGAAAGAGAAATCTAAATCAAGACAAAAATAGCAACATCCCGAAACTTGCCAAGTTCGTTTTTTCCAAATCGCAAACTGCGCATGGTGTGTTAGTTACTTGATCATGAAGTAACGAGTTGGGAAGAGAAAGGTTGATGACTATAAGTCTCTTTTTCCTTATGAAGGATTGTTCTTTCCTTTTTTTTTATTTATGCTAGATTCATAATTATGGACCGCTTATGCGTATGTACAGATTAAAATGAGTGTTTCATAGTGAACTCGAGTCATGAGCAAAACCTGTGAGACCGTCTACAAGGTTGAAAGTAAGAGAGACATTTCTTACAAAAAAAAAAACAAAAAACAAACTTAAGAAACAAAACTATTTTATTCCATAACCCATGACAGTAACTGTCTCTTTTGCACAAAAAAATCTAAAATAGTGCTAAATTACTAATGTACAGGAGGTAAATTTCAAAGATTGTAAAAAAATTGACAACGATTAGGGTAAAGGAGAGGCAGCCGAATCCCGGTCCTTTACTTTCAGGGCCCATCCAGGATATTCCGTTTTATACGACCATTCATCGCTCTCGTAGCGCAAAGCATGAAGCCAAATCCCAAGCTCCTCTGGACTTGGGTCGGTATACAAGGGAGTTCCACAAACCGGACAATGCTCGCCAGTCAGGAGTTCACCAATTCGCTTATCCCTACGAGCTTTGGCTTCTTCTTGTGTCTCGTTCGTATACCATTCATACTGTAACAAAGGAGAAGCCGTCTCCGTTTTGCCGATTTCAGAAAGACGCATAATTACAGAAGTATTATCACCATCTCCATTTTTCCCAAGAGAGGAGCCCCAAACTCGTTTATTCGCATAAATTGGGTCATTTGCAATGGGATGGCCCAGGTATTGTAAGTGAACACGAAGTTGATGCGTCCTTCCAGTTAAAGGCTTGCAGTGAACAAGAGAGGTATTTCCATCAAAAGCAATTCTACGAAACACAGTAACAGCTTCTTTTCCATCTGGATGCACTCGGTTTAGTCCGAGAGTAGGAGCAACCGTAAGCAGACGAGCATCGCATGTAATTTCTCTATCAGCAGGAAATTCACCAATAACTCGAGCGATGTACTCTTTCTTCAAAGCCTTACTAATCATGTAGACGCGCATCTCTTCCGCGGCCTTTGGAGTTTTGGAAAAAAACATTAACCCGGATGTCAAACGGTCAAGCCGGTTGCAAGGATAAAGAAAAGGACATTTATTTTCTTTCATCAAAATGTGAAGAACGGTATTGTGGTTGTAACGACCTGTAGGATGAACTGGAACCCCAGCAGGCTTATCTATCACAACATATTTCTCATCTTCATGAACAATACGGACTGGCTGATCAGAAACAGGGGGTTCATGACGATGAGCGTGATGTGAGACTATGTAACCATTGTTGATGATGGTATCCACATTTCCAACTTTATGATTGACACTCACTTGGCCATTGCGAATGGCCTTTTCATAATATCCTGGTTCACGATCTCGAAACTCTTTATTAAACACTTCAAGAAGAGTTTTTCCATACCATCGCAGTTTTGCAAAAGTTATGTATTCGTAAAAATAGGGAGGAACGCGTCTTAAGCCATCTCCATGGTATACATATTCACAGTTTTCCAAAGGATCCCTCTTTGGACGCTTGTACATTCCTTTTGGGCGTAAAGAACTTAAAAGTCGGATTCCTCGAATGGTGGTGGAAGTCAGCAGCGGCATGGGAGGCAATCTTGTGAACTAGGCATTTCACTCAGCAAAAGCAAATTCTGTTAGAAACCACTTTGAGAAATGAATAACAAATCAAAGTCAAAAGAAGGATAAACGGAGGTATAATATTGGGTGAAATCTTGGTAATCGTATCCACCATCGTTAATATGATACTTTAATAAAATATCATTCTAAGAAGTCGATAATATAAAAACATTTTTGAGCTGTTTGAACTTGTTAATGGGAAAATCATGTCCAAAGTTTTGGGATTTTCTTTCTTAGAGATTGAAATTCATAATGATTTTTTATATAGTGATGGTATCTTATTGAGCAACTGATGTTGTACCATTCGAAGGATCAGTGAAGCATTTCTATTGTCATTCTGGAAATTGGCTGTCAAATGTGTAGCGCTAATTTTTTTACAATTGAGCAATTGAAAGCGAATCTTTACTTGATTGATTTATCTCGCATTCCAATCGAAAAAAAGGGAAAATTCCCTCTTCAATGTCCATTCTATAAAGACGTCCGACTCAGAAAGTAAATTGACCTAAAACTTGTTATTAAAACCATTCATCTTGCTGTTTTATATAGATGCCCTGTTTAGAAGATTTTATAACTGCTTGCTATAGTAATATTACCGAATCCTCATCTTATATAATGCTTTTTACCAAACCCATTGTTGTCTACGCCTCTGGTATTAGTGGCTGTTATTATAATTTTTTCCTTTGATTTGCTGTTTTTTTTTTCTTTTAATATCTTTCATCTTTACCGGATTTAACATAATATGGGAAAATCTCAATCTAAATTATCGCAAGATCAACTTCAAGAATTGGTTCGCTCCACGAGGTGTATGTAGTAGCTTTCATAATTCTCAAGTTCACAAGTCTAACTATTTGCAGTTGATAAGAAGGAGCTACAGCAATGGTATAAAGGTATGCTTTCACTGACGAGTTTGTTCTTGGTGATTCCTGCTTGAACACATTTTTTCTCTTTGTTTTCGGTTTTTGGACAAGAAATTAACCCTTGTTCTAGGATTCTTCAAAGACTGTCCTTCTGGTCATTTAAATAAAGAAGAATTCCAGAAAATCTACAAGCAGTTTTTCCCTTTTGGTGATCCCACAGCATTTGCTGAATACGTATTTAATGTCTTTGATACCGATAAAAATGGAACGATTGACTTTAAGGAATTCATATGCGCTTTAAGTGTCACTTCTAGAGGTGCTCTGGATGACAAGTTGGTATGGGCATTCCAACTATATGACCTGGACAACAATGGACTCATTTCATATAATGAAATGCTTCAAATTGTTGATGCCATTTATAAGATGGTTGGTAGCATGGTCAAGCTTCCTGAAGACGAAGATACTCCTGAAAAGGTACGCATTCATTGTGAAAGCGAAAGGTTGAGACTAACCATGTCTTTAGCGCGTTAATAAGATTTTCAGTATGATGGACAAAAACAAAGATGGCCAATTAACCTTGGACGAATTTCGTGAAGGGTCGAAGAAAGATCCTACCATCGTTTCTGCTCTTTCCTTGTATGATGGTTTAGTCTAAACCCAACAAGGATTACCTCGGAATCGGTATCTATGCCATTTATGTTTTCAAATGCAGATTCAAATTTCCTTTTTACAACCGACGTTACCAGTTTAGTCTATTATGCGCTTACATACTTTTTCATTGTTTGTTGATATTTCTGGATTTTTTTTTCAGCACTAAGGCTTCAAATTCATGTCCGAATTGCTTTAGTTTCATCCTGCTCATCAGCCACCATTTTAACTTTGCTGACATGGCATGGACTGTATTCCTCAGTTGCGAAAAACACTTTATTGAGCCGACTCTCTTTTAAACATTGAATGTCGAATCACGTTTCCAGTTTCTATAAACAAATGCATTCTAACGAGGACGACTGTTCTTATTGAAATATATGCTTTTATGACTTTGCTAGAGCTATAAAGTAAAGATTAGGGATTCATAAATCTACTGAATATACTAATCTTCAGTACTTTATTGATTATATATCTCATATTTGTACTTTAAAAAGAAGAAAGGTATTTTACCAAAATCCAGTAACTTAACTAGGTAAGTAAGTAAGCAAGCCCAATTAAAGCTATACTTAGCTAGTAAGTTCAAAAAAAATCATAAAACCTTGATGTGAAAAGAATAAACGAAACAAAAAAAGGGACTTCTTGTTTGTTGCTCCCGGTTTCATATAACTGCATTTCCACAATCAACACTATTATTGTACCTTTACTCCTATGGTTCGTGTAAACCTCGAACTAGTCAAGGTAAGTATCTTAAAAGGTTTTGTTTAAATATATTAATATTTATTCTATTAGTTTTCATTATATTGTGCGCTCCCATTAGCGACAATGTACTATATTGGACATCCTAGATATTATGAAAAAAACATTGAGCATGTATGAACTGTTTAACTGAAATAAATGTCTAATCATCACAGGCAAACTTCTGGAAAAACGATGACCGATCAATTCCTACTGAGAAAGAGGAAATCCATGACGAACTTGAGAAACTCCGAGAACAAAGGCGAAGAAGAAAAGTCGAAGAAATCCTCAAACAAGAAAATCCCTAATCTATTCGATATAAACTCAAAGAAGACGTGTGTCCTATTGTTTGTCCTAAGCACAGTTTCTTATTTAGGGATTGCCATTATAACCTCAGGTTTATCAGTATTTGACCACACGGCAGCCCTTTACTTAAGTCAGCATGCCTCTCATATACAAGTCCCCCTATTAAAGAGATTTTTTGAAGCTTGGACCCGCTGGGACGCAATATACTTTGTGGATATGTCATTACAAAAGCGATTATTTGAGCAACAATGGGCATTTTCAGACGTTTGGAGTGCTTTGATTCGATCTGTTTGCTTTGGATCACAGGATGTAATTATACTTGGGTTAACTGCATGTTTTTTAGCTATTGGATTACATGCCATTGCGGCTCTGGCTTTTTATTATACCACTAATGCTGTATTCTCCGATAAACAAATGTCAGTCCTTTCCGTCGTTTTTTACCTGTTCTCGCCCGCTGGAATTTTTATGTCAGTTGGGTATGCAGAATCTGCATTTGCCGCATGTAGTTTTCTCGGGCTCTTGTGTTACGTACAAAAACGACAGACACTGGCGGCGGGTTTTTGGTCCCTCTCTACGCTTTTCCGAAGTAATGGTCTTTTCTGGTCTTTATTATTTGTATTGCCTACAGTAGAGATTTGTCTTTCTCTCGTGAAACGGAAAATTGAGTTTTCCAAATTTTTTAAGATTGCCTTCATGAATGGTTGCAGATGCATAGGGATTGCTTTTCCTTTTTTTTATGGTCAATTCCAAGCTTATAAGACGTTTTGCCCTCGTGCTTCCTGGTGTTTATCTTATTTACCATTAATATATCCTATAATCCAAAGAAAGTATTGGGATGTTGGTTTTCTCAGATATTGGACACCCAACAATATACCCAATTTTTTTCTAGCTTGTATCACTGTCATCCCTCTTATTTTTTCGTTATGGTACTCTCTTTCAACCGCAAGCAAGGATACAACGATGCGATACCTATTCATACTCAGTCTTTTTTATCTATACCTAGGACTATTTCAAATGCATACTCAAGTACTAAATCGACTTTCTTCCTCTTTTCCCCTCTTATATTGGACTTTGGCTCATGCTCAGTTACAAAGGAAATCCTTGCATGTTCAAAAACTTACAAAGATTATATTCTTCTCATGGGTTCTTTATACTCTCATACAAGCAGGGTTGTATGGTTCTTTTTTACCGCCAGCATAATTCCTCTATTCATGAAAATAATAATTGTTAGCTAAAGGAAAAAATACTTCAAAATGAAAGTATAACTAATCTCAATATTACGCTCTATACGATTGTAATAATCCATAGGCTTTCTTAAATAAAGCATTCTCCATTGTTTCCAAAATACCATATAGCGTTGTAATTCACTAGTTTGATTAAAGAGTACGCACCACTTCTTTATTTAGAGGATTGCCTACAAAAATTAGGACACAGACGAACTCTCATTTTACCTATTTCTGTACAATTCTCAAAAAGAACAATAAAAGAACCCGTTCATTCATATAGAATCCATATAAATGGACGTTATTAACAAGAGTTTGCTGTCTGCCCTTGACAGTTTACCAAAGAACTTAAAGTCTACATCTGAAGGTGTTTCTTTGGTATCTTTGAAAACTCAGTTGCTTCTTTCCTACGTTCAAAAGCTCGCTTTTTTGATTTTAGTAAAATTAGAAGGGAAAAGCTATCTAGAATTTCAGAATGTCATAGAGAAGCTTGTTCGTTTGCGACTTGAAATTGAGAAGGTCCGGCCTTTGGAAAATCGTATCCAGTATTCGTTAGATAAACTCCTTCGTGCTGCTGAACGGAAGGAAGAATTGGAATCTTTAGGCACTGCTGGATTGGATGGTGGCATTGATCAAGAAGACACTGATAGCCTTAAGCTTCATTATAAGCCAAATCTCGTTGGACTTGAAGGCGATGAAGAAGAGGCACCTGTTGCTAATGAACAAAACAGAAAAAGCAACAGAAAAGAAGCTTCCTCAGAAGAAGTCACGTCCGAGGAAGAGGATGAATCCAAGAAGGATGGTGTATATCGACCCCCAAGAATTCGTGCTGTCACAATGGACGATGAAAAAAGACCCAGACGTCGACCTAATCAACTTGTCGATGAATTTGTTTCGTCTGATTTATCATCTCTACCTCAGAGTATGCCAAGTGTTGGTTCTAACTTGGAACGCGGTGGCCGAGTCATTCATGCCGATGAAAGGCAATTGGAGAAGATGCGTGAGCGTGCAGAATACGAAGAGAGCAATTACACTCGTCTTCCAAGGTTATCCAAGAAAGAGCTCAAAACTGTTAAGAAACCAAAGAAACCCGGTTTCGGCGGTGAAGACTGGTCCTTGTTGGATCGTAGCTTTAATAGTGATGCATTTGCATCTCGTAAATTGGACCTTTCTTCTCGTGCAAATAAGCGTGCTATGTCAGATGCTTCAGAAGGCAAATCTGGATCCAGTGAAAGCCATATGGGTGACGCTTATCGTAAGCGTAGAAAGGCCCTTAAACGTAGATAACTGCGTAAGAGTTTTGGACTAAAAATTGGGATTATTGGATTAATTGGGTCAACTGGATGAGAAATTAAAAAGGAAAGTAGCATATAATATGGGTATGCAACACTTTTTTCAACTTCAATTCTGTTAGATGAATGAATGACCTCTGGGTCCTTTGTACAATAATAAATCAATGAAATATGGGTTTAACTATTCAAAAAGATGTATTCCTACTCTTTGCTCCATGGTATCTAATGCTGTGCGTAAACAAGCCATTTGAAAAATAAACATATTTAATGAGAAAACTACCTGCGACCAATTTACCTCTAAATAATATGATTCATCGAATATATAATAATAATTTAGCAGCGAAATTCCAAAATTATGAGGTAACAATAATCTAGTAGAAGGAAACGAGGATAATGTCTTTAAGTCATATTCTAAGTTAAAGGAAACGCATCAAGGAAAGGGAATTCTTGAGTTAGCTCTCCCAAGAGTCTTCCACAGTTTTCCGAACGCGACGTATGTATTCTTTCTTATTTTCACGGTGAAGCTGCGCTGCTTCGGCGTTCGCCGGAGAAGCATTATTTGGATCATTCAGTAAACTAATAAGTTAATTTTAACTGTTATATAACTCTGAAGATTGACAAGGCATACCTTTGGATGGACGTCAGAATGGCGGCAACATCATACGTCGGAGACCATCGATTTTGTAGGATATCCAAACAGAGCTCGCCATTCGCATAAACGTTCGGATGAAACTAAAAAAGATAGTTAGAGCAGGAGCGCAGGAGTAACGATATTTCAGAAGAAAAGCTTAGGAAAAACGTACCATTGTTGAAACAAATTTTACCAAAGGAGGCTTATTCGGATACTGTTCATCAAAAGATAAAACCAGTTTAAAAGTTCCGTCTTCAAAAGGAGTATCTGCAGGCCCGATAATTACTGCGTTCCTGTTCAAACTGTTAGTATTGAACTACCATGAAATAATACCACGGAGATTCCCTCGTTTCATAGAAGGCATTGCGCGAGTCACCGTTCACTCGAAAAGGAGCCAAACATGCCTTTGTTTCGGAATTAAGAATTTACTTACCAAAGCATAACGTTATCTGAAACGGGAGATGCGGAAACACCAGCAGGAGGGTCTTGTTGCATTCTCTAGAGAAAGAATTTGTTAATTATTCCTGCTATGTTTCTTAATTATGCTCGCGTTACCTTGAAGTCTCTCATGAGACGTCTTCTGGCTGTAGTAGACATTTTTCTCTACAAATAAAAAAAAACCTATAACAGGCTGTGATATAAATTACGTTAAGAAAAAGAGAATGTAATAATGAACCAACTAAAATGCGATGGATATCTTTCAAATGGTGTTGGAAAAAGGCAAAATTACTAACATCCACGAACACTCTTATTTTATGAATTTAAAGATAACAAAGCGCACAGAACCTAATGAAAGTACGCTGTACCACACTGTACCTCGTTATTTTCACAAGAGATGAATGTCGTAGGGAATTTACAATATAATGTAGGTTGACTAGAAAGAATGAAGCAATGTGCCATGATCATGTCTTAAGCGTTACTTGTACTTGAAATTTACCTACAGTTCATCCCTTGCGTTCTTGACTGGTAGTAGTATGGGTAGGCCGTTAAGGCAATTCATCATCAATGGACTATTGTATGCGATAGACATTTGATTGCAAAATGAATTGTAAGAATCACACTCATAGGAAGAAGAAATGATGGACGAAGAAAAAGAAAAATCTTCAGATTTGGCAGTATGTGTTCCATTTTTGCATCGTTCAAAAGGTTTGCCTTCATGTAGTTGAAGGTGTAAGGTCCTAAAGAAATTATGATTGACTAAATGGAATAACATATATCGAGTGTATATATTGAAGAGAATATTATACCCTGGTCACATTGAGAAAATAAAACAAGAACCGAGCATAGAAGGGTTCTACGCTTGTTACCTTTTTTTCTTGGGAAAAAAAGCACACTGATGGAATTATTGAGGGTTGGGCGACTGAGGTGTGTTTAAAAACATCTAGGGCGGTTAGAATCAAAGATATGTTCAAGCATTATAAAGAACAATACTTACAGGAAGATATGTGGAAACCAAAGAGGCAATACCCATGCTAGATAAGGTTAGAACTTAAAGCATACCAGAAGAGTGAATCAGCAAACATACAAGGCCATGGACATGGGAGAAGCGTTTGGTGCAGAGGTAGAATTGAGCAAATTCGATGCAGCTAGGATAAAAGCAGCCCAAGCGATAAATCTTTGAATAGAATTAGTAAATTGAATAGATAATAACAAATAGCTTTTATGGATGTTCGTACTTGATTCGTAAAAACAAAGCAGCCATACAAACAAAAGTGCTAACTGTAGTTAATCCGACTAGAAATGGAACATGTAAGCAAATGAATAAAGATAAAAGAAACTGAAATATCCAAAAAAAAACCCCTTCATGGCTTTAGAGATTCGCGGATATAAAAGGTAGTGTTGCTGTCTTACCATCATCTTCAGCTCTGGGAATCGCTTTGTAGGGAACTACTAAATCAGCTCTCTTTGGATCAGCAGGTGCCATTTTTCTGTTGTTAATTCTGTCTCACACGAATCTAGCAAGTGCTGCTTGTTTGAAGCTTTCTGGTTCTACTGGCGAGATGTTACTCGTATATGAGCTTTCGTTACTTCCTAGTCATACAAGAATAGAGGAGTGTATAAGATGGAAAGGGCTTTTTTCTTAGTTGTATATATGTTCTAATGAATAAGCTATTTATAAATAGTTGCATCGTTTGCTGGTGAGAGACAACCTGCATTGGAGTCCTAAAGAAAAGACATCAATAGTGCCAAATCCAAGTTCAGAATAGCCCACAAGGTGATAGAGTTTGCCTTTTGGAGGAATTTTTTGGATGATTACTTTTCAAATATCTTTGAAAAGTCATAAAAAAAAGAAAACTCTCGAGAATGCCAGAGAAACTCCTAAAATTAGTATTATATTATAAGCATAATACAATTGAGTATGTTGCTGATACAACGAAATAAAGCAAAGAAAGTGCAATAGAAAATAGATGATCTTAAGAGAAGTGGGACGAAAGTTTTGTAAATTGTATAACTGAACTAAATGATTCAGCATTCAGTGGTTCAACAAGTAAACCTGCTTATACATCTTTAGCTAGTTTATTCAGAGAACAGTACTAATAATTATTAGTGAATATATTTCAATTCAAGCCATAACTTTGCAATAAGTATTGTACTTCGATAACCCATTCAATTCTATTCATATTCCATAGAATTCTTTCTAGTGACAGGGAATAACAATCCTCATTGTACGATCCAAGAAGAATCGAATAGGCTGTCGGGACACGAGCCCATTAAGGAAGTAGTGAAAGGGGAATAAGTTGATTGCAAAAACGAAACTACTAGTATGAAAAGCGAAATTGTTTCATAGAAAATGTTTTGTCGCTCAGTTTTTTGCAATAAACAATGCGCACTTATTCAATTAAGGTTTCGCTTAATAAAGGATAATACAACATCTCTGAATTGTCTTGTCTTTCATTCACAGTCGGAGTATAAACATCTATATATAGCAAAATCGCAACATCCTTGAGAATTTGTATTTCATTGTAAAGGAGTTCTAAAATCAATCAGCCCAAAGGTGCTAATCGCAATTTCTTAAAACGTTTTATCAATAAATGCATACTTTTCCAACAGTTTGCAATGAAATCCGGTTCTTTTTTGATGAGAGCGAAGTTATGTTTCTACTATAAACTCTGTCAATCCAAATAAAAAATTAATGAAAAGGCTCTGTTAAATGAAAATAAAGGAATTTCCTACTGCACTATCTTTTCGAAAATAATTCAAAATTTGCTCAAATATAACAAATGCCCTCCGATGCTTTCTCATGCTATTTCTCTGTTTTTTATAGATCTTTGTTTACAATTTCGTTTCCTGCGTACCAGATTGGTATCAAACTTAAGGAACTCTAATTTGTCTCGTTATCTGCAATTAACTATAGGACTCCGTTACTTTCAGCAACGACGCAGTTATACGGGTTGAAATACCATTCAATTCGTTTTCACATTCTTTGAGGAATTCTTTTGTTTATTTACTTTTCAATATTGACCTTCTGTGTCAATTATGGTTTCCATGGACAAAAGCAAAAATGTGCAAGAGATATTGGATGCTTTAAAGTCGGAATACGATCTCCTGCATAAAAACGCGCCAAATACAGAAAGTCGTGCTAATGATTATGAAACTTCAAGTATGTTGAAGCAATTGGTTCTTTTCTATCAACTCTTATTTTGCTATCCTTCCCTTCTCACAGCGGATGAGAATTAACAGAAACAAATACCGCTTTTAGAGCTATGCACTAACTCTTACTTAGTGATTCAATCCCAAATTCAAGATATTGAGGATTTTCGTAAAAGTCTGGACGAAATGATTGAAAAGCAAAAAGCTATACGCGAAACGTAAGTAGTCATCGACGGTTACACTTGCTCTCTTTGCTATATTTTTGCGCATTGTATACCATATTCAGTGGAATTATCTCATACAATTTTGTCGAATGTATTAAAAGTTGATTCCAATCTTTTCTTTTTTTTTTTTTTTTATTATTATTATCATTTGTTTTTGTTTAATGTTTAGCTTCTTTGCCCATTACTAACATTGCGCAGTTATGAAAGGGAGGCTAATGCGATCAAACACGAGCTGGATGCTTTAGGAGTAGATGCTTTCAATTCAACGAAGCCCTCTTTCAATGAACGTATTAACAAAGACGTTAAGCCTTCTCAACCCTCTACATCCTCAAAACCACTCAATACCGTTGATGCTACTAAAATACCTTCTATGCAACCTTTTCCTTCCGCCCAGCAACCTGGTTTTCTTTCCAATCCAGTTCATGATTCTTCATCCAATGCTCCCGTTGCGGCGGCTACTGGTGAACACCAAAATATTACGCATCCTGGACAGCAAACGGTCCTTGGTAATAATGTAACGAATATCTCAGAACCTTCGGTTTACGTGTCTCCTATTTCCTATGCCGGTACATCAATTCCTCCTCATGCAGCTGTTCCGGGAAATACACAGGTAGCTAGCTTACCTGGTTATTATGTTGCAAATCCTGAGCAGCAGCAAAAGCAACAGCAACAGCAACAATCTTCTCAACTTCAGACACAAGAAATCCCCAACGCCGCAAATAGCATAAGTCAATATACCAGTAGACAAGCATACCAAGAACATGAGGCCCATGCCAGAGATGTAGGACAACCTTCTGCTTATACACAGAAAAAGTCTCAATCACCCAGCTGGTATGTCACTTATAATCCAGCTTGCCGAAGATTATTCAATATCAATCTCATTCATACCCTTGAGCACCCTAGTGTTGTTTGCTGCACCAAGTTTAGTCATAACGGAAAGTACTTAGCTACTGGTTGTAACCGTGCTACAAATATTTTTGATGTTCATACGGGTCAAAGACTTTTTACTCTCAACGAGGATTCTCCAGACCAATCTCGTGATTTGTACGTTCGTACTATTGCTTTCAGTCCTGATGGAAATTACTTAGTTACTGGTACCGAAGATCGTCAAATTAAGTTATGGGACCTTAACACACAGAAAGTTCGTTTTCTTTTTTCTGGTCATGAACAGGATATCTATTCACTTGACTTTAGCCATAATGGTCGTTTTATCGTTTCCGGAAGTGGTGATCATACCGCTCGGTTATGGGATGTGGAAACTGGTCAATGTATTCTAAAGCTTGAGATTGAAAATGGTGTTACAGCGATTGCTATTTCTCCAAACGATCAATACATTGCGGTTGGCAGTTTAGACCAAATTATTCGTGTTTGGTCCGTGTCCGGAACTTTAGTAGAGAGACTTGAAGGTCATAAAGAGAGTGTCTACTCCATTGCATTCTCTCCAGACAGTAAAATTTTGGTCAGTGGAAGCCTTGATAAAACAATTAAAGTCTGGGAATTACAATTCGCTCAGTCTGTTGGTCTTTCTGCCATTAAACCAGAGGGTGTTTGTAAAGCTACTTACTATGGTCATTCTGATTTCGTCCTTTCCGTTGCCGTTTCGCCAGACAATCGTTGGGCCCTTAGCGGCTCCAAAGATAGGAGCATACAATTCTGGGATTTACAAACAGGCCAATCGTATCTAACATGTCAAGGCCACAAAAACTCTGTTATCTCTGTTAGTTTTAGTCCTGATGGCAAGCAGTTTGCTTCCGGAAGTGGTGATTTACGAGCCCGTATTTGGTCAGTCGACCCCGCTAGTCCATAAAAACAGCGTGCACTGTTGTAATATTTTATGTTGATTTAAAATTACTTGAAAATAGACGCTTTGTCTACTTTTAAGTCTAGAAAAATGATGGAAAATGCCCTTTAAAAAATGAAAACAATCAAAGGTACAACTGATCACCAAAGAAAATATGGTAATAGGTTTGGAATCAAGTCTGTATTATGCAACGGTTCTGTTTAATACTCTTTTGTAACTAGTCAGCTAGCAATGTATATAATTTTTGGTTTGATTACGCTTACATGAAATTCCTTTCGTATCCTTCGAAATCGTAATTGGGAATAAGTCTAGGCCTTTGTAAAACATATTTATTCATTGAGATAAATTATGCTTGGCTTTTGATTTTGTTTAAGCTCCGTTATGTGTACACTTATATACGAAATCACTTTTTGGTGAGAAACCTAGTAAACAGCTTTAATTCTTATAAATTTCAAAATGGATTTATTTTTCAAAAAATATAATATTCATGAAACACATTATTTTCTTTTCAAGATCTTTTAATAATATCCATGCTTGGTTACTGACTTCTGCAATGTTAAACCTATAAGCAAGAAATTTTTGGAAATACTCTATGTTGTTAGAGGAATGAAGGTAAAAAAAGTTATATAACGGTTTTTTAGGATTTTACTACTTGAAGCTAAATAAATTGTAACAAATTGGTTTGAGCTATTGAATTATTGAAGGATATCTCATTTATTTGGCAATGATGAATCCTGAAGACGATGAATTATATTTGCAGAGTATTTCAAGAGAATTTTCATGGGAGAAAAGATGTAAACGTGTCAAAAGATTTCTTTACGATGAACAATTTTGTAAGCATGTACCCATCGAGAAATTAGTCAATTGCACCGGAGACATCTTGGACTTAAAAGCGAGAGATGATTTAAAATATTTGGTTATTTATCTTTGGATTCGTGTTACGGAATCTCAGGGTGATATTACTGCTTATGAGCGTGAATTACTTTTCAAAAAAATATCCAAACTATCAAATGTGGAAGATTATCCGAAGGGAATTGAAGCACTGATTACAACTACTTCTCAGGGTGAAAAAATAGAAAGCTATTCAAATGATATCTTGAAGCTTCTTTCCGAATGGATCACTACTATGTTTGAAAGACTCGATGTTTTACGATCTCACAACCGAAGTTCTTTCAGGACAAGTTTTGAGCTAAGGAGTCTTACTCATTGCTTTCATCAGACAATGCTTCTTTTAACTAATATGATTCGGGTGAAATTCCATGTTTTTGACGAAATGGCCGTTTCTTCTATGCTGGCAAATTGTATTTGGATTTGTAAAAATACGACTGATGTACAAGATATTGAGCTTGTTTTTTCGCTTCTTAACTGCCTAATTAGCCATGGATCGATATCTTCTTCTGTCTTATTTGCCGTGATTGAAATGCTTTGCCGAGCAAAATTTGGATTAACTGCCAACTCAAGGTCTGCTCAGCAAATTATCGATAAACTTTTGAAATCTACAAAAAAATATGAGACCGTTTCTTGTCTGAGAAAAGTATTAGAAAGCTCAAATGACAGCTCACTGATTGCTCAGATGGGTGCAGTCAAAGTATTATGCAACATTTTAGTTGATCCTCCAAGATTTGTATACTGTACTCGTGGTATGCTACTTGAATTTATGCTTCAAGCTTTAGACCAACGGTCAAGCAGGTTAGCTCTTGAAATGTCTCGCTCCTTATACAATGCTTTAGAGCACCGTTCGTTTTTTGAACTCCTTTATATTGATGAATGGATGACTTTACTCGATATTTTAATAAAAATATCTTCTTCTTTACCAAAGTCATCAAACTATGAAGAAAATATTTGGAAACACAGTGAACCGAATATTATCGAATCGGTTAAGACTTATCAGCTCAAGAATATTAATTTAATAGAAGATTTCTTTCAAGATTTTATGAGTAATGTTTTATTGGATAAATTCTTTGAGCTCTTGAAGGTAAATTCTTTCTATCTGTCGGATGGACTTCGTAAAAAAATGCTCTCAGTACTACACGAAAGAGCTCAAACGCCTTACTTAAGTACTTGGTTTGATGACCAAAAGCTAATTGTCGATATATATTCGAACTTTGACCTTTCTTATGAAATGCGTGTTTCGTTATTGCCTTCTTTTCGTAATTTTTTACGTTCTTCTCCTATTCAGCACCGCTCTTCCGTTTTCAGGACAGTACTTTTTCCCTTAATTAACTCTCTAAATCGATACCATGCAAAGGAGCTAACTGAAAAAATATTCAGGTTAATATGTGACTTATCAGGTCTATATCCGCCAGATATTTTTTATGAAGTAAATAATTTGCTAAGAAGTTTCGCACACAACAATGATAAGGGTCCAGTTCAGCTTGCTGCGATTCAAGCTATCTCAAGCATGGCTTTTTACTATGTTATGTTACCGGAATTTAAGTCAATCTTATATGAAGAGTTAGTTTTTATTATAAGAAATTTAAAGATTCGACGCGTTTATCGAGTCGCTCCGTTACAGATGCTCTTACAACTACGAATTAATTCGAATGGATATTGCTTTTTGAATGTTTCGCCGACTTGCCAAGCACTCTTATCGAAATACGAAGACCAGTGGTATAACCCTTTTATATCCGACGAAGCGCTAAAGTGCCGTGATAACAAAGTGAGATTTCGAGATTTGTCATTTGCCGCTGTTTTTCAACGGTTTCCTTTGAAAGCCAACACGAAATCCAAAACATCAAAGGGTCTAATTAAAATCCCCATTGAAGAATGGGTTTCAGCCATAGTGCATCTTGTTTTACACGAAAGCGATCCAGATATTGTTGAGTATCTTCTTATTAATTTTACTAATCAACTCAGAAGCTCATCGATGTTTTTCAATTCTCCCAATGCATTAAAAAAAATCCTACAATTCTTGTTGAATATTACGACAGGTAAATATACTTCTACTTTTAACTCTCTTCCAGGTAGTAGAAAGGAAAGGTTTTTGGTTCTTCTATCGAAAGTCTTGTCTGTTTTAATGGTGTATAAAGACGCCTTTCCTGAAAGTTGCCATGAACAATTCTTTCAGTTATTAAATTATTTCCTTGAAAAAGGAGAGAAAACAACGGAGTCTTGCATTGATATTCTGATTATCAATTGCTATGCAATGCATTCTTTTTCAGTTGTCTATATGCCCAAGTTTTTCTCTTTGATTATGACTTCCAATATCAGTGAACGAAGTCTCGTAAATTTTTTACGCTTACTCCACGTAGTGAGTAATAACCCTGTGCTTACGGATGGTTTAAACGCCGAAACCATTCAAAAAATCTGTCTTTTTTGCTTAAGTATAATACGCTCGCGAACGGATGAACTTGATAAACAAAAAGGCTTGGTCAACCCCAATGCTAAAGTATTTAGTCTTTACCTGATTTCGTTTTCGTATTACATTATTTCAAACATCTTTCTATCATGTCCGTTGTCGGACAGACCTTCATTAGTTTCATTTTTGTTGAGTGAATTTTTAAGGAACAGAAAGTCTGTACCATTCGAAGGATATGAAAATGTTTTCTATGAATTATTACTTCGGTTTACCTACTCTGATGAAAGATTGGAAAATTACAACAGGGACAAAGAGTTTTTATTTGATAAATATTCAAAGACTTGGATTTATAGAGGTTGCGTGATAACCATAAATGCTCAGTATGAAATTGGGGATTTCGAGATGACTATTCGAAGAATGTCAGGTACAACAATATATCGTTTGCACGCCAATACACCCGACTATGATATAATGAAACATGGCATTAAAGAAAAAGTTGTTAGCAGTGAAATAAGACAGATGCATCTTTTAGAGCAGTCTACAAGTCATATATTCATGGAAACTATTTTAGCTCCATTGGATAACGAGGAAGAAGAACCAGTGTTGGTCCAACCAAATGCACATGCAGCAGAACTAATACAATATTTGGATGCTACTCACATACGGCCTGTTATTAACATTGCTGTTGTTCTTCAAACAGACGAGTATGCCGGTGATATAAACACAACTGTCGGGTGGCAGTTGTTTTACCGTTTGCTAGAAAGCTTTGGAGTAGAAAAGAAATTAAAGACTGGAGAAATTGTATATGTGTGGACGAGTAAAACGATAGAAATTGTTTTTCGACATGTTAAGGATCCTGAAAGAGATACGGAGAGAGTTTTTTTCAGCGGTATGGTTTTAATTGCTTCTGATGATTTAGTCGAGTCTTCTACAATGGATTGGGAATCTTTTAATGTTCCTGTTATCATCAAGCTATCACTTGATTCACATTTGGATGCTTTGAAGATGTTTGATACGTTATTTCATACACGGTTAGAAATCATCACAACAGACGTGGATATATCTCACCAGGGATATTGGAAGTTGGATCAAACCGTTTCCGTTTCATCTATACCACCTTTACTTCACTCCTTTTTAGCTGATATTGGGTTATATCAGCAATTATTTGAAAATTTCGCCTACGTACATCCCTGGCTTTTGCGACAACAATTTATCGACGAATTGAATGCGATGAACCAGAAGCAAGCTTTAATAAATCCATCACGAAGGGATTTGAAAAGTAGGACGTTTGATTTTACACTTTTCCTTTGAAAAGCATATTTTCAGTGTACTTCTAAAAAATAGATTAACTTGGGTTCTATCCCATTTCTACGACTGTACGATGACAAATTTTATCTATTGGACTGTGAATTACATGTCGATAATCAGGCACTTATATGTTGTTTTTAATGATTTTCTTTTTTTAATTATGTTCGAATTAGCAACACAACAACTAGCGGTATAATATACGAAACACTTTTTCATATATACATTACAGGCTTATACTTGAGGAATCAGAACGGATTTAATTCTTATTTAATTTAGAGAAGTTTCAAACCGGTCTACTATTTGAAACGTTCAAGGCGAAAGGCAACTGGGTCGAGCATGCATCGTCCTATTTTCGGTGTATTTTTATCCATCTAGCAAGTACCAATGGTTTTATAATTACTTTAGAGACTCTATTTGTCAATTTTACTCATAAAATATTCGATTGTTTTAGTTATTCAGCCCTGAAAATAACCTTATTACAATTATTTCCTTATATGTAACAGTGTTTGTACAGACCCGTACTATAATATAGGATAGACATCTGCAAACTCGATCATCAACACAAAATTAACATGTGAATTAGCAATTTCAAATTCTAAATTTCATCTATATAATCAATGTCAATAAATGAAAGTTAATGACCTTTATGATACTGCAGAAAATATTTCAAAAGGAGGCCTGGAATTTTAGTGCAGTGTAACGGTATATCTATTGATATCTAAAATGTTTTTAATTGCTGTGTACTTGCTCACTATACTAGGTGGGGGGCGATACATGAGGCATCTTATGATACCGAATCCAAATATGGTAACTTAGCATTAACCAACTACTTACAATATTGGTATTGGTTAAGACGATCATTTCGAACAAAAAAAAAGGTTATAGAATATGCATATTACAAAATTTTTTGCAGCTTTTCTCGCCCTCGCTGGTGGTTTCTATACCAGTTCAGCGGATGTTCCCAAAGTAAATAAAGAAGGTCTGCAAGAATTATTGAACGCCAATGCTCTCTTTATGACAAAATTTTATGCCCCTTGGTGCGGTCACTGTAAATCATTGGCACCTGAGTACGAATTGGCTGCTGAAGAATTAGAGAAAGATAATATTTCTATGGTTGAGGTCGATTGTACAGAGGAGGCCGATCTTTGTAATGAATACAACATTCGTGGCTATCCTACCCTTTCGGTATTCAAGAATGGAGGTTTAAGCAATCAGTATTCTGGTGCTCGTCGCCATGATGCTCTCGTCAAATATATGAAGAAGCAGCTTTTACCTGTTGTTCAGAGTGTTAATAAGGACAGTGTTGAAACTTTTACTCAAACGAACGAAGATTTGGCTGTCATTGCCTTCTTTGATGATCAAAAGCTGAATGCTACTTACACAGATGTCGCTGAAAGTTTACAGGATTCATTCGCTTTCGCTGCTTCTAACGATAAGGAATTGGCTAAATCTTTAAATGTTCCTTTCCCCGGTATTGTTGCCTTTACTAAAGATTCAGCCCAAGACTCCAATCAGCTCGTATACAAGGGTGATTGGGAAAAGAGAGACATCGCAGACTTTTTAAGCGTTTCCAGTATTCCCTTATTGGACGAATTAAACCAAATGACTTTCGTTAGATATCACAGCAGCGGACTCCCCTTGGGTATCATTTTCTACAATAGTACCGAATCTCGTGATGAGCTGTACAATGTGTTCCAGCCTATTGCTAAGCAATACCAAGACACCGTTCGTTTTGCCTTTTTAGATGCTTTACGCTATGGTGCCGTTGCTAAGCAAATGAGCATTGAACCTAATTGGCCCGCTTTTGTAATTACTCATTTGGACAACTTCCTCAAGTTTCCTTATCCTACTTCTGAATTGACTAGCAAAAATATGGGTAACTTTGTCAAAGAATATGCTGATGGAAAACTTCAGCCTAAGATCAAGAGTCAACCTGTCCCTGAATCCCAAGGTGATTTAACTGTTTTAGTCGCTGATAACTTCAATGATATTGTTATGGACTCCACGAAAGATGTTCTTGTTGAATTTTATGCTCCCTGGTGTGGACATTGCAAGAATCTTGCCCCTACTTATGAATCTTTAGCTGAGGAATATGCTAACAACAAAAACGTGGTTATAGCTAAGGTTGATGCAACAGAGAACGATTTGAACGTCTCCATTTCTGGTTTCCCTACTATTATGCTTTTCAAGGCTAACGACAAGGAAAACCCTCTCTTTTACGAAGGCAGTCGTAGTTTGGAAGATATGTCTTCTTTCATTGACAAGCATTCCTCTTTTGAATCTAGTTCTGAGGCCGAAACTGAAGACGTCAATGAAGCAAAACAAGATACTAAGAAGGAAGGAGCTAAGGTGACTGATGATGAAGAAGCTTTTAACGAGCTGTAAAAAGTTATACTTGTTTTTCATTATCGTCCTTTTTTTAGCTATCTATTGTATGTGACTAGTGGACAATAACATCGTAATGTTTATCATGAAGACGGTATTTTCTTTGAGTAGGAGTGTAAGTATTAATGAAATTAATGAAACGTAAGAGTATCAAGCCTTCTAAAACCAGAGTAATTATCACATAATAGTAACAGCGAATGGAGAATACGGGTTATAACATTAATTATCAATTGACAAACGTTGGTGTCTTTTTATTAATATAAAAATAAGATTATATAAAGATAGCATTAATGAAAGACTTTACTTCAAGCAAAATTGATTGACGCTCTTATTGTTGTCAGCAGGAGTCTCAAAAAATTGGCTATATGATTCCAGTGGTCTTTCATTGCTTTTTGGACAAGGGAAGATAACCGAATAGCAAAAAGCAGAATAATTTTAAACAGAACATATTAAATATGTATCCTGAATATTTACCATTTTAACAGTAAACAACTCTATAATCGCATCAATTCAACCTGCATCAAGGATAAAAGAGGGTTGTGAGGAGATATCATATCGGGGGAGGAAGAAGGTGCTCTCAGGGGTATTGTACTTAGAAGACCAAAATAAATGCGGACAAAAAATGACCATAAAATCAGAAGATGTAATACGAGAAGGTTATAAACGACATGATGAGTTTAAACAAAAGATCCTTCAGGATCTAAGAGATCAATGTTGGCGCTTGAAACTTTCCCATCCAAAACCATTTCTGAAAGAACTTTTCCGGTACCAGGGCCCAAGGTGATACCCCAGCAACCATGGGCAGCAGCAACGTAGATGGAAGAACCAATTTTTCCGATTACAGGTGCACCCGTTGCATTTGAAATGGGAAGATAACAAGCTTGGCGTACTTTTACATTGGAATCGCGAATGACAGGATGGAAATGATCCGCACATTCCTTAATAGCTTGACATCTTCTCTGATCGATCCTTGTTTCCGAAGACAGTTCGGGCAAAGGTTCATCGTCAAATTCGCCACAAACGTACAATTCATCCTCACGAGCATAAAATTCAGGAGCACCAATAGTGCCGTCAGCATAAACAATTTCCGAAAAAACTGCATTTCCGTTAAGTCTCATAGGAAGATCAACTGTGATACTGTGAATGCGGGCACCGCAGATGCGTAGATTGGGAATTAAATGAGGAGTCCAAGGGCCCGCCGCAACGATCACATGAGAAGCTTCCATAGAATGTATGGTATGAAGCTCTTCAACAGAAGTAATCTCTTCGTCTTCATCAGGTGCATAATCATCGCCGATTAAACGATACTCAACTTCGTTTTCATCAACACTAATGACATGGCCCTTTACAAGGTTAACGTTGGCAATTTTGCTAGCTTCTTCAAAGATGGCATGGCAGAATTTGTAGGGATGCACCTGCGCAGAATTTTTTTTGTTTCCAAGGCGAGTTACCTTTTCCACTATGGAGGGTTCAATCCATTCAATATCGGGTGACAGTTTGTCAGGATAAGTGCATTTTTCATCTGCTTTTATAGACCAGGTATCCAGGGACCGATAACCCCATTTTTGCTGACCATTGTACTCATCAGCCAGCTGCTTGTGGAGATTATATGAGAGAGAAGCCAGCGAGCTGGTGGAAGGTCCGTGCCATTCTAACGAAAGAAAGCCAGAAGCCTTACCAGATGCTGCTGACGCAATTCCAGAACTTTCGAACAGAGTGATGGTATCACGTTCCCTGTTAAACTTAGGATGATTCACAAGAAAGTACAAGCAACTAATGCCTGTAACACCACCTGAGCAAGGATGTTAGTAAAAGCAAACACTCTAATACATAAAAAGCGAGAAAAAGCAGCAGAAGCGGAAAACGAAACACAATAGATTACATCCCACAAAATTGCCAAAACGCGACGAAACGCGGCTTTTACTGAATCCAATTCATACGTCCTTAATACTTCGCCAATACGGACCGTAGATATATAGCTTTTCGCTTGTATACATGTTACTTATCAGCATACATAGCTAAGAGCGGTATTTAATTCGTTTCCTTCTGTTCTTCATTCTTTTGTCTTACCTCCGATAATGACAATATTTCGAGAGTCATCCATTGTACTACAATGATTCTTGCCTGACTAATGAACTAGCAAATAAGAACACCGAAACAATCCCTAATTCCAGAAATTACTCAATGAAAACGATCGCGTCCGTAAAAAGAATAATTTTTATTGTTTTTGGTTGTGGTGGTAGTTATGCCACCACAAAGGCCAATTGGCCTAATGAGAATTCATGCCATTGGTCATTCAAAACCAGGTATTGGGAATAACAAGAGCGATACAGTAATATAATATTGTAGAGTTTCGTAAGTAATTAGTTTGGACAGGTAAGTTTTTCATCAGCATTGGCATGAAAACAATTGCTGCAGTTTTTTATGAATTCTTCCTGTTACTGTATGTTATATACGTTGATTCTGACAGCATTGATACGGTGATTCATTATATGTTGTATAGTTGGTTGGGTAAGTTGTGTGTGCGATCGATCATCATGTATATCAATTTAAAAATTAAATTAAAAAAATAAGTAAAGTATAAATGAAGTAAAAGAGATATGTACAATCGTTTATTCTCCAAATATTCCATGCTACTACTACAAAGCTTCAGTCCATTCTGATTGTGTATTCGAAAGGTGTTGTCGATGTAGCAGCTTTAGGACGGTAGAAATTGTAGTTGATTGTATACTGAAATTAAAATGAGAAGTTCTTCATTTCTATGCTTTTCTATGCAAAAAAAATAATAGTTATACAATTTATGAGGATTCCTAAAGAGGCAGGACATAAATTATTCTTAGCTAAAATTCGTAGCCTTTGATTAAATGTAATCCGAGTTTAAATGGAACATGCAAGCAAAAATACTGCAATAATCATCACATGTACTGTTTGTTGTATGACTCTTGGCTTGAATACCTTCAGATAATAGGTCGCTTTCAAGTACACAAACCGTAAATTCAAAAGAAACAGAAAAGGGTATATACAAATGTGCTCATTAATAGATATGCAAAAATAAAAAGGAAATCCTCAGAAGAACAAAAAATAGATATCAAAAATATACAGAAATACATCAATCATTATCAACCAGTGAATCATCCATCCACAAAAAAATTTGGCGTTTTCACTTTCCGTCAATAAGATTCTCTCTAGAAGCTAGCTTTCCAGTCAAAAGACCAGCAAGCATTTCTTGGGCTCGTATTGACTTATTTGGGCTGGGAGAAACATGCACAGGCGAAAGAGTAGATGAAGATGATGGGAGTTCAAACCTTGTACTTTCTATATTACGAAGTTGATTTGGAGTCTGAACCGACTCGGACTTTAACCTCTCTAATCTTTCCGTGTAGCTAGACTTGCTAGGTGTCTGAAATCCTATATCACTTAAATTATTTTCGTTTAAGCTTTTATGGGCTAACGGGCTATTCATTTGATCCAATAGACGACGGCGAGCGCTTCCACGACTACTGCTTCGGCGTAATATAGTGTTAATGTCTCCTTGTTTACCCTTCTCTGGAGTGCTAAAGGAAGTGGTACCGTATTCAGTAAAGCTACTCTGGTGCTTTTGAAGGGCAGAAGCTGTTTCGGCACCGTTTGAACTTCCAGACAACCTCCTAAGAAAATCAGAATTACCGATATTAGTAGGAGTAATACGATCGTTTGCGGACTGCTTGTATTCATTACCCTCATTTTCCTTATCGACTAATCTTTCTCTTATCGGCTTATTTTCCATGAACTTAGCTGGCTCAGAGGAAACATTCTTTTCCTTATTAACGCTCGTAAGCTTTCTGCTAGACTTTCTCCTTCGATTGCCAATATCCTTACCTGCCTTCGTAGCAGTTGTGGATTTTGTTGGATTTCTTAGTTGAGTAAAGTTTTCTTTACCAGCCGAGTCTTTTTCTCTTATAACACTGGTATCAGAGACAATCCTTCTAGACAATTTACTTTTTTTCTTAGTATGATGTTCAGACCGTTTATTCTGACCCTGAGATTTAATTCTCCGATCCCTTTCCATGTTCTTTACCCAAGTTTTCGGAAGCCTTGGTGACGTGGTGTTTGATTCGATGTTCTGTGAATCTCGTTTAGGGACAGAGAGCTGGTTTTCATGAGAACTTCTCACAATCGAAGCCTTAGGATTCTCCTTGTTATCATTCATAGGCAAACGGCGATGAGGTCGATTATGTCCGTCAAGCTTGATGTCCCGTAATCTATTCAAAAAAGTATCCATTTCCCGATTTTCATTAGCATCTTTTTCCGAAAGAGCAAGTTCCAATACCTTTGATTTTCCTTTTTTAATATAAACATTTTCCTTTAATGAGCTTTGTTCTTCTGCCTTCATGTTTTCGGCTTTAGCTCTCTTATAGTCGGCAATAAAAGAGCTGATTTTCTTAAAAAAGACATTTCGAGCATTTAAATCACTAGGTTGTTCAGCAAAATACCTCATGGCATTATTCAAAGTCGTGTTCATTGTTCTCAAGTGCTCCTTTAGAAAATCCATTTTTTTCGCTCCTTCGTTAAGCCAAGGAATAATTACTGTCAATATCTTGTCATCAGGATGGAAAGACGTAGGGTCAGAAAGAACGCCGGAGTCACAATCAAGTTGTAAATTCTGACAACCACGTATAAGCTCTGTACACTCTTGTTCAACTGTTTCGATGTTCAGCTTTGCAGCTTCTGTCACAACGGAAAAGTCTGTAAGAAATTCTTCCATTGTAGGGAAATTCTTGCGAACAATGATTTCAAGGACTTGTAATAAACTCTTTGTATTGGTCGAATTTTTTATTAATGGAAGTCGTTGAAGTGAACTAAGAGAAAATCCTCGTGCTTGACGAACATAGTCATTCATATAATTACCAAGGCAGAGGATTAATCGCATTAAGCATTTAAACATATCATTATCACGAAGGATTAACGCTGCTCTTCCAATTAGCTTTGCTTGACGAACAAGTGTTTCGTAATTAGTATCAATGGTATACTTAATTTTGAGAGCATTTACTCTTTTTCCCCAGTAGTTCTGAAGGTCAACTATGAGCCTTAAATATAAATAATCCCAGCGACTCAGTTCAGAAGAGTCTTTTTCAGCGTTTACAGGTTCGCCCCCATTTGTCCAGTCGATACGGTATGGTTCAAGATCAGCCTTGAGCTTAGTCTGGTTCAGAATTTTCTCGCTACCTAAAAACTCAGTAGCTTCCGCGACGCTCTCATCACAGTGTAAAACCATTCGAATAATTTCATCTGGGTTTTTATGTGACAGTTTGTGAAAATGTATTCCGAAAAGCTTTTGAAGGTCACTAGACATATATTCTGTCCTTTGAGTTCCTTTCTTCTGCAGAGGCTTTGCTTCTTTCATAGCAAAGTTTTCTTCGATCTGTTCAAAAATATTGGCGTTCTTAAGCTTTTCGTACAAGGAATTTGACTGAGAAGAAGTAGCCGACCAGAATGTATATTCTAAGCCTGAATCTAACTTTTCCCAATGCATTTGTTTCAAACGACGTTTTGGTCGTTCCATACCATTAATTTCATTCAAGTCAAGTGCTTTACTAGCTTCATTATGTTCATGGGTATTCAAAAATTTGGCACCTGAACAGCTTAGTACAGGGGGAGGAGGTGGAGGAGGAGGAGGTAAGCCAGGGACAGGAGGTGCTGTATGTTGAATAGTTTCCGAAATAGGAGGTGGCAGAAATGAATCCATAGAGGTTTTCATAGGCAAAGGTGGTGGGGGCGGTGGTGCAGCTAATAAAGGCTTTGGCATAGGGGCTTTCGATAAATTATTCTCATTATTTAAGTTCTCTCGTTTTTTCTCCTCTAACTGTTCATTTTCGGAAACATACAAGGTTGAGTCACTGTCTAAGGGAACCTTGGGCATTGAATCAGAAATTCCCTTGGACTTCTTGTATGTCGTTTCAGTATCATTCAAGTGAGATATACCATTCAATGATGAAGGACTATTTATTTTTTCAGCTTGTATATTTTCATGAACAAGGAAACGAGAAAAGCTTTCAGACGCTGAGCGTCTGTTAGCCATTGACCTATTACGAGGTACTTTAGCACGAGGAAAAGGGCGAACAAAGTCTTTATCAGGAATTTGCAAGATAGATGATCCAGTAGAATTATCTTGAGTGCTTAAATTATTCATCTGCTCGCGTAAGCTTTTTAACTTTTCACTGATGCCATCAGAAGACCAAAAAACAGACTCAGCCGTAATTTCCTTCTTTCGAAGCTCCAATTTATCATCTAAATATTCGACAATTTTGTTTCTTCCTATACCGGGATATAGTTTGTTTGATTCATGATTAAATAAAAGATAAAGTTCTCGCAATTCTAGTTCACTTCGTTGAATTTGGGCAAGATGCGACTTTTGTAAATCCTCAACTTCTTTTCTCAACGTTTCATTGCTTCGCTTTTGAGAGAGTATAACATCGTTTTGGTCATTCAGCTCACTTTTCAATTTCTCGATTAAGTCTTCGACACCTAAATTAACTTGTGCAGCCATAGCATCTCTCTCAATTACCATTTTCTCCGCCATAGCACGAGAAGCTTTTGCTTCTTGAAGGGCATTTCGTGCTGTTTCGTCGGAATATAGCCTGTTCGTAAGAGAATTTATCGCAACTTGCAAGCTTTCTTCAAAACTAACATCAGAGATCTTCGAATTAAGTAAAAACTTTTGCAGAAGCGAGTTGAATATCTTTACAAGCTTTAGCTTTTGTTTTTCATTGGCTTTCGTAAGCAGTATGGACTGAATAGTTGATTCTAGTAATGAGCCCAGTTCATTATTAGCTACTTCGTTTATGTTACTGAGAATGGAAGATTCATGCGAAAGAAAAGAATCACCATCTTCTAGTGGAGTTAGCAACTCGGCTCTTCTTTCTTCTTCACTTTCATATATGTTAAGCTGGCGTTCGAGTTGTTTATCAGGAAAATTCCGTAAATGCTGGATTACTTCATGAATACCTGAGTCCTGAAGACACTCAAGGACGTCAAATTCAGAAGAGGATAGATCATCATAAACAGAAACATAGTGGTTTATGAAATCCATCGTTGAGGTACAATATTCTAAAAATGCTATATTTGAAGGAGAGCTGGTTATTGCGATTTTACTGGGAGAAGACGGAGGTGTACGAGATATTTCCTTCTCAATAACAGTAACCTTGAAAATTGTTACAAAACCATAGCATAAGGGAGGATTCTTTAAGTCTGAAGGATTTAGGTTTTTCAATCCATCTTCAATTGTGAGAATAACAGATGACTCCTTTAAATCACAAGCCCATGATAAAATATCAGCTGTAACTTTTCTAGGAAGTAAGTTAGTCGACCCTAACGCCTGGGTAACGGAAGAAAAAATATAGGAATCCGAGGTTGCAAGGGTTGCTCGTTTCCTCATTAGCTGAAAAACGCATCGTAACAGCTCAGCCTGCTGAGATTGCACCACAGTAGAAGAATTAAAATAAGTAAGAAGATTATGAATAGCACGAAGACCTTGCAGCTCTAAAAATAAAGACACCCATCTGTTCGACTGCGTTGTCAACAAAGATGAGAGCGTAATTAATTGTAAATTACTTATTGTTTTATTCCATAATTGAAGGACAAACCATGAAACAGGGCGATGCACAGCAGCTAATTCCGGAATTTGAAAGGAGGGATCATCAAACCCAGAAAAGTTTGCTCTAATAAAATTCCACTTCTCATCTGGAGTACAAGTTTGTAGTAATGCAATAGCATGATCATCGAAATCAAACATAGGATGTCTTAAAAAATCATTAAATAAGTGCAACAGTTGGTCTAAAGATGGAGGACGGGTACTAGGAATTTCAAACTGAATTGAAGATGTTGAGTTTGGGCTACCTGACCGAACAGTTCGCAAGCGGTACACCTGTCCACTAGTATCATTGGAATATTTGGGTGAAAGTTCGTTAGTTATTTCAGGAACTTCAACAACAGGAGGCAATGAATACTTCTTCTTTCTTTTTGGTTTTGATGAGTCGACATGGGTGGGAGGAGTAGGCAAAGACTCAGAAGAATGTGGGATTGGAGGAAGTTGCTCAGGTGTTGGGAGGCCTTTAGAAGAAAAAGGTTGACGAGGCCCACGTAAATGTTTTGTAGATGTTGACTTATTCAAGGAAGAAGATGATGAATTTGCAGAGAGTGGTACCTGGTCAGGTAAAGGGGGAAGATTGGCTGAATTTTCGGGTGTTTTCAAAAGCTGAGAAGAGCTCTGTGCTTCTGGAGGATTCAACAAATTGGCTTTCTCTTCATCATTTGTGGTTAGATGATTGTCAGAGGCTGAAGAAGAAATTAACTCCTTGTCATGAAGGATAGAAAAGGGAGAGTTGAGATGGGGTAAACGAGTAGGAGCAGTGAGATTTTCTTCTCTTTTTTCTGGTAGCTCGTGTAAGGAGGTTGACGATTTTGGATGAGATGTAGGATGTGAGAATGTCGGAGGAGTTGGTACGCTTGGAGAAGGCAAACTATGGAAGGGAGGAATTGGAGTAGATTTTGGAGCTCTAGGACCAATCGTCCTTCTCGAGGAGGGCGTAGGAGTCGTAGGTAAAGATGGTAACGACATGTGGGGAGAATATCCCTTTGACGAATTCGACATCTCTATCTACTCAACGATTGCAGCATTGTAACTGTCTATGTCTTTAACTTCATGAATATGAAAAGAACAACGTCCTTTTTGTTAAAAAAACGAATAAAAGAATGTATTAAAGGGAAAAATGAGCGATTCTAGGTGAACACGACTTAACTGAAAAATACGGAGGAAAGAATGGGTGGAAGACTGAGTAGTTAGTACATATGAAAAAATGACAATATCCAAGAAACTGGAAAGAAAAAGTAATTAATCCCCCCAAAAAAAAAAGAAGAGAATGAATTTATCCACTACATCGTCAACGAAACCGTTCGTTGCGTAACATTCGCATGTTTCAACGGTTTTATGTTGAGCAAGATCATAAAGAAAATTATAATGTCAATCAATTGATACTATTTTTCTGTTAATGTCTATAAGTAATCATTAATAATATGAACAAAAAAATGAAAAGGTCATTAATGAACATAAAGAGACACAACAGGTGTCTGGTAACACAAAATGAAGTATTAAAAAAAAAAAAAAAGAAAAACGTCGAATCTTTCTCGAATCATATCGTCATAAAAGTTAGTACATAAAGGGTCTTGTTAGCCAGAAAAATGGGTCTTCGAAATACAAAGTAAGAAAAGCATTTATCAAAATCATGTCGAACTATAAGCAAGGAAAAATAATATCTGAAAAAAAGCACAAGCTTTGTTACCCTAAACTCACGTCCGTAGCAGTATTTGCAGAGTAAGATAGATAAAATGACGTTCTTTTCTGAGTTCTCTTAAATCTTTTTCCTTGATTCAAGCTTGGATCGCAACAGGCCACCAGCAGCGTTAGATGGAACTGAGCTTGTACCAGTTTGAGATCTTTTCGAACTTCCAACTCCCTCAAAGAGATCATCAAAGGTGCTATGCGAGTGTTGCATAGGAGGCTTTCGTACATTTCCGGAAGGTGAGGGGACAGAAGGTGAGGATGATACTCGAGAAACCGGTGCTGGAGAATAAGAAGTTCGTAAAGAAGAAGGGCTAGGTCCTTCTGTGTCTTTACTTACAGCTTGTACCATCGGTGTATTGGCTCCGCTTGGAGGTTGCCATCCAGGCGGACGAAGCCATTCCGGTAAATTTCCTGTCTTTTCAAGGTAGTATTTCCTCATGACACGAGCTACATGAGTGTCCTCTACAGAATTATCGCTCTCTGGATCGCGGATCCGGTTAATCTTTGAGGAAATCGAGAGTTTAGTCCACATCTCAAAAACAGTTTTATAGTAGTACCTTAAAGATGATTACAGCTTATAAACGTAATTCAATCAACACATTTGTTCACACTGTTACAGTAGCTATAGCATCCTCTTTTCCTTGGCTCAGGAAAAGGTTTTGATTGTTGCTGGGAAAACTGTAATATTGCAGATGTTTTTCGTATTTATAATATTAAAGAGTATACAATACTACTTTGCTTAATTGTAAATAAACGATGGATGGGTATTCATTAGTGAACGATAGTATGCAATTGAATTGGAAAAACTATAATTCATTAAAGAACAGCCAGGAGCTGTTCACATTACAAATCGTCTTCTGACATAATTCCCTAGCTCTTTAGAGCTGTACGTTTTTATAATTAGGCTGCATAAAGCAAGCATGACTAAATTATCTGCTCACTATTCGATTATTGATTCTTTTCCTTTTAACTATAAATATGAAATAGAAAAAAACAAACCAGGTACAATCTTGCCAGAGACTTTTTATTTGTTCCTCCTTTATAAGATATTATTGGTATTACAAAGCGCCCTCCTTTTTATGATTATATTACATGTCCGGTTACATGGAACAGGATACCTTTTGACTTCTTCCATTCACAAGCAATTTCTTTCGAGGTTGCAATGAGGATTCCGTTGTTTTTGTTTATTACAGGCCTTGTTTCATTTGTATGGCCTGTAATTTCCGCTCCAATCTTGGCTATCGATTATGGTACTGAATGGACGAAAGCAGCTTTAATCAAATCTGGTATTCCGCTCGAGCTTGTGTTGACTAGGGATACTCGACGTAAAGAACAAAGTGCAATTGCTTTTAAGGGTGATGATCGACTTTTTGGGGTTGATGCTGCTAATCTGGCAACTCGTTCTCCCTCTCATTCTATTCGAGATGTAAAAGAATTACTGGATGTTTCAGGATTGGAGTCAAGTTTGGCTCAGAAGTACTTAGAAACGCATCCTGCATTACAGCTTCAAGAAAATAAAGAGTCGGTATCTGGAGTATCCTTTGTCGTTTCAGATACGGATTCGTACACAGTAGAAGAAATCATCGCAATGACTATGGAGCATTATATCAACCTGGCTGAGGAAATGGCTGAAGAGCCTGTCAATGACTTAGTTCTAACCGTTCCTCCTCACTTTAATGAACTACAACGGTTTGTTTTACTCGATGCTGCACGTTTGTTAAACAAAAACGTCTTGGCTTTAATCGACGATGGTTTAGCAGTGGCTCTGGAATATTCTCTTTCTCGCTCCTTCTCTGAAGATACTGTTTACCACATTGTTTATGATGCCGGATCTGGTTCGAGTTCTGCTACATTGGTAGCTATCGATGCTATTCCTAAGAGAGCCTCAGGTAAAGACAAAAATATGACTCGTATCCGGTCTTTGGCTAGTTCTACAACCTTGGATTTAAGCGGAAATGAACTTAATCGAAAAATTATGAACTTCATGAAGGAGGCATTCCAACAGAAGCATAACATTGATTTATCCCACAATAATCGAGCTCTTGCTCGCCTTGAGAAAGAATCTTTACGGGTCAAGCATGTCTTGTCTGCAAATTCTGAAGCCTATGCTTCAATAGAAGAATTAGCTGAAGGAATCGATTTTCGCCTGAAGATTACTCGCTCAGTTTTTGAATCTTTATGCCAGGATTTAGCTATCGCTGCGGTTTTACCGATCAAGGAAGCTCTAGTGAAGGGTAACATATCCCTTGAAATCTTGGATTCTGTTATTCTTCATGGAGGAACATCACGTGTTCCTTTTATTCAATCTGCTATAGCTGATTATGTTACGAGTGATAAGGTTTCAAAAAATGTAAATGCCGATGAGGCTTCTGTGAAAGGAGCTGCCTTTTATGGCGCTAGTTTCACTAGTAGCTTCCGTGTAAAACCTGTCCTCGTTCAAGGAGCAGTTTACAGACCCTATTCACTTACTTTGAGTAATATGCATTCATTAGTTGCGTTACCTGATTCCACTCCATATGGATCTTCCCATTTAGTTGCTATGAATATCAGCGACCTGGGAACACATCCTTCTTTACCTGTTTATAATGACGGTACTCTTATTGGAGAAATCAGTATTAATAACTTAACTGAAGCCTTGAAACAAGCTGATTCCTGCTCTGAGAAGCATGTACTATTTGAATTCTCTGTTGATTCATTTAAGGGAATCTTTACCCCTGTACATTCATACGTGGCGTGCGAGAATAAGTCGGGTTCAGCCTCTGGCATTGGAGGAAAAGTTAAAAGTCTTTTCAATAACTATCATACTGGGAAATTGAACGAGGAAGCATTAGAGCTTCATAACTTGGGTTTTGTTTACAAACGTTATAAAGAATTGTCTGATGATTCTCTTCAAAGGTTTTCGGATAGGCTTGCGCTTCGTTCTTTGAAAGATAAAAACAAGGTTTTACATGAAAGTGCTCTTAATGAATATGAAAGCTTGCTCTATCGAGCTCAAAGTTTGTCTGATGATGATGAAATATTAATATACGCCAATTCAGAAGAAGCAAAAGCCTTGAAACAAATAGCCGTCGAAGATTTTGACTGGTTAATTGAAGTTGGTCCAACCGCCGATACGAATGAAGTTTTAACTAAGCAAAAGAAGCTCAACGATATTCTTCATGCTATATCATATCGTCATGATGAAAATCAAAAATTTAAAATGAGTTTTGAAAACCTTAACTCGACTATGGAGAGGGCGGAAGCTCTTTTGTCTAGCTTTGATATCCCGTCGTATCCATTAACGGAGTATGATGAAAAAGACGTGAAGAGAGTTGCGTCCATCCGTAATTCTTCTCATAAGAAATTAAGTGAACAATATGGAAACATTACTTCGTGGCTCGATGATAACTTGAAGAAGCATGTCTCAAGAGCCGAATACGAAGATCCTGTTATCACTACTTCAGAAATGGATCATAAAACTAAGAAACTTCAAAACTTGGTATATGAATATCTTCGACGTTCACTTCAACACCCGAAGTTAAAGCCTAAAACTAAAGTACCCTCCTCTTCATCTCAGGCTACTCCTTCGTCTGAAAAAGCCGATCACGAGATTACAGAGTCCTCTAAAAGCTTTACAGAAAGCGATTCGGAACCAACCTCCACAGAGACTTTGGATACAACGACTGCCAAATCTACTTCTTCAGCTAACGACGATAATGATTTTGAGGATGAACTTTAACCTCGATGTTGTACACCTTGTTTTATTTATCAATAAACGTAAGAACTAAAATAATCCGATTTTATGCACGAGCTCAGTTATTTAGCTGGCCAAATGACCTTGGAGATAGAAAACTAGATTACATAGACTGATTTGATAGCCTTTAGAATACGAAATGTTATTGAATAACTATATTTTAAACTATAAGGTTGTCATTAATTTAGTGACATAATGTAAACTATGAGATTTATTGACCTTTTAGGGAAATTTCTTGGGCCGTTTTGTAACCATTTAAAATGCAATCTCCTATACTAACTCCGTTGAACCAGCTTCCAGTAAGGTAAAGTCGTCCTTGGAGATTCTCTTTAATCCAAGACTGAACATTATCCAAGTGAAGTTGATGACCTACCTTGTATTGGGGAATACAATTTTGTTGTAAAGTTGCGTTTGCAAGATCAGGAGAAATATGAATACCTAAGGATTGCTTCACAGCCTCTGTTGCGTAGCTGACGGCTTCATCTGGCGTTGTTGGGATACACTTTGGGTCCTTTGCATAACTAGAACCTCCCATCATGACGGTAAGTTTGGTCCCTTGCTCGGGATTGTTTTGTTCACTGTCAAAAACGACACCTAAAATATGGTTTGGGTTATTGGGTAAATGAAGGGGTACCAAATATCCAAATCCTTTATGGTTTAACATAGAGGCATCCTGGTAAAATAAGTTCACAACATAAACACTACTAGTTGGAGTGCTCATAGGAGGGGAAGGCAATAACTGTGATAATTGATTTGAAGACATGGCAAAGACTGCGTAATCATACCGACAATTGTTAACATCAATTTTATCACCTGAATCGGATAGGGCTAGTTTTGTAACCGGCTGGTTGAAACGAATGCTTACGTTTGAGGAAGCATCAAGAAAGGCATTTAAGTTGGAGGCTATGCTTTCAATTCCGTTCTCTAGGGAGATCATTGAAGAAGACCGTAAAGATTGGAAAAGTTCTTTTGTACCTTGATTCTTTAGTAAAGAAGCCCTTAGTAGTTTTTGTTTTTCAGTCAACAATTCTCCTCGAATTGAAGCCAGAATTATTCCTAGAATAATGCTTCCATATTTTCTTTCAACATCTGCTAAAAATCCAAACATAGTAGATCGTAGAGACAAAGAATGTAAGTCACCAGCATAAATTCCATTTATCAGTGAGCTCATTAATCGATGAGTAAACATTTTCCCAAATCGCCGTTCCATAAAAGACCCAATACTTTCATCTTCGATATCTAGTTTTCTTTTTTGAAAAAGGTCTCGCAAAAGCGCAAAGGGTACTACTCGAAGAGCTGGTTGTGTTACAGATTTAAGAGCTTGGAATGCACCAGACGGGATGGCATTCAATCTGTTTGGGTAGTATATGTATTTGTTCTTTGCACTTGGTGAATCTTTTAAAATTGGCTTGATGTTTTCTTCCATCTTCAATTGCTTCAACAAGTCCACTGTTGCCAAACCAGCCAAACCAGAAGGGCGTAGAGTCCTCGGTCCTTGTTCGAATAAGACGTTTCCTGTAGGAGATGATGAAGTGGGTATCTTGACAGATTGAAGCCAACCTCCTAACCTTGAGCCTTGTTCATATAAATCAATTTGACATGTTGGAATTAACCTGGATAAATAGAATGCAGTACTTAATCCAGCAATTCCACCTCCACAGATTGCAACTTTCATATTTAAAAGCTAATAGGTTTCGGAAAACTCATAAGGAAACAGAAAAGTTGGTCGAACTCAAAGATCAGGCGTTTTTCTTTTAAAGAAAATTGGAGACCTTTCACTTAATTTTGTACATAAATAGAAATCCAAGACACTACAATTTTGTATTATTAAGAATTCAATAATAGACGATGATTATTGATGATCAAGGAAGTTTTACGTCGAGATGCAGGGTAACCAACAACGAAACAATTGGAATTTCATGTGATTAATATAATGACAATAGAAAAGAATAAATATTCTTTTTAAGTTCTTTGTGATTATTAAATATGATTTTTAGAAAGACACTATTTAATAGCAGTTCATACATCAAAATTTATGGCGCTCGAAGCTTTTTATATCAACAATCGTCAAAGCAATAAGATATAATACTTTCTAAGTATGAGAACTGCAGTGCTTATAACTCTAAGAAGGATCAATTGAAACTAATTTTACAAGAAAAAATATCGGCACGCTTTTTTTCTAGTAATCAGTTTATAGTATATTTGTTAAACAATAGAGTTGCCATTACATTCTCGTATAACGTTCGTTTTCCTCATGTTTATACTGTATTATAAATAATTGATTCCTTTTTTACCTCTCATGTTCATCTGCCTTGTGGTAAATATATATATACATTTTGATTAATTGTTAAGACCATGATGCAAAAATTAAAAAAAAAAAAAAAAAAAAAAAACGTAGAAAGAGAGAGAGAGAGAGAGAGAGAGAGAGAGAGAGAACATGCTGATACAGAAAACCGCTTAAAAACAAAACGGAAACTTTAGCTTCAACTCATTGAAATGTTGTTCAAACCAATCATACTGAAGCCATCGAAACATAGAACGTAGTTCAAACAAAAGCGAAAAGACATTAAAGAACTAAACTCCATGTTAAAAAAAGAATTAGGAAAGATAACCAAGGTTTCTGTAATAAGCTTGCAACGCTTTCGTAAAATTCCACGCCAGGTGCATTACACGAAATTACACCAGTAGCATTGCTAATATCACCATAAGATTCTTCTAATCCATATCCATGGTCAGGGCAAGCAAGTCCTAAGTCTGCAGGACAACTAGAAGCTAACGTATAACAAAGATGAGAGCACGGAAGGACTTCTTTATATGGACCGGGTCGAATGACATGGTCAATTAATGGATATCTTGAGTTATTATTCCTGTAAACAAGAAAAGTGCTGTTATCCGTTATATCTGCGCAACGAGGGATGATAGCAGCACATAGCCAATTCTTATAGCTATGTAGACAATCACTGCAATTACGAAGAAGAGAATAAATGGATAATGCTGTGGCATTGCATGGATACTGATCCAACGTATAGGTAAAGTTTTTGTAATAGCCAAAAGCTTGCTGGTCGTACCATGAAGCTAACGATAAAGCTGAATACGAAGCAGAATTTCCAGGAACGGAATAAGCTACTTCAGAACAAAATTCCAAATCATAGATTAATTGACATGTCGTTCCAACCTTTGTCGTAAAAGTAATAGGAGGATATGTCGTACCGCCGGATGCGTTGGCATTGGGCTTGACCAGATATGCAGTATATGAGGTGTTGGGTGATAATCCTTTCAAGTAAAATTGTTCCTTCGCAAATGGACCTAAACCACGTACTGTCATAGACAAATCTGCATTATTGATATTAAGGGTAGAAGGATTGCTTCGGTAAGCACAGAACGAATTTGAAAGTTTCCCGATTTGTTTATCAAACGTCGAGTAGGTTGGGTTAACAAAAATTTCATAGTTTGGAATGACAGACGTATCGTTCGTCGTGAGATTACCAGTAATTAGCAGAGCCGCTTGAAAGTCTGTATCTTGCGCATACAAAAATTTCGCTTCATTGTACTGAGTAAAGGTAAAATTATTTCCAGCAGACAGCTCATACTGGGTTTGGTAAGCACTATTAGAAGAAGTATCACGATTGTTCCCAATATAACTTTTACTATATTGAGAATCACTGCTAGAAACCGCAATGAACATCGGCGAGTACCCGGTCACCGACAAAGAAGTCAACCCGAGATCTGTTAAAGAATACGAGTAATTTCCTAAAGCAAGCGAATTATCGAAAGAATAATTGGACGCATAGAGGATTAAACTGCTAGAACCTTCATACGTAGAGCAAGTTGAAAGCGTCAAATTGATGGTCGCAGCCTGTCCTCCTGGCCAAGAAAGGTTGTAATATACTACACTCTGATCTTCTATACTTCCTACAACCGTACCATTGAGGCTCAAAGAATTATAACTGATAGCTGCAATGTTAGTCGCTAAAAAACAGACGAAAGCAAAGAAAAGTAAAAGGATGAAAGGAATTTTTATCATAAATAAAGAGCAAAATAATATAAATTAAATTTCAAAAACCCTGAGCAGCAAATGATGGTTCCTAGGTAAAGGAGCACAAAATACAAGTAAATACAAGAAAACGGTCGCTAATAGTAAGCTTATAAATTAAACAAATTTGAAATTTTCATAAACAATCATAAATCTTAATGATTATGGGGTTTGACACTGTCAAAAGAAATTAAAGGAATTAAGCTCTTAGGTGAACATGCTCGACGAAGAAAGGTGTGGTTTAACAGTTCAGCGGCAGTCGCTCTAAAAATTGTCTCACTATTTAAGCAAGAGTTTAAAAAAGAATGTAATTCTTTTGATACAAGTTCTGGTTTTTTTAGAGAAGGAGCTCCTGTTTTTGCAATCATGTACAATGCTTTGATGGGGTCTTCTCGAAGGTAAGGAGGCTCGTTTTCAAGCATTTCAATAATCATTATCCCAAGACTCCAAATATCAACCTTTGTTCCATATTTTTGTTGTTTAATAATTTCAGGAGCCATCCAATACGGCGTCCCGACCATAGTTACACGCTTATGAGAGCGGTCCATGAGGCGTGCGCAAAAACCAAAATCCGTAATTTTTATGTTCCCTTGCTTATCCAGAAGCACATTGTCGCTTTTGATATCCCTATGGATCACATTGCGTGCATGCAAGTGTTGGATGCCTTTACATATTTCTAGGCAAATACGAGCAACGTGTTCTTCGGTAAGTTTGTGCTGTTGAATAATATTTGTTAGAGACCCAGCATTCATATACTCCATTATAACCCATAAATGCCGGTCTTTAATGAGAAAAGCATCAAGGAAGCTAACTATGTTTGGGTGAAACGACTCACGCATGACGGTTATTTCATTTAAGATCAGCTCTTTCCGATTCTGAAAGTGAAGATCCATACTTTTAACGGCTACCAGCTCATCCTTGTATACTTGATTTCCCGCTTTGACCTTGGCCAAATACACTGATCCTGAAGCACCCTGACCAAGCTTGTGCTTTATAGAAAAAATAAGGTTTGGATCCTTTGGTGTAACGGAGACCTTTAAGATTTCCATTGCTTGTTTCTCTGTTAACTTCGCATTGGAGGCCACATCATTTTTATTAGGGATGGAAGGAACGGGCTGGATTTTATTGTTGGCTGAGAAAACCAAGGCATTCGATTCATTAGAAGAGCCTAAAGACGTTTCACTAGAGTTTTTGCTTATTTTCTTAGAGACATGATAATTTAGCGTCAGTTGGTCTCCATCATCATACGAAGAGGTTGCAGTCGTAGAATCAGAATTGTGAAGAGATGCCTCATCTGACATAGCTGAAGGAGAAAACACAGGAGATCTATATTGAATAATTGAGCCTTTCATTTCCACTTGATTTTCAGTTTCAGGGGAATTTTTTTGATAGGAACATTCTTCGTTGTAACCGTCGAACGCTTGGATGACTGATTTAGGCTCTTCAAGAAAGTCATGGGTATAAGCTGAGCTGCTTCTGAGCAAGATAGACCATTCTTTGGGAAGCCCGATGTATTTACCGTGATTATCAACTCCTACATGTACTTCGTGTTTAGGATCCATGGGCCCCGAAACCTTGTTGGACAAAATTCTAGCTGAAATGGCATCCATCCACTCATAGCAATCCATGTTATTTGAGACTGAAATTTCAAGAGCCTGAAAGACTGTGGTGGATTGATAAGTTTTAGATTTCACTCGAAAACAAAAAGTCCTGGATTTGGAACGCTCTACTTTTTCAATGTCCTTTAAAAGAATCGTCCATTGAGCTGTATCTGATTTGCTGTTTTTATAGATGGAAATAGAATTATGAGAAAGGACAAGCCATTTCTTCGTCCATGGAAGATACTTTACTTTTTCTTCCTTTAACATCACCCATCCCTCGCGTACAACTCCTTTTCCCGACTGCTTTATATCTGTGAGGGAAGGAATTTCTACTAGTTCACCACGAACAGTGATTAACATTTTTCATCAAGAAGGGAGAAACAAGTTTGTAATAATTCAAATTCACCTTTTTTATCTTCTTTTTTTCTTTTTCGTTTCTATTTCTTCATTTCTGAAATAAAGAACCGCATGATTCGTTTGAGAACAAAGAAACGCGTAAACAAAGAAAGTTTAATGAAATTCCATCCTAATGACGTGTCGTGTAAAGAGAGTAAACAAACTCAATCATTCATGAAAACAATAAACTATAGAGCCTTTTCCAATTCCTTTAAACTCTTTTCTCTTATTTCTCTTATAAACTGATTAATAACTAAGTTTTTCAATGAATAATTTAACGAACAAAAAGAACCCTTCATCATGCTGACAAGTAATAAGCAACGATTCTTGGAGACATTCATCCCTTCCGTTTACGAAGGCTTAAGCATTCAAGACTACAAAAAAATTAATCGCTCTTTTATCTATGCGTATTTAGGAAAACAGCGTTAGAATTCTGCAGTTCCTTCGAACATGGCTTCAAAGGATTGCTACCTCGTGGAGGGAACTCTTAGGATACTGCTTTAAGTCTTTGTTTTTCCCATTATGGAAAAATCTCTTAGACCATTCTTGTCTTCGTTTCAAATTAGTTTTGATTCTCAACAGAATATGCTATCAAAAGTCAAATTTGGGTCCATCGAATGGAAACGACAGTAGGCACCTTTTTTCTACTAGTAGTATATTTCTATTTTCTCTAACTGTTTTTATTTTATCTTTTTCTCACTTCATTTCCAATCATTTCTGTCTTTGTTTTTTTGTTTACAAGGTAAATACTCAATGACGCGGTTTGTAACTCCCCGGAAAGGCACACACTCTATTTATTAGGGTTTAAAGTCATAACTATCCATCTACCAACCACACCACCCTTCAGTCAACAAGCAGTATTCCTACCATATAATGAGTCAAGAACAAACTTTTCTTGCTATTAAGCCTGATGCTGTCCAACGTGGACTTATTGGTCCTATCATTACCAGGTTTGAACGTCGAGGCTACAAGCTTCGCGCTATAAAGTTAATCGTTCCTGATCGCAGTCTCCTTGAGAAACATTATGATGAACACAAAGGAAAGCCGTTCTTTGAAAAGCTTGTCGGATTTATGGGTTCCGGTCCTGTTTGCGCCATGGTCTGGGAAGGAAAGGATGTAGTGAAGACGGGCCGTGCTATGCTTGGAGCTACAAATCCTTTGAATTCCGCCCCTGGTACTATTCGCGGTGATTATGGTATTGATCTTGGAAGAAACGTTTGTCACGGTTCAGACTCGGTTGATAGTGCCAAGTACGAAATCAACTTGTGGTTCCAACCTACCGAGATTCAGCAATATGATCGTGCTATCGAAGGTTGGATTTACGAATAGATAGAATGATTCTGACTTTCTCTTTTACCATGTCGTTCATTTTATTTCTTACGATTCATTTACGAAGCCACGCAGCGTATATTATGAATACACCAGATATTGATGACTTGAATCCTCAATAAGATCATTAAAATTCTTATGCAAATATGTAGTTTAAGCCCCGCTCTTTGTAGATTGGCCTGTTTTTTTTAAACTTCAGGGACGATCAATAAAAGTAACTCTGAAAAACGCCTCCTACAACAATAAGCACCTGGATCAACGGGCCGATCAGGATGCAATAGAATATTGGAGAGCTTCACGAAAATATCACAGCGTTCTTGTACCTTTTCGTTTGTTTCATTCCATTCTGAAGTTGAAGGTGAATCTGTAGAAAATATTTTTTCCATGATATTCGCAAACACATCTTGTTGACAGCTTAAAGCTTCATGCTGTAGAATCTCTAATACATCTTCGGTAAACACATCCTGCAGAAATCGCTCTACGACGGCCTCTACACCCAAACCGTTGTAGTATGGCTCCATTTTCGTCCCAAAAAAGCTAACGTCACTATTCAAATCGCTTTCGTCCGATAATATCTTTTGCATTTCATTCTGCAAAAACATAAAATATTCAAGGCATGTTCGAATGAATACAAAATGACCATATGTCAATTTGCTTTGTTCCTTGAGTAGCAATATATCCTTGGCAGATTCATACTTTTGAATTAACGCATTTAGCTCTGAGAGGGGAGTAAATTCTCCTAAAACTTTCCTTTCAATTCCAGTTAATGGTAAATTCGTTTTCCTTGCTTGTAAATACACTTCCAATTGCAACAGCACTGCTGCAAAAGAAAAAGTACTTTCGTAAACGGAAGAGTTTTCCAAGTCTTGCAGCACTTCCTCCTGACCATCTTTCTCGAGATTCAGCTGCTTCATCAACAAGGCAGTTTTTTTCACGTATTGTGGAATCTTCTCAGCATGCAGATAACCAACAAACCGAAATAGCCATCGTATAAGTGCCGTGCATGAAGATTTGAAAAGGAAATTATAGACATGCTCCTCACGTTTCTGCTGCTTTAGGATGTCAAGTTTCTCTACCACATCCCAAACGGTGTTTGAAGTATTGAAAATCTTCAAATAATTCGTCAAACAAAAAATAATTGGGGATAGATCGATATACGCCTGGAATAGAGTCGACTTTGTCATTGCTTGGTATATCTCAGACTCTAGCTTGTGCAATCGTTTTTGTAGCTCTTTTAAACAGGTTTCTAAAGGTTGCCCTAGATATGGAAAAATACGTTCTTTTCTAACAATTTCAGACCTGTGATTTATATTTACCTGACTCACATTGTTCTCCGATAAGCTTTTCAAGAGATTTCGATAGTTATTCAAACAGGAGCCGTAATTTGCAAAGACATCCAAAATGCTATACATCAATTTATGAGTAAGCATTTTCACTTTGGGAAGCATTTGATGTCTAACCTCTACAGTCCCAGTATCGTGAGTGTGAAAGAAAAAACTAGGAAGCCCTAATAGCATGTAGATAACATCCTTAACAAACCATCTTTCTGAAACATCTTTATCTTCTAAATTACTGCTCTCATGAAAAAACATAAAAGGTTTTAGCCTCTTAAAGCCTGCAGTAGCTTCATTCTTAACATAGGGTACGGTGATTTTAGTTAAAGAATGTAACTTCCATGGTTTGGAATCATCTTGTCTAACATTCCTTGTTTGCTTTTCATCAGTTAGCGTAGAGGATTGGGACTTTTCTACTGACAAATCACCAAAACCTTCTTCTTCGTCTACTTCTTCCTCACTAGTTATTTCCATCCAATCTTGTTCTTCCCAATGATCTCCACTTAATGAACGTAGCTCTTCATTCATAAGACGCGACTCTGTTTCAGCTTGAAAATCTTCCTTTTTACTGGGGAATTGCGCATTACGGATTTCAAGGGGATTTCTTGACAGCTCTAGTAATATTGTCAAAAATTGAGCATGCAAAAATTCTTCCTTAAGATTAGTAGTCTTTTGCTCGAGTAGTTTACATGCATCAAGGAGAGGTACTTCCAAATCCTCACGACCCAAAATTGACATCTTCTCAGAAACCCTTTTTATTTAGTTATGAATAAAAGAAATAAACCATTTCGTTACCATACCTATAGAGCCTTTCCATCACTTCGTTGAACACCAAAGTACGACTCGGCGTATTATGAATAATTTCTAGGCATCTTTTAATCCATTTTTGGTCAGGAGTATCTTCTGTGTTTTTTAAATGTTTCCAAAGAGCTTCCAAAGTATCAATATTCTTCTTTGTAACCATCAACTCCTATTTCATCGAATTTGTTCACGCTTAAAGTATAAATACTAGATGTTCACTTTTCCTCCCGAAAACATGAGAATTGTTTGAACTAGATTGGTATTAATAATACTTAAATCGCTGACTACTAAATTAACCAAATAACTGCTAGTACTCTAGTTATGCGTGGAAGGTAAATATCTGTCAAAAGCTTGCAAGCTGCGTTTTATATACGAAACAACATGTTGTGGAAAATTGAAGTCTAGAAACAGTATATTAAGAATAAGAGCTTCCTATATTGAGTGAAACTACAATGAAATTTATCAAAACAAAAACAAACCGTCAGCATCATGTAATTTTTTTATATACCAGGAAGAATTCCATAATTGGAATTACAATATGTACAAATTGTTGAACAACTTAAAAAAGCAACTGTTAAACATTTGATTGAATTCAACAGATAATATCAAGTAAATGAGATTAAAGCATTGGAATGCATGACCAAAAGAGGGCGACTAGATCAATAAGCTAAATAGAAAGTAAATGAAATAAAAGAATGCATTCAAGAAATAAGGCAGATGCAGTAAAAACCACTCGTATTCTGACGCAACTGGCATAAGCATGATAGTATTGCGAATACGTACATGGATGAACGCCTTTCTTTCATAAATCCATATAAAAAGCCAAAAAAAAGAAAGGACATCACTCTTACTTTGAGAGAAGTCGTTGAACTTTTCATGGGGGGTTTTTTCTTGCTTCAGTGTTTGTTTGCTCAAATCACTTATTAAGAGGACTGCTTTCGTATATGTACATAATGAAACGAATGTACGAAGCGTATGCGAAAGCAAGTTTGAAAAGAATAGTCATGTCGACTCGAGTCCAAAAAGGGTAAAAAATGATCCAAAAGATTACTAATTAATTGTCTTTACTCAAGCCGGAAGACATACGACCCAGGTTGCTAACAAGAGTATTGCAGCTAACTTCGGTTATCGAAGTATTGTTTTTTCGAAAAGACCTTCTATTGTGAATTTTCTGAAGTATTCGAGCAGGTATCTTGCTTTACTTTCTTTGCAGCAAGACTTTTTTGTAGGTCTTATGATAAAAAAATATAAATAGGATCAGGTAAGAAGAAATTGTAATAAGTCCACAAACGGCTGCAAATGGCTGACCAGAACAATGGCCCATACAGTACTTTCTGTAAAATTTCGAACGGTACATAACTTCGGTTCCGACAACAAAATAAATAAAGCCTAAATCGGCAAAAAACTGAATGATCTGAAAGCGAGTAACCCACTTTTTCCAAGAAACTTGAACACCCTTGGCAGCAAGGTAATAGTAATAATACATGACCACATGAACCAATAGATTAATCTCAATGATTAGCCAAGAAATCGAGGTTCTTCCAACAATTTGAGAATAGACCAAAAGAACTGTGGCTCCATGATGATAGCAATGAAGGAATTGAAGGGGTTTTTTACGTAGTACCAAAAAGTAAGTATCAGCCAATTCAAGCTACGATAAGTTAGACATCAATTCAATTAAAACATAGAGTTGTAACGTGTACGTACAAATTTAGAAATAAAAGCACAGTAGTAAAGAAAGAGAAGAGGTTGTGTCCAGGCCTTTTCATTGCATATAGAAAAGAAGAATCCGTGCTGATAAATGATGGGAGCGACTTGTTCAAAAATCAATAGGGCAAGAATGCCGGAGGTAATCGAAAAAACAAGATTGTAATACTGAAATATTCTTTTTAGACGGATGGGGGAACGATGTTTCATGACTTTACTTCCAACATAAATTAAAACATAGTAAGCGGTGGTAATGAAAACAACGGAAGAGAACGAAGAGAGATGGGTTTTTCCTACTACAAAGTTAAAAGAGGAAATGCTCTTTCCGAAAACAGCTTCTGAGAAAGTATTTAGCCAACTCCTATAAAACCATCTTTGTTAGTAAATATTAAATACATAAACAAAAAGCCCATCAGAATTGATTGCGACAAGAAAAGGGAGCAACAATCCATTTACAAATTTCATCAATCACCAGACATCCATGGTCATGTGTCATGAACGAGTGTTGTTTTCCTACTCCCATTCCCTTCATTCCAAGCATATTCCTTTCCCCAAGAACCAGCTTCATAAATAAGAACCGAAAAGGATGTCTCGTTATAACCCAAACAATTTGGATATGACCAGTATGTTAAAGTGCGGTATATCACTTTAATGCATGTAAAGAGGGTTGCTGAAATCACAATTTACAAGACTGAAAGAGGGAACCCAATAATGAAGTTTGTATGAAACAAATGAACGATTCTAATCACAAAGAAAGGAACAAAAAAATAGGACACGAAAATAATAGAAGAAGCAACAGAGAAGAGAAAACGAAAACATATACGAATCAGTATGAGTAGCAAACGAGAAATACTGATGTCAAGATGACATCCAAAGTAGCAATAAATGGGTATACACAGAAATAAGCATAGGCAGTAATTGAAATGGTTCTAAAATTACTTTGAACTGAGAAAATCAAAAGAGAAAGAACTATGAAGCATATTAAAAATGAGAAAGAATGGAGCAGGGCAGATCAGAGCAGAGTGACGAGTAGGAGAACATTGAAAATGCCCAAATACATAAAAACTTACCAAAACGGAGTTTGAAATTGAGAATTAATGTTAAAATTTTTTATATTAGAAGCCATCGAATCGTTCTCTATGGCGAACACGGTGTTATAGGAATGAGTATGAGAAGGCATGACGCAAAGGTTCACTATGCGATGCCAGGATGAAAATCAGACGAAATAAACGACAAGCAAGACGTAATAAAGTCGCGTAGAAGTGAATGTGGGGATAGCTAAAACTTTAAGAGTATAAACAAATTATGCAATATCTGAATAACGAAGTACGTTAAACAACAAGAATTGGGAAATATGAGAAGTGCTTTGAGATAAGTGAGAAAGAATGTGAATGGAAAGGAAAGGAAAGGAAAAAGAAAATATAAATATATTGAATAAATCTTTTAGTATTCAATATTGAAAGAAGAAAAGGGTAGATAGAACAATGGTATCCAGTGTTTTAAGCTGTGTCTGACAAGTTTTGAAATCCAAACACCAAAAATTGGTTCCAAACGTACCTTGAAGGAATGTAACCGTAAAAATGAGACCGCTCTCTATTCTTTAATATGAAATTGCTTTGATCCAAAAGTTCATAATAGCGTCATTATTCACGTGAATCAACCGATCTTGTTAGTGAAAATCATGTCATGAACGAAAAAGAAAAAAAATAAGAAAATTGGAAAAAAAAGCAAATGAAGAAAGAAATTAGCTTCGCTCCCTTTGAGTGAGTATTCTTGGGAAATGAATGGATGAGACATCAAGTTCATTCTGAATACTATTGTTAACCCAATTTCTGTATTTTCTTTCCCAATTAAGTTGCCGTATATCAGTTGTATAACTATAAAACGCAGGATTCCATCACCTAGATTGAAACATATCCAATAGGCACTGAGGATTCTTTTGGTTTACCTTTATAAAAAATTTTGCTTTAATAATCTTCTGCGTTGCTATTTCTTTTTTCTTTTTTTCGTCTGCGTGAGTGTTTATCTACTCATTTCATAATAAAAAAATATTATACTAACTTATCCCCCGTTTAAGTAAAGCCTATTTTTCTTCACCGAACCTCCCCTATGAATTGTTGAATCCCCTAAACCCTTTTGCTAATTACCGATCCCTTCCGACCTCCCTATTTGAGCTGTTTTGCTTCAGATGTACGCATGCGCTTGATCCTTTTTAGATACGGGATATAATAAATAAGCTGATCATAAGAAGATATTATAAGGACTTTAAAACCTTACAACGATGCTTCACATTTATTATCACTACCATTATTATTTTTTCTCAATCATTTTGTGTAAAGAGAGTTTTCTTCAGCTTATTGTTATAGATTAAAATGGCGCGAATTCAAACCGTTCCTACTTGAATTTTGTCTTCTCATCGTACTCAAAACTTTCAAGTACATACTTCAAATTGTCTCATGAACCTATGTAATAAATAATATTCTATCACTTCCATCACTCAAGAAAGTGTCATAAAAAACCAAGTTTTTCTTTTTTTTTTCTTCCTTAATATGTACGTTATACAGGTGACACGGTTAATGCCATAAATAATGAAATTCATTTCTTCTTTCCATGTTTTCGAATGTAATCCTCTTCTTCCCGATCAAAATTTTTCTCAGAGGGCATAAGTACCTATACATTTCACATCGTTTAGCAATCATCACTCTATCTACAAAACAATCTCTCTGCCGAAATCTATCAGCATCCATAAAGATTTCGAATCGTTGACTTACTGCTCGATCCAAGGCACTCGGCAATCCTAAATACATGGGTTAGCCATACGACGTTCGCGAAATTACCAAACTAGAATTCAGGTCTATTACCTCGATGCCTTCCACGAATCTATTTCTTCGTTAGTATGCGTTTTCAAGTGTACATCTTTCATCATTCCATACCTCTAATGCTATCATCACAAGTTTACTAATTTTTCGAAAATGGGCCGACAGAGATGGCGCATTATTATAGCCTTTTGATCTTTGTTAGTGGGACGGTCAAAACATTCTTCCGTTTTATGCTTACCTAGACTAAGTCCGACTGTACCATAACCCGAAACAACCTCAAATAAAACAGAAAACAGCGTATATTGCTAGCTTTAGTTAGATTTTTAGTTACAGAAAATAGCATCTTTTCCTTACAGGTTCACCTGGTTTCTCCAACCTAGGTCCTTCCAAAATAGTAATAATAAAAAACCCAAAAAACATATACCATAAATCATGACTTAACTGACGTTGAATATGATCTATTAAATAGGTCCTTCTTGGTTTGGCCTGCATGTCTGAATCGCCTTTCTCTCCTGAATTGTCAGTATCGCTGTCATTATCTACATCTGCAGCTGGAGAATAAATTCCCAAAGATCGTTCCTCGTATACATTGGTTCTAGATATTGGTAAGTTAGCCATCATTTGCAACTATATATGAACTTACTGTCGAATACTCATAGCAACCTTTTTCCCTAAGGTTAGTAAGTTTATCTCTAGACATGCTGGGCTTTGCGTACCGGCTAACAATGGTTAGTAAATTCATTCCCACATCAAAACGATTAAATACGTACATAAGCTGAAATGTACATCATAAACATATAGCTTACGATTACTGCTGGAGCAATCTGCCCAATGTCAATAACCGTAAAGCCAGCCGCTCGAGTAGATGCATTTTGAAAAATGCCATTCATAATTCTATAGCCAACTGGAATTTGCTTCACATATTGATTACCCAGGTCTAACACCATAAAAAAGAAAAATGAAAGCAAATTCAAAAACACCAAGTTAGCGGTCAAAATCCATGTCGTTTTTGACGGAAATAACAGTGTAAAGCTGCGACGTGGATGCTCAAGTAAAAAGATTAATGATTGCTGATAATGCGGTGTAAAGTACTTGCTAAAGTACAATGAAATCCAAATCGTCAGCCTTAGACCAATCGGAAAAAATGTATTGCCCGTTAATATCAAGATGGTTCCCAAAACCTGTGGAAATATAGCTTTTTGGAATTGATTTAAAGAATCATCATGTAAAGCATAACCAATATTATTAAATAAAGAGGCGGAGGTAAATGACGCCCACCATCCACGATTGATTCCTGCGTCCGTACATACTTTTCCGGAAACCTTTGCAGTATATATGAATATAAGGAAGGCAATCATGCCGAGAATATGCCATAGAAGAAAATACAACGATACAAAAATAGTCAGTATTTTAAGAGATTGGTATTCGATCCCAGCTAGTTCTTCTCTTTCTTCGGCGGATAGAGCATAGAATGCAGAGTTTCTGCCAATCGTAGGTTGATAAGAAAGATATGGCAAGGTAGTGGATGAGTTTCTAGAACGAAGAGTATTGCTACCTCTGAAGACTTCAGGTAAATTCGACGTAAATGTTTTTGTAAGCTGACGGGGAAAAAGAGACATTGAACGTCTATTTTCTGTGGTACGGTGTGTCATGGAAAATGTCTTACCTCTATTGGCTCTGCCAAAAGACATAGGAGATTTCTTCGCACTGGAATCCTCATCATAACCTAAAACGTTAATACAAAAAAAGCATATATGAACATACCCGTTGTATGAACTGGCTTTCGTTCATGATCAGGCACAGGAGGTGTTGCAATTGTGATTCTTGGACTTGTTGCTTCCCCAGGGTTGGACACTTCCTGCTGTTCAGCGAGTCCAGAAGTAGATATTTGGTCTAAGTTATCGGGAGGAGCGGAGGTTTCCTCTGGTTGATTAGTCGATGAGCGAGGATCATTATCGGTACGCGTAATGTTATACTCTGAAGGATACGAATTAGCGCTATGAAGGGGGGAAATACCACTTTCTGTTTCTTTTGGGGTTGAGAAGTCGGTGCGATTAGATGAAGTCGAGTTATCATGTTCATTTATTCGAGTCGAAGAGTCAAGGTCGTTCGATTCATTAGACTGCTTGGATGATACATTAACTTCATCTGATGAATCATCTCTAGTAGCACTTAAGTAGTCAACGTTCCTTGGAGCATACTCACTATGAGTCGAATGGTCCCGTTCTTCTCTACGGTCCAAAGGAGATGGAGGGTTTGAATAATCCAAGTCCTGGGAGGAATATCCGTTTTGACTAGAATGGTCTTCTTCATTATGATTTGAGGAGGACGAAGCACTTGAATAGTCTACATCCCTTGTGGCATACTCACTTGGGGGAGGATGATCTTGTTCACCATGACCTGACGGAATCGGAGAAGAACTATTTCCTGCAGTTTGATCTTGCTTTTCCAGGTCTACTGACTTCCTTGGGAATCTAAAGAACGGAAGGTTAGGAAGTGTATTTTGTCTAGGAAATGTGCTTAGTGAGCGGCGAAAGCGAGAAAACTTTCGTTTGGGCTGCGGTGGTTCCTCGAGTTCTCGAGAATCTTTCTGAGGAACAATTGGACGACGTAATCGGTTTCCTTGATCCAACAACACTTGGATTTTTCGACCACCTACCTTGTTGGGTTCTGGTCCATCATTACGGCGAAATGTGTTGTAGGTATAAGTCATTTTTAAGCGATTACCTTTCATTACCTTGTCGTAACGTCTATTGTAGAAGTACAATTTCATAATTGTAAGACCCAAATTGACGGCAACCGGAGTACTTAAGGCAGCGAACAATAACAACGTAAGCTATAAATAACGGCGTTAGCATTGTTACGGCAACAGAAGTTTCTTTATTTTGGTTAACACTTACTTGCTGATATATCGAGATATCTGTCATATTTACTGTAGGAATACCTGTTTGCGTAACGGCTCCACTAGCAAGGAATAAAGCATCGATGTATTGTAGATGTCCACTAGCGTACAAAATGATGGAGTTTAAGATAGTCATTCCAATGATAAACATATCTATGTGTCTTGTCAGCTTCCTATTTCAAACTTCATACATACAATGGTATTCAAGAAATTGAAATCGTCTGTCCATATAATGTTTACAAGCCTTCAACAAATTGAAAGGTCTTTTCCCGTTTATTATTGACATTGCATTTCTTTTTGAAAATGTTCTCGAAAATACAGTCCACTGAATTGGATTGCTCTAAGCAGAATGATCAAAGTAATTCTTTTCCTTGGTTATGCCAAGCAAGTTGTTGATGGCAGTAGCACATTTTAGCGAAACGGAGCGATATCGGTATATACTCTCAGACCTGAGACAGCATGAACAACATCAGCTTACTGAGTCGATTTGAACCACTGTTTTCAGAGTTATTTCCATATTTTCTGTTCATAAGCGATTTATAGAGACTTAAATACGCCTTATGGGACAGAATTAATTATGGGAGAAGACCTAAGGATTACTCTGGAAGACTCATTTGAGTCACTGAAAACTGACAACCTTGGTATGTTACTCATGAGGGCTAGGAAGCAAGTATTGTGTGAAGATGAAAAAAGAAAGTGACAGCTAACAGAGATTTAAAGATTTGGGTAAAAAAAACGATATCCTTGCTTCTTTCAATAAAGAGTTTCCTTTCTCAAGTGCTCAGAATTTAAGCACCATATACGCATCATGGATACCGTTTTTATTAGAATTTGTACAGTCCTTTGAGGTTTCTTTTGATTCCGACTCTCTCGAAAATGAAGTAAAGCGAAATGCTTTGAGTTTATTACAACAATGTGCTCATAAAGACGAATTCCAACCCTACGCGGAACTATGTGTTACTCGATTAGTCTGGTTTATACGAGCAGAAAATGACGAAATTGCGATATATTGCCTAAAAATGATCATGGATATTTTCAAGTCTTTCAAAGCCTCTATTCATGGTTGCGCTCAAAGCTTCTTTGATTTGGTCGTTTCTTTAGCCCGTAAACTCCCTTCCACCATCCCTTTTTGCTTTCCAAAAAGCAGTACCCTATCTTCTTCCGTTGATGATCATACCCTTTTATTTACGTCTGCTGCAGGAAGCTACCTATACAAAGAGGCATTGGACCTACATCAACAAATGAACCATCCGTCTGCACGAGACAAGAAACTTCAGCCGGCTCTTCAAAGCTTTCGTGTGTTTATCGAATGTCCAGTTGTAATTGTGCTCATCCTTCAAGTCCTCCGGCAATCTGCGACAAGTAATGTACAGCTACTCCTCCCTTTTCTTCTGGATATCCTTCAAATCAATGTCCCAATTCCAGATGATTTGTCTGGGAGGGTAAATGAAGATATTAGTTTCGATTTCATCAGAGCTGTCAAAAATAAGAGCGCATACAGGTCCGTTTTTATGGCTCAGGTGAAAACACTCTCATTTGTAGCTTACATATTAAGAACTTTTCCAGAAACGTTTAGCAACAGGGAAATAATTCCATTGGTTGTCGTAAAGCTTTTGCGGAGATGTCCTTATGACATGTGTTTTGCTCGAAAGGAGTTACTGGTGGCCAGTCGGCACATACTGTCTACGAATTTACGAAGATTATTTATTGGAGTCTTGGATTCCTTGCTTGAGCCTAACATTCTACTCGGTAAAGGTGTTGCTTCTAGGGAACTATTGCGACCGCTTGCTTATAGCACTTTAGCCGACTTGCTTCATCACATTCGTAACGAAGTTAGTAGTGAGCAGATTCGAAAAGCCATTACTATTTATTCACATAATCTACATGACCCAAGTTTAAGTATTGGTTTACAAACTATGGGAGCTCGACTTGTTTTAAATATGATTGATCGCATCATAAGCCTTCCCAATCCCGCTGACTCGATCTCTCTCCTTTTCTTTATTTTTGATGCTTTTATAGCCAAATTTCATGAATTAAATTATAAGTTACAAGGAAGGTTTCAACAACAAAACGAAAAAGCTGTACAGCGGAAGGATGGTTCTGCAAAGTTTCACATAGAAGAACAACTGCCATCTATTATTTCAATGGAAAAGGATGGATCTTTTCTTTTTAAAAATCTAATGCTCGGATTACGTGCATTGATGTATGGGTTGCGCATGTGTAAAGCTCGCAGCTTCGAGGCTTCAAATCTCCACCTTAATAACATTGAAAAGTCGACGGCTATTCAAGAAACTCAGATTTTTAAGAAGCTTTTTATTGAGGTTGCAAAGGGTCTTTCTTTTTTCCGGCCTGACGAAGTTTACTGGGAAATGTATTATGCCGGTAATGAAGACAATCTAGATAAGCCATTAACCTCCACCCTTCCCAAAAATAAAGATGAAAAGGATTGCTTGGAAGTATTTGCAACAATATTTATTCACCTTGAACCGCCATTATTCATTGAAATTTTTGAAACCAATTTGCCTATGTTTTTTGAACAACTCAAATTAAACCTTACTCTTTTTCATATTCCCCAGTTTCTTCTTTCTAATGAAAGTACATCTTCTAGATTTCTAAATGTTTTACTTCGCTTTCTACTTTCAAAACTGGGCGAACTCGGTTCTTCCGACGAAAGACATGGTTCCGTTATGTTAAGGCTTTTCCGACTATCCTTTGTTACTGTTTCTTTATTTGCTCAGAAAAACGAAACTGTTTTACGACCTTATGTTTCTGAGATGGTCATAAAATGCATGAAATTTGCGCCCAACTCTAAAAACTCTATTAATTACTATCTGCTTCTACGCGCCCTCTTTAGAGGTATTGGCGGTGGTCGTTTTGATAGCTTATATAAAGAGATAATGCCCCTCTTACATGCCTTGCTGGAAGCCTTCAACTCCTTGTTGGCATCCGCCAAATCTCAAAAAGAAAGAGATTTATTTACTGAACTTTGCTTAACTGTTCCTGTCCGACTTAGTCTTCTTCTGCCGTACTTGAGCTACTTAATGAAGCCGTTGGTTAACTCTCTGAAAAGTGGCCAAGAACTGGTAAACCAAGGCTTGAGGACTTTCGAACTATTTCTGGATAATTTGACTCCTGATTTCTTGGATCCAATTATGGCTCCTATTATTGATGAGCTTATGGATGCTTTATGGGGCCATCTTCAACCTTTACCATACAGTCATCAATATAGTCACAATGCTCTTAGAATCCTTGGTAAATTAGGAGGAAGAAATCGAAAACTTCTTAATAAAATTCACAAGTTGAGCGTAAATTCTTCTTCTGCCAGAGATTTCACTATGCTTGTGGATATTAGAGGAACTGACCAAACTCAATTATTACATTACTTGAATTATGTGGATCCCGCTGTAAATATGCTGACTAGGCAAAATTTAGATATCGATATCAAAAGACAGTCTTTTAACTATCTTACGACAATTACGAGGATTTTCTTTCACCGGACAGGTGATGTAGATAGTATAACCTCTCGCATTAAAGTCAGTGCTAGACAGCTGCTACAATCAAAGGTTGACTTTAAAAGACCTTACTCTTTTGCTACTAATCGTGGCACAGGTCGAGATTTTTTCTGTAAAATAGATGACAATTCGGTTGAGAGTTTGGTCCTTTCCCGTGCTACTTATGGTTTATTTATAGCTACCTCCAATGAAGGCTTACGTGAGAGTGCATTACAAAGTTTGAAAGTGCTCGCCGCTAACATTCTTGTCTATGACTTACTTTATGCTGTTGATTTATGCAAAGACGGTAATAATGAATCATTATTATATTCTCGTAAAGAACCGGTCCTAAGCTCTCATTATTTTTCTCATTGCTTAGCGAAAGTGATGTGCGAAGATGATGAAAGAGTCAGAAATTCAGTCACCTATATCTTGAACTTCATGTTTGAATTTGCTTCTGTCCTTTTTGATGATTCCCAGAAGGCTTATATCTTACCGATTTTTGAGGTTTTGCTCTCTGATTTCAGACACAAATGCTATGACTGTCAATGGCATCATAAGCACGGTGGTTGCCTTGGTCTTAAGGTTTTAATTGAACAGGAATGCTCACCTTTATGGTTGTTTGATAGACAAGCTGATATTTTAACTGCATTATTTTTTACGCTCAAAGACACTACTCCTGAAGTGCCTTCAATATGTAAAACGACAGTTATGGATGTTCTTAAATGTTTATTTGAGAAAATTTACACGACTAAGGATACTAAAATCGCTCCTGGAGTTTTAGGTCACCTAGTATTGGAATTATCCAACCACAACTCAGTTGTGAGGAATTCGACCCGAGAATTGTTATCACTACTATCCGCCGTGTCTAGTATCCCTATCTCGGAGCTTGTTTCTCCTTTCAAAGAAAGGCTTTTGGGACCCATTTTTGCCAAGCCGTTACGGGCCCTTCCTTTTCATATACAAATCGGACATATAGATGCTGTTTATTATTTTATAGGGCTGGATGATCATTTAATATCGTTAACGGATGAAGTAATGCGAATAATACACGAAACCGTTGCTCTAGCAGGTGCAGATGATGATGCTTTGATAGGCCATAACAAAGCCTCCCACTTTAAGAATGCAGCATTCCTTGTGAGACTAAGGGTTGTCTGTATTAATCTTCTAAGTTCTATAATCTGTAAATTTGATTTGACTGATCCTCAGCATGTTCACTTAAGAGGAAAAATTATTTCTGTGTTCTTTAAATCACTCTATGTGAAATCTAATGAAGTTATAGAAGCAGCATTTGCTGGGTTGCAATACGCTTTAAAAGAGGATCAGAAGCTACCAAAAGAGTTATTACAGACTGGGTTGCGTCCGATACTGTTTAATATATCCGATCATAAACGGCTCACTGTTGCTGGTTTGGAAGGACTTGCTAGATTACTTTCTCTTTTGACTAACTATTTTAAAGTCGAAATTGGCAGGAAACTCTTGGATCATCTGATTGCTCTTCGTGACACAATAAATTTACGTGAGATATCGAAGATGCCTTTGGCTTCTCAAACTGAGATGAAAATTATCCAGGCTCTTATTAACATATTCCATTTGCTTCCCAATAACGCAAATCAATTCATGATAGATCTATTGAAATGCGTATTAGACATCGAAATGAAGCTTAATCGTACTTGTCCTAACTACTTTGGTATCCCATTACTGAAATACATTAATCGTTATCCACATGATGCTTGGGATTTTTTCTATGCCAGAATTGATGATTCGATTTGCACCAATTTTTTTATTGAACTACTTCGACTAGAGGAATCTGAAAATTTAATGCTTATAGTGAAGGAACGCTGGAGTGTTTTTCGCTCAATATTGACTACGGAAGTGCCCACATCGAACAACACGAGATATTCTTTTGCATTAGAAGTTTCTTGTGAAATATTTACTAGAGATCCTTCTTTTTTTAAGGAAAAAAATTCATTTTTCAAAGGACTTACAAATGCTGTTGAGATTATTGGAGATCTAATCAATAATGGAGGAACCATCACTTTTATTACATCCTGGGAAAGGGTTTTAATACAATTGTGTGATTTTCTGTTGAAAATATACGACCACTGTATAAAAGATTTTGATTCTGGTTTGGATCTGTTAGCTGCCTTTCAGAGTATTGAGTATTATCTATCCAATACTCTTATGATCACATTAACAAAGCATCTTCAGAACAGTCTCGCTGAAAATTTTGAGTTAAAACTTCGAAGTTTACTATTCAACTTTTTAAGTTCAAAAAATTCATTACAATTTAAGAATGCTCTTATCAATGATGTCTTACTGCAATTTTTTAACCAGTCTAAAGCGGATGTCGAATCATGTCAAGCATGGTTTTATTCACTATACAAATTCTATTTGAAAGATCTTTCCAGTAAGCTTGGGACTTCTTATGATGATGGGGTCAGTATGGGAACTCTGCAGATTATACTCTTTTTTCTCAGGAATAATTACAAGGTATTAGAAAAATTCAGCGAAGAAATAATGTCTTTATGTTGCGCTTTAGCAAATTCTGAAGACATTATAATTAAACAGCTATCTATTTATTCTCTGTCTATTTTAAGTTCTGTATTCTCCGCCCCAGTTTTTGTACCTAGACTCGTCTATAAGGCATTACTTAAAAGCTCTCCCGTCGAGGTCAGGCATACGGTGAAGTCTTCTTTTGAATGCATTTTCTCATCTATGTCTTCATCGAATGAATTGTCAGACCATCTGGTTAAGCTTCCATTACAAATGATGAAAAGTCAAAGTCAAAATATTTCACAACTGCTAAATGTTCTTGACTTTTTAAGCTCACATGTCTCCTTCTTTTATTCGTATAGATCAAATTATATATCTATAATTATCGATTCGCTATATAAGTTAGGAGGAATTCCAAATCCAAATTTGGAAATTCGTTCACTATCGTTGAACCTTGTGAAAATGCTAGTCACCTGGGATAAAACCGAGAGATTTGAACAAAAAACCGAACTTTTTACAAATAATCAGAAGCGCGCCATATTAAGTTTTTTGTTTCGATTTATTTGCCTGTATTCAGAGCTCTATACCGAAGGCTTATGCAAAGAAGCAGCGGATGTACTTGAACAGCTTTTTTCCTTAAAAGAATGGTCCAATCTCGGAATGAAACTTACTTTTTTCACAAAAAGTATAGCACATTTTGATTCAACTGAGTCTAACTCAATAATGTATGCAAATTCTTTGAAGACATTGTCTATAGTTATAAAGACTGCAGACGATGCATGGATATTAGAAAACTTCAACGATTTGAAAGTGCTTTTGGTACAATCATTACAAAACGAACATACTATAGTTCAGCCTCCATTAAGTAATTTCGTCTCTTCGGTTCTTTCTTTACCCAATGTCCGTCCTTCCTTAATAAATGCACCCGGAATTGCCGAGATCTGGAGTACTGTTAGTGAATGGACTGAAAGGCAATTGCTATCTGGATCCCAACTGGATGTCGCTTTGTCATGTTTAAAGTGCTGTCTGTCAAGGAAAAATGCTTCCAACAATTTGCTTGCAGCTTTTATGCGTTCTTTTCATAAGGTAACGAAGGAGGCACTTTCTTTAGGAGCGCAAGCAATCCCAACACCAGCAATGAGTATGCAACCCGTATCTGCAATAGATGAAGTAAATTCAGTTCTTATGACAATGACTGATTTGGGCTGTTCTTATGTTTGTGATTTAAACGATCAACGAAGGTGGTTTCTTAGCGCATTGGTTCAAATCATTGAAAAGTCAACGAATGAAAAAATCTGTTCTTTCATTTTTAATGCTGTTCGCAATTGGGTTGTCAATTTCCAGGCTTCGATCCCCACCCTTAAGGAAAAAGCTGCATTATTATTAAAAATGGTTTCGTTTGAAAGTAGATTTACGAGTCTAAACAACTCAAATCTTTTTTCCGACTATCTTTATTTTATCCATGATGTTTTTGGAATGAAGGAGTACGAAGGCAGTGAGCTCCTCTATCGACTTGAGGCTGTGTACCTGTTGGGTACCAGAAGTTTAGACTCCAAAATTCGAGACCTATTCATTAATACAATAAGTTCAAACCTTCCTAAGGATTTATATTCCAGATTTTGTAAGCTACTTGGAGTGCATCATTGGGACTCACTTTCAAATACATACTGGTTATCCCAGCTGAATTCTTTTCTAATTGACTGCTTTGAGTTTGATAAAAAATGTGTTTTCTTCAAAAAACCTAAGCGATTTCCAAAACTCTCTTCTTATTTACCTTCAGAGTCATCGAAGGCGGAGTTTGGATCTGAATATGACAATTTAAAGACTGCACTCCTTGCGTACCAAGTAATCTCTGATGATTATAGCGGTATTCAGCTTTCAGACATTATGATTCCAATATCGAAGATGCAAGTCATAGACGCTGAAATGGCTGGCGCACTTTGGGAGGATTTATTCAACGCATCCTTTTCCAGTTTTACTTCTGAGCAGGTTGCTTCAGCATCTAAAGCTGTGACCTTAATTCTCTCGAAAGAATATCATATTAGATTACTAGGAAAGGTCCCCAGCGTTTTGGAAACGTTCCTAAATGCTATTTTACTTTCTGATAAATTTATTGCTTTACCGCCGCAGCTATTATCTTTTTTAAGCAAAAACTTTGGTTTACATCATCAATGCATACTTCTTTTAGAGAATGCACTTCGCAATAATCCTGGCTTTAGGGAAGATGAATTGTTAATTTATAGAAATTCCTGTTTGGATGCTCTTAGTGAGGTTTATTATGGTCTAGATGAGCACGACTTATATATTGGCTTATGGAAGCGGCGTTCTCGCTACTTGCAGACAGAAATCGCCACGTCTTATGAGCAGTGCTATAGATGGGAAAAGGCGCAATTGGTTTATGAACAAGCACAAATAAATACATGTGCTGGTGCCATTCCATATTCACCTCAGGAAAACGGATTTTGGCATGATCATTGGATTGAGTGTGCCCAAAAGCTGAATCAGTGGGATGTTCTTTTAGATCTATCAAAGCAAGAGGGCTGCAACGAACTGTACGTAGAAAGTGCTTGGCGGATTTTGGACTGGAATACTGATCGTGATAACATTAAAAAATCGGTCAAAACACTTTCTCCTTTAGTGAGCTTAAGGCGCCATACCTCGGATGCACTGCTTTCCTTAACGAGTGGAGGTAGAAAATCGGATTCTATGAACGAATTTGCTAAGACCATTCATGAGGGTATGCAGTTTTCTTTACGCCGATGGCAGCAATTACCCAAACGCGTTTTCCAATCTCATACAACTTTATTGCATCATTTTCAAGAGCTTGCAGAAATGCAGGAAGCTTATAATATCTATACACAGCTCGAGAGTACCACTATTGAAAACCTAGACGCCAAGCTTCAAGATATAAAGGTTGTACTACAAAGTTGGAGAGAGCGTTTGCCTAATATATGGGATGATATTAATTGTTGGAGTGATCTAGTTTCTTGGAGGAAGACTGTTTTTAAAGCCATTAACAATGTTTTCTTACCCTTGGCTTCAACCATTCAACAAGCGTCAAATGTAGCTTCTAACACCAATTCGACGTCGTATCTTTACCGAGGCTACCACGAATTGGCTTGGATAATAAATCGATTCGCCCATGTTGCTAGGGTACAACATTTACCTGAAGTTTGCATCAATCAGCTAACCAAAATCTATACGCTGCCCAACATAGAAATACAAGAGGCTTTTCTGAAATTGCGTGAGCAAGCGAAATGTCATTACGAATACCCATCGGAAATACATTTGGGCTTAGAAGTTATTAACAATACTAATCTTATGTATTTTCGTAATCCTCAAAAAGCCGAATTCTTTACTTTGAAAGGAATGTTCCAAAATAGCCTAGGTGAATATGACGAAGCAAATCAAGCTTTTGCTACTGCGGTACAAATCGATTTAACATTAGGAAAGGCTTGGGCTGAATGGGGTCTGTACCATGACAACTTGTTTAATGCGTCACCTCAGGAAACTTGGCGCGCTTGTAATGCCGTTAGTTGTTATCTTCAAGCTGCATCACTATATTCCAGTTCAAAAGCTAAGAAGTACCTAAGCCGCCTTCTTTGGTTGCTTTCAATCGACGGACCACAAGGATCCATATCTGCCGTAGTTTCCTCATTTAAGTCTGAAATACCGGTGTGGAATTGGATATCTTTTATTCCTCAGTTATTAGCTTCTTTGTCGCATAATGAAGCACCACATACTCGAGCAATCTTAATAGCAATAGCTAGAACATACCCTCAAGCACTTCATTTTCAACTTCGTACGGCTTATGAAGACTATACTCTTTTAAATAAGCAGCAAATGGCAGCGATAGCCAAAACTTCTACTTCAAATGGCTCCACTGAAAGTTTACCAACAGATACTAATAATAGGGATTTGAACTCAGGTGCATCAATTTCAAGCTCCTCTAACGTAACCCCTATAAATGAAGGATCTATGAGCAGTGATATGAATGGAAAACAAAACCATTTGAATGCTCGTATACCTTCTCAAATCACTGGCGATATTATGGCTATCTTAAAAACTGCGTATCCATTGCTTGCCCTAACGACGGAAACTATGGTGGATCAGATTCAATCTCGTCTTAAATCTTTTCCAGATGAGGATGCGTATAGATTGATTGTCGCCTTATTGAACGATGGTTTACAATATATTACAAGGCTTGGCGTTGTAACAAAGAATACGCCTCAACTTCCTATGACGAAGGCTAACATACAGCGTTTTGCAGAAAATGTATTGCCAACCCCTATTCGAGAACTTTTTCTGAAAGATTTCGTCGAGCAAGACTTGTCATTACTGGCTTACGTGGATAAGTTGCGTGTATGGAAGAAGCGATTTGTAGAAATCTTAGACCAACGGCCTAAATGTCTTCATTTGGAACAATGCAGCCTTTATTTAAGTGAGTTTCAGCACCAGAAGTTTGATGAAGTGGAAATTCCCGGTCAGTATCTTTTGGATCGTGACAGCAATAATGATTTCGTTCGTTTGGAAAGGTTTATCCCCAATGTTGATCTTATAAGAGGACATAATATATGCTACAAACGACTTACAATGAGAGGCTATGATGGCATTTTGTATCCTTTTGCTTTACAGTATCCTGCAACTCGTCATAGTAGACGGGAGGAACGCATGCATCAGCTTTTACGCTCTATTAATTCAATCTTGGAGACGAAAATTGAAGTTCGACGTCGAAATATCACTTTCGATGTACCCATTTCAATTCCTTTATCTTCTCATATGCGTATATTGAGTGATGATGATGCTAATGTAACGGTACAGAAAATTAATGATTGGTACTGTGAAGAACATGGAATGGCATCTGATCATCCTATTCGTTTCTTTTTTAATAAGTTGCAATCAAATTTGATTCAATTAAAACGCGGTAATAAATTAAATTTAGAGAACAATTCTTTGGAACAAAAGAAACATGTTTACCGTCAACGTGCTCTAGCCTTAAGAATGCAAATTTTGGACACGATTAAAGATTCCATTATACCCGAGACAATTCATTATGATTACTTTGGTAAAGTTTATAATAGTTACTCGGATTTTTGGTTTTTTAAACGTACATTTACTGTGCAATATGCTTACTTATTGATGATTACCTACATTTTCAATGTTGGAAGCAGATTTCCTCATAAGATTAATATTAATCGCAGCTCAGGAAGCATTACTTCGGCAGACCTTTTACCTTTGATGACTTCAAATCAGCCTACATTCAACAATCCTGAAGCTGTCCCTTTCCGTTTGACTCCTCCTGTACAATATTTAATTGGCGACATTGGAATAGAAGGCTTGTTGGTTGGTGTTCTGATAAGTTTTACTCAGAGTTTTTCAAGCTCAGACGCTGACATTAGGCAATACCTTAGTCTATATATCCGTGACGAAGTTTTATGGTGGCATAGGCAACAAAAGAGATCTTTACCACATGGTTTGCAATTATTTGAGATGGTGAGACTTAATGTTGAATTACTATCCCGAAGGGCATCTGGCATAAGTCAGAATGTCCCTGATAATTTACCAATAACGCAAACACTAATTGACTTAATATCGCAAGCTACGAATCCTAAGCAGCTTGCTCAGATGGATCAGCTCTGGCAAGCATGGTTGTAAATTTAAGATTTTTGGGTTTTAATGAGACTTTATGCCTTAGAGAGATAAAAACTAAAACTAAAATAAAAAATAAGTATATAATGTTATTTGATGAAATTACAGGTGTTTGTGTCGGTTAATAATAATAAATTAAGCCTTTAACTAAAAAAAAAAGACAGTATCCTTTTTTTTGTGCCGAAAGAAACAGGTATTTTGAATCTAATATTAACCAAAACCAAATCACTTCTGAAACAAAAACTGTATATATGCAAGCAAGCAAAATGTCTTCTTTTCTCATTTTCTTGTCTTAGACAGCCTAGCCTATTTTTGAAGAAAACAAATGTATCCAATCCTAACCAGGTTGCATTCTTTATACCATGTCACCTATGTTCATGGGCATTTCATCGATAACCGTCGAGTAATATTGCTCGATGTCCCGCAGAATACGAACATCTTCATTTGTGACAAAATTAATAGCTACACCTTTGCGGCCAAATCTACCACTACGGCCAATTCTGTGAATGTAATTTTCACGATTTGTTGGAAGATCGTAGTTAATTACGAGAGATACCTGTTGAACATCAATTCCACGAGCCCATATATCCGTGCACAGCAAGACCCGGCTATTTCCTTGTCGAAAGTCTTGCATAATAGTATCTCGTTCCTTTTGCGGCATTTCACCATGCATGCTAGCAACAGTGAAATTTGCTTCTCGCATTTTCTCAGCAAGCCAATCTACCTTTCTCCTGGAGTTACAGAAAATGACAGCCTGGGTGATTGTTAACGTATCATACAAATCGCAAAGGGTATCAAATTTCCACTCTTCCTTTTCGACAGCGATAAAGTACTGTTTTAAGCCTTCTAGAGTCAGTTCGTCTCTTTTCACGAGAATGCGAACAGGATCTGAAGTAAATTTACTTGTCATTTCTAGGACGTCTTGTGGTAGAGTAGCACTTACTACGACAACTTGTGTACCTGGAGGAAGGTAACGGTAGATGTCGTAGATTTGTTCCTTAAAACCTTGATTTAAGAGCTCGTCGGCTTCATCAAGGATAAGCATTTTGACATTTCGAGTTCTGAGATTCCTTCTACGAATCATATCGGTTACACGACCGGGAGTTCCTGAAACTACATGCTGACCGTAATCTAATTTTTTTATGTCGTTGCCTACGGATGTTCCACCGATGCAGGCATGACATTGGATATTCATATGGTCACCTAAAGCAAGCACGACGTTTTGGATTTGAACGGCCAATTCTCGAGTTGGTGAAAGAATTAAAGCTTGCGTATCTCGCACAGAGAGGTCGATAGATTGAAGAATACCGATTGAAAATGTAGCTGTCTTACCAGTACCAGATTGTGCCTGGGCGATTACGTCTCGCCCTTTACAAATCTGAGTAATTGCACGGCTTTGAACAGCACTAGGAACTTCATACCCATAAGCATAAATACCACGTAACAGATCCTCTGGAAAAATGTAAGTACAAAGCATTAAAAAATTGATTTTAGTTGTTTTATTTTCATTCTAGTTTTATCATCAATTTTTATACGAACCTTTCAGATTCATTTCTTCAACTAGACAATTGTATTAGCATTGAATGGCCATGTTTTTTTCTCTTTTCATTTTACTTACAAGAAGAAGCTGCTTTCACATCTTCTGAAGTGGTAAATTCAATATCATCCATAACTTCCTCCGCCATATTGAGTAATGTGGTTTTTTTCAGAAGAACGTCCGTTGTACGTTCTACCCAAGTTCGAAGTTACGGTTCCAACTAAAATTTCAATTTATGAATCTATTCATCATTTTTTATTAAGAAATATTGAGAAATAGAAATAAAAAATCTTTAAGTATGGCAAGAAACTTGTACACACGATGGGATACCTTTTCAATTTATGCTTTTGTGTTTTAAGAGATCCCTTTGTTTTGAATGGTTTTCATCTGTTAAATAGTTACTTTACGGTTATGCTTTTGGTCCTATAAATCATGGAGTAAAATATGGCAATGCAAAGCTGCAAAGAGAAATTTTCGAAATCTGTCACCCCGAAAAAGTGATTCAACTTCAATCCCTATAAATTTCTAGGTCGATTATAGAGAACTATGAACGGTTGAATACAAGGGATCCATCGCATTTATGTATTTCTCGAAGACTGTGCATGTAGGTTCATCCTGTATAGAACACTTTTGGTCTTTACTATGAAAGGGAGCCTTAATTTAATTAGCAATGTATTTCTTCCATACGAAACAATTTTCTTTATACTGGCTAGCTTGATGACTCAGTGTTTCGCTTGATTGATCCCATCAAGCATTTTTGAGATGAGCATACGAAAAAAACGAGTTCATCGTATTGAAAAAGTGAAATGAAATATGCTTGTGCTAGTTGAATGAGTTGAATTAAAACCCTCATAGAATAGTAAGGTTTTTCGAGAGATAGCTGTTGTGCTAATTTTCTTCAATCTCTCTATTCAGTCTTTTCTTGATCAGGATTGGAAACGACAAAATCTTAACGAAATCACGGGTTACTTGTATTAATCGTTTGTCTTGAATAGTTCTATGTTCCCAAGCGAAGAATCTTCAATTTACAGTTTCCTTTTTTTTTTTCATTGAACTTCTGACAGTCGCCGACTGAGACCATAAATTTTGGAAATTGAGCTAGGCGGGTATCGCAATCTCTGGTTTTCTGTACAAGATGCATAGTCTTTTACAGACAAGGACGTTTCCTCTCGAAACTCACAGAACCTTGCCTTGCACAGAATGTGTAGTAATCCATGGCCTTTAGGTGATTATTATGTATGCATTGAAAGTATTCGAAAAAGTCAGCACTAGGATTCCTAGATAAGATGGTGTGTGTTACGAATCGATGCTCTAACGGATCCTTCACAACTTTTTAAATCAGAGGATGATAAAGCGACACTTGAAGTAGTAAAATTCCGAAATAAGGTATGAAAAGCGAGAGATAAAGTTCCCTTTTTCCTATCACGATGCTTGTATTTTCAAAGAGCTTTCTTTGGAATCCTATTATGTTTTTTGTCTGCGGTATTCACAATGCATTCTATGGCATTTCATATTAGCGCTGTGTAAAAAACCTGGATTCGAAGCTGTCTGTCTCCATCAATGTACGTTTAAATTATAATATTTAGTTAAGGAGAAGATTGTTTCAATTCTCTTTTAACCCCGATTCTAAATATGTGAATTGCTTCCTCCAATGCTAGGCAAAGAATCCAAAAACGAAATCAGAATCAGAATCGGTTCAGTGTCTGCTTGACCGTGAAAGATTTACTCGACGACTTGTACAAGAAATTTATTAATTATTTTATTTACTACTCATTTATAATGTAAAACCACTTCATATTTTGTTTTATATTAAAGAGGATGCAAACCCTTTAAAATGATCTTGCTTTTAAGGATAAGTTTGAGGAAGATAAATCTCCCTTCCTACGTACAGTTACTGTACAGTCTTGCGCCCTTGAGCGTGAAGAGATCTGATATAATATTCGCTTTTTAGTAATATAATAGTAGATAAAATAATATTAAAGTCTGAGTGTTTAATGCGAACTTCACTGTAAATCGTTGAATAATTTAATGCTGTAGAAGACAAAACGTAAATAGGCGATAAAGATAAGCTTCAAATACCTTAATTTTGATGTCAACAGAAATCGTAAAAACAGAAACAAAAGCTATAATCCTCCTTTCTTTAGCAAACAACAACTCTTTTAACCTCATTCATTTATTTTTTTCAAGCGGCTAGTGTTGCTGTAAAAAATAAACAAAAAAAGACGCGTGAGTGTTTCTTTTATTACAAAGTTCATCATTAGCGTGTCGCGTTTAACCTCCACCATCTACGTGATCACAAAACAAACATCTTCTTCGATCTCAGAAGTAAAGAGTCGAGTAGGACACACTCGTTAGCAACGAATTGTAATTGGAACTCAATTTATCCACGTTGGACTTCAAACGAAAAACTTAAGCCGTGCAAGCTTTCAACTCTCGAGCCTTACATAGCTTGATCTTTCATTTGTATTGTTTAGAAGTTCCCTTTTGATTCCAATAGAGTAACGACTTTCTCTTGTCTTTTCTATCGTGCTCTTTTTAATCTTCAGAACCGCTTACCTTTAGCTTTTTCTTTATTTGTTTTGTATTTTTCATTCACCAACGTTACGACACGGCCCCAAGTTTCTTTTGTTTTATTAAACTCGTTAACCGTTGACTGTTTCCAGAAGATAATTATCCTTTGGCGCAGAAGAATTAATTGATTAGAACAACGCTTTGTCTTTTCTTGGTTTTTCCTCGTTCGTTTACGGATTTTTTTTAATTTATTTCTAACTTTTATCTTTTGTCTTTGTCTTACTTTGTCATTTTTCTCTTTTCGATATCATGGAAAAGTCAATCAAGGATGGTGTGCCAAAAATCTCTACCACCAGTATGCTCGAGAAACCGACACCTGGACCCACCCCTCAACAAACCCCAGTACAAACTCCTTCAGCTACTCCTGAACCCAAGGCTCCCTCGCAGGGTCAGAGCTCCGAGGAGTACAGTCCTGACGAAGACTGGTTGGGTGAGCATGCTGCGCGAGAACACGAAGCTCGTATCCGTCGTCCTAGTGTAACTCGTGCCTGGGTTCCAAAAAGTTCCGGTGGTCCCTCCATCCAGCAAGATCGCCGTGACGTGGCTCCTTTCGGCGAAGTCGTAGACTTGGAAGAAGTCCCTCGTGGTATCGTCCGTCAAGCTCGTCAATTAGATGACTATGCATTTCCCTATCATCGTTTCCGTGAAAATCTAATTGATGAAAGCAAGATTCCCCTCGTTTTAATTGCTTGTGGTTCTTATTCTCCAATTACCTATCTTCATTTACGTATGTTTGAAATGGCGACTGATACCATTCATGAGCAAACAAATATGGAACTAATTGCTGGGTACTTCTCTCCTGTCAATGATGATTACAAAAAGGAAGGCTTGGCACCTGCTCATCACCGAGTCCGTATGTGCGAATTGGCTTGCGAGCGTACCTCTAGCTGGTTGATGGTTGATGCATGGGAAAGTCTTCAACAAAAGTACACCCGAACTGCAGAAGTACTAGATCATTTTGATGAAGAAATCAATAAGAAGCGAGGCGGTATTCGCTTGTCCGATGGATCACGTCGTCCCTGTAAGATCATGCTTTTGGCTGGGGGTGACTTAATTGCCAGTATGGGGGAGCCTGGCGTTTGGTCTGAATCAGATCTGCATCACTTACTTGGAAACTTTGGCTGTGTCATCGTCGAACGAACTGGTAGTGATGTTTGGGCCTTTTTGCTGGCTCATGATCTTTTGTTTGCTTATCGTGGAAATGTCCTGGTTATTAAACAATTAATATATAATGATATATCCTCCACAAAGGTTCGACTATTTATTCGAAGAGGAATGTCCATACGATACCTTCTACCAAACTCTGTTATTCAGTACATAGAGAGACATTCCCTTTATCGCGATGCTGAACCTGTTAAGGCTTTATTTTACCAATCCCCTTTTTTTCGGATGGAAACACTTTGATTTTTACAGGTTTTTTTTTTTCTTTTTTTTTTATTGACAGCGGATTCGTGTCTTTCTTACGTCCACTGTCCCTGATTGCGAAATTTTATTGTACAGTATGTATAAGAACGGGTATTCTATTCTAATTCTCTTCTTATTAGATGTTAGATTAAGGGAATTTAGTTGTTAAATGACTGTGTGGTCTTTTTCTTTTGTTATTTAATAAATGCGAGAAACTGCCTAGGCAAAGTAAGTGCGTATCATTCTTATTCCTTGTACCGCCTAAATTTACAATAGGTAGATATCATAGATTTGGCCAATTCTTGAGAGGCAAGCTTCGTAACTATCGTAGACAGAGAGAAAATATTCTCGTTCCATTGGATTAGAAAGGTGTACCAACCGCCTGCCCTGTTTTCTTCGAAACATCTGAATGTGAAATCTGTTTTTCATTAATTTATGTTCCAGCGTTCCTTTTGACGAAGCTGCTTGTAAAAAGTCAACTGTTCGAAGGACACGCTGTTCAGAAAAGTAGGATGGACTATGATTTCGAAATCCATCTCTTAAGAGATCTCGATAAACGAATCTATGACCAGGAAACTTTGTTGAGAGCGCAGCGGCCATTCCAGCTCTCCATAGCGATCGATATGCTGAAGATATTTCCCTGAGCATTACGTTCAAGTTGATAGCTTTGACGATTTGGAAACTTAATGAATATTCATTGTATTTCTGCGTTGAAAAAAAAAAAATAAAATAAAATAAAAAAAAGAGAACAGAACAAAACAAAATCTTACAAGAAGAGACTACCTTTCTTTGCACGAGTTGACGGTCCTAAGCTACAACTTTGCTTGCTTCTTCACCTTTGAAATAGCGTATGAAAATAATATTGGATAACGTCTGGTTTTTTTTTTGTAATTTCCAAAAGAAATCCGCGTTTTGAAAATGAATTAGTTTTATTTTTTCTTTTTTAATTTTTGTCTTCTTTTACAGCTTAATAAATTTTTAAACGTAACTCTCGTTTTATGATTCCATAACAAGCTTGTGTTTTGAAACTTATCATATTAACCGTATAATAGTATAATATTAGAATACATTTCGATAAAAGGAAGGAAAAGGTGTCACGGGAGAAATCTCACACGTTATGAGAATGTAAATCGAGTGAAAGTAATAAGTACAATTACAAAATTGTCTATTGGAATTGGACGTGTTAGTACTACGTAGAGTAATAGTAATATGTCCAGGGATCTGATTAACTAAATGAAAACGACTAAGTGTCAATCTTATTTAGCCTGATCAGTCAAATCTTCCGATCTAAAGATTTCGACTGTCGACACACATATATATATTATTCTGTATATTTGCCATCGTGACTGGCTTCTCTAATTAATAGCAATAATCACGAATTGTAAATTTTAATCGGAGTTTCTGCATTCAAAGAGAAATTTGCATTTTGAAATTTTTGTTTACTTATTATCAAGCACAATTCTTTAAGCTTATGAATATTAACTGATATTAGCTAATATTCCATTCTTATAACGGATTGTTATATTATGAATGCTAACGAGGGACCCAATTTTGACAAAAGGACTATAACATTGTTTTAAAGAGGAAATAAATGGAAAACACATCTATTTTCTTGTTATTTCTACACAGTCCTTTCATCCAAGCTTAGCCCTTCTTGTTTATATACATTCTTCCCTTGGTATGAATAGCGAGACGGAACGAAGGATTTAAGTAAACAAACTGTTAGAAAAAAGAATTGAAGTGATGTCGTAAAGAATACAAGAAGGGGAAAAGGAAAAAGTGAAAATGAAACAATTCCTATACTACCGTTATTATTTTAAAGCCATCCTCTCATCGAAATAAAAAAGGTCGCTGAGCATTGTTGTTTAGGCAGTCACAAAATTTCACTTTTATTAAGTAGCAAAGCCTTGTTACTTTGGAGGTTTGTCTGTTTACAAACAACAGGACTAGTTCAAAAAAAAATGAATGGTTTTCAAAGATATGTTCAGGTTGGGCGCATCATTTTATTGAAAGCGGGACCTCAAAAAGGCAAGTTGGCTGCCATTGTCGATATTATTGACCACAAGAGGGTAAGCTGAACAATTTTTTTCTAAAAAAGGAGAGAATGCTAATTTTTCATAAACAGGTGATTGTTGATTCTATCTGTCAAGAATTTCCTCGTCAAATTGTTCGCCTTAGTCAAGTTACCCTCACATCTATTGTCATGAGTATTCCCCGCGGTGCTACTAGTGGAATTGTTGCGAAAAAGTGGCAAGCTCAAAACATTTCACAAAAATGGGCCGCTACAGCTTGGGCTAAGAAGTTGGAGGCTTTGAAAACTCGTAGCCAACTTGGAGATTTCGAGCGTTTTGCTGTAGTACGCTACAAAAAGCAACGTCGTAATCAAGTCCAGCTTGCTGTCGCCAGTGCATAAGGAATGTTGTCCATTGTATACTAGTAAAAAGCCAGACTTATAGACAAAGTTTATACGTCTCCAAAAAAAAAGGTAACAAAACTGCAAGGGCCATGAATCTATGCATAGATAATTACAAATAAAAGATTGAATTGGATACTATATTCTTTTCTACGTTCGCTTCATTGAAAGAAACTCGCAAGAATTTGAAATCTCTTCACCGATTTGTTTACAGAAATAGCATAATGCACTGCGTTTTCTAATCTGTATTAAAAATATTTGCTGGAGGTCGTAAAATAGTTTATCCCCCCTTATAGCTAGACTCGTAGAGCCCTAGTCCGCCCTCTAATCGTTTCAAGTTATGTCTAATAGGAGTTAAAAGCGTTTGATTTATTACGGATTCATTGTCAAAAAGGAAACTATACAACGTTTTATTTAATTGTTGATTTGCAGTATAGGTTCACCAAAAAACGTATTTTATATATTCATACATGTAGATATTGAGCTCATTTCAATTTACCAGACCTTTACGCGCTACGTAGAGTTTCGGTAATTACCTGTAATCAATTCATCATTCTTTTGTTGTACCTCCTTAAATAAAAGAACAGTCACGGTCTCCAACACTTTCTACACGAAGTTGTTTATGGTTCTTCGCAAAACCATGACTCAAAAGAGAAGAAATTGCGGACGTAACAAGCACGGCCGTGGCCACGTCAAGTTTGTTCGCTGCATTAATTGCAGCCGTGCCGTCCCTAAGGACAAGGCTATCAAGCGCTGGACTATCCGTATGTAAAATTTTCGAGAGAAGATTGCAAAACTGTTGACTCAAAGAGTCTACTCTTTTGACAGAGTAGGAGTACCTATACGTGGGATAAATACAATCTTTTTCTTAATAAACGCTTCGATAAAAAGGGTAATACTAACATATATTCAGGTAACATGGTTGAAACTGCCGCCATTCGTGATATGTCCGAGGCTTCTGTCTATAGCGAGTACACGATCCCCAAGTTGTACATCAAGTTACAATACTGTGTCTCTTGCGCTATTCACTCCCGTGTTGTTCGTGTTCGCTCTCGTGACGGCCGTCGTATCCGCACTCCTCCTCCTCGTATGCGTTACAACCGTGACGGTAAGAGAATTAACCCTGCTGCCCTTGCAAAGACTGCCCTCTAAAGTGGTTATGTTAGATTAAATATGGAAGGGAATGAAATTATAACTTGGTATACGTCAGTTATCCTATCAGATTTGTAAATGTTTGAGGTGTAGTAGCAAAGAACCCGAGAAGAAACGTTAACAAAGGAAGTTGAAGGAGTCACTAAAATACACAAAAAGCAGTGGTGTTTATATAGTTTAAAAGGGTAGCATGCATGCCTAACTTTGATACAGCAAAGCAGCTAGGTGGTACTTTAAAGAAGCGACTCTCTTTCACAGTTAGGGCTGTCTCAAGTTTATCTAAACAATGGAAATGTATAAAAATAACCAAGAGTACTCTTTTCAAAAAAGCTCGTACTTTTCGTTTTATTTACATAATTACGTAATCCTTTCGACGTCCTTAAATAGTATAATGATATATAGCACGCGCTGCTATATTAGTAAGTAAACAGATAAATTTTGGCCTTTACCAATCACAACTGCAAGTCGATTCTCATGGGTATGTAGGCTCAAATGCTCAAAACAAGGGCAATTCTTTTTGTTTTGTACTAACAATGTATGTGGTAGATCAGGTGCGGCATGTAATCTTGGTATTGTCAGGAAAAGGAGGAGTTGGGAAATCTTCCGTAACAACTCAGTTGGCTCTTTCCCTTCATGCATCTAAGCTCCATTCGCGACCTCTAAAAATTGGCATTTTGGACATTGATCTTACCGGACCGTCAATACCTAGAATGTTTGGAAAAGATGCAGAGGAAAGTCGCATTCGTCAGTCTAGTGCTGGCTGGATCCCTGTATATACAGATGAAACGAAGGAAATTGGGCTTATGTCGCTTGGGTTCTTGCTTCCTTCAAAGAAAGACAGTGTCGTCTGGCGTGGTCCGAAAAAGGCTGCTATGATCCGCCAATTTGTGAGTGATGTACACTGGGGTGAGTTAGACTATCTAATTATTGACACTCCTCCTGGAACCGGAGATGAACACTTAACCATTGTGGAATCCTTGATGACGGAGACGTCGGATGTACGAAAAGCTCCCATTGACGGCGCAGTTATGGTCACTACACCTCAAGCTCTTGCTACGCTAGACGTCCAGAAAGAAATCGATTTTTGTAAAAAAGCGGATCTCCGGATTTTGGGGATAGTGGAAAACATGAGTGGCTTTATATGTCCTCACTGTGCTGACTGTACAAATATTTTTTCAAGCGGCGGTGGAAGCACACTTGCGGAAAAATATAAAGTACCTTTTCTTGGATCAGTTCCGATTGACCCAAAGTTTGGTGAGATGATCGAAAACCAAAACGCCTCTACGAATCTTTCCGTGCTATATCCTGAAACAGAGATGTCGAAGGCCTTCTTCCCTATCGTGCAAAATTTCTTTCACCAGATGTATGACAAGCGCTCTTTTAAACTCGTTACCAGTCTTGGTGGTCATGATGGAAGGATATGGAGTGTAGACTCTCATCCGGTTTTACCTCTTTTTGCTAGCGGTTCGCAAGACAAGACTGTCCGTATTTATAACAGTGATACTCTTCAACTTGTGCATGTAATAGATGGATTTCATTCCCGTAGTGTACGTAGGGTTGCCTGGCGTCCTGTTGATCGTCCTATACTAGCAGCGGCTTCTTTCGATGCTACGATAAGTATTAACGAAAAAATTGACGACGATTGGGAATGTACAGCAGCTCTTGAAGGACATGAGAATGAGGTTAAATGTATTGCTTGGTCTCCCGGTGGTAACTTTCTTGCTACTTGCTCTCGTGATAAGTCAGTTTGGATTTGGGAAACTACAGAAGACGACGAATTCGATTGTATGGCAGTTCTTCAAGAACACACACAAGATGTCAAGGTCGTAGCTTGGCACCCCACTGAGGATCTTCTTGTTAGTGGAAGTTATGATGACACAATCTGCTTTTGGAGAGATGATGGTGATGATTGGGCTTTAACATGTCAATTGCAAGGCCATGAGAGTACCGTTTGGGCTCTTGCCTTCTCCCCTAGTGGATCTATCCTGGCCTCTGCCGACAATGAGGGCAACATAATTTTATGGACAAAGACTTTTAGTAATGAATCTGAGGCTATTAGTAATTCTACAAATATTCTACGGCCATCTTTACAAGAAGAATGGATCAGAAAGGCAACTTTGCCTCATCTGCATCAAGGTGCTGTGTACTCGATTGCCTGGATAAATGATCAAGTATTAGCATCTGGTGGAAGCGATGGAAAAATTATTGTTTATGAAAGTGAAAAACATGATGATAACATTTGGAGAGTTTCCATTGAAAAAGAGCGCGCACATGATGTTTATGAAATCAATTCTATAGCCTGGTTAGGAAACGATAAGCTTGTTTCGGGTGGTGATGATGGCGAGTGTCGCGTATGGCATATAAAATGAAGCAAAAAATGTTTAAAAGTCTTTTTTTTTGGTTAATGAATGATGAAGATGAACAGAAAGCATTTAATTCTCAATTCATTAGGGTAAATAGAATTATTAAAGGATGATGTTCATGGTGATTCCAAAGATGAAGTGTAGAATAGCCAAGGAACCAAAAAAATAGAAAAAAAGAAGGTAAAAGAGAGAGAAAACAATAAGGTTGACGTTAAATGTAAAAATCAGATGCTCATCAAAGACTTATATTAAGGTTGTAAATTAAGTAAATATTAATAAAAACCGATTTCTTTTAATAGGAAAAAACGAAACGAGGTTTTTTTAAATGAGTAAAATACAAGGATTGGAAGAAGCAACTCGGAGTAATAAGGGCTTCATACATTTAGTTTTGTGGAGTCTTCGCTGTCGCTACTGCGATGATGCTCTTCCAATATGGGACCAGCTCCATTTTTGAGCAAAGACAATGCAACCTGAGTACCCAAATCTTCAGCGTCTTCTACGGAATTAACAACGCGGTTGCCTGAGGCAAAAGAAGACCGACGACCATCGGCAGAAACGACGATGCCGTCTAAAGAGACGTGATAAGCGGAGCTTGACATTGCCAAAGAATCACACTGGACGCCAATTGGAATAGCACAGCCACCTTGCAACCGCTTCATTAATGAGCGTTCAGCGACGCAGCAATAGGTTGTTTCAGTGTCTTGAAGAGGCTTTAAGAGCTCAATCATCTCCTTATCATCTTCACGAACCTCAATCGCCAGGGCGCCTTGGCCAACTGCATAATAGTTGAAGGGAGCAGTTAGCATTTGTGAAACGCGGTCTTTTAACCCAAGACGGAAGAGGCCTGCAGCCGCCAACACAAGGCAAGAAAAAGAAGAATTCGGCTCGTCAAGCTTGGATAGACGTGTTCCTACATTACCTCGAATATCGGCAAAGCGAAGATGAGGGAAATGGCGGGCCAAGAGAGCACGACGACGAATACTACTAGTGCCAACAACACTTCCAGCGGGAAGGTCAGCAACAGTTTTGTAGGAAGAGCCTTTTGGGAACACAATAGCATCGAGAGGACAGTTCCGACGTGGGATACAAGCAATAGTCATACCTTCTGGCATTTCGACGGGTAAATCCTTAAGACAATGAACGAGCATTCGACATTGGTTGACGATGAGTAAAGCCTCGAGTTCTCGAGTCCACAAGGACTTTGCAACTTGGTGTTTAAACTCAAACAAAGCTTTTGAGAGAATTTCATCGCCAATAGTGTCACGGCTCATGATCGGGAATTCGAGATCGGGATACTTCTCCTTTAGTTGTTTATAAACAAGCTCAGACTGAATGACAGCGAGCTTGGACTTTCGGGTTCCAATGGGATAACACGTACTGGTCGGCATTTTCTCTAACAAATCAAATTAAGGCAACAAATAAGGGGAAACAAATTTGAAGAAGAAAACTAGCGAATCACTACAATTCAGAAAGCCAAAGTTGCATACAACGAGCAACAAAAATTAACAGAAAGGAGATGAAGAGAAAATCTACCAAGTAAATCAGATCCTTTTCAAAAAAAGGGATTCCAGAGTGCTAATGACTAAACCGACTGTTCCAATAACCAAAAGAAACGAACGAAACTTTTTAGAACCAAAAAACGCGCTCGAAACAAAGACGCGAAAACGAAGAAGAAATTGTGTTGGAAAGACGGTAGATTCAAAGGACCCTTCAATCCTCTATAAACAGAGGTAGGAGAAGGAATGAAATAGATTCGTCCCTGCCGGCCAATCCGTGGCCTTAGAATTCCGACTTTTACGGGGATAGTGAAGTTGTTCCAAGTCGTAATGGTAGTTACTGCAGTATAGAAAAATGCGTTGGTAAACAAAGGAGGGAAAAAAGATGATCAGATAAGTGATCTTATAGTACAATAGGAGTGTTATCTGTCGTGGAATAAAGTAGAGAACCCCCTTATCCTTATGTAACAAGTTCCCCTTTCATTTTTATCTGGTGTGAGTCTTTGATGATCAAATGTTTCTATACAAAAACGAGCCTTTCTCCGTAGCGTGATTCTTAATGAACTCGTTTTTGCTTCCTTACTTTGCCTGAACAACTATTGAAAATTTTAAAAGACAAGGGCTCATTACCATTGCTTCCAGTCCTGTAATACGAGCGTCGTTTCGTAAATTCACTGCGTCCTTTCATCATTATCCTATAATCGTACACCAGATATCGTACTAGGGAAAAATTTGGCCGATACTACCATCCGGGCCAAAGTGACGTGGAAGGCTCGGCTCGTCACTACCATTTCAACACGGGTTTTCGCTACCTTGTCTCATCCTTGTTACTTACTGTTCGTCGTTAATCTGACCACAGCCAGACACACTTTCTTCAGTTTGTTTCTCTCTTTTTGCAGAATTTGAGAGATTTCAAATAGAAATTGGGTTTTTGGTTTATTTTCGTCGTTAATTTTTTAATCGGCAATTTTAACACAAATCGAATTGAGGCGTCTAAGAGTTTGACGACAATTGAATTCGGGCGACAATATTTTCCGACCCGTCGTTTTATTCCATCGGAAGTCGCTGTATTGAGAGCAAGTACAAATATCGTAATTGAAAGTATTTATTTGAAAACAGCCTAGTTCGTTGTATATAAATTAACTTTGTGAGAAGTTTGTCGTTGCTGAAACTATCTTTTTATTTTCCTCCTTCCTGTCCGTACCTTCACATCCTCTTTGGTTTTTCTATTGACACTTGATTCATTCTCTTTCATATACTACACCTCATCTGTTCCAATTGCTTGTATGTCAGAGCCTTCTACTAGAAGCATTAAGTCCAAGCGCTGGATCCCCAGTTTAAAGGGCTTTCGCCTTGGGCTTTATAGACTGGCTGATCGTCTAAATATACCTTTGGCAGATGCCGCAAAGGTTGAGTTGGAACAACACGATACTAGTAGTTTGGAGTCTTGGAGTGGTCTACAACGTCTTCCCAGATCCCTGTATTTTAATTTGCCTTTACCGGAATCCGAACTAGATGATACTGGTGAGGCAAAACGTTATTTTCCAAGGAACAAAATTCGTACTGCCAAGTATACTCCTCTAAACTTTTTGCCCAAGAATATTTTCTTACAATTTCAAAATGTCGCAAACCTCTTTTTCTTGTTTCTTGTGATTCTTCAGGTACGTTTCAAGATGATCATTGAGCAATAACTAACTTGTAAACTAGTGCATCAAACTTTTCGGCAATGAAGTGAATCCTGGTTTGGCAGCTGTGCCTTTGATTGTTGTTGTTGCTATCACTGCGGTTAAAGATGCTATCGAAGATTTTCGTCGTACAATGCTCGACATTAATCTTAATAACACCCCGACGCTCCGTTTAAGCAACTACCATAATCCGAATATTAGGACCGAGTATGTCAGTTACTTTCGAAAATTCAAAAAGTATATGTCTGCTCTTTTCCGACTGTTTATCATGAGGAAGAACCGAAAGAAAGAAGAAAATACTGTATCCGATCCGGTTCCTCTCCAAGACCTTCCAACTGATGGTAGACCAAGCTATGACTCCGTATTCCGAGAATCGCTTGATATGAAGGATCCTTTTGAGGATCCCAAGGGAAAGGAATTTGGTGCATCAGGCGGAATCGCCGCTATGCATCAACAGCGGGCAATGGATGTAGTGGATTATCAAGCTGAAGGTACTGGTGAATGCCATTTTAAAAAAGTATTCTGGAAGGATGTTCGAGTTGGTGACTTTGTTAAAATTTCAGACAATGAAGAAATCCCTGCCGATATTATCATTCTCAATACATCCGATCCAGAAGGTATTTGCTACATTGAAACCAAAAACTTGGACGGAGAAACGAATCTCAAAATTCGACATGCTTTGAGCGCGGGTAAAAATGTGGTTGACGAAATTTCGTGTGAACGATCTCGTTTCTGGATTGAAAGCGAGCCCCCCAACGCAAACCTTTATGAATACAACGGAGCTTGCAAATGTTATGGGCATACCGACACCAATATGCTTGATGAAACACATGTTCAGTCGGAACCCGCATCTTTAAACAATCTGCTTTTACGAGGATGTGTTCTTCGAAATACAAGGTGGGTTATTGGCGTAGTCGTTTTCACTGGTGATGATACAAAAATCATGCTGAATTCCGGTGCTCCTCCTTTGAAACGAAGTCGTATTACCAGAAACTTGAACTGGAATGTTTACTTGAATTTCATTATTTTATTTGCAATGTGTCTCGTTTGTGGTATAGTCGAGGGTATTGCTTGGCGTGGACAAACGCGATCATCTTACTTTTTTGAATGGGGCTCCATTGGTGGATCTGCCGCCAAAAATGGTATAGTTACCTTTTTTACAAGTGTTGTCTTGTTCCAAAATTTGGTTCCGATCTCCCTATACATTTCTATTGAAATTGTCAAAACTATTCAAGCAATTTTCATCTATTTTGACAAGGACATGTATTATAAAAAACTCAAGTATCCTTGTACTCCTAAATCTTGGAATATATCAGATGATTTGGGGCAAGTTGAATATATTTTCTCTGATAAGACTGGAACACTTACTCAAAATGTTATGGAATTTAAAAAGTGCACTATCAATGGCATTGCCTACGGAGAAGCCTTCACAGAAGCAATGGCGGGTATAGCTCGCCGAGAAGGAAAGGATTCAGAGCAGCTTACGTTGGAGAAGCGTAGCTTCATTGATCGTGACCGAATGCAGATGATTGCTCAAATGAGAAATATTTATGACAATAAGTATTTGGTGGATGAAAATCTTACATTTATTTCTTCTCAGTTCGTTCATGATTTGACTGGCAAAGCTGGTGAAGAACAGTCGTTGGCTTGTTATGAGTTTTTTCTTGCACTTGCTTTGTGTCATAGTGTTGTGGCCGATAGAGTTGGCGATCGTATCGTTTACAAAGCTCAATCCCCGGATGAAGCTGCACTCGTTGGTACAGCTCGTGACGTTGGATTTGTTTTCCTTGATCAACGTAGGGATGTCATGGTAACTCGGGCACTTGGTGAGACTCATAGGTTTAAATTGATGGATACTGTTGATTTTACATCTGCCAGAAAAAGAATGAGTGTTATTGTCAGAGGACCAGATAATCGTTATGTCCTCATCTGCAAGGGTGCAGATAGCGTTATTTATGAAAGGCTGGAACAAGGTGAGCGACCAAATCTCCAAAAAGTTACTGCGGAACACCTGAAAACTTTTGCCCTTGAAGGTCTTCGTACTTTATGTATTGCAAAACGTGAACTTACTGAGGAGGAATACTATGAATGGAAAGAAAAATATAGTGTTGCCTCTTCTGCCATTGAAAATAGAGAGGAACAGATTGCTGAAGTTGCCGACTTGATTGAATCACGACTTACCTTGCTTGGTGGTACCGCTATTGAAGATCGTTTACAGGAAGGTGTTCCTGACTCAATTGCACTTTTAGGGAATGCTGGTATTAAGCTTTGGGTGTTAACTGGAGATAAAATGGAAACCGCAATTAACATCGGTTTTTCTTGCAATCTTCTAGACGCTAGTATGGAGTTGATAAAGTTTGATGTTGATCAAGAAGTCTCAACTCCAGAACTGGAGGTCATTTTAGCAGATTATCTTTATAGGTACTTTGGCTTATCAGGCTCCAACGAAGAGCTTGAAGCGGCAAAGAAGGATCACGATGTTCCTGCTGGATCTCATGCCTTAATTATCGATGGTGGTGTTTTGAAGCGTGTCCTCGAGGGATCAATGAGAACGAAGTTTTTGTTGTTATGCAAGCAATGTAAGTCTGTACTCTGCTGTCGTGTTAGTCCAGCGCAAAAAGCTGATGTCGTACATCTTGTAAGGGAAAGTTTGGAAGTAATGACATTAGCTATTGGTGACGGAGCCAACGATGTGGCTATGATCCAAAAAGCTGATATTGGTATCGGTATCGTTGGTGAGGAAGGAAGAGCAGCTGCGATGTCTGCTGATTATGCGATTGCACAATTTAGATTTTTGAGCAAGCTGGTTCTTGTTCATGGACGTTGGGATTATAATCGTATAGCAGAAATGGTCAATAATTTCTTTTACAAAAGTGTCGTTTGGACTTTTACGCTCTTTTGGTTCCAAATCTACAATAACTTTGATGCAAATTATCTCTTTGACTACACGTACATTATGCTCTTCAACTTGATTTTCTCATCTTTGCCTGTCATCGTAATGGGTGTTTACGATCAAGATGTGAATGCTGAAGTATCACTTAAGATACCTCAGCTGTACAAGAGAGGTATTTTGCAATTGAATTCGGCGCGTAAGATATTCATTGGATACATGATTGATGGTTTCTATCAGTCAGTAATATGTTTCTTTTTTTCTTTTCTCGTTATAAATAATGTGACAGTAGCAGCTCAAAATGGGCGTGACACGATGGGAATGCAGGATCTGGGTGTGTATGTTGCAGCACCTACAATTATGGTAGTTGATTCATATGTTCTTTTGAATCAAGCTAATTGGGATGTTTTCTCAGTCGGTATTTGGGCTTTAAGTTGTATAACTTTTTGGTTCTGGACAGGCGTTTATTCTCAGAGCTGGTACTCCATTGAATTCTACAAGTCTGCTTCTCGTATATTCAGAACTCCAAACTTCTGGGCAGTACTATTTGGTACGATGGCTGCTTGCTTGTTTCCGAAGTTCCTTTTCATGACTGTGCAAAAGCTTTTCTGGCCGTATGATACTGACATCATTCGCGAAAGCTATCGTACCAAGCGTTTGCATGAATTCGATGAAGAAGCTGCCATTGAGAGCCCCGAAGTTTCTACAGATTGGGCATCGTCTACATTACAAGTTCCATTTAACATGTCAACGTCAAGCTTTGCGACTATGCAGAAAAAGGACAAGGATCCTGTACGTTTGGATACGCATTCCTTGTCGCTCACTCCAAGCATCCCCAATACTTTTGGTCGCTCTTATTCTCCAAGTTTCATGGATGGGTCACCCATCTTTTCTGATGAAATACTGAACCGACCACCTGAGTTTCTTCCAAAGCGAGGATCTGTTTCTTCATCAGAACAACCACTTCAACCTAGATGAATTACATTTACTACAAACGTGGAATGTATCATCAAGAAGATGACGGTAAACAATTTGATGTGAAAGATTGACGGTCAGCTGTCAAGTACAGCTGACTATTATGACATTGAGTAAATATAGTGATGAGAGTATTATGAGTATGTTGTTCATAGATAAAAGTTATGTTCTAGTCATTTAAATAAACATTTGTTTAAGCTAAAGGATTTAATTTATCGTATGTGTGATTTTACTACAGAAGACCAATCAACGATGTTGACATAAGTAAGCAGTTTTGACGATAATCTTTTCGGTTTTTGTTGAAAATATTAATTCATAATTATAGTTCTAAAATTGATTAATTGAAATTTCCTTTTGTTCCAACTCCTTTCCTTAGGTTGTCGACATGCAGTTTTTGCTAGCAACCAAGGGGAAGTTACTATTTACCATAAACAAACTACATGCCTTTTCCGATCGCTCTTTGTAAATAGTTAACAGCTCATCTTTTGATTTATAAATTTCTATTACAATTATTTTTTTAGTTAGTTAACTATAAGATGGGACAAAAAGATACTTTTGACCTTGATTTAAGTTCAAAACTTAGTTCGTCTGCTAATGAAAAATTTGACGCCTATCTGAAGCGACATGGACTTATAGAACCTAATCAATCTCATCCTCGTCGGCTTACTGATGCTTTGGAAGACCGAATGGGAGAGCTGAAGCTTACAAACAGTCCTGTTGCAAAAGAAAACCATGCCGATAGGAGCCCTCAGAAATCACCGAGCAAGATCCCGATTGCTTCTCCAAATCCTGTGGCAGTTGAGCGATCAAGGGACCGACAGCATGGGAGTTCAAGATTATTTGACTCCGTTGGTCAAGCTCCAAGTTGGAATGTGGGGACTATGAATCTTTCGTTGGAGGAATTAGAGAAAATCACACGGCCAAAGGTTAAAAGAATGGCGACCATATGCCAGATGTTTTTTCTTGATAATTACTTTGAGCAGTTGCATTATCTGAATTCTAGAAAGCAAAGACTGCATCTTTTTGAGCAACAGCTTTCAAAAGAGTCTACCACTATACGAGGTGAATTAGAAAAGCGCTACAACGGTCGCGAGCGCGTATATCTTCGAAAGCGTCGTACTCGTATAAGTCATGGTGATTTTCAAACGATTACTCAAGTCGGTCAAGGTGGTTATGGATCAGTTTGGCTAGCAAAGAAGAGAGATACCAAGGAAATTGTCGCTTTAAAAGTAATGAACAAGTCTGTTTTGCACAAGATGGACGAAATTCGTCATGTACTTACGGAACGAGATATTCTCACAAGTGCAAACTCGGATTGGCTGGTTAGGCTGTTGTATGCATTCCAAGATTTTTCAAACATCTATCTGGCCATGGAATTCGTACCAGGAGGAGATTTTAGAACGTTATTGAGCAACAGCGGTGTTTTAAGAGATCATCATGCCAAGTTCTATGCTACAGAAATGTTTTTGGCAATTGACGCACTGCATAAACTTGGATATATTCACCGGGATTTGAAACCTGAGAATTTCCTTGTCGGTGCTTCTGGGCATATCAAGCTGACTGATTTCGGACTTAGCTCTGGTATAATCAGTAAACAAAAGATTGAAAGTATGAAGGTACGACTTCAAGAAGTGAACAATGTAGCCGTTCCCGAGAGAAGTATGCGTGAACGTCGTCAAGTATTCCGAACATTGTTGGCTCAGGATCCTGTCTATGCCCATTCAGTGGTTGGATCTCCTGATTATATGGCGCCAGAAGTTTTGCGAGGAGAAAATTATGATTATTCAGTCGATTACTGGTCTCTGGGCTGCATTTTATATGAATGTCTTTCTGGATTTCCTCCGTTCTCCGGTTCCAATGTCAATGAAACATGGTCCAATCTAAAAAATTGGAAGAAATGCTTTCAACGTCCACATTATGACGATCCTCGAGATTTGGAGTTTAACTGGAAAGACGATGCATGGGATTTTGTTACCAACTGTATAACTAGCCCTACTTATCGCTACCGTTCTTTGAATCAGGTTAAACAACATCCATATTTTGATCAAATTCAATGGGATAATGTACGTGCAGCGTATCGACCTCCATTTATTCCTGATTTGAATTCAGAGATTGATGCAGGGTATTTTGATGACTTTACGAACGAAAATGACATGTCTAAGTATAAAGAAGTGCATGAAAAGCAAGCGGCGATTGCTCGCATGTCAAATACATTTAATAAACCAAGACGAAATGCCTTTATTGGCTTTACCTTTAAGCACCAGAAAAACAATCATCCCATTCCTTCTGCTGGTGTTCCTTCTTTGTCAGGTTCTTCTGCATTTGGAACTCTTTTGTAAACAGCCTTTGAGAAGTCATTATTTTGTAAAAGGCATAGTCTGGGAATTTTGAATAGAGCAAGCGATCTTATTGCTTTGAATTGTCTTTTGGAGCCAGATTTTATGAATGTAATGCCCGTATTTGAAATGATGTGAAATAGATGACGATTTGTCTTGGAAGTTTTGGAATCCCACGTCGAAATGTCATGCTCTGGATGTATGAATTGCATATTATTTTGTTATAGAAAGCCAATAGGGTTTTGTTTTGAACACTAAATCTTTCTGCTGTATATGAATCAAATTGTCAACTTACTATTTTGTGCATTTCTTTTACTTTTGAAGATTTTTTTTAATATATGACTTGAATCCCACGGGAAACGAGAAGACAAAAGCAAAGTGAAAATTACCCTAAAGCTACCAATTTCATGACAATCCTTAGAAGATAAAACATTTACTTACAGCTTCTTGTTTAATGCAGTGCAGTGTATCGTTATTTACTAACCTCAGGATCTGGACTTGGTGGATTTGGTTTTCAACGAGCAAGTCCATTGATCTTCTTTCCACTTCGATTGCTTCTTGCTTGTTGGTAATTTGTATTATACCGTTCATGCACGGCTCCCTGAATTCAAGGAAAGAACCAAAACATGAAAAGCTGGCTGAAAGTCCTCGACCCGGTGCAAGAGCAGAGGGACTGCCTGCTCAATTTCGTGGCAGAGGAAATGCCACTACTGCTGGGGCATCGCTATTGTTCCGCCCGACGTCAAGATATCCTACTTTGAGCAAGGATCCAACGCCAACGGCAGGAATCGACGTGTCCAAGCGATTTGATGTAACAAGAGGGATTTCACCAAACGACAAGGCAGTCAAACGAACCGCAATAAAACCAATGGAAGAAGAACAATCACAGAAAACGAACGAAGATGAACCTGTGGCTTTGTCTCAAGGAAAAGTGAGAATGCCAGACCCTGAAGCCGCTGCAAATCCACGAGTAAAAATGGATGACAATGCATTATCCCGAAGTTCAGAGTTTCCTCCTAATAATAGAAACCCTGGGAAGGAAAAAATAGAGACTGCAAGACAAGACATGCCTATAAAAATTATTCGGCCTACTCCCCGTGTGGTATCGCCGAGATTTAACCCCCAAATTCCTAATCAAGAAGAGAAATTTATGCCCCCTCCTCGAGTCAATTCTATCTCCCATCCCAAACGTCGAATCAGTTATATTCCTTACGGTGGTTTCGATAGTTTCTTAGATAATTATTATGATGACGATCAAACCGTCTCCAGAAACAATATTTTGGAAGAAAATGAAAACTTGGAAGGTCAGTCCGAGTCGGATGAAGATGCAAATTTAGACGTCGAGTCGTATACTCCATCCAATGCTTCTTCGGATGCAGAGCCCAATGTCCGATCTTTTACTGATTCCGCTCGCTCACTGGGTCCATCAGATGAAGGTTTGAAAGCATTTGACACAAGTCCAAATCACCTGAATTTACGTTCAGATTTCGATTACATTAGCTCACAGAATTTAAATCGCAAGAACAGAAAATCTCCATTCCCTCAACCCCGTTATCCTAATAGCCAAACTTCTTTGGTACCTACTTCCGCTGAAAGTATTGGCCCTATACCAATAAACGTTTCAACCGAAGAGCAACACGTCCCCCAACATAATGCTAACTTTAAAGCTGCAGATCGAGATGACTTGCGAGGAGAATCTGCACGTTTAAGAAAAATTCCTTCCTCTTTGCAAACTGATGCACCCATTCCACCTGTTCCAATAATTCGCAATATTCCACCTTCTCCCGCTCCCATTGCTCGAGCGGAAAGCACTCCTGTGGGTAACTCCATAATGGCTTCTCGAGGATCACCAAATCTTTCTTCTAGAAATGGTATGAACGACATCGATTCAAATTTAACTGGTGATGTAAAAGGAATAGAAGAAAACATTGGTGGAATGTCAATTGATAACTCGTCATCTCCCGCTGTTTTAGAAATGAATACTTCTGAACCAGACAGTGATGCTATTCCTTGCCATCCCGATGATAAGCTATTAATTCCTCCACCAAAGAATGTTACACATGCTGATTTGATGACTGCAGAGCAGAGTTTGAGAAAAAGTAGAGGTATAAGTCCTTTAGATGAGGTTGATTTGGCTAAGTTATATTTGGATGCTCTTGAAACTTTGGAAAACAAACCCATTTTGGCTCCTGATCAAGCTACTTATAATACTAGAATTTCGGTCTATCGAACTAGAGCAATTGAATTACTAAAAAAACACGCTTTTCCTAACAAAACACAACATTCTGTGGCTGAAGCAATCTTTTTAATTGGTCAATTTTATAGCCAAGGAGTGTTGGGATTTCAGCGTGATGTGCAAAAGGCATTTGAGCTTTACAGCCTATCTTCAAAGAAAGGGCATCCGCTTGGAACTTACCGAACCGCCGTATGCCTTCAAACTGGTATCGGAGTGAAGCCTGATGCTCGCAAGAGTGTGCTGTTATATCGAAAAGCAGCCGAGATGGACATTGTCGAGGCTATGTTTCGAGTGGGACTCATTTATTTGAATGGTTTGTTGAGCCAAAAGGTTGACGTACCTCTTGGTATAGAATATATGGAACGTGCTTGTGAGACGCAGAGGCCTGAAGCGGTACGTGCGATGTACGAATTAGCTAAGATTTACGAACGCTCCAAGCGTTTTGGTATTTCTGTATCTTCTGAAAGAAAGTTTGAGCTTTATAAGTTATCGGCTTCCTACGGCTTGCCTGCAGCTCAGTGCAAGTTGGGAGAGTGCTTTGAACATGGGTTATTGAATTGTGTTCCAGAACCAAGGCGTAGTATTTTTTGGTATACTAGAGCCGCTGAGCAAGATTATGGAGAAGCAGAATTAGGCTTATCTGGATGGTATCTAACAGGAGCGGAAGACATTCTTCTCAAAAATAATGAAGAAGCCCTCCTCTGGGCCCATAAGGCTGCTGTTAAAGGACTTGCTAAAGCTCAGTTTGCGGTAGGTTTTATGATGGAACAAGGTATTGGTATTTCTGCTGACCCTGCTGCCGCCCATAGTTGGTACATCAGAGCCGCCAAGCAAGGTTTTGTGAAGGCTCAAAAGCGCTTGGAAGAACAATCTTTATCTACTAAGAAATCGCAACCAAAGAAAAATAGCAAGAAGCGTGATGAACAGTGCTCAATAATGTGAAAGGGCCCGCCAAAATATCTTTGCTTGCTTGCTTGAAATTTGATTGATTGCATATGAAAGACTTCTTGCTCCTACTTACCTATTTCTGTTTATGTAAATTATTGTTATATTCATTTTTGATGCCTTTTATACTTCACTTTCGTTTTTGAGGTTACTTTCCTCGTTTTTGCTTTTTGCTTTTACCCGTCATTTCTGAATGATTTTCTGTCATGTGAAATTTTGTTTTTATTTTTGTTTTGACAGCATTTGATGAAGTGTTTTTTTCTTTGTTATTTAGTATAGATTACTATAGCTTACGGAAATATATGTCTTAATTAAATTTCATAGCAAGACTAAAAATTAATCAAGTGATATTTGCAACTTCAGAGAAATAAATAACTGAGAAGTTATTCGTTATTGCGAATGCACATTACTGGTAGTTAAATCGAATTGTACCCATACTAAAACCTGTTTATAATCATTGTATCCTTGACCGTTTGGTTTATAAGCATAAGCATAGAGGAAACATAGCATACATGCATACGTATATATATTTATATATATACCATCATTGTCTCGTTTTAAAAAACTAAAAAGAAATGTATCGTTTAGACATCAAAAGAGGAGAGAGGGATAACGTAAACTTTGCCATGCAACAAATCTTATACGAACCAATTGTTCAATTTGAGCATTATGGTACGTCAAGCAATGGCAGAGATTAAAATGATAGGATATATTTTGAAAACAAGGAAAGAAAAAACGAAAGCGTACTCGTAGGGAGATTGATGCATAAATAGATGCACAATGAAATCAGAACGAGAAAATAGATAAAATAAACTCCAAAGGAATAACATAAGTGAAACCAGAAATAGCAATTGGAGATTTATTTGGTTTCTTTTTCTTTTTGGTTCATCCTAGTAGAGCCTTCAAATAACAAGTGACAGATTTTTTTCAATGAGCAAATACACTTCCCGTACCCTAAATTAGTGAGAGAAAATAGCAAAGGCTCAAACTTTCAAGAAAGTTTCAAGAGTAAGAAAAAAACAAAAAAAGCCTCCAACAGAAGAGTTAGTCAGGCTTAATAATCAATTATGTCACAACACAAATGATAAGAAAAAAGTCATGATGAAGGAAACGAGGAAAATGAGCTTCCTGTTAATGCTTGTCTTAATACATATCTTTACTTAGCTGGAAAAGCGCTAAGCAAGATTTTGATTTGGTTCTTTTACTTCAGCATTTGGCTTGATGCGTTTTTGTTGTTGTTGATACGCGAAAATTCTTGAAAGTTGAATGGCACCAACGATGGCCAAAAAGAAGTTGACAGTTGCATTAAAGTAGTTTTTTGGGCGTACAATCAAAGACCATCGAGTCCAGATAGCACCGGTAGCGCACAAAGCACCGTATTGGCGAGCAGAAAGGTACTGAGGGGGACGTGTATAGTCACTAATACCTGATAACACCAAGGTCCATTTCATAGCAGGAGCCCAAAAATGGACTGTTTTAGGACCAGCTTGGTGATTCCAAAACCTTGAAAATCTTGCACGAAACATTATATATGGGATAAAAAATTCTCAGCTTAGAGAATACGAGGAAAAAAAATACTTTGCGAAAGAAAGTAAGCTTCAGTGTTTTTAAATAACCTAACTTTTTTGTTCAAACGGTTGATAGGAATTAACAGCAGGGAAAATTCTTTGGTATTTGTCAAGCTTCAAATCCGCGGATGAAATGACAGGACAAAACGTGACAACTAAAAAAGAAATGCTGAAAAATTTTCAAGCAAATACTTAAATTGGCAAGAACAGAAAGAAAAAAAAAAAAGAAAAAGAAAAAGTTTTTAGTAAAACTAAAGAAATTGGAAAAAACCAAGAAGAAATTTTGTGGTTAAAATATATCAAGTCGTGTGAAATTTCCAATTTAGATGAAGACGATGATGACAACGCACAACTGATCGACCACAATATAAGGAACACTCTGTTATAATAAAGACGGAGGATTGGTCAACGAGGTTAGAAAAGGCTTGGATAATTGAAGTGTAGGAAAATAATCGGCCAATCAAACAATTTACACTGTTTTAATGTCGTCTCTGATACGTCTGTATGATCGTTTCAATGTAACCCTTTTTTTTTTACGCGAGTTGCAAAATTACGTTGTGTGTCAGGCTGGTTAAGTCCGTAAGCTCCGTGCAATTGAAAACGTCAAAAGGTGAAAAACTGCAAGCTTCAGCTGTTCACGAGAATGACCACGTAACTGCTTTGTTATTAAAAGAAAAAAATAAAAAGTAAAAAGACCCCGATTTTTATCGATGCTCTTTTAATATAGCGCCTTCTAAAAAAAGGAGATTATATAAGGAATTCTAACGAAAACGTCGTACGAAGAATTCCGATTTTAGGGAAGTAGAAGGTGAAATATGAAGTCGTAAAAAACTTGTTGTCTAGGCTATAAAACGCGTGGTTTAAAAAGTTAAAATGAAATAAGAAGATAGGAGATCCCTCCTGTGTCTTGAATCGCTATAAGCAAGTAGAAAGAACGCGTCAATTGGAGAAAATTGCACGCCTTTAATTTTGTTTTTTACAAAAAGTTCCTAGTGAATTTTTAATACCTGTGTTTTCTCTTCAATGCTTCTTCTTTTGTTGGAAGAGTCTTCTCCAGACTGGTGGTAGGTAAATGGCAGGAAGAAGGAGCAGGAGGGGTTTGTTTACATAAAGTGCATTTAACGACGTATAGATCTCAAAAGGAAAAAACTCGAGCAGAGAGTTTGAAAATAGAAATGAAGAAAAAATTCCAAATAGATCTTGAAAAACCATGAAGAGAAAACAGGCGAAATTCAATAAATGCATTTTATCAAGGTATTTAATATGATACTAAGTATCAAGGAAGAAATGTTACTTTTGTAAACAAACAGTACGAATAGAAAAAAGTCGAAATTGAGAACGGATAGGAGAAGATATTGTTTTTAGAGTTGAATCATTATCTTTAAAGAAAAAAAAATATATCAAAACAGGTTATTTTCTAGATGATGACCGGAGAGTCCTTTATTTGGGGGGGGGGAGTATATTTATTTGATTTCAAAGTCTCGAAATATATTGAAATGAATTGTCTTTTCTTCTTTTTTATTTCATATTAATATATAAAAAACCGTAAATACTAGAAAATAAATTGAAAAAAAAAGTTACGAATATTTTTGTACATATCATGGTGTCCTTAAATTTACAATGATTTCACACCAAAAACGAGCTGAAATTTTTAGGGTATAAAGTTCTATTAATCATTATTTTCTTAATATTTTCTATACAAAAATCATTCTTTTGAGAATTCTTAAACGAATTTCAGCGTTTTGTTCAGACTGTTCTCTCCCACATGTGTGCCTAGTGATATCCTGCTACCTTCATAGTATCCTTTCGCTATTGGCATCTATTGTTTAATTGTAGTTTGCTAAACTGATGTACTCGTTTTTTCATAATATTTTCTTATTTTTCTATTAAAGATCGACATTTTTGAAGCTTGGATACGCTTTTTTACCGTCTTTGTAACTTTCTTAATAATTTTTTCCGTGACAACCTCAGGATACCTTTTTCCCTTCTTTTTATATTCTGATAGATTCTCATACAAGGTAATTTCTGGAAATGGCTTTTCGATCTCCTCTTCGCAAGTTTGACTTTTTTCAAAAGACCGTTGAAGACGCTCGTATAAAAACCGCCAGCGGTGGTCTTATTACACTAATCTCTTCCGCTATTGTTCTCTTTGTAATCCTTTTAGAATGGATTCAATACCGTAAGGTGGTTGTTGTTCCAGAAATCGTCGTAAACCCATCTCATGGTGAGCGTATGGAAATTAATTTCAACGTTACCTTTGCAAAGATTCCATGCCAGCTTTTAAGTGTGGACGTTTTGGATATTAGCGGTGAATTTCAACAAGACGTCCAGCATTCTGTTTCTAAAACTAGGCTTTCCCCTGAAGGAAAAGTTATTTCCGTAGACAATTTACTGCTGAATGATCCGGAGAACGACCAAGATCCTTTAAATACCACTCCTGAGGAAAAGACATGTGGTGATTGTTACGGTGCTGCCGACTTTGCTCCTGTTGATACTCCTGGCTGTTGCAACACATGCAATGCGGTACGTGAAGCATATGGTCGAGCTAATTGGGGTATCGGCGATGTGGATGCGTTCAAACAATGTAAAGAAGAACATTTTAAAGAAAACTATGAGGCTCAAAAAGTAGAGGGTTGCAATCTGGCCGGTCAATTATTCGTAAACCGCATGGCAGGTAACTTTCACATTGCCCCCGGCCGGTCGTCCCAAAATGGTATAAATCACATACACGATACTCGCGACTTTTCGAAAGAAAAGGAGCTACATGATATGAGCCATACCATTCATCATTTGAGCTTTGGTCCTCCTCTTGATCCTTCTATTGCTAAAGAAAACCCTTTAGACAATATGGTGAAGAAAACCAACATTCCCGACTACAGATATGAATACTTTATCAAATGCGTGTCTCATCAGTTTATCCCATTAAAAGCTGGTACAGGAATTATTGATACTAATCGCTATGCTGTGACACAACATGAACGACCAATTCATGGTGGTCCTGAAGAGAAACTTCCCTCTCATATTAATCACAGAGGCGGTGTTCCTGGCCTATGGTTTCACATTGATATTAGTCCTATGCGCGTCATTCATCGCCAAATCCAAGGAAATACTCTTGGAGGCTTCTTGACAAACGTCCTATCTCTTTTAGGCGGATGTGTTACTTTAGCGGCCTTTATTGATCGTAGTTTGTATGAAGTCAAAAAGCTCAAGAAAACATGAACTTGAACTCAGAGTCGGACGAGTTACAAAAGAAGTTTTTTATATGATTAATAACTCTCAGGATCCAAATACTTAGTCGGAGAAGGCTACTATAAAAGATGTGAAGAAGTCAGAAACGAAATCACGAGTTCTTTTTTTTTTTTTTTTTTTTTTCTTTTTTTACATGAGCAAGAAAAAACTCTCTCCTTAGCATATTATCCATTGTTCTATTCTCTCGTTTTCGGATTATCATTTTTTTTTCTTGCTCTAAAAATAACTTATTTTTTATTCACGAACTTTTCTTATGCCTTGTGGTACATTGTAAGTAAAAATGTAGAAATTATATATGTATAACATAGGAGACAGTGAATATGTATATCAGAAGTATGAAAGAATTGTGAATGGACTAAGGAATGGTAAATAGGCGTGTGAATTTGGAATGGAATAGAATTCTCTTGCTCTACATATTCCCATGAGCCTGATTGACAAAGATGGATCGATAAACAAGTCATTCTCTCGACCTGCAAAAACTATCTTACTGGATGTTTTTTCTGGAGATAGCTATCTCAATAATAGCTCTATCCTAATAAAGTAAAAGCTATTTCTAACTCATGAATTATTGGATTTTTCTTATTGCTTGGATTTGTGTTTCACCTGTTCTTCTTTTGTCTTGGTACAGGTAGCGTCCTTAAACAATATACTCCATAGTGTTATAAAATATATGTAATATTCGATAATATTAGGAATTCTCCGGCACTTTGAATAATATCATACTATAACCTTCTCGAGAACGTCTATTGACGCCTTGAAAGAATTCTCCTTCCGAATACACTGACTTTTTGCTCAGCGTTAAAAAACGACCATAACAAACCACTGAAAAAGATAATTGTTTTAATAGAAAGTATTCCTGAGACAAAGAAGTGGCCGTTGACAACATCGATCTTCCTTAGAATCATACTATTCACCTGTATTTTTACCTATATTCTCGTTCCACGTAACGACTTCATTTAAACATATACTACGAAAGCTTTGTTTGGAAAAAAGAAATTAAATTTGACATCTAAGCAATCTTATTTGAATCTTACTATTTTCAGACTTTTCCGGATGGATCATTTCTGTTAATCATTGGAATCTATAATCCCTTTGTTTCTGTCAAACGACTATCATAATTTATTACTTCAACTTTATTCTTTCTTTAAAAAACTCTCTTTATAATCATTTAATTTATCTATAGGTTTCTATTGCTCTCATTTGTGAACTTATAATGGACTCGGGAAAAAAGCCATGCATCAGTGTTCTCTGTATCGGAAACGCTGCTATCACTACCTTACTAGGATGGAGGCTTCAACAAAGTACATCAGTTGCTTGTCAAGAAACAATTTTATTCTTCAATGTTCCTGATGCCCCAATATCTACACTCACGATTCATTCGAAGCCCTTTGGCTCCCGAAAATATCGGCCTACATATCGTGCTAACAAAATTATTGATCTTGCGAATGAAGGAAAAGTGTTTGATTATATTCTTATTTCCATTAAACCATGCCCTTTTTCGTTTGATTTACCGTCTGTCCTTGAGTCAGTTGTTACCAAGGGACATACTTGTATTGTCTACAATACTACTGGATCAATTGGAATCGAAGAGAGCTTTCAAAAGCATTTCCCTGAAAATCCCATTTTTTCCTTTTCATTTCACTCGGGAATTGTCCAAAGGGACGTCAATGAGTTTCATCATGGAGAAAACACGCCTTTATACTTGAGCGAATTCGGATCCTCTGCACATTTTGATAGATTAGAGCTTTTAGCGAACATTCTATGCAACGGAGGAATCCCTTGTGAGATTGTTGATTCACTTATACTGTTTCAAATAGAGGATCTAGCTTTTCCTATTTCCCTTTTTCCCTTGACTGTCCTCACGCAGAATCCTAACGCCGCTAAGCTTCTTGAACAACCGGAAATTTTTGAACTACACAAAGGAGTCCTATCGGAAATAAACTCCATTGCATCCGTTTTTCATGGCTCTATTGACGGAAAAAGGATTTCGAAACAGCGGGATTCCTTCCTGGCTCATGCTTCAGGTAACCCCATGTTTAAGGATTATATTCAGCACAAGCCCATGGAGTATGTGTCGTATTTGCGATACCTAGTTCAATTGGCTGTTAGTCATGATGTTAAAGCTCCTCACATGCACACTATAAGCATTTTGCTTTCACATATTCAGTGTCCTACACCGCTGTCAATTCATAGGGGGCCTTCAGATTTGCCAGCTCGTCCCATAACTGTACCCGTAAAAAATAAGGGTACTAGTATCTTGAAGCATCCTCAGTCATTTACGATGTCCACAGACCAGCTAGATTCGACCCCTCCTTCGCGTCCTTCAACGGCTATGTTTACGGAACCTCAAAAAAACCATGTCGGTGGAGTAACGCAATCACCTGCGAATGCTTTAAAAGCCCGTGCGATTTCTTCTGACAATATGGATATGCTTTCATTAACGAATCGTCGCTCTCGTCGTTCTCTTCACTCTTCATCACTCGTACATATTCAGCAATCTTTAAAAAAATCGTTTGATGGATTAGGAAATTCTTACGATCATCAACTTTCTCGAAAAGTACTACCAAACCAGAGTCCAGGAAATCATAAAACGCGCATAATGGCCGAAGGAAGGGAAGCAGTATCTAAGACTCCTTCCTCATCGGGATCTCCCAAAGCGAGTCATCTGAGTGATGTCGAGTCGTCAACACCGTCACTGGCGTACGGAACAGACATGTCTCGACCCAATTCCAATTCTACTGACTCGCAAAATGAAGATCGAGAATCCGATTACTTTACCATTATGAATCATTCTAAAGGAGATGCTGCTTCCCGAAAATCATCTATGCAATCGGAAACCTCCATGATGACGGTGATACCTACGGCAGTCCGTCGTTTTCCATTATCTCGAAAGCCTAGGCGTATAAAATCCTAATGAATTTAACGAATAATAAGCAGTTAGCCAATATCTCTTGTCATTCTTTTCTTTCCCTTTCTCTTTCCATTTCCTTGTTTCTTTCGTTTGATGATTCTTTAGGTCTTTAGGACTCACCTTTGTATGCCCACAAGCAAATTGCGGCAATCATTAAAAATGAAGTCGAGCGCAGGATATGCTGCTTGGCCTATATTGCATGTTTCACTACTTGATATTGACATCTTGATCTTGATTTTTACCATTTGGGACGTTAACGATTATTTCTATTTTCTCATTCTTTCTTTAAGATATATGCATTGCAATAGACTTACTACTTATCTAGGGTAAACCAAAAAATCAAAAAAGGCGCATTTTTATTTCTTCCCTTATGTTATCGTTCTTACTTAGTTTTCTTTATAACTCGTGAAACGATCGTTTCCTTGCCTGTATGGTTTTCTGTATTGTTTAATGATAATATACGACTTCTTTATCCTTCATGTTTTGTAGCGTTCTCTATAAAAACCTGTAAATTGCATGGACGTGTGTATCCTACTTTTTATTTATGCCTGCATGTTGCAAAGATCAACTCATTCTGAATTTTGGTATGCTCCACTTGTTCTTACATATTCTTTCGTTTTTTTATTCGTCTATATGACAAACCTATTGTTTTGCTCTCAACCTACAATTTTTCCTACCATGTTTTGCTTACAACATTCAAGCAGCAAATTCTCGTTTCTTCCAATGCTTTAAATAAGTTAACGATTTAATTCTACTCGTTATATCCGACCCTAATCTACAATAACGCTCTGCACTCCAATATTATAGGATACTTCCTTACGTGTAAAAGGGAACTCTGCTTAGCATCTACCTTTAACAACGTTCATTCACTAGGACCTAACGAGATTTAATTGATCGATTTTCAATTAAAAAAAATAATTATAGAGCTTCCTTTTACAGAAAAAAGGGTCCATATAGCACTAGCACTTTGAACCCGTTGGTTTAGAAATTGGAAGAACAGCGAGAGTTACCCTGGTGAAAACCAACGACAGAAGGCTAAATATGGCGGAGTTTATTCGTACACAGATTTTTGGTACTTGTTTTGAAATTACAACGCGTTACAGCGACCTACAGCCGATTGGCATGGGTGCCTTCGGATTGGTTTGCTCAGCAAAGGATCAGCTTACTGGAATGAATGTTGCTGTCAAAAAGATCATGAAACCGTTTAGTACACCAGTTTTAGCAAAAAGGACATACCGGGAGCTGAAGCTGTTGAAACATCTGCGCCATGAAAATGTTATCAGTCTAAGCGATATATTCATTTCTCCTTTTGAAGATATTTATTTTGTCACGGAATTGTTGGGTACCGATCTTCATAGATTGTTGACGTCGAGGCCATTAGAAACCCAATTTATTCAATATTTTCTATACCAAATTCTGCGGGGATTGAAATTTGTGCACTCGGCGGGCGTAATTCATAGAGACTTGAAGCCTAGTAATATCTTGATTAATGAGAACTGTGATCTGAAGATCTGTGACTTTGGCCTTGCCCGTATTCAAGATCCTCAGATGACTGGATATGTTTCGACTCGGTACTACAGAGCTCCAGAAATCATGCTTACATGGCAAAAATATAATGTAGAAGTGGACATTTGGAGTGCGGGGTGCATTTTCGCTGAAATGATTGAAGGAAAACCTCTTTTTCCTGGCCGCGATCACGTTAACCAATTCTCTATAATCACTGAACTGTTGGGGACGCCACCTATGGAAGTCATTGAAACCATTTGTAGCAAAAACACTTTACGTTTTGTCCAATCGCTTCCCAAGAAGGAAAAGGTCCCCTTCTCAGAAAAATTTAAAAACACTGACCCTGCAGCCGTTGATTTACTAGAGAAGATGCTTGTCTTTGACCCTCGTAAGCGTATTAGTGCTGCTGACGCTTTGGCCCATGAATATCTCGCTCCTTACCATGATCCTACTGATGAACCAGTCGCTGACGAAATATTCGATTGGTCTTTCCAGGACAGTGATCTGCCTGTGGAAACTTGGAAGGTAATGATGTATTCCGAAGTGCTATCTTTTCACAATTATAATAATGATCAACAAGAATGAAGCCATCCATGACTGCTTGGATGACCCATTAGTATTTAAAATGGCTCGACTTTATTGGATCTGATATGGTTTAACTGATCTTTTCACTTCTTGAAAGCGTTTCAGAAGTTTCCCGAAATGATGTGTTAATAATGTTCTTGCTGTTATTAGACTATGCGTAAATGGTTTTTCTCTTTTTTTTTAAAAAGCTAGGTTCTTATTTATCCCTTGATATGTATGTATTTGGACTTTTAATTAAGTTCTCTTATGAGTTATTATGGCAATGCCGTCGTTTGCAAGGTCTCATTTATATGATAATTTCTTTCTTGCTAGGTCCTTTCCCAACGGGATTGTATTAGGTATTATTTCTATAGATATAAGGTTTTTATAGATCTTTCTTTGATGGTTCTGTGAACACCTACTTTGGTAAAGTGTAAAGTTTGGGTTTGCACTAGTAAAATTGACAATCTTAGATAGTAATATATATATTCTCCACTGTCTGCATTTTGAATTACCCATATAAAACTCTAATATCTCGATCAGCGTACCTTGATATAAATCATTTATAAAGAAGCAAATGCTCGGCGTAGGTTATAAGCTTGATTTAAAAGGACATAATAATTGCGCTAAGGATATAGCAGTTCGTTCAAAGTATTTCAATTATACACATTGCAAAGATCCAAATGGAGATACAAGCTTGAAAGATAGATAGCTACGAATCTACTTCCTTCATGAAAAGCGATGGTCTATGCCGCAATGATATAGGCTAGTAACATGGTACAAAAAAAAATAAACAATTCATTACACTAAAACGAATGGCTCATAAAATAAAAGGAAACGTAAAAAGCTCTACACGTGAAAGGCATAAAAAGTTTGCATAAGATGATAAAGCGGCATAACGAATTCATAGACACGTATGAAATCCTCCTAAAAAGGTATTCAGGAACTGGAAGTAAAAAGAAAGAGTTGCTAAACGCAGGGAAAGCTCGTAATCGTTAGTATCCGAATAAAAGAACATATAAACACGTTTATCAGTCTATTGACAGTGGAGGGTTCTTCGAAGGATAAAGCATTGAGAGAAAATAAAGGGAGAAGGGAATGCATAGGAAGATTATATTTTTTAATCATCATCTTTGAATATAGAATCTAAAAAATCCTTTGCTTCATGGATATCACGAATTACATGAGAACCCGCCTGAGGTTCGGGCAAAGGCTCTTGGTGTTCGACCAACTGAATGGTGTACTTCCAACCAAAGTCTTTTGCCCCAATGATATTTCCGTAAGAATCATCGAAAAAAATACAGTTTTCCTTGTTGGTGACGCCAGCATCTTTCATAACACGCGCATACATTTCCGGCATGGGTTTGGCAATTAAGTCTTTGGCGTCATAGTCGCAATAAGTAACCCCGTGAAAGCAATCAGCAATCCCCATGAGAGCTAAAACACGGGAACAATGCACAATGTAGGCATTGGTGAATACCCAGAGTTTATACTTTTGACGAAGTTCAAGTAGCATCTCTCGCAAACGATCATCTCGCTTGATCACCTTTTCCAAAGGAAGTGATTGGTCCACACGTTTGTCGTAGTCAACGGCGTCGATTTGATGATGAAGGACAAGACCACGGATGGCGATACCGTAGTGACGATAATATATTTCGCGTAAACGCTCCGCCTCATCCTCAGGAATATTTAACTTGTCTGCAAAATACGCTGTGATCCGCGAAGCCATCATGTTATGAATGGCATACGATTTAGGGTATAAGCAATTATCCAAATCAAAAAAGATGACTTTTTTCTCGAACGTCATGATAGCACGCAAAAAGAAAAGGATTAATCAAAATCAAGAAAAATAAAAGGGTTTCAAACTTCAATAAAGCAAAAGAAGATTCTTATGACACGAATTAGAGATATGAAGAAAAATGCACGTCGATACCAAGATATAAACAAACCGTGTTTTCGACGATATCAGCAAGGACGAAGTAAAACAATCTGAATAAAATAAAAACGGGGGTTCCCTTTTCTAAAAAATCACAAAAAACAAGAATGAAGGGTAACGGGATCTGCCAAATATAATGCTGCAAAAAATACAGTCGAATTTCTTTATTTTTCAGAACAAACCTGTACAACAATCGTAAGCCAAATTCTAGTTTTCTTGTTGGTAGAATTCAAGTGTCATACTTGCGTCTCTATTTATACTTGTTCATTCTCCGAGATATATGCTTGTGAATCTATCTCGAAATAGCGAACCCAAACGAGCTTGCTATCTTCCGGGGATTCGCTCAAGGCAAAGTTGGGTGGAAAAGAAGAAACGAAGGTAGAGAGACGAGCAGAGCAGTGGAAGCCTTACGATACAAAGCCTCGCATTCTTAGAATCAAGAAGAGATGGACACGAATTTCCCAGGGTCTGCAGCCTACAGTATATTGGATGTCAAGTTATCACGAGGATGGTTTCGGGATCCGTAATTTCACACACAGCTTAAAGGAAGAAGAGTCCTTGAAAATACCTTCCATTAGAGTCATTTGAAGTGATGAAGACTAGAATTATGTTGAGCGATTTTTACCGAGCTAAGAGTCTTTAGACGATCATCCTTGGTTTGATACGAAAAGTCGGTAGGGTAGCTTCCATGAAGTAAACAGGGAGAAGGGGTCGTAATTGAGAAGCCACGTTAGAAGGAAGATAAGGAAAATACACAGAAAGACAAACGCGTCCTTGCTGCCTTGGTTTGTCTTTTATAATATCAGGTAGGAGATTCGTAGCAAACATCCTTCCAAACGAACTAGGGCCTATAAAAAAGTGTAAAATAAAATAAACGGATATTGAGGAGAGAGGAAAATAGAGAAATAGAGTCTGTTGATCTATCGGAATCCATTCCACTTAGTCTAACAATAACCTTTTCTCACAGGGGCCAAAACATAAACAACATCTCTTTCCACAAGCTTTTTCCATCGTACATATCACAACGTTCTGTTAGGAAAGGAAATCAGCTCGTAGTTGTTTCAAGTTTTCTAGGTGATTCACTGGCAATTGGTAAAAGAAGGATTTCCTTTTCCCTTCCCTTTCTTTTTCTTATTTATACCAAAAGAGGAAATCATATGTTTTTCATTCTTTAGTGTCCATATTCATGGCTGAACTGAGGTTTTGTTCTTCTCAACCCTTCATTGCTGGTGTGTTCGTAAGGTCCCTATACTTATTAGTATTTCTTCTGTCTTAACCCATATATAGCCCTTTTAAAGCTTCCAGTGTTTTCTTCTAAATAGTTTTCTTTTTCATTGTTGAAATTGTCATTGCACCGCAAGTCGGCTATTTCTTGGAACTGAGGATCGTTTGGCCTGCTTTTTTATATATTACTGTGGGTCTCTTTCAAGACATTTCTGCTTGAATCTTTTCGTTCTCTTCCTTTGCAATGATAGTCTTCACAACGACCTCTAGTTCTGTTGCAGAATTGCAAGAATTCATACACTCGGTTTCCAACCCTCGTTCAACAAAAGTCATCAAGGGTCTGGGCAAAGTGATGGCCTTTTATGAGGATTCAGGGGCCGAACGCCAGGCTCTTCATACTCTACAACATACCTCTTTGCCAACCGGCGCCCCAATTGACTGCCATTACGTTCCAGATGTGTCGACGAAGGATCCCTCACTCATGCAAAACTACAATCTTAAAGTTCCTAAAACCGAAAAAAACTGGCTTATCAGTCCTCCAGGATCTCCGCCGTTAGGCTGGTCACCTATTCCGGAAGAGTCTCCTAATTCTTTACATCTTGCCCATGACCTTCAACTTCGACTCGATCAACTTGGAAATACTTATTTGGATAATTCAGATACGGGGCCTCGTATCGTAATTTCCGACGTGGATTCTTCTCGCGCATCCCCTCATGCCAGTTAGATCTCGTTTTTTAAATCTCAAAAAGCATGCTTATTTATTATCACCTGCTCATGGTGTCCTCTTCCTCCATTTCATGTTACACAGATTCGTTTGTTTTTTCCTATGAACTCATTTTGCTACTTTTGTTTGAACAGTCTTTTTTCTGTTGATTTCTTTTCAGCGACGCACGAGATTTAACTCTCGAGAAAATACAATACAATGAAAAAGAAAGAAAACACAATATAAAAAAAAAAAATACTTTTACATTAAAAACGGTAGATTAGTTGCCTATACAAAACTTTGACAAAATCCATCTCCTATCCATTCCATTTCTTTCATTCAAAGCCATTCATACCCATGCAAGAGAATTATTAGCGCAAGATCTATAAATTACAATGTATCTTTTACCTTCGCTACTGTATACATGCTGTTCTAGCGGTTTCCATAGAGGATTGGGTTCGAAGCTGCGTGTCTATTATGAGTGCACGCGTAGAACAAAAAAACGATACAGTGGTTTAATATTCATTAGCAAAAGAAAAAAGCAAAAAGAAGATCATGCTCCTTTTTTACAACCTTATTGTGGTTAAAGAACGAGTGGTAGAAGAGAACATCAAGAAACAGTGAATAGTAAAACGGACAACTAAAGTTTCTTTAATTATAATGAGAATGAAAACGTAAAAATAAGGAAAAAAATTGAAAACTGTTCGGAAAAGAGTAGAAAGAATCATACGTGGAAAGAAAAGTAAAAGAAGGATTTCAGAAACTTATGCGAGATGGGTGCAATCATAAAAATGACAAAAACTCCCGTGACTTCCATTGTTTTATTTACGAAGCTAATGCACATAGACGTAAACGAAGAAAGAAGCTTCTTCCGTTCAGTCTAAAAAAGAAGTGTAGGAAATATTGATAGGAACGTTGAAAGAGAGAAATAAGAATATAAAAAGGAGTATATATATCCCATAAAACAAATAACAGCGGCAAAACTAATTGGGACAAACCGTTATCCACAACATAGATTAGCCATACATCAAAATTACCCTCATTAATTGATTCCATTAAAAGGACACAGTCTTTTCCATGGATGATAGTTCATGAAGAGAAAAAACACTAAAGAGAAAAAACGATACAATCATGATTAAAAAGACACTTTAAATATGATTTCTTTCATCCATTTCCTTGATGATGGAACTTTCTTCCAAAGCAGCCAAAATATCTTTTCGGCTTGCAAGAGCCCTTTTAGCTTCTGCATAGGACATCCACATTCTGTGCCGCTTTCCCATTTCGGGATAACAGTCTTCCAGCCGCTCCACAAGAACTTCGAAGAACTCACATTCCGCACGGGGAGGAATCATTATCTTCTCGATGGAAGTCAGTTTTTGTTCTGTCTCAGCGGTCAATGTACTAGTTGGATCGGAGGTTCCATCATCGCTGTGCTGCTGGTGGGCATTCATGATTTGTTGCTCCAAGTACTTCTTCCTTCGATCGACCGTATCCGTTGGACGATTGTCTTTAAAGCAACCTAGTGACTGTGTGATTCTCCCAATTAATCCTCCTTCCTCCCAGCCCTCACGCAACGCTGCTTGTTGTATCGATTCATCTGCCTCCCAACCACCTTTTGGCACAACCCAGCATGGAAGCTTTTTTGCTGATGAAACCATCAGAACATATCGCTTATCCGCCGAAAGCGCTATCACTCCAGCAGCGAGCCTGGCTCCCGTCACGGGATTAAACCGGTTTTTGCTTCTACCTTCACGCGAAGTCATCGAACGGTTGACTGCCGTACGTAAATGATCGGGCTCCATTAACATCTTCTATCCAATCCAGATTCCTATGGATGATCAATTCCATACAAATTTTCGTGAAATCTGGAGACGAATCAATTTTTTTTTGTCAAAAAAAATTCGAGAAAAAAAACCAAGAATACCCTAGGGATGCAGAGCTAAATCCCAATGTTCTCAACAGAACAAATAACTTTGTTATTCAACAAAGTTAGAGGTAAATTTCCTCTAAATGTCAAAAAGACTACGAAACGCGATTTGTGGCACTCGACAAATTCCAACACCCGTGTGGACAAGCATTTTGGGATACCGAGTGCTAGCGAGGGAAAGCCAGTGTTGATTCTCATAATATGAAAGGGATAGTAATATTGTTCTAACGAATATATGTCATTTGACAGAAAGTTTGTTATAAAGAAGTGGTTTTTCTATTATATAGTAAGGGTAGCAGGCAGATGAATAAGAGTTATCTGAAAGTTTCCCATTTCGGTCTCAGACGCGTAAACGAAGTTGTTGAAAGTGGTACTTTGGAGACCAGTGTCGAAACAGCTCTCGATGGGCCATTTTGCAAAATAAGAGAGATTTATAGAACATATTTAAGAAAATAAAAACTAAAAGTGACTCCAATTGGATGGTCCCTGCGAAAAAGCCAACGACCTTTATGATATTCGTCCATAAGGAGAAACTAAAGAAAGGCTCGAAGCATATCGGCTGATGCTGGCCAGTTTAAGATTTCTTTTTAAAAGGTTAACGGGATTTTGCTTTGCTCCTTGTTTCTTGAGGAAATGTACCAAGAAAAAAGATCAGACACTTGACGATTACAAGATCCTACAGCGAGTAAGCATTATTCTTTTTTCAAGGCAAGCTTATTTGATGTTTCTATCAATGAAACATCTATGAAATTATTCCAAAGCACATTTCTAGTCTTCATGTTGGATGGACTTTTAAAATTTGAGACAGACTATTCCGGATACCCCTGAAGCCATACACAAACAATTTAATTGATGTAAGGGATTCTTACTATCTGTTTCGACCAGTCTAAGCCAAATTACGTCCCAAGTTGCGTTCATGTTAATCAAATTGTCCCACTTGGACACAGATTCAGCAGGTATGAGGGAAAAGAAACCTCTTCCAAAGCATAGTTGGAAAGGATATTTTCTTATTTTTATTCCTGTGAATATGGTCAACAGTCAATTCAATGTCCTCATGTTCCTTTATTGGATGCTTCCACGATCAATCCCAAGAAAAAAGGTGTCTAAAAAACACTCCATTGTTTTTATAGAAATCTCAAAAAATGGTGTTTCTGGAAGATTTTAGCAAAAGGCTTCAACGAACAGCATAACAAGATCGACCGAAAACGGGTATTTATTGTTCACCAAAAAGAAATTTCGAAAGCCTTCTCTAATTTATTCACGACTATTTTTACTTTTCTTCGTATTTTTCTGTTACTCAACACCCTTCTTTCTTAACTATGTAATAACTTTCTGTGTTTACTATTTGAACTTAGTGTGAAACAGTAAGTATGGTCCACGTAAATATTTACCTTTTTTTTTAAAACATTTCGTGTTATTTAAAGCCAGCTTTTCTCCATTGCATTGTTTACTCAACGGTAAAGCTTTCATTTCTTTCGTTTCATGGTAAGCAATTCTGTTGGCTTGTAATAAACGCTCTTTTCGACATACTTCCTGAGAGAATATCACTGCTGTACTGTTCACTATACAAAAGTTAAAGAATTTCAAGAGATCTTTATTTGTATTACTTACTTATATAGAAAGAGGGTGCGTTCTTTGAGAAAATCAATCTTTGGTTGCTTCCTTATTCTTCCAAAGCATCTATAATCTTTTTACAGCATTATCCTTTTTTCAATTGAAAGTTTCTCAGTCATTGATTTCTTGAAAGCAAAATGAGCCGATGGATGAGACGTTCTCTTCCACGTCCGCCAGATGAAGAAGAAGCAGCAGGTCTCACCACTGAACCGCCAAATCGTGCTAGCCTATTGAAGGTTCCAACTCTAATGTACCAAAATTCAGATGGATCTAGCCCTCAGTTATCTGAAGCAGACGAAGATGACAAAGAGTACAGACATCTGATTGCTTCTTCAGAAGCTCCCTCTATAGATGACTTTAGTATAGATGACTATATGGTTAAAGAAGGAGAAGAATCTAGTCCTCCTTTTGAAGGATACACGGCACAACCCAATCCCATCCATTCGTATACCCCGAATATATCAAATCAGCAACAACCTGAGCGACAACAGTCAAAGCATGAACCTCGGCTAAAGCGAAAAAAGACTATTCAGAGAGTAGAACTCTTCAGAGGAAACTTGGTATTGGATTGCCCTGTCCCCAAAATGCTTCTTGCTAGTCTGCCTAAGCAGCAAGATCGAGAATTTTCCTACGTTCGTTACACGGCCGCCACTTGTGAGCCTCAAGATTTTGTTAAGAATTTATTTACGCTTCGACAGCCATTGTTTGCTCAGCCCCGGAAGACAGAGATTTGCATTGCCATTACTATGTTTAATGAAGACGAAATTTTATTTGCACGTACAATGCATAGCATTATGAAAAACATTTCTTACCTTTGTAAGAAAAGGAGCTCTCCAGTATGGGGAGTAGATGCTTGGAAAAAGGTGGTCGTTTGTATAATTTCCGATGGCAGAACCAATATACATCCAAAGACTTTGGCTTACTTGGCATCCATTGGAGTTTATCAAGACGGGATAGCCAAAAACAGAGTAAATGAAAAGGAAGTTAATGCTCATATATATGAGTATACAACCCAATTATCCATCGATCCTAATTTAAAATTTAAAGGCTCCGAAAAAGGTATAGTTCCTGTGCAGGTGGTTTTTTGTTTAAAGGAGAAAAATAAACAGAAAATTAACTCTCACCGATGGTTTTTTCAAGCGCTTTGCCCAGTTCTGCAGCCAACTGTTTGCGTTTTATTGGATGTCGGTACACGACCAGGGGATCAATCCATATACCATCTTTGGAAATCATTCGATGTAAATCCAAGAGTAGCCGGTGCATGCGGTGAAGTTGTCACTATGAAGGGGAAATATGGATCTAGCATGTTGAATCCCTTAGTTGCTACCCAAAATTTTGAATATAAAATGAGTAACTTATTGGACAAGCCTTTGGAAAGCGTACTCGGGTTTATCTCTGTACTTCCGGGTGCCTTTAGCGCTTACCGGTTTGAAGCCCTTCAAAACGACGAAAATGGTAATGGCCCGCTGGAAAGCTATTTTCGCGGAGAGTTACAAAATGGTGAATGTTCAGGGATTTTTGAAGCGAATATGTATTTGGCAGAAGATCGTGTTTTATGCTTTGAATTAGTATCGAAACGCCATGAAGCTTGGACGTTGCACTATGTCAAGTCTGCGTATGCGGATACCGATGTCCCCGATCGTGTACCTGAGTTCATTTTACAAAGGAGACGTTGGTTAAATGGAAGCTTTTTTGCTGCTATTCATTCTGTGTTTCATTATTATCGGATTTTTCAGAGTACTCATACATTTGGTCGAAAAGTTTTGCTAATTGTCGAGTTTTTTTATCTTTTTCTACACATGTTGTATTCATGGTTTAATGTCGGTAATTTCTTTATCATCTTTTATGTCCTAACGTCTAGCGTAGCCCCAAAAGAAGCAAAATTCCCCCCTGGAGCTGTACTTGCAAAAGTAGTGAACTGGATTTATGGGGCTTTATTGATTCCTTGTTTTATCCTGGCATTGGGAAATCGTCCACATGGCTCGACAATTTTTTATACAACGACAATGGTGCTGTATGGTTTGTTAATGTGCTATCTATTATTTTGCTCTGCTTGGATTGCATATCGAGGAATTATTCATGCGATTGATGTTGCAAAATACGAAAACTCATCGGTTGGATATGCTTTAGCCAACAATACTATTTTCGTGAACATAGTAGTGTCTTTAACTACGACATACGGAATGTATGCACTAATTTCTATAATTTCTTGCGATCCCTGGCATATGCTGACATCTTTTGTTCAATACCTGATTCTGTCGCCAATGTACACAAACATATTAAGTGTTTACGCATTTTGTAACACGCATGATGTGTCCTGGGGTACCAAAGGAGAACATGCGGTCTCAAATGATTTGGGTATTGCAAAAAGAAATCCAAAGGGGACGGTCGTTGAAATTGCGATTCCCACGAATGAATCTGACATCGATGATATGTACGAAAAATCTGTGCGCTTGCTAGCAAGTCCGGTTGACAAAACTCTCTTGTCTCCGGATATATCATTAAAGAAGCAGGATTTTTATAAAAACTTCAGAACATTCATTGTATTGGCTTGGATTTTTTCCAACCTGGCTCTGGTTGCGGTAGTCATAAACTTGAACCAGACAAAAGGGATTTCTATTTCTAACAATCAAACAAGCTATTACTTAGCATTTCTGTAAGTGAAAGTATTGGTATGCCAATGGTAATTAACAATTTACTAGTTTCTGGAGTGTTGTTGCATTTTCTGCAGTCCGTTTTGTAGGATGCATAGTCTATTTATTTCTACGAATTGTTACAGGAGTATAGCTTCTGTAAAAGAAGAAGTTGCTTATTTCTTCCTAATGTTACACAACCATAAAATGGTTTGAATGATTTAACCTAAAACTTTGTACAATTATATGTTCCCTATCCTCTAATATACTTTAATTCTTAATTTCTACTATCTTTTGTTCGTTTTTTTAGCTACTCTCTTTATAGCATAGCAATAACTGGAAGTGGTTTTATTTACTCTTAAAATCAATTACTTTTTCTAAACAGATTTGATACTGTATAAGCAACACTTATTTTAGCATAAGCATGTAAATAAGCGAGGACCTTACCAAGCTTAAATTTACCATTACCAGCCATCTTATTACCAGCCATCTTTCTTTTATGGGGTTCAACATAAGAATTTGCACTTGTCCTTCGCCATAAACCTAGTTGAGCTTACTCTAAGAAATCACTTATAAGTCAATGGAAAGAAGTTTCATTGTATCCTCTCCAGGGAAGACAATCCTATTTGGTGAACATGCTGTTGTTTACGGTGCTGTAAGTTGACGTCTCAGGCTCTATTAAGGATCATGCTACTGGGCAATTATTTTAAGCTTATTATTCTTTGTACTTAAAAAAACATTGGTAATACGAAATCATGATGTACATTTTATTTATGTTAATGGTGTTGAACGATTCTCATTACATGGAATTGTCATTTATGAAGAATCGCTTTATAAATAATTCTCTTGTATCCTTTTATAAGAAAAAAAACAAATTCAACTGTGCTCCAATTTAACAGTTACAAGTTGATTTATCCCAAGCTTAGGAGAAGTTCATCCAAATTTCTTGCTTTCAGTTTGCTAAATGGTCTTTCGAAGCCTTCTGTATACTCAAGAATACTAACAGTATCTTAGACAGCTGTAGCGGCTTCTATTTCTCTAAGAACCTATTGTAGAATAGAACCTAGCGAAAAACCCGAGATTGTCATAAAGATGCGAGATATAGGGACGAAACACTCATGGCCTCTTGAATCTTTGCCTTGGAAAGCTGTACCCGCAAAGGACGTATTTCATCCTCCAAACACTCTCAATAACGAGATCGTGGCAGCGTTGGAAAAGCTATTGACAAACGAGAAAAAGAGTCCTCTAGTTTTTCTATCAATGCTGTGCATCTTGTACTTGTATTTACAGATTGGTTCCCCTACACAAGGCTGTGTTATAACAATAAATTCAGAAGTGCCCTTGGGTGCTGGTTTGGGAAGCAGCGCGACTGTTTCAGTCGATGTCGCAACATGTTTGTTATTATTTTTTGGCTTCATTCAGCCACCAATAACTGGAGAAAGCTTGGGCCGAGCTGAAACCCTTACTCTTATAGAAGCTTGGTCTTTTATTGGTGAATGTTGTATCCAGGGCAGTCCTAGCGGAATTGACAATGCCGCTGCTACTCATGGTGGCCTAATTGCTTTCCGAAAGTCCACGGCTAAGACGACTGCCATGAAGCAATTCTTAAAACTTGAGAATCCTCTGTCCGTTCTGGTTACCGATACAAAGCAGCCCAAGAGTACTAAAGAATTGATTCAGAGAGTATTTCGACTTCGAGAGCGTTCACCTCTTGTAATTGATTCCATTTTTCAAACCATTGATGGGATATCACGATCCGCAATCGAAGCCCTTGAAACCGTGACGGATGTATTTCGACTTCGAGAGGTCCTTGGCGAGCTTATTTTCATCAACCAAAAAATGCTTGAGGCATTAAACGTCTCTCATGTTACAATTGAGCAAGTTATAAATGCTACCAAATCCATAGGTCCGACAAAGTTAACTGGCGCAGGAGGTGGAGGATGCACAGTTACATTGAGGAACACTGACTGTTCAAATGAGATGGTTGAGGATGTTATTACTGAATTAGATTCGTTAAAAAACTCTGTCTACGATATTCAACTAGGAGGCCCCGGTGTAGCTGTCGTGTCAGATTCAGCCCCATATTTCGCAGAGTTTGTCGAAACTCTCGAAAGTAAAAAATACAATTTACTCAATAATTTGAAACAAACTTATTTTTAAGGTTTATAATGTACTTTTTATTTGTGACTACTTTCGTTTTATATAAGAGTTTGGAGCGGCTGATTCTACCTCGGTCAAAAACACTCAAGCCCAATACCCTCTTTATTATACCCTCCTTATAAGTCTTTCTTTTAAAACGACTCTTTTCATTCTTTTAGATTTATAAAAACAAAAACTAAATTGACGCGTTTGCTATCCTACTTTCTTTTAATCTTTCATTTGTAGCAAGATGCGCGTATTTCTTATCAACTTTCTTTTTATGGCTCTGTTGGGCATTTCTTCTGCCCTTCCTTACGTCCCTCTTAACCACCGTCATCATAGACGCGGCGGTAACGATGTTACGACTACTTATGAAACTATATACAAAACAGTCTTCATGAGTACAAACGCTGACGGTACATCCCCTGTTACTTCTTATCAAACATCTTTCTCATCTTCAACCGCTCCAAGCAGTTTTGCAACTACTCCTTTCTTCAAAATGAACGCTACTTCTGCTCCATGGAATAACAACACTATTGCTGCTACTTCAACATCCGTTGCTCCCAATATGGCTTTGAACGAGAGCTATCCTATTGCTGCTGCTTCTATATCTGCTGAAGCTACTTCTACTTCTTCTACTGCTGCCCAGCCTGCTTCTTCGACGGATTCTGTTGCCAGCAGTTCTAGTGCTATTCCTACCTCTGCTGCCCTTGCTTCCGCATCTAGCACCACCGATGCAAGCACTCCCATTACTTCCAGCAGTGCCCCACTCCCTTCCGGTGACATTCAAGCTCCTAATGCTAAGGCAGCTAATCTCAATACTTATAGCACTAGCTCCCCTGCTTCTAGCTCTGCTTCTAGCAGTACCTCTAGCTCTGCTTCTGCCACACCTTCAGGAAATAAGTCATCTAAGCGTGGCTTGGCATGGATCCCCGGTACCAGTCCCTCAGTTGCTGATAAATTTAAGGGTGTTGCTAACTGGTATTATAACTGGGGCTCCAGTCCTTCTAACTTAGATTCCTCCTTTGAGTTTATTCAAAGCCAACATTCTGCTGATGGTATCGAGAGTGCTTCTTCTACTTTCTCCAACGGTGCTACTGTGATTGGCTTTAACGAGCCTGATCTTTCTTCTTTAGATGCTGGTTATGCCGCTTCCTTATATAAGCAATACTTAACTCCCCTTCGTCAATCAGGCGGCATTAAGTACCTTGGTTCTCCTGCTATTAGCAACGTTGGTGAGGACTGGCTTTCAAAGTTCATGCAATCATGCTCTGATTGCCGTATTGATTTCATTGCTACTCATTGGTACGGTACTTCTGCTAATCAACTCAAGGACTTGGTGAACAGTTTGTCCTCTACTTACAGTAAGCCCATCTGGGTCACTGAGTTTGCTTGCACAAACTGGGACCTTAGTAAGTTGCCTAGTATGAGTGATGTCAGCAGTGTCTTCCAGGATAGCATTGAATTTTTGGAAAACAACGGTGCTGTTGAGCGTTACAGTTGGTTCGCTCCTGCTAGTAACCTTGGAAGCTCTGTTGGTGAGAACAACGCTTTGGTCAATGCCGCTGGTGAACTTAGTGAGCTTGGATCCAAGTACGTTTCTCTTTAAGGTCGAGAGCCCAATTTCATTTGTACGAATTGCACTGCTGAACAATATGTACATGACATTTATCCTTTGATTTACGAAGTCAAAGTTTCTTATTTGATACGTATTTGCTAAATGTTGTTTTGACTTTCTTTGTTTTATTTTTTCGCTCGCTTTTTAAACTTTTCAAACGCTTTTCTGACTTTCGTTATCGATCTTATTTTTTTGACTTCTTATTTTCCCTTCTTTCGTTTGCTTTCCTTTCTTTTGTTCTAAATATAAAAAGGACGTGAAAATATATTTATGATTCTGGAAATAGTACGTTTGATTTTGTCTCCCGCTATCAATTATGATATGAAACAAAGACAAAAAATCGTATAAACAAAAAACGTGGTTGAACAGAAATGCATTCATTCTTATTCATTCTCTTTCTCTTTATACCAACTATGAATGTGTTTTCTGTTTGACTCGTGTTTTGTTCTATACAAAGTTATCGTTAAACAGTCTTACAGTACAGCTAAATTAATTTGAACAACTTCAATACTTATAAATCTTTTTAATTTGCGTTTTCATTGTAAAAGTAAGATGTGAGTAGTTTGTATTGCTAGGAGAAATTTGTGCATGAGCTATTATGGGATGGTTATCTAAAGGAGGCAATTAGTATGTTAAATTTGACTTGGCAAAAAAAAGAAAGGTAAAAAGATGCTGTTACTATTCAATGTTGCCTCAATCTATTCTACTTTATAAACATCTGATCGTTCAGTGTGTTAAGTGGTGTTGAAAAATAAGTGATATACATAATGATGCTACTGACATGTAAACAAAAGAAATAGTAATAACCAAACCAGAAATCAATTTCCCTAATAGAACAGAGAAACACCATAATTCCCTTACTCTGGTGCTTCAATACCTTGATCAGAAAACTTTTGAAGCCAACATACTTCTTCTGCAATACCTTTATTAGCTAAATCACAGGATTCAGAACAAGTGTAAATGGTAAGAACACCCCAGTCAAGGGCATCTTCTGCGGAGTGGTCAATTTCTAACTCAGCTAATAATGTAGAGACAATTTGTACTTCTAATATCCGCTTGGCACCGCAAGAGCAATCAGGAACACTGGTAGGGATTCCGTCCTTATTGCACCATAAAGGCTGGGAAGAAGGAGAATGATAATAGCGCAGTATTTGATCTGGAGCTCTAGATATACACTTTTGGAACTTTAGAAAGGAAGTATCACCTGTGGCTTTTGTATAAGGCTCATTAGTTGGATTTTCGGTTTCCACTTTTACGTCTTGAAGATCTTTTTGCTGAACTTCTGATGGTTCATCAGATGGATCAGAATCCACTTCTATTTCTCGTGGACTGCACAGCTTTGAATTGAAATTCTCTTCTAGTGTAAGGTCCAGATTTTTGAATTCTGTTTTCGAAGCTTGGCTTCTGAATACACGAATCCTAAAAAAATTATGTTAATTACAATAATTGATAATAAAGCAAAATATTAGAATAAATAGTAGAAGCAGTAGCAAGTGCCTTGAAGTGATCCATAAAAGTGCATATCTTTTGACTTGATCATGGACCACACTGACAGAAGAAGGAGCTTTCCATAAACTTCGTATTCTTTTCATTTGTATTGTTGTAGTACTTACCCCTTTGTCCATCCTTCCTCTTGAGCTTTCCCATCTTTGTCGACAAAGACGTAGATAATACGATGAAAAGAGGACTCATTATTTCGAGGTGCATACATTTGCAATAAGAAGTTCTTATTGGAGCCACACTTCTCCTTTATAGAAGCTACATCTTTCGACCGAAGAAGTAGAGGAGGACCTCCAACTCGACTACATTCCACGTCCAGCAAATCGCTTTGCTTAAGGCTACCTTCCGCTAAAAAGCCGAGATCTATGTCTTCCATATTCGAGAGTTGAATTACAAGATTAACAGTGATGAACGAGCAAAGAAAGGCGTTGGCCTTGGTATTTGGTTAGGTGCAAATGACAGTTAGAGGCTGTATATGAGAAATTCGATGGAATGAACAGAAAATAAAATAAACACTGCTTTAAGTACGTGCTCTAATGGAGAAGAAGAAAAAGGAGTTTGATAAATTTTATTAAATATCTGTTCCTTACACAAAAATAATAGACACTTACAAAAGGCAAAACACCAGAAATCCGGAGATGGACTTTTTAAAAAGGCATGTTTAAAAAAAAAAAAAAAAAATACCTGAAATATACGAAAAGGAACTTTAACGTATTTGATAACTAGAAGTTCCATCCATGCCTTCCAGCATTTCCAAAATTTGACAGTCGAATATGCCGTTCCAGGATAAAACTCGATCGTGATGCCAGGAACAGTTTTCCGAAAGATCAAAGAACTTTACAGTATCATCACTGCTTGCAACGACAATACTGTTACCAGGAACCTGCTTCTTTCGTACATCATCATACGTACAAGTCATAATAGAATGCACACATCGAGTATCAGAGATTCTCGGTAGAACAGAAACGAGGCATTTTAAATGAGGCCAGCTATAAATAGCAATTCGATGTTGAACACTTTCCACCGAATAACCAAAAGTTACGCAAAACTCTTTATACTTTGGGGACCAATGGATTGAAGTAATCTGTGCACCACAATAGAGCTCAGATATTTTTTTTCCGCTGTTGCAATTATAAAATCGGACATGTTTGTCGTGTGAGCCGGCTCCTGTAGCGAGCAAAGATTTTTGCCAGGGACAAAAAGATATTGCCTTGACTGCAGCATCGTGCTGCCAAACAAAAAGTGGCTTCTGCCATTCAGAAGAATTAAAAAGGCAAACTCGATTATCGTTTCCTCCCGTAGCAAATTGAGTGCCGTCATGATTCCAGGCCAATCCACAAACCTGCTCTTCATGAGCAGTAGTAATTGTTCCAACCTTCGTGGCTTTAATCGTGGAATCGGACCACAGTATATCATAGATTACAACCTCTCCATTTCCTTTTCCGATTATAATACAATTCGTGTCCAGTACAGGTTTCCACGCCATACAGCCGATATCGCCTGGATGATAAATGGAAATTCTGGGCCGAACTTCCCCTCTTCCAAAAAACTGGATGGTTCCATCAATTCTTCCTGCAGCAAGAATAGTACCGTCATACGAGTAGGCAAGACTACTTACATCGTACATGCTGGTTTCCAAAACACCAACAGGTCCTAATCCTTCTGTCCATAAACACACATTTTCGGCAAGACCAATAGCTAGGTCACCGCGCGGAGACCATGCAAGTAATGTGGTATAAAAATCGTCTCGTAACTCGGGAGCGTCAAGGATTCGAAAAGGAAGAATTTGGTCCGGAGTATGCTTCTTTTTGCATGTATTGGTTTTTGACTCTAAGGTTATTGGAATAATGCTGGAAGGAGAAGATGTTTCTGGAGAAAAACGAAATACATGACTTGTCTTATCAATCTCTAAAACATGTTCCAGCAAACGATTGTAAGGGCAATTAGAATCTTTCTCCAAACGACTGTCGGAGTGATCCCTGGTATCTTTTTTTTGTAAATATGGATTTTCCAGGGGATCCTGTCGACATAGCAATAGAGCATCAGAGCTCGAGGACAAAGGGAGAAAACGATCCAAGTCTGTTCTTGCCGTTGAAACGTTTCTTCTTCCACCAGGACGACGGCTAGGAAACCGATTATATCTCAAAAAATGATTAGAAGAGTTTAATATAGGTCCTGGGGGCGAGGAAGCCGCAGATACAATCGATCGCTCCGGAGCTGCATTTCCATATAGAGTTGATAAAGGAGAATGCATTCCTAAAAGACGATAATAAATCCAATTGAAACTGCAGCGAGTGTACTGTCCTCGCAAATTGCCTCGTTTGTGGACGGAGTGATTGATTTAATGAGTCTAACAACTATAGACAAAAGTAAACAAATCATCCTTACCGGCCAACCATAATAAGCAGGAAATGATAACTCAAATCAAAAAGGATATTTTTAAAAAAGACTATTCGCATGTGATACTTCATTTTTTATATCAACTTGTATTTTAGGACTTTCTCTGACTGGTATTGAAAAGATTAAAGACGAACAACTGACTACGGCCATGGAATTAAATGCAAGATATGCATGTCTCATAAATTGCACAGAAAATGAGAGTATTACTACGTTACTGGTAATCCAAGGTCTTGTCTAATCACCGTAAAGAAAAGCAAACATGCCGCAAATTGCATATGAATTATCACTTTAAGCTTTCAATAAGGATTCGTAGCATATTCTTTAGAAAGACTTTAGCTAAACAAGTCAGCGTTGAAGGAGAAAGACTTTTTGCACGACGACTACAAAGAGACGAACGAAAACTTCATTAAAGTACTACTATAATGGAGATAATAATAAATCGGGATTATAACATTGAATGAACGATCTATTTAATGTAAACAGAGATCATCGAATGTGAAGTTGATTTTTATTTACTTTCGAAAAACAAAATAAGTGTAGAAATAAGCGAAAGGGTAAACCTAAATTAACGCAGTCATTTGTTCCTCGTTAACACGTGACTGCTTTTTTCCCGTACAGGAAACTGGGCAAACAGTGAGAAAACCTGCCGGGAACCTCAACGCAAAATGAAGTTGAACATTTCTTATCCAGCAAATGGTACTCAAAAGCTGATTGAAATCGACGATGATCGTCGTCTCCGCGTCTTCATGGACAAGAGAATGGGCCAAGAAGTTCCCGCAGACTCTGTAGGCCCCGAATTTGCGGGCTACGTTTTCAAGATCACCGGTGGTAATGATAAGCAAGGTTTCCCCATGTTCCAAGGTGTCTTGCTTCCCCACCGTGTTCGTCTTTTGCTTCGTGCTGGTCACCCTTGCTATCGCCCTCGTCGTGATGGTGAGCGCAAGCGTAAGTCCGTTCGTGGTTGCATCGTCAACCAAGACTTGTCTGTTCTTGCTGTCGCCATTGTTAAGCAAGGCGAGCAAGACATTCCCGGTTTGACCGATACTACTGTCCCCAAGCGTCTTGGACCTAAGCGTGCCTCCAAGATTCGTCGTTTCTTCAATTTGAGCAAGGAAGACGATGTTCGCCAATTCGTCATCCGCCGTGAGGTTCAGCCCAAGAAGGAAGGCAAGAAGCCTTACACTAAGGCTCCTAAGATCCAACGCCTTGTTACTCCCAGAACCCTTCAACACAAACGTCACCGCTTCGCTCTCAAGCGCAGACAAGCTGAAAAGAACCGTGAGGCTGCTGGTGAATTTGCTCAGTTGATGGCCAAGCGCGTTGCTGAACAAAAGCAAAAGAAGGAAGTTGTCAAGGCTCGTCGTGCCTCTTCCTTAAAAAATTAAGGCTGACATATCCACAAAGTAACTAGGTCATCTATATAATAATGTTTTCATTTGGATTTTCATTGGGACCTGGAACTGTCTGAATTTTTCCTCAAACTTTAGTTTTTTAAAAGTGCAATTGTAACTCAGCAAAAACCAATGTATCTTTAAAATATTAAAATATCACTGATTGAAAAACTTGGAAAGCAAACGTAGAATAAGTCTTAGAGGTTGGGCAAATTTGGATAGAAGAAATAATGCCTCTTTTTACATATTTGCCCATAAGGGCCATATTAATGGAATAAATGCTACGATATAACTAGCAAGTAGGAGTCGTAAAACTATAGATGTTTCAAAGATTGATTTGAATAGCATGAACGGGATTTTTACTGTGCAAGCTCCTAGTCTAAATAGCAGTAAATAAACTAAAACTTATTAAAGAAAGAAAAGGCTCATAAAGTAAAAAAAGAAAACCGCCTACTTTATCTGATTAAGTTAAGTAAGGACTGTTCAACAAACAAAACTGCTAACTGGATAGGCTCTATATACTAAGACAAACATGGAAGTAGAAGAGAGACGATCTGTAAAACGGTAATTATAACCCGATCGTTTTCAAAAGTTGCTTTTTTTACTGGCGTAAACAAAAAAAATTTCGAGTTACTCGAGTGCCAAAGGTAACAAGTGTAAATACACACGGGGATTATTTTGCTATCTGCAACAGGACAATCATGATATCTTTTTTTTCTATATTTATATAGTTTGCCAACTGCCATAATCTGCTTCAGTATTAAGTAGGAAAAACGATTGGTAAATGCTCGAAATTGCATATTGAATTAGTGATAATTCACATCACTACTAATATCGTCAATTCTTAATTATCTATACGCAGGATTTGGTATATACATTAATTTTCATTTAATTCCATAATTCTCTGTGTCTTTTCAGTTTGGAAACAGGCCTCTTGACCGATATGGTTTTTGCTTCGTCCAGAAGGACTATTTCCTTGCAAGGATTAGTCAAAAGTATTCAGAGCAATCGTTCTCTTTCGTTAAGAAGGAGGAGCTTTCATTTAACATGTAGTCTCAATAACACTTCACGAAAGAATATCGTACCTCCTTTGGATACCTTTGGCCGTCGTCACATTGGTCCCTCTAAGAAAGAGCAAGAGTATCAGCTTTCTACGCTTGGATACAAAGATTTTGAATCATTCTTGAACGACGTTATTCCAGAAAACGTTCGTGCTAATGGCAATAACAACAAGCATTTTCCTTTAATCAATACTGATAAATCTCATACAGCACCAAATTACTCAGAAAGCGAGTTTGGCGAATTAGTGGAAAATGTGGCCAACAAGAATCAGCTGGTAAAAACTCTTATCGGTATGGGCTATTACAATGTCAAAATTCCTCCAGCCATTATAAGGAATGTATTTGAAAATCCAGAATGGTACACTCAGTATACCCCTTACCAAGCAGAAATCTCTCAAGGACGTCTAGAATCCATGATGAATTATCAAACCATGATTACCGACTTGACCGGCCTCAGCATCAGTAATGCTAGTCTTCTAGATGAAGCCACTGCGGCTGGTGAAGCTATGGTTATGGTTATGGGCAGCGACCGCAAAAAGCGTAAAACTTTTTTGGTCGACTCTAAAATTTACCCTAATACATTGTCTGTGCTACGCACTCGCGCACGCGGTTTTGAGATTGATGTAAAAGTAGTCGATATCTCCACTGAAGTTATCAAGGCCAACGAAAAGGATGCTTTTGGTATTCTTGTTCAGTATCCTGGTGCTGATGGCTCTATTTTTGACTATAGTCATCTTGCATCAACCGCTCACGCCTCAAACATGCGTGTGGTCGCTGCCACAGATTTGCTTGCTCTTACTCTCATGAAGACGCCCGGTGAGTGGGGTGCTGACGTTGCTGTCGGCTCAACGCAGCGTTTTGGTCTGCCAATGGGTTTTGGTGGTCCTCATGCCGGCTTTTTTGCTTGTAATGACGAATTCAAGAGAAAAATGCCTGGTCGCCTCGTGGGTCTCAGTAAGGACCGTCTTGGAAATCCTGCTTACAGATTGGCTTTGCAAACTAGAGAACAACATATTCGACGTGAAAAGGCTACCAGTAACATATGTACTGCTCAAGCCCTTTTGGCAAATATGTCCGCATTCTATGCCATCTACCATGGTCCTGAAGGTTTGAGACAGATTGCCGCTCGAATCTATGCTATTACGAATGTTTTGAAATGTGGTTTGGAAAGTGCTGGTTTCAAAATCTTGAATAAGAATCATTTCTTCGACACATTGACAATCAATGTACAGTCTGCTGATGCTTTAATAAAAAGGGCATTAGCTCACGGTTATAATTTGCGCAAAGTCAGCGATACGTCTATTTCTATATCTATGGATGAGAGTATCACAAACGAGGATTTGAGCCAATTATTTAACGTTTTTCAGATTTCTTCAAGTCCTGAAGCTTTCACTGAAAAGCTAAACAGCGGTAAATCTGTTAATACCGTGGATGAATTAGTTGTTTCTGCTTTTCCTAAAGAATTACAACGTCAAACTCCCTATTTGCAACACATTGTATTTAATAGGTATCACTCCGAGACTGAATTGATGCGTTATATTCGTTATCTTCAGTCCAAAGATTTGTCTCTAGCTCATGCCATGATTCCCCTTGGTTCTTGTACGATGAAACTAAACGCAGTTTCGGAAATGAACCCCGTGTCGAATCCCAAGTTTGCCAATATCCATCCATATGCTCCTAAGGATCAAGTGCAAGGTTATGAGTTCTTAATTAATGATTTGGAATTGATGCTCACTAACCTTACAGGATTCGATGCTGCTAGCTTTCAACCGAATTCTGGGGCTTCTGGTGAGTATACCGGACTAAGTGTAATCCGTGCTTATCAGAAATCTATAGGTGAAGATTATCGTAACATTTGCCTGATTCCTGTTTCCGCTCACGGTACTAACCCTGCTTCTGCAAATATGGCGGGTTTAAAGGTTGTTTCTGTCAAATGCTTGAACAATGGTAACTTGGATCTGGATGATTTAAAGGTTAAGGCTGAGAAATACTCTGATAACTTGGCTGCTTTTATGGTTACTTATCCTAGCACCTTTGGTATTTTTGAACATGGAGTAAAGGAGACCTTAAGCATTATCCATGAAAATGGAGGCCAAGTTTACTTCGACGGCGCTAATATGAATGCGATGGTCGGGTTGTGTAAAGCTGGCGAGTTAGGTGCTGATGTATGTCACTTCAATCTTCACAAGACCTTCTGCATTCCTCATGGTGGTGGTGGTCCCGGTGCCGGCCCTATTTGCGTTAAAAGTCATTTAGCTGACTTTTTGCCTTCTAGTCCTGTTGTTAAATGTGGTGGTACAAAGTCTATTGGATCCGTTAGTTCTTCTCCATATGGTTCTGCTAGTATCTTGCCCATTTCATGGGCTTATATGAGAATGATGGGCCTTGATGGACTACGTGATGCTTCTAAGGCTGCTTTATTGAATGCCAACTACATGGCCGCTCGTTTGGCTCCCTACTATAAGCTTGTCTATTCAAATGAAAACAACCGCTGCGCTCATGAATTTATCTTGGACGCTCGTGAATTCAAGGCTACTGCCAGTATTGAGGCTACTGACATTGCTAAACGTTTGCAAGACTACAGTTTCCATGCACCAACTTTGTCCTGGCCTATTACCAATACTCTAATGGTTGAACCCACGGAGTCGGAAAGTATGTACGAGATGGATCGTTTCTGTGACGCCTTGATTTCCATTCGTCAAGAAATTCGTGAAATTGAGGAGGGTAAACAACCTAAGGATAATAATTTGCTTACCAATGCTCCTCATCCTCAAAAGGATCTAGTTTCAGAGGAATGGAACCGCCCTTATTCACGTGAACGTGCAGTATATCCCGTACCTATACTCAGTGAAAGAAAATTTTGGCCAACTGTGGCACGTTTAGACGATGCTTATGGTGATAAAAAATTTGTTTTGTACTTGCGCTCCTATGCAGTAAAAAAAAAAAAATCTTCCCCCCCCCCCGGTTATAGACTTTCTCCTTTCTCTTCCCCCTAATCAAAATGAATAAAGAAGCAAAGTGCAACGTGTTGTGTTTAATATGTCGTTGCACTTTCAGCGGTTCTTGATTTTCTTGATTTCAATGTTTCATACTTTCAACTGGGAACGGCCTAATCAAAAAAGAATCGGTTTTCAACAACCAGAATCATCATCATTAATTTTTCTTCACATAATTAATAGCAACAATAATAATAATAATAATAATTTTAACGTTGGTTTACTTCAAAAGTTTTATATTGGAATCAATGATTGAAAGTGGAATTGAACCAAAATAAAATGGATACTAAGTCTTGCTTCCTGGTGAATTCAAAGCTATTCATGAGATGAATAGAGGATTCACCCTTTCAACTAGCAATAGCAAAGACAAAAAAAGTGGAGCTTTAATTGCGTCCGGGCATAAATTATAAAAGAAGGGTAAAAACCATAACAAAAAACGTTGAAATAATAAGCAAGTGCAAAGAAAAAGAGTCTCTTCAACTTTGGTATTTAGGCCTAAAACACACTTTCTGTCAATAGTAGCGGCAACTAGTGAGCATGCGAAAACACCTTACTCCTAAGACTTGAATAGAAGTGTTGAGAATCCAAGATGATTGTCCATCAGCAATTGCCAATGTCTGTAAACTTGGCTTCTTTTGATTTTTTATTGATTGAAATGGTGCATATGGCCAGACGTTTGTCTGAAAAGCAAGAAACGGCCCTTTCGAATGATGAGCAGATGGAAAGAGGTTATACTTTTTTAGAGAACATTGGTTTCCAAGTAGGGAGAAAGCTTACAGAAAGGTAAAATTTACTGCTATTATAGTCTAAAATGGTGGAAGCTGTTTGAATGTAATCGATGCATGGCGTACGCTTCGCTTCATCTTAAGAATATAGAAGATGAGATGAGCAGCATTATCTTTTTTCAGAAAACAAACTAACGGTGTTGGGGTTGCTTGATTTTGCCCTTTTCAACAGCAAGAGAACGATTGTCCGTTTGACTGCATAATGAATGAGGAGCAAAAATCTCGACAATCCTGATTTATATGTAGGCTTTTATTGACTAGAAATCGAATTGTGGAGAGTATAGATGTTATGCGGTTTTTATGTCGAGAATTATGGCCCATAGTTTTTCGTAAACAATTGGACAACTTGAAAACGAATCGAAAAGTATGAAATACAAGTAATTCATTGTACTTCCATATCTAACCGTGAACCTAGGGGACTTTTGTGATTACGGACAACTATTTTTTTTGGTTTTCTAAGATGACAGCTGCCACCGGGACAGAAATGAAAGAGTATACAACTCCGGTAAGTGTTTTTTCATTTTCCTACATATTCATTATCAGAAAAAACAAAAGCTAATTCACCGTGCAGTACTTGTATTTCCCTAGTGGTTTCATTCGAGGAGTCATGCATACTTTTGGGTATCCAGTGCACGTTATTGCTCAATGCCCGAATCTCCCTGCATGCATATTCCAGGTTCGTTTCCCTGCACCATCAAATGTTTCTACTGCCGAAAGTACACCATCCAACCCGCCATCGGAATCAACGCCGAGTGTTTCCCAGCAAAATACTGGCCTTTCAAGGACAAGTGGTCGATCTCTATCGTCAACCACTCTGGGTCCTAATAACACACCCTCACCATTAAATCCTGTGAATTCCCCTCATCCTGAATCCAGTTAAACTATACACCAACAGATGTCGATCACAGGACTGAATGAAATCGACACCTTTTAGGAAGCTGCCTCAGAAGATATAAAGTATCTAGAAAGCGTTCCACTTTTCTTTACTTTACAAAGTACTCCAAAACTATAGTCAAGGACCTCTTCCCATTTGATCTGATTACCTATTTTTTTACGATGATGATGAGATGCATTCGTTTTATCATTAACTTCGCGATTTATGACAATGACATTTTTATTCATTAGCATTCAAAAATTTGTCTATTTTCTGGTAGTTTCAAGACTGACTGGTTAGCTCGGCAAACGAAACAATCATCAGTGAATAACCATCTCCGTCCATATCGCCATAGTACTCTGGTAAAATGTAAAACCTTCTTCATACTCTATTTATGCTGAACGGTTTCTTTGGTATCATGAATTAAGAAAGCCACAGGACTCACGTTGATGAATCCTTAATGTTACCAACTTACCTCTTAATAATGTGAAAGTTACAATCCAAAAATCTTTCCACACAGTTTTGCAAGCATTGCTCCTCGCTTTTGTCAAGCTGGTTTCCGATGTTGCTAACACATTTAGGCCAGCAGGTAGATGTAAATTGATGAATTGCTAAATTTGTAACGGTCAGCATCCCCCTAAAAACTATTAAAGTCTTGATTTCGTACCTTGTTGCAACTTCACCTTTTGCTGTTCGGTTTCAATGAATTTTGAGAGTTCCAGCTGTTGAGTTTCGCTCAAATCAGCAATAGGGTTTTTAGAAGGATCAGCCATGGTTTTCTTAAAAATTTAAGAAGGAAGAGATTTCCGGAGGATGATGGGTTTTCTCAGGTTCTACACTTGTCTCTTGTGCGACATTACCTGTGTTACTTGGAGAAGGTAACAATAAAATAAAGAAATAGAAAAAACGAACATTCAAGCTTTTTTTTCGCATAAAATTCAGATTAAAGTATAAACTCAATAAACTAAGTATCAATTTAATTGTTTAGAAGGATTTTCGCACATCGTTTCTTGTCAATGGTTTCTTTGTTTACACTTTGTAGGAAAAGTAATCAAAAACTACTTCATTGAGAGTAGGTACTAAGCTAAAAAGAAATAAGAATACCAATAATAACTTGTAGTTTTTACATTGAAGTCTTCTTACAGCAAAAACTTTATAGGGATGGACGAATTCTTTGTATGTCTTACAAGCTTTCTATTTTTCTACAACAGCAGTTCAAACTGTAGGGCATTATATACTCGCTTGATTGACAAATTAACTGTTTGAGCAAGGGAATTCAAAAAATATCTTGCAACTAGTGAATTTAGTTTTGAAGGATCGAAAAAAAAAACAAATACGCTGAAGCCAAACAACGGAATTGGCAACTACTACATCTACATTAATTTGTAAGTCTGTTTAATTATTAGTTTTTTCCTATTTACATAACGAATGAAGCATAAAGAGTATCATTAGATCTGACTTCAATAACGGTAGTTGATTCACACAGAAAGCTTTTCTCATGCTCAAAACCCATTTATTATTTTAGTGATGTTAGTAGACTCTGTAATAAAAATTTTGTAAACCCGTATAGAATTGTCCAAGTGGCTTGATATAAGAGTTTCGGAGAAAATACACTCCATATAAATAAGTGATGTCTAAAGAAGTAGCAAGAAAGAGTCAAAATAAACAAAGCGAAACTTGAAAAGAAAAAAGCTGGGCTTAGCCATTTTCGCATAGACATCTTAGGCTGATGAATGCTCCACCAGAATGGTCCTGAAAAGACAGAGCAAAACAATAGAAACCCTACTGAATAAAGACTGTAAGATTTAATCCCCGTATAGGCTTGCGACAAATCGATTGAAGCCAAAGAGTTTGAATTGCCCAAAGAGAAAAATGCCAACGGCTCCATTATAGAAAATAATATATATGAATAGATACCTTCCTTCGGTAATGTCCTTTGTAGTAAATCATATAACACATAAAGGCCCATATTTTCTAATCTTGTCAATAACAAGAGAAATAATGACAGCTGGCAACAAATATTCTTGAAATTTGGAGTAGCTAATGCACCAGCAATTAGTGTACACCAAATCAATTGTGCAAATGATACATAATTAATAGATTTTACCGAAGAGAGCAGAGGGATATGAATAGAATCAGCAGAGAAAAGTTTGTACGATGCAATCAAAAAAGAAGAAAGAAACGACAGCGGAGAAGGTGAGCGAAAAGAGGGCATAAAGCTAGAGCAAATACAGAGCATAAACTTGAGAAAAGAACTTGGAGCTATATAATCGTCCACCAAATCATGAACGTCTGCATGCTTTTGGCCGGTTTGATTCCACCTAATGATAATGCCGAGCAGAAGAAGTTGATAACCCGTAGTGAAAAGAGAAGTTTGCTTGAGAACTTGGAACAAAATTAACGAAAGACAAGAGAAATACCAAAGCACCTGTTCTTCTTCAATAAAGCTACTTGAGAACATATACACAACTATCAGAATGACGAAGGGAATTAAGCACAGAATATCAACAAAGGAAAACTGCGCAAGGGTAAAATACAGATTAAGAATGGTGCATAAACCCAGTATGGTAATCCCTAAAGCCATTTTCGTCAACGAGTAATCGGACGACTTTACAACGAGTTCTTGCTGAAGTTGTTGCAAAACTTCCAATATTTCATTGTTGCTTGCACTTTCGAAATTCCCTATAACATTGGAAGTGATTTCTGGAGAATGCTTTAGTGATAGCAATTGATATAAGTTACTCAATAAAGCATTCTTGGCTTCCGCCTTTGACTCCCAAAGCTGAATAGCAGGTGAAAAAATACGGCCAACACTTCCTTTTGGTATTGGAATTCCTGAAAGGAGACATAATGTAGGAACAATGTCGACCTGTTCAACCATACTCATAAGTTGATAGGGATTTTCTGGAGGTGGTTCGTGAAGTGAGTCCCTTTGAAAGACATCGAGGGAAGGAAATAGCATAGAAAGGGCTGCAGTGGTTTCGCCTACTGAAGAGCCTCCATGATTGCCTATTTCATTCATACCATGATCACCGACCAAGAAGATCATAGAGTGACTATTGGTAATCTGATCATATTTCTCCAAGTAACGGTAAAGGGAAGCAACGATTTGATCCATCTCTTTTAGCTTTATATTCATCAAAGGACTGGAAGGTCCTTGAAAATGACCAATATGATCTACACCAAGATAGTGAAGAATCAAAGTATCCCAGGGAAGTTGGTCCAATGAAGAAGGAAGCAAATGTTCAAAATGCCTAGTGACATTATTATCTACCTCTGTATAGTCAGCTACATAAAAGCTAGTAGTTCCTTCATAGGCAGTAAAGGCATTTGGAAAAAGCTTAAGCCATGTATCATCTCCATAAAATGCAATACTTTTTCCATGAACGTTTAGTTGGTGAAGCCAGCTATCTTGTCCAGTCAAGCTTGAGGTAGATTCCGACTCTGCTATGTTAAGTAAGACATCCAAAAACCCAGGAATTGTTCCCGTTGTAAGAGCTTTCAATCTAGGCATCGTAACGGTTGGGGATCTAGCGTACGAAGAGAAACCAAGGCCATGAGTGGTATTGAAGACAATGGATTGAAGAAATGGCATATGGAAGGAATCAGAAAAGGGGAAATCGGAGCGAAACGCATCGATGACAATGAAAACGACTCTATCAATTACAGCAGGAGGTGCATATGGGTTTTTCTCGGCCGCTCCAGTGGAATCATTTTTATGAGGGAAAAATCCTAAAAGGAAGAAAACGACGCCTAGTAATTGTAAAAAGCAATTGGCAAGAAACAACAGCATCATTTTTAAAGAACTCTCTATGGCTTTTTATAAGAGTACTTTTATTATTTGTCATGAATAAAGGAACAATTGGTCGTTTTGTATACACAACTCACATTTGATTAAATTCCTAGTTCATCGACTGTAAGAGCTGGATTCGATAGTGTAGTGTTTGGTGTTGTTTGAATGCACCAAGGGCAATGTAAGAAAAGACCGCTAAAATATCCTGTGTACCTGTATGGTGTAGACAGAGTTGTTGAGGTAGTCCTGAAATAGAGCAGTGTAAACAAATGAAAATAAAATCGAAACCATAGCAAAGTCGAATCAGACAAATGTGTTCCTGTACGACTTACTTTTTCATTTATTCATAAATTTGCTAAGAAAATAAAAAAAAAAAAAACGCATTTCCATATTTTTCACCTTTTAACGTAGGCAACCCCATTCTACTGGAAATTTCGACTGATATAACATTTGGTAAACTACCATGTCTACCGTTCTTAAGTCTTCAGAATAATATCTTTTAGAATGTACCTTGAAGGCCCGTAAGCACAATAGAACAGAGTGATATCTCCATACATTTCCTTTATTTGTTTACACTATGAACAAACCCATTGCACACAGAATTGCTTAGGTGGACACTAGCAAAAACGAATAACTTGTCAGGAATATGTTTATAATGGACTTAATTGCGTTAATAACGTTTAAAAGGCCGAATTGTCGATAAACGAAATTCAAACTTGGGTTGCTTCATCACTGTTTTTACACGTATTTCTGTATAATATTATATGCTGCATGAAAACTACTTTTTAGCATTATAAACGAAAAGTATCAATTGCTGTATACGAGTAAAGAAAGTATTTTATTTATTTACTTGATTGATTATTTATTTTATTTATTTTTACTTTTTACTTATTTTACATACGAAATGTTTGGGTGTGACATTTTTTTGTTTCACTAAAAAAGCAGTCACAGAAGTGCTTCTTGTCTGGACAGAGGAGACCAGTTCCTTCTAACACCAAACCGCAATGGCAGTTGGAAAGAATAAAAGACTTTCCAAAGGAAAGAAGGGAATTAAAAAGCGTGCTGTTGATCCTTTTGCCCGTAAGGACTGGTACGAAATCAAAGCTCCTTCCTTCTTTGAAGTTAAGAATGTTGGTAAGACCCTCGTCAACCGTACTGCCGGTTTAAAGAACGCCAACGATGCCTTGAAGGGTCGTTGTATGGAGGTTTCTCTTGCCGATCTCCAAAAGGATGAGGAGCACGCTTTCCGTAAGGTTAGACTTCGTGTTGAAGATGTGCAAGGTAAGAACTGCCTTACTAGCTTCAACGGTCTTAGCTTGACTTCTGACAAGTTGCGTTCTCTTGTCCGTAAATGGCAAACCACCATCGAGGCTGACCAAACTGTCAAGACCACTGATGGTTACCTCTGCCGCGTCTTTGTCATTGGCTTTACCAGCCGCCGTCCCAACCAAGTCAAAAAGACCACTTATGCTCAATCTTCTCAAATCCGTGCTGTCCGCCAAAAGATGTTCGAGGTCATCCAAAACCAAACTGCTTCTTGCTCTTTGAGAGAGCTTGTTCAAAAGTTGATTCCCGAAGTCATTGGCCGCGCCATTGAGAAGGCGACTCACGGAATCTATCCTTTGCAAAACGTTCTCGTTCGCAAGGTTAAGATCTTGAAATCTCCCAGACACGACGCTCAAAGACTTCTTGAACAACACGGTGAGTCTCAAGACGTTGGTACCAAGGTTGTCAGTGATGTTGCTCCTTTGGAGTCTGTTTAAAGTCTTTAATAAAAACGTGTGATCTTTTGGTTGTATACGTGTTGATCGTGTAACCCGCGTAAGGGTGTAGTGCGTGCTATAATGTTTCTAGCGTAAAAAAAAAGAAAGCTTGATTGATTTTGAATGGATCTAAACTAAGGCAATTGTAGTAAGTAGCTCTGAAAGTTGACTTATGTAGAAGTAACCTGGCTTTGGGCTTTTTTCTTCATTGGTAAAGCATCCTTTTAGTATAGTTAGTTCTTTAGGCGAAGTGTTTCTATAATGTTTCTAACGATGCCCTGTAATCCTTATCGAATTTTGCATTGTGTTTCTTGGATTAGGACCGAGGTCGAACAGCAGAATGCTTTTTTATACAGGTGTTGACTGGATAACTTTGTATTCAACTAGCAAGGTCAAATCTCACTTTCAAATATGCATTAGCTTCCCAATTCATTAGAACATACAAACACTTTAAAATGTCTTATCTGGATTAGTGAAGCCTCGTCAAACTTACTAAACTTGTGAAGCGACCAAAATCTGCCTTTAACACAACAGTAGGATTCACAGACGTTTTAGTCTGTGGTATCTAGATAGTTAATTTATTCCATTTTTTTTTATCCATTGGAAGTCGATGAGTTAAAAAACAATTATTTTTCTATCGTTGCTGGTCATTTTATCCAATGTTTCTTACACTACGACCATAAAAAGCTATACAATTACTAGCGTGAACACTTATACTTCTAATTGTTTTTTTTTGTTTTCTACTCGTGATTGTTCATTTTAAGCTTCTCTTTTTTTACTGAAGAGCAACTTGATTAAATTTACCTTTGCTGAGGGTTTCCTTTGTTTTTAGGCTGTGGAAACTATGAAACGAAGTCCTAGCAGAAACCTTGACTTAGAAACTGAAACTAACGATGAATCAGAATCTCCTCCTCGCTTTTTCCATGATGATGAACCGGAATCTGCTATCTCTAGTATAGAGGCATTAAGATCTGAAGAGAATAGTCATGAAGGTACTCTGGAATCGGTGGATAAAAATAATGTGAATGTAGAGTCTCCTAATCTCTTTGAGTCCCATATAACATCAATTCTTGGTGAAGCAATTATACCGAAACGCAAAATAAGAGATCTATACAATGCCTCGAACGGAGATGTAGAGACTGCTATTAACATCTTTTACGATAATCCCCTATCTGGGACTTCAGTCGAATCTAAAGACGAAACTGCTGAAACGTCTCCTTCACTAGAAAACTCTCAGCAGACAGTCACCACTACGAAGTCGAAAGACGAGGAAGCTCTGACACCAGAAACGAACAACTCTTCAAATATAAACTCATGGGCTAAACAACCTAATGTAGCAAGGTCATCTTCTAGGAATGCTTCCCTCACTTCCTTCTCTTTTTTAACCAAATCAAACCGAGTCCGCAAGTATGTAGGCTGTTTCGGCGTAGAAGCGTATTCAATTGTATCTGGATCTAATGTTCTGCAAGCTGGAGAACGCGTGTGCCTTGAACGTCAAAAAGCCCCTACAAAAACCCAATATCGAGGTTCTCGAAAGCGTTCAAAGACGAATTCGGGTACTTCATCTGGTCCAATGTATACAAACTCAATTCGCTTTTTCAATAGTGATCACAAAGAAATAGGAAAGCTGCCTACTGAGACTGCTCATGTCTTATGTACTTTAATGTCTCAAAAACTTTGGTCGTTTGAAGCGAGTTGCATATATGCAGATGAATTTCTCCATTTAGGAAGCAATGTTACACTCCAAATTTATTGTTTTCTTGATATTTCCCATCCATCATTAAATCAATCCCCATTTTCAGCCAAAACTGCTTTTATTGAAGATGATCCCGCTGCTTTTATAGATACCCAGAACAAGAGAGATCACTTGCTTCGTTTATTCAGCTGGATTGCTCTAGAGCCCTATTCCGAGGACTCTAATGCAGGATCAAACATACAAATTAATGATCTTCTATTATCCTCATCTTCTTCAATAAATCCTACAACGTCTGAGTCCTCTACTTCAGATATCGCTGAAGATGACGATGTCGTAAGTGAACAGTTAACTACATTGTATGATCGAACGCGTTCAAATGAGGCAAATCTCCCTACTTATTCAATTCCTGAAGGATTTCATTTAGATTTACGGGAGTATCAAAAACAGGCACTTTATTGGATGTGTCAAAGAGAAGAAGGTGATGCCAAGTCAGAAACATCTTCAAATTTGCACCCATTATGGAATCAATTTTTGTTTCCTATGGATCCTGGACTGTCTCCCGAAGATTATCACTTTTCTAAGGATAATGAACCTCATCGGTTTTTCGTAAATTTATACACCGGTGATATAACGTTAGTTTTCCCTTCAATGACTCCTTATCACCGTGGAGGAATCTTAGCAGATGAAATGGGATTGGGAAAAACTATTGAAATGCTTTCATTAGTTCATGCTAGAAGGGGTTCCGATATTCTCGAAAATTCAATTGAAAAATCCCCCTTCTCTAACAGCCTTCCCATAGCTGCAAAGACAACTTTGGTGGTAGCACCTATGTCTTTATTGGATCAATGGCAATCCGAGTCAGTTAAAGTTTCTGATTCTAAACACTTCAAAACACTGGTTTACTACGGTTCCGAAACCGCTGTAAATTTGCGATCTCTTACTGATACTAACAATGTTCCTGATTTGGTTATAACTAGCTACGGCGTTTTACTTTCAGAGTCTGCTAATAGTGCCGATACTTGTGGATTGTTTTCTGTTCACTGGTATCGAGTGATTCTGGACGAAGGTCATTCCATAAAGAATCCAAGCAGCAAAACCGCTAAGGCCTGTTATGCAATATCAGCTCAGAATCGATGGGTAATTACCGGAACACCAATCGTTAATAAATTGGATGATTTGTACAGTTTGATAAAATTTTTACAAATAGAACCTTGGTGCAACTACAATTACTGGCGTACATTCGTTAGTGTGCCCTATGAAGCAAAGGACATTTTGAAGGCTTTAAACGTTGTGCAATCTATTCTCGAACCACTCGTTTTACGAAGAACAAAGGAAACAAAAGATGTCACTGGAAATCCTATAGTTTGCTTACCCGACCGAAGAATTGAAACGATATATCTAGATTTTTCGGAAGCAGAACGACGAATATATGATTCACTATACGTTAAAGCAAGAAGCAGGGTGCATGAAAGTATCGCTGCAGGAACTTTATTTAAGAATTATACTGCAATTTTAGGCTTACTTTTACGGCTTCGACAAGCGTGTTGTCATCCTTTACTTCTGTCGAAAACAGTGGAAAAAAATGAAAAAGAAATGGAAACGGATACTAACTCTAATGAACTGCATGACTTAATTTGGATGTTTTCATCACAGAAAAGACCGATTCCTGGCTATATTACAGAAATATCAGACAAGGATACACTAGATGCTCTTGCTCCAGAATGTCCTATTTGCTGTTCGGAACCAGTTCAAGATCCTCTTGTATTAAAATGCAAACATGTCTGTTGTCGGGAATGCTTGAAAGACCACATAAGTTACCAAAAGAAAAGGGATATTTCTCCTCCACTTTGTCATACTTGTCGTCAGCCCTTTGAAGCGGACGATGTTTATGAGCCTCGAGAAATTAGGTCAGCAGGTTTAATTTTGAAAGATAGAAGCCTACACTGGAACCATTGGAACCGATATCAGTCTATCAAAGTATTAGTACTTTTAGAGTATATTCAGAAAGTTTTAAACAAATCTTCCCCCGATAAAATAGTTATCTTTTCTCAGTTTACTGGTTTTCTGGATTACATAGGAGAAATATTTAAAACTCTAGGAATCAAGCATTCTCGCTTCGATGGCAGAATGTCTCAGGAACAAAGATCTATTTCATTAGAACAATTTCGGAGTGATCCAACAAATAATATTCTTAACATATCCCTCAAAGCTGGTGGACTTGGCTTGAACTTAACCTGTGCTAATCACGTTCTAATGATGGATCCTTGGTGGAGCTGGTCAGTGGAATCTCAGGCTATTGATCGTGTTTATCGTCTAGGCCAAGAAAAACAGGTTGTAGTAACTCGTTTTATCGTTCGAGACAGTGTAGAGGAACGAATGCTGAAAGTTCAAGAACGCAAGAAGTTTATTGCAGGGTCACTTGGAATGTCCAAGGAAGAACAACAGGTTCAGTCTTTGGAAGACATACAAACTCTGTTTACTTAATAGGTGAAGTCTGAAAAAGTGTACATTATTTATTAAAAATTTTGGGAATGGTTAATACGACGTTTTGATAGAAATAGAAAGTTAAATTGGTATAAAGATTTATTTTTATGAAAATTGTAAATGATGCAAGCTAAGTATACTATTAAGATTCTCAAACAATATGAAAGAACACGATGTAAGCGAGTGAAACCCCTCAAAACTTCTCATCAGCAAGCAAGCCCGTTTCAGGATCGTCTTTGTAAGGATTTTGCAAGATCTCTGGTTCGTTGTCTTCCGACACTTTGCCAGATGCATTCAAGATCCAGGCAAGAAAACAGAAGGACAGAACACCATTAACAGTTTTCGCGATCTCAGAAGATACATCAAAAGTTGGTGCAATAGGCTTGTGAACCATCATGCTCACCAATATTGAGAATAATAGAAGCGCAACAAATTTCTTAGATTTCATGTATTTGTCACCAAGTGCAACCCCCAGTTTGAGGCGCATTCGGTAAACCTGGCAGATCCTGATTCCTAAAAGTGAGAAAAGATAGCCATAATTAAATAGAATCCATGTTAGTTGCAAAGGCGTTGCTTTAGGAGAACCAAATAAGAAAAGAATAGGGAAAATCAAAGGTGCTATAACGATGAAGAGCAATTGAACCCAACCTAGTAATATGACCAAGAAAACCAGCTTTTTTGAACTACGTCGGAGATAACCCATATTGAGTGCAAGAGCCAGAGCAAACGAATTAAATAAAGAACGTTCGACTCCGTCACCGTAATAGTAAGAGCATAACGGAATTAAGAAGCCATAAGGATGGTTAAAAACATTCTTGTCTGTAAACAAGGCTCGTTTCATAGGATGATTTGCCAGAAATGCAAAGTACCAAAGAAACAAAAGAGATTGAGTAAATGTGAATTTTCTAGGGTTACAAAGGCAGCGGACGAACCAAAACAAACCTATGATGCCGGAAATCACTGACAAACCTACAAAAATACGATGTTCTGGTTCACTATCTCTGTATTCACCAGATTTGTATTGCATATATATTATAGGGTCAGGCTCTTCAGTTGCGTCAACTTCCTGGTATCCAAGAAAACAAACCATGCCCGGTTCTGTGACTTTCGTCATATAGTATCCTGAATCCGTACCGGACGTAAAATTTAACTGAACATTGTAAAAATCTTCATCAGAATTTGGGTTCAAATTTTTTAAAAACCTATAATCCTCACGACCATCAATGGCATGTTTATAAGCTTGAAATAAGTCTGGGTGTTGAACCATCCGCAAATGAACCGTTCCACTCGTATTTGGCTTTTGAACTATTTTCGCATAAGCCGGATCAGATTCATCGTAAGTAGGATTCAATATATTACAAGAAGCGAACGCTTGAACATTAGATTCAACAGGTATAAAAATCAAGCCTTCCTCTTTTCTAAAAATGGGTTTATTGGCATCATCTATTCGATATATTTGTCCAGAACTAACATCTGTATGATTGTACGGCACAGAAGCAAGAGTTGTACCTGCAAACAGCAGAGCACTTATCCCAAATGAAAGCAACATGGTTGACAATAGGAATCAAGATATAATAGCCGAAAGCTGTTCCAGTGGGAAAAAAAATTTACAAAAAGGACAAAAACAAAAACTGAGAAATGAAGTGTTAAGTAGAAAAAGAGTGCAAAAAAATGAAATTACGGAATAAATAAATTAATTATTAATGAAAGGAGAAAAAAACCATGTGAAGTCTTAGATTTTATGCGTTTGCTTTCTTTTGTCTGTAAAAGCCTGTACTTGGAAGTACCTACGCTTATATATATAGCTCCACGAGTGATGATAACATGGGGTGGGGAAACGAACCTTACGGGTATCAATGAAAAGGACAATGACATAATACCTCGATTTATTTATATAATAAAAATTAAATATAATACAAGTAAACAAATATACAAACAACTACAGTAGAACTGACGATAAACACTATACATATAGATTTTATTTTTTGTGTAGGTGTACATACTATTCTATAGGGAATCCTAAACGAAATGGTCCAGGGTCTAAACGGAATTATAGATGGGAATTAAAAAAAAACGCCCGAAAAAACGAATCGATACGTTCCTTCGGGGATAAACGATCATTAGCAATGTCGACACCTTTGCTATAGGGCAAGGGAAGAAGTAGAAATCCCTTACAAAGGGAAAAAGATTGCTTATAAGTTATTCCAAAAAAGAAAGACGGTCTTGAAAAAAAAAAAAGAAAGGAACGTGAATTTTTCCCCCTTAACAACCACTACCGCGATCACTCAAACAAACCCTGGCTAGATTGTTATAGTCATCAACTTCACCACTGTTCCTAGAGCTATCATCATTTCTGTTGAAACAGTTCCAAAAAACCATCCATGCATCTTGCTTGAGAATCTCTGTTTCAATCTCATGTGTCCCTACACCTTGAGTATCACTTGAAAAGAAACAGGTGCCGTAAACGTTTATCGAAGATTCCCTATTGCTTATATATATTTTACCTGTATGTGCATTGGCAATGGCATGACCACAATCACTGCGAACAGCTGCATGACTACCATAGCAATCGCCAACGTTACGTAGGTCACCCCAAATGTAACCACGCTTGGATTTGCCTGCAGTATTTAGCCGGTCAATAGAGGCATCTAAAGTATCACTAAAACGGCTATGGGGTGTAGAGTCAGGAACAGCCATAAGAGTCATGACATTATTTTGTTGCTTGTCAATTAAATTCCTCAAACATTGTAGGGATTCAACTTGTTTATGATCGGTTTCGTTGGCTATCATATCAATGATTCTATCATAAGTCAAGTTGGCAACACCTCCATCCGGGTTTACCAAGTTAGCAGCAGCAACAGCATCCAGATATTTGCCTTCTTCAATAGCTTTTTTCACAAAGTCCCAATCACGAGAAAAGACACCCGTAAGCTTGTACTGAATGTCATATATGGCACTGTTTACAGGGAGACCGTAAGGAGTACAATCGCCAAGGGTCATGTTCATGACCATGGGATTCTCTTTGCTCAGATTCACATTGGGATTGGAGTAAGTTAAGGTTTGAGCGTGAGCTACCGAAGAGACACAAAGCGAAGCAGAGGCCAAAGAAAGAAACCAAGCAGAGAACTTCATAATATAAAACCCTAGGTTTACGGGAACGTAACTATGCGAACCTTACTTGAGAAGATTGGTGGAGCTTACCAACCTTTACTTATAAGGTTTTGAGTCTTTGACCAGATGACATATGATAATTTTTTTCACTGTCAAACACGATGCAACCGATAATCGATTAGCCAATTATCGGTCAAAAGATGATTCCCCGCTTTACGGAATTTGTCTTCCTATTCCAAAGAAGAAAAAAAAAAAAAGAGGGGAAACATTCTACCCCTTCCAGCAAACGAATCGGTTACCTACGATATATTATTTTTTCCTTCTCTCTCCATCTGCGGCACGTAGTTGGTTTAACGGATCGGATGATTGCAGCAGCGGGGTTTATTTTCGGGTTTTCTATACTTTGGTTATGTCGTTAGTAATAATCATGACAACAATTCTTCCTATTACTATCGTTGACAAATCGCTTCGGTTTTAGAAAAGGCCAGGCCATTTGGATAATTAAAAGGCCAAAGAAGTTGTTGTTTCTAGAAGATTGGGAGTAATCTAATCTGCCGATTGTAATTTCGTAAAGATCTCTTAGAGTACCTATAAAATTTTACAAAAAAAATTAAAAAATAAAAAAAATTTTGCAAAAAAAAAATAAACCTTTCACCTCTTGTTTTAACAGTGCGCTTTTGTTTATAATATTTATGTCTTCTTCCTTTTGAAACCTTTGTCTTTTATCTTAAAACTAAAATTTGAAAATTTGATAAACCAATGTATCTTATTACAAATGTCGCGTCGAAAACCATTCTCATTAGTTGGAAGTATCCGCGAATTGATTAGCATAGTCATGATGTAGGACTCGAATGTTCTGAAACTACAGGAATGTTTTCGTGTCCATCCTCGCTCCTCCTAAAATCTGTTGGTAAGAAGCTTAAACATATAGATCTGATCCAAAAGAAACTGGGTCCTGTTTCTCTTGTATATTTAGGTCTGTCTCTCTTTTCAAAGAAACCTCCCGTCTTTTGCCAGTTTCGGCAGCTAAAAGTTTAATTTAATTGCTGGTCGCTTTGTTGTCTTTGAAAATAGCGAAATAAATTGACACGCGATTATCGCCTCGCTCTGGTTTTTGTGGTTAACCATTCGGCCTTTTTTCTATATGCTACGAATCTTGGTCTGAAAGAAGACGCGTGCTTGTTTCCCTTGTCCTTTACCCCTTCTCCCATCAAATGAAGTTAAATATCACACGCTCAGCGAAGATGAAAAGAGTAATGAAAAACATTTTTTTGTTTCTCTTTTTTTTTTATCAGGATATTCATTGATCCTTCACTTTTAGTCCATTCTGCAGTTGTTTTTATCATGCCGTCAACGAATTGTATCGTCCGGGGTTTCGCACTTTAGACACTTTAATCTGACCTTGGTAGGTAACTTTGCTATCAAGACTCGTTGGTTGCTAATTGCATTTCTCGTCTTCGCAAGCGAAAGTGCGGCACCCAATTAAGTTCCTTCTACCTTTTCAATAGCGAAGCTATCGCTTTCATAAAGCTAGTAATAGGCCTCGGTAGAAGGCTACCATGAAAGTCGAAAGTCATGAATTTGTCTTATTGCTAGCCAACATTACTCATTGTTACAATACACATTTATAGCGGCTCCTTTCGTAAAGCCATCCAAAATTGGACTTGGTAAAAAGGTCCTCTTGAGTTCGTCAAGTTCGTCAACAATTGAATAGAGATAATGAAAAGAAGCGCTCAATGACATGATCCAAAATCATGTTCATAGTACTAGATCTGCCTGGTTTTCCCAACAAGAGGTTCAACGCATTTCTTCAAGCTCTGTTGTTGTTGTGGAATAGAGGAACCGTTAAGGTAGCTTTATTTATTTGGAAAATAAAAATCTCGCAAAATATTGCATACTTATTACTACCTTGTCAGGTCTCTAAACGAATGCGAAGTAGAAATAAAATTTGTTATCCATCTTGTCCATTCTTTTCACCTTCTTTCTTTTTCATTTGCACAAATAGCAAAGTTCATTCGAATATTTGTTTCGTTTTTTTTTCAATGAAAGGATTTCATTCTTACAAAAGACTTTGTTCTTTTTTTTTAAAAATCTAAAAACCAACTATTGATAAAGAAATACAAAATTCTGAATGTTTTTTTTTTATTTATTTATTTTTAATCGTTTTAAAGAGAAAATTTACTACAATATCACCAATATAAATGGCTCGAATCCCTACTGTCCATATTTCGCGCACGTGGTTTGACACCTTCAAAACAGTATTTAGGGTCAAGGATTTCCGAGAATTTCCAAAATACACATTCTTTTTTTTTTTCTTTAATTAAAGAAAAAGCATGTACAACTAAATAATAACTTACTTTGGATATCTGAATTTAGTAATTGAATGTTTTTCTTGTGAATAACATTTTTCCTTTCCTATAGACTTGTTTTTCACTCGTGTTCTTTTTCGTTTGTTTTTCCTTCTTTTTTTTGGCTTTGTGCGAATAATACCCAGATATTTAATTTTTTAGTCGTTCATTTCCTCGTTTTTTGTTTTCGTTTCTATTTCAATCTCACTTTCTTCAGTCGATTCCTTGTTTTTGATTAATATGACACAACTTCGACTTGGCCAAATTACTCATTTTCTGCGTCGCTCAAAGTTCATCCTTTTAGCTACAGCTCTGCTCATCGGATTATGTACGTTTACATTCCATTTTAATCTTTTATCCCCAAGCGTTTTGCATGCCTTTGAGGGACAAATGTCAACTGAACAAGCATTTGTGGATCTTCAGGGTGACCCTAACAAGTATACGTTTATGGCATTACTTACCCCGCCTTCCTCTGAAAATGACCCTTATTTCAATGCGACTAGGGTCCTAGTTCATCGCTTGAAGCATCATCCTGTTACAAAAAGTAAATATCCCATTCACATTATGGTTGTCCGCGGGGTTGACGAATGGAAAATTCGTCGTCTGGAGGCTGATGGTGCTTCTATCATCATGGTTGATCCAATTTCTCCATCAAACATGGTTGTCGACGTTGAATCCATGGACCATGACGTTTCCAAGCGGTATGAACACATGTTTACAAAGCTTCGTATTTTTGAGCAAACCCAGTTTGACAAACTCTGTGTTGTTGATAGTGACATTCTGATTCTGAAAAATATCGACGATATATTTGATACCCCTTATCAAGGAAAACCACGCACTCCTGTTAAAACTGAGCAACGTCGCTACAAGGATCCAAAAGATGACTCAGAACACTACTTTGAAGAAAATTTTGAAGAATACGGTGCGAGCATCGATGATTTTTATCCTTACCTTTTAGCAGCCGTTTCTGACAGAGGAGAGCACCATATGATCCCACCTGAACCTATTGGATCCTTCAACGCTGGAATGATGCTCATTCGCCCCAGCATTGAGCAATTTAAGCGTCTATTAAAAATTGGCGCTTATCCATATAAATATGAAAATGCTCATATGATGGAGCAAAGTTTGCTCAATCTTGCTTACGAGGAGCATGGATGGTTTCCGTGGACTCGCGTTGATCCTTATTACAATGGTGTTTGGTGCTCTCCTGATGAATACCATCATTTGAAAACTGCACATGGAAAATTTTGGAATATTGGTAGCTCTGAATTTGCTCCTGTGTATCTTGCAGAATGGTTCCGTGCATATGGAGAAATGCTCGCCTTTCATCAATATCAAACAAATTAGACTTATTATTAATCTCCCCTTATAATATTTTCTCCTTTGCGGTTTATCAAATATCTAGATCATTAGTTAATTTTGTTATATGTTCTATAATAGAATGTTTTAAAAATCCTTTCATTTGCTAATTGCTGATTGCTGATTGCTTTATAAAAAAAAAGGCGCGACCCCAACGTTGGAAACCTTTTCTTGCTATTCAAAAGAAGTCTTAATAAATGGTATGCTGTACCGATATGAAAGCTTTGAATCGCTTTTAACGTTTTCATTTGCATACACAGTTAAATTATTAATTTTTTTTGGCGAATGTTTTTCTATACATTTGTAAACATTACCCCCCTTCGCATAATCCAACCTTTTTTAGCTGGACTATAAGCGATATAAAAATGGCTGATCCACGAAGGAACATAATTAAACATCGCTAGGGACAATTATTAGTAAATAAGCAAAGCGCAATTCTAAATGCCTCTAGTATTACAGATGGAACTTATGTTTTCCGATCTTTCTTTGAATTATAGTAGAGTAAATACAAGATGCATGTTGACGTTCCTAATCAGTTAACTTGCGAAATAATCAAGTTGAAAGATATACATTCTTATCCTTTATAAACATCTAATGTAGAGCATCATTGGATTTGGAGAATTCCCAAAATTAAAACTAAAAATCAAATAGAATCATATTGTTTGGCAATTCCCTTGATTCCAAATTGTTGAGGATGTTTCATTCCTTTACAATGCTTCAGTAACAAAAATAGAGAACATCCTTCTATTCTGGATACAATCTGGTATGATGCTCCTTAGCGATGATACAGGTGGTCCTTGCGTTTCAAATACTGGCTTTTATTCCAAGGGAAACGAGCCAAGGTGTTGGCGATTGTCAGCCATCCTAAATATTACTTCTGCGAGTATGAATGACTCTACCTATCCATTACTTGCGAATTCGTTTTCAATTTATCGGGCCCATTGTATATCAATTCCAAATATGATGGTACAATTCCTCCATGAGAGTTCTTCACCAAAAAACATCGGATGCTGCAAGTCTTTTTCATCTCCATCGATGTCATGCCAATCAAACTTGTCAATTCACTTACAACTAACCATAAAGCATCAAGTTTTTGAAACAAATCAGAGCATACGAAATAACTTTTTAAGATGGATGCAAGGTTCCAAAGTTTTCCGATAGCGAAACAAAAAGCGACCCCAAAGTTTCCTAAAGATTGGCACATTGGATTTGTATGAACCTCAGTTAATTTCTTGGTGAGGAATGTTTAACTAATTATTCTTTTCTTGGCGCATCTTTCCTCGTATGGTAAGGGTTTTCGTTTGGTTCTGTCTTTAATTTATTTGTGTTTTTTTCTTTCTGCGCCTTTTGTTCAAATTGTAGATTGGTCTAAGATTACATTGAATTCCATTTTCCGGTTAAATCTCTCTTGTTGTGATTTTTGGATTTATTTAGTCACTCAAGTTCGTCTTCCGTCAAAGTTCAACAAATAGGAATGTATTATATATGTCCTTTCAAGTACAGGAATCATATTTGCAGATGAAAGAGACGTGTCTTGTTAAAGGTCTTTACATCCGTTTATAGAGCAGCTTTGATCATCATCATGGGTGTCATTTTTTGTTTGAAAATCTGGACCGTAAACCTGTAATGACACCTTTTCATTTTGTTTAATGTAGAGAAATAGCCATGCAATGTAAGTGAATCCCAAACCTAGGGTACTTCAACTGTAGCTGAAGTGAATTCGTTTGTCAGAGGAGCAAGTTGCAAGAACGCGTATAATGAGGCCTATCCTAAATTTTTTAGGAATTTCTTCGTTTTATATACATTGCTTTCATGTGTCCTGAATACCTGAAGCAACTGTCAAATTTTCACTTTTCATAAACTTCCACTATGATCCCCAAAAAAATATGACTTTCTTTAAAGTCTTAGTCTTTTAGAAAAATTAAGAGTACCTGCAGCTAATTTTATGAATGCCGCTTTTTTCGGTTTTGTGCCGTCTTCACTACCATACCCAAGAGAATCGTCTTTCCATCGTAGTTTGAGTTTTCTCTGAGAAACAATTCTTTCGGTAATCGTTCAGTTTATACTTTTGCGTAAAAGTCTTTGAATACAAAAAAGGAATTTTAATCCATTGATTTTGAAGGTTAAAACGTACGGATCGCCTTTCTAGTGATAATGTTGACGAAACCAATTACCACTTCTGTACTTCGTCAGTGGAAGCTTGCTAAAGAAAAATTCTCGTGTATTACTGCCTATGATGCCAGCTTTTCGAGGCTATTTGAAGAACAGGGAATGCCGGTTATGCTTGTTGGAGATTCGCTAGGAATGGCAGCCCAAGGCCACACCTCGACTTTACCGGTGAGCGTTTCCGATGTTGCTTACCATACTAGAAGCGTTCGACGCGGTGCACCCAATTGCCTGTTGATGGCTGACATGCCATTCATGAGTTATAGCAATGCGGACGACGCATGCAAAAACGCAGCATCTCTTATGCGTTCTGGAGCAAATGTTGTCAAACTAGAAGGAAGTGGAAGTTGGATTTATGACACCATTCGAAAACTGGCTGAAAGATCCGTTCCTGTTTGTGGACACATTGGAATGACGCCTCAAGCTGTGAATATTTATGGAGGTTTCAAGATTCAGGGAAGAAATGAAACTGCTGCTAATCAGATTTTGGAATCAGCAAAGCAAATAGAAAAAGCTGGAGCTCAAATATTAGTGTTGGAATGCATTCCTGAAACGTTAGGACAGCAAATCACAGAATCTGTTTCGATTCCTACGATTGGAATTGGAGCTGGTAAACACACAGATAGTCAAATCCTTGTTATGCATGATGCACTGGGCATTTCCAGTGGAAAAGCTCCACGGTTTGTGAAAAACTTTCTGAGCGGAACCGGGGACATACGAGCTGCCGTCCGACTATACATACAAGAAGTGAAAGAAGGGCTTTATCCAGCAAAAGAGCATACCTATTAATACTTAAATAAAAATTCAAAAATGATTATTGAAGGAAAAAAAGATTTGGTTCGGAAACAAGTTCAATTTTGGCGACAACAAGGAGAACGGATTGCATTTGTCCCGACGATGGGAAACTTGCATGAGGGACATTTAACGTTGGTGAAAAGGGCAAAAGAACTGGGAACAAAAGTCGCCGTAAGCATTTTTGTCAATCCTATGCAATTCAACAACCAACAAGACTTGGATGCTTATCCTCATACTTTAGAGGATGATTACGAAAAGCTAAAGGAATTTTCTGTTGATTTAGTTTTTACGCCAACGGCACAAGAATTATATCCAACTGGTTCCGCAGGTATTACATTCGTGGAAACTCCAAAGTTATCGGAAATGCTGGAAGGTGCTAGTCGACCAGGTCATTTTCGTGGTGTTACAACAATTGTAAGCAAGTTATTCCATATAATACAACCGGATGTGGCATGCTTTGGCGAGAAAGATTTCCAGCAATTGGCGATTATACGAAAAATGGTGACGGATTTGGATTTTGGTATCGAGATTGTTGGCGTTCCGACTGTTCGTTGTGACAATGGTTTAGCGTTGAGCTCTAGAAATGGTTATTTAACGGAGGAACAACGAAGGGTCGCTCCTGATTTATATAAGATATTATCTGCAATGGTGAGGAAAGTGACTCAAGGTCAGCGAGACTTTGCTACCTTGCTTCAAGAGTCCAATACCGAAATGCGCAAGCTTGGATTTCTTCCAGATCAAATTGAAATTCGAGACGCTGATACCCTAGAATCTTGCAATCATGAAACAAAGCGCATGGTCTTACTTGCGGCAGCTTGGTTAGGCAAGGCAAGATTAATTGACAACATCCAGATTAACTGCCCTTATGATAACGAAATAAAATGAGAACGAACGTGAAATTTGATTACAATTGATGTGTATGAAAACAAAAAGGCAAAAGGGAAAAATGTTGAATTTTCTTTGACTTTTTCAAATTCAAGCAAAGGAAATTTTACTGAACGTATTCTTAGATAAAGTTTTGAACGATAAAAAAAAAAATGGCATCATTGTTGGAAATCTTTTACGTCCATTAATAAATCTTATTACTCAGTAAGGTCTGTGTAAGAAAAATTGAACTAATTTCTTGTAAATACAATCCGACTACCATTTTGTATGGGAAACTTCCATCTATTTGTTTTTCTTCGGATCATTTCAAAATATTTTGATATAGTAATATATTATACTACAAAGGTTTTACGGTGCAATCGACTTGTTCAAGGACCGATATAATCTTGAGGGAAAAGAGAATTCGTTTTTCATATCAAGATTATCTACTCTCGGACATTTGATGATCGTCGTGTCTTGTGTAATAGCAAAGTAATTGTCCCGCACTGTAAGCAAAGAATGTGCGTCGATCTTAGAAAAAAAAAAAAAGCTCGACCTTATTCTGGTTGAGAGCTAAATTGGGAATTTTTCGTATAAATTAAAAAGTAATTTTTCATTAATTTTCTTACGAATGGTCCTCCTTCCAAGAATTTTGTTTTAAGACTACAGCTTCCTTCTTCAACGGAAAATGATCTGCAAGGCTCGCAAATCATTTTATATAATCTTGCACTACGTATGTGCTGATGTGTTTCCTGCCGTATGATTGGATCAAGTTTAGCGAACCGAGGAAAAATTTTATCCACGCATTTCACTCTCCGCCTCTGAGTAGGCAAATCATAGGAAAAAAAAGATTTAAATTTACTCTCCACGATAGCATCGATATCTTTAGCCATATACCTTTCATATTTGAGAATCCTTATATATCTGATTGGTGCTTTTTAAACTTTGGTTTCCATTTAAAAGCAAATCTGATCAATCAAAAGAAATCGCAAAAGTAAGCAAAAAAAGTATTTTTATGTTGTTGCATTTTTGTTAGCTCCTTTGATTGTTATTTATTAGCTAGAATCATTGCTCAAAAAGACCCAGGTCTATAGATTAAATCATTTATTATTGAAAAAAAAAAGACATTTGAAACATTGTCCTTCGTTCCCATTATGCTCATTAATCGTTGGATTTCTCGTGCCCAACCTTTGTTGAGCCAGAACGTTCGCTCTGTTCACTTTAGTTCCACGGCAGCGTCTTCTGTTTGTTGTAGACGCTCCTCGCCTTGGAAATCATGTCGCTCTGAATTTAGCAGAAGATTTTTCGCAGCTTCGAATTACAATTTATTTTCCACTAGTACTCCTACCAGATCTTCTTCTGTCAGCGCGTTTTACATTCCTTCATTTAACTTGTTTGGCAAAGGTAGTCTTAACGAAGCCGCTAATCAAATAAAGATGAGTGGTTACAAAAAAATATTAATTGTTACTGATCCTGGCATCATTAAAATCGGTCTTTGCGATAAAGTTAAGGGGCTTTTGGAAGAAAGGGGTTCTACTGTTTATATTTACAATGGTGTACAGCCCAACCCCACTGTCACCAATGTTAAGGATGGATTAAAACTCATTAAGGAATTCGGCTGTGACTCCATAGTGTCCATCGGTGGTGGTTCGGCTCATGATTGCGCCAAGGGTATTGCTTTGCTTGCTACCAACGGTGGTAAAATTGCTGACTATGAAGGCGTTGATAAGTCGCTAAAGCCTCAACTTCCTTTGGTTTCCATCAACACTACCGCTGGAACTGCCAGCGAAATGACCCGGTTCGCTATTATCACTGAAGAAACTCGTCATATAAAAATGTCGATTATTGACAAGCACACTATGCCTTGCCTTTCTGTCAACGATCCCGAAACTATGTATGGACTTCCTCCCTCTTTGACCGCTGCAACTGGCATGGATGCCTTGACACACGCTGTCGAGGCCTATGTTTCCACCGCTGCCAACCCAATTACCGATGCCTGCGCCCTTAAGTGTATGGAACTCGTTGGTCAATATCTGAATCGCGCTGTTAAGAATGGCAAAGACGAAGAAGCTCGAGAAAAGATGGCCTATGCACAATTCCTTGGTGGTATGGCTTTCAACAATGCTTCTCTTGGTTATGTTCATGCTATGGCTCACCAACTTGGTGGGTTTTACAATATTCCCCATGGTATTTGCAATGCCATTCTTCTTCCTCACGTCCAATTGTTCAACTCAAAGGATGCTGGAGCCGCTGCTCGTTTGGGCGACGTTGCTGCTCAACTTGGCTGCGAAGAACACACTGCCCAGGCTGCTATTGAGAAGATTCAAAAGTTGAACGAGCAAGTGGGCGTCAACCCTTATCTCAAAGACTTGGGCGTTTTTGAAAAGGACTTTGACAACCTCTCTCAGAATGCTATGAAGGACGCTTGTGGTGCTACCAACCCTATTCAACCTACCCTGGACGAAGTCAAGTCTATTTTTGCTGCTGCCTATTAAACCGCCTATTACTCCATTCTTCATACCCTTCATTTTTCATTCCTTTGTTCATCCATATTCATAGCCAGATGGCTACATCGCTTCTTCTGTCAATCTTTCTTTTTTCTTTGTAGATATGTTGACTAGTAGTTCCTTTATGTTTTTTTAGCTCCTTCTCGAGCTATATTGTATATACTGTATTTCTACATTCCCCACGATAGCAATGGAATTTTCATTTTTTAATTTTTTTTTTTTTTATCTCTGTCATTTAAATTCTCTCATAGTAAGTACTACATGCAAACTTATCACTTAGTTTCTCTATACGACTATTTTTCCTCTTGCGAAATCCGCAAGCTTCTTAACAGCGAAGATAAATTTCCAAAATTGGCTTTTATTAAAGGCTAATTTAGAGAATGAAATTACTTATGATGGTAAATTGAGCAGACGGCTGCTGAATAAGCAAAGTAACGAAGTAGTCATTTTCCGCACACTTAAATAGGTCGGCCATTTTGTCTATACACTTAACGGTTACGCTCTTATTTTTAATTTTTAGACGAAGAAATGGGTTTGAAAATTTTGCTTGTTAATGGATCTCACCCTTTTGGCCATAGCCAGGGCAAATTAAACGAGACACTTCAAAGTGTTGCCAAAGAGGCCTTGACAGGTTTAGGCCATTCCATTCAAGAGACTACCGTCACAAAAGGCTATAATGTTGAAGAGGAGGTTGAAAAGTTTGTTTCGTCTGATGTTGTCATCTATCAATTCCCTGGATGGTGGATGGGTGTTCCTTGGCCATTAAAGAAATACATCGACGAAGTCTTTACTATTGGATATGGAAAGCTCTATGCAAGCGACGGCCGTTCTCGTGTAAATCCAACCAAGAACTATGGTAAAGGTGGTCTTCTCCATGGCAAACACTACATGTTTTCCACAACTTGGAATGCTCCTTTTGAGGCATTCAACGAATTCGGGAACTTCTTTGATGGCCGCGGTGCCGATAATGTTTTGTACCCTGTTCATAAGGCTCACGAATTTTTAGCAATGACCGGGTTACCTTCCTTCATGGTGAACGATGTCATCAAAAACCCTCAGGTAGAGTCTTATCTTTCCTCTTATAAGCTCCATCTACAAAAGGTTTTTGCTTCGAATTAGAGGGACTTTGTCTCACTTTTGTATTATACCCGATAATTTTTGGAGTGATAGGGTGTCGTTCTTTTGTATGCTTTTTCCTTTCACAATAATTACGTTCGCTACTTGCTATGTGTCGGCATTGGATCATGGATATCGATACCATTTTAAACAAAGGCCAAAATGAATCATGGAACAATGTAGCTTCATAGGCGATAAGAAAAAATAAAAGGATAAAAAAATGTTTTGACTACACCTGTGTGTGTTTATTGTTTTTTCCTTTCGTTGCATATAGGTACTCTTGGCTAAATGGGTAATCAATGTAGCCTAAAGGATTTTTGGGTGCGTAAAATAAAGAGCGGTTGTAAGGGTTTAGAGGCAAATTATACTGAATACGATATACCAAATCTGGATTGGCAATGAATTGTCTGCCAAAGGCTACCAGTGTACCTCGCTCGTCTGCAGCTTCCTTTGCTGATCCAGGATCATAGCCACCAGCAGTAATAAAAGGTCCTTTCCAATAATTCTGTAAGTAAGACGTATTCAACTCGGACTTCAACATCATATGACCATTCCAATATTGTCGGGGCTCAATTGCATGGACATAAGCCAATTTCGGAAAACGCCTGGAAATCTCTTTCATTAGGTATATATGGGTCTCTACACTGTCGATTTGTTCCATCCAAGCTGAATACGGTGAGATTCTATATCCAACCTTGTCTTGTCCAATTTCTTGAACAACAGCTTCCATGACTTCTAGAGCAAATCGACACCGATTTTCAACTGATCCACGATAATTTGGATCACATTGATTGCCAAAACCGCCGAGGACGAATCGATCTAGCAAAAATCCATTCACTTGATGAAGCTCCACTCCGTCTGCCTTCGCCACATGGATGGCTAAAGAAGCTGCATTGACAAAATCCCGTATATGCTCTTGTATATCTTGTTTGCTCATATATTTTTTCTTGTATATGTTAATCCCCTGAACGGTATCGAAGGACTCGACACCAGCAGGCAAGCCAACTGGATCCATAGGGCAGTCGTTATATGCAATTTCTTTTAATCTCTGGATATCATTTCTATACTCATCCTTAATTTCACCCGGAAGAGGCCAGAATTGCATAAACATATATGATTTATTTCGATGGATAGCGTTCGTCACAGGAATCCAAGCCTTAGCGTGTTCTTTCGTGAAACATCTAGGATTATTTGGGTATCCACCAGACTTTTCTCCTGCAAATGTTGCATCTGAAATTAATAGCGATCCTGGGATACATGACCTTTGAGTATAATATTTGGTCATCAACTCGGTAACGAATCCATCATCAGTAGCTCGTAGTCTAGTCATAGGAGCGTGTACGATACGATGGTTTAAAAACATATTTCCCACTTGAATTGGCTTGAACAGTTTGCTCCTCGACATATCTTCAATGTAACAATCTGAAAACTACAAGTCTCAAAATAGTTGCGAATAAATATATAAGTATTTAAGATAGATAAAAATGAAATCCATTTGAAAGTATACTACCTTATTTTTTTTTTAAAAAAAGTAAGACTTCAATTGTTTATATCTAGAATAACATTGATGGCGAAACTTGACTATAGTTTGTGGCGGTTACTTCTTGTTCAATTGATATTTGCTAGAGGCATCCCGGTTCATTATTAATTTCAATTACTAAGTTAGTTTCATCTGTTAGCGAAAGTTGTTACGCTCCATTGTCTCTTTTTGATACAAGGGTCAAGAATTGAATTTGAAAAGCCAAGACGTAATAATAAAAGGATATATTTTTATTTTGAGTTCTCCATAGTCAAATTCTCATTCATAGGTTACTCCTCAGGTACAAATGATTTTGATTTCTCTGTTTTTGTTTTCATTGAAATTACGTAAACCGTAAACAAAAATGACAACGAGCAACATATCTCAATGTTTTTTTGTCTTAGGGTAAAACTATAAGCATTTATGTTTATGTCTATGTCTATGTTTCCAGAGACGCTATAAAACGATGGAAGATATGATATTTCAAACTACTCCTTTGTACCCCTTTTTGAGTGTTGCAAGGTGAATAGATAAATGTAAAAGATCATCGAATTTGGAAATTAAAACAAGGAATCTAATGAAAACATAACATCAAAAAAAAAGAAAATCATATTTCATAATTGTCTATTTGAAGTCATCTGCTTAAGTCCTTTTGGTAAGCTATAAGTTTCATTTCTCGATATATTTTTTCAGTGCTCTATTGAAAAAATTCCTTCAGGTTGAGAACGTTGCTTTCATTCTTTTTTTATAAATATGCCTAAAGCATTAAAGAGGAAGCGTTTTCTAAATTGGCTTGAATATCGATTTTGTACATCACCTCTCAGATTTGCTATTCATTGACTTAGTATTCAAAATATTGGAATTTAGTTGTCACCCTAATCCAAATGTATAAACAGCGAACAATACTTCAGTAACTCATAACATATTCTTTTCCTGATTCTTTGTACACAAACCATACCAATACCTTGTTCGTATATTATAATTTTGTCACTTCGCTTTTTAAACGATGAAAAAAGAGAAGAAAGGCATTTTGTGTGAATCCTTTCTGTCAATCCCCTACTCATACTTTATTATTTAGCTTTAGTACGAATGCTGACCGCAAGTCTGTATGAAGGGTTTCTTTCGCTGTTATTGCATTGTCATTCGCATCTTACCCTAAAGTAAACCAACAAAGATGTTATATAATGAAACATGCAATGAAGATTGGCTTCAATGCGGTCACTTTCAACATATTTCATAAGCAGGATATATTTTAAACTTGCTGAAATTCAGTATGCAGGAATATACTTCATGACAGTTCTGTGCGGATAAGTTATTTCTGGCGCGTGAGCATACTTTGGGATTTAACAAATTTTCTTTCATTTTTTATTTTACTTTGATGACTCTTGACTGTTTCTGCAAGCGTCTGATTAGCCAAACGCCTTTTTCCTCTGAAAGACAACACACAAGTAGTTTTGATAAATATTCAAATTAGAGTATCCTATATTCTTTGCACGGATTGGTAGGCGTGAGTAGAAACAAAGCGCAAACTAGACTTATCCAGTATATTCATTAGTATCAAATCAATTTCCACATTCATTATCGAGAAATCGAGAAAAAAATTCATATTTACAAAATTCGTAAGATGAATATTTCATAAATGTTCTGTCTCTTATGGTCCATAATCGCTTCTGTAAATGATGTAAAGAACGACCGGGCGAAACATGATAAGTTACTGGGCTTCTGTAATTTACTCAACGTCGCAAAGTTTAAATTCATTTCCATCAGGCTTCAAAAAGTATTCACGAATTTCGCAATTGTTAAAAGTCAATTCAGGAGGTAAAAAGTTGATGTCAACATCTCGAGTGATTTTCTTCAACAAGAAGCGAATAAAGGCGCTATGACTAATCACAGCAATATTCTCGTGAGGAAGAGCAGATAAGTATTCCAAAGCATACTTGGATCTTATACCGCTAATGTCAACGTCGACATCATAGATATCTTTTTTCTCTGGATAAATACCGTCTACACAGTACTTGAGATCATAACGAGGATACAAGGAGGAGAGTTCTTTGACTTCCAAGCCAACATCACACGGCAAGTTGCCTACTTCTTGAAACAAAGGGTTGACATAAACAGGAATTTTCTCAACACCCTCTTTTGCCAGATAATCCTTCAAGCCAAGCTCCATAGTTTGTAATGTACGACGCATTGGAGAGCAAACAATGGCATCAAACTTTATTTTTTTGTCAGCCAGTTGCTTTGATAATTCTTTGGATTGTTCAATTCCCAAGTCAGTTAAAACAGGATCACGGATCGAATGGTCTTCATTAGGGCCTACATTGTGAAGCGCTTGTCCATGTCGGATTAAATACACAGTCTTCTTCGACACTGTTGGTGAGTTCGTGGTAGTCATGTTCAATGAGGTATTTTGAAGAATGGAAAAGTTCAAGAAAGCTGGATATGTGAAATTATTACCAACCACTTACGGCACTTTTTCATTTGTGAAATAAAGTTTCGCTAAAATAATTACAAAGTAAGCGAATCTACAAATGTAATGATGACCCAATTTGAAACACTGAAGACGTAAAAAAAGAAAAGTAAAAAAAAAGTAAAGACTCGAGAAAAGAATAGAATAAAAAGAAAGAAAGCTGTAAAATAGAAAGGAATGGAACTAAAAAATTGCAGCTGGATTCGGCATGTCGTGAATGCATTTGTTTTTGCTCAAAGGACATATATCTTAAGGAATTTGATCATAACTTTTTATTTTTTTTTTATATGAAAGCACATGACCTACCTACTTGTTTCTATTCTATTGTCTAATGAAAAGGGAACGAAGGAGAGGAAAAATTCTATTTCAGGAGACAGATGGAAAAGGTGCAATCATGCGATATCAATAATAAAAGCAATATCTCACAAAAAATGAAAACATTCACGAGCTAGACAGTCTTAGAAACAAATATCAATGCCGGTGCTGTTCATCAGTAGTAAACATATAACCGGGTTTATGAGAGTAAACAGGTGCTGGTAATTTCGACATCATAACAACGTTTTGAACCGTAACTCTACATCCTCAAAAGACAGGAATTTCATCGATTTGAAATTTTATCGGGAAACGATATTCAGGTTGCATTACGTTGTCGATACCGATTTGCTTATTTGCTTTGCGCCCTCCCAGCCCCAGGCAATTGGCTCTACATGGCAAGAGGTATAGGTGGTAAGTAATACATTACTATCTCATAGAACTAGTGGATTGCAAGGGCAAACGCCATCGCAAAACTAAAGGCAGTTTAGACGATATTTAGGGAGTTTACTACTGCTAACTCGCTCAGTCCATTTTTAGACAATCCCGTTATCCTTGGATTATAACGCACATATCCTCCTAGATTAGGTACTAGAGGAAAATTAATTGTGAGTGTTCTCACTAAATAGAACACAGTGGTTGGGTTATTTACGATGCTCGAGCTGCTGAGATATCGTCCTCAACTTAAAGAGAATAACAGCTAATTAAGTGTATACAAAAAAGTTGAACCGAAACAAACAAAGAATTAAGAGGTTTTGAGTCCATGTTGGTAGATTTTAAGGTACAAATATCACTTGTAGCTTTCGTAGTTTTTTCATTAATGTGAGCATCAAACTTCGTTATTTCACGCTCGTAAACAATCATAGGATAGGAGCACAAAGAAGACTACAGTGAAAAAGTGAGATATGTTTTGAATGAAGTTTTCATGCGTATAAAGTAGGTAAATCGTCATATAGCTGTTCTATCAAAATTCAATTTCAAGCAATCATCTGTCTGCCATGTTTTGAACAAGACGTCAAACGAAATTCCATGGTTTTAGGGGGAATCTTTCCATAATTCAAATATTTGCAGATAAATTGTGATCTTACGGATTTGGACGGCTAATATTTTATTTCATAATGTCTTTTTTACGGTAGGGATGCATGGAGACAAATATACCTGAAATGACTCCGGACGGGCAAAGACGGAGATTTGTCTTAGACATAGGAAGAGGATTTCCACTGGGGAGATGACGAGGAATCAAATTGGCAACAACAAGAGCCGCTTCAAAGAAAAAAAGAACAGCCGATCAAAAACCCAACATAAGAGTTGCTCCACTGTTTTGAAATGCAGGTTAACTCCTTGAAGAATTTGCCGTTGATGTACTCGCAGTAAAATGATATGTCCGTTGCAAAATTGAAATTCGCAGCTTAAGTTGAAGGGGAAAGCTTCCTGGGATCACCAGCAACTGTCTCTCCAAGCAAAGAACACAGGAGTGCGTTACAAAGACACAAATTGCCAAAATCATCAGCATATTTTGCTCGTAGAACTAAAAATTTTGCTTGGATATAGCCTTCTGCCCAGCCCGTTGTAGAACCAGTAAATTGCCGATTGCGAATAAGTTGTCGAATGTTGTTTGGGAGAAAGTTGAAATCGTTTCATGTAATTTGGGACATTGCTGATGTCGAAAACCTCCTTTTCCTCCTGCACAATGCTCGAACGGCGCTGAAACAGAAGCAATGTCAAGAACGTTCACAAACAAGCGAGTTTAAACAGAAATTTCAACTATATTTAATAGCTTGAAAGCAAACCAATCTTAATTCTTCTTAATTCTTACCAGCCGTCAGTAAGACCGGTACAGAAATCCAAAACGAAGGTGTTTTTTATCCAAGGGATTTTCGACCGTTAACAACGAACTTTCAAAGATCCACTCTTCTACCTTGGATCAATCACTTTTTTACGCTTCCTTATGGAACCTTCTTGCTTTGACTTTTCAAGCAGCAAAGTATAGCACAGCACAGCATCATTCAGTTTAGCTTTACTCAATTCCACAAAAACAAACAACTGTTCCTTGGATACGGAAACACACTTTTCGTTGATGACATACTTTTTCTTGTTTACATTTTCATCACTTAATTTCAATGATTCTCTTTAGGAACGTAATTTGCCTGATGAAGATAAAACTCATACTATTTATCGGTGTTACCTCAGAAGTAACTGATAGTATCGAGTCCATTGTCGGGAGTTGAGAGCTCCCTATCGATGAAACAAAAGGGAAGAAAGAAAAGCGTCAAGTAGCAAGTATCTAATGTGAGCCATCATATTTCATAAGGAGCTTACAATCCTTCATAAGGAAGAGATAAAGCTCCTTGGAGCCTCTATTGACATTGTCAACTCTTAAGGATACTACCACTCCAAACCTGAAGAAACGAAGATTTCATGACATTATAAGTAAAAAAAGGATTTTCATAGGAGTTTTTTTGTATCTTGTTTAGGCTTTTTGTGGCCTTTTTTTTCTGGCCTATATTAGAATCGTTTATTTTGTTTATTGTAAAGAGAAAAGAAATAGCATAAATTATGACTCTTGAAAGAATGGACGAGTTAGAGTCTATGGAAACTTCCTATTCTAAGAGCATAGCGAGCTCAACTCATGATGGCATTAGTAACACGGAGAAAAAGCATAGTTTACAACAGAACATTGATAGTCTCGAGTCAGAAGGCGTAGTCGAGACGGGAGAAGTAGTCAATGTCATTAACAAAAGCGTTGAAAAAGGTGCACTCAAAAAAATGGACCTCGTCATTTCGCCCATCATCGCCTTTTTGTATTTGATGGCCTTTTTGGATCGCTCAAACATTGGCAATGCTTCTGTCGCTGGCATGACAGAGGATTTGAATCTCTATAATGAACGACTCAATGTTGCCATTAGTATCTTTTATGTCCTGTACATACTCGTCGAAACGCCCAGCGTCATTCTTGTAAAACACTTCCGACCCTCCCGCATGCTGGCCTTCATTTCATTTGCATGGAGTATAGTTGTCCTATTTTCTGGTTTTATTTCTAGCTATGGCGGTCTCATCGTTACCCGCCTTATTCTTGGTCTGCTGGAGGGCTGCTTGTTTCCTGCCCTCAATCTTTATTTGACTACTGTTTACACGAGAGAAGAACAGTGCCAGCGTCTATCTTACTTGTTTTGCGCTTCTGGCTTAGCTGGCGCCTTTGGTGGTCTCTTTGCCTACGCTCTTGAACAAGTCCATGTCGGTAATAAAGCTGGTTGGCAATGGATTTACATTGTAGAAGGCTTAATTTCTTTTATAGGGGTTCCTCTTTCACTCTTTTTACTACCCGACGACATGGAAAAGTCTTGGTTCTTGAATCCTCAAGAAAGACAAGTTGCTAGTCTTCGCAAGGAAGCTAATCTACGATACTTGGGTCAACAGAAATTTGAATGGAAAGAAGTTCGCAAAGCTTTCAAAGATCTCAAGGTATATGTATCTGCTACTAGTCAGTTTTGCGCAGATATGGTCTTGTATGGCTTTTCCTCCTTCTTACCAACTATTGTCAAAGGAATAGGATTTACAGGTCTTCAATCAAATTACATGACAATCCCTGTATATATCGCCGGAGTTATTGCTTTTCTCATAGCTGCAAATGCCTCGGATCGTACAAAGATTCGTTCGCCCTATTTAATAAGTGCTTCTATCATTGCAGCCGTCGGCTACATAATTCTTATAGCTAGCAATTCAAATGCAGCCAAGTTCACAGCTTGTTTTATTGTCGCCATTGGTTGCTATATAGGCCCAGGCATGAATTTGGGTTGGCTCAACAATAATGTTGCAGGACACTACAAACGAGCGACTGCAATTGGAATTCAACAAACCATTGCCAATAGTTCTGGTATTGTTGCCGGTCAAATATACCGGTCCACAAATGCTCCCCGGTATATTCTGGGTCATTCTTTTACCCTGGGTTGTGTTTTAGTAGGTTTAATCGGTTATATTGTCCTATTCTTTTCCTTAAGAAATGCTAATAAAAAACGTGACGAACGATGTGCCCGTGGTGAGTATGATCCTACTTTGACTGGAGATTATGCTGATGATTTTCGCTACTATTTGTAAACAATTATTACATATTTTTACCTATCACGAACTATTTCTATTAGATTCCTTATTTGAATACCCTTTTGCATTCTTATTAGGATAACGACCTTGTTCTTCTCTTTCATGTACTTCTAAATATTCCTATCCCGTCGTGGTCTAGTGATGATTTTGTTCTGTATTCTCGTGTACTTTGGTTTTACAGATAATTTAATTAAATTTAGGTCTATCAAACATTAAGTATCATTATATCAAAAAATAGAACAAGTGTATCAAATAAATTGAGAAGGAGTATGAAAAAAACCGAAATAAAGACAAAAGAACAAGTAGTGTACAAGAGATAAAAGGACTATCGCTCTTACAAACAATTAAAGATTTCGGAAAGTAAAGCACCTGTTCCCCAACCTCCTTCAATATCTAAAAGTTTTTTTAGGACTGAAGCCAACTTCACAATACCATCAGAAGTATCCCAAGCTTCCATAAGAATCTGGCGACCGCTAAAGCAGACTGTTATTTGTTTCCGCAAGAAGGCTGTATTTGTATGAGTGAACAGCGTATTGGATCGACAATCTTTCAAGAGGTATAAGCCTTGAAGAACCAACCGAAAGACAGCAAAGTGAATGATCGGTATGTCAAAATTGGAATTTTGCAAGACGACTGACGCATGATCAAGTGCCCATAAAATCCCTTCCAGAGCCAGACTTATGTTGTAAAACTCAGGAAAGGTATGAAAATGAGCGTCGTCACTTTCTACAGAATTTCGAAAGAAATGAACAGCACTCTTTAAATCATAAAAGGACTTTGACATAGTCAACAAAGGATCATGAAGATGTAAATACGTTCGTACTAGATTCCATAAACTAACAAATAGCGACAAAACTTTCTTGTTTTTAATGGAGCATTCAATACTCATGCGTAAATGTTGAAGCATAGCCTCATATACCTGCTTAGAGGATTTCAAAGAGCCAATAACATATTCTTTCTTTACATCGTTACGGATTAGCTCATAGATAGCACAAAGGAGAGCTAGACCAGTGATTCTTGTTTCCTTTAAGGCAATAGGTCCATAAGAGAGCTTGCCTAAGCAATCGTGGAAGGAAGGAGATGTCTGCTTCCACTGTTCTCTTTGCAAGGAATTAGCAGATTCCCAAAAAATTTCATCAATGGGAAGGGGCAGTTGAAGTTCTTGAAAAGAAAGGGAAGGGTTTCGGTTGAAAAAGGCAGCCAGAAGATATTCTAAAATATATGTACAAAAGATGATACGTTTCATAGATTCATAATCAATAAAAGCGGAAAGGGAAGAATTCTCGGGAATAGAAGGAAGGGCCGTCCAGCCCAGTACTCGAAAATCATAAACCAGATCGCGAAGTAAGGCTTGACCAATACTAGCAAAAGTGGAAGTTTTTTCAAAAAGGGAGGAGATGCAAAACAAGAAGCGAGCCTGAATCACCCAAAGGCTTGTGCTCTTTTGAATGTCGCTTTGAGTATAGAGCTGCAACAAGTGAAAGCCGCTGTCCCAAAACAAAAGGCCCAAAGTAGCATCGCTTTCAATACCAGTGGAATGACAACCGATCAAGCTAACTGAACGTATAAATGAGGCGGCAGTACCTTCGATGTGAAAAGAGGGATGGTGCAAAATGGGGAGAATGGGATGAAACCATTCAAAGTAACTCTCGATATAATGGCCAAGAAAGTCAGAAGGGAGGAACGGAAGGACGGTGAAGTAGGGCCGTAGATTGGGATGATACGTTTTCGGAAGATCGACGGCATCAAAAGACGGGAGAACAATTTTCATATTATCGGGATGTTGTCCATTGGTTTTAGTTTTGGGGGGAAGTTGTTCGTAAGCAAGATGAGAAGAAGAGTTTGGGAGGACACCAGAGTGGTGTCGCTGTATGTGTCGTTTGAGAAGATCCGTTCTCTTGCATGATTGTTGACAATACTCACAATGGATACTTTTTGTATCATCATGTGAAAGTTTATGTCGGGTGAGGTTTTCAAGGCGGGTGAAACGCTTTTCACAAAGATCGCAAATAAAGGGTCGTTTGTGAAAGCCATCTAGATCTTGACTGTTTTTTCGCTTGGTGCCTGTCCCATCGTTGGGATTGTCACTATTGTTAGTGGAGGAAGAGGACATGCCACGAGGTCCCCCAAACGGGAGTATGAAAGAGAGTATAAAATAGAAATTAGGAAAGAAATAACCGAAAGTAGGAAGACCAAACGTCTCAACAATATTTAAAGAAAACTACAGAGAAAGAAATGGGGAGAGAGAAAACAAACAAAGAACCCAGACATACGATGGAGATTGTTGATGGATAAAGACACAAACGCTGTATTCCTACAATGTTCACAAAAGTCGCTTGCTTCCCAGAAAAGCAGGAGTACTTGGGACACAAGAGGTTTGGGAGGTATCAAGTTCAATTGTTTGGTACGAAAAATAACAGCAAGATAAACCAATTGCTACGCTGGATCAAACCAAATTTGATTGGGAAAGACTCGAATGGTCGTACGTGCGCGATCGTCGATATGCATCACTGAATTGATACTACAAAGCTCGATAAGATGAGAATGAGAATAAGAGATAAGCTGATGAAACATCATTATTCTAGGAGCTCTGGCCTAGGCCGAAATGATGGAAAGCTTCAATTACGGGCCTCCTTGGTCCAGTATGGCTGTAATTTTATAACGTACGTATACGAATTTTAAGCAGAAAAGAGGCGAAACTCGTCTACATTTTGGTTCTCATAAATCGGAAACTTTCGATATAGGCATTTATTCATTCATCCTCCTTATCATCCTTGTAACAAAGAACACACATCCTTTTCATATCTGAACAATCCAAACGAGGTTTCTACTCCTCGGAATTGCCTAGGTGAAACTAAAAGTAGTAGTTGGTTGCATTCCTTATGGAGGTGAGGAAGGAGGGTCGTTTTTTCCAACGGCAAAAATCTCTATGGGTTCTTTTATTTCTTATTCTTATTTCTTATTTCTTATTTCTTTTTATTTATTCATCTTTGATTTCCCTTGCTTTTGCCATGGTTCAACCAACCACCAAAAGACCAATCTTATCAGTAAGAAAAACACACTATGGAGGAGACATTGCATCGCGTCGTACTGACCTCTTGGACGTCAATGGTCTATCAATCTTCCCGATATCCTTAATATCTCTGGAGTGTCGATGACGATGATAATGTTGGTAAAAAAAGGTCTCTCTCGAGTTGGGAAAAGAGAACGAAATTCCTGACGAGAACCGCATGATCTTGACTGACACTATTCTTAGTTTTTCAAGACACTACAAAAAGGTCAGCTTCTCTTTTTGCTCCACTGCAGTATTTCACAAGGTAAGGTAAAAAACCTCAACCTGTAGGACTTTTCTGCGCAATTTATTTTTTTTGATTCTTTTTTCTTTTCATTCTCCATTCTCATACAATCCCTGTTTGTTCTCTTGTGTTTCTTTTTTTTTGTTTTGTTTTTTATTTTCACCCGTTGATTCCTTTCCTTAATCCATTTTCTATGATTCATCCTTCTTTTCCTATCGATAAAGGCCTCCGAAGAGAGCTCATGGAGCACTTGATCGATATTCTGCATCAGCGCTGCAAGGATATTCCTGGAACGCAACTCTACGTTTTGGCCTTCAGCTTTGACCGATTTGCTCAAATCAAATCCTCCACCCTGCAGGTATACATTCAACATTATCAACAAAAATTCGAAAGCTATAATGCTACTCTCCCACATATGGCTCTCCCTTATATGCACCCTTCATTCTTAACAAATTCATCATCCCAACACGTCAAATCTCCTATAGCAGGCCCTTTTGCTACCAATATAACTTTCTCCACCCCTTCGCCTTCTTCGTCTTCTTCCACCCCAAGTAGTATTGACTTTCAATCAGCTTCAGCTTTCCAAGACACACACTTCAAACAACGCCTCCCTTTCCCTCAGCCTCTCTCTTTTTCTTCCTCTTTTCAAGATCCCTCGCCATATTCTAGCTTCGTAAATCCCTCCATAGAAACCCGTTCTTCGTTTTTCCCTATCCCTTCCAATACCGAATCTATTCACAAGGAGCCGCCTAGTGAGTCTTATCTCGAAGGCGAGGACTGCAGTGCCTCATATAACTCTAATTACACGGACCAATTTTTCTTTTTTAATGATCATGATCTAACCTTTCCTACTGAAGCAGTCTTTCCCACGTCTCCTTTTATGCAAAACGAAGATTCAAGTGCCTTTTTGCTCATCCCTTGAATCCGCTCCTGGCCATTCATGGTCCTCTAATTTTTTTGCTCCTGCTTTCTCGAACAGTCTGCTTGAATAGCTCGCTTCGTATTACTTTGTCATCTCGTTTGTCCTTCATAATGCTTGTTTATGTATATATTCCCCAACCGATATTTTCTTCATTAATCACTTAATTTACATGCCTGATTCTTCGCCTCTCCTTTCCGGTGTTCTTTCCTGTGTTTTGAGTTCTGCTTTATGATAATGATGATTCGAGTCTTTATCATTTAAACATGAATCATCCATAATTTACAATACAATGTGCTATTAGTTTTCCAAAACATTTTATTCTCTCGTAAAATCATGATAGTCATTATTAGCCTTATTTTTAATATCATTAAATTCAATTGTAGTACATCGACAGAAAAATCCATCTCTCATATCCTCTTTTTGTTTTCATGCTGAGTCTGCTATTAAGCGTTAATTTGTGTGCTGTATATAGTGTCGTTGGGACAAACTTCCGTTCGCCCGAAAAGCAGAATTATCCACAAATTTCGATTCCTTGTTCTCGATCCTTTCGCTCGCCAATCCATATCCTCCACCGCCAGGTGTATGGATTTCAATATGATCACCAGCAGCTATGTGGCATGTGTTCCTTCCACCCAAGTTAATTCTCCGGACTTTTCGTTTGCCTTCTTCATCTATCCAGTACTTTACCCAGATATTCTTCCCGCATTTCGCATCTTCACCGCCTTTCATGCCATAAGGATGATATGCTCGTCGCTCAGACAAAATTGACAACGTGACTGGAATGCGGAACTCAATATCTCGGACAACACCATCTCCTCCTTTGTATTTCCCTGCACCTCCAGAATTTTTACGGATACTAAATTCTTTAAGAATGACAGGATAACGGCGCTCAAAGACTTCTAAATCAGTAATTCGAGTATTGGTCATATGGGTGTGAACACCAGAAGTACCATCCATACCATCACATGCACCTGAGCCACCACATATGGTTTCATAATATCCAAATCCCGGAACAACTTCTCCAGTCTCATGGTTTCTTCCCCCCATACCGAATGTCAAGTTATTTGTATCTCCTTGACTAGCAGCACAGGCTTGGAAAGCTTTCAGAATTGTATCTGTGATCCTTTGAGAAGTAAGAACATTACCACCAACAACGGCTGCGGTTTCAGAAGGCTTAAGGAAACAATTGTCAGGAATTTTGACCTTAATAGGTAACAAGCAACCTTGGTTTAAGGGAATATTCTCAGATACTAAAACTCTTAAACAATAGATTATAGCACTGTAAGTTACTGCTTCAGGAGCATTGGTATTGCCATAAACCTCTTCTGTAGTGCCATCAAAATCAAAGATAGCATCACCTGTTTTACCGTCTATCGTAATCCGTAAAGAAATTCGAGAACCATCATCCATAAAGTCTTCAGCGTAAAGATCTTGCTCTTCAAATGTCTCCCGCACTTTAAGTAAGAGCTTACGCACAGAACTTTCAGCATTGTCCTGAATAGCCTTCATGTAACGTAAGACAGAATTTTTACCATACTCTTTAATAAGAGTAGTGATGAGATTAATACCTTTTTGATTTGAAGCTACTTGGGCTTTCAAATCATTTAAATTATCACGTAGGCATCGTGTACCAGATCCGCCTTCTACCTTTCCTGGCTCACTATAAAGCAGATCAATCATTTTTTCTTCCTGGAAAACACCATCAATAAGTAATTTTTCGCTCTTAATACTAGCTCCTTCTTCTGAAAGTTCTTTACTGGTGGAAGGCATACTACCAGGCAATATACCACCAATGTCAGCATGATGAGCTCGAGATGCAACGTAGAAGATAATTTCTCCATCTTCGAAATAAGGGGTAATGGTAGTAATATCTGGCAAATGAGTTCCACCAAAGCTGGGATGATTAGTTACCAAAACATCACCTGGATTCAAGTTTCCTTTGTTCAACATTGCCTGCTTACGCACGCAAGTGGACATAGAACCTAAATGAACAGGCATATGTGGTGCATTTGCGACCAAATCTCCGTTGGCATCGAATAAAGCACAAGAGTAATCAAGTCTTTCTTTCACGTTAGTCGAAACACTTGTTTTTTGAAGAGCACGACCCATTTGCTCAGCGACAGCCATGAATCGTGAACCTAAAACGGAAAGATAAACAGGATCGATAGCTTCCGCCTTAGCAAGAGAATCATCAGAAACTCCTTCCTTCGATAAAATGTCAATTAGTACATGAGAATGAAGGATTCGAGCTACGGACCCTGGAGGAATTACTATGGTTTGCGTTTTGTCTACGATAATCGCAGGTCCGGCAATTTCAACCCCAGTAGGCAAGTTTTCCAATAAGTAGATAGGGCAATCCATACGCTTTGAATCAAAGAAAACCTTTTTAGAAGTAGATGATAGTGATTTTGAAACTGGTGTGAATTTTAACTCTTTTAATTGAGCATCAACGCTGGGTTCCTTGTGTTCAAAACTTTTACCAGAAGCACGAACGCGAATATCGTCGATGATGATCTCTTTATCGAAAAGAAATCCAAACTCTTGCTTGTGCCTTTCTAGAAAAGCTTGCTTGAAATTCCAAGATTCGGCAGGTTTGGTAATCATTAACGGGCTGTCTGTTCCTTGGTAACGAAGATTCAAAAAAAGTTCATAGGAGATTTTTTCATCAGCAAATCCTTGCTCGTTCAGGCTCTTCCGTGCATTCTCAATAATTCTTTTGAAACGCTCCTGAATTTCTGGAATTATATCGGAAGTAAGTAAGAAGGAAGCCGGTTCTTGAGCCTCAGACACAACATCGGCTAAAGACATTCCATATGCTGAAAGAATAGAGCTGTATTTGTGCACGAGAACTTGAGAAATACCTAGGGACTGAGCAATAGCAACACAATGCTGACCACCAGCACCTCCAAAGGAGGTCAAGCGATGAACAGAAATATCATGTCCTTTAGCCTCAGTTAATGAACGGATGGGGCGAGCCATGGTTTCGTTAGCTATTTTGATAAAACCATAAGCAACTTCATCCACGCTCATTTTTTGAGATTCTGAAATACTAGAATTAATTTCGTCGGTTAATTCTTGAAATTTTTTGTGAGTAGCCTCCACATCAAGAGGTTGATCTTCAGTAGGACCAAAAATTTTGGGGAAAGATTCAGGAAGAAGCCTACCTAAAAGTAGATTAGCATCCGTAACAGTCAAATAGCCGCCCTTTCTATAACAAACAGGACCAGGATGTGCGCCAGCACTCTCTGGGCCAACTACAAATAACCCGTGTTTCCAAAACAATCTAGAGCCACCACCGGCAGCAACAGTATTGATATCCAGCTGAGGAGATTGAATAGTAACGCCCGCAGTAGTAGTCTCAAAGACATGTTCATATGCACCACCGTAACGAGATACATCCGTTGAAGTACCACCCATGTCAAATCCGATGACCGGGATGTTAGTGTTCTCATCATAAGAAGTAAGAGCAAATCCGACGACACCACCAGCAGGACCGGATAATATGGCTCGAAGACCAGAAAATTTGTTAACATCGGCAAGGCCTCCATCACTCTGCATGAATTCACAGCGAACACCTTTAGGATGTCCCTGGGTTTTAAGTCCGTGTAAGAAACCTGATTGAAATCCAGACAAGTAACGACGGACCACGGGAGACAGGTATGCATCGGCAGTGGCAGATGTGGCTCGAGGAACATACTTAATCATAGGCATCAATTCTGTAGACAAACTGATATTGGAGAAACCAAGCTCTTTGGCGAGCTTGCCTAAAGCGATCTCGTGATCAGGAAAAGTAAAACTGTGTGCCAAACAAATGGCAACGCTGGTAAATCCTTCATCCCTTAAACCCTGTAAATCCTTTCGGACCGCATCTTCGTCGATTTTCTTTAAAATGCGTACAGCCTCTCCAGAACGGCCGAGCACCAAAGATGAGTCAGAGCCATCAATATTTGTTTTATAGCTGGTAGGGTCCTCAACAAAATCTTCTAAAGTAACTCGTTCATCGACTTCTATAACCTTTGAATACAAGACATCAGGTCTACGAATAGCCAACTCAAAAATGTTGGGACGGGACTGATTGCCAATAATAAGACCATCTTTGAAGCCTTTTGTAGTAACGAAGGCACATCGTTCTCCTTTACGTTCCAGTAAGGCATTCGTAGCAACCGTAGTACCGCAACGGAGATGACTAATGCAACTGGTGTCTAGTTTTTCATTCCTAGGAATATGTTTACCATGGTAAATCTCCAAAACACGTCGTACAGCTTCAATGGAAGCATCTTCATAATTATTTGGGTCTTCCGAGAGTAATTTTATTACAATTGGCTCTCGCGAATCATCTGTCACAGTAGCGATTACATCGGTGAATGTGCCACCGCGGTCAATATGGATCTTTAGACTCATTTTTAATTCTATGCAACAACAAAGGCAATGAAAAGGACAAACAAAAAATATATAATAAGAACAAATCTAAGGAATATAAACAGAAATTTTTCCAAGCACGCTATTTACGTGCGCAAATACGCCAGTATTTATAGATGGTGTAGCATACAGATAACGGTGGAGCGTCTTTGATGTTGTTTCATGATGCTAGATAACGGAGGAGCAGTTAGTGGAGCTCCCTAAGTGGAAGGTTCGTAAAAATCTTGATACTATCAACCATTTCGTATCGTATCTTATAAATAAGTAAGAATGTAGGCAATTACGATGATTGATTTACATTGTTATTAAAATAAATGCCTTCAAATGTTAAGCTGTTCGTTCTCGGCTAATAAAACGGGGCAACATTGATTTATTATGGCTGTTCTTGTTGGCATTATTGAGTCTCTTTTAACAAAAGTAGAAAAAAGCTGCCAAACAAGGACCCTTTACTGCAATCTTTAAATGAAACTGAGTCCTAAACGAATGTATTGTCGACAATGATTGTAATTGTTACTTCGACTGAGCATGTCACCTTCTGCGTGACATGTTACTTGTTCTTTGCCAAAATCTTATAAACAAAATGAGTAATACTGGTAATACTTCATCTCAATTTTAGGGATTTAACATTATGGAAAGGTCGTAGCGGATTTGCACCTTCATAAATTCCCCATAATTTATGAATTGCAAGATAGATTCAAACGGTGTAAATACATGAAATTAATATACAAAACTTTTGTCTGAGCTCGGATAGTAAAACTGAACATTATGTTTCTCTCGAAATTTCACCGTATGACGGTTTGCTTCTAAGTAGCACCTTTTTGCAATAATCATTGACATTGATCCATAATTCTCGTTTATGAGGATATCTCAGTAACGGGGTCGAGCCATTGCTATATAGAGTTATTCGATTCATAGTGGTTAATGCTTTTATAATGAATGGAGTTGAATTTCCTAATACGAAAGCAGTTCCGGATCGCTCAATAGTATTGACGTGAGCTTGAACCCATCAGTAGTATATCGTTTTAAGGTGAATAGCAAGACTTTAGAAATTATCTAAATGAAAATGAATTCCTAAACCAAAAACACACAAAAATTGAACAAACTACTGACCACTTAAACCTAGCGGTTATTCCTATTTATTATAAATTACAATCTTTATATAACCCTATAGAAGCAGCGCCCATTCACAACTTAAAAACAACATTTTAAATCATTTGCTTCAACAAGCTGTTAATGTGTTCATCACGTTTACCGGCATCACCGCCCTCAATGAAGTGGGTGAACTTGCGTTCTCTGAAACCACCCAAAGGAGAGGAAAGCTTGAAAGGCCAGATGAAGTTGGAAGCTTGTTTGAAGTTGGGACCAACAGTGTAAATTTCATGAATCAAGTCTTCGATGGAGTAAATGGAGTACTTGCCCAAAGCAGCCTCGATGATGGCATTTTCAGAGAGATGAATGCGTTGCTTGTTAACCTTGCCAAAACCACGCTTATAAACCAATTCACGGACAGCCTTACGGTTGGGAACGCCATAAGTTACATAAGGCTCAACAACTTGGAGCATTTCCTTGGTAGCCTTGTTGAATTTGATGAAGACACCGCTGTTAATTTGCAAGAGACGCAAGAGTTGCATAATCTTACGGGCCTTGGGAGGGATATTGTTGATACCACGGATACGGACAACGAAGACCAACTTGGGCTCTTCAGGAACATAGAAGTTGCCCTCGGCACGAGCCTTACGAGCGAGCTCAATTTGCTCACGCTCAGCAGCACGGTATTCAGCCTCATAAGCTTCAGCACGCTTAGCAATAAGTTCACGCTTCTTTTGGAGACCCTATTCCTGGTCAGCATACTGAATCTGTAATGATAGAAATTATCTGAGCAAGGTAATGAATAGTTGGACTCTTGTAAGGTACGATCAATTGTCAACCAAATTGTATTACTCCAATTGTGCAACATCTACTACTTCTTGCACTAATCATTATGTTTCCAACCATCTGCTCTAACTATTTTTGGGTATACTTACAGATTTCTTTTCAGCAGCAGCAGCAACGCGCTGTTCACGAGCTTGCTCCTGAGTCTTAGTCTTCTTGCGAAGAGACTCAGGTGCAAAAATAGAGGCTACAGAAGGGACGGTCGAGGAGGCAACCATTGTCGGCAAAAATCGAATTTGGCACATGTTTGTTTTCGTACTACATACCAACCGTGACTGTTTAGCAACCCTACCCTAAATACGAGAAATGGAGTTAGAGCTCGTTTGAAGGAGCTCTAACGCGAGAGAACGATAAATAGGTACAATATAGACGCGACCTTTATTGTTTACATCCAGGAGCATATCTCAGCGCGTTCAACCATTCAGAAATAGGGAAACAAGGAAAGGCTTTTCCACTGAAAAAATTTTTTACTGTTAAGAAATCGTTATAACTTAGGTCGTGAAGGGAGGATCATGCGAAAAAGAAATGCGACAGTAAACTCGAACTCAAAATTTGCTGAACTTCGTGCATTACGTGAAGCTGGAAAAACTAGAGCTACCGTTTATGAAAATAAAGAAGAAGATAATCTTTACGACAAAGTCTCAGAGGAAGAATACTTGAAGGTTGTACGACAGCGTTTAGATCAAGATGACTTTGTGGTAGATGACAATGGTGCAGGATACGTTGACAATGGTTACGACGAATGGGACCGCGGTTATGACGATGATGAAGAGGAAGCTGAAGAAACAGGGTCGTCAAAAACAAAAAAGAAAAGTAAGTTGCCATATGCTAAACTTGAATGTCTCACTTGACATAAAAGACTCTCGCCGTAGTAACCCCTTTTTCATCAATTGAATATACTAACCTATGTCAAGAAACTAAGCATGCTTTAGCGGACAATAACAGTCAGCCTATTAGCTCCTTTTTCAAAGCCAAGCCCATTCAACCTAGTAATCATAGTACGAAGCATCAGTCCAACAATGATGATGACTTCATGGCTCAAATATTGGGTTCAATTGATCAAGATCTAATGGATGCCCCGTCTACCAAAAGTAAGCTCTCGAAAGGTAAAGCCCAGACGACGCCTACAGTTGATAAGAAACCATCCACAAACCTTTTTTCAAATCCAAATATCACGCAGTCATCATCAGCAATAGAAAATGAACCTACTGCTTCTTTAGCAACTCGTCAACCTCAAAGTACGGAAGATGTAGCAGTTCCAAGCTCTCCGATACTTGCCGATGATGAAGAAGCCCTTGTAGACGATATCGAAATGGAGCCAGTGCTTCCAGAAAAACCTGAAGATTCCAATCAACTTGAAGAAAATGATGCTTCAGTCCGAGACTTAAGCGCGGCAACCACCCTGGATAGACCAGCCGTGGAACCTGTTCTTCCAGCTACACCCATTCTCCCATCTTCTTTTGCACCACCTTTGTCATCCGAGTTAGATACCTCTGCCTTTACGGAGCTTAACTCTCACCTACGCAATTTAGAAGTCCCCGATCCTGCGACTATCAACAAAGGTCATCGTGTCTCTCCCAGCGATATAGTAGAACAAGATGGATCTTTAAATTTTTTCTGGTTGGATTATACAGAAGTATTTGGCAGCCTCTGCCTGTTTGGAAAAGTTTATGATAAAAAATCCAAGAGCTTTGTCTCTTCATTCGTAAAAATTGATGGTATTATGCGATCTTTATTCTTTTTACCAGCTTCTTCTAATAGTCAACTATCATCTTCCTTGGATCAACAGAAGGCAGTGTATGATGAAGTCTCGGGATTTCTTTCCAAGTTAGGCGTAAAAGAATGGAAGTCCAAATTAAGCAGGTATAAGTATGCATTTGAGTTAGAGGACGTTCCAAAGGAGACCGATTACTTAGAAGTTTTATATTCTTATTCTTACCCTCAACTTCCTTCTGATCTCAAAGGTAACACATTCTCTCATGTATTTGGTACAAACACTTCTTTGTTTGAACAGTTTGTCCTCACGCGAAGAGTTATGGGACCCTGTTGGCTAAAGATACAAAACCCAAATTTTGATTCCGTACGGAATGCTAGTTGGTGCCGTGTGGAAATCGGCTGTTCTTCTCCTCAAGGAATATCAGTAGCAATTGACTCAAAATTACCCCAGACACCTCCTCTTACAGTGATGAGTTTGGCTTTCCGTACTCTTATAAATCCCGCATCAAACAAACAAGAAATGGTTATGATTAGCGCTAGAGTTTACGAGAATGTTCAGATTGATCGAGGACTTTCAGCCAACGATATGCCATCGTTTACATTTACCATTATTCGTCCGCTTAAACAGATTTTTCCTAACGGTTTTGAAAATATGGCTCGCAATCATAAACCCCCTATCTACTGTGAAAGATCTGAGATTTCCTTATTGAATTCATTCATAAGTAAAATACAGAATTACGACCCAGATGTTTATGTGGGTCATGATTTTGAAACTATGTATTCGGTTCTACTTTCTCGGTTAAAAGACCGTAAAATTCATAATTGGCATAGCATTGGGCGTCTTCGTCGAGGTGAGTGGCCGCGCTCTTATAATAGGAGTAGTCAACAATTTGTGGAAAGACAAGTTGCATGTGGAAGATTAATAAGTGACCTTTCTAATGACTTTGGAAGATCCATGGTTAAAGTACAATCTTGGAGCTTGTCCGAAATTGTCCAGAAAGAATTAAACATTAAAAGGCAGGATATCAATCAAGAAAAGGCTTTACAGTCATGGACCGATACAGCTCGTGGTTTGCTTGATTATGTTACCCATTGTGAGATTGACACTTATTTTATCGCAGCTGTAGGATTTCAAATACAAATGTTGCAACTATCAAAAAATCTAACTAATATCGCCGGTAACTCATGGGCTAGAACTTTGGCTGGTACCCGAGCTGAAAGAAACGAATTCATTCTTTTGCATGAGTTTAAGAAAAATGGTTATGTTGTTCCAGATAAACAGTATAACAACAGAAGGAACGTCGATATTCTCGATCTTGAAGATTCAGAGTTTCAGGAAGAAACACCGGGAAAGAAAAAAGATAAGTATAAAGGTGGTTTAGTTTTTGAACCTCAGAAAGGTCTATATGATACATGTATATTAGTTATGGATTTCAATAGTTTGTACCCTAGTATTATCCAGGAGTACAACATCTGCTTCACTACGGTACAACGCTCTGCTCCTACGAAAGATGGCGAAGATCAAATTCCTAATATCCCTACCGCTTCAAGTGAGCAGGGAATTTTCCCTCGTCTAATCGCAAATTTGGTTGATCGCCGTAGACTAATTAAAGGCCTGTTGAAAGATAAAACGGCTAACCCAACTCAGCTATTACAATGGGATATTCAGCAGCAAGCACTTAAGCTGACGGCTAACTCAATGTATGGTTGTCTAGGCTATACCAAATCTCGTTTCTATGCTCGACCCCTCGCTGTTTTAATTACTTATAAAGGAAGAGAAGCATTAATGAACACAAAAGAACTTGCTGATGCTATGGGGCTGCAGGTTATTTACGGTGATACGGATTCTGTTATGCTCAATACGAACGTTGCTGATAAGCAACAAGCTATTATAATTGGTAACGAATTTAAAGAAAAGGTGAATGAAAGATACAGGAAGCTAGAAATCGACATCGATAATGTTTATCAAAGAATGCTACTACATGCTAAAAAAAAGTACGCTGCTTTACAGGTTGATGATAAAGGAAATTCAGTATTAGATGTAAAAGGTCTTGATATGAAGCGTCGAGAATACTGTATGCTTGCAAAAGAAGCTAGCAAATATTGCTTGGATCAGATCCTATCTGGGGAGCTTACAGAGACGGTCGTCAGTAATATACACATCTATCTTTCTGATTTCGCTGATCAAATGAAGAATGGAAACTTTACAGCAAATAAATTTATTATCTTTAACCGCCTAGGCAAAAATCCCGAAGACTATCCGAATGGTAAAACAATGCCTTTTGTACAGGTAGCATTAAAAAAGAAAGCAAAAGGAGAGAATGTACGAGCTGGGGATGTGATACCTTTTATCATCACGGGCTCCGACGCAGAAGGACATCCTGCTGATCGTGCTCGTAGTCCACAGGATGTTATGAACCCAAATAACAACATAACTATCGATTATAATTATTATCTGACACATCAAATTCTTCCTCCTATTGAAAGAGTTATTGCACCTATCGAAGGCACCAACCGCGCTCGTTTAGCTGAATGTTTAGGACTGGATCCTAAAAGATATTATACATATGAAGCATCAGAGTCATCAGCTTTTGAACGATACGAAAGCACTTTATCGGATGACCAGAGGTTTATCAATGTTTCACCGATGGTTTTAAGATGTCCCAGCTGTTTTGCGGTCTCATTTACGATGCCTAGTATTAAATCACTGCAAGAAACGTTATTTGTGAATACAGTTGAATGTGATTGCGGCTTTGAGTACCCCACATTGACAATCGTTTTGCAGTTCACTACTCAAATTCGATACTTTATAAATCTTTACTATGAGGGTGTTTTAGTATGTGATGACTCTTCATGTGGAAATCGAACTAGGCAAATGAACGTCTACGGCAAACGGTGTTGCAATGGCAGTTGCCGGGGTAATATGCGGTTTGAATATGATGACAAGATGCTTTACAATCAGATCAAATTTTTGCTGAAAGCCGTGCAAAATACAACTGGCGCAACACGTAACGGCATTTTGCGATGCAATGCGCTGAGTAACAGTCTGTCTAAATTAATGAACAAGAATGCTCGTGAATTTGTAGATATGGCTAGCATTTTTCATTCTTGAACAAATGATAACTAATGAAGCTTCACAATACCCCTTTTTTTGTTTTTCTGCCATCATTTATTTTTGACTACTTTCGTTTCAGTTCGTATGGTGGCCTACTTTTTTACATACAGTTATCCTAGAATGTAGTAGAGAAATAAACATATCTAATTAATTCATTAATAGGTCAATTTTGAATGAAATTTATCGTTTGTAAATTCGTATTATCGTTTATTATGTTATTTAACAATTTCGCTTATACTTACTTACATCGGTTATGGGTAACCCTAACCTAGCAAAGTGTGACTGCTCCCTAGTATACATGTAGAGAAGAATCAGAGGAAGAAACCTGCGGAGTGCCTAACAGATCTTGGAACGGCAACAACAGAAAATGGCTACTAACGTTGGGCCTCAAGTTCGCTCTGGTGAGCTCGTCTTTGGTGTTGCTCATATTTTTGCTTCTTTCAACGATACCTTCGTCCATATCACTGATTTGACCGGTAAGGAAACCATCACCCGTGTCACTGGTGGTATGAAGGTCAAGACCGATCGTGATGAGTCTTCTCCTTACGCTGCGATGTTAGCCGCGCAAGATGCTGCTGTCAAGTGCAAGGAAGTTGGCGTCACCGCTCTTCACATCAAGATCCGTGCTACTGGTGGTACCGCTACTAAGACTCCCGGTCCCGGTGCTCAAGCTGCTTTACGTGCTTTAGCCCGTGCTGGTATGCGCATTGGTCGTATTGAGGATGTTACTCCCATCCCTACCGACTCTACCCGCAGAAAGGGTGGTCGTCGTGGTCGCAGACTGTGAGCACTTTCGTCTCTTCTTTGTCGTACTGTTTGTATGGCTGGTTTGGACAAAGTCCTCGACGTCTATTTGGTTTCTTTTTATAGAAACATAATAAGAAATTTCAGTTGATTTTTAATTACAAGACTGTAAGGATTAAGTAAAGTGATAAGTAGAAAAAAGTAGCAGAACATGGCATTCTTTTAACCTCAATTACTCTCATTGTTGAAATCATCTATCACATAATGTCCAATTTCATGAACTTCTTGGTCGTAATCAATAGCAGCATTGGCATCATCCGCATAATAAGGGGCAGCGTCTTCTGGATTTTCCTGTATGTTGACTACTTCAGAAACAGCATTCACTAAGTTATCTAAAGCATTATTAACTTGGAGAGGAAGGCTGTTGTCCGACTTGCGTTCCAACAGGTTTTCCAGCAAGGACTGCATAAAGTCACCCTCAAAAAGAGCAGAAGTTTCAATGTCACGATCATGTAATGTCTCGAATTGTGATTGGAACAAGCCTATGCAGCCATGATTAGTAGGGTTCTATAAGGGAATAAAAAACGTACCGAGAAAAGTAGAATAATAATCTGGCTCGGTCTCAGCTAACTTATAAGATTGCAATAGCATCTCCAAAAAGTTTTTCCAATGCAATAATGCTGCATAATGGGAAAAAAAAGCGTATGCAAGGTAGGCGAACGAAAATTCAGCTAGTGCTGAAGCATGCTCATTATTCCATACGGATTGTACGAGTCGTTGAAACATAAAAGTTTTGTCAATAGCTTGCAAAGATCTTTCAGGACCTAAGGAAGAGGGAGACCAGCTTTTTCTAACATCGAATTTTGTTAATCGTAATACAGTGTCCTTCTCTGAAGGCTGAAAGAGCTCAGACTCAGCTGCATTTAAATCTATATTTGCGTAAGTAGAAGTATCCATAAAAAACATTGGTCCTTCGCTCTGAAATATCTTCTGTAAATGCTTTTGCTGTATGAATTTCACCAGCTGATCCCAGTTTCCTGCGCAAGTATAGTTATAAAACCTGTCATCATATACACAATCTACTTCCTCAATTAATGCATTCTCGGATGATGCATCGTAAGTAAGTGTGTAAGCAGAAGGTTTCCAAATGAAAAAGAATACTCCAGATACTAAGCCTACACCATTGGAAGGTGTCCAAGTTATAAGATGAAGACCAACAGGGAAGTTTTTCGCACCAGTTAAACTTTTCGAAGGGTAAGAGCATCCATCAATGCCGATATAATATGAATCCGGCCACCTCACAAATTCAATACTCATAGGATCAAAACAAGAGGATCTGACATGTGTCCCACCCTTCCTTGGTGGTAATTCTCAACGAACTGAACGGAAATAGCTTAAGCCCATTCAAAGCTTCAGTGCTGTAGCTCGTTAAACCCGGCGAGGACTGGAGAAAAACAACAGTAAAGAAAGGATGGAAGGAAGCAAAAGAAATTGACAAGTCTGCTGTTCTCTTTTCTTCTACTTGAATCCATGAAATGGTAATTGAGGTATTGAATAATTCTTTGTTTATAACTCATAGCTAACTTTGCTAAGAATGCAGCCGCTTTATCTAGTGATTCTCTAAGGAAACGAAAGCAGGCTGAAGAGGAAGCCATTGATGTGATAGAGCAAAATGCAAATCCTTATAAAGGGAAATATCTAAAATCTTCATCTATGGTGGAAGTCGCTAACTCAACATCGCATGCAGACGCGAGAAACAAGAAGTTTCAAGGTTGTAGTCAACTCAAAAGGACCAATTCAGCTTCCAAAGATGAAAGAAGCTTAAAAGGTGTATCTAAAGATAAAGAGGAATGGCTAGAAAAAGTCCAGGCGATGCTAGAATCCCACAAGGCATCAAGTGGTAATAACAGCCATAGTCCCTTGGAAAGCTCCATGACAATTCGAAAAATCAATCTGATAAAGAAAAATGCCGGAAGTGTAGTAGAGGCAGCTAGAGGGTCTTTGATGAATACTTCATCTTTGATTGACAAGGATCAAGTTCATGATTTAGAGTCTGCTTACTGGGACCTAAAAGAGAGATATTCTAACACAGCGACTTCCCTAGCTGAGAAGGATAGGAGTCATCAATCAGAAATACAATCACTTCTCGAATGCGTGGAAAGAGATAAAGACTTGTGTACGTTGTATAACAAGCTAAAGAAAAGTTTGCTGACAAAGTTTTTTAGTAAACACCCTTATATCTCAAGTTTCAGAAAAAGACGCTGTTTATGGTTCACGAATTGAAACCCTTCGGGAATTGGTAAACGACAAGGATGCCCAATTAGCAAAACTTCAAGAACGGCTTGACAATATAAAGTATCATGAAGAGAAAGTGCGAAAAAAAATGCAACGCGAGTTACAGCAACAGATTGTTATTGTTCGCGAAGAAATTGTTAACATGACTACTGAGTATAAGCATTCGTTTGAAGAAGCGCAGCAGAATTTGTCCAAGAGGATCCGCGATCTAAAAAAAGCATATAATGCGCAGCTTCAAGAGAACGTGAATTCATTTGAGAGGAGGAAAGAAGAATCAAGAAAGCAAGAGGATGCGAGCAAAGCGCACTACGAATTGCTGCTTTCCGAGAAGGATATGGAATTCAAGCGGTACCAACAAAAGATAGAAGCAGATATTTCTTCTATGCAGAAAGAGCTTGATCAGGTTCGAAAAGAATTAAACCGAACTTGTGATGAATTGTACGAGAAAAAGAAAGAATATACAATGGCTTTAGAGAAAAATGACCAACTTAACATCCTGTTGAAAGAAAACCAGCAAATAATAAATGACAAAGGTCATACTTTTTCCGAATTGGATTGTAAAGTGCACGAACTAACTAGGTCAAATGAATCATTATCGAAAAAGCTCTTTGCTGAGGAGTCTCTTCGGCGGCAATTACACAACACTATCCAAGAGCTAAAAGGCAACATTCGAGTTTTTTGTAGGGTACGACCTTTTTTACCTCGCGAGTGTCAAAAATCAGATGAGCTTGAATCTATTTTCCAATACCCAGATAGTCATTCTTTAGAGCCTCGGGAATTGTTACTCAAAGGACCTAATATTGAATCATCTCTTGGTCATGTACACGATAAAAGCTATTTTTTTTCGTTTGATCGGGTATTTCCTCCTGAAGCTACGAATGAGTCTGTATTTCAAGAAATCACTCATCTAGTTCAAAGTGCCATTGACGGTTATAATGTAAGTGTTTTTGCTTATGGACAAACTGGATCCGGAAAGTCGTATACCATGTTGTCGAATGATGGTATGGTAACTCGAGCAGTTAAGCAAATCTTTGAGTATGTCGAGTTACTTAAGGAAAAAGGATGGAGATATAAGTTACAAGGGCAATTTTTAGAGATTTATAATGAAAAGATTTATGATTTATTGAGCAAAAATGGTTTGATGCAACAACAAAAGCATGACATTCACCATGATGAAAGAGAGCGACGCACTACAGTGGATAATGTAAGGGTGATTGATTTTGAGGATGAAGATATGGTCTACAAAATGTTGGGGAAAGCAGCAGAAAATCGTTTTATCGCAGCTACGAAAGCTAATGAACGCTCCTCTCGTTCTCACACTGTATTTACGCTGTACATTGATGGATGGAATGAAAGCATGAATCAAGTTTGTAGAGGAACGTTAAATTTGGTTGATTTGGCCGGATCCGAACGTCTAAGTTTCAGCAAAGCAGAAGGAGAACGTTTACGAGAAACGCAAGCTATCAACAAAAGTTTGAGTTGTTTGGGAGATGTAATCCATGCACTAGGGGTAGCAACTTACGTTGCTGGTAAAGGAAAAAATCATATACCTTATAGGAATTCCAAGGTATGTGTAATGAATCCGCATATTATGAAAAGATACTAACTAAGTACATTATAGCTTACTTATTTGTTGAGATACGCTTTGGGAGAAAATGCAAAAACACTTATGTTTGTGAATGTTTCACCGCTAAAGTCTCAGATAATGGATACCCTTAATAGTTTACGATTCGCAAAGAAGGTGAATGATACAAGGATAGGACCCATGATTAAGAACCGTGAGTCGATGTCATTTGGTACATAATGTGTATAATATTTATGATAATTACTTTTTGTTTTAAGAAGAAGCATTTGCTTTGGAAGCCGCTTCATTTTGCGCTTGAACGATAGCAGACTTAATCTTGACAAATTCCTCCTTTGAACTCTCGATTTGTTTTTCCACGCGAGCACTGGATACATTAGCCTAAGTGAACCTGTTTCCTTTGTAATTGCTTTAGGATATGGAGCAGATGAAACGTACATTTCTTTCTTGATGAAATCAAGTCGCGTTTGAACGTTCGTCTTTGCCTCTTCTTGGCTTTGCTTAACAAGAGTTGGCCCAATTTGTTTATATATATTGGATTCAGGATCCATCTTGTCTAATTCCTACCGATGTTAGCTCATTTGAAAATTTGATCCTTCACAGTGCAATCGCATCCAATACATGCAATCGAATCTAACATACATTATAAACGGTAGTGTTTTCCTGTAATTGTGCTTCAAGCTTTTTTATCGAATCAACATATCCGGTCAATTCTAATCATAAATAGTGAGTCAGTATTCTCAAGCTAAAATCCTTACCGCTCTGTTGTTCTTGGTACTTTCTAGCTAAATCTTCCATTTTTTCTTTTACTTGAACCGCTTCCTCCTCTAAAGATTAAAGACAAGAATTGGTTTGGGGTATCTACTTGTAGAGCTCAGTACTTTTGGAAATATAATTGTAACGGGTTTTTTCGCGTTATATTAAGTGGAAATCAAGTGCATGGGAAGAATCCATCAGGTTGGAATTTGGCATTAATAAAAATTCCGAATAATTTAACAAATAAATTACTAAATCAATTAATGAATCTTCTAAAGAAAACAAATCATTGGATAGCTACTCCAGTCTATATTCCTATTACCGGTTTTCATTTCAAAGCTAAAGCAATGAAGAGATGATTGCAACGAATTTTGAAGCTACTATTTAATAAATTGACTTACGTTGAAAATTTGTGAAGAATCTAACGGTCGTAGGAGGAATTTTCTACTATCCTCGTTTTCTGAAAGCAACATAAATCTGATATCAAAGATGTTTTGCTCAAACTTTTTAAAGAATAAGAAATATAGATATTTTTCCATGAAGGGGAGTTACAATAAAACAGTACGTATCCATATTTCAATTGGTAAAACATGTTTTCATGCCATATACATTTTACATAATTTAATAGAAAGCTTACTCCTGTAAAATATTCTCTTAACGGAATATAATAAATTAAATTTACCTTGAAGGCAGAGCGGCCTCGTGGCCTAGAAGTAAGGCGTTGGTTTCCGGTTAAGGATTCGCCAAAGATCGCGAGTGCAAATCTCGCCGTGGTCGTTCTTTTTTTTTTACTCATTTTTATAAATATTTTTATTCAAAAGAATTACACAATCATGAAGAAATAATTATTTTAGTTTTATGAGAGGTCAATGTTGATAATAATCCATAATCGTAATCATTTTCTGTCGAATACGGAGCCATCGCAAAATTGCTGCTTTTCAGATTGTCTCTTGTTCATGTATCGCTCAAAAGAATAGAAAAAAAAAAAAAAGGAACGGTTAAGTTGTTTCTAAAGAATCGAAAGCGGTTGGTGGCCTCCTTGTGTTTTGTGTTGATGAATTTTTTTTTTGTTTATTCAGGTGTAAACAAAAAAAGATGATGCGGAAAAAAAACAAAACAAAGCGAAGAGCATTGATGAGCGCTTCTATGTTCGTTTTCGTAAAAAATAGTAAATTACATTGACTCCTTTTCTTGATATTTGAGATATGCCTTTGAAAACAATCTTTTCTTCTATACTGGTCTATTTGACATTGTAGAGTATGAATGATTGTACAATCTGTATTTAAAGCAAAAGGCCACATTTTAATTACACAAATAAAACATATACAATTTTTTAAAAGAAAAATATGTATAAAATTCCAAGTTTGATTTAACAATGCTCGTACCTCTGGTTACTAAGACTTCTCTAAAGAACATACGTGAACTTAACCGGAACACAAATGTCAACACTTGAGGAATTAGACGCGTTGAATCGCTCACAGCAAGCAGATTCCAGCCATGATGATTTCATGGATGGAATTGAGCAAGAAATTCTGAACGCCAACCCTGACGAACTGAGTAGTCGGACAAGGCTTTTAGAAAATGACATTAAAGTAAGTGACATGAAGGGAGAAAATGCTCTAAAAAGAAAGACGGTAATAATTTGAATTAAACAAAGCTTTCAGATTTGTCCTGAGTCGATGGACTGCTCGCTGAAAACGTTGAACTGAATCGTCCTTTTTTTCTGTAGTAGGATCGTTCCTTTTTGAAATATTATGTATTATGTTGGAGAAGAAAGCTAACCTGATGGTAGGTCATGAAATCTGAATTTCAGAGATTGACACACGAAAAAAGCACGATGCTCGAAAAAATCAAAGAAAACCAAGAGAAGGTCGTAAATAACAAGATGCTTCCGTATTTGGTTGGCAACGTAGTAGAAATTTTGGACATGGCGCCTGAAGAAGTAGACGTCCAAGAATCAGCAAATCAAAACTTAGAGGCCACCCGTGTTGGCAAGTCTGCTGTCATCAAAACGTCGACGCGTCAAACCATCTTTCTTCCCTTGATCGGTCTAGTTGAGCCCGAAGAACTTCATCCTGGCGACTTGATCGGTGTTAATAAGGACTCCTACCTAATTATTGACAAGTTGCCTTCGGAATACGATAGCCGTGTTAAGGCCATGGAAGTTGACGAAAAACCTACCGAACGTTACTCTGACATTGGCGGTTTATCAAAACAAATCGAAGAATTGTTTGAAGCAATTGTTTTGCCCATGCAGCAATTCGATAAGTTTCAGAATTTGGGCATCAAACCCCCCAAGGGATGTTTGATGTACGGTCCTCCAGGTACAGGAAAAACCTTACTTGCCCGTGCTTGTGCTGCTCAATCAAGTGCAACTTTCTTAAAATTGGCTGCTCCGCAGCTCGTTCAAATGTTTATCGGTGATGGTGCAAAATTAGTTCGTGATGCGTTTGCTTTGGCAAAAGAAAAAAGTCCAGCTATTATATTTATTGATGAATTAGATGCCATTGGTACGAAGCGTTTCGATTCTGAAAAAGCAGGCGATCGTGAAGTTCAAAGAACCATGTTGGAACTTTTGAACCAACTTGATGGTTTCAGTAGCGATGACCGCGTAAAAGTAATCGCTGCAACCAATCGTGTTGATACTCTGGATCCTGCATTGTTGCGTTCAGGTCGTCTGGATCGTAAACTCGAATTTCCACTTCCAAATGAAGAAGCCCGTGTTGGTATCTTGCGTATCCATTCTCGTAAGATGGCAATTGCTGATGATATTAATTGGGAAGAATTGGCTAGAAGTACTGATGAATATAACGGTGCTATGTTGAAGAGTGTTTGTGTAGAAGCTGGTATGATTGCTCTTCGACAGGGAGATACGAAAATTACTCATGAACATTTTATGGACGGCATTTTGGAAGTGCAGATGCGTAAGTCAAAGACTTTACAATACTTTGCATAAATATTCCATTTTCGTTTTATGAGCTCCTTGTAATCTTTGTCAACCTTTTTCTCTATGATTTCTATGCCCCAAAAATTCCTAAACATCTTCTGATGTCTTCCCTTTCTTCACGGTAGTCTGACTTATAATGAATAGTAAAATACTGTTATATTTGGTCTATAAAACAGATTTTGATACATGCGGGTTATAAATAGATGGTGAGCTTTGCTTTTCGAAGTCCATTATTATCTTTTCTTGTTAACAATTAAAGATGAAATTAGGCTATAGCTTTTCATGGGTTTAAGTAGCCGAACATTCTGAAAGTTTCTTGTACATAGCCTTGTTTTTTTCCCCAAAAGCACATTCTTGTAGTCATCACGGTTTTTTATTTCGGTATTGAACTTGATTACCGACAAATCAAACCTTTCCTAAACATGGTTGCTATTTTCGCTTGTTTAGCTAAGAGCTGCAATGTAAGCGTACGTAAGCAATAGCTTTTCAGTTCGTTTATATTAACTTTATTTAGGTATGGAGCTTTAAATGTCTACATTACCTCATTTTTAGAGAATCGCATTCCTTCAAGCACTTTCCGTTCTGACATTCTAACAACTCATGAATATATATATATATATATATATTTAATTAATTGAATCCTAATTATCAATACGATTCAGCAAACGAGTTTGACCTTACTTCACCATTTATCTCTATTGAAAGTCAAAGAATATCTATTGAATTACACATATATTCATGATCATATAGTAATTTTTATTAATCTACTTATTTTAATTTCTTGGGTTAAGTCTCTTTTAATTGAATATGCCGTACATAAATTATTTTCTCGTGGGACCTATCGGGCTAGGATTAAGAAAACTAGTACAACGAGAGATACCAATTTCCGACCAAGAAGCCTTTGGTTGCATGAATAATGCCCTATTACATGGTTCCAATCTCTGGGATGCTGGCGAAGTTTTTTCCTCCTCATTATCATCGGGGACATTGGGGCTCTTGAGTAGGTATTTTCGCAAATATCCAGAAAACATTGAGCGAGTCTTTTTAACTGTAACAGTTGGAAAGATAGAAGATTCGGATACAGAAGCCTTCCTCAATTCTCTAAAAGAGATTACATCCGCTTTGCGAGGTCTGAAAAAGATAGACTTGCTTAATTGCCAAGTGGTAGAGGACGCACCAATGACAGAAGAATTCATTAAGATTATGAATGACTTTGTTAACAAAGGAGTCGTTCGTTGTATAGGTTTATGGGAACCTAGTCTTGAAGTCATCCAAAGAGTGCGTGACATTGCTAATATATCAGCTGTTCGGGTGGAATATTCCTTACTTTCTAGAGATATTGAAGTGAACGGTATAAAAGCGCTTTGCCATAACCTTGGAATTCCCATTATTGCTACTGCTCCATTATTACATGGTATACTAACGGGAGATTCCAAAATTATGGAAGAATTAAAGAATAAAGAGAAACATATATTATCTAATAATGAAGATCGAGAAGCGGTTAGGATGATTCTTTCCAAAGTATCATCTCTTGATTCTTTCGCAATACGAAATGATATGACTTTAACGGAAGTCGCCTTAAGTTTTATCCTTGGTACAGGAAAAGCCGGAATTATTCCAATTCCTTGCTCTGATACTCTGGATTATGTGGGAGAAAATCTTGGTGCATTTTCGAAAGTCTTATCCTTTGAACAGCTTGACGAACTATATGATATTGTTCAGCAATAAGGAAATACTTTTTTCGAACTTTCTGTAAAACAGGGAAATGATTTAATATTTTTATCAGCCAATTGGTTCCATACTTAGGTATTTCAATGAGTTCGCCTTCACCTTTATTATGTTTCATGTTTTTTGTTGGTTTATGAAGAATAAAAGCTAATTAACTACTACACATAAATATAAAGGACATGAAGTTTGATTGAATTGTAAACACCGAAAATATCTTCCGCTTTTCATGCGGCTTATATGACTTAGCAATCATTGTCAATACAAATTCCATTCGTTTTCCAATGGAAGAATAGATCCATCAAGTTCATAATAATTATACTTTACTATTTCAATGTGCAACCTTTCTTAATTACCACTGAGACTTTGTATGCAAACATGTTTATTAATGTAAACGTACGTAGTACCGTAGTAAACAAAAGGACCGAAAACAACATCTTCTGTATTCATCTTTTAGCAAGTGAGAACGGATACATCAGAATTCATTATTGTTGAATGAACTTAATTGATTAAGCGAGCTTGAGGCCACATTGATCCCGTATCTCTGTTCTGTTTCAAATTCTCAACATGTATTTTGTCGTTCTTTTGCGTTCATTTGTTCATTTCTAGTAATTGTAAAAAAGAATAAAAAGTAAACAGGAAGTCCAAATTTCGAAGGAGGCAATTGCGTTTATTATAGATTGTGCAAGAAAGTTGCCTATTACAACACCTAATTTTCAAGACCAAGTTGAATCTCCTTATTACGGTTCCAGTAGATATAAGTAAGTTAGGAATATTGAAAAGGTTTTCATCTTTTCAAATTTACGTTATTGACCTACGGCTATAATTTCTTTTTCATCATGCCGTCTGAAGAAAAGTCTGCAATTCCTTTTCCAGTTACTCAGTCTTCAAATCCGCAGAAACAATGGCTCCCTAAGTATATCAGAATAAGCTTATGTCTTTTTTCAGCATGTTTCTTTGTCATCCTTTATAAAGGACCGCAATTCTTCATATTTTCTTCATTTTCGACTGCAGAGCAAAAAGCTCACTTTGTACTGACTCGTTTTCCTTTAATTGATGGTCATAATGACTTTCCCACTTTTATTCGTGAAAATTACGATAACAAATTGGCTCAAAGCGACCTTCACCATACTACTGGTCATACCGATATAAAGCGTCTTAGAAGTGGCCATATAGGTGGGCAATTTTGGTCTGGTTTTGTTGAATGTCCTCCACTCGCTCCAGATAGCTTTCTTGCATGGAATAGATCTGGCGAACATGAAGCTGTTCAGCAAACCTTGCAGCAACTTGATCTGATTAAGCGTATGATTGACAAGTACCCTAGCGACTTCTCTTTGGCTACTAAAAGTAAAGATGTAAAACATAACTTCTTACAAAAACGCATCTCAAGTATGATTGGTATTGAGGGTCTGCACCAAATTGCTGGAAGCCCATCTATACTACGACGCTACTACGAATTGGGAGTGCGGTATGCGACGCTCGCTCATAATTGTGATAATGTTTTCGCTGATGCTGCTGTCGGTGGTAAGCAAACTAATGGTGGATTGTCAGAAGCTGGACGAGCTCTGGTCCGTGAAATGAATCGTCTCGGCATGATGGTTGATTTGTCCCATGTAACGCCCGAAGTTATGCACCAGGCTTTAGATGTTTCTGTAGCACCAGCCTTTTTCTCCCATAGCTCTGCCAAAGCCATCCATAATCGTAAGTTTATTCTTTCATCTGACGTGATGTAAATAGTTGCTAATTGTTTAGATCCCCGAAATGTTCCTGATGATGTCCTTTTAAGGGTTAAAGAAACAGACGGCGTTGTTATGGTCAACTTCTACCCTGCGTTTATCAGCGCTACTCCTGAAAATACGACATTAGAGACAGTAGTAGAACATATTCAGCATATTGCTAAAATTACTGATTCTTATCGCCATATTGGCCTGGGCGCAGATTATGATGGTATCGAAATGGTTCCAAGAGGACTCGAAGACGTCTCGAAATACCCAGCTTTATTTAGCAGATTAGCAGATCTGGGACTCTCTGTAGATGAACTTATAGACATTTCGGGTCGCAATGTCTTGCGCGTCTGGAGAGCCACTGAAAAAGCATCCCGTGAAGTACATGATCCACTTTTCGAATGGGAAGATGATCTTGGTAAATAATTCGTTGTTGATTATTACTTATGCTGTTTAATATCCATACTCGTTGCCAAGTAATGATTCCTAGTACACTGTGTCACAATGCTTTTGTTAAATACCTAATACTTTTATCCACTTAATACGAATAGAAATATGTAGACAATAATGTATTAGTTATAAATTAGTATTAGTGATTTCCAACAATACTAAGCTATGATGTTTTACACCGAGGAAACGTCTGATCCTCAAATCCCTCTAGCTCTTTTTGCTGAATTTTAGGGTCAAAAGAAAAAAGCGAGCGCTATACGAAACAAAGACGATTAAACAGAAAACTGTTCTTAACACTTTGCAATGAATAAATAAGGACCATGAATAAATAAATAAAGAGCCTTTTTTTTTTTTTTTGAAAAACTGTTACATAAAACTAACTTCTTTGATGTCCACTTCCAATTGAACCGCGACGATAAGAAGAATATGACTTTCTACGACCGGATGGACGAGGAGTAGGTAAATCCAAAAATCGAATATTTGGTTTATTTTGTTGGGATTCTTCTTCTTCTTCTTCTTCTTCTCCCCCTTCATTATCTGGAGAATGTTCAGGTTGCGAAGGAACGGATGCTGGATGGCTATGTCCCTCAGGAAAGTGATCAGACTGGTTATCATCAAGTAAATCAACTGCTTCATTGTTTTGGTTTACAAACTCTCTAGGGTTTATACCCGGACGGTCCTCATCTTCATCTTCACTGTCTCTCATATTTCCTAGAACTTCCTCACGGCGCTGTCTTTCAATACTATTTTCACGCGAAAAAGCATCAGATATCCCTCTATTTCTTCTAGGAACGTTATTTTCAATATCAGCTTCTTCTTTTCCAAGATCTCGATCGTCACTATCTGGTACGTGGTAATTACGCTCAAATGCGTCGTGAAGATTTTTGAAAAACCGACGGAATCTGGATTGTGGCTTACCATCATTAAGCATATCCTGCTCCTTCGCACCCTTGCTTTCTACACTGGGTCGTCTTTCAGCCTCTTGATCTCCTGGTCGTGAACGTGATATAATATTACCGTGTGAATCTTCACACACAAGATCATTCCCAATAAAGTAACTTTCGTTGCCTTCATTCATCTCTTCCTCTCTATCTTCTTCATTAGATTGACGACGCTCACCATCATAATCTTTGACAGAAGGAACAGGTTCTTCTCTATCTTCATCCTGATCTTCGGGATGAGACTCAACATGCTGAAGCCGAGTATGTGCAGGGCTGGGAGCAGAAATAACAGATGACGCGTCATACGCCTCGTCATCTTCTTGGATATTAACAGGATGGCGACGTCTTATTGAAGAAACTATAGAGGGTGCAGCGCCAGAACGAAAACTGATTCCTCGCTTTAAAGGTAAAGTTTGACCTTGATTAACTCTTGGAAGATTAAAAGCAAAGTGGGAATCTCTAGTTTTGGTTAAAGTAAGGGCGATTGTGTTTATGCGCTTGCCAAGCATGAAAAACGCAATACTGCTTCCATGAACGATAATTGAACTAAGAACCAAAAAGCAAACGACAGGCCACATTACTTTAACAACATAATAGTTAGCATCACCCTCACGCGGAAGCTCAGCGGTAGGTATGGTTTCGTCATGTTCAAGCTCAGCTCTAGCCAAGAGACAAGTATATATCGCACCAACACCAATAGGACCAAAGTGACCGGCAAACAAAGCTTCTCTCCAATTGATGACGTCTGGGATTAATCTTTTAAAAGCAAGGACGGCAGGAATTCTCCTTGCGACCAGAACACAGATGGCCAAAACTACAAGGCGCCAAACACTAAGATCCAATTCAGGCATATGGAACTGTTCCCAAGGCATAATAGCACCAATATAAACAAAGAATGAAAGGTTGAGAAGCAAATCAATAACGTTGGAGACATGGGACTCTTCTGTTTTTTTTGAAAACCATTTGTCCCAAGAAAAAGCGGCACCGGCGCAGAAAGCAACAAGTAGATCATCGACGCCAATAATCGTACCTATACCACTACAAAACACGGCCAAAACAAAGTAAAATACAAGAAAACTTTCACGATCCATCAAACCCCTACGTTCTGAAAATTTTATAGCCTTGCGAGCTATTACGCCAATAACAGCTCCAAGAAAGCAGCCAAAAACGCACTCATAGAGAATAATAATTAGTACCCAATCGCGTCCAGCATGTCTAGCTGGCTTGTCGATAATTAAGTAGAGACCGAGGTATAGAAAAGGGATTGCCATGCCATCATTACATCCAGATTCGGCCAGAAGCATATTTCGTAAATGACCAGGAACCCGACGAGCGAATTTTCCTCTGCCGACGATAGACGATGCTAAAACGGGATCTGTCGCGGTTACACACGCAGATATAGTAAGGGCTTCGAGAAAACTGAGACGGGGAATCAGAGCATACATAAACCCACAACAGACCAGCCAACCAAATACCATAACAGGAAGCAGCATAATTAACATGCTACGCCAGTGTCTCAGCATATAAGCCCGTGGAAGCTCAACACCTGCAGCAAACACCTGTACAATTAACAGGATACGAGCAAGCTCTAAAGTAATATAATCCGAATTACCCCAACTCGTGGGTACGAATATTTTCGCAACGTGAGGACCAAAAATCAACCCGCAAATCGTCGCAATTGCTATAGAGGTTAGTAACTACTAGAACAGCATGTTATAGAAATGAGTATGAGACACACAGTTACCAGAACAATAAATACCGGTAGAGATGAACTCGCCTAATAGCCGAAAACTTACTAGCTTCACCCATATATAGTTTTTCTTTTATAATCAACGAGCAAAGCATAAAGAGAGAGGTGAACCCTCCCAAGATAGCATACGCTAAGTGCGGTTTACTGATTTCTAGCTGACTCCATGCCATTCTCCAAATTTAACCTGCAATAACGGAACGAGAGGAATCACAAAAGGGATATAAGAACAAGGAAAGGTATAGAACTCCGACGTCGGTTTTGTTTTGATACGTATGCAAGATGTTTGGAATTATTTATGTGTAAACTATGCCAAAGTTAAAACAACAACTGCATTTAAACACAAACACAACAACGTTTATCACTCCAATGGACAATTAACAATTCTATTAGAAATTTTTACAGGAAAAAAGCAAATTAATGGATCAAGGAAAGTTTTTGGGAATTATGTTGTTCTAAAAAATACAGTTGACAATTCTGACAGTTTCCCTTAAATTTTTTGTATAATATTTCTTTGATGTATAAGTATATAGAAAATTCGTGTAATACCAATGTTCGCTAAGACGAAGTAGGCTTTCCTAGCAATTCTTAGCAGCGATCCACCAAAAGGAAGGGAAAGAAAAAGTTGGTTATTTCATAAAAAAAGATCGCTTATTTATATTGAAGGATCCATTTCTTCATTTAACGTAATTGACATATTGAAGAGCGCTATATTTTCTTACCTTGTATAGGCGTTCACAAGCATTTGCAAAATTACTATTTCGTTCGTTTCTTAAAAGTAACTTTTTTGTTTGTACAGTTTTGCTAAGGAGATTGGCAGTACAGTGTCCTTTTCCTTAAAGTCGAGATATTGCTCTTGTGCTTAAATATAATTTGTTTAATTCTCTTTGGGTTGATTTTGGTTTGCTCCACTTTGGTTTTTATTGCCAAAACAGAAAAAAGGTGGATTTTTTGCGTCAAATAGATTTCAATCAACAGGCTTTTGAATTTCGTGAATATCAAGGTTTTGTTGACGATTCTTGCCGGATCCTTGGCACAGTACTTTTATTTGTTCCTCTTTGCTAATTTATCAGGCTACAATAGAAGTCAGTAATACATTCAGGATGCCCATGGAGGCCAAAAAAATTGTCATCAAAGGGTTTGACCCTCTGAAGTCTAAACAGCGCCAAGAAAAGTATTATAATGTTATGATCCAACAACTCGATATTGCTCTGCAAGTCATTATGGCAGGATTAGGTCTAAAGACAGGTTATCAAGAGTTATATTCAGGTGTGGAAAATCTAACCAAGGCCAGCCAGGCTTCTCGTTGCTTCACTTTATTGCAAAATCACTTTACATCTGGTATTCAGCTTCTAACAGATGCTTGCTTGGCCTCCATTTCCCACAAGACGGACGATATCAATGCTTGCTCCATCGTTGTCCGACATTGGAAGCAATGGATGGAGCGTGTAGAAACTGTTCAGAACGTATTCTATTACATGGATAAAACGTTTCTAGCAAAATCTTCAGACTTTCCTACGGTAGAAGATTTCGCTCTTTCTTTGTTTCGTGATAAACTCTTGGCTTCCAAGGCCATTCAAGTTCCTTTTTTGAATGACGTTCTGAAACTTTATGAAGATATTCATTGCGCAAAGCCTATTGATCGTAGTTGCCTACAAGAAGCAATGTCAATGCTTCATCGTGTCAAATCCTATAGTCCCGTGTTTGTACCAATGTACCTTGTTTTTTTGAACCAGTTCTATGAATCCCAATCCGAGGATCGGATGAAATCGTTACCAATGAATGAATACTTGATGTATGTCCAACAATGCCTAGATTACGAATCTGTGCTGATTAACGAATTTGATTTGGTTCGCCATCAAAATGATATTCTACAAACATTACAGAAGCGTTTGATTCAAAGCCATTTATCTACCTTGGTTAATGGCATTCAAAAATTTGTGCAAGAACGCGATTTAAATTCGTGCAAACTTTTATATTCTCTACTCCAATTGACTTCAGAAACTTCTCAGTTAGTCCAACCGTGGTCTGAATGCCTCACCGAAATTGGGTTTCAGCTTGTAAATGATGAAAAAAACGAAGACCATTTAGTTCCTAATTTACTGTCTTTGCATACTTTTTTGCAGTCCGTTGTAGAAAACGCTTTTTCGAACGATGAAGCTTTATCATACGCCATGCGTAAATCATTCGAAACTTTTATAAACGGTGCATCAGGAAAACGTAGAGAAGCTCCAGCTAAGTCAATTGCAAAGTATATTGACTACTTACTGCGGTATGGTGAGCAGGTAACCAATGGCACTCCTCTACAGCAAATTTTTGAAACTCTACTAGATATATTTCGATATGTTTCAAGTAAAGACGTCTTTGAAGCGTTTTACAAGCGTGATATTGCAAAACGCCTTTTACTCAACAAATCAGCAAGCTCACAAAACGAGCGTATGCTATTGGAAATGCTAAAAAGGACGTGTGGAAGTCAGTTTACGCACGCTTTGGAAGGAATGTTTAAGGATATCAACCTGTCGAAGGAGTTTTCAAGTTCGTTTAAACAGTCAAAATTGTCCAAAAACCTTCATCGAGACCTCTATGTGAACGTTCTGTCCCAAGCCTATTGGCCATCGTACCCGGAAGGACATGTACGTTTGCCGGGGGACATGCAAGAAGATTTACAGCAATTTGAGAAATTTTATTTAACGAAGCAAACTAGCAAACAAATTCGATGGCTTCCTTCTCTAGGGCATTGTCTCGTGAAAGCGCGATTTCCTCTTGGCAATAAAGAGCTTAGCATTTCGTTATTCCAAGCATGTGTTTTGTTAGAATTTAATCGATGCGCGTCTGGGGAGGGTATTACGTATCGGCAACTACAAAAATCGACAGAACTGTCGGACGCGGATTTGACGAGAACTTTGCAATCCTTAAGCTGCACTCGTGTTCGACCGCTTTTGATGGACCCAAAGGGAAAAGTTCCAAAGCCGGACACCACTTTCTATGTGAATGAGGAATTTACAGATAAGCTGTATCGTATTAAAATCAATCAAATATATTTGAAAGACGAACGACAAGAAAGCGAAGAAGTTCAAGAACAAGTCGTTCAAGACAGGCAGTTTGAGCTGCAAGCCACGGTAGTGCGGATCATGAAACAGAAAGAAAGACTTCGTCATGATCAGCTCGTGCACATGACTATTGAGAGTTCAAAGGATCGTGGTGTTCCACCCGTTTCTGATGTGAAATCGACTATTGAAAAGCTCATTAACAAAGAATACCTGGAACGAGCAGAAAATGACGAATATGTATATGTATCTTGAGAGAGAAAGAGAGAAAGATTAAGAAGGTGTTTTCTTTTTATTAATGATGAAAATGAGCATGAAAGGAAACTAACAATTTACCAATGTTTATTCTTTCCTTTCCTTTGCTTTGCTTTGTTTACCCTCCAAAGTCACAGGCTATTTGACTGTATGGAGATTTCACATCGTCCATCCTTCATAACTATAACCGTGACCGTAACCGTAACCGTAACCTTTTGGCAAACTTCTCCTTGAGCAACCGGCCGATAGGCAATTTGGTAAGGTGGGTAGCATCTAATAAGGTTTCCCTCGTTCGGACGAAACAAAAGCTAATCGATATGTAAATAATCTTCTGATGATAACAAAATTAATGATCATTAGTATAATAATAACCATTATAATTATTATTATTATTACTATAATAGTTATATAGTGATTAAGAATCCAGAGAACAGCAAATCATAAGGCTTCAGTTTCTGTATCTCACTGCATCCTTCCAATACCAATGCAAGGTACGCTGTATATTTTACCCTTGCGAACGCTTCGACCATTCAATTTCATCTCGTCGGCCAGGCGAATTTCGTACGACACATAAGAATGTAATCCATTCGCTTAGATGCAATAACGTTCATTTAGTGTTCAACATGACGTGTCCTTCAGGACAAGATATTGCTTAAATGAAAACAAGTTACATCACAACCTTCGCTTTACGCAACGTGATACTATTTGCTACTCGGCACATTACCATTGACCGAGTAGCCCACGGAATAATTTTTGCAAAACGCGATAAATGCTAAATCCGGAAAAAAAGGAAAAGGCTCAAATATTCAATTCTACAGATAGACGAAGTGAACAAAAATAGATATATCAATAAAGTAAATAACTATGTAAAAAATCGTTAAAAATAAAGTAAAAACAAAAACTAAACCTTTATGCATCAACAGCCAACTTGAACTGATACCCCAAAAAATCTTAAAGATAATCCGGATCTTTATTTGTTTACATAAACCGCGTCGCTGTCTGAAATGCGGAGTTTGTCCCTCTTGCAAGCCTTTCGCTAATTGGTTGTCACCTGTTCTGCATACCCCAACAAAAATGCTTTAAAGGTTAATGTGGTGAGCAATTGAGGGTACAAAAATCCTTTTTTTAGCAGTCATCCTGTTCTGGCTTTCCAGTGGTCTAGAGGTATAAGAGTATCTAGACTCGACAATTTTTTTATATTCCACTTCAAACCATAACCTTTCTTCTGTATACACATTTTCTTGAAAGCAAAAGAGTCCAAGGAAGGATTCCTGTTTGCAAAAATCATATTTGCGTAATAAATTAGCTTAGCTGTGGGGCTTTTTTATTACTGTCTACTTTACGGTTATCAGATTTGGTTTATAGTGTGATTTAACTTTTCCCTCCCCCTTTATTCAAATTTTATTTAAATCTTAGTACCCAGGTGAAGTGGGTTTGGTCGTTTTCATTTTGTTTTCTTTTTTCTTTCGTTAGTTTTTGGAAGAAATTCATTTAAGTTATCATTAAAAAAGGTTACTTACAGTGTTCATTGTTGGATCCAAAAGAGAACAACTAACTCCTCGTTTGTTTTTTCTTTCCCCTCCCTTCTTATTCAATTTTAGATACTTCCCCCTCCTCTCTCTCTATCTAACAGTATATAAACAGTCCTTCCTTTTGAAACCGAAATTTAATATAAAATGGCCTTGGCAAAGCTTCTTTCTCAATCTTTGACCAGACGCGTCGCAGGTTCCGGTTTCGGTTCGCCGTTTGCCAGAAGGTCGCATTCTTCTGTGTTTGCTTCCAAGACATATATCTCTCCTAAGGCACGCTTTTTCAACACTTCCAGTCCTAAAAGAAATGCATCATCAGCCAAAGATGCATCTCCTTCCCCTTCTTCACCTTTTAAGAACCGCTGGAAGCTCGCTAAGCGAGTTGGTCTAGGTATTGTAGCTGCTAGTGTGTTTTTCTATGGTGTTTCCATCTATAACTTTCGTCATCCCGATCCTAAACAACCTTTCCCTGATCCTTCTAAAAAGACTCTTGTCATTTTGGGTGCTGGTTGGGGTGCTACTTCCATCCTTCGAACCGTCGATAGCTCTCTCTACAACGTAGTCGTTGTTTCCCCAAGGAATTACTTCCTTTTTACCTCTCTCTTGCCCTCTACTGCTACCGGTTCTGTCCACAGCCGCAGCATTGTCCAACCAATTCGCTATCTTCTTCGTCACAAGTCTCATTTTGTCAGGTTTTATGAGGCCGAGTGCTCCGATATCGACAAGGATGGCAAAACAGTCGAGATTAGGAGAAAAACTTCTGATGGTCAGGAGTTTGTTCAGCAAATTAACTATGATTACTTGGTTTGCTCTGTTGGTGCTGAGACCCAAACATTCGGCATCCCCGGAATCGAAGAGCATGGTTGCTTTATGAAAGAGATGTGGGATGCCCAAAAGATTCGCACCCGCATCATGAAGTGTCTTGAACAGGCTCAGTTCAAGGACCTTGATCCTGAAACCCGTCGCCGTTATGTTCACTTTGTAGTCGTCGGTGGTGGTCCTACTGGTATGGAATTCGCCGGTGAAATGGCTGATTTCATCAACGCTGATCTTAAATCTTGGTATCCTGAACTTGCTAACGATTTTTCTGTTACTCTCATCGAAGCTTTACCCTCCGTTCTCCCCATGTTCAGTAGCAAGTTGCGTGAATATACCAAGTCTCTTTTCGCTAAAACCAACATTAATATCAGAACCCAGACTGCCTTGAAGAAGGTGACCTCAGATAGCATCATTGTCGAAGTTACCGATCCAGAAGGTAATAAAGTTGAAGAATCAATTCCTTATGGACTCTTAGTATGGGCTGGAGGCAATAGACCTCGTCCTCTCATCAAGAATCTCATCGAGTCTTTGAACGAACAAACCAATCGCCGTGGTTTGATTGTCGACGATTACATGCAAGTCAACGGTATGCCAGACGTCTTTGCTCTCGGTGACTGCACTTCTACTGCTTACGCCCCTACTGCTCAGGTGGCTTCTCAACAAGGTGCATTCCTTGGTCAGCTTTTCAACAAACTTGGCTCCCTTGACTTCGAGAAGCCTCGTGTCGACAGACATATTGCCATTGGCGAGGAATTAGATTCTGCTGCTCTTATCTCTCTCGCTAATGAAAAGCATGCATCTACGAAGGTATTCCGTCCTTTCAAGTATTCTCACCAAGGTTCTCTTGCCTATGTTGGTCATGAAAAAGCAATTGCTGATTTGAATGTTCCTTTCCTCGATAAGCAAATCCATGCCAGCGGTTATCTTGCTTTCTTTTTCTGGCGCTCTGCCTATCTTTCAGAATTATATTCCCTTCGTAACCGTACCAACGTTTTGTTAGATTGGATCAGAACTTCCCTATTTGGCCGCGATATTTCTTCCCTTTAAACATCTCCCCACTCAAGATATGTAGATCTTACTTTGGGCTTATTTTAAAGTCATCTTTACACTAAAGTGCGAAGTTGATTTCAAAAGAGCTAGCAACAGTCTGATTTTAAGTCTCGTTTTATTACTTACATACAGGTTTCTTTTTTTGTTTGTATATTCTTTTATAGCTATTAACTTTTCAATACATTAGATTATTCGTATAAAATTTCGAAGTCACGCTTTAGAGATTGCCATATGTTCAAACCTTCCTCTTCATACTTGATGTGCTGTTTGCAATAGTCAATGTAAGGGTTCCCGAGTATTGTTATGTAGTTCTGTAGATACTGAATTTCTTCTTGTAGGGATTGATCAATTCGGAACCTTTGCCGAAGGGTATCGGCATAAAATTGTTTTTTCTAAACCCTGTGTTAAATAAACTTCTAGTAATAATATTTACCTTATGCAAACTGTTTTCAATTCGGTTTTCGGGGCTCCTGTCAAGAATAGCAGAGCTTCTTCCATTAGTCGAATCGTTTATCGTAGCTTCTCTTAATAAATTCTCATCATTAGATATTAAATGTTTAACTTTGGTTAAATCAGAACCAAATGGGATGGTCATTCTCTCAATCAATTGCTAATTGTTAAAACCCATATACATACACTTTGACATACCCTTAATGATATAAGCATCTTGGTTTCCCGAGTAAGATTAATTATAAATGAATTCTTCAATGTAAAACTTCGTTGATGCAGTAATGTATCAATATTGTAGGCATGCCTACTGACCAAAGACATGGTATTGCTTTCTCTTTGGGCAAAAGTAGAATTGAAAACTCGATGATAGATACCACTGTCAAGTAAGCAGCTAAATAAATTAGTAAAATGAAATTCAACTTTTATACTCACTTAAAGGAGTTTTGTAAACGATTGATATCGTCATGAAGGTGATCCACTGTACAAATAGCTTTTTCAAAAATTTTAATAATATTGACCTGATTATTAATTGCTATTGTACAAGCAGTACCAGCTTTTAAAAGCCGCTCTTTACATGATTCCGATACATCAGGTACAGAGTCCATTGGCTCTTGAAGAATGGAAGCGATGCTTCCTTTTATGAGGGTAGAATTTTCTTTTCTCCAGTTTTTGAACACCTAAGACAGTTAGTATTAAGTTCGTATAGATTCCTCCTTTTTAGCAATGTAAGCTCGTACATTAGGCTCTTTGAAAAATACTTGAACAATTTCGTCTTCCGAAAAGATTGGATGATAAGCAACGTCATTTACAAAATCATATAGCCCCTGTCTTCTATGTTCTAAAAATGTGTTTCTGCTGGATGCTGTTCGTTTGGCAACTACATCTGTTAGGAGAAAGCATCGCCAAAGCATGGAATTACTTACAATGGAACTTTTTTGAAGCTATAAATATTGTTAAAATTTGAGCGGAAGCAAACCATTTTTACTTACGTAGTAAAGGAACTCTTCTCCAAGGGTATTTTTCCACAAGGTACGAGTGAAGCCTAAAGATCCGTTAGTATTCTTGAGTACTTGAAGTAGAATACACGGACGATAGTACATACCAATAAAAGTCACTATATCGCCTTAACACCTCTCGAGTATTGCGTGAATCTGAAATTATGTAATTGTTATGGCGGTAAAAGAGAGAGCCACTAGGTTCAAGATCAATATCAACGTTTAGCTCGTTTTTGTTAAAGAAAGGATCCGTATGTGTATATCGCCGACTAAAGTTACGTTGGTTGTTCTTTGATGAATCTATTAAAGACTGAGGCAAAGAATCTAACGAAGGCTCTGTGAAAGGTTGAGACAAATAAATAGGAGAATTGGTTTTACCAAAGTTATCATGTGTAGTCTTTCTCGGAGGATAAGATGTATTTTCGGCAGCTCCCTCCCTTGGAGAAGGAGACGTATCGGGAACAACAGGGGCTGATTCTGAAGAAAAAGAAGAGGAAGGCCTGTATGGATTATCATAATTGTATAAAAACCCCTTTCTTTCTGTAGGAGAAGGAGTAGAAGGAAAATTAGGGAAAGGGGAAATATTTTGTAATTGCGGAATAGAGGAGACAAGAAATGGGTTTGAAGATGTTCTACGAGAGCTAATCGTGGAAGGATGAGAGAAGAGGGGTGCTTCAGTTTCATTATGAAGAAGAGACGGGTCTAGGTTACACCTTTGAAGGATAGGTAAAACTGAAATGAACAGTTAGTAATTCATCGATCGAAACCTGAATATAGAAAGTTTACCATTTCTTTGCTTTTGAAGTTGCTCCAAAGTAGTGGGAACTCCGAGTTGATAAAAGGCGGCAAGTGCTAAAAGGGCAAAAAACTGTCGTTGTTGCAAGGGTTCGCTCGTGCACTGGATCAAGTCGAAAAATTCTGAAATAACTTGGTCAGGTATTCCAAATATTTTGGAGTATAGAGACGGGTTTGGGTAAAGAAATTGATCAAGGTTTTGAATTTCTTCCCAGCATTCTTTATACTGAGATGGAATTGACGAGTTTCCTAGCACTATTAGAAAAAGTTTCCTACTAACTGGCTTCTATGCATACCTAAAGCGGTTTCAAAAGTCAGGGGTTTGATGGGAGATCCCCAAGTGCTATTTGAAGCCCATGGATCTGGTTCCATAAAGACATTATCACTCATAGCAATTAATATATATCAGCATAAACGAAATTTCTTCTTTTTATTAAGTTAATGTCTTATTCTGCGAATACCATAGAATAGTACAAATGTTACGTTACAAACCGACAGAATTCCTCAATTTTTTCCTGGAAAATTACGGCAAATAAATATTTCTAATAAATTGTACAATAATCCTCTTATTATCCTTGAAAACTCAAACAATAAAGGGAATTGAAGTCGGTTTTAAAGAGGCCTTCAAAGAAGCATTTGGTGGTGGTGGTAAGTAACAACATGATGAAAAGTAACGCAGCTATGTATGTAAACAAAAATATTAATTAATAGAGAATCGTTTTATACACTAGGAAGCTCATTCAGCTCTTGTTCCAGAGAAATTCAAAGTATGTAAGTCAATAGAACAATTATTCGTATTTCGTGAAAATACAATGAACTTGTTCACTAGTTGATGTTTTCTATTTTCATTCTCGTTCCAATTTTGAGGATCAACGAAGCATTCTGATTCATGCAAGTAAGCTTAATAATTTGCATCCATCCCTTTAGTTGACTGAATTGCTCCTTCTGAAAATATGAACAAAGATGAGTACGCTCTCGAATTGAAGTAATCAATCTTTTCTGCGTTCGTTCAGTCATATCGGAAGAGAAATACTTTTTATGTTTTCTCATTAGAAAGGTAAAAGCTCAGTTACTTTAAGAAACCTTCCCTACCCTCTTTTGAATGGAAAGTATAGACATACAGTCCATAAGAATAATCAAATGGCATTACACTTGGAAGCATTCGCTGTCAATGGATACATATTCTTAATTCATTTAACATGAATTATGTGTAGTTTCTTTAAGCATTCCTTACTGCTGTTAATTATGGAAAGCCTAAACAGAAAACGTCAGCATACCAAAACACTACTGGGTAGCTTTCAAGTTCCTTGATGAAATCAGCTTCAGCTTCATCTTCATCTTCATGAGATAATGGCCTTTCGTATGTATTTTGTAGCACCTCTCAGCTTTAGTGCTTGTTGAAATTTCGTTTCTTCTTTACAAGCTACGTGCAGCGTGTTACTTAAAATCTAATTAATAATGAATGAAATAGCCTAATACTTACAATACATATATTTCAGAGCTTAGGTGGTTTCATAATAAATAGGCTTGTCTCTCGCTCTGCTGCTTTCCTTTCTTCTGGCTGTATAGCAGCAACACAATGTCAGTGTGTTATTTAATATAAAGGCATTGTCAATTTTTTTTGGAATTCTTTCTTCTATTGAAAAATACTATCATTTAGTTACTAGAAAGTGAATTGAGGATCGCTTAGTACGTGGCCAAAGAGTTTGGGTTGCATTTGCAGTATTCTTCGAAAACGCGCGATCTTCGCGCGTCATGCAGCGTTCGCAAGACTTTGATTTAATTTTTGATTCCTACGACTTTGGAAAGAAAGGAAAAGTATGTGGATTCGAGCATTCTGGCTTCCAATTGAATCCTTGTTGAAACAACATCATTGGAACATTGCTAACAAATTGTAGATTAGCTTAAACAAATTCCTTTCGGTTATAGATGACATTGAGCTTCTACGTTCAACTTCTGCTCCTCCTCTTTTAAACGAATTCCAAAAGCGTGCTACATCAGAGTTTGTCCAAAAGAACCCGGATCTCTCCATTACCAAGGAAAATCTACGAGAAGTATACTTAAAGCTAGTACAGTCGAGTAAAAGTGGAAATGCTGACACTGAGAAAGACCCCGTGGAGCAAATTGTCTTAAAATCAGTTCCTTTAGTACAGCACTCACAAGCATCATCACCTGCTCAGGAACATGCAATGGAGGATTCCTCTTTTGACTCCATCGAAAGTCCGTCTAAGATTCAAGCTCAAAAGCTTCTTCTACCGACTACTTCAAAACAACTAGAGATGAAATCCCCCAATATCATCAGTACCCCTTTTGCCCACTCGACTCCGCTCACATGGTATGCAAAAAAAAAGAAAATGGTATTTGTTACTAATAATTACAGGAATCCTCTACCTTCTGCCGCTGACAGGGTAGCCAACCAATTCAGCAACTATGGTATCGAAAATAATACAGTCAAAAGTCAAAACTTGCGATTGAAGGAACTCCAAGATTCTCTGGATCAAGCAAGAGATCAAGCCAGAAATAAATCTAGAATTGTCGATCTGTTAAATGGAAAAATTGACGAATTGACTCACTACCTAGGTTCCCTTGAAACTCAACATAGAGAAATGAGTTTAACACAAGAGGCTCAAAATTTGCAAATTAGAAAACTCAATAGTAAAAACGAAGCACTAGGAGCAGAAAATGAGAACTTTCAATCGGAGCTTATAGCGAAATCAAATGAACTTATCCATGGAAAGAAGCAACTTTCCATTATAGAAAGCAAATATGCGAGTGCTTTGGAAGAATTAGAGAAAAAAGCAAACAGCTTCAACGAATTATACAAAGCTGCTTCTGAGTCGTTGTTAAACGAAGATGCTTTATCAGGACTAAAGTTTGAGAACCATAAATTACAAATCCATTGCCAACAGCTAGAGGGCGAGTTGGAAGTGTTTCGAAAGGGAAAATTTAGCAGTTTAGAAAAAAAGTCTTTAGACTCTCCTTCGCCTAGCAAGTTTGAAAAACTCACTGTTTCTTCTCCTACCCCTTTTTTGTCAATACCCTTTTCTCCTGTGAAATCATTCGTTGAAGAGGAAACTAACGAATCTCCATCTAAGAAATATCAAGTGGAACCAAAAGAAAACCTTTACAGGGATTTGGTAAATCTGACAAGCTCTCTTGAGACAGAACGTTTACGGAACAAAGAATTGATTTCCGGATTCACCATACTTTCAGAAGAAATTGGAATACAAAAGTGGATCATACAGAGCTTATCAAACATGTCCCCTCTTTTGCATGAATTTAAAAAACGATATGAAATCTCGATGCCCGGACTAGACGACTCAAATACACCCGAGTTATATTCGAGCATTCAGTCTAGTAGAGAAGGTAGTGTTATAGACGAAGATGAACTTACCCCAGGCTCTTCATTTACAAACCAGGTTATTTCATTCATTGACGAACATCCAGCTTCTCCATCGAATGTCATTCTTTCCGAAAAAGTTAAAATAAAGTTAGCAGGTTTTACAAAAGTCAAATGGCGGTCGGTGATTGTTCAGTTTTTCATGTCCTTATTTCTTACACTTCAGGATTTTTGCTATATTGTATTAGCAGCTTTTTGTCAGCAAATAATACGACTTCTACTGTCATTTTTCGAAGATTTAATTCAAATATCATATAATGAAAACAACCTGGCTCAACCTTCATGATGAATGTATGCCTAATGAACGCAATTATATTAATGAGGGCGTATCTGCCAATCTTTTCCTAGGAAACAACTACTAATGTGCGCTTAATAAACATAATTATAATCAGTGCTACAAAATTAATTTTCGAAAGTGTCGAGGATCATCAATCAAATCATAAATTCATAGGACTCATTCAAGGTATTAGTGTCGTGACAACGTATCATAGCTAGTTTATAAGACATAAATATTCTTGTTTTCTTTTACAACATTTTGAATCATTAAGCAACTCTTTTCCGAGATTTTGATGTAGATGAAATGATCAAGTAAGTAATGAAGGTTGTACATATCCCAGTAAACCAAAACAGGGCGGTAAAAACGAAAAAAGCGGATACCTTATGTGTATACATGAACCATCTAGAAGTATTATATTAGCAAAATCTTATCTGAAGATTTAACAACATACCGCATGCCGTGTAGTTTGGATGCAAAAGCTAGAGTTGCATCATAAAACTCAATATCCTTAGAGTGGATATGAATACTTGCACTCTTAGGACTATCACCAACATAGAAACGTGAAGATAGTGTGTTAATTGCACTGCGATGTTTCCCAAACATTTCAGACTCCAAAAGCTTTACGCTTACTGTATCCCGCTCTTCTAAGATCCCCGCTAGATAAAGAGGAAAGCAAAGTACGAGCTTCAGCTGTTCGTGTATACTTGAATAATGTGGAAAAAGGACCGTTCTGGAAACAGATTTTATCGTTGTCTGCTCGGTTCTTCCATGAAAGTCGACTGAAATCATGAAATTTCCTACCTCTCGGTTACGTCGAGAACGGGGGATACTCAATTGAAGGATAGATGTTCCAGGAAGCCTAGGATCTATGCTGAAGTGATCCAAATTCACTTTGGCATAGGGGTAATCGCTTCCAGTTCTGTATACATCAATGTGTCAGCATCCTCAAAGAAAGCATCAACCTAGAAACTTACGTGTAATTAAAATATACAGGATATTGTACCACTGCATGAGGAATAACCGTGTCATAAAATATTATATAACTAACGAGACTAGGAATAGAAAATAGAACAATAATAAGGATCCCAACAAATAACTTAAATCCACCTATAAATGAACGTAACCAAAGCTTCATTCTCTTCGTTTCGATACAAATTCCATATAGTTAGAGGCGACAATAAAATACGAGAAGCATGGATTCGGCTCTTCCGCGCGTCCGTACCGCGGCAAAAGTCACCACCAGAAGGAGGCAAATTATTGTAATAAAATCAAAAAGGACGTAAAAATCCATTTGACCACTTCATAATCCTTACAGAAGATAAAACTTTGTGTCAATAGGAAATAGACTGAGAATCAAGCGGTTCTCTTGTATGTATTATAATTCAAGATTAACGGCAACAATAAGCTTTATTGTCAAACAACAAACTCGTAATCGTAGGCGTTATAAACTTTTGGTCTTCTTCCTCTTATGCATTGCTTAAGTTCGCCTTGATCTTTAAGAGTTAAAGGAAGATATTAACCATTATTTATTTGTACTTAGGGGATAGAATATATTTATTTTTTGGGTTTTATTAGGATTCTTTTTTCTGATGGATACAATTCCTGAATTTTTACAAAAAGTTAAACAGCAATACTTGCAGCAAGTCAGCTTGGATCAGTTTCAGTGGGTAACATCTGACAACGAATGGCTGACGTTGGCTAAGCCCTTTGCACAGGCTTATTTAAGTGAATTTTTGTATCCATCTATCTATACTAAGTTATTTTTGAAATCCTATTTTCGACTACTTGATATACACTGTCAAAACCATGCGGAGCCCAACGAGACGCTTTTGTACATATACATAGAGTCACTCTCGAGCAAGCAAATACCTCCTGTGCAATATACCTTGGGTGATTATTCAGTTCAAGTGTACGAGTCTCAGAATATTTTGTTACGAGAAGGGACCACTGGCACACGTACTTGGGAAGCTGGAATGGCTCTTGCGGAACTGCTATATCAGAACCCTATACCTCCAGGGACCCGAGTTGTGGAACTTGGTGCTGGTACTGGCTTAGTCAGTATATTATGCTCAAAAATGGGAGCTTCTGTATTGGCCACTGACGGAGATAATAAAGTTTGTCAGGGTGTAAAAGAAAACGCTCATATGAACAAGTGTGCGCTTTCTGTTCAACGCTTGCTTTGGGGTGTTGATCCGCCTGTTTACGCTGAGCTTGTCCTTGCATCAGACGTTGTAAGTTGATTACGTTCATTTAAAAGACGTACTAACTGTTTGCGTTGCCCTGAAATACAAAATATTTGTCATATGAGCATCCTTGGACACATGGCAAATATTTTCATTCAGGGCATCCTGATGTTTAGACATACGAAGGTGATTTACGATGTTTAGCGACTACGATGAATGACCTTACTCAAGTCAATCCTCGTTGTAAGATTCTTTTAGCCGCTGCACTTCGAAGACAGGAAACAATTGATAACTTCTTACAGTTGATCCCCAACTTTAATGTACGAGTTTTAACAAACAAAAATTACACAAAGCTCCTTTATTACAATAGTCCTCCTGTTATTTTCTATGAGATTTCCCGGTAAAAATGGGTTTGTTATTTTTATAAAAAACATCTTTAATGGTATCAGAGTGGAGTAGCCTTACAAGGATGAAAAACAGTTTCTTAATATAGAATTGCTGTAATAGTATTTGAAGATAAAAAAGATCTTCTGAGTTCTATACATTTCATTATAGTTTTTAAACGACATTCTTGACAGTAGACTGTTTTGTACTGAGCAAATATTAGAGCGTAGCTTATTACTTTATTTTTTTTAGTAAAACATGACGATAAAGTAACTTTTTGCGCAAATTTTTAAATCATTCTTCATCCATTTGAAATTGTGTTTCTTCGTCCAACGCTGAATCATATGGAAGCTGTTTTTCGTTTGCTTGGAATGGAGTTTTTAAGGCTAAATCCTCTTCACGTGTTTTTCCATTTACATTAAGCTTTGCTTCGAAAGCCTCAGATATAGCAGACAGATTGGAATGCATTGCTTTTGTATGGTTAAGATTCAACGAATCTTGGGATATTTTTGAGATTGCAGCTGGTGACACTCTAGTAGACGTATTGTTTCCTTCCTTATTTCGTTCAAAGAAAGCAAAAAACCTACTCGAGGTTGGTGTTCCATTAACCGAACCGAAGGGTGTAGCATTATTGCTACTTAAACCAGATGACGCTTTCGATATAAATCGATTTGTAGACGAAGAACTGGGAAAATCATCACCGTGACTCATTTTTCGTTCTAGCTCAGCCGGAGTTAGGAGTTCTTGCAAACTATTAGGGATAAAGTCTTCTTCATTAGCAAATTCGTCAGCTCCATCAGTGCTTAACAATTCATCTTGAGATGTTCCTACAGACGAGCCATATAGCGATGTTGAAGGGAATAAACTTTGGGACGCAGACAATTTACTAAAATGAGTCTTATCTGTGTTTTTTGAATTATAAGCATGAAAATTTGATGGACTTGTTCCGAGGGTAGACATCAGGTTAGGGACACTTCGACGACTAGGGAATGCATGCACATTATCGAAAGATGCAGACGAAGAATAAAGTAAGCCACTATTCCCTAAATTTTTCAAACCGTTTGATCCATGTCCGGACACTGGAGGTGGACTTTTTGCAAAGCGTCCAATATTGTTAGTTCCGGCATAAGTACCGGATGATATTCTAGGAAGAATAGAGGCACTTTGGGAACGATCCAAAGAAGGCGACCTTAAACAAAAGGAAAAAGCATCTTGAGGGAGTAATTTGAGATTACGCACACCCGTGCTCAACGAATTCATTGGTAAATAAAACATTTGATGATTCTCTGGGGTTAAAGGAGGAGAGGATAACATTCCAGGACCCGAAGAAAAAGATGAAGATCCTTCAACTAAGGGAGGCTTCATAGAGGGATTAGATACAACTCTTTTTGTTGATGGCAATATGGAGGCATTCATAGATGTATTATAAGCATTAGGTGATGAAGTTTGATCTTGATTATCATTAGTTTTTGAAGGGACAAAGGAAATATTTTCTTGGTCCAAATTATTACTTTCTGGTGGAGCATTTGCTTTTTTAGTAGATTCCACTGACACGGTAGGCAAAGCGTTTTCGCCAGTAGAAGCCATATGCATCGCATTGTATGATTCAATTACAGGTTCCGGTTTTTTCTCTATTGGTGTTTCCATTCTTAGTTCCGAGTCAGCTATTTCTTTCGAAAACCTTGGATTTACCATTGTAGAGGCAACTTGATCTGTAGGATTCATAGGGCCGGCAAGCATTGATGAAGTTAGGGCGCGAGTTTTTACACGTCTTCCATCCGGAAGGATATGTTCTAATGCACATTTGGAGCCGAATTTGCAATTCCCTTTTTGAAAATATTTACAGACAGTTTTTTCGAACGCAGATTCCAAGTCGTGACTAAAAATACAGTTTTTCCCGCTTGTACAGGTTCCTTGGCGAAAGAACTTACATGGAACATGTTGTAAGCCTAGTATATTGATTAGCAGCCGTACAGATATAATACCGCAGAAACTCACTTTTCATTGCGGGTCTAGTGAGGGGAGTAGCTTCGGAATTGAATTCACTCAAGTGATATTTTTTCATATCTTCTGCATTTTTAAAAGCGTGTTTTTTCGTCATCTTCGTTTCTGAGCGATTGGTTCACAATCCACTGCAAATCAACCGTTTTTAAAGACGCAGCTTAAACTGCATCCAAATGGTCTTGGATTACTCCAAAAATAGCTTGTTTTCCGCGAAAACTGAATTTTATGGCTGTCGGAGGTTGTAGCTTGTTATGGTAGCTTGGGCCAGGTCGAACCGGCCTTTAGGGTAAACACTTGATATAAGATGGTGAAAGATACCTCCAACTTTATGAAATTAGGAAAAGAAAGGATCAATTTTGTCATTTGGTGGTAATTTCAATTGTTGTTTATTTTTCTTTACTTTTTTTTCTAAACAAGTTTCATTGGAAAAAAAACATACAAAGATGCAAGTATTCTATACTTTCCTATCTTCATAGAATGAAAGAAATCAGTTATGCATATATATACAAAATGTCTGCGTTTGTTTACTAGTATTCGATCTGGAGTGCTTACTCAAATGAAGACATTTTAATTCGTTCAATATTGGATAATCGTAGTATTTTTATTCGTTACTAGTATTTCCATAGGTATAGCAACTAAAAATAAACTAAATAAAATGATTATAAAAATATGAGTTTTTAACCATCGCAACATATCACATTAGATTACATCCAAAGAAGCTTCGGGTGTTCATCATATCCAATTGCTTTAACAATGTACATTTAGATAACCATGTTAAAGGCAATTATTATTTAATTTCCTTTCTTTTATTAACCAAAGAGATTAGCCAACCCAGTATCCTCATCTTTCGAAAGAATATCACCCTTGTTTGTATCATCTTGTAGACTAACACTTTTTTCGAATCGTTTCAACATTTCTTTAGCGCTCACATCAAGCACAGCTGAGTTCATAGCTCTTCTATCAGTTCTCGGTACAATTCGTCCGGAATTAAGTAATCTCATAAGTAATGCTTTCTGGATTTTCAACGTAGATGCTTCGCGGAATCTATTCGCGAATGTACTTAACAAATTTTCCTGTGATGCCAAAGCTGGAATACTTGCCAAGACTCTAAAGGATGAGTCTGTAATTCCTTGAGAGTAAGAAAGAATTATACAAGCCAGACGGATAAAGTCAGACTGCAATTGCTCAAAGTAAGAATCATTGATAGCCATTATAATAGTTTGAAACACTTTTTGACAAACGAATTCTCGGACTATCGAATGGGTACGCTCTGAGACCAGTAAAGGAACAATAGCTATGAAAGCATTCACAACAAGCGTAACTGTTCTCGAATCATGGATAACTAGCAAATGGCAAAGTGTGCTTAGAAGGGGTTCACAGATGATCGCATTATCCAATACATAATCAGATAGCTTGGAAGATCCACTGGTCGATGACTCTTTCTCCACGAAGTCTGAAGTGATCGTTGAACGAGATTGTGTAGGTGTAATTTGTAAAAACGTTTCCGTAATCAGCTTCGCTGTAGCATATGTAAGATGACGAAGTAAAGATTCTTCAATCATTTCTTCCGAAAGATCTTCTGTTTCCTCAGTATCTTCTTCAACAAGAAGTCCTCTCTCGGTTATACTTCGCCATTCATTCACCAATTTCCGATCCAATTCAGAAAGCAACGGAGGAAGAAGCGGTAATAAACAATCATCACGGAGCTCAGGGGGACAATGCAGACAGTATGGTTTGATAATAACATTGACAACAGATGTCCATTGGTGAAGACTCAAACCAGAAGCATGGTTAAAAAATGAAGTAAGGAAAGCGGTTGATAAACCAGGGATTGCGAAGAATGGTTCCCCAAGTCTCATGAAGGAAGCGATTGCACCATAACAATACTCTCTCAGTCGGCGCAAGAAATGTCCAAAGGAATGTATTAGCTTGTTTGCAGAAACATCCATTTTATATGATTCTTCCAGGAATTGATGCTTGGAAATTTGGCTAACACCATGAAGCCAAAATCGTTCAACTATACTTTTTTGGAGTATCGTAGAATTACGTGTTCCTAACGAGGAGATAAAAGAGGGATCGTAGCAGCAGTGCAATTGCTCAATTAATTTTAATAATCCAGGAACGATGTTCGGAAGGATCACCAACCATAAAGTTTTTTGTTCATCAAATTCAGAAGGATGTATCCGTCTATTGCTGTACGTAGCTTCACAGAACCTACCTAAACATTTAATGGGCCATAACCATTTCCGGCTGTCTTCCAAATCCGTTTGAAAAGAAGATGCATCTGCATCCAGCTCAAACTTCGTATAATCCGCATTATAGGGATATTTTGCAAACAGATATTCGGACATTTGAGGCAGTTTCACGTGGTTTAAAAATTCCACCGGAGTACTTACAGGAGGTTGCGCATCGAGCCAGGTGGAGACAACAGGACCTACCAACTTTTCGAAAAACTCATTTTTGAGAGTATGATTGATATCGGAGAATTGAGAAATTACAAATAAAAATGTTTTCAACATCACAATTTCTGAACCGCTAAGAGTCGTAAACGTGCCAAGTTGGTCAATAGTGCTCTGTAGCTGATCAAATATATTCATCAATGGATTTGGCATTAATTCTCCAAGTCTGACTAATTCAAAGCAACACCTACTTCGCATTTCATTGACTTTCTGAAGATCAGAAAATCCGTACAAGGAGGGTGAGTTATTGTAAGTAACTGCAGAAATGATTTTCTCCAAAACAACTCCAAGCAGATTTGTATTTTCACGAGCCAAAATTGATGTGAACAAAACTAAAACACTAATAAGTCGGGTTATAAGCATAGGATCCTTAAACTCGATCTCAACTAATTGTTTGCACCATAAGAACAAGCTTTGTAAAATAAGTTCATAGGTTGAACTATCAGTTACATTTTCATTCCAGCGTGTGATTCCATGAAGTGAAGCTTCTATGGTTGAAAATCCAACATCCATAATCAAATAAAGAGGAGTTGTTTTCGATGAAAAAGCCATTTCGGATTGAATCTGGTTAATATTGTTCATCAATATATTTTGAAAATTATTTTGAACCCAGCTCAGAGATTCTAATGGCTTTATGGAAACTGTGAGACGAACAATATCAAACATAAATCTTCGATAATTACCACAAAAAGAATGCACAGCAGCAACTCCCTCAACGTCTTCAGCTAGAAATATAGCTATAGGTGACTTAGGAATCATATCAACCACAGCATCTTCGAAACGAAGTAATCGTTCTGAAGCGATACTGAGTAGCTGAGGGTAAACTTGTTGGAATTTATCGTGTTTCGATATTAAAGGATCCCTTAAAGCTAAGACCCAAAAGTGTTGAGAAATGGCACTAATTAATAAGCTCGGATGCCTCATAATTTCAAGGATCAAAGCAGAGTAAGTGTCTAAGAAGTCCAGGTTAATAGCTTTTCGACGACTAGAATCCAAATAGTTGTATTGTCCAAGAGCAACGATGGTTTCGGCAAGTTTCTTAAGCAAGATGTATTCACCAGAAGAAGAAGATAAGTCATCAATTTGTATCGACTGAGATATGTTTGAATATACTTGATGAAGAGTATATAGGCCCTCAGACGAAAGCAATTCTTCTACTGTAGCCCAAAGAGGATCGTCAATTTCCATGCTTCTAGTAACACATATATATATACAATCAATAGCATGCGTTTTCAATTGAAGAGGTCCATTAACTAAAATGTTGCAAATCCGGGGCACAATATTGGCTTCAATGATGGAATCCGTGGCAACCCAAGAAAGACAACTTTTGAAGCATTTCAGACTTTCTAGTGCATCGGTTTCACTTTCAAGTGTCGATGACCAACGGTTCAACCATCCTTCGTTATTTTCGGGAATAGATACAGAATAAGGGAGACCGGATGGATATAACTTGTGAAGAGTGCGAGAAGAGGATAAAACACTGATTAACGCATTAAACAGAACATGAGAGCGAAGGGATGCGACAGGGTCATCATACTGATATAAATCCTCCATGATGCCACGTAATATGAAAGAAGAAAGTTGGCGATGCTCCACGTTCATACCCCAGAGGGATTGCAAAAATAAATCAAAATCTTCTCTCCAAACATGACTATACCAATCTCGTTTCACTATTTCTATAAAGACAGAAGCAAGCTTGTTACGAACATAATAAACGGAGAGAGCATCTGAGTTTTGCAAAGAAAAGGCACAAAGGAATGAAATTAGAGAATGCTTCGTTTGATCATCATAATTCTTCCAGTTACTATTAATGCTTGCTTCGAAAAGGCTCAATGCAAAATGTCGGATCACATGAATATCAATTTTGTACCCTCGAGCTTTTATAACTTCACCATTTAGATTGAGTAATTGGAAACCTGAGCCACTGTTATCGAAAGACTCTTTCAGATTATCTAGTAACTATTGTCATGTTAGTAAGTCCAATAGCTACAATTGATGAAAAGAAGCTTCCACTTACCCCTTGAGCCTCAAATCGAGCTTCTCGACTAGATTCAGGCGCGTGAACAACATTTAATGCTTCTAAAACGCTGTATAAATTGCTTTCGTCCATCAATAGTATGTTACGAAACCAATGATCCGTTCAGCCACGTTTGTTTACTATGCCTTAATTGTAAAAGCAGCTTCTTTTAGCCAGTATGTTAAAAGTTAAAGCTTCTTTCTTTATCAATATTAACAATAAATTATATGTTTTACTTCTATTTTTGAGTCAATAGGTGCTAATCCTTTCCTTTACCGTGTCTGGAGGTTTCCAAGTAAGCGTAGCTTGCCTGCTCACCTACTGGTACTTAATCAAATAGTGTAGTCTACCAAGCCCCCAAAAACATTTAGCGTAAGTTAATTATTATTACGTAAAATAGGTTTAAGAAAATACTCGCTTACATTTATGATAACCACCAAACTCTTCCTCTGCAAATAACACTTTGGTCTCTTATAGCGTATTGTGGCTACCAGTAAATACGTCGATTTCTTTATTTCTACAGATTATTTTCGTGTCTTCTTTTGCTCAAACGAATTTGACTTGTGAAAAGCTTGGGATTTCGCCTTGAACACGCCAAAAGTCCGTAGGTTACCCAGGTTAACTTTTGGTTTCATTCACATTGAACCCATTCAGTACTGTATTCTTATAAAAGCTTAAGAGAGAGAATTCGATTTTCATCCTAAATTGGAAGTTTTAAACTGGAATTGGATTGTTTTGACTGTCTACGAGGATATTAACGAAGAGAAAGTAACTTTGTGACAGATAAAGGCATTGTCGTAGAATATCATGTCTGATGCATATGAAGAAGACGAAGGATTTTTTCAAGAAGAAGAAGACTTTGATGACGAGGTGTTCGAAAACTCGGATTTAGAGGAAGAATTTGATGCTGATAATGTTGTTATCGATGACTATGGATTTACGGTTGAAAAGAAACGACGGAAAGCATACGATGTAGACTACAAAGTGCTTAGTCCTAAAGATCTTAGGGTCTGGCAAAATGAAAAAATAGAGCAATTGACGTCCATTATCACTTTGACAAGAGAGCAAGCATTGGGTTTGTATCGCTATTTCAAATGGAATCGAGAAAAGTTGTTAGAAATGTATGTCGATGACCCTGAGCGAACGCTTCATAAGGCTGGTGTTCAACAAAGTGATGAAAAAAAGCATGAAGTTGCAGAAAAGGAAGGTACATGTTCTATTTGTTTCGATGAGGGCTTGCTTCCCTTTTTCAGTGCGGATTGCAACCATGATTTCTGTCTTTCTTGTTATCAACATTATCTTGTGTCGAGAATTCAAGAAGGAGAAACTATGATTCAATGTCCTGAAGAAGGATGTAGTCAGATAATTTCGCAGCAGTCGATTTTAAACCTTTTAGATGAAAAATTTCACTATCAATTTTCTCGGTTGCTGGATCGATCTTTTGTTGACGATAGCGATATGTTTCGTTGGTGCCCTGCTCCCGATTGTCCTTATGCCATTGAATGTCATGTTTCCCAAAGTAGCTTAAACTCGGTTGTCCCGACGGTAACATGTCTTTGTGGAAAACAATTTTGCTTTGGCTGTGGTCGTGATAATCATCAGCCTGCCATATGCCCACTCGTGAAGGTCTGGTTACAAAAATGTCAAGATGACTCAGAGACGGCAAATTGGATCCACGCCAACACAAAAGAATGTCCCAAATGCTCTACCACAATTGAGAAAAATGGAGGCTGCAATCATATGACGTGTAAAAAATGCAAATATGAATACTGTTGGGTTTGTTTGGGTCCATGGAGCGAACATGGCACGAATTGGTATTCATGTAACCGCTATGAGGAAAAAAGTGGGTCGAATGCCAGAGACGCGCAAACTCGGTCGCGAGCATCTCTAGAGCGCTACCTGCATTATTACAATCGCTTTGCAAATCATGAGCAGTCTGCTAAACTCGATCATCAGTTATATGACAAAACTTATCAACGTATGACCCAGATGCAGGTTGATTCTAATTTATCGTGGGTGGAGGTACAATTTCTGAAAAACGCTGTAGATACCTTGTTCGATTGTCGGCAGACGCTAAAATGGACGTACGCTTTTGCTTATTTTCTTGTGAGAAACAACCAAACTGAGATTTTTGAAGATAATCAGCGTGATCTAGAGCTTGCTGTAGAGAATTTAAGTGAGTTATGTGAAAGTCCGACTTTAGACAAGATGCTTTCTTCCTATAAGCAAAAGGTTCTGGATCGAACAGTGTATGTGCGAAGTCGACGCGATGTTTTATTAGACGACACAGCAAGAGGACTGGCAGAAGGACGATGGGAATATGTCGTTGATTTTTAGCGTATCTGTCATTAAGTTGTAAAAATATCCTTCTTTTTCGTTATTTATGTTCATAATATAATGTCTTTTTGTTTATGATTTCCTTTTTTTTCTGCATAAACGGCATAGGTTGGCATCCACTATGAAGAAAGCTACTTACTTTTCTGGAATCTTTTCTTGTATTTCGCTGTTTACGACTTCGGTTTGTTTACATCTACGTCATACTAAAGATCGTTACCGAACATTGTAACTTTGGTATTTTTAACAAAATATATTGTCAACTTTTGAGAAAATATTATTGAATGTCGTATCGATAGATGTGCTCTGTGTAGTGAAGAAGATGTTGAGTGTAAGTCTTTTTTTTCTTTGCTTTGACATAGATCCATTAACCTAGATGTTCGTCTCTGTAGCTGCATGAATTATGAATTGCTACCCTATATTCTACAATTTTCGTGATGAACTAATATACTTTACTATGGATTCCAAAATTATACATTCCATGTCTTGTTATCTTGTTTGGTTCCATAGAAACCGAATTATACTGCATAAATGTACATCTAGAAAAAAGTGAAGCAGTAGCGAATGGCTCTATACGTTTATTATTTGTCCTCCTCTTGTCATGAATATTTTACATTGTATGTCTTTCCCTCTTCCGTATATCATACTATTCAGTGCTTCTTCTAATTTCCATATCGTACAAAAATTAGTCGGGTATAATTTTTTTATCAGGCGTTCAAAATAAAAATTAGAAATGAAAAGAAAAAAAATAAAAGAAAAAATTGAATAAAATTAACTTAAAGATTTTTGGTAATTGATATTTGTTCCCCTCTAATGCATATAGCATCATACCCCTCTTACGCATTTTCTGGAAAACGAATTGCATATAATAACTACTAACAACACTTACCGTTTACAAACTCCCAAACCACAAAACTTTTATTTTCCAAGGGAAATTAACGTTATCTATTTCAGTTTTACGATACTTTATTTATAAAAGAGCAAGGACTTCAATTATGTCGAATTTGGAAACATTAGCAAAAACTTCTGCGGAAGACATGAATACCGAAACTCGACGTTTAATTGTCGTCTCCAACCGTTTACCGATTACCATTAAGCGTAAAGAAAATGGAACTTATGACTTTAGCATGTCTTCAGGTGGTCTGGTCAGCGCCCTAAGTGGTCTGAAAAAACTAATGACATTTCAATGGTTAGGATGGTGTGGTATGTCATGAAGCAGTATTCCAAGAAAAGGCAATTATGGAGAAAATGGATAGGAAAACGTTGCTGTTTAGTTAATCAGGTTTGAAAGGCCTATACGTTTTACTCGAGTCCAAACTTGTTTTCCTTTTCTTGTGTTTTCATTATGGATCTTCTTAAGCAATAACTAACACAATGTGTATAGGACAGGAAATCCCTGAGGACGAAAAGCCCATGATCGTCGATCGTCTGAGAGACGAGTGCAGTGCAATTCCCGTTTTCTTGGATGATGAACTTGCTGACCGTCACTACAATGGTTTTAGTAACAGCATTTTGTGGCCTTTGTTTCACTACCACCCTGGTGAAATTAGTTTTGACGAGGAAAACTGGGAGGCTTATAAAAAAGCCAATATGGCTTTTGCTGAAGCCATCGTTAAAAACTTGCGCGATGGTGATCTGATCTGGGTCCAAGACTATCACCTTATGATGTTACCTCAATTATTACGTGAATTAATTGGAAATAAGCTGAAAGATATCAAAATTGGTTGGTTTCTACATACTCCATTCCCAAGTAGTGAAATTTACCGTGTTTTACCCGTTCGCAATGAGATTCTTGAGGGTGTCCTGAATTGCGATTTGGTTGGTTTCCATACCTATGATTATGCTCGTCATTTCCTTTCCGCTTGCTCTCGAATCCTTGGACTGAACACTTTGCCAAACGGTGTTGAGTACAATGGTCAAATGGTAAGCGTCGGAACCTTCCCCATTGGCATTGATCCCGAAAAGTTTGGAGATGCCTTACGATCTGATACCGTTCAGGAGCGGATCTCTACCATAGAACGTCGTCTACAAGGAGTCAAAGTCATTGTTGGAGTAGACCGTCTTGATTATATTAAAGGTGTTCCTCAAAAATTCCATGCTTTTGAAGTCTTCTTAGAACAATATCCTGAATGGGTTGGCAAAGTCGTTTTGGTCCAAGTTGCAGTACCTTCTCGTCAAGATGTTGAAGAATATCAAAATTTACGAGCAGTTGTCAACGAACTCGTTGGACGCATTAATGGTCGTTTTGGAACCATAGAATATACCCCAATCCACTTTTTGCATAAGAGCGTTCGGTTTGACGAATTGGTCGCTCTGTACAACATTTCGGATGTATGTTTGATCACGTCTACTCGTGACGGTATGAACTTAGTTTCATACGAATATATTTGTACTCAACAACAACGTCATGGCGCTTTAATTCTCAGTGAGTTTGCTGGTGCAGCTCAATCCCTAAATGGAAGTATTGTAATTAACCCTTGGAATACGGAGGAGCTAGCGAATGCCATTCACGAAGCATTAACCTTGCCAGATAATCAAAGAGATGCAAACCAACAAAAACTGTATCGCTACGTCAGCAAATACACTAGTCAATTCTGGGGTCAAAGCTTTGTTGGTGAATTACAACGCATTCAACATTACAGCCACCCCAAGAGACCAACCCCTGTCCTAAAGACGAAATCTGCGCAAATCCTTTCTATGTCCAACGATTAAGTTGGTAGAGTTGGAATGTAGGCAAGTTCAGTAGCGTTTGGTTCGCTATCTGCTAACTTGTTTACTTTCTAAATTTTTTGTTACGAAAGGCGCGCATTCCTTTACATACATGTACGTTGTGTTTGTGTATGAAGGTTTATGGTTGATGTTAACGTTATCTTTGGATTTTTTTATTACTTTCACTAAGCCAGACTTCAGAACTTTTTCGACATTCCCCTTTTCTTTTCTTGTGTTTATGGTTGGGTTGATTATATATACATATGATTTTTGCCAATTGATAAATCTTTTCGAGTAAAATTATTTACGTTTAACTTATTATTTGCAAAAGTTTATGAAGATATTATGAACATGGACACTCTTGTAGTCGCAAAAAAATGAATACACTAAATTTACTACATCTAGTTTTGGCATAGACAAGTTCGGTTTAGGTAAATCGGTTTCATATTATTCATTCACCGTATTCCTGTTATTTTTTTAACTTAATCGTTTTTTATTTTATATTAATTTTTTTTTTTTTGTATTTGGAAATTTGCGTATCTCTTCCTTTACAATGTGTTCACAAAGCCATGAGGAAAAAACTGTTTTTTCTGCGTCATAGTACCATCATAAGGTAGGTCTGAGTTTTGATGCGAAGGTTGAGTAGAAACTTCAAAAGACCACGTCCCTTGGAGTATATTCCACTAATTTAGTCATAACCACCTTTTTAATTTTTGTATTTTTCCTGAATAATACGACTGGGTTTTAGAATTCCTGAATTTCACTTTGAGAAAGTATTTTCACATATACTGAATTTTGTACAAGTCGTCTGAATCTGCGCTTTTATATTGTTTGCTTTGATCATTAAGATTTCTTGTTCTGGTTAAGAATTACTGTGTATAGTAATCATTCCTTGCGGTTGATTCATCTGGTTTGTTGTAAGGGTAGGAGAAGAGAATGCTAAAAAATGAGCTTAGAACAATGTTACAATGCAACTCAATCCTATGCAAAGGTAGCATTGCACAAGCAACAATCTTCAGATTATGTGGAAGCAATTGTGATGTTTGAAAAAGCCAAAAAAAATATACTTGATAATCCTAGCTTTCTATTTTCTAAAGAGAATTTGGAAGTCCTCAATCCAGAAGAACGACAGTACGCCGAAGCACTTATATGCATGTTGGAACAGCTAACGACGCAAGTTGATCAATTAAGAAACGAGGTTGTGCTGCAAGAAGCTGCACTCCAACAACTTAAAAAGCCTCAATTCAGTACTTATTCACCATACAAGGAAGAAGAAAAGCCGGCGAAGCATCGGGCTACGGCTAGTCAGGAGAGACGAGATTCGTCTGCAGGGACCGAACAGTCCAGCAGTGCTAGTTCCTCTAGTCAAACGTCAATCGCTCCTTCAGTTTCAGCGCACCGTACATCATTACGTCCAATTCCTTCAGAAACAGAGGGTAATAAAGCACCGAAAGCTTCAAAATCCTCGAAGATTAAAAACGCTTTATTTGGAAGCAAATTCCTTACGTCACCCAAAACTACCAATCCTATAAACCCTCCATCTGAAGAATCGCGACGGACGAATGCGAATAAAGCCGCCTTACTTGCTTGGGGGCTATTTTCTCCTTCCAAGCAGAAAGATCATCCATTACCACCTGCCTACATCGCTTCGAGTGCTGCTTATAAATCACATAATCCTCAAACTGAAGCTTACCATGCTTATCCTCAAGCACGCTCTTTTGAAAGTATGCGTCCGCAGCAGTCTTCTCGTTTTACTTCTCCGTCAATCGATATGAAGCGTAGAACCAGTGTTCCAAAGCTAAATCCCTCAGAGACTTTAACAAATGTGATTCCAAAGAATTTTCGTAAATCTCCATCTCCTCCAGGTTCTATTACAGGAATGCCTTCCCAATTTTCCTCTTCAAGTTCCATCTCAAATACGCTAACAAAAACGGAACCTGCTTCCCTTGAAATCCCTGAATTTCGTGTATCATCATCATCTTCTTCTTTTTTGCGTCCAACCAACTCCAATAATCCCTTTCTAAGACATTTATTATCTCCATCTGAGCTTTCGCTGTCATCCGTAAATGATACTGCGTCTTCCCGTAGTGTGAATGACGATTGGGAGCTTTCTTCTGGTACAGAAAAGGTTGGCAATGCAAGTTTTAATCCATTTACAGAAATAAGTACTCTGAAGAGTCGGGAAGAGCAAGTACTTCAAGATTGTCCAGAAATTGACGAGGAGTTAGGAAGGAATATTCTGAGAGAAATCGTTGTCAAGGGAGATGAAGTACTTTGGGATGACATAGCTGGATTAGGTTCGGCGAAGGAATCCTTGAAGGAGGCGGTTGTATACCCTTTTTTGCGACCAGATTTATTTCAGGGTCTTCGAGAGCCAGCTCGTGGTATGCTTCTTTTCGGTCCTCCAGGAACTGGAAAAACAATGTTAGCTCGTGCGGTAGCGACAGAATCAAAATCTACCTTCTTCTCAATCTCGGCATCAAGTCTGACATCCAAATTTCTGGGAGAATCAGAAAAATTGGTTCGAGCGTTATTCACATTAGCGAAAAAACTGTCGCCTAGTATCATCTTTGTAGATGAAATTGATTCATTATTGTCAGCCAGAAGCGCTGATGGAAACGAACATGAGAGCTCAAGACGGATCAAAACGGAATTCTTAATTCAATGGTCTTCACTTGCAAGAGCTGCTGCTTCCAGAGAGTCGGCCGACCAGCCCAGAGTTCTAGTACTCGCTGCCACGAACTTACCATGGTCAATTGACGAGGCTGCTCGTCGTCGATTCGTTCGTCGGACTTACATTCCTTTACCTGATGATACGGGACGCCGAGTTCATATAAAGAATCTTTTACAACATCAAAAGCATTCCTTAACGGATGATGACATAGAAAGTATTGTTCAACTTACCAAATATTACTCTGGGTCTGATTTGACAGCTCTGGCGAAAGACGCAGCTATGGGTCCATTGCGTGCTTTAGGAGAATCACTGCTATTTACGAAGATGGAATTGATTCGTCCAATGAACCTACAAGACTTCCTGCAGAGTCTAAAAGTAATTAGGCCTAGTGTGAATTTGGAGGGATTAGAGCGATATGATCGGTGGAATACAGAATTTGGACAACAAGCATAGTCTGTATATATATGAACAGAGTTTCAAGAATCTAATAATGCTGGTGTTTCTATTAATATTGAAACTAATGCTTCCTATGCCTTAATTATTTTCTACTATATCACTAAAGCAAAGATAAAATTATGAGCCTATATTTATGAATGCGATAACTAGTGCAAAAGAACTATCTTATTCTTTTTATTCGGTAGGTCTGTTGTTGAGTTTAAGGACTTACACTGATTATGTACATTTCTCTATGGCTTATATTTCCTTTTGCTACTATTGAAATGGTATATTGTTCCTTCATGTGTCTTCATCGATGACGATGACAGTATGAATGCCTGCCATTGACTCGTTAATTTTTTCGTATAACAGACCAGGAATAACGAAATTATTTATTTAGACTTTTTAATTTATTCTAGTATATGGATTCTTCTTTGGGTTGCAAATGGCTTTCCATGCAATTGTGTATATCATAAGAAGGATGTGTTTTCTTCTATACTACGAAAATGAAGCAATATTATAATAATGAGTTTATACAATACTATTACTATTATTAACACGGTAGAAGAGTAGCTTACTCCATTAATCCCAATAAGGTATTTTTTAGCATTGTGATAAGCTTGGAAATGATTCCTCATATGGACTGAATATTTATGCCTTTCACCAACAAATAAATGATGCCTGGACAAATGGAATGGGTAAGTGATGTTAAGAGCTATATAGACAAATACTAACAAAGTTAGACCGATGTAACTCCGGGTAATTTGGGCCCATCAGATCCATCATATCTCCAGGATACGGCATTGCCGGCAACTTACCATGAAAGATCCATGTCTCCAAGAAGCTCCGAAGATGTCAGCGGGATGCGAAAACGAGGGAGCTATCACGAAGAAGGATTTCCTTTGAAAGATCCCTATATGGTGACTGTCAAGCAAAACAGTCGGCAGGAACGCCGTGTATACGTGGGAAATCTTTCTTTTCAAGTCCGATGGTATGAATTGAAGGATTTTATGAAACAGGCAGGTCACGTATTGTATGCCGAGATCCTCAATCTACCGAATGGTCTTTCCAAGGTACGTTTCATACAACGTTGTGAGCAATGACGGTATACTATCGATGAGTATTGCTGTCTAGGATATCCAGTGTTTATTGTCATTGCTTTGGAACATCGTTAATGGGAGTACATAGGTAGCTGACGAATTAAGGGTTGTGGTATCATAGAATATTCGACTAGTGAAGAAGCACAAAGAGCAGTGGAAACACTTAGCAACCAAAAGTTTATGGGTCGCCTCATTTATGTCCGAGAAGTACGTACTTATTATTATCAGCAAGCACAGATTGACATTTTTTTGTTGATGGAATATGTAGCTATCATTTTTGATTGCTAACTCGCATCAGGATCGTGAACAGGAACCCAAATTTGGTTCTCGTATTTTGCCTCATGGACACATGTTTGATCGAGAAAATGATACAGAACGACAGTTATTTGTAGGAAATGTATGTTTGAAAGGATTTGTTTGCTTATGCTAAACGAATACAGCTTCCCTATTCTGTCCGTTGGCAAGATCTGAAAGACTTGTTTCGACAAGTTGGCACTGTTGTTCGTGCCGACGTGCAAATGAACCGGGACGGTCGTTCCCGTGGTATAGGAATTGTTTTAATGAGCTCCTCGAAAGATGCACACGATGCTATAAAATCGCTAAACAACACTGATTACATGGGTCGCACACTCGAAGTGCGATTGGATCGCTTTGCCAAGCATAGAAACAATTCATACACTGTTCCTGGCGTTGGATTCCCTAGTTATTCGCATGATGCTTCCTCTATGATGAGTAGTCCGATGTATATGCCAGCAATGGTAGGTGTACCAGCTGCATTTGATGAGTTTGTAGATAATGCCTTCTCACACGGTGCCCCATCAAATCGCATCCACGTTGGTAATGTATGTTTTTATATTTTGCTCTATGGCGCGAATGCTAACTGATTTAGATACCGTGGGCCGCCGTTAATCAAGATTTGTTTAACCTTTTTGGAAACGTTGGCAATGTAGTGCAAGCGAAAATTGCTTATGAATCGAATGGTCGTTCCAGGGGCTACGGTGTTGTACAATATGAGAAAGAGCAGCAAGCTGGTGATGCCATTGAATATTTAAACGGTTATCAATTTGGTGGAAGACATTTACAAGTTTCTTATGTTCGTTACGGTCAGCCGAAAAACCCTCTATTACCAAGTATGATTCCTACCCTTACGACGGCTCCGATGGCTTACCCTTCTCCCATCATCCCTATTTCAACATCTAATTCTCCTATGGCTTCACAATCGTTTGCCAGTCCTATGCTCAGCTATGTACCGCTTCCCATGGCTACTCCTAGCCTGTCACCAAGTGTACCCACAACGCCAGTTGTTAATGATATGGTAGATAACTCTCAGCAAGATTCATCACCTAATGCTTCCACTGAAGCAGCGAGAGCTTTTGAATTGCTTTCTTCCCTTCGAACAAACGGTGAATCGTAATCATGTTCGGCAGGAATTTTAGCGCTGTGTTTTAATGATTCGTTATTTGACGGTTTCTTTAGAATTAATATATCTTGTCTAGAGCAGCGTCCGAACTATTGGTCTTCTACGATAATACCTGCTATCAAAGTTAGCGTGTTGAATAACCTTATTCGAAGAATTTTCATTATAACTTCTTTTTGTTCTGTCGCTTAAAAATTTATTTGTTCTTAGTAAAAAAAGGCTTTAAGCTTCTCATTGCAGTTTCCTCAAACGCCTTTTTGGGACTTGCATATGATAATCTTCTTGTTTCTTCCTTTCTTCTTGGAGTTTTTGTAAAGAATAAGTTATGCTTTCTCCCGTAACGAATTCTCTTGTCTCAAAGTACAGACCGAATCTTTCATCCTCTTCTTGCGTTCTTCGTTTCCTCTTGCTTTTTTGTTTACTAATATATATATGATGTTAATTTATGCTTTCAACGCTTTTTGCTATATTAGATTTAACGTTATTTATATAATATACTCCAAGCTTCTTTAATATTATGTTTCTTTTTAATATAATCTTATCATGCCCTATTGCAGATGATGCAGTTGACCCTCTGTGTATCTTCCAATTCCACAATATTTAGTTCTTTCTTTTCTCTTCAATATCTCCCTTATTTCTTGCATAAACTATCTCATTTTGTATCGGTAAATACCTGAATATTTGATATTCATCGAATGGCTGATATGCAGGGTCTTAAAATTAGGAAGAGCCCTAACCGATTAATACAAGATTTAGACGTCTTTGACGGATCTTCTAAAGATTGGAATAACCCTTGGAGCTCTCATAATGCTAAATATCATTGGCAATTGCACTTCGCTTCTGTTGATTCCGTTGAGCAAAATCCTTATGACTTCTGGTGCGTTTGCCAGAAAACCCGAAAGCATATGCACGTACAAATACAAAAAGAAAACGGTTTTCCATTAATAAAGGAACCTGGGGTGGATTTTACCCCACCAGAGAAAATAATCGCATTCTGTATGATGGAGGAAACAGAACTGCTTAATGAACATGTTGAGAACACTCCTAATTCATCAGTATGCTCTGCTGTGCAGTGGAAGTCTGAAGATGGAAAAATAAGCGTGAAAGTTGAATGGAGAGACAGTTATTTGGATGCTTCATGTATTAAAGACATCATAGACTCTCGACGTCCTTCCTTTGCTTCTTTAATTGCAAAAAAATCGGCTTCTCAACAACAGTCACCTCGATCTTCGCATCCTTCCCTCTATACAACATTTGCTTCTCTGGAGCTGTTTCTTCGCAATGTGTTATTCAATAATGATCATCGTACTATCAGTGCTGCTCCGGAAGGTACTTTTGAGAAGCACGTTGGAAAAGGACCTCATATTAAAAAACTTATGAACCTTTTATCATTTCACTTTAATTCTGAAAACGTAAATTTCGTTCCAAGCATTGCAAACGAACCTTTAACTAATGAGCAAAAAATAAATTTAACGTTAGCTCGAAATGAGCTCATTATATTGGCAAATAACTATCGAGATGGATTAAAGGATCCTCTCGTCCCTAGTCCAAATGCATCCGCAAAATTAGCCCGTCCTTATTTAATTTCTGCTTTACATGTTCCCGCTTATAACAGTGTTGCTCCCATGTACACTTCAATCTTCCATCAAAACAGTGCTTCTTTGCCCGATGACCCTGCTTTTATTGCGCTTGGTGTTACGAATGATTACCCTGATGATTTAGTTTGTTTTTTTTATAACAAACAAAAAGAGAATGACCCGGATAATGCAAGGATTTATGTAGATGCTCTCGCACATATTTATAATCTCAGAAAAACTGCAGCGCTGAAGGATCAACTTCAATCGGATAGAAACATTGGTCTTGTTTCTAGTGACACTATACAAGCAGCTTATTCTTCTCTATCTTTAGTCACAGAAGTTTCTGCTTTAGCCCATAATTTCAAATATACGGATGAGGATATATTAAACACGTTTCTGAAGTTCATAGAAAAGCATCCTGAATCGATACGAGTTCAGCGCGAGAATCTGGAAACAATTGCTTATGCTAGAAACAGTAAAGGACTTTTGGAATATCTTCGTTCTACACACCGAATATTTTATAGTATCGACGAGGCTTGTACTTGGCTTGGAATTACTCCAGATACTGAGGACGGTATGGTCGCTTCTGTTGCATTGGTCAAATTTGAGGACGATTCTTTAAAAGCAATAGAGGCGGTAAAATGCATTGCCGAGGAAAGAAATAGTTCCGTTTTGTATGAATTCTTAGCTTCTCAGGACCCTTCTTATATTCCCCAAATCCCTGACTCTTTCATGACCACTGACGACGCTTATGAAACACTTGCAGTCCAGGACCGTGACGTTTCGGATGATATGTTAATTAATGTTTATAACTTTGCGGTCGAGGATCAACCAGAGCTATCAGACCGCTTGAAGTCTGCATTGAATTGCATTGGCAAATCTAGGAATTCAAAACTGATAATGCACTTTTTGGAACATGGTAACCTGGACGTTCCTGAGGAGCCACCCAATTTAAATGTTCCTGTAGGATTGGAAAACACAGGAAATTTTTGTTATTTGAATTCCTTGCTCCAATATTATTTTATCATTAAGCCTCTTCGTGATGCAGTTTTGGGGATTGACCATAATAAAGACATTTCTATGGTAAAAGACAGAGGAGCTGTCAAAAAGGTTGGTGGTCGTAGCGTAAACCGCATTGAATTTTTACGCGCTTTACAATTTACCTATGAGCTTCGTTCTCTCTTTCAGCAGCTTATTACCACTAAATCTTCATCTATCCTTCCATCATCAAAGTTGGCGTATTTGGCTTTAATCCCGTTAACTATGGAACAAGTCAATTCAACATCCTCATCTGTAATTCACCCAATGGAATTAAGCAATGCATCTTTGGAGAGCCATCAACACACTCAACAAACCGCTGCTCCTTCAAACAGCAGTCGCTCGACTTCCGCTTCGGATTTAGTCAATTTGCCTTCTAACAATGAACAAGATACACAAATAGCTTATTTTGATATATCAGAAGAGGAGATAAATTCATCTCTGGATTTGGGACGCCAGCAGGATGTTGCCGAATGCATTGATCACGTTTTATTTCAAATTGAGGTTTCTTTAGGCCCGACGAAAGATAACGAAGGATCAAAAAATTCAGATGAAGATTTGATTCGAAGATTATTTTATGGTAAAACCAAGCAAACATTACATGATGATAGTCAAGGAACCAGATCAAGTGAAGAATTGTATTCGCATCTGATTGTCGATTTGTATACAGAAAGACAAACCTTATATGATGTTTTGGATGGTGTATTTGAGACGGTAACACTTGATTTAGGCAATGAAACTACTAAAAGATCTTTGTGTATTAAAGAACTTCCGATGATTTTGCAGCTACAAATCCAACGAGTACAATTTGATCGAAGTACCGGTCAACCCTTTAAATCCAATGCCTACGTCGAATTTGGGAGAGAGTTACATATGGACCGCTATATGGAAGATGAAAATGGGCAAATGGCTCCATTGTTGGATGAATATTGGAACATGAAACAAAGAATTGGTGAACTGCAACAGCGTCAAAAATTTCTAATGACTACGAATTCACAACTTTTATCTTCAGTAGATACATTAACTACACTCTCAGCTTGGGCTGATGATCAAAAACGCTCACGATTGCCTATAAGCAAAAAGTTGCCTCAACTTCTTCAGGAAGAGACTGAAAAAATAAAAGTAGAGCTCAAGGCTATGAAACAGGAAGAAATACGATTACAGGAAGAGAGAATGCATTTGTTTGATGGCCATATGAAACACAGTTATGACCTTTTAGCCGTTTTTATTCATCGAGGACAGGCAACTTTTGGACATTATTGGACATATATGCGTGATTTCAACACTAACGTTTTTCGAAAATATAATGACGAATATATTACAGAGGTTGATGAAAACGAGGTTTTTGCAGACACTACGGGAAATACCGCTAATCCTTATATGCTAACAGTAAGTTAAAATCTGGTTTAAACTAAGAGCGTGTATTAACATTTATTTAGTACGTAAGGAAAGACTGCAGGCATCTTATTGAGTGTCTGTCTCGCAACCCAGATCTGTCCTGTGAAAATTAGAAGTAAAGTGAGCAGTCATTTCAAAATTTTGGACTCAAAACTTTGGATTATAGAGTTTATGCATGATATTTCATATGTTATGTTTACTGATGATATTGAATCCTACTTTAGACATTTCAATTAAAAATAATAAAAAAGCGTTTCTTATCCTTCAATCTGGGTCCCCAGTTAAGCCATTATGAGCGTAACAGTTTGAATGAAAAAAAAAAAAAAAAAAAAAAAAAGAAATCATTATATAGTACATAACAAATTAAACAATTCTATAGTTACCCATTTCAAATATTGGCATTGGTAAAGTCGTAAATAAAAGACCATTGAAAATGGCCTCAAGAACAGAGAAACAATTTAAAGTTAAATAGGATATAGGATGGAATAGGAAGAAAAAAAAAAAGATGATGCAAAACGATAAATGCGTAAAGGATTTGCGAATAAATGCGGTAAACATTAAACAATGGCTTCAGCAGCCAGATTCTCTGGATTTGTTTGTTGAATAGCATTCTTCGTCCGGCGGACTCGAATAAAATTAATAGTATCAATTAAAAATAAACACCAACCTGTGATTAAAAGAATACAACCTATAAATTTTTGGTGCGGTAATTCATCAAAATCATAGGAATTATCGTTATCATCATTTTGAAGCATTCCACTTTCAACAACCATATTATATCCTCGTTGTAAGAGGGTCATGCTCAAACCAACCTGCGATCCATAGCGACCCGAATGGGTTGCAGACAAAACGTAAGTGACGAGAAAGCCCACGAAGGGAAACAAAAAAGATACTAGAGCACTCCAAAAAAAAGCAATTGGTGAACCGACCGTCATTCCATCAATGTAAATTTCGTTAGTACCAAAGTTGGGAATTATCATTGTGGTATCCCAATACGGAGGCGCGATATCAGCTGCAACTTCTTCATATGTCTAGAAAAAAGTTAGTAATCATTCATCTAGTTTCATGACAAATTTTATACTGATAATATATATCATGAACATGAAAAGAAAACTGTCTGCGGAAAGCTAGGGTTTGTTGACTTACAGGAGGTTCTTCATTCTCTTTCTCAGGTTGTGCACTTGGTTTTGCAGAAAGGTTGGAAAAGACACTGTCTACATAGTGGGTTCTGGGTTGACGAGATGTTGAGCTTGAAGCAGCTTGTGGTGAATGGCGGGATTGATCAGCTGAAGGTGCATTTTCAGCTGACGGATGGTTCACTGAATCAATGGTATCTGGTTCCGTATCCATAGACTGCCGTGTATTTTGGTATAAAGGAGCTCTTTCATCGGTTTCAACATCATCATCCTCTGGCGGGTGAAAAGCCGCAGAAAGAACATTTCTATCGGCAGAAGCATGTTGAGATGAATTTATTTCAAGAGTTTCTTGGTCTGGCTATATGGAAACAGTCAATTAGTAATGAATACTTCAACAAAAGCTACAATTCAAATACCTGTGATTCGTTTGTCATAGAAGCCTAAAAATATCAATTTTGGCACACAATTACGATGCAATCTTCAATATATGTATAGGTATACAGCAATTCTTTCTGGTATTAACTGAAAGCTTCTGAAATGGTTAAGGAAATGTTGGAATTAACTTTTGAAATAATTTGGTAATTGCTTAGGTAACGTATGTTCTTTCTGATGCTATATAATAGTAAAAAGGTTATATGCGTAAAAAAATACGAGAAGGTTACTTGTTACTTGAAAGCCATTTTTGTTTATTTACTCTTATTATAAATAACGAAAACATTAAAAGGCCAAGACATGAGATTTCGTTTTTTACTTATATATAAAGGTAGTAAAAGAAAGAAATGGCTCAGAAAAGATTGGTTTTTGTTGAATGATCGTCTTTTCGATTCAGTTTCTACAGTACTTCGAAGTCCACAAAAGAAAGTCTTCGATAAACGACAGTAAATATTTAATCGAGTAGAATATGAGTGGAAGTAACGGATGGAATTATAAAGCGTATGAGATTTTGTTCTTTTCGATAGCTTGGTAGCAACATTAGCTTCCTAAATAAGGAGAGGAGAGTGCAGCGAGTACTAGAATTCAATTCTTAAGGAAGCTCATAGCTGCTTGTAGTAAAAGCTATGCTTTTACTTTAAAATTGGGCGAGGCATCCGGCCTCGCCCAAGAAAAATCCAAAATTGGATGCACACTAGGGTTCTCAAAAATAATGTTGCTGCATCCTTCTAAAACAGGTGAAGTTTGGCAATGCAGTTGAATGGAGAGGTGATTGGATTCGTGTAAGCGAAACTGATTTCGTCAGTAAATACAACAGAAGGGAACAAAGGGAAATTTGAAAAATCATAGAAGAAAGAGACCTTACCTGATGGCAAGAGGCACATATTTGAGAGCTTTTTAACTGGGAAATATGGAGGGATCCTCGAATATTGCCAAAGTGAAAGGAACAGTCTTTTGAGCTATCAATATGAACCGCAGAACAGTTAGGAATATACACATTGCACCCTTGTAAATCTCTTATAATTAATTTGATCGGCCGTTCTTCTTGGTGATCGAAGAGACTATTATCTAGAGTTTCGTTTGACAAATTTGACAAAAAAAGAGTTTCATTCTCAAACCGTTTGACCTTGACATCTTCGCGTTTTTGCCTGTTGGCTACTGGTTTTGCTTGCTGCTGCAGTTGGTAGGATCGATGAAAACGAAAAGGAGGACGAGGAAAAATTTCAGACCGTGTTTCATGTAATCGAACGATCAAGTCCGAAAGTTGTTCCATATACTTCATTCTATCGTAGGGTGCTAACTGCTCTTTGCCTTCATTGACGATGTCAGTCATTTTTGAGACCTCTTGGGATCGATTCTCGAGCCATCTAGCTATTTCTTCCCGACTAGCATCCTTTGCTGGCTTATTCTTATAGAGTCTTTGCAAAAACTCTAGTTCATTCCATAGTTAGTATTCGACGAAGTTTGTTGTTTTTTTGGTATACGCTTTACCTTTCCGCAAAAGGATAAGTTGTTCTTCCATTCTATATAGTAAAAACAGCAAAATATTCAATATAATTCCACAAACAAAAGATGAAATTCGTTTACGACAATTGGCGGCTTAATTGTAATCATTCCCAGAGGGAATCAGGAAGGAATAAAAAAAGAAAAATAATAATAATAAATGAATAAATGATATACAAAGGGTTTCAATAGTTTCGTCAAAAGGGCTATGTTAACTGGTGCTGTTTATAATTAGTGGGATTCACGATCGTTATATACGAGACGGACGATGTACGAATTATTGAATGATCGCTTATTTGTTTTCAAGAATCCTTAAAGAAAGTTCTTTCTATTCTACTTTTCTAGTATATATACTTAGATATAAAAAATGTATGGTACGTAAGTATGCATGGTGTGCATTTTCTATTCTTGATTTACTAGCGCCTTGGGCTAAAGCTATTGACCTTATAGAACCAAGAGTAAGCTTGTAGCAGAAAGAGATCGCTTAACTTCGTAAGAGGGAGTGATAGGTTTTCCTGTTCACCTTCATACCTCGCGCTGATCGTTTCTTCTATTAAGAGATTCGTTATGATTGAACCTCTTGATAGCGGCGTAAAAGTGTTTGCAAAGTATTTGCAAACAGGAATATAGTAATGAAAGAATTAAAATGTAGTAAATTAGCAAATTGTTCCTTCTATTAAATCGTTTGTTTACATTCTTTTTTATTTTACTTTCAGCCCTTATTTGAGCGACACACCCTAATGCTTATCCTGATTAAAGTGTCGCTTCGAAGTATCTGATCAATGTGAAAAATCAATCTTTCGAATGTAAAACTCCTACTTCTTACTCTGTCATTTTTTTTTTTTTTTTTTTTTTTTTCACTTAAAGCAGGGCACTGGAGACATAAGAGTAGGGTAAACTTAAAGTAGACTTTTTTGATTTTTATCTTATTTAAGGGAATATTTGAGCAAGTAACTGGTAATTCTGAAAACAGGAAGGAATGGAAGATTCGGAATTCAATGAAGGGGTCATGCTGAGCCATCGTCGGCATGTTCCTGAATCGCGGCCATTGAGAAGGGACTCTATGTTAAACCGAGCTGGGAATGAGGAACCTTTTACTGAAAACATAGAATTGCATACCCTACCAAGTAAGCAAAAGCAAACGCAAATTGAAGATGAAGATGAGATAACAACAACACAAACTGGACCATATTATCCTGAAGAAGACCCAGATAAGTATCCTCCAAAGCGCTCCATTGCTCTCATATTGATCAACAACCTTATGTCAGAAATGTCTGCAACAACAGCCCTGCCGATTTCAGCCGCCTATACGCAATACTTGGGTGGAACGGATGCATTTTCCGGTCTTGTCATTGGTATTCCAACTCTTGTCTCTTTAGTATTAATGTACCCAATGCTTCGTTTCGCAAATCCAAAATCCGCAAACGGGTACACGCTCTATTTTCGACCCATGTTTACATCTTGCTTTGCGCACATTATTGGACATTTGCTATACAGCTTAGCATATCGGGCTCATTGGATATATTTAATTTTGATAGGACGTATGTTTAATGGTATCGGGTTTACGATGTTTTTATACCACAAAAAGTACTTGAGCGACAAGGAATTTGTCGGAAGAAATAAATCTACCTTTCTCTCAACCTTGAATATCCTTGCTCAAACTTTGGGTTTCATGTCGGGTGCGTTTATAGGAGGTACCTTGGCCAAAGCGTCTCGAAACATTCACAGCCCCTACTGGAATGAATACACTGCTGGCTCCTGGTTTATGTTAATCGCATGGGGAGTGTACATGGTGTTTTTGAAAAGTTTCTTTATTGAGATCCTCCCAGAGAATAACAGATCTGTAACACACAGAGAAGGAACAAGTGGAGAACAAACGGTTCGTCTGTCGTTAATTCAAAAAATTTTTGTTTCATTCCTGTTTTTGACCGCTTTCGTTTGTTACTTTACCATCATGGGATACCAGACAAGTATTCCTATTTACGCGGGTAGGTTATACAATTATAATGCTTTTCAAACAGGCAATTTCTTAGCGCTTTCCTCCCTCGTTATAGCACCTTTTATTCTGTTGAGTACCTTCTTGTCCAAATGGCTCGAAGACCGTCAAATCATGTTACTTGGTGTTTTGATCGGAATTATAGCCCTTGTCTTGCATTTGATTTTGGATGCCGTGCATAAAATTCCTGTTCAGCCATACTTTCTCCTTTACTCTGTGATGTCCTTTGGTTTTAGTGTCGGCTCTGCTCCGTTAGTCTCTCTTTCTTCGAAGCAGCTTCATCCCAAGTTTCAAATTTTGGTGAGCATCGTTGTCCAGGTTGGTGTCTCTTTGGCTGATACAGTAGGCGCTATCACTGGAGGTGCCATTTACAATATAACCACAATCGGTTTTATTGCAATGAATTTAGGTCTTGCCGTGCTTGTGTTTATTGAGTTATTGTGTCTTTGGAATTCGATCAAAGAAAAAACAACTTGAAGATTCCAATACTCTGTTCTTTTCTTTTTTCAATCAAAGGACAATGGAACTCTTTTTTCTTTCTTCTTTTTTTTGGACCGCTATGCTTCTATACCTTAGCCTTTTTCTTATAATCCTTTATTTTTCGATCTTTTGTTTATGAAATAACATAGCTGTTCGATAGCTTGCATCAGTTTCACTAGAACTCTTAATTCATTTTCGTACGGAGATTATGTTTCGTATTGTTTGTAAATGAAAATGAGTTCTTGTTTTCAATCTGTCATTTTTTAAAGTATTTCTAAATTTATTCGTCAATATAACTTACCTCTACCAGTTTCGCACTTGCAAGAATTCCCAAGTATTCTTCAATCACGTACATTCGGATAGGTTTGTTTACACCCTTAAAGTAACATGTTGCTCTACGAGGCAGAAAATTTTTTTGGCTTTTTTAAAGAGACAAAGGTCATCGGCGCTTATCAGTCTTCTTAAGGCAAATTACGGGTAAATACGGGGCTTTATCAATTTGAATCCTTGATCAGATCTCTCGAGTTCTACAACTTAGCTTCTTCCAAACACTTGGACATCTGATCTCGACAGGTGCATACATCCAACATTCAAAATGCCAGCTGACGATATTCCATTTCATGTGACTTTTACTGCTGGCGCTGTTGCTGGTATTTCCGAGGTATGTAGTTGTGTTGAAAACAGAAAGACAAGCAGGTAGTGTAATACTGCTTAAAGACAATAGCAACATTAGTGGAATTGCAAACAGGATCTGAATTTTTATGGATGGGTGGTTTATAGAGGTCAACAGAATTAAAAAAAAAAAAAGAAATCTTTGCACGAAAACTTTGGGTTACAAATCTTTTCGACTATCATGTATTTGTTAGTACACTATTAAAGTGCTTTTGGGCTGTATTTACTCTCTACTGTGTTTCTGTTGTATTCATGGAGTTTGCTCTAACTTGCTAGGTGCTCTCTTTGTATCCTTTGGATGTGGTAAAGACACGTATGCAGTTGGCTGTCGGAAAATCTGAATACACCGGAACCTTCGACTGCTTAAAGAAGATCGTTCAGAAGGAAGGAGCTAGTCGTCTTTACCGAGGTATCCTTCCTCCTGTTATGATGGAGGCCCCCAAACGTGCTCTAAAATTTGCTTCCAATGAGGCGTATGGAAAATTTTGGCGCAAGGTATTTGGACAAAAGAAGTCCACACCTAGCCTTTCCCTTCTTACTGGCTCATGTGCTGGATTTACGGAATCCTTTGTCGTCGTCCCCTTTGAGTTGATGAAAATCCGTCTTCAGGACGTCAACAATGCTTCCAAATACAATGGAACTTTTGATTGCTTATCGAAGGTGATCAAGCACGAAGGTGTTTTGGCCCTTTACAACGGCTTTGAGGCAACCATGTGGCGTCATGTTGTTTGGAACGCTGGCTACTTTGGCCTTATCCAAAAAGTCCGCAATTCTCTTCAACCTGCTACGAATAGAGCTGGTGAAATGTGCAATAATCTTATCGCCGGTACTATTGGTGGCATCTTCGGTACTTTGCTAAGTACCCCTTTTGATGTCGTCAAATCCCGTGTACAGACTGCTCCTCGTATCGCCGGTCAAATCCCCAAGTACAATTGGGCTTATCCTGCTCTCTTTACTATTGCTAAGGAGGAAGGCTTTACTGCTCTTTACAAGGGCTTTGTCCCCAAAGTACTCCGTTTAGGCCCTGGCGGTGGTATCCTTTTGGTCGTTTTTAACTCGGTCGTCGGTGTTTACCAAAAGTATATGGCTTAAAATGCTGGGAAGGGGTTATTGTCCTAGTCCTTGCATCTATTTTATTACTGGTGGTTTTGAAGCAATCTGTTTCTACTTCTAGTAGTATTTTTCTTTTAGTTCATCTCTCTCTTCATCCCCTCATGTATCTCTCAAAATTTAATTTTTGGGCCCTCTGTATACTTCGTTTTTTTAATTTAGGGAGCATAGTTTTCGTAATACTTACCTGAAGCTCGTTTTTAAAGCCAATGCGAATTCTCATGACTTATAGATTAGATTCACGAAGCATACAGTTTTGTTTCATTCATTTGAGGCTTTACCTTCGTCTCATAGCGATGGGTGTTCTCTCAAAAGCAATGCTTTCCTTTCTTGAGCAAATAATATTGAATGAAAAAACGACTTAGTTATGAAAACATTCTACAATCTTGTTTATAGACAACTACAGAAATGAATATGAAAACTGATTTTGCGTTTTCTACTTCTTACATGCTACTGTTCCCTTAGAGGGTAGAGGCTTATTTAAACCAGTGGATAGTTTCCATTGCGCTACGAACACTCAACCATAAATTACCAAGCAAAAACTGTATTATGACTAAACAATGATCCTCCATACCACAACGTATGTGTTTTTTAACGGTTGCTCTTGGCAACACGCTCGAGTTCATCCTTCTTCTTGATAGCATAAGAGTTGGAAGAACCCTTGGCAGCATTGATGATTTCTTCAGCCAAGCACTCAGAAATAGACTTGACGTTACGGAAAGCAGCCTCACGAGCGCCAACGGTGATCAAAGCGATGGCTTGGTTGACACGACGGAGAGGAGAAACATCAACGGCTTGACGGCGAACAGTACCAGCACTACCAATACGGGTAGAGTCTTCACGAGGGCCACAAGCGGCAACAGCATCAACCAAAATTTGAAGAGGATTTTGGTCGGTCAAAAGAGCGATGATCTCAAAAGCATGCTTGACAATGCGAGTAGACAAAAGCTTCTTACCGTTGTTACGGCCGTTCATCATCAAGCTGTTGGCCAAACGCTCGACGATGAAGCAACGAGCCTTACGGAAGCGCTTACTTTGGAAACGGCCAGCAGTGTGAGGAAGGGGTTGTCCATTACCAACAGTAATATAATCACTAAATTAAGTATTAGTTTAGGATTTCTTTTATTAACACAGCAAGGGAAATTAAGTTATTATTGAATAGGAATCAACGGAAAAAGGCGAAATAGTCCAAGGAACCATTTTTCACAAAGCCATTCTCTCCCTCGAAAAAAAATCACTTACACCAAGGAAATATCCTTGACTTCAACACCCTCGAAAGGGAACTTGTTGAACAACTTGATGTGTCCTGTTTCGTCTAAGGAAACATCTTTGGGAATGATGGAAGCCGCCATTGCTGTATTGTTTCAAGCAAAAGAACAGTGGTAAAGTTCCAGCCTGTTGTGTGTGACGGTTCAGTTTAACCTTTAGGGTAGGGTTGAGGGGAGTGGACTGGCAGCCCGAATTGAAGATAACGACGCGTTCTACTTTGTTAGTAAACATATGCTGTGGATTTATTGAAGCAAACGGTATTGTCTGTTGTATTCATTGCCGAGTAACAATTCCTTAAATTGATTATTCTTAAGACTGTTTATTGAAAGAACCATTCGAAAAACTCGAAGAAGTTGCGCGTTCTAGACAGGACCAAATGTACATTCATTATAGATAGGTAGAGTCTTATTGAGCTTACAGGAAAGAAAAAAGGAAAAATTTAACTAAAGTAAAGTAGATGAAAAGATATGGGAGTCCATACAGAATCAGATTTTCGATTCTCTTCTCTACTTAGGTCGGCCATTTGTATCTGTACTTCGAAAATGCGTACTATCTGGGATCATTTACACTAGCACTCTACAGCATCGTTGAAGCTTTCCAATGAACAACTTTACATTCTGTTTGTAAACATCAACTGTAACCATAAAACAGCGAAGCTTTATGGATTGGACAAATAACAAAAACCGTAATACAGGCAATATATAATTTATTGAACCTCAGCAGTTAACTGCGGGCATATGATGCAGTGGTAGCATGCTCGCTTTGCATGCGAGTTGGCCTGGGTTCAATCCCCAGTGTGTCCAATTAATTTTTTTTATATCACTCAGTATGATTTTTTGTTTATGGCAAGTAGATAATCGTAAACGTGTTCATTTCCGTCACTGTAATCTTTCTTTTTTGCGATAATGTTCAGAAAGCCATCTGCTTACAGTCTGGATTGAGGAATACTCCGTGATACACTTCACTTTCTCTTAGTAATTGATTCAATTTTTTTCCTGAGCTTAAAACTATCCAAGCAACACTAAAAAAAAAAAAAAAAAAAAAAAAAGAACAAAGAAAAAGCATGAAAACCATGGGTTTATCGATGCTTCTTGAATTCTCTTACGAATAAAAAATTGCTGCGAATGTTTATTTATATGTTTTTTTATTTTCCTTTATTTATTGACGCAGTGCGTTTATTCTGTTTAATTTTGTTTAAGAAAACATACCCGTGGAGTTATCTATTACGTAAAACCTTTTTCAGAGAGTTAACGAGCCCTTAGGTAATTGATCACTTGGCTAAAGGTCATCAACCAAAGTCAACGCCGACGTATATTTTCCACCAAGATTTAGTCGTTCTTTCAATTAAAGCTGTACAACCTCTCGATTTGTCATAATGGCAAATTTACCAATCATAGGTATCTACAAGGTTTTGTACAGTTATGAACCGGAACCAATCGATCCAAATGAACATATTCCAGAAACAGAACGAGAATTATCAATTGTGGAAGACGAAATACTTTGTCTTTTGCAGAAAGGAGAGGATGATTGGTATCTAGTCAAGCGAAATGTTAATAGTTCCGACAAGGATGAAGAAATTGGCATCGTTCCTTCTAACTATATTGCTGAAGTATGTATTTGATTCGAATGCGACTCTTTTTATGTTATTCTATTTGTCTTTTCTTTTGTGATGTGATTTGTGTTTAGCAAACTAGTTCATTAATGGAAAAGCATACAAAGTCTTCAAAAATGAAACAAAATGCTAACCAGCTTTCAGGATGAGCCTTCAGCAAGGATGAAAAGTCTGTATGGTTATGAAAAGCAATCAATAGATGAGGTCTCATTTCCAGCTGACGAGGCGTTGGATGCTTATGGAAGCACTGATGAAGATTGGGTTTTGACAAGATATAAACAACAATATGGACTTGCCCCAAGAAACTATCTTGAACCTTTGGATGCATCAGCTTCTACAGCAATGCCAAGTGCCCCTGCTCCACCACCGCTTCCTCCTTCTGTGGAGCATGAACCACAACCTGCTCGTTCTCAGCAATCTCCCCTTCCTCAACAGCAAATGCAACCATCATCACCACCACCAATTCCTCATCCTCAACCTTCTGTATCCGTTTCTTCTCCTCCTCCTCCTCCTGTTCCTCCTTTACCTCAAGATTACACATCTCCACCACCTCACCCGCCTCCTGTTGAAGAAGAAGATTTATCGGACGCCGATGAACCTGATGACTATTATTCTTCTAGCAGAGAGCAAGAGGTTCCTCCTACATATACTCTTCCGCGGACCGAAACTTTACCGCCGCCCCCTCCTCCCCCTGCTCCCGCCGAGCCTACTGCTGCAAAGTCTATTTCTTCCCCTCCTCCACCCCCTTTACCTCCCGTACAACCTCCCAGACCTAGCGTAAGCACTACTACTGCCACTGCTACTCCAAGCAGATCGAAGGATTACACCAACATGCCTTCCTCTCCTACTTCTCCTTCAGACGCTTATGGAGATCCTGGTCGACACATTAAACTTCGTGCAGGCGGATCTCAGGAGGAAAGCAACATGGACGACAACGTTTCCTTTGATGATCCAGCTTTTAGGAAATGGGAAGTTCGTGAAGTTGTTGGCAAGAAAAAGAAGCGCGTCGGGATCCTCGCTATCAATAACAAATCTGTTGTACTTACTTTCACAAAGAGCATGGAGTCGGCGGAAGTTTTTTCCGTCACTGACCTTATAAATTACTCTGCTGAACGAAAGCATGTCTTTATCGAATATAAACGAGAGGACGGAATTTCCTCCTTACATTTGCATGCTAATAGCAATGGTAATGCTGATAGCATCATTCGTGCTTTAGGTGATGTAGCTGGATCTGCTAGAGCAGCCGGCCTTCGTGAAATCGCCGAAGCTAGTGGCAAGCCTATGCCTAACTTGCCTTCTGATTCCGCCTTGTACAAGTTGAACGAGGCTTCCGAAACATCTGGTACCCGTGGTGGAAGAACCGGTTTCTATGAAGCTTCCACTGTATACAACAGTGGTAGATCACCTGCTGATGAAGGATCATCGGCTGCTCCTTCAACTACCGATAAGATGGGTACTGTTGTCTATGGATTTGAGGCCGAAGCCCCTGACGAGTTGACTGTTAGTGCAAATGATCGAGTTGTCATCGTAAATGATACTGCTAGTAGTGATTGGTGGAAATGTCGTCTGAATGGAAAAGAGGGTGTGGTTCCAGCCAGTTTCATCAAGCCTGATTCTACATCGCATGAAAGATCTGCTTCCAAACCGTCCAATGGTGGTTTGTCGAGGAAATCTTCTCGACATGAACCCAAAGAGGAACCAAAGCATGAAAAGAAAGAAGCTCGCAGAAGATCTCGTAGTCACTCTGTCATTAAGCCCGATGATACAAAGCTTCGTACTTGGACAGATAGAACCGGCGCTTTCAAGGTTGATGCTGAATTTTTAGGTTTTAGTGATGATAAAATTCACTTACACAAGTCCAACGGCGTTAAGATCTCTGTACCAAGTACGAAAATGTCATACAAAGACCTTGATTTTGTGGAGCTTATGACTGGCAAGAAAGTTTATTCTCGCTCTGAACGCCGCAAAGAAACACATAAGGAGCCCCGTAGTAAACCAGTGAATGAAAATGATGAGGATATCCCTCCATCTCAGCCCGCTCGTCCCCAAAGCAGACCAGCTCTAGCTCCTCCTACTACCACCGAAGCTAAAGATAAAATTGATGTTATTCAAGAGAGACCTAAAATTACATATGATTGGTTTGACTTCTTTCTACGTTGCGGTGTTGATTTCACTGTCTGTAACCGCTATACCCGTAATTTCAACAATGAACATTTGGATGAAACGTGCATTCCCTCTTTAACGCCTGAAACGTTACGAACTTTAGGTCTCAAAGAAGGCGATGTGATTCGTGTCATGAAGCATGTAAATGAAATGAATGGAGTGCCTTCTAGTCCTGCTGTATTAAAACCTGCTGAAGTAAAAACGGAAGCTCCTTCTACTCCAGCTACTCCTGAAGTGCAAATACCACAGCCTGTACCCTCCAAGGTTCCGACTAGCAAGCCTGCTGCTCCTGTGAATCAACAATTTGAGGATGATGCTTGGTCAAATAAACCTATTGAAGAACCTACTATTCGATCGTCTTCAGCTCCCCAACACAAGACCGAACTTGAATCTGATATGCAAAAATTAGACTTGTCCGAAAAAGTAAAGGCACCTGAGCCTGCTCCACGTGCTTCATCGGTGTCCGCTACAGATGTTTCAAACAAGAAGGCTGAAGAGAATGAAAAATCATCTCAAGGAGCTATAGCACCTCAGCCTACTGGCATTACTATCCAAAATGCCTATTTCACTTCTGCTCCCCCTGCCTACTCAGACCCTTTTCAATCACCTCTGTACGTACAACCAACAGGTTTTCAACCACCTGTCAGTGCTTTACCCAGTCAGCCTACTGGTTATCAAGCTCACATGTCACCATTATCTATGCAGCCAACTGGACATCAACAACCAATGGATTTCATAGCTTCTCAGCCTACTGCCATTAAGGCTCAACTAACTGGCTTTCCTGCTCAGCCCACTGGGATGTCGTATCAACCAACCGGTATGAATAGTCAGACGACAGGTGTTGCGATGCAGCCAACGGGAATGCAATACCAAACAACCGGGGTTACACCTCAGCAGTATAGATCTGTAATGCCTCAAAATACTGGTCAGCAACATGACTTTATGTCTGGTATGCAAGGTCAGAGGACAGATATAGCATCTCAACCAACCGGTTTACAGAATCAGTTCACTGGATATCAGCAACCTTTCACTCCTGCTCCTATGCAACCAAGTTACGGGTATAATATGCAACCTAATTTTAATGACCAGTCGATGTATTATAATGTTGCGCCCACTTCGTTTGCATATGACCAACAAAGTATGTATGCACCTATGGATCAACAAGGTTTTTATGGAGCAGATATGCAAGGCCAAATGGGAATGCAACAACCTTATATGCAAAACTACTATGATCCTTCACAACAAATGGCTTATGGATACGATAACAACGGTATGGATGCATATGGTTCTGGATATGGATATGGTCAACCTTATGGGGGTATGCCTAATGAGACGTCCAATGATCCAGTATCAAATCCTGGTTTATACATGCCTGCAGGCTATGAAAATATGCAGCAGCCTTCTGATTACTATCAACCTTCTTTTTCTGGAATAGACCACAATGGAAATCCGAATGCCAGAAAGGCGAGTATAACTCAAGCTACGCCAGATAATCCATTTGGATTTTGATGCTCTTTTTTGATGAAAATATTATCATTAACCTCAGTTATCGTACATAATGACTTATTCTTTTCAGTTTTTTCTTTTTGTTTTTGCAAGAAAAGATTTTACCTAGTATATTTATGTAGTTAGTCTTAGTTCCTTATAAATACGTCCTTTGAAAGCTAAAACTTTGTCAAATAAAATATGAGATGTTTTTTTGCTGCCTTTATTAATTTTTAGTAGTTTTGTTCTGTCTATAGTCTCAATCCTGTTTCTAGTGTTTCAACCGCCAATCGTCAATGGTATTTAACGTTCATAACAAATATAGGAAGTAAGGATCAACCTATTGTTTATGATCTAAGTGTTACATCTTTTGAAATTCAGATGCTCTAATCCACTATGTGAATCATCTTTACCTACTACTTACCAAGCAAGGTGTTCAAACCTCTCAATAATAATGTCGATGGTAAGCATTTCAATCTATGGAAATAGCTAATAATGTCCAAAGTTTAGTAGAAGCTATAGGTTTTATGCAGCATATCATTCCAATCTCGTCAATGTTAGAATCCACCAAGGTATATCATGGTTTTGTTGAAACATCAGTTCTAACGCTAAAGTGTGTATTCCATTACTTTTGTGCTCAGCTTTAACTTTACTCTCCAATTTCAATGTAACGTTGGTCAATTCTCCTTTCCATGTGAACTTGGCTGTTTTAGTTGGTATCATATACCAAGGCTTCTATCTGTCCGTTGATTTTGTAGATGGCTTGCTTTATGCTCCAGTTCTCTATATATTCTCAATATCGTTGCCAAAATTGTTATTTCGAAATTGGTCTCAATCAACAGTCAATACAACTGCTATCCTATTACATATTGTAAGTTGGATTTTACAATTTATCGGCCATGGTGTTTTTGAGAAAAAGAGGCCTGCTCTTCTTGATAATTTATTCCAGTCTATTTTCTTTGCACCCTTGTTCGCATTTCTGGAAACGAGTCCTGTTTTTGGGTATCATCCTGCCGTTACTAAGAACATTCGTGTTGCTTCTAGGATTCAACAGAAAGAAGAGATTGAAGGATCTAGAAAGACAGTTAAATCGGAGTGTTTGTTTGATGAGTTTCTGCTGAAAGATCCCGCAACAGAAGTTTTGAATGGGCGCACAGATATTACGGTCCGCCCTCTATATCTTAGTGATATTAATACAGGTGAGCAACTTGTTTTGTTTATATTCATAAACTTACCTTTTCTTTGTAGAGTATCTGGATCTACTCGATGTCTTGGTAGCAAGTACCGTTCACCCAACTTTGGCTTCTTATCAAAAGCGTTTTATGGATTTAAAACAAAATTTCCCAGACACTTATTATACTATAGTTGTCGAAGACAAAGAAAGCCATAAAGTAGTAAGCAGAGCGTTTGGCATTTGATGAATATCTACTGACTTTTCTAGGTTGGAACAGCTACACTTTTTGTGGAAAGAAAGTTTATACGTGGTAATGGAAATTGCGGACATATCGAAGACGTTGTCGTCCATCCTGAGTTTCAGAAACGCTCTATTGGCAAGCTTCTGATTCAAGCCCTTACGAAACTGGCTTTCAAGGTGAATTGCTACAAGGTAATTCTTGATTGTTCCGACACTAATGTAAAATTTTACGAAAAGTGTGGCCTGCATCGCGCAGGCGCGGAGATGAAGATATATAATGACTTCCTAAAATAAAACAAGTAATGATTATTTAAAAATCCCCCAAAAAGGATTTATTTTGCATCCGTTTTTAATAAAATTGGATATTTATATTCATTTCTCTATAACTTAAAGGCCTCATATAGGATTTATTGTGTAAGATATCTATCATTACAAGAACACCGTCTAGTCCTTTAGACGATTAAGTAAGTAATCTACTTCTACCTTTTTAGTCATAGGAATCACGTACTCCTGCATAGTAGTTAGTAAGACAAGTTAAAACATAAGAGACTGTTGAAAGCATGCATACCTTATAGATGGAAACAACCGTATCAGCATTAATTTTATCAGTTGGCTTGCTAGGGTCCGCAGAATCACGACCATAAGTGAGTGCCTTATAGTGAAGGCGTTTCAACACCCGTCCTTCCTGTACGGGATCTACGATCTCGTTCACAATTCCTTCTGAGTCACGAGCTTCAATCAATTTCTTGTATTTTTCTGGGTTTGTCAAAAATTTTGCTTCTGCAACAAATTTGCCATAGTGAATTCTTCTGGATAGAGACTGAAGGCATCGAATATCACAAACTGCTGTGCTGCCAAAATTGTCAGAGTCATTGCCTTTGGTGCAGATTTTGGGCAAAATTTCCTTCACATAATAGTTAAAGATTTCATTATTAACATTCACCTCGTTTTTATGTAATGGAAAAGGTTTCTTGAAATCAGGTAGAATAGGTTCTGGCAAATCCGATGTAAAAGGGTATTCTTCAGGACTAGCATAACGTCTTACGAGCGAGTAAAGCTTCTCTTCCTCGTGTAAAAGATATTCTAAGAAGCTCTTATCGGTATGCTGCAAGTTTAAGCAGCCTTCACTTCCTTTCTTGTAAACTTTCTCATTTACAGGAAACTGAGCACGTTCCAAAAAATCAAAGACTATAGTATCCTCCTGACGAATTAACGCTGAACGAATATTTTCAAGCTTCAGTTTTTCATTCACAAAACTCATTTCACACAGATGTCTTTGTTCTGTAGCAAGTAGTAAAATCTAACCAGTCTAAAGGAAAGAAACAAGGACTACTTCAATCATTTAAAGATCAGTATCGAATTATATGTTTTTTAAGAACTTACTTGTAACGATAGAACTTCCTTAAGTTTATAACCTGTGATTCTAAGATGTCAAGATGTTGCCAAGAAAACTACGAATATCAAAATGACAGAATGCTAATGCTTACATTAGTTGATGTGATATAAATTACGACTGAAGTTATATTTTACTTTCAACTTTTGAAAAAATCAATGTGCCTGTTCAAAAGCAAAATTGATACAGATTTCAATGAAGCTTACAGGCTTTTACCGTGGCAATATATTTGATTTACTAATTTTTTTTTCTGAAAAATACTCTGTTCTCAACTCCAAGTGGGATATCTTACATCCATGCTCTCTCACAGTTCTTGAAAATCAAGCCCACATCGTTGAAGTACAAGTACTACGAAGGTTATTGTCAATCTTCTTTCTGTTTTACTTTCATGGTATTTCATATTGAGAGTATTATCGAAAGTTGAGGCTCACATAGGAATCAATTGGTCATTCCAAGGAGTATCCAAGCCGTCCTCCCCAGGGTCTTTAAGAGCAAAAGGCTTTTTATCATGTGTTCGCCATCCTTTATAGCGGATTCCGACAAGCTCTATGGGAAGACAATCGAGTGAAGGGATGTCCAAGTCTCCGGAGTAAATAATCCATCTTCCGTTTTCTTTACAGGTTGTAAAATGGTGAGATTTAGAATAGAATAGCAAATAAGGACTTTCTGGTTCCCTTCTTTCTTCTACCATTTCAATAATAAATGGGGAACCAGCTTCGTGCTTTAAAGCAAGAGGATTTTCTGGGTGATACACCAAAGCTTTACGATCCTTCGTATGCAATGTTAGATCGTCTTTATACTCGACCCGCAGTAAACGTGTTCCTGGAGACTCTCCCATGTATAGATTGTTACCATCACAATGCACCATGAAGCCTATATGGTATGTTAGTTTGCGGCCTAGAATGTTTATCGTCTCTCACCCTTAGAATCGGGATCATAGTTGACAGGAACATGAGCCTTAAATGACCAATATCTGGTGTGGAGTGTCTGTAAGACAATTGACTCAGGAGCGTTGACTGTGCGTTTTATTATCGAGCAGGAAACAAACGGTTTTTCTTGTATTTGTAAGGTCAGTAATGCAATAATAAACCCCAAGATTTGCATTTTCTCTACACACTTTGTCAATTATGTTAGCGTGTTTAACAAGCAATAACCATTGAGAATTCGCAAAGGAGCTAACATCAACAAACGCCAGTCCTTTACAATGTAAACAAATATACTCCATGCCAAGCACGTTTATAATTCATTAATCACAAGAATGACTCCCAAAGAGATTTTAATTATTATTATATATATATCAAGTTGCATATAAAGAACCTAAATCACAAAAAACCTTTATTAACCCATATTAGCGAAGTTGATTTTCACTGAGATGTCCGATTTTAATTCTTGACCTTTTTGGACTTATTTTGTTTCCATTGATCAGCACGTTCCTTACGCTTTTTGCTAGGCTTCTTCTTCTTTACTAGAGGATTTTCACCTGGTTTAGCATGATGACCTTCTAACGACAAATTTTCTTTGACCAAAGCATTTCCTGCTTTGCCCATCAATTTACGGGCTCTACCTTGTAGAGTACGACCCTTTTGGTTATTGGGTTTTGCAGTTGAAGCAGGAGCATTGGCTTTAATAACTTTCGCCCTTGAAACACGTAAGGTTCTTCCCTCTGGCATCTGTTTTTCATTCAATAAAAGAGCCTTTTCGACTGAAAGGGGTTCCTTGAATTGAATATAGGCAAATCCTTTACCCAAATTCGTCTTGGGATCTCGAACAATGCGCACATATTCAATTTCACCACTCTGTCCGAAGTAACGCCATAATGGCTCTTCCTCAGCTTCAAAAGCCAAATTACCGACGAAGATACAGCGTTTCACATCCCTAGCCATAGGATGACTAACGCTATCCACGCGAAGATGACGGTCCATAAAAACGGTGGCATTCAATGACAACGCATTTCTAGCAGATGAAGCTTCATCATAAACGATGTAAGCATTAACTGTATCACGTTCAGCATGAAGTTTCTTTTCAAGGAAAGCAACTTTTCGGGGCAAAAATTCAGAAAAGGCCAAACTACGAAACCTGATCGAATTGATAGCCCCAAAACGACGAAAGTGCTTAGAGAAGGCTTTGTATTCATGCTATTTTTGGTTAGAAGCAAGTATATTTAAAATATGTTCCATACCTTGTCTAAAACAACCTTGGAAGGTAAATTATTTACAAAAATAGTTTTTTCAGACTTTTGAAGCTCTTGTTGAATTTTTACATCTTGTTGATGTTTTAAAGCTCTCTGTTCCAGTTTCTCCTGTTCTGACTTTTGTTTATCATTTTCGGATTTTTCCTCTTCCTTTTCATCTTTAGGACTTTTCTTTTCTTCCTCACTACCAGTGTCCTTTTCGACTGCTTCCTCTTCTCTTAATTTATCAAAGTAATCCGCCTCAAGGTTGTCACCGTCCAAACCAGACTTTTTCTTTTTAGATTGTTTTTTCTTTTCTTTTGAAACCTTTTTTTCGGCTTCAATGTTGACTCCCTCTTCAATGTTTTCATCCGCATTTTCATTCGTACTTGGTAATGTTATTTTAGTAGGCTCTTTTATGGCAGGACGCGAAATTGGTTTCTTTGAAGTTAGTTAGCTAGAATAAAATATAAAGTTACCTTACAGATTGCTTAAATAAGTTGTCCAAAGAGGAATCTATCTTCGCTGTACTACTGATCTTTTCTGCAAAATTAACAGATGCGCCATTTGATGAGTCTTCACCCATTTTCGGAGAAAGTTTAGTTTAAAATGTGCTTTAAACTCAATAAACAAGTTGTTTCGTTCAATAATCAGTAATGATTATGCTTCCTGAAAAATATTCGAAAATAGCAGTTAGAAAATTTAGGTGTGTTAGAGGAAGGTGGTTGCTATGGTAGGACAACATGGCAATTGTTTTGAAACATTTTTTTTTGACATTCCTAAATTAAATAGAAACTATTGAATGAAAATAATTACAAAATAATATAGATGAGTTCTCTGACGCACTTCTGAGAAACCATGTATGAATAGATAAAACGTTATTTATTGAATTAAAAGCAACTTATTAGTTTGGCTCAATTTTTGGAATATTAATCAAAGGAAACTTCATTCTATTCAGTCAGCCGCCGATTGCAGAAAGGTAAAAGGGGTAAAAGCATAACCTTCACCTTCAAAGTGTTTTGACATGCCTTCCACCCAGTGTAGACGAAGACTGTGAAGCATGGCACTAGTACCTTCCATAGCCACCAAAACAAGGCACGTAACTATAAACCAAAACGCGAAAAGGATTACTATGAAGATGGAACCAACTACACCTGTCATTCGAAATGCGTTAGCTAAAGTCATGTTCCACAAAACGGTCGAAAGTTGGTTGTGAGCCAGCGACAAAGCCCATAAACGAAGGTAACTAGCCGTATGGGAGATACAACCTAAGCAGAATTCAATAGTGTGAATGACTTGATGAATAATGATTTCACCAAAATCAAAACCTTCTTCTTGGGGCACCTCATTTTCAACGTCAAGCAAGACTTCAGCTTCATCAACATTTTGTGAATCGTCAACAGATTGATACTTGGCATCTTGTCGGCGATGGTCTCGCCATAAAGCATAAGGTTTAGCACATAAGAGCCATGGAATACAAATTAAGGCAGCAAGGACAAGGATAATTTGTAACTGTTTTTGACCTCTAAACAAAGGCTCTTCAATTTTTCCAGGTGATAAAAACATGAGAATGAGCATATTCAGTAAGCTAGGAGGCTGCCAGTTGTTAGCTTTCCAATCCACACTCCATTTATATATAATTGTAACAACGAGATATCCAAAAATTGCTTCCAAAAATATAAGGGATGGAAGGAAAACGGCATATATATCCAATTTACGATTAAAAAATCGATAATTTGACAAAGAAAGGAAGAGACAATAAGTCATATGGATAACACCGATGACAACAGAAACTTTCATTTTATAAGAATTCATGAACAAAAGATTATTGTCCGCGCTATGCCAAGCAGGATCAATACCTATTGGATATGTGCCCGTTTGAATAGCTTTGGCAGCAGTATCTTCGCTTTTTACAGGCCATGCCCAACGAGAAGTAAAGATAGACATTGGTTTACTGAATAAATCGTTATAAATGAAACCAACGTACATAGAGAATAAACCCATCAAAAGTACCATATAACGGCCGTAAAAGATCATGCCTAGAATTTCATCCAAATCCTTCTTGGCAGCCAAGGTCTTCTCGTGCATTATAAACATTAGAGCTACACAAGCCATTATTGCGCCATGGCCCAAGTCACCAAACATAATAGCGAATAAAAAAGGGAATGTGACAATAGCAACGATTCCATGGTTCACCTCGCGATAAGTAGCCACCCCATAAGAATCGATAAGCGATTGAAAAGCTTCAGTAAACTTATTTACTCGGAAATAGGTAGGGGGAGTTTCTGAAGTACGAATGATATTAAGAATAGACGGCGCTTGAGAATCAACTAAATCAGAAATGTCACGAAGCGTTTTTTGTACCAGCGGAAGGTTAGTGGTTGGGCACCATCCTTCAGCGATAAGGCACTTGTGGTTTTGATCATAACTAAACAAATTCATAGCTTGATAAACAACCTTGTCCTTATGTAAAATAGATTCCCAGGAAGAAATGTGTTCGGCAATGAAAGCAAGTTCTGTGTAAAGAGCAGAGCGAGTGTTTTCTAATACGGCAAAAATGTCACTGATATTTCCATTCACCTGCTGAACTTGCCCAGCGCGAATGGAGGAATCTTCGTCAACGGAAAAGAGGGTGGCACCTAAGCTTTCTGAGATTCGACGGATTCTGGAAAGAATTTGAGTACCATGGGCGAAAACTAAAAACACTGTTTTTTCTTCAGCATCTTCGGTACCATGGATGACAGAATCGTCAGCGCGGGTTTGGTAAATATAGAGGTTACCACGGAGAGTACGCCAAAGGATTCGTTCCAAAAATTGAAACTTCACAGACGGGATAATACCTGTAACAAAATCAAGAGAAATAGAAGTTCGAGCTCCAGTATCTTCACTATTAAAAGAACCAGTAGTTCCTAATTCTAAAGCGTTCTCGATAAGCGGAGCAGTTGCATCGTCTTCTCCAGCCATAATGGAACCACTATCGGGATTGACATTAAGAGGATTATGAGCATTGGTACTTTTTGCGAAAAAGGAATCAACTTTTGACAAGACGTTTGAATATTCTAATTGTTGAAGATACTTTATGTTCAGTGCTCGGCTTGACTCCACTAGTTGTCTGACGCGCACCTCCAAGCGAGAGATCTTCTCAATTATATCCTCGATTGTGGTCGTTTCTAAGGTAATTTCATAATTTTTAGGAAGATGATGCTCGGGAATATTGATGCTGTTTAAGGCAATCTCTGAATGAAGGTAACGTAGTTGACGTTCAGCTTCATCTAAACGTCGAATTTCTCGAACAAAAGACCTATGAAACGCTACCACATCTTTGTTTAGCTAATTCAATGTTAGCCAATATATTGTCAGATGAATGCTTACATCTTTGAAATGAATAGTTGACAATTCCCCTAATGCCAACATTATGGGCCTGACGGACTCCGTCGGCAGGTATAACTGCACCAAAGAGACGTCCTCAGATCCTAAAAGCCATTGTTAGTCTGTATTACTTGCTACACAAGTCATATTTTACTTACTATACAGTGAGCGTGACATGTCGAGGATAAGTGTGCTAAGGCTGGGAATGCCTAATGATTATATCAAAGACGAAGATAACTCTTAAGGAAGACAGCAGCTTTTTTTAATTTCTGTAATACAATCAATTATAAATTTCTTGTTTTTTTTTTACTTTGAAATTAAATACTAAAGAAAATTCAAAAAGTTTTCAACATGAGTCATTGCGATGACATATGCAATATATTGAATTCAGTATAACTAAAGGATGATAGAATAAATAAATGAACGAAAATAAAAGCTTGGAAAAAAATACTCCAATCTTCAAATATACTTGGCCCTGTGTGTGCTACCAGGAATTTATGTATAAGTTTGTAAAGCAAAAGAAGCTAGCTAGTGAAAAAAAAAGCTAATAGTTGTACAAAATAAGAGCTCATTGGCTTTTACTACATGTTTAATGAAAAGTCTTTTGTTTGTGAGATGTTTCCTTTTTTTTCATTCCATTCACCAAAGCAGACAAAGCACGAAGGCGACCAAACCAACTATAGAGTATTTAGCTTGCATACTTTCTTTAAAATTTAAATCTTCTTCTTTGTAATCGATGATCTCCCCCCTCCAGAAGAAGGAATGTGGAATGCGATATGCATTATGACCCAAATATATGAACGATGATCATTGAAGAATCCGAAAAAGGATCTTTCTCATTCAGCCTTTCCATTAGAAATCCAATTTTTACAGAAAAACCACACAATAGACCACTTCATTGATTTTTTTTTTGTTTAGAATTATCTGCTTTTTACTTATATTTGTTTTCATGTTCGCTCTGTTTACTAGATGTTACCTTGAAACGACATTGACAAGTAACAATCAAACAATAGTTTTTCAGTAAGAATGAAACTCGGTAGAAGCCTTTGAGTGTCGTTTGACTAGTTATGGTTTTATCGCCAGATTATTCGTATGTTTTAAATCAATCTCTGTTGGAAAGTAGCAAAGAAAAGCTGCATGATGATGCAGGTTTCACTGATTCGCAAAATGTACGATTGCACAAAAGTGACGCTTGAGAATCATAGCTAACAGGTTGCATAGAAATATTTATTTTTAAGAGCAAAAAAAGAGACTTTGGAAAAGAAAGTTAAGTATCAAGCAGCGTACGCCAAAGTCCTAGAAGCAATAGGCAATGAGAGGAACAAGTCCGATGATTTCAAGACGCCGCTTGCAGATTTCGAAGCTTCCAAAAAGTTGTTAGAGGATATGGAAGGGAAATGGCGGGTTGCTGAAGTCAGTCGTTTGTCGAAACTAGTGGGTACACTTATGCAAGGGACGTTACATATAGAAAAGGAAAGCAAAAAATTCTCCATTTCCAAAGACGTACTCACAACCCTATATACATCTTTGAGGGAAGTGCAATCGCAGTTGGAAAGACTTGATCTATTGGAGGATCCGAGTACTTCCTCTGACATGTCTATTTACTCCATTCTTGCTGATCTTCAGCGAATTAGCAAATCCCTCGCAAAACAACCATCGGATATGAAATCCGTTGAACTGCATCAACCACCTCCACGAGTCTCTGACTCTTCTTTGAATAAAGAGACATTGGCGAATGTTCTTCTAGATTGGCAAAGACTAAGTGCAGAACAAAACACATATCTACGAGAAATAAGCAATGCTGGAAACATCCCTCCCGATTGCTTGCTTCAATTACGACAATACTTTTTTCGAAGCGAACTGCTGTCTGAGAAACTATCCAATATCTATTCCTCTGTCAATGATGGGGCAGACGATAATCTTTTGTAATGAAGGTGAGCTGAATCTTGTATTCCTTCTATAGATATAAGCTTTTTAATATATCCTTATTCTCCGGCTTTGTTTTGAGCTGTAATGAGCTCAATCTTTTCGTTACTCTTGAGCGTTCAACGTTCCGTTCTTTTTATATCCTATATACCTGGTTTCTTTTATATTTTGTTTTTGGTTTTTGGCGTTAAAAGGTTCCTCAATTCCCAATGAATATCTTTTCTAACGATTTTTATTTGATAATTACGATGTCGCATTCAAGCTTCACTGTCTTTTCGTAAATCTATTGTTTTTTATTATGATTATATCAAATTACAAGAATTCCTTTTCTTTCATCCTAACGATTCCTACCATGCTCTTCAAGTTTGTTTATTTTTCTTTCTCTCGCCCTTTTCAGATAATGCGGTAGAGTACGTAAAATTATTTTATGCTAAGTAGCGACACCACTAAACCACTTGTCCTGCCACTTAAACAATACACCAAGGATCCTAGTTTTCCCTACAATTGCTTTAAAACGCTAGAATTCGTGGAAATAAAGGAATTTTCTGCTTAAAAATCTATTGAAAATATCATTTTTGTGTATGATTTTTTTAGGTTAATCGTGTTTTACTCAGCTTTTGAGTTTGTCGCTTAAACCAAGCGTTGTACTATATGAGAGCGGTTGACTCTATCCTTCAGTTCGGAGAAGGATAAAATTGATATCTATTTTGTTTAAAATAGAAAAAAAGGTTTTGAATGATAGCTTAGAAGAATGCCAACTCGTCAGTCAAGGAAAGGTATATATAGATAAGTCATCTGCAGGATAAGCTGAGGATGCAAGAAAGCATGTTTCTATGAACGTGTTTTATGTTTTTCTTTCAACTTCTAGAGCTAACAGGAAATAGTTTCTTCCAAATCACTCCCAACTTATGTGAATTCTAGTACCACAAGCTTAGTTAACAAAGATGATACTAGTATTTCTGAGTATATGAAGCTTCGCTTACTTCAACCTCCTTCTAAAGTCATAAATACTTTAGAAAATACTGTATCTTTATACAGGCGTTGCGAAAATATACGGAAGCGTTTACTACAAATCCCAGGTCTTCAAAATATTCTGGAGTTTATACATTCCGTTGCTGATGTTACTCCCTTTAAGATTTTGCACATTAATGGAATTCCGTACGATGATCCAGTAACTGAATTGTGGTTGTTCTGCCGTTTCGGCTACCCTCTTTGCGCTTTATACAATGCAGTTTCCCCAGAACAACCCGTAAATGTGAATTATTCAGTTACTTTGGAAAACACAAATGCTTGTAAAGCGGAGCTCTATAGGTTTCTGTTGATGTGCAAAAAAAATTTAGGGTTTGGGGATAATGTTCTCTTTTCCATATCTGAGATCTTTAGCGATTCTACTTCTTCATTAATAAAAGCACTGTGGACCGTTGAGACTTTGCTAGATAAATTTGAAAATTTACCCACTAATCCACCTGGTCGTCTTTTGGAAACTCCTAAAGAAAAATCACCAGGTATGCTTCATTATCTTATAGAAAGTGGTCAAAGGGTTCTTGCAGAAATTTACGAAACTGAATTAAAGTATATTCAAGATTTGGAATTTCTGTCAGTCTTCATGACTGCATTGCAGCAGCGCAAAGTCTTATCCCTTGAAACGATACTGAAAATCTTTACCAATCTTAACGAAATTCTTGATTTTCAAAGAAGGTTTCTAGTTGGGTTGGAAATGAATCTGTCATTACCACCCCAAGAGCAACGAATAGGTGCATTGTTTTTGGCTTTAGAAGAGCGCTTTTCTGTTTATCAAGTATTTTGTTTGAATTACCCCACTGCTCAGCAATTAATCATCGATAATCAAGCACAACTCAGCGAATTGAGCTATCTCTTGGAACCTTCTTACGAGTTTCCTGCGTTGCTAATCAAGCCCATCCAAAGAATTTGTAAATATCCCCTTCTTTTGTCTCAGTTAATTAAAAACACTCCTCTTAACTATCCACATGAAGAAGAATTAAGACAAGGAATGGCTTGTGTCGTACGTATAGCTAATAAAGTGAACGAAACCAGGCGTATTCATGAAAATAAGACTGCGATTGATGAGCTTGAGCAGCGCGTTATTGATTGGAAAGGCTACTCATTGAATTTTTTTGGACAGCTTTTATTATGGGACGTCGTTAGCGTCTCTAAAGCCGATATAGAACGGGAGTATTACGTCTATCTATTCGAAAAAATACTTTTATGTTGCAAAGAACTTTCCCCTTTAAAAAAGCAGGCACGCAGCATAAGCATAAATAAAAAGCCAAAGAGACTAGATACTCTTCAACTTAAAGGAAGAATTTTGGTTTCTAATGTTATTGCCGTTGTTCCGAATACAAATGCCGATCCTTATGCCCTTCACATCTTTTGGAGAGGTGACCCACATAATGAATCTTTTGTATTGAAGTTAAGGAATGAAGAAAGCCAAAGGTTGTGGCTTTCAACTTTAAGCAGGCTCATAAAAAAAACAGATAGCTCTTCTAAAGACGTCCGTAACACATCATCTACTTCCTTAGGTCACCATGGTTTGGATAATACCGGATCTATCAAGATTGGTAGCCCTTCAAAACCATATTTAATGCGCACACATTCACTTGATGATACTATGACTCAGACATTAAACTTTTCAGCCCCGTTATCCAATCCTAGTCCGTTTTCTAAAAACGGCTATTCTAGAGGAAATCAACGTGCTAGTCCTGATAAGCTTGGATACCCAGATTTACGCCTCAATGGCGAGGACTTAGGCAGGTCCGTTTCCAGAAACTCGCAAACGGCTTCAGAGTTTGTCGGTAACGATTCCTCATCGACTGTATCCAATCCCTCGGGAGCGAGCCAAACTTCTCATCTAAGTCAGGTGAATTCGCTTTTAAGCGACTATAACTATAGTCGCTCAAATATTTCTAGACAGCACTCGCAAGTTGATGATTCAGAATCTGGGATTTATGAGGATATGCCAGATTTTTCCAAAATACAGCAAAGTGATCATTCCAGTAATCGATTATCTTACAATGATACGTACAAATATGACTCCGGATCTGTTCCTCATAGGGGTGAATCGGATACTTTAGATGCAGCTTCTTTGGTAAGAAGCGATCCAGTTATGGTCCGTTTACAACTCCATGAAGCGAGTTTTGTACTTGTTGTTCCGCGAAATATTAGTTATGGTGAATTGCTAGGCAAAGTGGAGCACAAGATAAAGTTAAGTGGTATTATGAAGGATGATGGTTCATTTAGGGTCCGGCTAAAGTATATAGATGAAGATGGTGATTTTATTACGATTACTTCTGATGAGGATGTTTTAATGGCATTTGAGACATGTACTTATGAAATCTTAGATCCAAAACAAAACAAGGGCATGATTACTACAACCTTACACGTTGTTTATTATTAAGCTTTGCTAATGACTAGATTGCATATTATTGATCTTATTTATATAGAGGAATTTAGCATACATTACAATAAAATTTTCAAAGTATATGGAGTGAGCGTATCGATGAAAATGAAAAGATTCCCAGCAGGTACACGTTTACATACATTAAACGGTAGATAAGGAAAACTATACACGAATAGGGGCATTACCACGATTGACCAGACACATCTTATGCAAATGATCCCTCTTTTTGAAACAAGAACTGGTATTATCAAGAATTGCGACAATTTCTTTAGCAAGTCTTTCCGAAAGTCGTTTTGAACTATGCGATTTAGATGAATCCAAAACCCATTTAATGGCTATCCTCCTCCTTTGCTTCTCTTTCAAGGGAATAGGGAACTCGACGCCCTTATTGAATCGTTTAGCAGTTATCTTATCGCATGTTAGTATGTAAATGTATTATAAAAAAGAACCCGTCAGTGTAACTTACCAATTTCATGATGGGTGAAATATCAGCTAAAGCCTGCCTCAGCAATACCACTGGGTTTTTTCCTTTTTCTTTTTGTACAATGGTCAATGCAGTAGCCACAATTTTCTCTGCCTTTGTTTTTTTTCCGTCCCTCATAATCATGTTGACTAAATGTTGCACAGCTGGGTCTACTTGGAAAGGCCGATTGATGATCTCTTCCACTGGGTTCGCAGGTTCAGGCCAAACAGTATCCAAAAAGTTATCCTCCAATTTTTCTTCTCGAGGACCTGCTACCATATCATCATTCGTCTTTGTTGTTTCACCAACCGCTTCCTGTAGTTGAGCAAGTAGATTTTCTAAGCCAGGACTGCTCCATTCATTTCCTCCATTTGCTGCGGACGATGGTTGCTTATTCCGTTGATAACTTAAACTTTGAAATGAGCGCAGACGGTCGCAGGAGATAGATTTTGTATTTGTAAAATATGTCGTTCGTATGCCTTGAAATATAGGGAACTTAACAGCCCTCAACACACTGGCTCCAACATTAAACATTATAAAACTACCTTTTTAAAGACCTATTTTATATAGAATTAGGATAGCAACTGTCTTTTCTTTATTAAAGAAAGATTCAGGTCTCTTTCCATGTGAGTTGGTGTTACAAAACAATTCTAGCATTAGTGCACTTACACCAGGTATATATTATACAGCTAATAAGTGCAATATGAAAGAATGAAACTGTATTTATATATTTATAGTTTTATTTCATTTAATAGAAAGAATATTGAAATTCATAGCTGAAGTATAAATTTGTTTTATGAACCATTTTTACAAATGGGTATTATTCGTATTCTGACGAAGTTGCATGTTTTTTCTAATTTACAGTACTAAAGAATGTCTGAAAACCCAATTCCCCAACACATTCGTTCGGTATCGATTCTTTTAAAGTCAGATTATCGATGGTTCATTAAATAGTCAGTCGTAAAATAAGCATCATGATTAAAACGAAGATGAAAACTCCTTTTAAGTTGAAGGAGTGATGGATATTCTTCTTTGATATTCCCCTAATGCAACATCAATGGATGAAAGGATTGAGGAAACCAACTATGAACATTCTCATTAGCAACGTATACACGAGACGAAATAAACCTTACCTGATAGATATAAGACGGATTGACGTTTTGCTTTTTCGCTTGAGAAACTATGGCATCCACCCGAGTCTTTGAATTCAATAATGCATGCTGTAGAGGTTCCATGATTTTTTTATCAGCATAGTTTGGACTAAGCAAGGCACTCCAAAACTGGTGTAAGAACTCGACACTTACAGTATGACACATAGTTACCTCTTCCTTTAATTCTTTTGGAATATTCATATCAGAACCATGAGTCTCGAACTCATATTTTTCTCTCATAGCATGGGTAAGCTGTTGAGCAGCCTCTGCCAACGCATTTATGTCGCGATCCATACTATCTAGTTGCACATTTTCCTCTTGGTAAAGACTTTGCAAAGTTTCCAGAGGCGGCAGGGGTTCTTCCATAGACTGCTTTGACGAAGGGGCAAAATTTGTTTCTAAGAATCGATCCTGTTCTTGTATATTCAATATGACTTTGGAATCTGTGCGATCTTCTTCTAAATCATGGAATCCAGACTCTTGCAAATATTGATTTTCAGTTTCAGTCTTTAGTCGTTTTGAATTCCTATAGTCGAGTCAGCATAGACTTTCTACTGTTTCCTTACCCCAGACTTTTCTCCAAAAGTCGTTCTGATAACTGGTTGATATTTTTCATAAAAGGAACAGCCTCTTTATCTATACGCATTGTAATGTCCGGGCGTAATTCAGCAAGTACACTTGCGTTTTGTAAATTTCCCTCAATATCGAGTACATGAGATGGAGGAGGTTCATCCTTCCTAGCCGAATCTTCTACAATAGTGTTAGCAATAAATTCAAAAAGCAAAGTTGAAATTGGTAAAAATAATACCCTCATTGGCTTCTAAATATTGGTCCATAATGTCATCATAAGGATCCATAGGAGTAATCCGATCTCCGCGAAACTTTTTACACAGCTTTGACAGAAAAAACCTACTCCAAAACTCTCCTTCAGCTAATGGAGGGACATGCTTGTTATAAACTTTTCGAAGAAGCGGGTGTTGTTCAAACATATCATGAATTTGTTGGCGGGTCAAAGACACCTTCATTTGGTTATCCACAGTCTTTGGCTTTATAGAAGATAGAACATTATATGGTCCGCGTTGTTGTGATCTTTCGACAGCATGGGCGCGTAGCAAATGTAATCGCGTAGACCAAAATTGCTCATTACTCAAGTGGCCTTTCATGACTGCTTCTTTAAATGTTTGAAACATCTCACTGTTGCTCGTCAAAAGTGATTCTTGTAAGTCAATATCCTCCAAGAGATTCTTCTGGTTCAGGGATTCCACTCCAAATGATTTCTCATCGGAAACTGTATTATCCCGTTGCCTAGTGATTGCTTTTTGGAGCTCTCCGGTGACCATCTCACAATTTCCGCGAGCATTATTTGTATTCGTAAAGCTAAACACCAAGGGAGTAGGCTCCTCGCCTTTGTTCATAATGATAAAAACACGAACCATGATCTTGGGAGACGATGCTGGTGTCATTTGCAAATCTTTTCTGTAAGCTTTAATGAAACAGTATAGCTATCCTTACTTGCTATTGCATCAAAAGAGATATCAATCGCTGGATTCGTCTTTCCTTCAGCGGTCCATTTCAACCTGCTGTCCACTGATATAACACCTATAAATTAGCAAAACCAAGTCAATTTCAATCTTACCCAATTTCTTTTTAAAGTAAGCATATGTCTCTATTCGATCCCCCATTTTCAAAAGTGGTAGTGGGAAATGGCGATTCTAAAATTTGGCATGTTTCATCTTCCAAGGAAGTTCAATTCATCAAGCAAAGAATAGAGGTTTATAGAGTTCTTCTAATATTTACTATAGTTTCAAGGAAATATAAATTCATCTGTAATTTACTTCTCAGGATGATTTTGTCTATATTGATTTTCCTGTCAAATGCAGGCTTCTTGGTTTGGTTATACTGTCAAATTATACATGTTATAGTCCATTTAAGACATTGAGGGATTATGAGGATGACATGAAGTCATGAATAAATTCATATATTACTTAAACAATAAAGACGAACATGGGGAATTGTTTTGGACCAGCGAACGTAGACACAATGCAATTATTCTTAGCAAAATGAATGAGAAGCCAATAAAGTAGCACAGTAAAAAGTGGACCAAAGCGGTACTACATATTGACTATTGACTATCCAAAATCATGTAAAAGAATACTGTCATGGGAGAAGAGGAAGGAGAAAAAACAAGAGAGAGAGAGAGAGAGAATTAGGAAAATAAATTTTTTATAAAAAGAAAGTAGACCAATGTGCAAGGACCCGCTTGTCACATAATGAATTTTGTTTTATGGAATATCACTTGAACCTGCTACTGTGGAAGCGTCTGATTGTTGATCTGTAAAGTTAGAAGAGGGGATAAAGGATTCAATACCATCATGTTTCTGTTTTTTCTCACTTGTGTCCCTAGAGTCGGGTTCTCTTCCTTGTCGCCGCTTCGACGTTCTAGTAGGCAATCGTTTCCCACTGCGGGGTACTAGAGGCTCTGGGGCAGCAGCATATGGAATAAAAAAATGAGGATACATCATTTCCATTGCCTGAAAGCAAGTCTGCAGCCTCGAAAAATTCCGCTTGGACACAGCCTCTGTATGCATGGATATATGAGCTTTTTTATGAAGAAGGGGCGAGTTCTTCTCTACAAGATTAACGATGTTTTGTATTATGGAAGATCTTTGGTCTGGTGTTGCATTTGAGCTCATGATTTTGTGAACGGAAGCATCCAAAGCCATTTGCATTTCTAAATTGGTGATTAGTACACATATTTGAATTGGCGTACTATTCATCATTTACGGAGATCACATACCCTTGATTTCTTCTTCTAAACAATGGATTTTAGTAAAATCCGAAGACAAATCGTCTGGTGTTGCATCCAGCACTAAATAGGAGTGAGAAAACAAAGCTTTCAACAGAATAAAAAGTTATACCATCGGCTAATTCTAGTAGCAGATTCATGCCAACTTCTTGTGTGTTTTCCTCTGGCATGGCTATTGTTTGAATTGCCAAATTTAGACATGTAAAATCATCAGATGTAGTCTCCTTCTTTCTACTTATTTCATTCACATAAATATCCCAAAACCACTTCTACAGAGCCCTGGACGTTCCTTTCCTTTTTCTCTTTAAGAAATCGTTCTGAATCGTTCCAGCCTGCTACTTTATCCACTTTTTTTATAATGTAATCGACTTCACTTTAGTATACAATGGCAAACTAGACTACCCTTTCACCGCTAGTGAAACGAGCGTTGTAAAAGAGAGGTTCGTATGGAAGTGCACTCGTTTTTTAAATCTGATATTCTCCATTTCGAATATGGCATCTTCTTTTAAACAAGTATTTTATAAATAAATATAGCTCTATAAGTTGTTTATCCTAGCTTTTATGAGTTAAAGCCTTCAGGGCTTACAGTCTTCAACAGGTAGCTTTTGGACTACGAAGGAGCCCAATGGTTGTTATATAAAGATGAAATTGTCTATGTTTAAATTACTTCTTGCATACTAAACCAATTTCTACGGAACTTCTTATGAGTGCTTAAACATTGAGTGAAAGTCTTTTCGCTACTTGTTCCTACTTTTCGGTTTTTTTGAAATTCTTATAGACTGTTTTACAGCAAAAGAAAACTCCTTATGCTGTTCAGCCTACTCCATTCATAACTCTTCTGGCTATTTCCTTCATCTTCTTTCGATTGATAGGAGATGAACTTGTGCGTATGCTTTTTCTTCTTTTAATTTTTATATGATTTCTATCCTTATGGATTAGTCCTTCATCAGCTTTCTTCATTTACTATTTTATTGCTTATACTGACTTCCATTTTGCCATCCACCTTTGTAGAAACTGTCAATGCATGCATTATTACATAAAAATTGTTTGTGAAAATCCCGTTCAAGATATATTTTCATTAAAAAACGAAAATAAATCCAAAAAAAACACCAGGTGGCCTCCAAAAGAACACGCAGGGTTTCGCTTGGAAGAAATCTCAATTATTTCTATGGACCACCAGCAAACTCATGTCCCAAGGGTAGAAGAAGTTAGTCTGGGTCATGGGATTATTCATTTGTACAAAGAAATTCCAGATATGACCAGTGAATTCCGTGCACCCGGACTCCTTCTTGCTATTCTGGCTATCCCTCTATATATGTCGCCTTCAGATATACTCGGATTTTTGGGAGAAAAGAGTTGTAGGTCTATAAGTCATATTCGCCTGTTGAGGACGAAAGTCCAGAATCGGATTCTCGCTCTTTTGAAATTCGTTGATCAAGTCAGTGTAATTCGTTTCTTTTCTGAATATAATGGAAAAGCTTTCAGTCAAATAGAGCCCGAGACATGCCATGTCGTTCACGTTGATGAGATTCAAGTTGAAAGCCCTTCAGATTCCCCTACACCTTTGATGAACATTACTTCACGAGCATCTACTTTCTCACGCCCCTTGGCTCCGCCTACGCCCTCCCTTGTAGAGCTTCCTACATGTGTGGTATGTCTTGAGAGAATGGACTCTTCGGTAACAGGACTTATCACTATTGCTTGTCAGCATACCTTCCATTGTCAATGCTTACAAAAATGGGGGAACTCTTCTTGCCCCGTTTGTAGATATACCCAAAAAGATCAAGCCCTCCGTCATTCTGGGAAATGCTTTGCCTGCTCATGTGAAGAGGATCTGTGGATGTGTCTTATCTGCGGTAATATTGGCTGTGGCAGATATCATGATGCTCATGCAAAGCAGCATTTTATTGAAACCAATCATTGCTATGCTATGAATTTAGAAAGTCAACGGGTTTGGGATTATGCAGGCGATAGCTACGTCCATCGCTTGCTGCAGTCCGAGCTAGATGGAAAAGTGGTTGAACTATCGAATGATTCAAAGCCGGCCGGAGAAAGTTCTGCTTTCGACCAGTCAAACTTAAAGATCCGTGAGAAAATGGGGCTTGAATACACTCAAATCTTAACTTCGCAGTTGGAATCTCAGCGTATATTTTATGAATCACAACTATCTTCTATGGCGGAAAAGCTAACTCGTTCGAATGAAGAAATAACTCTAAAGTCCAAGATTACCACAGCCTCTTCAAATGCTAATAATGAACTTCGTTCGCGGGTGGATGTTGCTGAAGGTAATTTGAAGAAGAAGGATAACAAAATCAAGAAGCTTTCTTCGGAAATAATCCAATGGAGGCATGATTACGACGAAGAAAAGAGCATGAACGAGAATTTGTTGATGCGAATTCAATCCTTAGAGGCTAGGCATAACAAGAAAGTTGAGGAAATTGTCTCTATGCAGCAGCAAATTTCTGATTTATCAGATCAGTTAAGGGATTTAATGTTTACAATATCTGCTTCTCAAGAGCTTCAAAAATTTAATGATTCAGAAGACGTTAAGAATGCTACGGTTGTCGTACCGAACGCAGCAATAGCAAGCTCGTCGTCAACAAAGGCTAAAAAAAAGAAAAAGAAAAAACTCGTGCCTGCTGCATCAAGCAGTTCATAGAATCTCAATTGCTGTGTCTTTTCTGTTTATGATTTATATGTTTATGTACAATACCAATTCATAATATTAATGAAATTTACTCTTCCAATTACTCCTCATTCTATTCTTTCTGATTGAACGTAATTTTTGTCTTACTTTGAGGGTTTTGGAACAAGTGCAAACATTTTAACAGGGTAGAGTTCGTCAGGAAATCCGTGCTGTAGAGACTCCGCTATTATGACTAAATTCGCTCTTTGAAATATTTTCCGGAACGAGTCATCGGTGCGAGTGACGCTGCTATCTTGTTCGTCAAAACTTTCCGTGAAGGATGAAACATTTTCCTAAGGTTATAAGAGGTTAGAATCTTCTACTGAATGAAACTAGCAACTACCTTTATGCAAATCACTCCATGTTCGCATAACGATTCTGAACAAGAGAGCAAATAAGCTACCAAATCATCATCGGTAAGGTGGGATAGGCACCATTGATTCCATATTAAGCCTAAGTCATTATTAGCATTGGGGGAAAAACAAGTTATAGCTGAAATCATCTGCTTCCTCTGTAGACAGTCGCTATCAAGTTGGCTTACCATAGCGGTTTTTCTCGGGAGCCCAGTTTTGTAATCCGGTACAGATGAAAGAGCAAGGCTTATCCTGCAAATTGGTTCTTGCTTGTGACACAAACTTTTCCACCGGCTCAACAATGTCTACATGCGAGGCGACTTTAAGCAACACAGATTCCGTTACTCTTCCTATTCCTGCTCCGCAATCTGCAGCAATTAAACTCTCGATCTTTTTGAGGCGGTAATCCAAACGACGCAAAAAAGTACGGGAGGCAATCGCATCAACTTGAGGAATCTTGTGGCGTTAGCTTCATTCATATAGCTTGTAATTTTATGGAGCAATAGTCGAATAGAATCCAAAATAACTAGTAGCAGCTTCCATAAACAAGGATTGTCTTGTTGTAATACATACACGCCCAGTTCCTAAACCTCCTAACATTCCATTTACAGAAGGCTCAATTCCATTCCAATATCTAAAATATTAGTACAAATTTCAAGGGTTTTCCATACTCAATAGCATCGCTATAAAATTTGGTGGGGTTCATTCTTTCTAGCCAAAACCATGCAGACTGAACAACAAAAAGAGCCACAGACCGCATCAAATGCGGTCGAAACCCAGGAAGAGACCGCAAAAACTATTTTTGATGATAAATTAAGCTTTAATTTAAAACATCCATTGGCAAGACCCTGGACATTATGGTTTTTGATGCCTCCTACTCCAGGTCTTGAATGGAATGAACTTCAAAAAAACATAATAACCTTTAACAGCGTGGAAGAGTTTTGGGGGTAAGTAAGAGAAAAAGAAAGAATAATAGCAAGATCTTTAAGAATGCTAACATGCGTGTTTTATATAGAATTCACAACAACATCAATGCTGCTTCCAGCTTACCCATAAAATCTGACTACTCCTTTTTCCGTGAGGGTGTACGTCCTGAATGGGAAGATATTCACAATAAAAACGGTGGTAAATGGGCTTTCCAAAACAAGGGTCGTGGAGGAAACGCTTTAGATGAAATGTGGCTTACTACGGTATGTAAAGAAGAATTATGGTAACGGGATTCTATGAAGATAGATTTCGATGTCTCCTCTTAAAGGAGGAGTAAAAATCTCCATGTTTGGTTGGAGCTGTCGTCCTTTTTTTACTTCGTTGCCCGTTGTTTGTTCAGGATGTCTATGCTAACGAAAATAAAATAGGTACTTTCTGCTATTGGAGAAACTTTAGATCCTACTGGCGAAGAAGTGATGGGAGTTGTTGTCAACATGAGAAAGGGTTTCTATCGTTTGGCTGTTTGGACAAAGACTTGTACGAACCGTGAGATCCTTTTGGATATTGGCAATCGCTTTAAGCAAATATTAAACCTGCCTCGTACTGAGACCATTGAGTTTAGCGCTCATGAAGACTCTTCGAAATCCGGTAGCACTCGTGCAAAGACTCGTATGAGTGTTTAAACTAGAACGCTCTATTTATGTGGATATATATATGTATATACATATTCATATACATAAACATATATTTCGGGTGAAAAAAGCAATCGGTTGGTTCTTTTAAATTGATACTGCTATACCGTTCGTTGTATAGTATCATATGTAGTTTTCTATTTGCTACGCAGATGTAATAAAATTGCTATAGAAACAATAGACAACAGCCCATGGGCTCTAAATGAGTTTGTACAATGCAATGCAATGCGAGAATTAATGATCCCATAAATCTTGCTTATTTTGTTCACATCAATTATGATCCTTTCTTATTGTCATCATGAATGGGTCTATAGCTAAGGCACTGAGTTGGCAAATACAATGATAAATAAATTGATAAAAGTTAGGTACAAATATCTGGAAGTCCAGCCATAGATTCAAGCCCATGGATTTTCCGCTTTTCATAGGGAACTTTGCAAAATTACTTTCGAAAATCGGAGAACATTGTTACCTGTGTTTGATTTAAAGAGCTACAAGTCGCAAAGTTGTCCTTTCCAAATACTACGAAAGGTGAAAACAAGATGATGAAGTACGCGTTTAACTTACGATGAAGCAATTCATTTCTTGATTTTAAATTTATATATATATATCCAAAAAGACATTCATCGTTTTGACGAACTCATTTTTCCAAGTATCGGTGTTTTTCAGACGGATACATTGGATGTTTACACGAAACGATGAATAGTGAGTGCACTAATGCTATTGAACAATATTTTACGATATGTAAGAAGTAATACGCTAAATAAAATAACAAGGCAATTTAAAGGGGAAACCAAAGCTTATTGAATATGCTGAGGGCAATGATAGAAATTTCCCAGAAACGGTGATTTGAAAGTTGCCCTCTACCATGAACGCACCAACATTTGCAGGTATGCCTACGACCATGCTTTCAGTGAAAATGATTTGCTCTGAATGTCGAGAAGATCCTCCTAATCTTGTGGAGGAATTTTCGAGTGGTGATACCGTTTGTGGAAGCTGCGGGTGTGTTCATTCTCGGGGTATTTGGCAATCATGTGAGTTGGATGAAATGTGCTTTGATTGAGAGAAATCGATGAATTTCGTCATTTACATGATTGTCGAATTCTCCTTATTTAGCTAATTATGAGAATAGTAGTTACTAACAGGAATATACAGGTTGGTTTTGGGCGATCGAATTATCGATACTCGAAGTGAGTGGCGCACATTTTCAAATTCGGATGAAGCAGGTGGGGATCCCAGTCGTGTTGGTAAAGTTGCAAACCCTCTTTTGAATGGATCTCAGTTGGATACGGCCATTTCTTCGCACGACGGAACTGGAGCAATGTTAGCCAAGGCACAGGGACGGTCGGTTCAAGTACGTGGTGAAAAGAATCTTTTGACGGCTTATAAAGAAATTGGTGCAATGTGCGATGCGATTAGTTTGCCCAAGGTAATTGCAGATACTGCGAAACAGTTGTATAAACGAGTAGATGATCACAAGGCGTTGAAGGGTAAATCATCGCAGTCGATCATTGCTGCCTGTATTTATATTGCTTGTCGTCAGGGGAAGGTTCCTAGAACCTTTATGGAAATTTGTACTTTGACCAATGTTCCCAAAAAAGAGATAGGACGTGTCTATAAGACATTACAACGTATGCTTACTGAGGGTGGTGCTCTCCATAATTCCGTCGATGCCTTGAAAGGTCAAGAATACATCCAAAGTAGCTCTACTTCGGCTGAGGATCTCATGGTTCGATTTTGTAACCGCTTGCTGCTTCCTATGACCGTGCAATCGGCCGCTGCCGAGTTGGCACGTCGTGCGGGTCAAGAGGGTACACTTGCAGGCCGCTCACCTATTTCGATCGCTGCGAGTGGGATTTACATGATTTCTGCGTTAATGGGATTTCCCAAGACTCCGAAAGAAATTTCGGAGGTTACGGGTGTGAGTGATTCTACCATCCGTATCGCTTACAAGCTATTGCATGCAGAGCGTCATAAGCTTGTCGATTCCAAATGGGTTGCAAAAAATAGCACAATGGATGCGATGTTGCCAAAGCCTTAATTTGGAATGGCGGTAAAATAAGGGATTTTGGTTTGTGTACGATGTTGAAAACAAAGCTATATGATGCACACTTATGATATAAATGACTAGAAAAAAAGAACGAATGTTATAATAATCTTAATTGTTTTCTTTGTCGATTGATTTCATATGAACGTTTATATAAAAATTATTATGATATCAAGTTACAAACGTGAGATTATAAAAAGCTTCAAGTATTATCGGTGATTACCTGATACATAGATGGAAAATCAATGATTTAAATGATAGTTCGGCTAGAAGAATCTAGTTCAAACATGATTAGCTATTTACTCATAAAAAATGAAATGACCATGTTCACAATGATGTTGCATTTGCTGCATTATTAATCATATGTATGTTAACTATATTAACTCGAAAGTAGAACGGTACACAATGATTTTATTCTACTTTCATACATAACATAAGAGAGAGGGGGAGATATGTACTGACTCATTCATCTGAGTGAAGAGTAAAAGAAAGCGAGGACATCGTAATAGCAGACATTCGATGTATTGACTTGATTTACTGGTTCAATTTGTTCAATTCCTCCACAAGAAGACTGCCAAGGGTAGCGGGAGAGCGAGAAATACGGACACCAGCGTCTTCCAAGCTTTGAAACTTGGCGGCAGCGGTACCCTTACCACCAGCAACGATAGCACCAGCGTGACCCATTCTACGGCCCTTAGGAGCAGTGGCACCGGCGATGAAAGAAACTACGGGCTTAGGATTGCTCTTGCTCTTATTGGCTTGCTTTATGAATTCAGCAGCATCTTCTTCAGCGCTACCACCGATTTCACCGATCAAAATGATACCATCAGTATTAGGGTCATTCAAAAACAGTTTCAAGGCATCAATGAAGTTGGTTCCAGGGAAAGGATCACCGCCAATACCAATGACGAGGCTTTGACCCAAACCAGCTTGAGTTGTTTGGTTGACGGCTTCGTAAGTCAATGTTCCACTACGGGAAACGATACCGATACGGCCGGGCTTATGGATATGAGAAGGCATAATACCGATCTTACATTGACCAGGACGAATGATACCGGGACAATTTGGTCCTACCAAACGAGTTTTATTTTGAGTCTTCAAGATATCCGAAACACGAAGCATGTCGTGTTGAGGAATGCCCTCCGTAATGGCAACTACAAGAGGAACTTCGGCTTCAATAGCCTCTTCAATCGCACCAGCGGCCAATGGGGGAGGGACAAAGATGCCAGAAGCATTTGCTTTGGTTTCTCTCATAGCTTCAGCAATATTACCGAAAACAGGCTTGTCAAGGTGGGTGCTACCAGCCTTCTTGGGATTGGTACCACCGACAATATTGGTGCCATATTGTAAGGCTTGCTGAGCATGGAAGGTACCTTGTTTTCCGGTAAAACCTTGGAAAATAACTTTGGTGTCTGAATTAATCATTAAATTAGGTATTGTTTGCTCGTACAAAGAAGCAGCATTTTTCAAACCAGCAGTGGTAGAGAACGTGCGCAAGTTTCGCAAAAGATTTGTCTTTTGAATTTGTAGCATCTTGAAAAGCTTTTAATTTATTTTAAAAAGTTCGTATCGTAAGAGATGTCTGCTGCCTTAAACTATCAAAGATATAGCACTTTCCAAAAGGACAGCAACAGTTGGTGGTAAAGTAAGGAAGGAATGTATTGTGGTAGCGGATATTCAGTGGGTGAACAAAGCAAGTGCTATTATGAAAGAATACCAAGTTTATAAAAAGAATAAAAAAAAGAAAACATTAAAAAAATAAAAAATTAATATTATACATTCTGTTTTAAAATCCAGATTAAGGAATTTTTAATTCTCATCAAGGAACATTCTACATTGCGTGTTTTGAAGGTAAAAAAAATAAACGAAAAGATACTCTACAATTTGATTGAATAGAAACTTTCAATAAGCCAGGCGTGTGTGTGATTAAACCTTGGGCGACGCTTTTGATAGGCATCGTCGGACACTTGGGTATGCATGGTTAAGAACCATGATCATAGACGGTTTGTAAAAAACGTTTCTTTTTTTTATTCAATTTTCCTTATGGTACCGGTGCCAAAGGATCGGTTGTAGGTGGGCGAGTTTAGCGGATCATGATGAAGGAGCATGCTCATTGAATATAGAAAACAAAAGAACGAAAGGTCACTTGTATGGGAACGTATTTTACTCAAAAGCTCAATTGGCAAAAGGCAGGAGGTCCCGCTGTCTCTTCTCTAGTCGTTTTTGACAACAGCAACTAGCTTGATTTTTCATGAATGCAAGAGAAACCTATTCAATTTGAGGATTCTTTTTGCATGGATTCCAATAAAGACTGAATGGTTTTGTTAGATTTGCATAGAAGCATGATATCTTGCAAACAGGATAAAAAGTCATGGCCCACAATATCAAAGCTCATCGGCAGAGAAAAGGGTTTGGACATGGATGGATGGCTTTGCAGACGAATCTGAAAAGAAGAAGATGTAGAGGGATTGTTTTTCGATGAAGATTCTTCCATGGCATCGAAGACAGCAAAGCATCGAGGATACTTGGAAATCACGGCAGCAGGTAATTGAGCAGCATACGACGGATGTTGAGCTTTCTTTTTCGAAAGTTGGAGAAACGCCTTGACATAACTGTTAGCATCCATGGGAAGGAAATCACATACCTGTTGCAATTGAGCTTGAAGACGAGAGAGAGTTTGTTGTCGTTGTTCTAGCTCATCGATAAGAGACAAGACACAGTCATTCGAGTCCATTTTCAACAACAGGAACAACAGTAAAAATTCAGAAAAAATGTTTGCAACTACTGTCAATAACACAAGAAAGAAAGAAGGGACCCGATATATTTAAGCGCAAAGGGAAAAGAAAGGAGCAAAGAGATTCTTACCCAAAAAACTCGATTCCGAGTTGAAAAGTTTCTTTCCTATTTCATAAATGGACCTTGAAGCTGAATCAATTCTCATACAATAAAGAGAATTCACCGGCAACGAAATAATGAATGTGGCCTACACACTCAACTAAAACGAAATGTCGTTTTTTCTTCCTTCCTTTGTTTCTTTCAACGACTTTTAGAACTATGATGCTTGTTGATGGATTTTTATACGTAAAAACAAAACAGAGAGCGGAACCACCAATCTGAGTCACGGTAATGTTCAATTTTTAACTATTCCTCTTTTCTTTTTTATTTTTTTTTTATGCAATCTCATTCATTTCCACCTGCATGAATTCTCTTCCTTTAATACCTTTAATAGACGAAATGTAATGTTACTCTTTGGTGTTACTCGTTGTTTTTTTAGCGGGACTCGTTTCGTTACCGTATTATCACTTTGCTACTCATTTGCTACTTTCCTGCTACTTACCAACAACACTACTCCAAACGCAAAAAATTTGTTTTGCTGAAAAAAAGCGAGTAAAACGTGTTTCTACGGCGTAAGAAAGGTATGTCTTATTATATATTTGCATCATTTTGATACATTTAAGAAATGGTGGTCTTTCTTTTGGAGTTGGTGATTCCATGTCAATGTTTGCTCAGGTCACAAGAAAGAAAAGAACCACTAGTAACAAAACGAACAACAGAGAAAGACTAACTCCCAAGGAATAGGAAGAGAAAAGGTTGTTGAAGCGTCCAGTAAATCCAGTAGGTGCTTGTTTGGTGCAAGATTGAATTCAGCATTGGTACATCCGTTAGCACCTCGCCACTTTGGAATTTCGGCCTTTCTCTAGAAAGTAAACGTTAAAACCATCAAGTTCTCTTACATCGTCGAAGGCTTTTTTTCAAGCTTGCCTGAACTTTTAGAATTAATTTTTATTTTTTTATTTTGTTTTATTTTTTTCCAATTCTTCTGTCTTTCCCACATAGTTGTTCGGGAATTTCTGTTTTCTTGTATATAGATTTTCGTTTTTCGAGACACTTACGTGGGTAATAATTCTTGTCTTCTTGAACCGTTTGCATAGTTCGATTCACATTCTTTCGTCCGTCCTAGTGCTGGAGTTAGAATTTAGAATTGCGGTTACATCCATAAACAAACACACCTGGAATCTCCTATTTTTCACTCTCTTTTTATTTTCCGTGCCATGTCCATTGCTCCTAGGCAAATTATGGACGACCCGAACTTAAAAAAAGAAGATCCTACCAATTCTCCTACTACATCCTCCGTACCCGTTGCTGCGACCACCACCGCTACAGGTCAAGGTCCAATATCTACAGGATCTTCCGCAACCAACCCTGGTCCTACTCATAGTGCTCCTCCACCGTCAACAATTAGCCCTGCAACAGCAACCCCGAATCCCCCCAAACACCCTTCAACCGGTATCCCTCCTTCTCCTACTGCTACCACTATGTATAGATGTGACAAATGTGACATGGTTTTTGCCAAACAGTCTGGTTTAACAAATCATAAACGGACATATCATCAACCCGAAACAGTCGTCATTATTGGTCGACGTAGGTACGTTTGGAGGAGAAATGAAAATGGCCGTTTTCAATGTGTTTGCGGCCGTCAGAACTGGCGTCGTCCAGTAAATTTTGCTTCCCACGCTAAGCAATGTCCGAGCTTCTTGGCTATGGACCCAAACAATATTCCCCCAGAGATTAATAAAGTTCCTCCCCACGAAGATATCCATTCTTTAACTGATTCCAGACGCCGATTTCGTCGGGGTAATACACAAGATAGCTTAACGCCTGGTCCACATCCGTCTCAAGTTGGCGATCCAAATGCATCTACCAACGCTGCTGTCGCTGCGGCTGCCGTTGCTGCTGCGAACAATTTAACGAACGGTGTCCATACTCCTGATGTTTCACGAAATATAAATAGCTCTTTAGTAGACGCTGCAGAGTCACTCGCGAACGTCTCTCAACAGCAACACAATCATCATCCTTTTGCCCGTCAACCAGACTATGCCACTCATCCCCTTGCTCGTACCCCTAACGCCTATAGTCACTCCATGAACATGTTTGCTCCAAACAATCCTAATTCCTCGTTATTACAAAGTTCTATGCCTTCTGACGTTTCTATCGCTTCCTCCCTCGTTCAACAACCTATTCATCCCTCGTATGATTCACGATTTTCTAAAGGTACGTTTTTTTCATAAAAAACTGTTCTATTGGCCCCTTGTTACTAACATATAGCTCTAAAAGGTACCGATGCCCTTGTTGCTACCGCTTTAGGCTACGGTGCTCCTCCCTCTGCAGCTACTCTTTGCCCTTTATATCGAGATACCCCTGCTGCAATTGTCAGCGAAAAACTGCGTTTACGGTTGGCCAACTTGAGAGTCGCATACTGCGAGGACTGTAGAGAATTCATATCATTGTCTGCAGCACTGGATCACCGTCGATCGCAGCATTCACAAAGTATTACGCCTGATCTTGTACATGTGTACAGTGACTTCCTAGATTATCAAAATTGTTAAGCTGATGGCCGCTCGAATTACGACATTTATTTTTTTTCAGCTAAAACATATTTACTTGTTTCGTGTCTTGTTTATTTTTTTTTTATTATAATTTTTCATGGCCTGCGTTGTAATAATATTCTTAAAATCTTTAATCTCTCTGGTTACCTTCGTTTCCTTTACTTTTTGATCTCTGAATATGCTTAATCTAATATACTCATAGACCACTTCATTATAAATGAAGTTTATGCTAGGTAAATTCAATGAGATGAATTACGAATAATTGCTGACAAAGTTTTGAGCCATACCATTTAATAGTCTTGTAACTTACCCTAACGAAGAATTACAAATCCTACAAATTGCTTGGATTATTTTATATACGACACCGTCTAAATTAGGCCTCAAAAAGCATAAAGTAAACGCTCCTTAGACATTATTTTGACATAAAACTAATTTAAATATACATAAAAAACATGAATCAAAATGAGAACGATCAAATAACAAATATCGCACAAAACTTTCCAAAAAGAGTGATTAGTTGTTACCCTTGTAGACCCAGGCCAAATTGTTTCGAGTGATGAGCTCTTTGGCGATTTTTGCGGTCATTCCAGTTGAGTGTATGGCGTAACACATCAAACCAATCGGTTGAATTTTTATAACGGTTAAAAGAAGGGAAAGGAAATGGAGATGCAGAAACAGAAATGTAGTCACCCAAACCAAGTTCAACACGATGATGACCATCAAATGCACACCAAGCATTACTTCGGGCATCCAAAGGGACGACAATTCTCAAGGTCATACTGTCCGGTAAAATAATAGGGCGAAACGAAAGACTATGTGGACAAATTGCACTAATTAAAATGGCTGGGATTCCTGGATGGCATAGGGAGCCTCCTGCTGCTACAGAGTATGCAGTTGAACCAGTGGGAGTCGACACGCACACGCCATCCGACTGAAGGCATGTTATATACTCATTATCAACGTATAAATCTAGCATAATCATAAAAGGATTCGGACCTCTATCGATAAGAAGCTCATTTAGGACCGAGAACTGACCTTCGCATATGTGTGTCTTCTTTTCGCCAACATAACGCATTATTGAGCACTGAAACCTCATCCTAAGGTTGACAGTAAATCCTTTCCGAAAAATCACATCTAAAGTCTGCTGATAATCATTTATAGGGAGAACACTAAGAAAGCCTGGATTTGCAACGCTATATGAAATAACAGGAGGGACAACATCTTGAAATAGCCAACTGGCACGTAAAGCCGTTGTGTCATCACCTATAGTAATCACACAGTCAAAAACATTGGGTTGTTGAGTACAAAGTTCAGCAGACCAAAATCGGACATTTTCCTTAGGGACAAGATTTTCACCTTCTGGAAGAGAGTATAACTTGTCTTCTAAATAAATCAAAAATTGGCTTTTAATGTTTTTTGCGGAACTGCAGTCCATCTCCAAAAACGGAGGACTTTCTGAACGATCATTGGAATCTGATGATGACATTTGAGCTTGTGATCCCTTAGATTCGGAATCAAAATCTTGTTGAGCTGATGATTCTACAAAATTGTCCAAAAGCCATTGTGCCAGTTGAACAGCTGCTTTTACAGAATTCGAATCATCGTTTGAAATGAGTAAAACTCGACGAAAACGAAAAGTTAATCTGGCAGCACTGAGTTTTGCTGCTAGCTCTTTAACTCTTGTAACCAGGCTCGTCAAATCTCTTTTGTCATTCGCTTGCAATAATAAAGAGTCGGATCGTAGTTGAGCAGCTGCGTGGTTCTGCAATGAAAGATGAAGTTTGCAGTTATTGGAAGCAGAGTGCTTCACACGATCATACTGACGCTTCCTCTTATCTGGGTCAAACCTAGGGTTTCTTCGCGCCCAGCGTATCTTTGAAGAACGGACTGTAGAAGGACTTCTCGTATACTCCATAGATAAATCATGACTACCGTGATGACTTGTCATAGACAAATTGCTGAAGCTTTTTGACATTGATGTACGGTTATCTGGTATTTCAAAACCGGGAAAAGTGCCTGAGCTATCAGGGTTTTTCTGAACAGCAGCATTGGGTAAGTCGGATATTGAATGTCGATTATTGGGGTCCATTTTAATCGATTGGCTTAAATAAAATATTCAAATAGTAAAAAGTAAAAGTATGATCCTTCGTGACCCTTGCCCGGGTATACTTTTATATGGAAACAATTCAACGTTTAAACAAGGAAAATCGAAAGATCGAAAAGGGATATAGCAATTGAAAGATAATTTACAAAATCTTTTGTAACTTAAGGTAAATTGAATAAATTTCGAAAAATCAACGTAATACAGTACATGGAACTCAAAAAAAAAATTAATCCGTCGTCGACAGGTAATCTTCTCTCAAAATTAACTTAATGGAAATATTTGACTTCAGTTACTTTTCTATTACAAATATCCGCTGTGATTAGTAATGTTTTTGCAAACGGAACATCGTTAAAGAAGTACGTCAAAAATTGGTCTTTTGGCAAGTCAAGCGAATGGTGACTGGGTGACTACAAGGTCAATTCAAACAACAGTTTATTACTTTCAAAAGCAAAATGATAATTATAGGTCTGTATAAAATACATCAATAGATGCATTCTATCAAATCAACAACATCGATTAGTAATCAGCATCTGCTTTTGTTTTCTTAAGCGAATTCTTTTATAGATGGATTATAAGATTAAGCTTGGTATATTGAAGATTGCAATGAAAACTGATTCGTTTCATGTAAAGTTATGGTACACTTTTCAACATTCATTTCTCTTACTCCCACTTTGTGTGTCCATGTTTCTTTATTTTTCCCTCTAAACCTAATAACAGTTGCATTCATTTTCCATAACTAAAATCTAGCTTGACGTTTGACTTGCTCTGTAGCCCAACGAGCAATATCCTTTGTCTGTTGAGTGCAGAATTTTGTTTTTCCAGAATTTAACAATTCCGTTATCCAGTCTGCTGCAAAATATTCCTTCAACTGACCACCGGAAAATGACTCTGCCAAGTCTCCCAATAAGCCCAATGCTGCACGAGTTAAGGATTCTGTGCGCTCACGATCCTTGGTGATCATATGCAGCAAGGCAAACATGCTATGTATATAAGGCTGAATTAAGTCTAAACGATTATCAGTACGAACAGCTTGAGTTATACCAACAAATGCCTCTACAATTCCCAAACGTAAAGCATCTACATAATCGATCATGCTGAAACTAGCTCCAGGGGGGGCTTGAACGGACGACGCTTGCTGTAAAAGGACCATTACGGCTTCCAAATAGGTTTCAAAAGCAGCACCAATTGCTAGCGCAATGTCACTAAAACACGAAAGAATAGCAGGCTTAACATTACGGTCTAATACAGAGCTTTGTAGATCCTGAACCAAGATAGTCATAAATTCATTACAATACGGTAGGATTTTTGCGTTAAGAGCACGAGCCAAGTCGCCAACCAAACCAACAGCAACTGAGCACAACTGATATTCTTGCTCATTACTCAAAGCAACGGATAGATAGGGAGCGAAAGAAGAAACGTATACTTCAAATTGCTCTTCTAAAGAATTCATCATAGCACCAACGGCCAATAGTACATCCTCATGCACTACTGATTGCTTAGGTGCGGTTTGCATAGTTTGTAGCAATAAAGTCATAATTTGGTCAGACGTTGATCTAATGTCAGGTCCAAAGCGACGAGTTATGCTAGTAAGAACGTTACAAAGATTAGACTGAAGCTCATCGTGATTAGCGCGTTCTTCAATGTCCAAGATTTGATTTTGCATTTGTATGGATATTTCCAGTCGTGACATGATTACGGTCAAAACATTGGCTATGATTGGCAAAACAGTATCAGCACTAAAAATAATGAAAGTGCTTAAAGTTTCGTAACCGGAAGTTCGAGAATTACTTTCGTTTCCTTTTTGATCGGTAACGTGAAGCAAAGCTGCAATAATAGCTTCATAATAAGGAGTCATTAAAGACAAGTGATGACTATCCTCAGGAGCAAAATGGCATACAAGGTTCATAAAAGCCCAGCAACAATTAGCGACAATACGAGGATTGTCAGTAAGACCAGTCAAAAGAGCGGAAACAAGTTCTGGAAGATGGACTTCAGGGTTAATAGCTTCGGCAACAAAATTCGAAATTTGTCCAAGAGCCCAGGCTGTTGTATCTTTTACAAAAATTACGGGATCTTTCATCATGTGAATTAGAACAGGCAAGGCCTGATTAACCAAAGGAGTAAGCATAACAACGTTAGGGCCTTCAAGGACAGAACCAAAAGCCATAACAGCTGCTTCTCGTTGGTGCCAATCAGGAGACTGAATATTTTGTTCGACGAAAACCAATACAGGACTCACAAGAAGATCACCGACGACCTGAGCAAAAAGTTGCAAACAAGTAGCAGCCGCCATAGAAATATTCCAGTCGTCTTCGTCAGCATCCTCATCCTGCTTACAAAGAAGCTCAAGTAAAACAGGTAAAATATCAGCAGCTGCTGCTCTAGCAAATTCATGGTTTTCTCTAGAAGGCTCTTCATTGAGTTCTTGCGCCTCTTGAACTTCAAGATTAACTTCGATTTCTTCTTCACAAACGGTGCTCCAAAACTCAACAGCTTGCAAAGAAACCTGTTCATTAGGATTATACATCCCTTGAGTTGTAAGGGCAAAAAGCGCCTTTTCCATGTAAAAGGGCATCAAATCGTAGTAAAGGTGCATAATTTTAACCAAACATCCAAAAGCAGCCGTTTGAACAGGGGCTTCCGGACTTTGCGTGGCCTCACAAACAACTTGCATGATATAGTTACGTTCAGCTTCATTGTTGAAGTTATCACGAACAAATTCAAGGGAATCATATAAAGCACCTAAGGCAGCTAGACGAACCACAACGTCAGGCTCTTCCTTGCGAGCACCAGTAACCACTGCAGTTAAAATAGCGTTCGACTGAATTGACAAAACCTCAGGAGGAACAGCTTCGCAAATGTAGCCAATAGTTTGTAAAGAGTGTTGTTTGAGAGAAGATGGTTGACCATCTCCAACGTTGGCAACCAAAGTGACCATTAAATCAGGCCATTGGTTGAGTGCTAATTCATAAGCGGCGATCGCTGCAATTAGCTGAGCAGCAGATTGACCAGCCTGATGCTCTGGTGAGGCCAATGTTTGTAAAGCAGCAATTTTTACTTGGTGTTTCACTTCAATGGGTAGTGATTGCCATAATTGTTCATATTCTACTTTACGAGCAGTCTCCCGTGCAGTTATCGAATTCTTCAGTGCCAAACCAGCAGCCATACGAATGTATGAAGCAGAGCTTTCATTGGCTAGTTCCTGAGTGAGCAAAAGCATGTACTGAGCAAAGTCAGTACGGGCAGCATTTTCCAGCTGCTTTTCTGCGTTCAGACGCAGATTTGCATCTGGCGAGAGTGTTTGAGCCAAAAACTCTCCCGCATTCATTTTCCAAATCCTCAAAAGGCCTTATTTCTCTAAAGTATGGAGTTTACGCTTTCCAAATTATAACCTTCAACTTTCCAGTCCCTTTTTATGGTTCGCAACCGTAAAACAATCTGATTTATTCTGTCTTGAAAATATTTCTGAATAACAGAATTAAACTCCTTTCTTTCTACAAGAAAAGGTATTTTGTGAAAACCTACTAATGTGGATGGTAGAGGAGAAGTGTTTACTATACCGCTACGTCCTCGACAATGTTCCACTAAAACCACACTTTCGAAAATAAGAAAACAAAATAATAGGTACTTTTACTTCTTGTGTTGTTTATTTCTTGGAACAATCTAGTTAATTAGGGGTAGCCAAGGACTTTATTCATTTACAAGCCATAAAATTTTGATATAAAGTAGTTCGTCATTTATTTTTATTTTGATTAAGTAAAAAGGCTTCTTAAATTCATATGTCTAACACAAAATTCTTAAAAATAACAAGTTGGACACCTCACTATTTTATATACAATTATCTTAGTAGCTGGTTAGTTAACTTGCAAAAGTTTGAAAGCTCTTTTGAATGAATGATTTCCATAAAAAATTTTTATTTTTTTATACTAACATTATTAGAGACACGATATTCCAGTTCCATAAACGCAGTATTAATCGCTGTTTTCACCTATTTTTCTGGTCAATAACACTGTAGAGATACAGACAAATCATTACATACATCTTTATAACTGACTATTATGCGGTTGCAAGAGTCTTCTAAAAGTATCCGTTCCTCCGTTCCGGCATCCAGCTAGTTCGTTAGTTACTCCATCCTAGGTAAGATCGGCTATGAAGTATAATACTTACCTTGTTTAAACATTGTACAAGGTGAGACAAATCAATATTCCTTTCCGTTAATTTGGATGTATCAAGTAATTGAGATCTTATTGGATGCTCATCGCCTTTGGTATATTGCTTGATACGAAACATGTATTTCCTAAACAAGCGAATAATCCAAAAACGTCCACATGGTGACCAATCTGGATCTTCAAGAAACTCGGGCCGATCATCAAGGAATTCGAATTTTAAAAGTATTCTTAACAATCGATCGTTTTCTACCTGCTCAGCTAAGCGAGAGTGATAAACATCTTGCATTCTAAATTGTGTTAGCGCTTTGAATTGAAAGTAAAGCAAAGGTTGATTTCATACAGAGAACTATTCTCATAATTTTCAATGATATAAGGTATAACAGATGGTAATACATGGTCAATTCGAATCCCGTCATCCAATATTAAGCTCTTAATCAGTTCAACAAAGGAGGACTGAAAATCACCCCGAAAGTCAAGATTTGCGATATGATCTCTTGCTGTCGCAATAGATATATTTTCTATGCCACAAGCCAAAGACAAAAGCAAAAGGCCAAGATTTCGACAGTCTTCCAACTGTAACTCTCCCAAGGAATTGTTTGAATAATCCAAAATCACATCATAAATCCCTAGACCAAATAATGCAACTCGTAGTTTTCCCACCATTAAAACGTTTTTAGCTGTAATCATTTTGGCTGCCATACCGGCAGAGTGAATGGTGTGTAAAGCGCTAACCAATTGACTAGCAATTATCCAAAGCACTTTTTGAGTATTTAGCAGAGGCTTCGAGAAATAAAAAGATGCAGCTTTTTTACGAAATACTGGAGAAGAGAAAAACAAGTCATAAAGCGAGGGACATGAAGGAGAGTATTCGTATACGAACACAATTGCTAGTAAAGGTTAACAATATGTAGGAGGACATGAAAAAACTTACATGGTTGCCTAAAAGCATGAGTTGTAAATGCCTCTCTTATATCCATGATATGAGGAGAATGTATTTTCGTCCATGGTACTACGTTCGTGATATTTTTATCACGTAATAAATGAAACTTTTGTAATTGAACAAATAAATAAGGTTTCCCATTATCACCATCAATTACTTTGTAAGTAGCGACTGAATAACCCAATACAGGAAGCGAAGTAGTTATGGTGCGCCGAGGGGTCAAGCTGTGATAAGAGAAAATATGGGCTGGCAATCTCGACGGACTGGAAAAATGAAAATATTCTCTGGAAAGATGCAAAAGCCAACCTTGCAAATCATCTGCAAGGAAAGTCTGGAGTTTTTTCTTCTGTGAATCATCCATGGTATGAAGAAAAGGTGGAAATCTAGCTACGATATGACGATCCATTTCAACGCCTTGAACCGGTTCTGACCCACTAATAGATGAACTCAAATAATTTCTGGGCTGCACTGAAGAAGAAAAGGATACTAAACCAGGAGATGGAGAGGAAATTGCAGGGACAGCCCCTTTAGCCGACGAGAACGAAGGTGCATTCACAGAAGAGTACGATGACATAGCGGAACGATTTTTAAGAGACAAAGAGGTGGCCTTCGGTGAAAAAGGTGCAGCGTTACGAGCTAAAAATGATTTCTCGGGGGAACCTACAGCAGCTCTAGAGCTTGAAGGCGTCAATGAAATAGTTTTAGGAGGACTATTCATCCTATTTGTAGCTACTCCGTTTTTTCCGGACGACAAAGCAGAAGAATAAGCTGAAAACTGTAAGCTTTGCAGAAGGGTATTTAGGTAAACATACATTTTGCTTTCGTCAATGGAGTAAATTCTCTTTGACTACTGGATATTGAAGGAACATCTGTAGGTTTGATGACCAAAGACGGAGTAAAAGATGGGGAATTGACGCTGAGTCGACTGGAAGAAGCAACTGAGGAAAGAGGTGCTTGTTCAGGTTTATTCAAAGACTTCCAATCCCCACTTGGAAAATTGTTCTAGAATAAGCTAATTAGCAAACTATAAAATCTTCAACATCCAAACAGACAAGCAAACACTAGGCTCATGGCTCTTGCAACTTGACTATCAGTGAACGAACGCCATACCTGTGATTTGTGTTGAAAGATGCATCCTTTATCAACGTAAGGACACCTTCCATGAATCATTTCATTCCTGCAAGGAATATTGGTGGAGAAAATGGACGAATCTGGAAAACATGTTAGCGTGAAAGGTTTTCAATGAGTATGTACTAGAAAGACACAAAATGATTTTTTAAATTCCAAAAATAAGTGTCTATTTTCTAGTAAGCAGATTTTCGTACGTTTTTCCTCCATTTTTCCTTACATAGTTTTATTTACTGTGGTGGTGCTTTAAAGGTCGGACATTCCCAATACATATAATGATGAAACGAAGCTGTGCAAGTATTTGCTGGCTTTTAAGACTCAAAAAAGCAAAGAAATGGAATTTTTAATGAATATATACATATATATATATATATGTAAGGTGCCTTTTTTATAATTATATTTCTTCCTCTTAGGTGTTGTAGACAGGTAAGTAACCCAAAAACGTTGTCTCAGAAACATGATTTGAACAAGAAGGAATGTATTTAAAGCTCTTTTCATCTCCCTTTGCGACTACCTTCTCTTTCAAATGGGGTTGAACTGAAAGATGGAGGACGTTTACAGTACTGCTCAAATAACAGCAATATTTTCGTCGAATTCAACCTTGAAGATGATTTGAGCGTAAAAATGATTCTGCGTCTTTTCTTTCAATCCAAAAAAAGATCATTCTTTTTAGTTCAGTGTTTAGTTCATTACGTTTCATTCTCATATGGTCCTTGGCCTCTTGGAAACGTAATGCTCATTGGGAACCTGTTTATTGTTGTCCATTAATTTTGGAAATTACTTAATTTATTCCTCAGCGATCCAATTCGTATAATTTGGTAAACTCGGGCAAAGGGATATCATCCTTATGGATCATTTTTCTTCCTTATAAGAAAGCATTCTACAATACGTTGCACTTGGAAACAATTAAGCTCGGAAACGTTATGTGAATCTTTGCTTTATGCCTCAAGGACAATAATAATTTAGGGTGCTTTACCCATTACTTTTAAAGATAAATTCGATCGTCGGCAGATAGATGCTAATTTTTTAGGAATTATATTATTCATTTTTATTATGTCTAATTTAATTTCTGTCTAGCTATTTTACGTCTTGTCTGTATGCTTTCACGGATACATGCACTAAGAAAATTTCCTTAGCAACTATACCTTCCCAATGCCTTGCAAGTTTTTTCTACTTCAAGGATCTCTATATGGAAAGTTTTATCGTGAACAGTTCTTTTCACGGGTGTTAGACAAGTCAACTTGGAAGGTATATGGATGATGGTTCCCATCGGCACTCTGCTGCACCGGTAGTCTGCGTAGTATAATTACTCAAGATTTATTTATATGTGAAGGAAATGGCGCCTTTTAAGAAAACGAAATATAGGTCTATATATTTCTCTTAATATTCTTTGAAGTTCTTTGCGCTTTTTTTGGTAAACACGTGAATCATCCTGGACCCTTATTTGAATTGTAATTCTGATTGCAAATAAATTAGCTCAACTATTAGACTTTCTTTCTTTTCTTGTTTATTTCTTTTTTGAGTTTACGAAAGTACCTTCTGTTTGGATGGTATGTTGAAAGTGTTTTCAAATCGCCAAAGATGAATCTTCTCAATATGTTTTCTTCATTAAACAAGACAAGTTCTAAAACGTCTAAAGAAGTTGCGGATCTTGAATTGGGTTCACACTCTTCCTCCAATATCGATCATAGATCTAGTATCAACGAAAAGAAGGAGCAAGAGGAGCATGTCATTAGTAGCATTGTTGATCTTATATCCCCGGATCATCCTGCTCACCCTCAAAATTGGCCTTGGTGGAAGCGATGGTTGATTATGATTGTATATTGCGCTCTACAAATATATGTCATTTGGACGAGTAATGCCTATGGAAGCATTTCTGAATCTGTAGGAGACCACTTTCACGTTTCCCCACAGGTTTCCACTTTAAATCTTAGCATGAACATCCTGGGCAGTGGATTGGGTCCTATGTTTCTGGGCCCTTTGTCCGATATCAATGGTAGAAAGCCTGTCTATTTTTTCTCAATATTACTCTATGTCATATTTAACATATCTTGTGCATTACCCAGAAATATTGTTCAAATGGTTATTTCCCACTTCATCATAGGTCTCGCCGGAAGTACAGCTTTGACAAATGTTGCTGGAGGAATTCCAGACATCTTTCCCGATGATAAGTCTGGAACTCCTATGTCTTTGTTTGTTTGGGCCTGTGCAGGTGGTAGTATTGGTGCTCCCATGGCTACAGGAGTTGATTCGAATCCCAAATTTGGTTGGCGCTGGGTTTATTATATCAATATCATCGTCGGTGGATTCTTTTTATTCGTAATTTTTCTTTGTCCCGAAACTCTACCTATAAAGGTCATATCCAGGTATGAAATAGCAAAAGGGCGAACCATTGAAACTCTTCCTAAGGTTACAACTAAACAGGTATTTCAGAATATAAAGTTCATCAGTACTATGGGATTTCGCATGATTTTCACAGAACCTATCATAATTACTATGGGCCTTTATAACTTTTATGCTTACGGTATCAGTTACTTCTTTTTGGCGGCGATCTGGCCTGTGTTTAATGGGACTTACAGAATGTCCTACATGGGTGCTAGTTGTACATATCTTGCTGGTTTAGTAGCCTATTCCGTTTTGTTTTGCTATCAGCCTATTCAAGACTGGATTTTTCGAAGAAGCAAAAAAAACAATCATGGAGTCGCGGTTCCAGAGGTTCGCTTTACTAGTTCGTTATTTTTTACATTACTTTTTCCAGCAGGTATGTTTTTGTTTGCTTTTACCTGCTCTCCTCCGTTTCATTGGATGGTTCCCATTGTGGGTCTTGCCATGTCTAGTGTAGCCAATTCACATAATTGGCTTTGTATTCTAAATTATTTAACTGATTGCTATCCTATAATCTCAGCATCCTCTGTAGCTGCTTTTACTCTCCCTTCTTTCGTTGGTGCTGCCGTTTTCGCTCACATTAGTATCATAATGTTCGATAGAATGACTACAAGATGGGCCGTTGCTACTATGGCATTTATCAGCATCACTATTCCCTTTATAATCTACTCTTTCTATTTCTTCGGAGACAAAATTCGTGCTCGCAGTGCCCTGACGGGAACAAAAGCCATTAAATATTTGCCAATTTCGGACTGAGTAAAAGCCGTGGTACGTTTAATCTTTTCTTATGACTTACCTTATTATTTCCTTTGTCTCTTTTATTTCTTTTAAGTAAATTAATACCCTTTATAATGGTGATATCACCATGTCAGACGAAAGTGAAATTGACATGGGAATAATGATAAATGATGAATCTTGAACATTCGCATTGAATTAAGTACGGGTATCTACACTAATTATTTGAGATGCAGTAGGTGTTATAGGTACTCAATAAATTTCAACATGCCTGATTGACTAAGATGTATCGATAAACAAGTTGCTTAGCTCGACCAGCACAATATCCTATCAGGATATTTTGCTAGACAGTCTCGTTGTATATATATGTATATCTGCATTCCAGTAAATTAACAAGGAATTCTAACTCATTAATCATTGTATCTGCTTTATTTTTCGGATTTGCACTTGTCATGATTCAGGTAACATCGTAAAATTTTAAGGTTTTTATTGATCTGAACGTTGAATGAAGTTTAGTAATCTTACAATATATCTAATACATGCGTACCGTTATAGGAAACTAAATAGGACTGGATATAAAAAACAGTGTTCATATAAGATAGCTTATTAAGTATAATGCAAAGTCTTTAACAATATAAAAAAACAAGCAAAGTCTTTCATTTAGAAACTCTAGTTGTACGTTTATTTTTAGTTATATATATGCAGAATTGCAAGCGAACAACATAAAGAATTTGAAAATTTCCATATAGAGACAATGAAAATAAAATATAATGTTCGCTTGAAAAGAAGGAAATAAATGAAAGCTGAAAAGGTATACTCACCCACACGAAAAAAGTACGTCCAGTACTTTAAATGTTCTTCTTTGCAAATTCAGAGTTGGCAGTTTGAACAGGGCTTACTTTTTCACCTTGAGCACGACGGCGAATAGCGTCCATCATCTTGAAAACCCAGAAAAGATTTAAGCAATTTAAAGACATGCTGATTGAGTTAGTATACTAAAAATAGAGTAGAAAACTTACTTAGCAGCTAAGTAAAACAAACTTAAGCCACGAGGAATTTCAGTAACACGGCTAATTATTTCCACTATATTTATGTTAGTATCCTGACTGTATGGAAGTTTAAAATAACATACTTGCAGTGCTATAAGCAGAGTACCAACCCCAAATAATACGAACGCAAATAAAGGTAAGAACGAGCAAAATACCGTTGACCAACTGGAGAGTGGATCCCGTCCTGTTGGTCTTGTCTAGAAAGTAATGAATGTTTAAGAAGGGGGTACTTAATTCCCATGACAAATAAGTTGGTCCATAGTACATGAGGTAAGGGGACTGTTAACTGTTAACAAAACTTACAATTAGTAATTAAGTTACTTACATAACTGAATGTCACAACGAACAAAGCTGCAACTGCATGAACGACAAAGCCTATGCCAGTGATATGAACATAACGAAGAGTAACATACAAATCCCAGAGAAAGTAGCCATCAGCCAAGGCGTAAATATCACCAGCATAAACAGAATACCCAAAGAGCTTGTCACCAAAGTTATTGACTTCCTTCAGGATAAGATAGCCCAACGAAATGAGAAACACACTTTGTACAGAGCTAACAACGTGAGAATCCCAGTTTAGTTTAGTACGTTTGGACAAGTGTTTATAATGGCGACTCAACTTATTGGAAATCCATGGAGAAAGAAGATTTATAGCCTGATAAAACAACGCACTTAGAAGGATTACATGGAAATGTCTGGGTAATTTATAAAGTCCAAGTTTTTCGCAAAAAGGAGTGACTAAATTTTCTAAATATAGGGGTCCACGAGGGAACAATCCCTCATCAGATGAACTCATCGTCGTATGTGGTCTCAAGTCACCAACGTTTATTTACTTTTGTTTCAAAATGGATAATCCCAATTGTAAGTTTTTGGAGAAAGAATAATTTCTTTTCTTACAATTGCTTTTTCTCAAAAGACTGTCGTCCAAACCAATGTTCGCTACTTCTTGCTGTTTAAGGGTGATGGTAGAAATTGAGTGCTGTAACAGCCTGTGGATGGCAATCGTCTTTGTTTTCAAATTAGAAACACTTTTGCATAGATGAATAAACTGGAAAAAGAAAAAGAAATAGAAAAAAAATAAGATAATTGTATCATTTTCGAACTTCTTGGATCTCGAGTTTTCGTAAACCAACAATCTTATTCAAGTCGAATGATTTGCTAATCGTGAGAATTTCTTCTATTTTTTATTACAGATGAAAGGAAAAATCATTCAAAAATTGAAGCGAATTCTTAACAAATTAACAAGAATTGAGCAGTACTATACTAGGGTACAACAGTTCACTTTGGATCATATTATAAATGAAGTCCATTGCAATCAGTTCGTTTTAGTTTTTGTCAACTTCATAATTATAAGAATCCGAATGTGCATAAGGAGTAGTATCTGATCGAAGTTTTGAAGCTACACAAGTGTAAACTCTTTCAATTGTTCTAGGAATATGCATGAAAGAAAAGGAGATATTTATATAGCCTGAGCATGTTTCGTTCATCTGGTTTCGTCTTATTATTTAGCAAAAATTAAATTGTTGGAATGATATTTAAAGCCCGATCTCTTTGATTTTGACTTATGCATTCAGCAATCCACGTTATATTCTGCTTGCATTAGTAAAACATGTCTACTTGTGCTTGCATGAAGAATCACATACCCGAATCTCTTGCTCCCTTAACTTTAAAAAGCTGTAGACGATGCCATAGTGGAACTAAAATTTCAAAGTAAGTATGCGGCGCTAAATTTTGATTGAAAACTTCTTACCTGTTGCAAAAATGCAAGCTTGTTATACTCGACCTCCATTTCGAAAAAGTAATCATCGAGAGATTTCTGTGATGCTTGGTCAAAGAAAGCACTGTACTCTTTCACTAAGCTGCAAGCGTTCTCTACATCGCCAACATTATCTGCTTTAGACAACATCGAAGTACCAAATGGAAACAAGCGTCCGAAGGAAGGATACATATTGTTTCGTTCCTCCTTACTCAAATCAGTTCCAAACGAGTTAATAGTAATCTTAAAGTATGTTAGATAGCAGTGCTCTGGTTTTATGGGTATGGAACTTACCGTAATTGCACGTCGATCAGCTTCGAATTCTAAGATACGAGACATTGTCTCAAAAGTTCCGGATCCTATTTCTTGGCAATATTCATAGAAATCTTCTAAATAAGCTTTATATAACGTGTTTCGAATGATTTCTATGTGCTTCTCATCCAAATCATCTGCAGAGAGGCAATCCTTAAAGTAAGGTGCAAGTGGGCTTTCTACCAAAACAACACTGTATAAATCCTCCACATTTGTAGCTACGCACAAGGCGGGAAGAGTCTCAAACCACCCTAACGGGTGGCAGCGTTCTAAAAGATCATGGGTGTCTTGGCCATTCGCGGTACCAGTCACTAGAAGCATTACATTGTCTATCATATATGCATAAGTTATAAAATCCATAAATTTTGATAATTTCTCATCGGCCTGACGTCGAATCATATCAAACTCGTCGATTAATTTCTCTGTAGCTTTGGCAGCTATCGTACTGCTAGTTAACTTTTGCTGGTTAGCAAGAAAGCTACCGTACTCCGTCGAGGAAAGCTGCAAACGTAAATCGTCTAATGATTCGCATTGTGATAAATTCCCATAGATATGTTCTGTAAGTAAAGCAGACTTGAATCCTCGAATTAAGGCTTCAATATATCCACCGTTTGTACTAATGAATGAATCAGTGACTTTTGTGCATAGAGAATACATACTTGAAACCGAGAGCATCCATCTTAGATGAAATTCCTAAAGCCTTTTCGATTTATAGGTTCAATCGAAAGACAACACGAAGAGGCAAGACAAAGCCGAAAAATAGAAAAAAATTCAAATAAAGGAAAATTAATTTAAGTTCGACTAATGATTATGAATCAAGAAAAATTAGCAAATTATGTAGGATCAAGTCGACGTATACTAGTCAGGTGTAGTAGGTTAAGACGAGGAAGTTGGTAAAAATCAAATAGGCTTTTGTATTTAGACAGAAAAGCTTTTGGTTGTTTAAAAATAATAAAGTATTATTTGGAATGAATTATATGAATAAAGATTTTTGAATGCTTATGGCTTTACTGGTATGGTTTGAATTTGTTCTAGGTCATTTTATGAAAAATACCGAATTGAAATAGAGCTTTAATTGTACATAAAATAGAATTTCAAAATCCAAAATAACCCAAATCCATTTTTCAACTAATGCTAGTTTTCGAGAACACCAAAAAGAACGACAGCAGACCAAGTCCACAATTGAGTTTTAAGCCTTAACCTCAAGAGCTCTTATTTTGTTTCCAGGAAGTAATAAACGCAGAAGTCTGAGAATTAGGAACAACATGAAATTGAACAAGACCATCCGTCAATACAGTCTTTGGATGAATAAGTGCCTGTAATATGGGAACGCGTTTTCCGACCTTAACGAGACCACCAGTAGAAGTTGCGGCAAAGACGTCTAAAGAATCAGGTCGGTACAAGTTTTCAGAATCCCAGGAGGGCTGTTCTGAAAATACCGTTTCTAATAACTCTTGAGGAGTGGTATTTTCAGAGACAGAGGGAAGAAAATCAGACTGCAAGGTCAAAGGATATAATAATAGAGTAGGCAAATACATTTCGCTTTTCGGGTCGTTGAATGTGCTCATAGTGATTCTGGCATCTCCCAAATCAGGAGGATATTCGGAAGTTTTGGTGTGAATGCGACGTTCTTTCATGGCCTCGATAACGACTCTTGCTGCTGTTACTTTTTCTTCTGCAATCCTTCTCTTTTCGGATTCAAACTTTTCAAATGTTTCTCGCTTTCGCTTTAAATCTTTGCCCAGAGCTTGAACAGCAGGATCTCCTTGTTGCGAAGTAGAAAACAACCGCAGGCAAAGCTCGGCTTCGTCATATCGTTTCAAAGCAACAAGAGCTTTTGCAGAACGGAACAGAGCTTTGGTGTGTTGTGGGTCACGCTGAAGGACTTGGGTACAATCGTTCAGCACTTGTCGATAATTTTCAAAAATTAAATTACACGCCGCACGATTCGAAAAGCAGGGAATTTCAATTTCTGGTTTTCCGCATTTTTCAGCTAAAGCTTTCGTATAATACTCGGCGGCTTCACGATATTGCTTTGTAGCAAAACACTCGTTTCCATGTTCACGGAAATTCTGCGCAATCTCGTGCGGCGGACCTTCGTAAGCCAGAGCCTTTAAGGCATCCAGTTGAGCATTCCCCTGTCCCTCTTCTTCAACATCATCTAAAGACTGCATGAAGAAGGGAATTTTGTTGAGCTCATTATACATTTCATCTGCATTCTTATTCTTTGTATTTGGGTCAAACTCTGAATTCCTTGATTCTGGCATATTGAAAAAAAAAAAAAAAAAAAAATCCTCCTGTTTGTCTATAAAGTTTCAGTTCCTTTCGTATTTCCTGCTGTAGGTTCAAAAACAATCCTCTTCTTTGTCAGTAAAGGTACAAGGCTGTAATGGGCAGCAGGAAGGAACGTAAACTTGAAGCCTCTTGATAGCAGGAGAAATTTTGATGCATAAAACAAAAAATAAAAAACAAAAAACAAAAAATTCAAAGACCTTAAAAAGTAAAAACGATAAAACAAATTTACCAAGGCTCTTTTCAACAATGAGAAAAAAGATGACCACTAAGTGACTTGAACACTTGACTTCAAGATTTGGAATCTCACACTCTACCAACTGAGTTAAGCGGCCTTTTTTACGTAGCTGTGAATTTATGGAAAATAGTATCGAAAAAAAGATCAAGTAACTTCGTAACAGAAGTCCTTCTTTGTTGCTTAACAAAAAAAAGAGAAGGAAAAGAAAGGCTTCATGGTAAATGTTTCTTGTGCGATTGAATTTATCTTGAAACGGCCTATGTCAACTAAATGAAAGAGGAATGAGAACCCACTTTGGAACCGTTGAGAACCTTTTCTAGCTTCAGCTGAAAGCTTTCGAGGATTGCATACCGTCCATTCTGCCCTTTGCCCAGCTGTTTGAAAACTGTACTTGGGATAGAAAGCTTCACGAAAAGAACAACATGTAGCAATCCAAGTACGAAAAATCACAAAATGACCTTTTTTTTTTTTTTTCTTTTTCTTTTCCTTATATTTTCTTCATATTTTCTTGGCTTCGTCTCCTTGAGGTTCGGTATACTTCACATTGCAATTTTATCGTAAGATCATATTAAGAGAAAAAGAATCATCAGACTTTTCTTCTTGAAATTTTCTATGTCATTCATCCGATTTGAACTTTTCTTCTATGTTATTTAAGAGAACAACGACCCTGTTTGCATTCCTTGGCCTACTATTTGCAAAAACAGCCTTCAAGAACAAAGCAAGTATGTCAACAGTAAGCAATAACACACAAGCAATTGTTATTGGCGGTGGTTTAGCTGGTCTTTCAGCTACAAATACGATTTTGGAATTAGGGGGAAATGTTTTGCTCTTAGATAAGAATTGTATGTATTGAATATGGAACGGTCTTGTATGTTTTGCAGAGGATTGAGCAATAAGCGTGCCCATCATCTTTCAGGAAAGTCGAAGTCGAAGTCGGCTACGAAATGGCATGGCATGGCATGACATGACATGGTGCTTTTTATCAGTTTTCATGGAATACATTTTGACGTAAATATATACATCCTTGCAAGCATGCACGTATATAGTCCTTACGTTGGGTTGGGTTGCTCTTTTTCTCTGTTAATGAATTGGCTGTTTCTTGCTTACTTATATATAACAGTGTACTAACTTTGAAAAATAGCTGCATTTGGAGGAAATAGCATAAAAGCTGCTAGTGGGATCAATGCTGCTTCTACTCAACTTCAATTTGATCAAAACGTGTCCGACAGCGTAAAAACATTTTACCATGACTCCATTCTTTCGGCCAAGTCGAAAGCCAACCCAAAATTGCTTCACACATTGACAAGCAAATCCAATAGCGCTGTTAATTGGCTATCAGAACGCTTCGGTCTTCAGATGAATGAACTTTCTCTTTTGGCTGGCCATAGCCAACCTCGCACTCATCGTGGAAGTCACCCGGATTATCCTTTCAAACCTCTAGCATTTGTTCTTGTAGACAAAACAGAAAAATACTCCGCTGCTCATCCCGATCGCCTGCAAATAAAGAAAAATACTCGTGTTACTCGCCTTCTAACCGACTCCTCCAACTCATCCGTAATTGGTGTAGAGTATGAGGATTTGAATGATAAAACCCACCGTTCCGTCTATGGACCCGTGGTCCTTGCTACAGGAGGATATGCTGCTGATTTCTCCGACGACTCCCTTTTGAAGTTGCATCACCCTGAGGCCCTCAAACTAAGTACCACAAACGGGCCTTATTGCACCGGTGATGGTCATAAGATGGTTAGCTCAATCGGTGGAAACACCGTAGACCTAGACCTCATTCAAATTCATCCTACTGGTTGGGTTGATCCCAAAGATCCTTCTTCCATGACTAAGTTTTTAGCTGCCGAGGCTCTCCGTGGCTCTGGCGCAGTTTTACTGACAGATAAGGGAAGACGCTTTTGCAACGAACTTGGCTATCGTGACTATGTCACAGCTGAAATGATGAAACTGAATTCTCCTGTGCAACTAGTTTTACCTGCTAAGTGCGTTCCTGAGGTTGCCAACTTTGTCAAGTTTTACAGTTTTAAGGGACTTATGCGAGAAGTAGATGCCGAAGAACTCTCCAAAATCCTCAACTGCACGACCACGGATCTCGAAAATACATTTTCTACGATTAACAAAGCCTCTCGAGGCGAAATAAAAGACTTATTCGGAAGAGAACAGTTTGGTAAACAACCCTTCGAGCTTTCGGACAAGTTTTTTGTTGGTCAGGTTGAGCCTGTTCTGCATTACACTATGGGAGGTGTGCAAGCAGATTCGCAAGCTAGAGTCTTATCTAAAGAAGGTCACCCAATTGAAGGATTATTCGCAGCGGGAGAAATCGTTGGTGGCCTCCATGGAGAGAATCGATTGGGAGGAAGCAGTTTGCTTGCTTGTGTTGTATTTGGTCGATTGGCTGGTCAAGGAGCTTCAAGTGAAATGCTCACACGTCTGATCTCTGCTGCTAAAGAGGCCTCTACTTCTAAGTAACTTTACCGAGAGTTGAGTAGTTGTTCTCTTTTAACTTATTTTCACTTTTTAATGTTTTGTTTTTGACTTGGGGATATTTTACTGCGGCTAAAAAATAAAATAAAGTAAAGTAAATAAAAAAGAAAGAAAGCTGCTACCCTCCATTCATATTATCCTTATTTAATTGCTCATAAATAACGAACCCTACATTTTGCATTTAATATAAGTCACATGTTGAACACTACAGGAAAATATTATTCTACTAGTAAAAAACCATAAAAAAGAAAAAGAAGCAAGGTCATGTATTCATTATTGATACATTATCAGGTATTGTATCAAAAGTCCCGATCATTGCTGCATGCTTACTCGTTACTAGTTGGAAGAACTTGCCCTGAGAGTAAAACTTTTATCCTTTCTTTTTTCATAGCAATTTCTTTGCTTTTATCCGGCTCATCTATTAGTACTCCCACTGTACTTTCGCTTAAAGAACTTTTTGTATCATAAAATTGCTTTCTATCCCAAAGTGAAGCGCACTCTCGATATATATCGCAGCTCACATGGACGTCAGTCATAAATTTCAGCAACAGATCTCGCATATAAGTATTACATTCGCGACTTTCAGAGGATTTTGTACAAATCTTCAAAACCACAATGTTTAATAAATTTTTGTCCGACTGTACCAGTTCAAGAAAAGAATTTAACAAACCCTCAATGCAGCCCAATACAGAATCTTCAAAGGACATCAAGACGTCAGGAGTACTTTGAGAGCAGTTACGAGATAAATTTGCATAAACATCTATCAAGCTGAAAACAAGGTGTACCCAGAGATTAGCTGCTTCTTCTGGCGGAAGACAACTTAGGCACGCTTGGTATAAAGGCACGACAATCTGAAGATAGTAAGTTACACGTTCCAAGTTTTTAGGTACAACTTTCTTCACGCCATTTATTGATTCAAAGAAAACTCTGGTCCGAACATATTTTAGAACTTGAGATAAAGCTTGATTGTAATGTTTTAGTTCCCGATACATTTGGATGCTTGCCTCTAAGCAATTGTAATATATCAAAATATTTATCAATCCTTCCAAGTTTTTAAATTCCGGAGAGACTTGCAATAATTTAAGGACAGCATAGTCCCCAGAAGTAGCACATACTATTTCGAAAAAAGATAGCAAACGACGACGACCAAACCATTTAAGTAATTCCTCATAGGTAGAAAGATTATATAAAATTCCTAATACTTGCAATTGAACGGATTTAGCAGACATGCATTTTTCGATCATCTTAGGAAGTGATTTTTTTAACCGAGATGAGGCTAGTCTTAAAAATGTAACTTTATCGACATTTAAGAAGTCCATTGTAAAACTTATTAGACACTTGATGTATTTATTATAGCAGACAGGTGTGGAATTTAGATTTCTCAAGTTGTCAAATAACATAGTAATTAAAGCTTCGGAGGACTTGAAAATTAACGAAGAAGAATCTTTTTGATCCCACAGAGCCAATATTGCTTGGAAGTAGGAATCATAAAAGCTATGATTAAAACTCACGGTCATGATAGCATGATAAAAATGGTTATCCCAGAAGCAGTTTAACAGTGCCTCAATGTTTGGTGGATCGTAAACCGAAAGTAAGTTTTCTACAGCTTTCTGAATTCCCTGGTTGTCAATATGATATCTTTCAACATTACATAACCCTTCCATGATTTTTAAGTAAAAAGATTGTGGGAGTAAAATCTGCTTGGAGTATTTAGCAACTGTATTCGCAAGGAAGGTGTAATAGCTGTCGGATTGAAAACTGGTTGTATTAAATATTTGCGATAGACACTCGATCATCCATTGACGACTGACAGTATCAACGGGCTGTTTAGCAATGGTTACCTTGTCTAAAGAAAAATAAGGAGAGTCAAAGGCATTCTCTAGGCACTCAAAAAATGAGCTTGCTCTCTTTTTCAAAAAGAGACGAAGATAAGGAAAAGACCCAGATTCGGGAACCGATATTTTGAATGGTAAAATGTTGACGGAGAAGATTATCTTTAAAAGAGTATGCGTGACAGTGTACGCCTCATTCACACTGTTAGGCTCACATAGAGGATACTTAAAGCCAGTGAGAGAGTTTAATAAATATTGAAAGCCATTATTCACACAATACTCAATCCATTCAGACGAATCATTTAGATCTGCAACTAATAATTTAAGAAATTTAACAAGAGGCGTTGAGTAATCATTGAATGCATAAATCGAAACATAACACAGTGAATTAAATAATCCGTTATAAGTAGAAAATCTGGTTGAGAAATCGAGGTCTAAATATCGATGTTCAATTGCCGGTATTAATTTGTCAGCATAAGCTAGCCGCCTGTTTTCTTCTAGATATAATAACAATAATTTCTGTATATCAGGAGAAGGTGCTTTAAAGTTCTGTTGAAGTACCATATCCAGTAATGCTTCCATAAAAATATAAGACACTTCTGTTTCAGCTAAGCAAGGTAGAATATAGTCTAATAATGACTGTAAACCATTTAAGAAGTTGGCAGCTCTCAAACAATAAAGGACGAGATTATAACAACCTGGATTCATATTTTCAGCACGCTGCAATAATTGTTCTAATTCATCTTGTGGTACAAGAGGATCAGTGCTAGATGATTCTACGGACCGTGAGGAAGGGAAGCTTTGTACCAATATTCGAATGTAATTCTTCAGCAAATCCATTAACTTATGGCTCAAATCCGGTTGGTTGTAAGATTTGCTAAATAGATTTGAATTCGCATGATAACAGAGTCCTAACTTAAGCGTATCCATTATATTTATTTTTTCAGATGCAAACTGTAGTTGATCATTGAGTGAAATAAATGTACCTACAGTGACCGATTCAGGGGTAAGAAAAAATAAGTATCTAGGAGATAAAGAAAAGCTCGAACTAATATACGGAAAGACGCCTAGAGAAATTCCTTGCATCGTCAACGCAGACTGATACCAATCCCAGGTAAGAAGTTCATACTCGGAAATAGAAGATACACCCAAGATGTTTAAAGTAATGCCGTTCATAAATAGTATTCTCTTATCCTTCAACAGAGCAAAGATAACATTATTATTAGGAAGATACCAAACCTTCCATACGGGAGTACTAAAATCTGTTTTGTTTAGTAGCTCTACCGATAACACTCCTTGGTGTAAGGTTAATGCATATACGCGTACATGACAATCGTAGCCAAGGCAGAAGAAAGCTCGCGTCCTGGATCTCGATCCAGAGGTAGGTACAACGAAAGAAGAAACAGCGTGGCAGGCAGAATTAGCCTGAACATCGGAGTACCTAAGTTTATAAACTAACGACAATTTGGGAAAAAGGGAAATGATTCGAAGACAGGAAAGCGATTGGAGAAAGATAAACGAAGTATGTTTCACTGATGTTAGATATAATTCTTCAAAAGAAATGCTTGAAACATCGACGACCAAACGATCAATAAAAGTAGGTTGAACGTCTGGAAAGTCGTATTCCCAAGCTGTATGATGCTTATTTATTAGAAAATTATAAAATTCATGAACAAAAACTTTTCCAGAAGCACTTGCCGATAAGAGAACATTGTCAGAAAGTCCGTTGAACACCAAATGCGTTAAAACAGATTCCTGAAAAGGTTGACGAATAGCATGTCGTTGGACGGGAGGATTCTGAGTCAGATCCCATACAAACAGGGTCCCATCCCCGTGCCCTTGACAAAGTACTCTATGAGTATGTGAGATTGCAAGACAAGTTACAGGCATCAAAAACCTCTCAGAACTAGAAAGTTCGGGTACAAGCGTATTTGATGTATTATTTCTTAGATTATTCAAAAGAACACATCCGCTGGAAGTCCCCACCGCTAATAAATTTCCAGAATGGGTTATACAAGTACCAGTTCCTAAAGGTGAATTCTGTCCCGATTCCGAGGTTTCCAATTGCAGCGAAATTCTTCGTAAACGCCCCCATCTTATCCAAAACTTATTCCATTGAAAGTCTTCACTTTTTGACAAAGAAGAGTTCACAATTGCATGACTGGAGGATTCAACTTGAGCACCCGTCGATTCAGTGTTCACTGACGAGCTAACAGTCGAAGATCTTGATCTTGAAATACTTGGGGATAGTTTTCTATTACTATCACTGTAATTATTTAACTTTAATTCGTATGAATTTGAAGGCATGTCTCTACTTGCAATTTCCCATAACAGAGAGCAATCAGTGATGAAACTTTTATTTTAAAACACCATTAAAGAAGACATAAATAATTGAAAAAGTATAAGCCAGAAATCCCAAATTGAAGTGAAGAAATCGAGTTCATGCGTAAGGCAAAGTCTTATAAGTTCAGAATAGGGTAAGCATTGTAATACGGTAAGTAAGGAGTCCAGAGATGAAGTAGAAAAATGTCAATATTTGGACATAGAACTAAATAAAAACTAATAAATAATAAGATTGTGTAGTTCCTTCCATAGTATACCAATGCACTTGAAGTTTCGACTTCGGTCTTGTCGACAGTTTATCGCACTCAGAACGGCAAAGAATTTGAGCAATCGTAAACGATAAAGGCTGTACTCCAAATCAGCCCAAATCGAGATCGTATGAGGATTCGAGTGATCTTCTAGACCCTTTCGTACGGTTCGTGGTGAAGGACAACTTTCCTTCTTCAAAAAGCTTTTTTGATTCGGGCAAAGTTACAGAAGGAACAGATTTGCAGCTTGAAGAGTAGCCAGAACAAGGCAATTCCTTTTTATCTGTTGGACGCTCAAAGAGAAGGCAAAATAAATCTCGTTTCAACTTTTTCTCTAAAGGAGATATAACCGAAAGCTTTACTCTCGATTGATCTTCTGCATTAGAAGAACTATTTTTCTTTTTATTGTCCTCTTCTTCCTCAAGTTCAGCATCCAAATCCTCTACGACAACTGTGTATTTGTTTTTGTAATAGGCGATACGGTTACGAGGAACCATTTCAACATCAAGATCTACAGATACCTGTTAATATATATTCTAACAATCACATAATATAGAATGGTTCTCAGACTTCAAATCTCGCATACCATCGGATGGGTCTTCAATTGTGAGTTTCTTCAGAGGAATCTCTAGGACATTTAAGACCTTTTTTCTCGAAACATCGTAGTTTAAAGAGGAGTAACTTCTTTTAAAACCCATTGAAGTTATGTTTTTGTAAAGTTCTTGGCGATTTGTATTAGTAGCCAAGTTCATCGTTTTTAATGATAGCTAACATGTTACTTGGTTTCAAATGCTGAATATTCAGTTTTTGAGAGCAATGAATTCTCAGTAAATAAGAAAAATATTAGAAACATAAGCGGACAAAACATCTTTTGTATATAACAGTCATTTATTCAGAGACAAGACATCGAAATTTTACTCTTGTTATATACGAGCGTAAACAATCAAAATCGATTCATTCATAATATACACACAGGAGAATTAAGTGGAAGAAGATTGTAGGTTTTCGAGCATGCGATTATTCAGCTCCATAAAGGACTGTTTAATTCGTTCTTCTGATTGTTGAATCTCATTCTCTTGATCTAATAAGCCTTTCATGATTTGTGCGCGCTCTTCTTGTTGAAGTTTTTCAGATGCAACAGCTTCTTTTAAACGCTGTTTTTGCTCTTCAATGGTAAGTATATTCGGAAACTTAGGAGGTAGCTTTGTTAATCTAGAAGCATCCGTAAATGCTCCTTTCTGAATCTGAGCTTGCTCCCATGCATAAATGGGATCAGCCATAGCTCCGTCCTCACCTTCATCAATGAATACTTCGTTTTCCTCAAGAGCACTTTGAATAGATCTTTTTCGTAACGTTTCGGGACTAAACCGATGTAATTCTCGGAGACTCTTTTCGTCTTCTACGTACGCGTTGTATCCATTGTAACCTTCATCTTGTACCTCATCTTCATGTTGCAGTAGCCGCTCTCCATCAGTAGCTTTTCCAGGAAGGTATACCTGCTGACCAGTGTCTAGAGCAATATAATTATCTTCCATCAATTCAATATTTCTCTGTCGTTCTTTACGATCTTTTAATTCTTGTATCATGGAAGCCTCAGAGATGCCTTGATTAAGCATACGTGAGCTAATGCTCTCAGTAGGTTTGTTTAAATGTTCTCCATTCCTAAAGTGCTCTTGTTCAGTATACTGAACTGGAGTTTGCCGACTCCGTGATTTTAGTTCATTGACAAAGTTTTCAGTATATCCGCTGGATGAATTCAGTTCCTCTCTTCTTCTAGATATCCTAAATGCATTTACTGATTAGCCTTGTCTCGTTCATAGTTTCCAAAGAGTTAGTCTTACAAATCTTGTGTTGTCACAATAGGATTCGGCTTCTTTACTCTAAGTAATGGTGTTTCTTTATCGTTATCTGGAATGCTTTCGTTAAGCTGCTGTTACATGTTAGTTCAAACATTTCATCAAATATTTACTTGCCTCATCTTGTAAATTGACAGGCTTGGTCCCTTTCACTAGCGGCCTTTTTTTAGATTTCCTCAATGTTGTTTTTTCTATAATCAGTTAACAAAGTTGTTCACTTTTTGGCGTTATTGACTTTTCTGTACGTACGATTCGAAAGACTCGCGGATGCATCGCTTCCTGTTTCTTCTTCTTCATTTTCACTTGTTTGGATGATTTTTGGCTTTGCTTTTTTCAGGGAAGACCTCATTTCTCTCCAATTTCTGTTCGCTATCCTCACTTGAAATTTTCAATTTGTAGTCTGCTAGTCCTTTGACCTATTTTGATCTATATACGTATAGCGTTACAAAAATTTAGAATTATGATAAAGCGAAACTGTACTCTCCATAAATTGGAACTTGGCAAAACGACATTTTTAATGTAAGAACGTAATTTACTTTTGATTTTAGACAGCCATTATTTCTCAATTGACATCCATTTATGAAACTTGAAAAAAAGAAACTTATGACCTACATACAATCTGATATTATATAACTCATGATGATAAACACTGTAATTTATTCTATGAACAATAAGAAAGAGAAAAGCTCGAAATAAACGTCAAATGAATAGAAAAAAAATAAACAAAATGACGAAGTAAGGTAAAACCCTATTCCGCTAGTAATGATAATAACTTAAAACAAGGGTAATGATAAAATATCGACAATGAAACTTTACAACGAGAAACAGCACAGAAGACAAAATAAAATATAAGACAAAACAGGGAAACATCAAAAAGGGAATAATATAATAGGAAAATAGTCATCGTAAACCAACAAAGCCAAAAGTAAACTACCCTCAATCGATCAAAAGAAATTAAAAAACAGAAATCATAATTTAACAATGCAGAGGATAGCAACAGTGGAAATTGATCATTCCTTCAAAAGAGCGATTATTATAAATATGGAAATTACAAACACCATTAGAAGTAAAGAAAAAACTAAAAATGAATCAACAGAAATGTTCAATAAACTCATACATCACGAGGAATGCGATAAGAGGGTTGTAAGTATTGTGAACCATTCGGACCAAAGGAATAGGGGCGGGCTAAACGATTCTTCATACCTGCACCAACCATAGGTTTGTCCATTAAAGACTCAAACTTTTCCCTTTCACCAGAAACATCAACCATAGAAGACTGACGTTCCTTATTGAAAGGATACCAAGAGCTGGATCGTCCAGGAACGGAAGTAGCAGAGTAAGCAAAAGCATCATCGTCCATTAGCTTTAAAGATGACATGCGAGAAGCCAAAAGATCTTGACCTCCAGCCGAAGGTTGATTCTCCCCAGCATACGACTGTAACCATTCAGGGAGCTTTACGTTAGCCTGAGCTTTGGGAGCGGTGTTCAAACTACCGCCATGCAAAACTGAGGAGGGTAATTGTTGACCACCATGGTGCGAAAAGTTTGAAGAAAGAGGCGTCAAACCGGAAGCACTACCACTCAATGCCGGAGAAATGGAAGCAGAACGAGACAAAGGAGGAGGCGATAAAGGAGTTACATTCAAAGGTTCCATTCCATTCAAGGAATGGACAATTGCATTGGGAAGCAAAGACTGGGCAGCAACTGCACTTCGAGGTGAGACTGGAGCACCCTTCAGACCGCTTGCAGCGGTTCCAACCATATTACCAGAAGGGACATTGGTAGGGCCAACAGCTGAAAGACCTGTTTCTTCAATATCACCGTCGTTGGATCGCTCCAAAGCAGAGGCCGGGAGTGTATTATGTCCCCAAGCAAGGCGCATGTGTGATGATCCAAGTAAAGCTCCTTGTAAAGCAGCAATGGCATGCTCAGCGGAAGTTTTATCATTGTATTGAACAAAGCCACATCCTTTACCATAAGGAATTTTTATGTTCAAAATTTTGCCAAAAGTTTGAAAACAAAGTTGCAAGTCCTTCTCTGTCAAATCATGCGAAAGACCACCGACAAAAACAGTGGTGTTCAAAGGATCAACGCTGCACAAATCCTGATTGGGTTGTCTGTTCGAGGTGGGATTAGAAACAATACCTAACGCAGAATCGGCGGCTATAGAAGCACGAGACTTCGGTGCAGCAACAGAGATACGCAAAGGGCGACCATGACATAGGTAACCTTGCATGTGGACAAGAGCATGCTGTTGCTCCTTTTCGTTGGAGAAGCGAACAAAGCCATATTTCCGTGATAAGCCCGTAACAGGGTCAACAATTATCTTCGCAGACGTACAAGAAGGATAGATGGAATGAAAAGTTAAAAAGAGATCGGAATCCTGGGTAGTGGGAAGTAAGTCACCAACGAAAACGCTATATTCGGGATCTCGATTGACATAGTTAGCGTGATGGATGCCCCCACCAGTAGCCCAATTGAGCTTAAAAAGGGAATGCGCGCCAGGAATGACAGTATCACTATATTTCTTCAGAGCGTGTTCGGCGGCAGCAGAAGAAGCAAATTGAACAAAGCAATAGCTAATCAAGGCGTCGGAAGATGCAGTTTTTGAACGCATAACCTTCACGTTAACAGGTTCACCAAGAGAGGCCCAGAGTTGCTGTAAGTATGTAGCATCCATCCAGCTCTCGAGATCGCCCATCCAAAGGGTGTCATTATTCTTTGGTTCAAAGCTGATAGGCGAGACAGGAGAGGTGGCGGATGAGTAGTGAGAGGCCATAGAAGGGCGTTTCAGCAAAGGTGGGGCTATCTGGTAATCTGAAAAGGTAGGACCTGATGAAGCGGGCATTTTTGAAACAGCTTCAGAGGAAGAAGGCAGGTTAGCAGGCAGGAAAGAGGGATGGAATAAAGAGCGTTGATATAAGCAATCAATCGACATTTACAAGCGACAAAAAGAGAAAGGAAAAGAGCAAATATAGATAAAGGCAATAAGAGGGATAAAATGATATCCGGAACTCAAACGAATATTTGCGAGACTGTGTAACGCAAAAAAGAAAAACACAAAGGAAATTTTTTATGAAACTAAAGCGAAATAACCGTGTCAATCAAAAAGTTGATGCAAAACGGGTCAAACGGAAAAAAAAAGCTAAACAGAAACCTTTTCAAACGAAAAAGATGAAAAAGCAAACAAGTCAAAGATTTGTTAGTTTTTAATATTATCACAAGAAAACTATAGGAAAACAAACACAAAAATGCAAAGCTTTAGCACAGAAGGAATGAGAAAAGACCGCGATAAATTAAGTGTAATACAAAAAAGGAAAACCCACGGTATCTTTTAAACCAAAGGAAAAAAAAGAAATATGAACAAATGCAAAAGGAGATGCAAATAAAAACCTCAAGATCCTAGATGAAAGCAGACTAGAAAGAATTACCCAAAGGAAAACTGAAAATCCACAGAGAAAGAATAAGACAAGATAAAAATGACAATCCGAAAAATAATCTGGGATTGAAGATAACCTCAAAAAGTAGGGGAAACTTCAAAAGAAAGAAGGATATAAATTGATATATGTGTATATTTGAAGGTTGTTAGCGATAGACGAAATACTATGCGAATGTGAGAAATAGGTAGCGAACGAGGACCAGTAAAATGTTATAGAAACAAAAAAAAGAAAAAACAATACGGACCCTTCACCAATAACAAGATAATGTAGTTTGAGAAAGAGTAAAGAAGATATGTGATTTAAAACGACTTTGAGAGAATCACACAAAGAGTTTGTCAGTAAATAACAACAGCCACAAAAGGAAGCAACGGAATGACAAACCTCCAAAGCTGAGTGTATCTAAAGAAAAACCAAGTAAAAAGCGGGAGAAACGGGGGAAAACGTGTAAAAGGGAGGACAAAGCAAGAAGGAGAGACGTTGCGTGCTGAGTGTATTTATATACTTGCTGAAATAACGAAGAGTAAAGACAGCGTAATACAATATGTAAACAGTGCAAAAGAGGACACTTTGAACGAGAACAAACGATACGTTACGATAGAGGAAGAAGGAGTGGCGTGGCAAATTGTAACACAAACAAAAATTTAAGACAACCCAGAAAGCAACCGAAAGTTGTCAACAACAATAGCGAATGAGAATGAACGTGTCAAGAGAAAATAACACGCCTCCGATATATAAAGTCCGAGTTATTTCGTAAATAAGGAATTCGGAGGAAAAAATGGCACCAAAATAGTACAGAAGAAACAGTAAGAAAAGTATACGAATAGCAAATAAAACAGGAATTAGAAAGACAAGTAAATAAACCGAAGTAGATTATAAAAAATAAGAGGAAGTGAGATGTATCAAAAAGTAACTTCGTGAATAAAGCTACGACGCGTCGCTACTATTGATGAACACCAAACCAAGTTAGCTGTAAATAACCAAGATCAAGATATCTTTAATACGGGTATATTGTGAACAGCTAAATCAAAAAGAAAAACCAAAAAAAAATTGGATGAAAACGATGAAAGAAAGAAGAAACCCGCTGGAGGGTATAACAGTAAAACAGTAGAAAACCAAAGGTAAAGAGCAAGGACGGGCTTCGGACAGCGTTAAATAGAGAAAAACAACGCGTAAGGGAAACTTGCGAATATGCGTGCACGCTCTTCTCAGAGAAGAAAGGATGACATCACTAGAAGAGGAGAATGAGGAGAATGAAAATTGAAAATTGAAAAAAGTTTCGGTTCCTAAATTTTTCTTCAAACAACAGTTTATACTCGAAATACGTGTTTTTGATTGTATTTTAGAAGTGTTTATAAATTTTACTTATATTTGTTTCTTAGCTGCTGATTATCTTGTGTTAGTTGTTTGTTTGTTTGTTTTTGTTCCTCTTTCCCATGGGAAGTTGTCATTGTTTACTATGAGTCCGTGCCTCCTGTTGAAGAAAGATTTCCCTTAACATATAAGTCAGCCGAAGGGGTATCTAGAAATGTGGAGACCGAGCCAATCTTATTTCTTGCGAAAGAAAGCTAATGGAATTATGTCATTTGTTACGGTTGACCACAAATGAGAAAACGAGATGTATGGGTTTTGAGTCCGAGAATTTTTATCATTTGAATATAAAATAAAGAAGCATGCAATTTAGAAAAAAATGTATCCTTGTGGAAATTTCTGACGAAAGCATGTTCTTATAGCAATAGTAAACGAGTGCTTGTCGCTTCGGTTATCAGAGACTTGGAAATGTGGCATCAATAGGGTTTGATTGGTTTGAAGAAGGAGGGGTTTGACGAGTCAATCACGACCGGTGAGGTCATACTACTCCTCATGGTAGCGCGAGGCGTAACCCCTCATAGTCCTTTTTCTCTGGTCTCGACCAGGTCACTAAAACAAACTTTTCCTCGAGGTAACGTTAGGACTTGAAGGACCTGGCCTCTAATAAGAAGTTCAAATTCTCCCCATATACGTAGAGAAGGCTGTTGGAGGATTTCAGTCAAAGTCCTGCAATAAAAGGTAAACAAAAAAGTAACAGCCACGAATGAGGATTAAGAACGCCATTGATTCCCTAGATGTAATTTTAACCCCCATCGCATAAAAAGTATTACACAATTAAGAAATTTTTCGAAATAGCGCAATTTAACGTGACATCTTTCTTTCACCACCTTCTTTACGACTAATTTTAGAGGTTTATCTACTTTGTGTATTATCGCTTGTTTACGCTCGATTTCATTTATGCTTTTAAACTTTTATGGTTTATTTTTTAATTGAAAGCATGTTATCCTCATTTTCGCCTGTGAGATGTCGTCTCTACCGCTTGCTTTAGACCCTGCTGCCTTTTCCTCCACTTTGCCCGATCAACTCGAGGCTGATGAAGCCTTTGCTCGTTCTCTGCAAGACGAATTGAACCGACCTTCTTCTCCCCCTCTCCCAAATATTTCATATTCTACCTCCTCTCAACCAATTCAAACGTATGAGGTATTTTACAAGTTATTTTAACTAACTAGTTGGTTTCAGAAATGAACAATCTCTGAGGCACTCACCAAACCCTCCTCGTTTTACCTCTCCCTCTTCTGTTTCATCTGCTTTCGTTTCTCCTTCTCGTTCAGCTGGCTCCTCTTCTTCAGCTTCCCTAAAAAGGCGTTCTCCTCACGAATCTTCCCTCCGGCGCTGGCGCCAACAACGTCTTTGGTCTTTTAGGAATCTTCCGTTTTCCCCCCCTTCTCGGGTTTCCAACCCTTCTGCGTCTTCTTCTACCGTTCCTCTTTCTACCCTTCCAGCATCTTCCTCTTCTGGTTCTCAAGGAAATCCAATCGACCTCGATGGAGAGTCGCCGCCTTCATCTCCTCCATCTAAAAAATTTCCTTTGGGCCCTTTCATTACTGCAAAGGCTCTTAGTCACCAGTCAAACTCCATTCCATCTCCTCCTCCACCTCCGCCTCTTTCTCCTTCTTATGAAAGAGTTGCAGTCCCAAAGCATGTCTCTGATGAACTTCACAACCTCTTAGAAGATTGTTTTACATCCAATCTTGAGAATCTTGATGCCAACCAAGCCCAAGAACACCTTTCGAAAGCTGGCCTTCTTGTATCCCTTCTTACTCATCAGGTTGAAGGACACAATTGGATGGAGTCCATGGAACAAAGTCCAAAACATGGCGGCTTATTAGCTGATGACATGGGGCTTGGCAAAACCGTTCAAACCATTGCCTTGCTCCTTACTCGCCGTTCTGTCGATATGAGCCGTAAAACCACATTAATTGTCGTCCCATTGGCTCTTTTAAGCCAGTGGGCGAATGAACTCTCACTCAAAGTCCATCATTCCAAGCATTTATCCATCTACATTCACCATGGAGGTTCCAAAAGAAGTTACACTAGTGAACAACTTGCTCATTTCGACGTTGTTCTCACCACTTATAGCACCTTATCTCAAGAAATGCGACAAAAAGAGCTTTTCATCCACCACTCTCGTAGTGGTCGACTTGCCCCTCCTGCTTCTACGCCTTTTCTAGATACCCCATGGTTTCGAGTTATCTTAGATGAAGCACACACAATTCGCAATCGGAATACCCAGGCTGCCAATGCTTGCTTTCAACTAGAATCTATTTATCGGTGGTGCTTAACCGGTACTCCTTTACAGAATAACGTCGATGAGTTATTTAGTTTGATTAAATTCTTGAGAGTTAAACCTTATTGCGTTTGGAGTATGTTTGTCAAAGATTTTTCTCGTCCCCTCAAATCCTATAGGGAAGATATTGTGCATGCTGCTATGCAACGCTTGCGCGCCCTGTTGGGTGCCGTCGTCCTCCGAAGAACAAAAAATACTCAAATTAATGATAAACGAATTATAGAGCTTCCTAACAAACACGTTCAAGTTGTTCCCATATCATTTACTTCTCAAGAACGTAGTACTTATGCGGAGCAAATGAATCAAGCGCAATCTCTATTAGCCAACTACGTCTTGGATCGCTCTTCTACGTATGGAAACGTTTTAGTCTCCTTGCTTCGGTTGCGACAATTATGCTGTCATCCTTGGCTTTTAAAACTTAAGGCGCCTGCCTCTGTTTTAAGAGTTTGTGATTCTGACTTCTCGCGAGAGTTATGTAAAAAATTTGAACCTTCTGTGATCGAACGGATTAATGGAATTGAAGATTTTATTTGCAGTGTTTGTCTTGATTCTACCTTGTGTCCTGTGTTTATTATTCCTTGTGGGCATTATACCTGTCAGGAATGTATGGAAATGCTTTTGGAACACCCGACAAACCAAAGTCAACCTGATTGTAAGTGTCCCATGTGTAGAGGGTCTATTCGAAAGGATCATTTAATTTCGGATGATACGATTCTGGCAGTTTTCGGAAGCTTGAAATCAATTTGTCAGCTTCGCTCTCTTCGAAAACACAATGAAGCAACAGCAAAGGAATTTGAAGCAAAAAATGATATAGATCAAGTTCTCGTATGGCGTAATCGATATGAACAAGACTTTCTCAAGAAATTTGGGAAGAGGTTGAGTGAATGTACTCCTTCATCGAAAATGTTAAAGTTACTAGAGATCATTAAAAGTGTTATTGCCAAGGGGACTCAAGAAAAAATTCTAGTATACTCTCAGTTTTCTCAATATTTAGACATCGTTTCTCACATGCTGCGGACGGAGCATGTTAGCCATGTTCGATATGATGGAAGTATGTCATCCATACAAAGGGATCATTCTATTCAAAAATTTACTCATGATCTGAACATTACTGTAATGTTAATATCTTTAAAATGTGGTAGTATTGGATTAAATCTAACAGCTGCTAATCATGTGATTTTGCAAGATCCCTTTTACAATCCCAGTCTAGAGGATCAAGCGATTGATCGAGTTTATAGAATAGGTCAACGCAAACCGGTTACGATATATCGCTTGATCACAGAGAATACGGTTGAAGAAAGGATTGTTGCAGTGCAAGAAAAAAAGCGTGATTTAATCCAGAAGACAATGGGAAGTGAAAAGATACAGTCACTTTCCAGTCTAGACAAGAAAGAATTAATGTACTTATTTGGGCTTTAGATGCGGGTCAACATAGTGAATAATAATAATATAATTTATCCTTAATCTATATGGCAAATGAGGAGACTATGTTCCCATATGTTTGGAAAGCAATAGGCTCTGCTGTTACAATGATAGACATAAGAAAGGAATAAATGAAAGAAATAGCACGTTGCCATGTCAATAAAGACCTACACAAATGTCTACGAGACTAGTAAAAAATATCGGTATCAACTCATATATGCATAGTAAGAACAGCGCTTGAACTTTTTTTAAACATTTAATAGAAAAAGTTGCGCACTCATGACATTAAAGAAACAGTTCATATCTTAAGCATTTGAAGAGTCAGCGGCATGCTGCTTTGGTTCAGAGGACTCGTTTTCGGGAGATACAGGAGCAGGGTTTTCTTCTTTGGAAGACTTATTGTATTCTGCATCTGAGGTCCATAAAGTCAAATTGTCACGGAGAAGTTGCATAATCAAAGTGGAATCCTTGTAAGATTCTTCCGAAAGGCTATCAAGTTCAGAGATAGCTTCATCGAAGGCTTGCTTGGCCAAATGGCATGCTCTATCAGGAGAGTCAAGGATTTCATAGTAGAAAACAGAAAAGTTAAGAGCAAGACCTAAACGCATAGGGTCGGTGGGAGGGAGTTCAGCAACGGCAATGTCAGAGGCAGCCTTATATGCATCCAAAGAACTATCAGCGGCTTGTTTGCAAATATCACCAACAGCAAATTCGGCAAGGTAACGATAGTAATCACCCTTCATTTTGTAATAGAAAACCTTAGATTCACCAGTACCGGCAGCAGGGATTAGATGCTTTTCAAGCACTTGAAGAACATCCTGGCAGATTCCAGCGAGCTCTTCTTCAATCTTATTACGGTATTCCTTAATCAAGCTGACTTGCTTGGAGTTACCCCTGCTCTCCTCCTTTTGCTCTATAGATGAAATAATACGCCAAGAGGCTCTACGAGCACCAATAATGTTTTTGTAAGCGACAGACAGCAAGTTGCGTTCTTCAACTGTGAGCTTTTCATCTAAGCTGGCAACCTTTTTCATATTCTCAACCATTTCTACAGAAAGTTAGTAAAATTATTCAAACGAGATCATAGAGGAAATGGAATCAATAGAGAATCCCGCAGCCGCCCAAAAGTTAAAAAGGCAGAAAAAATGACTTGATAAAGCGAAACAAAAAAAGCGTTCTGAAACGGGCAACAGTTAAAAGGAACAAATAGTACGTGTGACGAAGGAAAAGTAGAGAATTTCACCAAACCCTCGCTGCTTCCATTCAAAAAACTCGAAAACGAGTCTTCACAGTTCTGTAGCTGACAATTCAATATAAACTGTTCCCACCATTTTCAAAATCACTTCAAGATGAAATGGGATATTGATGTTGTCTTCAGAGCTCGGAAGATGAAGTATAAAGAACAAACCTTCGTCCTTAACTGTGTGGCTCTCCCATCGAAGCGTCGTTTCAATACAAGCCAAAACACAAACAATCCATAAAAAAACTACACAAACTAATTCTTAAATCACGTTTACTATATTTTTTCAATAAATCCTAGCGTGTCATGCGGAATTCTCAAGTGATAAACCTTATCCATTCAAGGATGATTAGAGCTTCTTACCTTCATAGCGTTCAGCTTGCTCAGCTAACTTAGCAAGGTACACAGAATTTTCGCGAGAATCGCTCATATTTGCACAACTTTGGAAATTTGTCTGTTGGTAGGAGTTGGTAAAAGGTGAGTGTAGGATGGTGTAGTGTCGGCTAGATAGTACGCTGTATATATGACGCAAATAATGAGCCACAAAGCAAATTAACGCACTTTATAAAACTGCGCTACGTTTGTGTAGTGCACTGATAGTTGGTGATTTCGTTTTGTCATATTAGACGTAAACAAATAAACAAAGAAAAAGGTAATAGAAGTTTCGCTGAAAAAAATAAAAAATCGTTCACTATTTGCTGCTTTTGATTTTTTTTATTAAATTACTCATCTATATAGTTAGGTATCAGAAGTATAGGCTTCAATTGTACTTTTTTGTTACTAAGCTGAAATGAAATCGCAATCCTGTAAATATCTGCATTTGGTTGTCCATTATGATAACTCGAGAAGAAACTTAGACAAGGACGGTATTTCAAAAAAAAAGAAGAAATTGGAAACTTTTAAAACTGAACATTTCCTAGACTTCCTATGTGTAAAAAGAGATACCGTGTCTGCCTTGCATCGCATATTTTGCACTTTTCGTTTGTTTCGACAGGTGGATACATAGACATAGAAATGAAAAAAAAAATTTTTGAATTTGAATAAATTTTATAAGCTATAAATGTAAACAGGAAGAAATGAATTGTATGCGAAATCCTGAAATAACTGTAAACTTCCTTCTGTATAATTGTCACTTATTCTTGACCACGTTGGTGTAACCCATCCACTGTCTATCCTCCTCCAAATATACCATCAGAGAAACTACGTTTTTCTCTTGGTTTTGTTGATTGATTTATTATTTAAAGGGTAATAGGAATTTAGAAAAAGAAAAAATCTTAATGTATAACTGGAAATAAAGGGTGAATGCCTACAGATGATATTGTAAACAATCCCACAATGCCTGGCCCATCCTCATCGCCCAAACGTCCATCCAATCGTCCTGGCATTAACGTTAGCCATTCTTCAGCACGTGTGATGGATATTAATTCGAATAGAAAACCTCGTGTACCGTATAATGCTGTTGTGGGAGACGATCAAGTTTCTCGATCTGTGCCAAACGATCTTAATCCCGCATTTGATACTCTGAGATATTTGAGTATGTCAAGGAATCCTCATGGACGTTTCTCGAATCGCTCACGTCCTTTCCATCCCCTAGATCCCAGTCTGCAAGATGTGCAAAGCTCAGAAGATGAATTAACGGAGGAATCTCGTTTGCTTGATCATCAAAAAAGTAATTCATATCAAACAAATGATAAAAAAATTGCCAAAGACGTTAATAACCCTCCTTCAATGCCAAGCTCTGTTTGCTCCTCTCCGAAATTTCAAGCAAAAAAGCTTCCTGATAATGATGACGACTTTCCCGAAAACATTCCTATGCCTGTCAGTCATCCTGAAACCATCTCAACCCCATCAAAAGAGGAATCTCGTCCCGCTAGCCAAGGGGGCGACGTAAGTGACTTTGGTATCTCTTCTCCACGGTCATTTGGCAAATCCCCTAAATCTTCTTCAAGTCATTATGAACAATTTGCAAATAACCAGGTTACCGAAGAGACTCAAGAGGGTGTCGAAGATCGTGACGAATTGTTCTTACCTATTTCCACGCATTATCTCCGTGATCCCAATTTCTCCTTTCTGGATGAGTGGGCCAGAAAGATGAAGGAAACTTTTGATGAATTTACGGATGAAGAAACTGACCAGCGAAAGGAGCGCAATAGGAAAATGAGCGAACCCTTACTTGTCAATGGTAGATATCGCATTCGCGATCGCTGGGCTGAATTACGAAAGTCTGAGTTTGACCGCCCTTACAGGTTTACGTTCTTTACAGAGGAGCTACCCTCAACAATCCATTCTCATGAGATGTGGGAACTTACTCATGATAATCAAACGTTCGAAGATCTTTTCCGTTCCGGCGGAACTTGGTGGTTAGATGTCTCGTCCCCCAAAGAAGAAGAAGTACGCATCCTTGCTAAAACATTTGGTATTCATCCTTTGACTGTGGAAGATATTACTATGGAAGAAGATCGTGAAAAGGTGGAGCTTTTTCGATCTTACTATTTTGTCACATTCCGGTCTTTCAATCAGCTTCCTTCTGGACCTGAGTATTTAAAACCGCTGAACTTTTATCTTGTTGTTTTTCGCGATGGAATCATTACCTTCCATATGAACCCAACACCGCATCCGGCTAATGTACGTCGGAGAATTCGCCAACTGAATGGGTATTTAACTATAAACGCTGATTGGATTGCCTATGCCCTATTGGATGATACTACAGATGCATTTGCTCCCTTTATTGAGAAAATTGAGGATGAGGTAGATACTATTGATGAGATTATTTTGGGAATTCATCATGAGCACGTTTTAGAGGTGAAGCCTCAGGAGAGTATGCTGAAACGTGTTGGTGAATGCAGAAAACTTATTATGAGCTTACTGAGATTGCTTGCGAATAAAGCTGATGTTGTGCGTGGTTTATCCAAACGATGCAATGAATCTTGGCAAGTGGCACCTAGAGGAGAGATTGCTCTTTATCTTGGTGATGTTCAAGATCATATAGTAACGATGGTTCAAAACTTGAATCATTACGAAAAAATTCTATCTCGAAGTCATTCTAACTACTTGGCTCAAATCTCGATAAATATGACACTTGTGTCAAACGAAACAAACGAAGTCCTGTCGCGATTAACTATTTTGGGTACAATTCTAATTCCTTTGAACCTGGTAACAGGTCTTTGGGGTATGAACGTTCAGGTTCCAGGTCAAGATGTTCCTGGCCTTAATTGGTTTTTTGGTATTCTTGGGAGTCTTTTACTGTTTGCAGCCTTTTCCGTACTTCTTTGCAAATGGTATCAAGTGATCTAACTCTATTCTTTATTTATTGTTATTTATTTAGTGTTTTGGATATAAAGTGTGCTTAGGCAACTATTTCTATAGTTAGCGGGTTTGATATTAAAAGAGCTATTTTTGTTTGCGTCCAACTTGTGTAAGTTTATGTGAAAACTTTTAGTGCACAGCCTTCAGTATTGATAATTTTAAATACTTTTCAAGTGTGGCATTTAAGCAAGCTATTCAGAAAAATACGTACAATCTTTGTTTGTTAAGGGGACATAACGGGGGCGTTCTATTACTGCCTTGATGTCATAGTGTTTTCATTATTAAGCGACTTGTGCGATAAATAAATGAAAAAATTACGCCAAAATAAATAATCCAGATTCCTAATTGTTTGATGAGATATGCTTGTTATGTAGTTTAGTTTTTTATTTTTTTTTTTTTTTTTTTTCGTTTCTTTTACTTAAACCCGTAAAGGTTCCATGGTAAGGATTACATCGGAATGAAGATACAAAAATGTAATACATTCTGTTTCATGCCTTCGTAAAATCAATTCTTTCGTAGAATCCCAACTTTTTCATTTTTGTAACAATGAAAATTCACTACCTCTCATAAAACATTTTAGTCTTCTAATAAACAATAAACGTAACACGGTTTTTTAATAATCTAAACATGGAAACTGAATATATATATTATACAGTCTTGTTCTACCATAATCGGATGGGTGTCCGAGTGGTTATGGAGCTGGCTTTAGGCGCCAGTGCGAAAGCTCGCGGGTTCGAGTCCCGTCCCATTCAATACGATTTTTTTGCAACTTTTTCCATCTGTAATAGATAAAAAAATCAATCGATGATATACTAGAGACTTGTAAAGAAAACTAAAAACATCGACTAACAAGACTCCATCTGAAATGGAGAAGGTTGCTGAATACTGTTTCGGTAAGATGAAATATTCAGCAAGCAAACTTATTACCCAAAGTACTTCCTCCCCGAAGTAATGTTCGAATAAGAATCGAACTGCCAGTTATAATAACCATTCCACACTTCCACAGCATTTTCTTACCAGTACAGTATTTTCTAATGAGTCCCAGAACAAGTATCATACTATTTTATTTAGAATAGTATGATAAGTAAATAAAAATAGGAAAACTCGTTTCCAATTGTCTTAAATGTTTGAACTTGTTATTTATAAAACGACTTCCTCTAAGTAAAAAATCACTAGCATCCTCAACCTAAGTAAAGAGTTGCTTATTCTCTTAGTTCCTTTCCAGCAATGATGACCACCTTCTGAATACGATTTCTCTCAGGTGTAAACAAATTGCTAAAGGCTAATTTCATTTTTACAGAAGTAAAAGAAAATTAGCGAAAATATTCCAAAGAAAATAAAAATGTATTTCTATACCACAAGACAATTACGATCGATAATCACTAGTTGCCTCGTTAGCATTCCTAATGCAGCTGTATCTTGCTCTGATTTCATTCTGTATCTACCATTCAGAACCAAACTTAAAATGAGAAACCAGCTTCTAAAGTTTCTCGTTTCATTACTGATATTAATAGATAATTGCCTAGCTGCTGTCTTACCAGAAACACTTCGTCGGGAATTGAAATGGGGACAGGTAAACATTCTTCATACAACAGATATGCATGGTTGGCTTGCTGGACATGCACATGACAAACGATACTCTGCAGATTTAGGGGAATTTGTTTCTTTCATCCATCGTATGAAACAATTGGCTCAAGAAAAAGACGTCGACCTGCTTGTCATTGACACTGGTGATCTTCACGATGGGACAGGTTTATCAGACCTCACAGATCCTCCTGGCTCTTGGACAAACGATTTATTAACAAATGTACCTTATGATCTGCTTGTGGCGGGAAATCATGAACTATACTTGCCAATTGTCATGAATGATACATACCATAATTTTATACCTTTTTGGAATGGGCGATACTTGGCCAGTAATGTGGATATATACGATGAAGAAGCTGGTATGTATGCATCTTTTGGGGAAAAATATGCTGTCTTTGAAACTCCCCACAATGTTCGGATCCTTAGTCTTGGTTTCGTGGGTTCATTTTCAGGTGGATCCGACAAAGCCCGGGTCCTTTCAATGGAGGCTTCTCTTCGGCAGCCTTGGTGGAATGAATTACAAGAATTGAAAGACATCGATTTAATTTTAATTGCTGGTCATTTTCCTGTACATGACTCTTCTGAACTAGATCTACTACTTCTAAAACTTCGAAAGGAATTTCCAGATACTATAATTCAAGTCCTGGGGGGTCATTCTCATATCCGCGACTATGCCGTATACGATGAAAAAGCTACTGGGCTTCAATCAGGACGTTACTGCGAAACAGCTGGTTGGGCTTCTATTCGAGGTGTTCCTTCCTTTACATCTTCGAAAGTTAACCCAATCTCTTCTTATTCTGTTTTTTCGTTATTTTCTCCATTAATCAATTATCCCAGGAAAATATTGGAAGCCTCTTATATTTTTACCAATCCTTCCAAATTTTCCCGTTCTTACATTGACTGGAATAGAAAAGGATTTGTGTTCCACTCCAAAGTCCACGAGTCCAAGTTTGATACAAGTGAAGGGTTAGAACTTTCACACCAAATTGCGGATGCCAGAAGGCGACTAAACTTACTTGATCCTTTGGGTTGCTCTCCGAAAGATTACGGATTTTCAGAAGTTCCTCGAAATGCATCCAACTCTATATATAATCTTTTTGAAAGCGAAATATTTCCAAAGATAATTGTCAACAAGTCAAGAAGCCATATGCCTCACTATATCATTTTAAACACAGGCGGAATTCGTGGTGGTCTGCAGCAAGGCTCCTTTGGTTTGGATGAATTATTTCAAGTTTCCCCTTTTAAAGGAAATGTTTTTTATGTTTTGAAAAGCATCCCCTGGTTCATTGTGAAGGACCTTCCTTACTGGCTTGAGCATAGTGGATATCTTAGTATTTTTGATAAATCTTCTACTTTACCTGGTGATTCCAATACCGTTACTGAGACTTTAACTTATACAAAATCAGAACCTAAAAAGGTGTCCTATGGCTACTGGACACATGACGATATGGGAGATGATGGCGATGATACAATTCATCTTCCAGTTCCACATTATGATTCCGGAAACTATTTGTGCTCCAAAGTGAATATTCATCTAGATATAGAACATTATCCTCAACGAGTTGATCTCGTGACCACAGAGTTTGTGATCCCGAGACTAAATTATATTCTTAACAAATTGGTTGGAAAGGCCTTGTATACCAAAGAAGATTGGGAACTTTACTTCTGGCGTGAAGACGGTAGACATTCTATGACTGACCTTCTTGCTTTATATGCCGATAAATATTGGGATAAAGAATGCTTTTCCTCAACTTAGACACAGCCGATGGCATAGCTAATTCTTCTCCCCCCTTTTTTTTTTCTACAACAGAAGATATTACGATCTTATGAGTATTTTATGATTATTTGATTATATGAATGATAACAAGGAATGAAATCTATTTATTTATGAAAACGAATAGTTCATTAGATCGAAACATTATATTCCTGTATTTCATGAATCATAGACAAATATTAAAACATCCACATAGCTTAAAATGCGTTCGAAAGTTAAATAGATTTAAAGTAAGATAACATCTTTTTTTCCAAACCCAAAGGTATACAATAAATAGGATGAGTCGGCAACAAGAAATCCAAAGACGAATATAAGCAAGAAGGCTCAATTAACCAATGGTTATCTTGTATCCTGTAGTCATAAGCTATAGAGGACAATCCTAGTAAACAGTAGCAAGTATGGTATTGATCAGGTCGTTTGGGAGGCTTATCACGTAAACCACCAGAGGCCCCTTGGCAGCATTGAAGAATGTATTTTAGAAGTTTTTCTGAATTGTAAAATAAGCCATGCGTTACGTTTTCAGATCTATTACCAAATCCAGAAGCTAATATAAGATGGCTTCCGCCAACCCACCAGCTATAACAGCCATCCACAAGTTTGTTGGTTCTTCCGGAAAAACCGAAAAGAGCGGAATCTTGTCTCTGCAATAGCCACTTTACAAGTCTTGGAATATCCAAGTTATGGACTCCTTGTAACAAAGCAATTGCAGCTAAAGCGCAATATGTGTACCCACCATGCGCTTCTGCGTATGGAACGCCTGCTAATCCTCCCTCATATGTTTGACATTTACAAAGCCATTCTAAAGTATCCTTGAATAAATCATGATCACCAGGAAGCCCCAAAAGAGATGCAACACAAACAACTGCATAAGCCGAACGAGCATCAGACTCGCCTTCATGGTTTACGCGGAAAGATCCATCATAATTTTTTAAAGAATAAAACCACCGTAGTAGTTTCTCTTTTTCGATAAGAGCAAAAGCTTCATCATCACCGCACAAGCAAATACTTAATACTGCTGCATAAGTGCTTAACACATGTTCTTGTTGACCATTTCCACCACAAAAACCACCATTTACTCCTCGTAATTGACGAAGAGAACTAATTGCTCTCGTTTTAACGGCACCATCCAACTTATTCATGACAGCTAAGGAATTTAGCTCCCAATAAATCATCCAAGCCTTAGATGCATCCAAAACTGAAAAATAGCTAGGAAGCGATTCTAACATTTTCTTTAAATAATCGTAATGCTTGTTGAAGTTAAAAAGCTTCGGTCTATTTTGCAACAAAGGAGCAACGACTAAAGCAGTTTCTTCTTGCAAAGCTTGCGTCTGAGTAAGTTCAACCATCATTCTGGGTATGCAAAACACTTCAGATTTTTGTCAAAACCTGCCATTGGTGTCAATTCCATTATGGGAACAAAGAAAAGAAGTAACAAGGGATTGTTACCTGAAATCATCTCTGCTAAAGATGAAGATTTCGCATGTTGGAAGACAAATGAGAAGGGTTATTGGAAGTCATGTTAGCTAAACATTGAGCTCCTTCCTTTCTTCTACTTAGTAACCTATTTTTCAGCTTGGAATCAAAATCTCCTATTCTTTCTTCAAGAGAACGATAGTAATTCAATCCGTTTGAGGTACCTTCAGCAATTGCATTTGCAGTGATTGCTGACGAAAGGAGTCTAACAGACAAATCTTTATTTTTGGTAAAAGATTGAGTATAAGATTCCAGCTTCCTAATGAAATTCGGATTCTGCTTTAATTTTTGAACGGCATTTCTCATTTCTCCGAGAAGAAGTTGTTGTTGACGATAAGATCCATGCAAACGATTGCGCATAGGGTCGAACTTTTTTAGTTGTTGGGCGAAAAGCTGTTCAATGGCTATAGAGCTCTCATTTTTGTTGCTGTTTTGCATTAACGGTTCAGATATATCATCATGCAAGCATTTTTCTTGGAGCGTTTTAAGAGTAGCTTCACGACTTGGAACAAGTTTTTGTACACGAACTTGAAGCTCCTCTAGTAAATCTAGCTGGATCTTCATCTCTCTTTCTAACTCAGTATTGTCATCCGGTAAGTCTAACAAGTTTGGAACGTTAGAGCTTTCCATCAAAGAAACCGCCGCTGATCCAAAAAGAGTATCCATTTTATTTATGTCACAAAGCGTCTCAATGTCTTCCTTGATCGAGTTATATTGCTGTAGAATAGCTTTATCTATTACAGCAGCTTTCTCCAGATCTTGAAAAAAGGAATGAATCTGTTGACGAAAAGGAGACGCAAAGACTTGACTAGGCGACAACGTCCAAGCTGCACCAAAACGGGAGCTCATTTTCGAATTCTCCAAACTCTCTTTGTCCAGTTCGGATTCTGACTGAATCAAAATTCGTTTTAACTGAGTTGGTTTGTCTTTCAGCATCTGGAAAGCTTCTTGGAAATTTTCATTCAATAATTTTGCTCTGGCATCTGCCAATTCCTTCGGTAAAGCAGATGAGCTAGAATCTGAACGCGTGAGTTCTTGTAGATGTTCAATATCCAGTGAAGCAAACACGGTTGCTAATTGGGTATTTTGTCGTTCCACTTCTTCCTGTTCTGACCGATAAAGCTTTGCAGTTTCTTCAGAATACAAGGAAATAGCAGTAGTAATGGCACTAGGAACAAATGCTTTAAATAAGTCTTCTCCAACTACCGATTTGGCAGACTCCTTTCCACTATATAATCTGTCTAAAGTAAGATAAGGGAGTGCTTGCAAAGATTGAATTTGTGGGAGTTCAGCTTCCCGAACGACAGGTTCATGAAAAACAAAATCGTTATCTTTTTCCGTACTGCTCAGGGAGTTTTTTAGATTATCCTTTATAAAAGTTGATAGATAATTCGTATATTCAGTAGTGCTTTGCTTATGTATAAAATCGGGGTCTGGTTTTAACCATGAAAATGATTTTTGGCCAGCCTGAAGCTTTGATTTGGCTTTATTATAAAAGCCAATAGCCAATCCATATTTAGATTCTTGTTTACAACTCTGAGCCATCAGATAACATGCTATTCCTTCTAAAGTCTGATTCTTCGCAGATGCTAAAGAGACAAAAAAGGTATTTGTAGATGGTTCCATTGATTCAAAAGCACGAACAGATGATTCGTATAAACTTGCAGCACTGTTAGCTATCTTTGCTGCAAGAGACGAGCTCATCTTGGACATCGACATGTGACCAAGTACACACTCTTGGGCCTGTGCGAGGAGTAGGTGATGAATCCCTAGCAGAAATTGCGAGTCAAAATCATTTCCAGGAGCATGTAAAAAAGATTCGCGAATCATCTTAAAGATTCCAGAAGCGCATTGCAGGTAATTTGCTGCTTGCTTATAATCCTGAACGGTATATCGAGTAGTGTGAGTAGCAGCTAACCTTGAAAGCAAACCAGCTAAATTAAATAAGACGCAAGCACGCTCAAAGGCTAATGACGACTGCTTATACCAAGAATCACCTTTGGATAAGCTATCCTTCCATTCGAATGCAATGTCAATTCCATTTCCTCCAGTGGGAAATCTAAACGATAAATAGTCCAATTGTCCATAGTACGAGTAAATCACATTCTTTCCAGAGTTTGTATCATCTGCTCCCAACATATTATCGCGTAGAGAGTTAAAATTCTTGATCTCATCGTCTATATCAATGCTATTGCCATAGATTCTTGAAACAAATGTCGTAAATGGCTCTACCCAGTCAATTCTTTCTGTCTCCTTCTTCTTCAAGAAGAGAAAAGGAGTCAATAACCTTTCCATTGCTACTTACTTCTTTCCTATGGCTATGTCTCTTGTGTTTACTTGGTAAGTATGATACTCTCTTTCTCGTTCATGATTCCCAGTCGTTAAAAAACGCTAAAGTACGTTATGCAACTTTACCACATATCAATGTAATGCTCACAACGTTACAGATCCAATTATAGAACCCTGGTGCAGTGCGGTATTGTCAAAACACTTTGGACGTGACTGTTCTTTCTGGTAGTAAATTTCGAAACTTGCAAGCTACGAAGTTACAGCAAGACCAATATGAGTGAGGCGGTGACCATTAGAACTCGCAAGTTTATGACTAACCGCTTGCTTCAACGCAAGCAAATGGTAAGCAAATAAGACATTCTGCTATGTTTTCAATGATGACTAACTGCGACGAATAGGTCGTTGACATTTTGCACCCCGGCAAGGCCAACCTTTCCAAGAATGAGCTTCGCGAAAAGTTGGCTCAAATGTATAAGACCGATGCCGAGAATATAACTGCTTTCGGCCTTCGTACCCAATTCGGTGGCGGTCGTTCGACTGGATTTGCTTTGATCTATGATAGCAACGAGGCCTTGAAGAAATTCGAGCCTCACTACCGTTTGGTTCGTGTTGGCCAAGCCCAGCCCCTTGAAAAGGTTGCTCGTCAACAACGCAAGCAACGTAAGAACAGAGGCAAGAAGGTCTTTGGTACCGGTAAGCGTCTTGCCAAGAGAAGAGCCAAGAGCCAAGATTAATGAAATTTTTTGGGTGTATAAAAAAGAAAAATCAATAGTTAGTTTTAGCGTTTTTGCGCAATGATGAGATTTACAAGTGGTTGGTACATTCAATTTTCGTTAATGGTTGTTTACTCTTAATTGGGGTTAGTATTTGCAAAAAGAAAAAATAAAGAAAGCGGGAAGGTTCAAATAGTATGCACCTACTATTGCTGCCTATCGGCTTACCTTTTTTTATTTACAGTAGTGGGAATTGTAATGTTGACTGGTAAACTAAACTTAACATAGAGAAAGTTAAACAAAGTCAATTTTATTTCTTTTCACAAGTAGAGAATTAATAAATACGGGTCCGTTGTTAGTAAATGTAAATTTCCATTAATTTTGGTTTTTCGTGAACTGTAAGATAAACATCATAACTAGGAACGAAACGATCACGGCGAGAACCATTCCTATTTGTAACCAGAAAGAGAGCTTCTTAGATTTTGTGAAGTGTTGAACATTTTGATGAGTACTGTCAAGACTTTTTGCATTTTTGTCTAGCAGTGATCCTGCCCGTTCTACGACTTGATTATCATTTACCAAAGCATTTGTAAAAGAGATTGCATTTTCTTTTAAAACGGATGCCATATGAAGTAAGGACTCGGAAATCTCTGTTTGGACGGACCGTTGATGGTCCAACAGCTGCGAGTTTCCATATTGTAAATGCTGCTCTTGTTGTCGTTCGTGGGTTTCCCTTTTACGAATTTCCTCCAACGTCGATGCAGCTTCCTTTTCTTGTTCCATCTTGATTTTCTTTTCTTCATGCTCTATCTTAGCTTCAAGTGCCACTCTCAAATCGTTGATACGTCCTTGCAGGTTCATGATTCGACTCGATAATCCATCTGGTTCTCCAACTTTTTCCAATTGGCATTTGCCTTCTTCCCACAGTTTTTTCCTGGCATAATCGAGATTCTTTTCAACTTTGCAAAGTTCTAATGGGTCTAGAAAAGAGGATTGTTCTTGTCGAAATCGTCGTTCCAATGTATATACCAAATCCTCGCTCATAATCGTCTAATTTCCTTTTTTTTAGCCTAGAAATCACTTTTATATTCTTTTCTTTCAATAATTATATTCCACTTTTCCGGCTTTCTCAATGTTTTTGCTTCTGCGAACTACTGTGGTAAAACCCAAGTTATAAGAAACTTGTAATCCTGTATATCAAGAGAGAAGTCTTTATCATCATTCAAACTTTCCTTTTCTATGAAACATTTTTTATTATATATTGGAATACACAGAGGATTACTGAAATATGTATTTATGAATTCGATTCTCCTTCTATGGATATATTCGACGTTTTCCACGGGCGTAACCGCTTTAAAACTTTACTGAATGCTTTTCGTTATTAGATATAATCTTTCTACAGATATAATATGAAACATTCTTTGCTAATTTCGATTTGGTTCTGTTTGTTTATTAGTGTAATGGAGCGAGTAAATAGACAGAAATTGCATCAAAATGCTTTTAAAGGAAGAATGATTCTTTAAAATGTATAAAGATTACCTTTGTTGATTGTATTCTTCTGCTCTTTTCTTTTGGTCAAGAACTCTACGTTGAATTCGTTCACATGCAGCATGAAGAGCACTGTTCTTTTAAAGGAGACCCAGTTTTATCACTTACTTCTATTATTTATTCAATTTTGTTTTTCTTACTTACATTATTATTCGCTTGTATTTCTTTATTGCTGACGGCTTGCATCAAGAATACAAGAAAGCAATGAACAAGGCTTCTTAACAACTCATGTTGTACATATACTTTCAAGATATCTCGAAGTTTCCTTTTTTAATTTTATTGTCCTAATTTTTATAATTAGATATTTTTCCTATTGAAACTGTATTTTGATTCATATATGAACAGTTCACCAGGTTTCAATAACGTATAATATAGAAGAACGGACTGATTGAAGCGCTCTTTTTTATGATTGACAGGAGGAAAAGAAAAAGGAAGTTGAAAGGAAGAGAAGAATATTCTTATCCTTATTGATAATTGATAATACTCAGAGAGAACTCGCAAAAGAAGCTAGAATGCAAAATGGCAGAAGACGAATTGGCGCTCGAGTTCCATCGGCCAATTCAAGAAGTACGAATCGCAGCGAGAGTTTCAGCGAATATACCAGTATCCAAAAATCTGTTGAATGCCCAATTTGCGGAATAGAATTGCCCAATTTACAGTCTTTAAATGATCACATAGACATAACTCATATTTCCACGGAAGAAGAAACACAGCCAAAGCATCAAGACTTCGTCAACTCCTGGTTCTCGAGAACAATCAATGGAGCGACCACCTTGCACGCAAAAGCGGCCCAACGATTACTAAAACTGGAACCTTACGAACAAAATGGAGATCGGACTGGTGCAATCGGTATCGAAGCTACAAAGCTTACCGATTCTGTTGTTACGAGAGAACACTGGCAAGCAGAAGTTGTCGATATGAAATGCCATGATCCCACTTGCGACAAAATTCTTAATTTCATGAATGGTCGTATTCATTGTCGCAAGTGTGGTTATGTATTCTGCAACTTTCATACTTTATACCAAGCGAAGCTCTCAGTTTCAGCAGACTACGATCCGGAATTTGGATTTTGGTCCCGCATATGCAGACAATGTTACGAAAACCGGCCAGGCTACAATGATGTGCATGGCCAAACTCGTTCCCGCTATCACACCTTTGAAGCTTTTCGTAAGTCAATTGCTGACAAGAGAAGAATCGAGTTTCTTCGTTTAGATAAGCGCATGAAGCGACTTGAGTCTTTATGGTCCTCTGAAAAGGTATCCGTTTTTGATGCTTTACTTAAGAATAAAGCAAAGAAATTGGAACAGGAAATTGTGAATTGGCAAGAAGATTCAGAAGTGGAAACATGTCCTGAATGTGGGAATGTTTTTACTTTAACTCGCCGTCGGCGACATTGTCGATTATGCGGAAGAGTTGTTTGTCGGTTTTGTGTCCTTGAAATTCTCCATTCGAACCAATTCCAGAATCTTTTAATTTGCAATTCTTGCAACCAAAATTATTTCAAAACTCTCGCCTTTCAGAAAGACAAGGACCATATTCCGGGTTATATTTTACACATTAACCACTTACAAGTGTTTCGCCATGCGCTTCAAAACTACATAACATTATACAAAGAAAACCTTGCAGACCTATTGAGTGGAACAATAGTTACCCAAGAGTTGCTACAAAAAACAAAAGACGTTCGTCAAAGATTTTCAGACTTGTGTTTGAAGTATGAATCTACGGTTAAAAAAATTTCGTCTTATCCAGTAAATACGGAAGCAGAAGAACAAATAAAACACTCTATATGTGCTGAAGCAAAGAGCTTTCTGCAAGAAACAGCTCTTCATTTACAAGCAATTCCTCGACTCCAAGTTGGACAAACTTGGTCTTCGCAAATGGAACAGGACGCATCAGCAAGGAAAGAAGAAGCAGAAAAAAAGCAAAATGAATATACGCAAATGAAGATTGTGATCGAGGAACAGGTGTTCCTGGTTGAAAATATGATACGAGAAGCCAAATTAAAACGAAAGTTTTCCGAAGTGGATACTTTAGTGCAAAGCCTAAAACCCTTACAAGAAGAAATCCAGCGACTTGAAAGAAGTATCCAAGAACTGAATGGTTTGTAATGTCATTTTCCTTCCCATTTGTTTTTACTTTGTTAAGGCTGCTTTGGCTGATATTTGACTTATGAATTTCAAAATCTTCTATGAATTAACTTATTAGAAATGATACAACCTTCTTTTTGTTAACGACTGTTCCCGTCCTCGTCATGTTTCAGAGCCAAACATGTCTAATTTGATCCGAACGATTTCATGCCATTTAACCCATAATGCTCTTTTTTTCTGAACTCATGTACTCGATCATACAAACTCTAGCTCAAATGTTGGAAATACGGACCATCTAATTTTGAATGTATATCATACTAAAGACTAGAAAATATTTTAATATGACGATATACTGCTCATATATTGAAAACTTCTCCGTCTCAAGGAGGGTTTCTTTTCGTAGAAAATAATATATTAGTCTTTTTATTTTACTATTCGAATCAGTATTTCTTTTGGATTAGCGTAGAGTCTAACATGTTCTATTTACACTAGAAGAACGAACTTTGTTACCTATATATGTGGATACGAATGTATCCACAACATCTACCAGTTCTTCAAAAACCAAAAGAAACCTCATAGAAAGGAGATTTAGCATGAGTACTCCTACAATACCTGCCCAGAATGATCAAGAAACGCGTGCATTTGCCATGCAATTCACAAATTATCTGAAATCTCGCCCAGAGTTGAAAACGAAACCTGCGATTCTCAATGGAAAACGTGTTTACTATTTCAGAATCAAAAGAGTTATGCGATTTTTAACCTCAGATGCGTATCCTCCAAAAAAGGTAAAAGGATTTCCCCCTATTTCAACGCGCGAAGACGCCATTGATGTGTTAAAACTCTTGATTATGAACTCTATGATGGTTCGGGTCGACAAGCTTCCACCGAAACAAAAAAGGCAGGAGATTGTCGAACTGCAAGTGAATCGAACACAGGATTTCCAGGACGACATGCATTACGTCTGGTTGTATGAGCCTTTACAAAAGCGAGTTATCGCTTTGGCAGTTTTGTTTGCTTTACTTGTTTTAGCACTTGTTCTATTCCCTTTGTGGCCTATGTCTATGCGTAGGGGAGCTTGGTATCTTAGTATGGCCGGTTTGGGTGTTATTGTTTTGTTTTTTGCTTTGGTAGTTTTTCGCTTTATACTTTATTGTATCACTGCCATTGTTGCAAGCCCGGGTCTCTGGTTGTTCCCTAATCTACTCGCAGACGTCGGTTTTTGTGATAGTTTTCAACCAGTCTGGGCTTGGCATAACGCTAAACCAGATACGAAGTCCAAGAAAGGAAAGAAGAGTCCTAAAAAATCTTCCACTTCCGTTAGCTCTATGGAAAAAGAGCCCTCTACTGCTACAACTACTGCTGCCGAACCTCGTTCCAAAAATACTTCTTCAAAAGTTAGTCCCAGAAACCCTACTATAGAAGAAGTGCTTGAGTAAAAACTATCATGTGCTAGATTTCACGAGAAGTTAGATTTTGAAGAATGCTTGCTGGCTCCCAATTGAATCCGGTTTTTGTTAGCACATTGACTAGCACTCTCAATCCTTCTCCGTAATTGTGTTACTTTTCATGAGCTTCAATCGTTTTCTTTATTATATCTCGACACTAATACTCTTTTAATCTGAGCAAGTAAATTCATTCATGGTTGCCGGCTAGGTCTTTGATGCTTTTTGTTTAGTGTTTCTTCTCCTGCAAGAAATATATCATTTTATTTTATTCAAAGTAACATTTAAATCATTAGGAGAGCCTTCATGTCTCTCGCTTCTGTCCTGCTTCCATTTATGAATGCTTTTGTGATATTATGAACAACATTGGCTGTATGTCTACAAGCTGTATTATCTCGTAAACAAAATTTCCATTCAGCATGTTAGGAAAGAGTTGAACTTTTCTGTTTCCAATTTTCATCGATCATAGAAATTACTGTAATGAAGCTGGTACCACTGTACACCCTTTCGGTCTTTCAACCTCGTATATTCCATCAATTCTTGGCAAACACTACACAGCGCTCTTTCATGCAATATTATTGTCTCTTTTTTCTAAATTTTAAACATTCTTAATATTTGAGGATTTAAAGACGTGCATTTGGCGGTAGTTACAGGTGTTTGAACATTTTTTCTGAACACTTTTAAGACAAACGTGAAACAAAATGACTGAGCCAGTACAACCCTCTACAGATTCTAATGTCCCTATGGATATTGATGAAGAAAAAATAGAATTGGCGGACAATGAACCGAAGGATGAAGCTAAAGAGTTTTTATTGAGTCAATTACCACCCGTAGAAGTCCCTGAATGGGCCCAGTGGTTTGATTTCAATAATATACATGAAATTGAGAGGAACGGTAACCCCGAGTTTTTTGACAATAAAAATTCCTCTAAAATTCCGCAAGTTTACAAAGAATATCGCGACTTTATGATATGCGCTTTTCGACTAAATCCAAAAGTCTACCTGACATTCACTGCCTGCAGACGTAATTTAGCTGGTGATGTTTGCGCTGTTTTGCGTGTTCATCGATTCTTGGAACAGTGGGGACTTATAAATTATAATGTGGATCCTTCTACACGACCTTCGAAGATTGGCCCTCCCTCCACAAGCCATTTTCAAGTTTTGGCTGATACCCCAAGAGGGCTAGCGCCGCTTGCCCCTCCTCCTCCTCCTTCAATTCCTCGTACCCAACCATATAATTTACAACCTTCTATACTCCGCAAAAATATCTATGACTCTGAGGTCGAGGAGGCCCTGAAGGGCAATGCTCCACGACCGTCTCCGGCTGCAATAGAAAGTCAAAATGTTGAAAAAAAAGAAGAAACATCTCCCACTCATTGTTATTCTTGTGGTGGCATCCTTGGCGGCACTTACTATACTAGTGATTCCGATCTCTCCTATTCGCTTTGTTCAACTTGCTATGACCAAGAAAGATTTCCTCCGCCGACGACACCTCAGAATTATAAGAAAATCGAATCTTCTTCGAAAAAGGACGATGCACATTGGAGTTCACAGGAAATGCTTCTTTTATTTGAAGGCCTCGATATGTTTCCAGATGACTGGTCCAAAATTTCTAGTCACGTTGGCACCAAATCCATAGAGCAGTGTATATTAAAGTTTCTGAATCTTCCTTCAACAGATAAGGAGCTTTTTCAATCCTCCTCTGCTTCATATCCTGGGGTACGGTCCTTACAAGATAAAAATCCCATTTTGTCTGTCGTGACATTATTAGCAAAAATGGTAACTCCTTCTTCCTTAAAATTTTCACAGCCAATTGAAGAGGGCAATGATTTAAACAAAGAAACTAAAGATCAGACTCTCTCAAGTATTAAAACTGAAGGCATGGATATAGACAGTGCCTGCTATGATATTCCTGAAGTTTACTTTTCTGATGAGGAAAAACGGATGTCATCGACTATGAAAGAAGCCATCGATACGCAACTGAAGTTAATTGATTCCAAACTTACCCATTTTGACTATTTAGATCAACATGTACGAGTTAAGTCTCAGGAATTGGATTCATTTGCTCAAGAAACTTATAAAGAAAAACTGTTTATGAAAAGAGAATGCATTGCGGCCAAGAAGAAAATTGAGCAACGCTTACATTCAAAGGATTCCTCTAGTAATGCCTCACCCTTTCAGTCTTCTACTGCCACCCCAACGATCCTTCCTATGCAGTCCTCTTCGGGTATGAACATTTAAATGATGTGGAGTGCTTGCAATGTAAAAGTACGAATCATTTTGTACATAATTTTATTGAAATAGATTGTGAAGAGCATCTATTCCTTTTTTACTTTTATCTACTTTATGAATGGGAATTGTCTACGTGTTAATTAATAGTTTAGGATTTTTTATATTCTTGGCATTTACATTGAACTAAAATTAAACACACTAGAAAGAACAAAACACTTTTAAATTTTAGGATGTAATAAAATTACATAAGCTTCATAATATGCATCAAATAAAAGAAAATGTATAAAAAGAAAGAAAAAGAGAGGAACTGAGTAAAATGAATACCAATGCCAATTGAAAAGAAAAAAGAGTGAAGAGAGGTAAAATCAATTAGAAACCCAATTCAAGAAAATCATAAGTATTTGAAAGCTTAACAACCATCCATAAGTTTGTTCTTGGGTCGTTTATATCCAGCCATCTCCCAGCTAGTAGCGTTATAGTTTCGATAGGCATTAGGATGCCGTTCAATATACTCTGTAGTTGGATATCCTTCAGGATCGCACCCAATCTCATGTTTTGAAGAATCTGAAGTATTCTGGTAAATACGTACATAGTCGATGTACTGGGTTTGTGGGAAAGTTAATTGGTTCCAGTAGAAGTAAACCCATGTGGGAGAAATACCCATATTCAAAACTATAATCAAAGGTTCTTCACTTACACCACGTGGTCCCACATTTCCATTACGACTAATAGCAGGTTGATACATAGTCCAAGTATATGCATCACCAACGAACCAAGAAATATAAGACTCTGGTCCATAGCCAGGTTCATAATCAAATCCGTATGTTTGATACGCATTATTGCTCAACCAAGTATTATTCAATTGTGTGGCAACAGACAAAGCTTGCTGGTATACACCTCCAGTCCAGCCGTTTACGGATGAAACACTTTGGTTATAAACAACCACATAATCATAATTGGGATAGTAATACACATCATAAGGTGCAGTTTGAAGAGATTGAGAAGCGACGGGCATACTTTCCATATTAATAGATCCATTATAAGGGATTCCACTGCCAAAAGTTCCTTCCAAACAATCGATTTCAGGGGCGCCTCGACCTGTTCCAATACTCGGGTGTTTATCTTCTTGGCCTTCGCATGCACAATTAGGTAGACGTTGTCCACCAAGGAACGATAAACCAGTGGGATCCGATTGATTAGGAGTGATTCCAGCATCGCAACTATTATAAGCATAAGGCCAAACTCCGTCAGAAGTAGCCAAATAACCAGGACGAACTAAATTACCTATTGTCCAAATACCAGGCCATAAACCTGGAGTTCCTGGTTTGCCACCAAGAGAAGCGGAAACCTCTATTCTTCCGCCTTTAAAGCACATCTTGTTCCAACTTGTGATCATACCACTCCTGAGATTAAGATTGTGAGAGAAGAATGCATCCATTCGAAGTCTAAGGGTACCATTTGCTGTCGTCGGTACGTCAGCATCGTAATATTCATAATCACTAGTAGCGGCATAATGCAAGTCACTAGCTTCCCAAAACTGATCATCACCTTCGTAAAATGTGCGACCAGGAGTATTGAATTCATCGGAAAAAACCAAGTCCAAAGTACCAGAGCTTTTAGTGTCTTTCTTGTAAGCATCTTGAGGAGTATCAGGATCCACAAGGGAACGGTGGCGAAGAAGACTTAAGCTTCTAAATTTATGGTTGGTAATACCATTATCAGATGTACTTGCAAGAGCATTATGTCCGGTATAGGTAAGAATTGGCAAGCCAATGAAAAGCATACCGGTACCTGAAATAAGGAAGATAAGAAAAAGCAATTGCATAAAACCTTCCCCACCCACGAAATAGCTTAACTTCTTAGCATCCTTTGTTGGTAAAGGATAGTGCAAAAAGTCATCAATTTCTTTGTCTTCTTTGCTTAATGCAAAATCATGATCACCGGCTGTAGGACCGGCGAAGGCAACTGCTTCCAAGCGGTTAATGTTTTCAATATCATCTACAAGACTGCTATTTTGAGGAGGAGACGTTGAATACATGTCAGAGCCACTTGCATCGCCATTAGGATACCTATTGTATGCTTGGGGACTCGGGCGAGAATAGCCACTAGCTCTTCTACCACCTACTCCGGCAGCTAGTGCACCACTGCTGAAATTAGGATTAGAAGTATTATGCAGGAGACGGGCAGAAGAATCGTTTAAGTTTGTAAACGAAGAAGCACTGGTATCTCGCGAATTATACATTGAACCAAGATCATTAACATTCGCAGGAGGCTGATTGCCTCTGGGTGTGTCGTCGTACATTATAGTTTCTTATAGAAGAAGAAGTTTTAGGATATATAATGACTTAGAAAAAGAACCAAATTCTAGTAGAAACTTGAACTTGGGGGAAATTTTTAACACGAACTTTGTGAAAGCCGCAAAACTTGTAAGAGGAGGAAAGAAAAAAGATAGCTCTTCCAGTACTCTAATTAAGCATCAAAATTGTTCTTTCACGATTTCCACTTGCAATGGTATAAAATCGAAAAAGAATAGGAAAAGCGTCAAAAATCGACAGATAGCAACAAAAAGAACAAAATGAGGCTTAATACAGAAGGCCTCAATACTACCAAAGAATGTAGAAAAAGATGAGGAAAATGAAATCAATATAACGAGTGACACAACACTAAACAGTGATTGTAAAGGTATTTTTATCGTTTGCGCGAACTCTGAATTCGGCAAATCAAGCAAAGAATAAGGTAAATGGTTATAAATAAATATTAGATACAAAGTTTATTGTATATCGCGGAAATATAAATGTCGTGAATAGAAATTTCCAAAAGATAGAACCGCCTATATCAATCGAAAGTCGCGTCTTTCTTTCAATTTAACCTTTTAATCGGTAAAATCAATATCAAAAACGTTTCAATATACGCAAATGAACTTTCCTAAAGACTAACTGCTTATACGGAAAAGTAGCAAACTCTTTGTCAATGAAAAGGGCTCAATTCTCAAAAGTAAAATGCAAAAGGATTCCTAGTCAAACTCCGTTCCCCTTTCTTTTATACTGTCTCAATAGAGATCACCCTTTTCTGTAGTGGTAGTAGTAGTAGAGGGAGAAGTCAGAATCGAGCCGAAGCGAACAGCCATAGACGTTAGGTGTCTTGCGCCTTTTGTTACTTGTGACCTAGAAACAAGTTGGGTAACAAAAATCCTGTAGCCATGAATGCTCCAAACTGTAAGAGCGCTGTTATAAAGAAATGACTTTGTATTATTATATTGATTGAATGGTACTGTTCATCCACCGTTATTTTCGATTTTATTTCGTCTATATCTTGGGCGTTTTCATCGAGTTCTGTTTGCATCAGCTATACAACAGCTCCACCTTCGTTTCAAACATAAGAATATAGAATTTTCATTTGAATTTCTTCAATGTTTTCAATTATGATACCAGCGCTGTGTTCGTTTCCTTTGTATTTTTAAAGATTATATTATGAAAACTACTTCGGATAGTATGATAATATTATATTCGAGCAACAAGAAGTCTTGATTTGCTGTCCTTCGAATGCGAAGGCAATCCATGGACTCAATTCGTATTATCAGACCGAATAATTTCGTATTTTCTCTATGATTTATCCTAAACATTGCTAGGAAATTGAATCTTCATATATAAAAATCGCTATACTCCCGTATACTAGATTACACATCACATTCAGCCTCACTATACGATCCTAGGCCTCTCTTATACACCAAACCAAACTCAAGCTTGCGGACGAAACTAGCTTTTCGCCAACCACTATTGCTTATTTGCTGTAGTGTAGATTTGAAGAATCTAATTTTAATCGTTCTATTGTGATAATAGAGTTCATGACGGTGCCGAGAAAAAACAATAATGATCTTCCTCATGTTGAAAAATATGACTCTTTAAACGGAACGTATGTCATATGATTAACAAGAGTGACTGAAACTAACAATCGAAAATAGGTGGGATTTTCTTAAAGATGGCGCGTTGCATATTTTGGATCGATTGGATGAAGGAATGTCAATTACTCGCTATATGGAGCTCTATACGTATGTTATGCATTTCATAAAAGGGACTGAGAAATTCAAGACTTTGGCTAACTTTGGAATAGGGCTATCCATAATTATTGTGCCGATGCTTCAAAAACAATGTCAGTAGAGAGTTTCAGCGATCAGAGTATGTATGCTTGGTTACTGTGATAAACGGGCAATCTTTTTTATTTTAACTCCTTGTGATTTATGGACTAACCTAGAAACAGCCGCAAACGTTTTAGGTGAAGCTTTATACAATAATTTGGTGTTATATCTCAAAGAATATTTGACGAATTTACGATTGGTAAGTGTTTTCTGGTGATTGTAGTTTCAACAAACTTCCTTTTTTTTTTTTTTTTTCTATTTCACCACAGTTCTATTAACTTTTATAACAGACGTCACTTTCCGAAGCAACACATGAAGATCGTTTGGCGGCTTACGCTAAGTATTGGACTCGTTTTACAACGTCCTCTAGGTTCCTTCATCATCTTTTTGGATACCTTAACCGATACTGGGTAAAATTGAAAAACCGGTTTTCTGATACTGTGGTTTACGATATCTACACGCTTTGCTTAGTATCTTGGTACCATCATGTGTTTGCGTATATCTGCGATGATATACTTACAAGCTTATTATACGTCTTTAACAGAAAACGGTCGCACGAACCTGTCGATATGAAGGACGTGAAAGTCTGTGTAGATTCTATAACGTCGTTAAGTTTTGACAAAGCAGATATGTCAAAGGCCAACCTCAATTCTTACAAAGCATTCTTTGAATCAAGGTTCATTTCATCTTCTAGGGAATACTATGCTACTGAATCTTCTCAGTATATCTCAACGCATTCTATAACCGATTACCTTGGAAAAGCGGAGAGCCGTCTTTCAGAGGAAGAAGAGCTTGTACATTTGTATTTGCATGAGTCCACGTTAAAACCACTGTTGGAAGCTGTCGAGGATGAACTAATTACTAAGCATTCCGAAGTTTTGCATAATGACTTTTCGCGTATGCTTGATGAAAATTGTCATGACGATATTGTTAGGATGTATCGATTAATGTCTAGAACACCAAACGGCTTACAACCGTTAAGAAAGTCCTTTGAAGATTTCGTAAAGCGATCCGGATTCCTTGCTGTTGCTAGAATCGCGCCTGAAGGCGACAAGGTATCTGAAGTAGATCCTAAAGACTACCTTGAGAGCCTTTTGTCAACATATCTTTCGTCTAAAAGGCTGGTTGAGGACGCTTTTCAAGGCGATGCTGATTTCACGAAATCTTTGGATACATCGTGCAGAGAAATTATCAATCGTAATGTAGTCTGTCAGCCTTCTTCGTCGCGCTCTCCCGAATTACTGGCAAAATATTCCGATTCTGTCTTACGAAAGAACAGCAAGGCGGCCGAGGTTGATGATATTGAAAATATCTTATCTTCCATTATCATAATTTTTCGCTACGTAGAGGATAAGGATGTGTTTCAGAACTTCTATACGAAGCTATTGGCTAAACGGTTGGTCAATGGAATGTCAAACTCTCAGGATGCAGAATCCGGAATGCTTTCAAAATTGAAGGAAGTCTGTGGATTCGAGTACACCAGCAAGTTGCAGAGAATGTTTCAAGATATTTCTTTGTCTCAGGAGCTGACCGATTCTTTTCGTCAACTTCCAGAAATGCAAAAGTCGCCCATTGATTTCTATGCTATGGTTTTGGGAACGTCGTTCTGGCCGTTAACAGCTAGTTCCTCTAGTTTTCATATCCCACCCGAATTAAAATCACTTTACGAACGGTTTGAAAGTTATTATAATACCTGCCATAGTGGTCGGAAATTAAGCTGGCTTTTCCATTTGTCTAAAGGAGAAATCAAGGCACGAATCAATCCCAATTCCACCACCACTTATGTGTTTCAAGTATCTACCTTTCAAATGGCTGTGCTGCTACTTTACAATAAAAGTGATTCGTATAAGTATGAAGAATTAATACAGTTGAGCGGGTTGAATCATGACATATTAGTTGGAATTCTAAACATTTTCTTACGCGCGAAGGTTTTGTTACTTGAAGAAGGAAAGAAGCTTGGAGAGCCGGAGAGTGTCTATACTATTAACAAAAACTTTAAGATGAAAAAGATTCGTGTTCAACTCAACTTGCCCATCAAATCGGAGCAAAAACAGGAAGTTGTAGAAACCCAGAAAACTATTGAGGAAGATCGAAAGTTGCTATTGCAATCTGCCATCGTGCGTATTATGAAAGCTAGAAGGACGCTTAAGCATGTCGTTTTGGTCAAGGAGACAATTGATCAAATCAAAAGCAGATTTGCCCCTCAAGTCTCGGATATTAAAAGATGTATTGATATGTTGATTGAAAAAGAATATCTAGAGCGACAGGGACGTGATGAATATGTTTATCTTGCTTGATTTTATTTAATTGTTGTTTATTAGAATATTATGGTGTTAATAATTTATCCTATTTCATTCCTTTCTTTTGTTAATACTGTAATATCAGATTCTCATTAGTACTGTAAAAAAAAAAAGACCCTTCTTGATACCTAGATGTAGAATTAAATATATATTTGCATGCAAGAACAAATATTTAAGGTAAACTTAAGCGAACGAAACTTAATTTTTGATGAAGATCAGTTTTCTGGTAAAACGTTGTAGATGTTTCCGGTACATTCTGGTAACATGAGAGTTAGTGACATAAAGGAGCCATGACTGAGTAACATAAACTATACTTCCGCCAATATCAAAAAGCTATAAACAAACTTTGTATTCCTTTGTTTTCATTGCTACGAAAAGACAGGTCTAGAAATGGCAGCCTTTTTTCGCTTAATTGACCCTCACGGGAATGAATACCAACACGTACAAGATCACAGTCTACAACTCGCTCTTAAAGAACTCGATCAACAAATAGAGGTCATTAACCAGCAAGAACGACAACTAGCATTTCGGAAACAAGCTATCGAAGACGCACGACAGGAGGTGCTACAGCAAATTCAACACCGGAAGTTCCGTGAATATTTACACGAGCGAGAACAGGAGGCCCGTTTACAGGAATACTATCTAGAACAATTACGGGAACGAAGAGCCTTTGAACAAGTTGTACGTACTATCGTACAAGGAAGATTTGAGGATGACGAAACTCAAAGAAATATCCGACGCGAAAAAGAAGCCAGGAGGCTATTACGAAGGATTTTGGTGTCAGATCCCTCCAATACGCAATTAATAGTTCCTAATGATTTCCATCAATTTTTCATTAATCATCCCGTTGTGGAACGTCTTTATTCTTCCGAAGAAGACCCAAGCACAACAACACCAGAAAATACCGAGTATCCTCAAAGGTCATTTCCTGAGCCTGTGCAAAATGATTCACCCATTACTAGAGCATCAAACACTCCTAGCGGAAAGCCAGAGGAAATTTATATTCAAATTCAACAGCCTATCAAAGATGAAGGTCCTCGTGTAGCGGAAATTCCTTTATCACATGAAAAAGCTCCAAAGCGTTCACAGCAGAGCCTTTCCGACGAAGATTTGACTCGTACCGAGCTTTCAGAACTAAATGAATACTTATTGGGTGCTCAACGTCGTTTAAACAAACGCGGTAATGCTAGAAAACATTATGATTCTTCTCAAGCAGCTCCTGCTAATTCTGCGTTTGAGAAGATGACTCGTGCTGCTTTAAATCCTGATCCTGAAGTTATTGAGCCTGAAGAAACTTCAACCCAAACAAGAAATCCTTTGGAAACTTTATTGTCTAGCGGACACTATTCTATAGTAAACAGCGATGATGAATCGGGACCTCCTGAATATGAACCTACCTCAGCTGTTCCAATTGATAAAGAGAATGCTGGTTCTAAAGCTGAGCAAACTGCTACTTCAGAGGCACAAGACCCTAACAAAATTCACCCTGAAAACACTACCAGTACAACTTCAACAGATAATGTTCAAGGTATTCCCAATGATATTTCCACTAAATCAGCAACGAATGTTAAAGAAGCCGCCCTCTCAAGCAATCAGCCTAGTGATGAGAAGAATAATACAACTTCCACAAGTCCCGTTTCTCAAAGTTCTGTTCGCCATAATGTTACTGTTGAAGAAGTCCCTGATGAAGACGCATAAATTTTTGAATCTAGACGAGGAAATTATTTGTTGCTTGTTACCTTTTTATACAAATTGTATTCATCAAAAATATTATTGTATATTATGTTAACTCATAATTTAATAACCGGAGTGAATTGTTTTTTATGGTTTTAGTTATGATTTGGAGATTGATTACAAATTCATGAAGTATATGAACCTGACATTAATATCAATGGATTTATGTCTTTTAATGAATGTATCTCATACGTACAGGATCTGTAAATCATACATAAATGTTTAAAGCTGATAAAGGTATGCACGCTACTACGCATAAGCTAGAATTTTCAACCCATCATTCTCACTAGCTAGAAATACAAAAGAATGAATAACAGAGGCCTCAATGTCACCAAAAAAGAAAGTATAAAGTCACCACTAGTAGTAGGACAGAAAAGAACGAGGGTAAAACAGAATAAGTGTACAAGAAGGTAATAATATATAAACAGTTGTAACGCAATGTCGCACTAAGAAGATCGCACAGGAAGGTATTGAAAAGCATAAGGGAATATAAGAAAATTTTTTTGTTTCTATGAATAAAACTAAGCATTCATGTAAGAGCTGACATCAATTTCATCAGGGAGCTCAGTGATATTAACCTCAAAGCGTTCCTGGATCTTGTCCAAAATTTGAGAGTCTTCATCGGAGCTAGCGAAGGTAATGGCCAAACCCTTGGTACCGAAACGACCAGCACGGCCGACACGATGAAGATAAGTATCAGGAGAATCGGGCATGTCATAATTAATTACAATGTTGACACGTTCAATGTCGATACCACGACCAAAAACATCAGTAGCTACGCAAAGACGCTTATCAAAGTCCTTGAAAGCCTTGTAACGCTTAATACGTTCCTCCTGAGGAAGACCACCATGAATACAAATAGAAGGGAAATTGCATTCTCGTAAGAGACGATCCAACTCGTTAGCACGGCTAACGGATTTTACAAAGATAACCACCTGGTTAAACTCCAAAGAGTCAAGCAAGTCGTTAATTTTTCTGTTCTTCTCCTTTTCTTGAAGTTTAACAAAGTGTTGTTGAAGACCGTGAAGAGTAAGCTTAGTCTCATCGTCAACGTAAATTTCTAAAGGATTTTGCATAAACTTCTTGCAGATAGGACGTACTTCGCTAGAAAGGGTGGCACTAAACATCATAACTTGCTTTTGAGGAGGAGTTGCACGGAAAACCTCTTGAATATCACGACGCATGTCTACACTATCTAAGAGCTTGTCACATTCATCGAGAACGAAATGCTTAACGTTGTTCACACGCATAATCTTTTCACGAACAAGAGCATTTAAACGACCAGGAGTAGCGACGACGATATGAGGAGCCTTAGCTTTGTCTTTGAAAGCCTCCATATCTTGCTTGATGTTTATACCACCATAGAAAACAGAAGTACGAACATCAGGCAAGTATTTACTGAAACGAGCATATTCATTCTTGATTTGGAATGCAAGCTCACGAGTGTGGCACAAGACTAAAACAGAAACCTCCCCGTCAACAGGTTCAATTTGCTGAAGGGTAGATAACACGAAAACGGCGGTTTTACCCATACCGGACTTCGCCTGACAAAGAACGTCAGTTCCCAAAATGGATTGAGGAATGCAGACCTGCTGCACTTCCGAAGGATGCTCAAATCCGCTATCAGTAATTGCACGAAGAAGTTCAGGCTTTAACAAAAAGTCACGGAAACCAGTGGAGTGGATACCAACGTAGGAACCTTTCTTATCGGATTTTTCACCATTTTCAGTAGTTTCTGCTGTAGTAGTAGTTCCTTGAGCAGATTGGTCCTGAACCAAATCTTCCTCTTCTTCGTAGTCAATTAAATCCTCCTGAGCAGATGCCATTTTACCAATTTCTCTTTACTTGGTGGTTGGTAAAAGATAGAAACTTTGGTCGACGTGCACGCATGCCCATGACTGGCATAACCATAACGATACGTTGCTTTGCGTTAAACCAAGAAAAAGAGTTGTTGGATTGCACTATATTGTAAACAAATTTGCTTTTGTGGTTTCTGTATGTCAATGGATTTGAATATCTCAGTTTCTAAATTTGTTTGCTATCGTTTTAAATAGAATCAAAAAGATCGATTTAAGCTTACCCTGAATAGTTGTTCAAAGCAAGTTTGTCTACCCAAAAAAAAAATTGATAATCAACAAGGGGTATAATGTCGGAGAGTTATTCCGCATAACCTAGATATTTACAGTCCGCGATTGAATTCCACCTTTTTTAAACTGTTACCGTTTTCATCCTTCAAGTTGTGAAACTTGGATTCTAGTTTCATGGGAGAAATAGTCTCTCTACCAGGAAAAACACCAACAGCCAAAGGCACCGCAATTAAGGAAGTGATACCAACCAATCCTAAATTAACAGGAATAGTAAATTTAGGGTTCTTGCGAAGCCAGTTTGTTTTCTGAAGTCTCATCAAAATAAGAGGGGGAATGACCATAATAGGTGAGGCATTGATAATACGAGAAAGAGCTGTTTCTCCAACCGCATATAAGGCAGCACGATTACTCTTACCTAAAGAGTTTCCATCCTTATCAAAAACGTCGATACCCTATAATCGTTAGAAAAAAAATCATAAATTCATTCGCAAGAAGAGTCGTTATGAGAAGAATACTTACCTGACGCAATTCCTCACCGCGCATCAAAAACACGTTCAAAACACCAGCAAAAGCAACAGCAGCAAAAGGGGTCAAGCGTCCCAAAACCGCTTTCGATGAAGAAGACAAAAATTTAATACGAGGAACAACCTTGTTAAGGCCGATAGCAACACCACAACTGGCAGTGACAGCGTACATGTAGGATTTCGCCATTTGTGGTAATGTTAATTGAGTGGACTTGTTAGCATTCGCAGAATTGAATGCTACGTTAACGGACTGGTTCGTCCACTGCCAGAAGATGGTTCCAGCAGTGCCTAGGTTGGGTTGAAGCATTCCAGCTGTAACAAACAAGTTGGTCTAATATTACTATTAATAGTGGAAAAAAAAGTAGAGACATACCAAAGCATAGCAGGACATGCGGAAAGGTAGAAACACAGGCTCTTTTGTATCAGGATGTAAGGTGGAATCAACAACTATATTCGTGAGCACGTTAAAATCAAATTATGCTTTATTTAACGTAACATAAGCATACCCTTTTTAGCATTCCAAACCTTTTCATTTAAATCGCCGTCTCCCTTTTCGTACTCTTGTAAAGTCTTGACAGCATTATCAATATCTGATTTTGTCGATAGTAGAGTTCTAAGATGCAAATAGCGTTTAGTAAACTATTCAACTCATTCAATCTATATTCTTAGTAGTTACCTTGGATCAGTAATGTCCATTGCATGCTATAACTGTTAATAATCAGGAAATAAAGGACCACAGCTGATTTTTTTTTCTTTTTTAGACATAATTACGTACGCGAACTCGTCCCCAATAGGTAGAAAGATCGAATCTCGAATTAGGAATTTTATTGTTTGACATTTTGCTGTTTGTTGGAGGATACGAAATTTTTCTCGCACATGATGGCAGATTTTGATCTTAATAAATCAATTTAAGTAGACAGTTTTCAGTTGATTTATAGGATCTTATTTTCTGCATTTTCAAAAAACATTAAGACATTTTTCGGATTTTTTTATTTTTAGCAGAAACCATTTGACACGGTCTTTCGCCCTTGTGCAATGCTCCTTAAAAAAAATAAAAATAAAAAAAAGAGAAGAAAAGCAAAGATTATTATTTATATGTTTGCATTGAGCTCTCCTGTCTCTGTATATTCTATAAACGATTACAAATTGATATCTGATGTGTTATACCTAAGTATTCATTTGTTCACTTAAAAAACATCAATAAAATTAATTTTCAAAGTATCCAAAATCCTATATAATGATTAGATGAGCTCATTCTTTTTTTTCTTCATGAACAGGCGTTACTTTATTGTCTTCAGTTTCTTCACTTGAGTCATCTTTACTTTTTTGTTCTTCCACATTATTAAGACTTTCTTTCAGTGGTTCTGAAAAAGGAAGAATGGTATTTACGGCTCGAGAAAGAACGTGAACAATCCTTGTTCGAAGGATTTCATTATTGCATTCCACTTTCATAGTGGAAAAGTCGATAGAAGCTTCATATTGATCAATTTTTATGTAGACTCCGTTTTTCGACTTTGTAATGCTTTCGCCAAATTGACTCTCTAAAAACATCATTAACTTATTTATGCGGTCCTCTGCTTTCGATTTCTTTGCGTCAATGTGCCCATGAATGCACTTGTGATTTGTCACTAAAAAATTAGCTTTTGTAATTTAACAATAAAGATAGAGGACATATTTAGACACGTACATTTTACAGAAGCTGGACTACTTTCAATTCCTAACAAAACGGTAATCACTGAATCTGCGATGGTATCATTCATGATGTTTCCAGTCCATTCTAAAGTCAGTTTGTGCTCAGTTGGCATGCTCAAATGAATAGCATCCATGACAGTATAGCACAATTCCCCAGATTTCGTCCGCTCTTCTTTAACATGTCCAAACATTTGATTTAAGTGGTACTTAGCCAGCTCCATACTAGAGAAGAATGGGATTACTTGCTTCTGGGTTAAAACGGTAGTCGTAAGATCACTGAAATCTCGAAGGTCATCCGAAGACATAAGTTTGTATACAGCGTCTTTTTGTATCAATATTCCACTCATAATATCCCCATCAGTTGGTTTGCGGACTGCAATTTTTCCAAGAGCCTATAAAAATATTAGTTAATTTCCATTAATAAAGCCAACTCGGTTTTTCAAGACTTAAACTTACTCTAACATGGCGTTCTCCCTTGAAGTAAAGAAATAAAGGTACACAATTTCTAGGAGTATAAACCTTGCTATCAAGCTTTTGATTATGAAATTTGCTTAACAGTGCACTTTTCAATCGACCCATATTTGTCTGCTCACCATGTACCAGTATCTAGACTCGTTAGTAAATATACATCTAAGAATATTTCAGTTGCAACGTACAACATGGTCTGCTTTCACTTGATCAATGAACTCACTGTTCTGAAGATAATCGACATGAGCAGCAAATGAAAGCTCTTCAACAGCCATTCTTCTTGGAATCTTTTGACCTGACATTGATGTTATCTCAACCGGCTCATTTGTTATCTGTTTTGCCATGGTTCCCTCCACAGAGTAACCAGTCAATAACAATGTATTTCGAGGATCAGGAGCCCAACGCTCTAACAAAGTTCGAGATACACCATTCTGAAGCATACCAGGACTAGCTACAATAACAGAAGGGCCGATGTCATCGAATCTATCTAAATTCCTTAAATTTTTAATGTATCTGAATATAAAGGGATTTCGTTCAGCAAATGCCTTACGGATATTATCGTTCATCATGTTTACATAAGTTTGAAAAACGGCCATACACTTTCTAGCTAAGGAAGATGCATACAATATGGGTACAGGACGTAAATCATAGTGATTGTTCCAATATTCGTCCAAAATAAGGAGTAATTCCTGAGCCCTTCCAAGGGCAAAGACGGGCATTAACACACGCCCACCATTACGGATCGTAGAATGCACAATATTTAGAAGACGAGCTTCCTTTTCAAGACGAGGTTGATGAGAAGCAGTACCATACGTAGATTCCGTAATTAAGATATCTGGCTTCGTAGGGGGAACTTCTGCTATATGCAAATGTCGATCTTCCTCTCTAGAGTAGTCTCCAGTATACAAAATCTATTAAGTTAATATATCTTGCTTCTTTCCTACTAACTTACTTTGACGCCTGCCATTTCAATAAAAAACATACAAGCACCTAAAACGTGACCTGCATGATATGGAGTAAATTTAACTCCTTCAACTTCAATCGTAGAATGATAATCAACTGCTTCCATTCTCTCAAACGCAGCCGTCAGATCCTTCTCGTCATACAATTGATCCTCCACGCCAACATTACTGTATGTTAGAACTAACTGTTTTTAACAAAAATATTAGGTACCTGACTTTAACATAGTCTGATAAAAGCCATTTGCAAACGGCTTTCGTAGGATGAGTCATGAATACACGGCCTCTAAAATTTGTTTTCGTCATCACATAGGGTAAAGATGCAACATGATCTAAATGAAAGCTATTATAACCATTAGTAAAAATGACTAGATTAGAGACGCTTGCAGGAAGTTCTTCCACGGCTTACTAAAGCCTTGGGAAAGCTTAATACGACTTACTGGCTGATTAATAGAACATCAACAGTACTCAGATCAAATTCATCGTAAAACGGTAAAGCAGCGAGACCATTGTAAGCAGGATGAACACCAGCATCCAGCTATTATAAACGTTAGAGACAGTCGGAAATATGTGGAAACTTAATCCTGAAATCCATACCATCACTGTTTTCCCTTTGTATTGAAGAATATGACAGCTTCTTCCAACTTCATTGCCGGCTCCTAGATTAATAAACTGCAGCAAATCCTAAAGCAATTGTTAGCTAAAGCACGCTCATATGTATTTCTGATTTTTCGCGCATACCGTAGGATCAGCAGAAACTTCTTCATCGATATCTTTTCTTTTGGACATTTCTTTAAAAATTCACTTCAGAAAAACACCAATTCCAAATTTCTGGTGGTGTTTGCGCAGGCAAGGTTTGCTGTTTGTCTTCCACTTCAGAACTTGTTTGAATCCAGTTAGATAAATCAAGTCATTATAAAGAATATTGTACATTTGTTTGATTTTTGAGAATATTAAAGTTTTAAATTGACTAGATACTTACCTTTATCGATTGTCTGATGTTTCTACCAAGACAAGTCAATGTTCGCAATAGACTAACAAGAAGACCTAGTTTATCGAATAAGACACCCGTGGATCAGGAACATAAAAGTATAAATGGGTCTACTTCGACTTCTTCAACTCGTTTGGCAAGAAGCGCGTTTAAGAACATAAACGACTTAAAGCCAGAGTTTATTCGAGCAGTAGAATGTATGATTGAAGTACTATTCTATAGGGAAAGAGAGACACAAAAATTTCATTTGACCTATTTAATCAACAAACAAGAATTTTGGCAGGGGTTAAAACCGTCCCCTACTCAAGCAAACTTAAAACAATGTGTTAAAAATTTAAAAAATGAACTATTTACTTTCGATGAAGAATCGCATTCCATAATCAGGAATGAATATAAACTTGATCCCAACCTGGATTTATTCGAGCGAATAGTATATGTGGAACCGTTTCCAGCAACTCTATCTAACAAGCCATTTATGCTGGCTGGGCTACTACGAGAATGCTTTTCTGGATTTCTTCCCTACCTTGATATTATCCCTACTCCTGAAGGATATGCCTTTGTGGTACTGGCTCATTCAATATCGCAGGAGACTCTCACATCTCTTGTCATTCCTCAAGGTTGGAACCTTCTATCGAGGGAAGAATGGACCAAAAGAGAGAAAATGTATATGGAATATCAGGCTGATACGATGAAATCTTCTTCAAGTGCTTTCTTCACTGAACCTATAATTACAAATCAGTCGTTCCGAACAAATCCTGATCGAGCATCATCATCTTCAGTCAAATACCCCGAAAGCTCTGAACGTCAATTTGAACCATTAGAGGATGACTGTAAAAAGTCGCAAACGAAACATTCGGAATCTAAAAGATCATTCCCAAAAGGACTTTTGACGAGGTTGATTAACCTACATCCATTGACAAATAAAAGCACCATTCAAAGCTTACTCCGATATGTTTTCTCCCGTCAAAACCCCACAGCTACCTGCGAACCAATGTACATTGACTATAGAAAGGACGAAACAGAGGCCATAGTGAGATGGAAATCTCCTGAACAGGCTATTTTGTGTGTAAGTTGCTTTTTTAATCAGAAAAGGAAGCAAGATTCCCATAATGATATTCGTGCCCATCGAAAGCACAATAAAACCGGTCCATTCATCTCTGCGGAATTAGTAGAAGGATCTGAAGAGGAGTCGTATTGGAATCTGATCTATGGTAAAGTAAAAATATAAAGCTATGACTTTGTTTCATATTTCTCTGTTTAAATCCTTGTCATATAAGAAATTATCGCTTCAAGATTTATTATCTTTTTGATGCAAGGGAATGAAGTATCTGACTATTCATGTATTTTCCCTACTAAGTTGCTGGTGATCGTACCAGACATTTGTACATTAATTGATTTCAACATTGAAACTCCCTGTGTTCATGGACCTAGTACACACTAACTCGGACTTGGAGAAGCCATCACTGCTTTTCTTTAAGAAAGTTGAGATAATGTTCTCAAGGGGTTTTTTGTTTTTTAGTTATGGACTATCATACAGTATACAGCACGATGAATTCGTTTATCATGATGACTTCTAGTTGAACGTATGGTATAGTAACATTTTCGATCCATAATATTTTTGACTTACATGTATTCTATTTTAACTTCTAAAATTCTCAAAATTTTACAGAATGACAATTTAATCGAAAATTGTGCCTAAATCCGATACTTTGTTGTATCGTTTTGGCTGAAGCAGACTAAAACCAATCTTTCTCTATGTCGACACGAGCATTAAGAAAATTACAAAGACGACAGCAAGAGCTAATTTTTGAGTCTTCAGAGTCGTCAGAATCTGAAACTGATTCAGATGAGGATGTTTCTCATTCAAACCAAAAAAAGAAGGTCTTGAATCCGTTTGACATATTGAATGCACAGGTTAGCAACAAAACTGAGACTCTTGAAGAATCGGACACGAGTGAATTGGAAGATGATATACATTCAAATAATGAAGGAAATAAAAAGAATATGAATAAGCTTTCGGATTCCCAAAGAAAACCGAACAGAAAGAAACAACAAAAGAAGAAGAACAAGCCTGAAGCTGCAGGCAAAGATACGGAAATTGTAGATAAACCAAAAGAGGATACGGTTGATGATGAATTAAAGGAGATTGATGAAGCTGTTGCTGAACTGAAGCTTAAGTATGGCGACGAATCCAAAAAAACCAAGGAAGAAGGAGCTCCAGCAACAGATAACGTTCCTAGTGAAACAAAACTAAATAGTGAGCTAGCAAAGTTAGTAAGTGTCAACATAACTTTCCTAAATCCTGACTTGGAGATCCGGAAAATTTTTGGACGAATCGTTGAAAAAAGACCAGTGAATGCTAGACGTAGTAATGTAAGGAGAAAGCGATACGTGTTAGTTCAGCCTCAAGAAGGATGGCCCGTTCTAGCTAGATCTGGTCTTAGTATGCGGTTAATCGAGCAATCCTCAGATGGTGTGTGCTTTTTCGAATTTACCCAGAGTCGTGCCTATCAAGAAGTCCAAGAAACTTTTGAGTTTTATGTTCAGATTTACGATCCGAATAATTTATTTATGCTTTTGCGTTCACACCCATTTCATATTGACACTTTATTACAAGTCGCCGAAATTATCGACCAACAAGGAGATCATGAATTGCCAGTTGACCTGATTGCACGCGCTTTATTTGCTTTTGATAGTGCATTGCATCCAAAATTTAATCTGGCTACAGGTACTGTTCGTCTTCCTTTTATTTTCCCCACAAACAGAAGGCTGTATCTTTGTATTTGGCGGTACATGCAAAGCTTACAAAGTCGTGGATGTTGGCGAACCGTTTTCGAATTTTGCAAGGTTCTTTTACAATTAGATCCTTCTGATCCATATGCAATTGGTTCTTGTATAGATACTTACGCTATCCGACGTGGAGAATATGGTTGGGTAGTTAATTTTGCTAATTACCTTGAAAATACTAATCAAATAACTAAAATGCCTAACATGTTTTATTCTTCTGCATTAGCTATGTACAAGATGTATGGTGATATTGAAGAAACCCGCTCGACTATGCTTGCAGCAATCGAACGTGCTCCCTTTATGCTGGGTAAATTGCTAGAATCAATAGGATTGACTTTTGATCAACTTAGTATTCCCGAACCTCAAGATCCTGTACAGGAACTAAACTCAGAACTATACGCAATGCGCTCTCGCGACAACTGGTCATCTCATGATGTTTTGACTTTCCTACAATCAGTTTTGAAGGTTGAAGAGTTTACCTTAAAACCAATTCAGGGACAATACTCTGATATAACGGAAAATTTAGCAAGACATCTTATTTTGCTGAATGAAAGAACATTACAAAGGTTCTTGCCGCAAAGGATTTTACAGCGTACCATTGTGTCTTTCGATCCTTTGCCTCCAGATAGTTATACGGATGAACCTCAAGTATTTGGCCGTGATACTTCTCATCGTCTAGCTAATTATCTTAGCAATACCTTGTTTAGGAATCAGCCCGAAACTGACGCTAACCATAATGCCCAAGAAGTTAACCAGGACCCTAACCATCCAGTTCATCAAGAACTAATGCGTAGATTGGAAGAAGATTTGGGCGATTCAAGTTCTCCCCAACATCGAACGTTTATGTCTAATTTACGTTCTTTCATTGCGAATTTGTTTGTTGCAACCGATGAGGACGCTACTGAACAAAATGATGAAGGTTCTGATGCTAGCGACATATTAGAAGAGTCGGATTACCACGATGCTGGCGATGAAAGACAGGACAATTAAAGACAACTTTTTGTTACAAATTTACAAATATTTTTTTGGGTTTAAGATTTCCTCAGTAATGTGTATAAGACTAGTTTTCAGTGAATAATTTTTTTTAAAAATTTGATCTCATTCAATAGCAAGCATATGAATATATCTTAATCCAAGAAACCTAAACATTAAGTATCCTTATTGTCATAGAGTATCTTATTGAGAGTTGTTTTCGGAATTCCCGTTATTTTGGTTGTTCATGAAGCCGCGGGCCAAGTTTTGCAATTGGGGATTACTAGCCAAAGCACTCAAATCTGGCATACCGCCACCACTTCCGAAATTGCGAGCCATGTTAGCAATATTAGGATCGTTCATCATGTTATTTAAAGCGCCAGATTGCATCATGTTTTGAGCCATATTCATGATAGCTGATACGAGTTAGTTATCTTTCAGACATAAATATATTACATACCAGGATTATTCATCAGTGAGCCCAAATCAGGCATACCACCAGAGAACATTGAACCCAAATCAGGCATGCCTCCAGTTCCACCAGCACCTCCATCACGAGACTGTTCAGTGGTCGAGGCTTGAGCATCAACATCAGAAGAGGAGTTCATCTGAGACTTAGCGGCTTCCAAACCACGCTTCAAAACATCGTTACTGGGGTCCAGCTCCAATCCCTTTTCATAAGCATCAGCCGCAGCACCAGCATCTCCAAGAGAAAGCTTGGCACGACCAAGACGACCATAAGCACGAGAATGTTTGGGATCAATACTCAAAGAAGTCAATGCATCCTCAACAGCAGACTCGTATTGTCCTAATTGACTATAAGCTGCAGCACGGTTTGAATAATAGACAGGAGAAGTAGGATCCAATTCAATAGCCTTAGTATATAGATCAACAGCAGACTGGTACTCTTTCTTAGCGATTGCTTCGTTTCCTTGTGCTTTCAACTTTTCGGCTTCATCTGTATTATTTGAAGCAGTAGAGGATGCCTCAACAGGATGCTGCTGTTCGTAGGCTTCGTATGCATCCACTAATCGCTTTCCTGAACCAGGAGTAATTTCATTGGGCTCAACTTTGAAAGAATCTTTGATACATTGAGCTACACTGTTTAGTCATTGATACTTCGCATAATCTATAGTCTCGTACCAGCAACTTCTAAACTTTCTTTTTCCTCGTCAGAAACAGCACTAGTAGCGGTTGCTTGATTTAAAAAATCAATAACAGCTGTTGCGACTTTCTTGGAACTCATACTTTTACTTTCTACCTTACGTTTTCGGGACGATGAATTTGGGCTACCTAATGTGAGTAGTTGGTGAAGGTGTAAATAATGAAGGCGGATCAGAACAATATGGGCGTATTCGTAAAACTCTAAATTTCTCTTAAAAGATAATTAATAAAAATATATGAAATATATTTGACTTCAGATAGTACCGAATTGATTAATCATTTCATTACCTAGAACACATTATACATAAAAAATCATTCCAAAAAAAGGTATTTAAGTTTCATCTCCCCAAGAATCGTTTTCCGGATTATAGTTTAATAAAGAAAAAGGGATATTCAGTTGTTCAAGATACGTCCCAATGTTACATGGTTTTGAACGAAGATCATCAACAACACTTGGCAAAACAGATTCTGGCACTTCCTGCAGCATTGTTGTAAACTTTAACGAAAATACAGGGAAAAGGACTTCAACGGCTAACTGAGCCGACCTTCTCCATCTTTGTATATTTTCGTACAACTTCACTTCGTCTTCCTGGGTATTTTCAAGATCATAGGCTAACTCAACTATGGATACTTGGTCCTGTAAATTGGAGACTTCTGATTGCAATCTACTGACTACAGAAGAATGACCATCATTAGTTAAATTAGCGTCATCAAGATGCATCATTCTTGAACTCCTAGGACCAGATTCTGGTTCTGTTCCTTCCTCAATAATATTATGTAGTGCATCTTTTTTCAGAGGAGGTCGAAATGGTTTTGAAAGGGTTTGTTTGATTCGATCACCAGAATTGTTTTGAGCAAAAGGGCTGCGAACAAGGGGCTTATTTCTCGCACTTGATGTATTTTCGTTGTTCCTTGAACTTTTCAGAAAAGAAGGATATTTAAAATTAGAAGGCTTTCCAATGGATTTAGCCTCAAGGTTGCTTCGACCATTAAATGTCGGCCGTACATGAAAACGCATCCCGGCATGGTGTGCTTTTGCTTTGCTGCTAGATTGAAAAATGTTATTGTTCTCTTTCCGACTATTAAGAGTATTATTTTTCTGTATTTCCTTTATTTCTGTGACACTCTTCTGAGGTAGAGCTTCATTATTTTCACACAAAGTAATCCTATGGGAGGGTGAACTAGAAGGAGAAGTACTCTTGGGCTGATCCGTATCATGTATTTCAAACTCATGCTCAATTTTATCTAATACAGCGAAATCATCATCGGAAAAACTGAAGTTGGTATCAGAGTCTGGATCGGACTTAGTAACATTCAATGATTCATTATTGTTAGGTAAGTCACACGAAGAAGGGCCTATGCTAGAATCAAATGTCAATCCGGGAACGGAATCTTCCAGTTCGCCATCTTGCATGTTCACGTCGGTGTTCATGCCTGAATGGTGTTCAAAATCCCAGGTTCTATCATTTGGCTCATTTGCAATTTCCTGTTTTAAAGAATTTTTAACGGAATTTAAAGGTACGACAACTGCTTCAAAAACACTCTTTGGGTTATGTTTTTCAACAGGAGCATCAATCATTTCCAGACAGACATCTCTTTCAGGATGCTTTCTCCAACCTCTTGGCCGACCACGCCTCCGTTTATGAGAAAGCCCTTCTGAGAGTATATCCTCTGCTACGTAAGACAACTTTTTCGGTCTTCCTGCTTTTCGCTTCTCTTTTTGGATTTTCGTCTTGGGCAGTCCCTGCTTATGACCTTCAGAGACATCAAACTTATCTAATTGGTTTTCTAGGCAAGAAGGTTGAATTGAAAGGTTTTCATTTTCAAGCGCATAAGCATCACCTTGATCATTATCCCCATTTGGTCCCTTCCCTGAGGAACAAGGATTCCTTGCAAAGCTCCTCCCACGCTTTTCCGGTTCGCAAAATGACTCAGAAGGTATATTTGTCAATAATGGCTCATTAAAATCATCGGATAGTGGTTTGCGACTTGATGGCTGCACACTACTATTTTGGATGGAAGAATCATTCAGCAAGGAAGAATCAGATTCAATTCCAAATCCTGTTGATATATGCTTTTTTCCTTTTACAGTATTTGCTTCAGACCTGGGAATTTCATGAATCTTCATGAAGAACGAATTCCTCTTGGAAACCAATGGTCATCAAAAGAAGGTCAAAATTAAAGAAATGTATAATTCTTCACTAATAATACTTACTTTTAAAACAAAGATCTCATAGCACCAAAAAACCAAAATTACAAGAGATTGAGTTAGTGTAGGATACTAGGCATACCGATTTCCACCACTGGAAAAAAACCAACCACCTCCAAATTCTATATGTCGAAGATATCAGCCATTTTAAAGGCAAGAAAGAGTCAATTAAAAAACAAAAAAGATGGTAAAATAAATAAAAAATCTTCCGAGACTTCCAATTCCACTGGAGTCCATAAAAATTCAGGCGCTAAAAAGGGTTTACAGAATGAGGTGAAACAGTTCTTGGACAAATCCCAAAATGAAACCCCTGAGTCGGAGAATGAAGATATGACTATGGATGATTTTTTAAACGGTGATTTTGAAGACTCTGCTGTGACCGAACCAACTACACTTCAGAAAAACAAAAACCCTTCTCCGAAAGATCAGGAAACTGAAAAAGGGGTCTCCAAGTCGAAGAAGAACAGAAAAGAAAAAGTCACTCAGGAACAAGAGGAAAGCAGCTCTTCTGACGAAGAAGAGGCGGATGCTGAGCAATATCAAGAACAACTTGATTCATTGAAGGAGAAGGACCCAGACTTTTACAATTATTTAAAGAAAAATGATAGCGACCTGTTGGATTTCAATGCAGATGCAGTATTGCAGGAGGATGAGACTGAAGGAGGCAAGCGGTCTAGTGTAGGAAAAACTGAGATTACTATGGATATGCTGAGTAAATGGCGGGATCATTTAAATAATCAAAAGTCGTTGACAACTTTGCAGAAGGTGATTCAAGCATTTAAGGCAGCCGCTTATTTGAATGAGGACGAAGGGATGAACCTGAAATACTCAATAACAGATTCTAGAGTATTTAACGACCTTTTATTGTTAGCCATTCAAGCTGTTCCACGTGTGCTGAATCATCATGTTCCCGTGCAAACAGAAAAAAGCGGTAGGAAAATTGTAAATACTGACAATAAGATTTTGTCTCGCCTCAGTCCTATGCTTAAGTCCTATGGATTTTCCATCTTGCGATTTTTGGAAGGAATGACTGATGCTAAAAATATATCTTTACTACTTCGTGAAACTCAAAATGTCCTTCCTTACATGATCACTTATCGAAAGTTTTTGAAACAATTTGTGGAGGCTGTTGTTGAGGTCTGGAGTACCAACCGTGATGATTCTGTTAGAGTTTCATGCGTTTTGGTTTTACGTAGTATTTGCTTAACGGCAGACTTGACTTTGCTGGAATTTGTTTTCAAGCATATGTATTTAACCATGATTCGCATTTGTTCTTATACAACTGTTCACACTTTAGCGGCTATTAATTTTATGAAAAATAGTTCCGCAGATTTATTTTTGTTAAATCCCGAAAGCTGTTATTTAGTTACTTTTCGATATATTCGACAACTTGCTATTACTCTCAGAAACACAATCCATCAGCCAAAGCCAGAGACAAGGAAACTTGTACAAAGCTGGTCGTATGTGCATGCAATTGACTTTTGGTCTCGCTTGTTAAGTCGGGCTACTTGGTTGAGCCGCGAAAAGGGAATAGCAGTGGAAATGCAATCTTTGGTATACCCTTTAGTTCAAATTGCTCTAGGTGCAATGATGATTTCCCCCTCATCTCAACTATATCCCATGAGATTTCATGTTTTACGAAGTCTCATTTACCTCTCAAGACATACCGGTCTTTTCATTCCTATGGCGCCAGTACTGTTCGATGTCTTGGATTCCCCGGAACTTTCAAGGAAGCCCAAGCCTAGCACATTAAAACCTTTGGATTTTGAAGTTGAAATTCGCGCGCCAACTGCGTATTTGAGGACACGCGTTTATCAAGATGGCATAACTAATCAGATGTTGGAACTTTTAGGGGAATATTATGTTTTATATGCTACAAGCATTGCTTTCCCCGAATTTGTCATACCAGTAATTGTTCGTGCTAAGCGGTTTGCAAAGAAAAGTAAAAATGTCAAGCTAAATCGCTCTCTTCTGATATTGGTCCAAAAGCTTGAACAGCAAACTGAGTTTGTCTTAACTCATCGTGCTAAACAAAAATTCAGTCCTGCTAACCTCGATTCAGTTGAGACCTTCTTAGCGAATGAGGAATGGGATAAAACACCTTTGGGTGCCTACGTTGTCGTTCAACGTGAAATTCGTGAAGAGCAGCGTAGACTTCTACGTGAAGCAATTTTGGAAGACCAAAATCATAAGGAAGACATGCGTCAGAAGAAAAAAGGTGCTTTAAAGAATGATGATGACGAGCTTAATTCTCTGAGCGATGAAGAGCTCGAATAAGAGAATTCGATAGAGAACTTGATAAAAAGTATTATAGGTATGGAATCTGGGTTTTTTGAAATAGCGTTCAACGCAATAAAATTGGGTAATTAGGTTTACAGATTGTGATAAATTATGTTTAGTTAGATAGGAATTATTATTCTTCCTTATAGATATGACATGCAGAAGAACCTAAGCCTTTTTAGTAGTTATAGCTGATAAATATTTAGCTTTTCAGATTGAAACAATTATCTACGGCCACAACTAGGCGGAACACCAGGTCCCGTCCGATCACTGCAGTTAAGTGAAAACGTCTGAAGGTCTCGTTCATACTATGGTTGGAGACGAACATGGGAATCCCGGGTGCCGTAGGCTCCTCTACTTTTTTGCTGCTCTTTTTATTTTTTTATACGTTGACTATTTCCCGTAATTTGTTTTCTCGATAGAATCTTTGCAAGTTGTTCCTTTACAAGTGACAAAAGACTAATTACAAGTTCAATGAAAACAAATAAAACGATCGTATTCAATTGCAATTAAGAATAATAGTAATAATAATCATTAAGAACCTAGTATGATCCCAATGATCTCAGATTACGGTTCCTTTCAATGAGCGGATTGTATGCATGCCTTTCTATTGTCCACTTTTCTTCGTCATTTCCATTTATATTGATACAAGGATGATTTCGTAGTCAAAATTAAACGCAAGAACGCTTAACAAAGACATATAAATATTCACCGGAATAAACCGCTTGGAATATTCTCTTTTTCTACTTGTTGACTTTCGATCAGAAGAGTTAAGGCTCATGAGAAAAGAAAGGTTAACAAGTTAGCATTAAGTTTCGGCGGAGGAGCTAGTGCATCATTTCTCTGTTGATATCTGGGAAGCGTAGCCGAACCGGTGTTTTCAGCTTAGCGCTCAAATTCCATTCCAAGGAAAAAAACAAGAATGTTATAAAATCCCCAAAAGATAGCACCAACGAACCATGCAAGACCGTTGCCAAGACCAACCACGATAAAGATTATAACTTTAGCGGCAATCCGTACTGTCAATATGAAAGGCCAAATAAGTGCTAGGCTTTCTTAGTAACACACATTCTAATAACGTTTACGATTAACAATAACGCTCCACTTACCACAGAAAAGAGCAAAGAATATTGCCCATATCACAAGAAAAATGCCTGAAGGTAAAGCCTGACCGTATCCTTTTTCAATTGATACAGTTAATAACCAAGGAAGAAAATTGAAACGATAGGAGATTGCTAATGTACAAAGCAATGATAAAACGAATATCAAACTGAAGAACCTCCATTTACTTTTAACGACTACATTTTCAGGGAAATAATGATCTATATTCTTCCTAAAGTCGGTAAAGAAACCATTGAAGCTGTCAAATTCAGTCATTATCTTTTTCTTTCTCTCCTTGGTTTTGAAGGAAGTTGTATAGGACAATTTTTTTATGTCTTTTGGTTTATACAAAGGAAGTCCCTTTTCGAGATCAACATTGTAAACATTAGCATGGCTGTATGCAGGAGGATCGCTTAAATCGAATTTTAACTCATTTTCCGACATCCTAAAAATAAATAAATAAAGAGAAATTTCAATGAATAATTAGCAAAAGAGCGTCACATAAAAGCTGTTGATCGGTGTTCGATGCAAAACCGCAAATGTTCAGAAGCCGCTAAGAAAGGCGAAATTGAAAGGGATTTAGCTCAATGTAAATTCAAATCTCAATCTTTCATCTAAAATAGCTCAAGATTTAATCAAAATCAGCCCAGTGGGCAGGAATTGAAGAAATAAAAAGTTGGCTCCAGCAAGAATTTCGCATCTCTTACGCAGCCTTGAGTCACAAAGGAAAGTAACGAATTTCAGTTTCGCGTTTGTTTACACTTTCATAAACAAAACCAATAGTGTCCTTTCATGAAGCTTTCTTATAAAAAATCATATATTCTTTTCTTACCTTCAAAGTAGAAACCTCGACTTTGTTACCAAGCTTAAGATTACTCGCTCTTTGCACATTGCTTTTGAATTTCATGCAATGAAGTAAAGATTCGATATGCAAAATGCATTGATTAATATTCAATCTTTAATCTTTTGAGACCGGTATGTAACTAAAAAATGACTTTTATTTTCACAATCCTTCAGAGACTAACATGACCAATATATAAATAACACCTAATTGCCAATTGTCTACAGCTTGCCTACTGCGACAACATCCATACCTGTTTTCGTCAGATCTTGCAATTAAGCTGAGACTCATTATAGCTTAAGCTCGTACAATGTCTAGAGACAACATGAAAGTCCGGAACATTATAGGATTTTTTTTTATCTTCTCGTTTCTAGGTTTTCCGTTTTTCTGAATAAAAAAAAAAAATAAAATAACCTCCAGCTTTTTATTACAAGGACGGAACATCATGAATACATTTTCCAAATACTTAATGTACTGAAATTAAAAGAGGATCATTATAATTTATGCTAGGATACATCATCAAATCATAAAACGATATGGAAAGAATATAGGAGCCAAACAAGTCCAGGCTAAAAAAAGATTAGTAAACAACAAACACCATCATAAGAAAAACATACCATATAGTAAATGGCAGATCCATGAAGTTATTATTTTAACCCACACGGCAGCATAAGAAAATCCTATACGTACAAAAACATCGTTTTCTTTGTTTTCATAGATATTCATTGTGTTCCAGTTGGTAAGGAGCGAACCAGTATAACAAGCTGCTAAAATAAAAATAACATGAAACCAAATATAATTGTAATCAGAATACGAATTTGATACGACGTCGTCATTATCTAAACTGGGCTCTAAACTTCTTTCGCGAGATAAATTGTGAGCATCACCGTAAACATATTCATAACCTTCATCTTTATCCGAGCCGGAAACTGCCCTCAAAGCACTGTATACGATAGTTAAAAAGGTGAAAGCTGCTCCAATTACTTTGCTAAACTCTCGAGTTCCAGTAGCGGATCCACTCCATGGATTACATTTTTCCTCATCTGGTCTATTAGCTAAGGCAGACAGAATTAGGTAGCAAGTGTAACACGCAACCATAGAAGCCTGTGCAAGGCCCGATCGAGGATTATATTCTTGAACAATAGGATGCACTGAAATACAGCTAACAGCAATACATAATAGAAGGTTAATGGTGTTAATGGCTTGATTAAACGAACAAGAAGAAGCGCAGAAATAGACATATGCAAGAATCGTAAGCACCAAAGCAACTAGATACATGCCTACAGTAGAGCCGATCAAAGAAAATTTGGAAGAGGTAGAATCAGTAACCAATACTCGTTCAACACATTTTTCGGCCCAAGTATGTGCGAAATCGATGAGAAGCAGTAAGCCGTATACGATGAACAAGGCAGACCCAATTACAGATAAAACATTACCCCAAAAAGAAATGAATGAAGTGGGGATCAAAAATGAAGTTGTGACTAGAATAATCCACAAAACAATTTTGAATGGCCACAAACTATTTTGAATCTTCGCAGAAACTGTAGATTGAGAATTACAAAGACTTAGAATAAAGGCAAAAAGGCAATGGAACATCACAAGGGCAAAAGACAAGCGATGAACAGCAAAAACACTGTAACATTTTCCATCATTTTGGCAATCAAATTGCAAGTACCCAGCTGATAGCTTCGACAGTTTATTATTAAACCAGGAGCTCAGCATGCACCAAGACAGCAGCGAATTCAGCAAATATAAAACTGCATAGCTAATAATCGCACCTACAGTACTCTGAATATAGTTTGTTAGACTTAACAGCGAAGTGACGATAAAACTGCTACCAATGCCAACGATGCCCGTCAAGGAGCTTCCTATAATAGAAGGAATGGAAAGCACGAGACCCATAAGGAACTGAAAGGTGATAAAATAAAGGTAAACAATCACAACCAAATTGGATAAGGCGATATGATACGCTAATGAAGTCTTGATTCTCAATATCTCAATTTCTTTCCTCGGATCTGTCGATAAATTCACAAGAACTCTTCTTATTACTTTTCTGAGAGACAATTGATTAATAAATCAGGTTCAATTCACTGTCTATATTACAAACACGCAACATTCACTTTTGATACAGTCCGATTTCCATCGAATGTGATCAAAGAGAAGCATCGTATTAAAGAGGTTTGTTGGTTGAAATTATACGAAAACGGTAAAATGACGGTTTGTAAACGCTTGAGAAAGCTATAAGATATATTTTTCATAGTTAACTCAAAAGGCTACTACAGAAATACCCTACAACAGACCAAAGACCAAAGACGATGATGATTCGTACATGGCTCATACACAGGTTTCATGCGTCGTCCTCGTTTCCTTTCACAGATGATGATGGATTCCTTCAAAACGAAAACAAAAATAATTCAAAATAAATGTAAATGCTTCCAAATCTTCCAAATCTTCCGTAAATTTTGACTGAAATTCCTCATGATATAATATACATAGTATGATATAAACAATTAAACTGGACTTTCACTAGGCTGTTCAAACGAAAAAGAAAAAATATGGAAATTCTTCCATTTCTTTAAAACTGACAAAGAGAAATAAAATTTTACTGGAGACTTGCAGGTTTCCTGCCACCAAATATCATGTTATCGACGAAATTTTTTGTATGATATCGCAGTAAAGTTTCATAGAAGACGAATTGAGCATCGTTTCTTATAGTTATGGAAGAAGACCTGGCTCATAAACAACCCAAATTCGTATTACGTTGCCAGTCTTACTTTACCGTTTGTTGCAAGGAAATGCTCGTTTTTTCCTCATCATGTCGCATAGGCTTTTTGATTCCTCTCATTAACGCTAAAGCAATGCAAGAGTGCCCGGGAAGAAGTCATAGATTCCATATTCGTTTCTTTAGATCAAGCCGAACGCATTCGCCGTAACCGTTTCTGTTCTCCAGATGTCGGTAACTTTATGCCACCCGGGTTCTTTCGGTTCCTAAAGCTAAAAGCAGTCGATTTGGAAAAACGATGGTATGTTATTTTGCTCCTGTAATCGAACGTCGTTTCTTTATACTCTTACTTGGCGGAAAAAAAATCCTGTTACAAATAACCTCTATTTTTTCTCCGTACATGCATTAGAAGCAAGCATAAGGTTGTTTGTTTGTTAACCAATTTCAGACGTTTCAGCTTATTTCTTTACTTTAATTTTTTTTTTCTTTGAAAGCCCTTGTTTATTGCTTTTTCTATCGTCGAATAGACGAATTTATTTTCTTTCTTTTGTTGGTTTACGGTTTCATTGTTGTTTAGGTACTTGGGTTACGATCTTTTCTTGATTCATTTTGAAGTTTTGGATTTCATTATACTATTTTTCTTATCTCTTTATTAATTTCGGTTCGTATTCGGTTTCGTTTCTTTGATTTTCTTTTCTCTCGGAAGGTTCCGACAATTGGATCTCTATTTTCCCTTCCTTTTTCTCTTGTTTTCATCTCTTAATGAAGATATCTTCCTTTTCTTGGGTCTTTGGTCTTGTTGGATTATGAATATCAGACTTTTTAACCGGGTAGAACTCGATAGCTGTGTATACAATTCGAGCCAGGGAGAACTTCTGGCCGATTTTCCCAATTGCAATTCTCTGTCAGAAAAAAGCTCACAAAAAGAGGACTCGTCTGTTGGTAGTAGGAAAAGTTCCAAACATCATCGTTATCCTCAAGCTGGAGACTTGACCCTTCAACTGTTGCAAGACACTACGATATCAGTCCCTTTAAAGTTCAAAATTCATCGTCGAGATCGTCTTAGCAGGCTATCGAATAAAAGACTTCTTCATGCCAACTTAAATCATATGTTATCACCTTCTTCTCAACCATTACACAATGATGATGATTTCGCATTCCTCTTCTCTACTCAACCTCAAACAAGAATTTCAGGTCCTACTTTAACAAACAACTCCAGAAAGACATTGTTTTTCAACAATTTTTTGCTGCATCATCACTGTGCCAACCCTTGTTGTGGTCGCGTTTTGACAAATCGTAAATCGGACTCTAAAGTTAGTCAGGCATCCAGTCAGTCATTGGTTTATTATTTAGATTCTGTCTCTTTTGAACCTAAAAGAGACGTTCCAAACTATCCAGGTACCATTCTTATACTACGCCAGTAGCTTTACTAATTCTCATCTATAGTGTTCGAAGCTGCCGACAGTGATCACCCTCTTGCTGTCTCCTGGGAGTTCATTCAGCAAGTTCGTCAAGCTTCTTCTCTTCCTTCACCTGAATCCTCCCAAAGCTTTTCTTCTACGTTACAAGGACGAAAATCCTTACGTAAAAGGTCTTCGACTTTCAGCTTGTCGGATTTAGGCTCTACATTCAAGAAAAGGCTCCGTTCTTTTTCTGCTAGTATTTCTGGCGTTATGTATCGTAAAAATCCAGCTATACAAGAACCTATAGAACCGACTCTTACTCGTCCGAGTAACAGGATGACCTTGCAAAAGCTGAACAGAGATAACTGGTTTATGGAGGACGGTATCTTACATACCTCTTCTCCATCAGATACACCTTTGCTTCCATGGAATGAAGTCCTTGTACGCAAAGAGATGCGTCGTCCGCGATTAAACTCGGACTTTTTCCGGGTCTATGTATTGGAACGACAAATGCGTAGAGCTGGTAAACTGTCTGTACATTCCGCTGGACGAGCTCAATTTATATCTCATCCCAAGCCCAGTATGATGAATATGTTTTCGAGTCCTCTGCAAATTCAGCTATGACTTTCCTAACCTGCTCTATTATATCTCCATATTGCTGGGTCATACCAGAAATCTCGACAGTACTATGTTGATAATTTGGTTCTTCATTTTACCATGTTGGATAGTTTGATTTATTTTTATTCCATTCTTTTGTTTCAATGATCTAAGTTTTTGTTTTGACGTTTTGTTTTCCCGGTCCTCTATCCGAGCTCTCACTTTGAGATGATTCACGTTTCAATTCTAGAGAGCTTTTGTTTATCAAGTTTTTGTTTGACACTTTCAAGATTGATTTGTCTATTTACGGCTTTTATTCCTTAATTTTGGAACGTGTCATGTTTCATGAATTTCCTAGTATTTGATTTCTTTTAATTATCAGACCTCTCCCGCTTTTAATAAATAAATGCTGGCAAAAATTGAGTTTATTGTATGTTATAATTCACAAACTACAAATAGAAAGGTCTGTCAATAACCACTTTTAAAAGGCAAACCAGCTATCCATATTTTTTAACAAACGTCTACCATATAGTTGTTCAAACTTCAAACTAATTACTTGTACTCTCTCAAACCAAGAGCTGAATGTTCATCTATATGTGGCTTGAGTTGTAGATATATTTTAGCAATGTTTGCCTTAGACGTTAAGAGCAGCTAACTTACATTTTAATTTGTTTATTCAATGTTTTTTTAAATAAATGGCCTTTTTTATAAATTTATCCAGTTGTCTCTTGTTAATGAATCCTACTTCAACTACTTTAAACCACAGTACTCGGGGGCTGTCCTCTACGACTGTAGTACAACATTCGTATTTTCTAATGCTAAGGGTTTCTCTTTAGTCTTGGTATGGTAAATTTCTTCTTTCAAGTGTACTTTTCGTCTTCGTGAAAAGAAAATTGCATAGGAATTTTTGGAATTGTACAGAATTGAGTGAAACAGTATGGATATAGAAAATAGTCAAGATAACGTTGCAGAGGAGCCATACTTAAACGAAAATGACAAAAATTATACTTGGACAAATTTTCGTGAACAAGTAGAAAACCATTTTGAAAGGATTGAAATATTGCATCAGGTTCTTGGAACAGATGGAGACAATTCTTCCCTATTTGAATTGTTTACGACAGCTATGAACGCTCAGCTTCATGAAATGGAGCAATGTCGAAAGAATCTTGAAAACGATTGTCGTCAGAAGATTGATACAATTCAATTTTTAGCTTCTTCACTCAAGCTAGATGACCCTGATGTGGATCTTCAAATAAATCCTCCTCTAATTCAATGCCTAGATGAACTTACTCATTTAGAAAGTCAGTATATGGCTCAATACGACAAGAAAGTGTCTACTATTAAAGGTAAGGTTAACATTCTAACGGCCCGTAATTAACATTATAGTCTTATACCAACAGCTAGAGCAAACTTGTAAACAATTAGGAACGCCATTTGCCATTCCCGATTTCGAGAATGCATTTTTGTCTGATGTTTCAGATGTATTTCTGGATTCTTTAAGACTCCGTAATGAAGAAGCACGAAAGGAACTAGATTCTCGACTTGAGCTCGTAAATAATTTAGAGTCTGAAATCATTCAATTATGGATGGAGATAGGCGTCGAATCAATAGACGAACCTTCGTTTCAAGAACTTAAAAACACCCATATGAACCGACCTCCCCAATTTTGCGTCCCACAATTACTTATAACCAAACTCTACGAGCAAAAGGATATGTTAGTAAACATGAAAGAAAAGTGTGTTATGCAGATAAATGCTTTTCGTGATGAAGTTCATGATCTTTGGGAGAAACTCAATATTAACGCTGCTGATTATGCTCATTTAGAACAATCGTCTGGAGTGTATCGAGAAGACTTGGCCAAATGGGAAACACAATTACAGAATTTGCAAGAATTAAAGAAACAGCATATTCCTGTGTTTATTGAAGATGCTCGGGGGAAAATAAAGAAAGCTTGGGATGTTTTGTTTTACACTGATGAGCAACGTCGTTCTTTTTCTCCTGCTTTTGAAGAAAATCTAACTGAAGATTCGCTATCAGCGCATGAACAATATCTGAAGTTCTTGGAAAACGAAGCAAGAGAAAATAAGCATTTCTTGAACCTTATAGCTAAATACTCTTCTTTATTAGAAGGGAAACGTGAACTGGAGGCAAGCGCAAATGACTCTTCTCGTCTTATGCAAAGAGGTCGCAGGGAACCCGGATTGCTTTTACGCGAGGAAAAAATTCGGAAACGTCTATCAAGGGATTTACCCAAAGTACAAGCATTACTTATTCCAGAAATCTCGTCTTGGGAGGAAAAAAACCAGAGACCATTTATGTTTGAAGGTGAGCATCTTTTACAGAAGCTTAAGGAACCACCTCAAACCAGATCGAATGTCCGAACGAACAACACTTATAGTTCCAAAGCTCCTACAACCCCTAGTCAAACTACGAATAAATCTCCTCAGAAGGGTAGGATTGCTGCTTTGTCAACGCCTACATCCAGAAACAATCATCGTCCAATGGCAAGCCCTAAGACACCGCTGACTAGACAAAAAGCTAATGAATTTGGTGCTGCTCGATCGGTTAGTGCTGATGAACCACGCACTACAGCATTCAGTAACCGAAGGCTACCTGCCGCAGGACGATTAGATTTGAACAATAAATTTTCTGGAGCTCGATCGCAGAGCGCTAAACATGAAAACACTAAAACAACACCATCACCAGATTTTGGAAATACGCCCCTTTTTGGAAGAACTAATACAAAACAGACACCGTCATCCCAAACCACTGCACTTGATCACCATCCTCCTTTTTTATTTCAAGCTCGTCCTCAAGTAACTCCTCGAGCTTCACCGAGAACAATTTCAAAGCCTCTATCCAACAGCCCGTCAAAGCCAATAATTAACAATGATCATATGGTTAAAGATGTGTCAGAAAAATTTAGGAAAGCACGACTAGAAGAGAATGATATCGATGAGACCATCGAAGAAGACATTGAGAACCTTCCCTATTCTCCAATGAAAATATCTCCTATAAAATCCATCCCAGCATCGCCACAAACCACAAACAAGTTAGGACCTCTCATGCCAATGGAGAATCTCACTAACTACGCGCCTATGGAGGACGAATGGGGCGAGGAAGGATATTAGAGAGTTTATTATTATACTGACATTTGTATTATACGCATTCTTTTTGATGAAATTCATTAAATCTAAATTATTTAACATTTATAAAATATAGAGCAAGTACCGAGATGTTAGTAATAACAATAGACAACGAAAGAAAGAGTGTATTTAGCGCATCAGCGTAGATGGCAGCTATTCGTGAACGATACAACTTTAATTATGTTTCAACTTGGAACAGACAGCAAACGAAAAGAAATGAACAGTAAAAGTGCCAGAATTGGTAAGGAATTAACAGTTACAATTAGAATTATTAGGGGGTTTAGAAATGATAAGGGGTTCAGAAAAATCATTAACAAAATCATCATGAATTGTTTCGTTTTCTAGAGCGTATCGGCTGACTTGTTCAAAAAGTGCAGCAACGTTGCTATTATCCTTGGCACTGGTTTCAAAATGTGGTAGCGGATTTTCTCGTCTAGATTTGCAATAAGCTAAAGCCCGGTTCAGGGACACGGCCCGTTTAGAAGAATCTTTGTCAATTTGGTTACCGACAATAATAATTGGAAAGGAGGATTCAACTTGAGATGTCTGTAAGAGGAATTCTTGTTTCCAATTCTCCACTGATTCAAAACTTTTGGCGTTATTTACATTATACACAATCACACAACAATCTGCTCCTCGATAAAAAGCCATGCCTAAACTTTGAAACCGCTCCTGACCTGCGGTATCCCATAACTGAATATATTAGTGTCAATTCAATAAGAGGAATATGTTAAGATTACACATACTTGGAGGGTGACGGATTTCCCATCTATAATCACGTCTTTTGTCAAAAAGTCAGCTCCGATTGTCGCCTTATATTCACGGCTGAACTTTTGATTCACAAACTAGTTTTCCTGGTTAGCATTTTGCAACTTGATAGGACTTGAGCTTGAGGGGGAATCACTTCGTATGCTGAGAGTTCTTGAACACTGAAACGGATAATCCTTCGTTCTTCTGATATTCTCCATTTCAAAACCGACCAGGATTCAATACACGTCGTGTAAGGTATTCAAATCGAAACCACAATTTTTCTAGTAGAGCAATCTCCTCAGAACCCTGTATTTTTATGTCTTTGAATGCACTTTTAGAGAAACAACATTTATAAGCAGCCAAAAAAGGTTTCTACTCCGCGTTATAAACATGCGGTTCCATAAATTTTGATTCCTCTAGCATCAATCCCTGATGAACGGGACATACCTGATTCATGAGACATGTCTTACCAACACCGCTATCCCCCAGTATAACAACTTTAACAAATAATCGTTTTTGAGCCGACATTGATGGAAAATATTGAAGAAAGAAATCAGCTGCATGTACAGCTGTTGTAAAGGAGGTCTTCCCAGTGGTAAGTTTCTTGGAGAACGTAATTCAATGTATAACGCAGTGCCTTGCAGAGGGGTAATAAATAAAAGCGTGAAAATGGTATTAAACGTTGAATTCGAGCTTTATTAGGTAGGAGGTAATTATGATATGGTTCTATTATAAGCCTCTAGCCTATGAAGGGTAGTATCTCGACCGAGTAAATGAATTGTATCTGCTAAATTAGCGCCAGGAACGGATCCGCAAAGAATTTGGCGAATCAAAGATTGTAGCTTTCCTAATGGGATCCCGAAAGAGCTGGCAACATCCGAAACCATCGTTTGAAGAACTTGGGGTTGCCAGGAACAAAGTTGAAACTCATGAAGAAGACGCGATAAAAGAACGGAAACATTCGTCGCCAAAGGCATTCTATGTTGTATAGTATTTTGTGAAGGTTCTTCAAAAAAATAGCCACAAAGGTCTACAAATTCTGGCAGAGTTCGTACACGATTGTGTAACAATAGCAGACATCGGCAAACGTACTCTGAGTCGGAAATTCTAGATACAGAATTGGGATATTTTTCTTTCAAGCTTTTTTGCATTTGAGCAACAATTTGTTCGAGTTGCTTCGGATCGGTCATCCTTTCGCGTAAATAATGTTTGTTTAGGAATTGCAATTTCTCCAATGCGACTATACAAGAACCTCTTGTTAGTCTATCAATGGAAAAAAGCTCCAAAAGTTGTGGTAAAGGGATAACGTCGTTTTTTTGTCTGGAAGACCAACCCATTAGTGCGAGAAAGTTAAGAATGGCCATGGGCTCAAATCCTTTTTCAAGCAAGCTAGTCACATGAGCATCATTTTGTCGTTTACTTAACTTGGACCCATCGGGATTCGTCAATAAAGGAATATGAGAATATGTCGGAGGGCGCCAATGAAACGCCTTGTAAAGTTGAATATGCTTTGGTGTCGATGGAATCCATTCTTCACCTCGTATTACATTAGTGATCCCCATTAAATGATCATCAACTACGTTAGCAAAGTGGTAAGTTGGATATCCATCCGATTTCAAAAGCACAAAATCATCACTAAGTACTTTGGGTGTATTTCTCTTAATCGTAATTTTTCCATAGACAGTATCAACAAAGGTTATTGGTCCTTCTTCCGAGCGAAATCGGACGACATAGGGATTCTTGTCCGTTTTAGGAGACTGCGTTGAACATTCGTCGTAGCATTTATACGCTTTTCCAGAAGCTAGAAGTTTGGAAATGTATTCCGAGTAAATGTGCAATCGTTTGGATTGCTCATAAGGACCGAAAGGGCCCCCCGTAATCGGTCCTTCATCCCATTGAAGTCCAAAAGTTTGTAATAAATCATAAATGGACTGTTCGGAGCCATTGACTTTTCTCTTTTGATCGGTATCTTCTAGACGTACAATGAATTTCCCATTACATTTTTTAGCCCACAAATAATTAAACAAAGCAGTCCTTAAAGATCCAAGGTGTAGAAACCCAGTCGGTGACGGAGCAAATCTAGTTCTTACAGTCGTACTGTTCCAACGTAAAGTTTTTAGATTTTTATAGGGTTTTTGAATAACTTTGCAAGCATAGCGCGATTTAAGACAAAAAGAAAGCATTCGATTCTCGTCCTTTGTAATGCAGGTGATGAGCTTCAATTCAATTCAACTTAATTCAATTTAAGGTATATATATACATAAAACCAGCTTTTATAAAATATAACAAATCCGTTAGTCTAAGAATGTGCTATGGATTCGTTTACTACAGAATTTGGATAAGTCTTGCAATATTTCTAAAAAGTCCACCATTTACCGTATTACCAGGACATTTCGTCGTTGAAATGAGTATTTTCGAAATGTTGAAGACACATGAAAGACTATGAGTTTACAAGATAAAGAAGGAAAAGTAAAATAACATAAATTATATCAATCTCCTACTTGTTTTTAATATCTATTTGCCTATACGACTACTTTACAGGTAAATTGGTGTTCGTCTATACAAACACACGCAAACATTTCGCTAGAAAAGAGACTCAAGATTCAAGACAAACGGAGCAGCTTCAATAAGTGAGTACAACCTTCAAGGCATAGCCTTAAAAAGTATTCATGTACAGTCATCACATCTAAGAGAAATGACGACGCATGTAATTATTCCAAAAAATGCGGTTGGGATCCAATAAATTACGGAGTTCTAGCCACTTTGAGAGATTAGGATGCAGTTCTAAAAGTTGATTCTTATTCAAATGGAATTCTTTGGCCCAATGAGGTTTACCATTGAAACCACACATAATCTCTTCGAAGGCATTAAAATAGGATTCGTATTTGACATTGCTGTGATAAGGACGATACATGATACTCTCAATATAGCAAGTAGGAACCTTAGAAGCAGTAGAAAGCCAGCACTCATCTTCAGGAGTAGGAGCAGCTACTCGAACCTCCAAAGGCTGATGAGTGTAAATTCCCTGCTCAAGGGCAGGACCAATAGTATAGTTGATAACTTGTTCTAAAGCATCCGAAGCTGTGTCCAAAGGAACAGAATATTCAGTGACGTGCTGAGAAAAGAAGCAAAACATCTGCATAACATCAAATCCGGGCCCAACAGTGGTAGAGAGATGACCGTTCCTCCATCCATAGAAAAAGTGATAAGCAAGACGCTGCAAAGTAGGCATAAACCGAGGAAATAGATTACCAATGTAAAGCAAATTTTCGTAAATAAAAGAGTTAAATTTGATTCGGAAATTGGATTGCTTGGGAGTATGGGGAACGCTATTAGGGTTAACTTTGTTTGCACTCCAGACGACAGCACGGTTCGCGTATGGAAAAACATGAACTCGAACGAATTCTGCAGCCTCCCATAACTGGTTTGCCTTCCATTTCTCAAATAATGTAGAAACTGGTATAGCGGCTTGGGTAGCTATTAAATCAAAAGCAGGCACCACACGTAAGGTCAAGTCAACAATAACACCCAAAGCACCAAGACTGACTTGAGCAGCTGAAAAAACATCCTTTTGACGGGTACGCGAGCAAGTGACAATTGAGCCATCTGCGAGCATCACACGTAATGACTCAATATAACCAGGAAGGACCTGATGTTGAAGACTAGAACCATGAGTGCATGTAGACATAATACCGGCAACGGAAGTGTTGGAAATGCTACCGACAATAGGGAGAGAGTAGCCTAATTTTTCAAGAATGACTTGCAGCTGATTATAGCGAATACCTGCTTGGACCGTAACCGTCTGAGCTTCATGGTCAATAGAAACCATTTTGTTCATTTTGTCCAAAGAAACGAGATGTCCGGTACTACAAACGATGTCTGACGGGGAATGGCCTGCGCCAACAACACGAACATGTTTACGCTTTGCATTTGCGTCCACTATAATCTCTCGTAGTTGGTCTTCGTTTTTGGGAGTATAAAATCCGGAAGAGACATTGGTGAACGTTTTTGCCCAATTGTAATAACGAACACGACCATCATGAGAAAGCTTATTCACATTTGGCAAAGACATTTCGTGTAATTTTACAAAAAATACAACCGGTTAGTATTTTGGTCAATTAAATAATGATTTTTTTCACCCTAAGAAAAGAAATCCGATATTTGAATATAAAAAAGAACAGAAGGAAGAAAGGTTTTCGATATTTCTGTATATTTGGAAAAATTAGCGGTAGAAGGCTGTTTTTAAAATGTAGACATCCGAAGAAGACAAAAAGGCAACTATTAACTAGACAAACAAACGAAGTGTGAAAGCAGAAGAACTAAGAATTAGAAAAGGCAAGTTTTCTGCTAGCACTTTTATATCAGATTATATTAAATACAGATTCGCCAAGAAAGCAATTCAAAAGCAACCCAGAAAATGAGCTAAATTTTATCAAAAAAGAGTAATCCAACTATAAATTTATGAAAATTCTGGATTTTCGTTTTCCTCAATTTTGCATTCGTACTGGGTATTGGAAGGATGAGTTTGTTGAAGACGGAACATTTTTATTAATAAACTCTGACATTTTGCGAAAGGAACGGAGGTAACAAATTCCTAGATCACAAAGCGTATAAACAAAAACTCAGCAAAATGTAGTGGAATAAAAATAAAATACGGTTTAATATAATTTTGAGTAGAATTAGAATAAGCTAATGATTTATTTCGTGATTGGAAGCTCAATAATTAGCCAGTTTGAATGGATGTACAGATTAAAAACTTAACAGCGAAGTTTCCTTGGGTGTATGAAGTTATATGGACTCAGTTCTTTATAAATTACTATTTTATATGAAGATGAATTTTAGATTTTTTAGGATCCTGAACGTAAACTTACTAAGAGCAATTCTTGCATGTGCCCTATTGTAGGAGTCCCTTGACACTACTACCGTCAAGGCGTAAAGGAGTTTACCACCTCAAGAGGATTCTTTCTTCCAAAAACGTAGATAACGGTTTTTTATTTTGTTCTTTCTTTTTATTTCATTTTATATTTATAAGTTTCAGCCTTATTTAAATTGTGAGATGGATTCTTCAAAGATGGAACAGATACGACAGGGTCTATTAACATTAAAATGGGGACAGCCACCAGGAATGGCAAAATCAGATTTACAATTGGAAAAGCAGGATGAAGTAGAAAAAGATCAAAAAGCCTCGAGTCTTGTGCATGTACGGTGATGACAAACGGAGGAAACTCTGCTTTTATTCTCTTGCTAGCTACTAAGCAATCTATTTAAAGAAAGCTGCTAACATAAATGATTAGATGACAAAAGGAAGAGCGCATCCACGATCCCGTAGACGTCCCAAACAAGTTCCGCAAACGACAGATACAAGACTCACTAGAAGTGTCTCACATGGTACTGATTATGTAGTGCAAAAGCAAAGCCAAATGCCTCTTACAAAGGAATTCAATGGAAAGGAGAAAGATGAAAAATTCGACAATCATTCAGAGGAAGCTGTGGTTAAGTCAAACCAGCAATCCAATACTCCACCCAAAATTTCCATTGAATCTACGGTTTCTATGAAAAACAAGCCCTATTCTATTCAAGAAAGAAGAAGCTTGGATATCCCTTCCACAATAAGTGGTCCCTCTAACGATGATTTACTAGACGCATCCAAGGAGGTAGAACAAAAGGATTCAACACAAGCAGAAGAAGAGAAGGTTATGGAAGCCACGAAAGGAAACGTTCTCAGAAACAAAAGCCATTTTGAGGAAATTGATACTTCAATCCCTAGAGAAGCCAACTCTGTAACTCCTAAAGAGCCAGTTGTACATAACAAGGAATCTGGGGAGAATTCGCATTCTTTCATTCATATTGATTCCGACGGAAAAAAAGCAGCCGCTTTGGCAAGGAAATTGCCCGGCGCTTTATCACTTCCCAAACAACGGGCTACAACAAACACACCGACTCGTGAGTCCCCCGTCGATTCCACCTCTTCTTCAAAGAACCACAGTAAAGATCTCAGCAAGAATCCAAAAATTATACAAATAAGACAGAGGATCGCAAGTCTGCAACAAGACAGTGCATCCTCGCATGCATCTCTTAGCAAGATTCGCTCTGCTTCAGTCTCATCATTAATAGCAACCAAAACTCAAGACAGTGCATTGCGAAGTGTTACCCCACAATCTCGTTCTGACGGTATAAAGGTAATTCCGGATCGTAACGAGCACTCGGTCGGACACGGTTTCCCCACAAAGTCTGGAGGTTCGGGTTCTTTCGCATCGGCTAGTCCCAAGGAGCTCATTAGCCACAAGTCGCTGTCCCCGAAAGAATCTAAAACACCAGAAGCAAAAGAAACTAGGAAATTTCAAGAAAAAGCTTCGACTACGCCATTAACAAGTTATGTACCAGAGTTAAATCAATTCTCTGGGCCCAGCCTGGCTTGTAGTCAAGTACTGTTGGCCAGATGGAAACAAGAGAAACGGCATTACCAAGCAACCGATTCTTCTAGTGCAAAGCATTTATCGAGCATAGAGGAGAAAAAAAAGTCAACCAATTGAGAGCGAAGCATACTACTTTATTTTTCCGATGGTTTGCGTTAACTTAGATATATTCCGCTATATCTCACATAACAGCTTTCAGATGACCTTAACTCATATAAGCAATCTTTTCGTGCCTATTGCCCTATCATGAACCCATCATCATGGTCGACACGATAGCATCATGGGGAAACAGATCGACAAATATTTGCCGAAAACACCTATAACTGCCGAGTGTTACATTATTCGTTGCGTTCCGAGGCTGAAATCGGCAAATGAGATGGTGGCTGTGAGTATGACTGCCGAAACGGAAGAAATTCGATTAGATATCGGCAAAGATTAACAAAGGAATTGATCCGGGTCTATTCACGGTAGTTGTATAGGCTTCCCCATTTTCGTTCAGGAGACGTATGAGGATGTTAATTAGTCTCTTTTTCTTTGTTTTCTTGCTTCCTTGTCGACGACAAAAACTTGGGTCCATTGAATGAAGGATGGAAGTTGTTTTTTTTTTATTTTCAAATAAACCAGGCTGAAAACCGGGCTTGAAAAAGATCCGTATAAACAAAAATCTCGGTGAAGAATCATGACGTAAAGGCTTGGTATCTTTATTACCGAAAAGTAACAAGCAGAGTACCTTTATTTTAACTCTATTATCATTTTTCCGGCATTTGCAATGGGGGGCAATAGATTCTTGTTTATATAAAGAAGTGAACAGTCGCTCCTATTTTGCATCTGTAAAGATTTTCAGGGCTTGTTTAGATTCCGTTTTCACTTTTTTTTTTGTCGCTTGAGTTTTGGGATTTTTCTGAGCTTCTTATTATTTGTGCCTGTCTTCTTATTCAAATTTAAGGGATTTCGATAACGTTTTGACAAGGTCTTGATTTATAGAGTAAAATTTTACACAGTTTTCTTTTTTCTCCATCTTCGCTTGTTGATCAGTTGTCTTTGTATAGACAAACTATTTTGTTTTCACTTTAAGCATTCTTCGTTAACGTAATTAATTGGACACCAAACAATTTCTGTCATGGCTCAAGCTGTCGTAGACGTTCCCCATTCTACACCTAATTTTAACTTAATCCCCGCGAATGAACCCTTGCTTCCTATCGAGGTCGTCAACTCTGTTATGCAGTATTTGCCGGCTCACGATGTCATCCAATCCAGCTTTGCTAGCTATCCATTGACAATCGTGGCTAAGAAGATCATTCGGGCCCGTCTGTCTTTTTTGGACCAATATGCTCTCCGTGTGTTTGGTAAAAATGTCTCTTCTGACCAAATCGTTTGTAACCTTTCTGCTCATCGTACCAATTATGCCTCACAATACGATGGGTATTCTGTATTCCAGCTAGATGAGGCTTCCCCGTCGAACATCTTTCAGGTTACTTTTGAGGAGGAGACAGACCTTGTACAATTTGAACGATACCCCGGAGAATCGCTTCCTCCTTTCCTTAATGTTCGTGTTGCAGTTGATCTTTCCCGTTCCTCAATTGACAATTCTCGTGCTGATTTATTTTCTTGCTTTCAAAAGCCTATCCGTATTCGCCGTTCTTGGTTAGAATCTCTCAAGGCAGGCCAACCTGACACACTATGGTTGGACCAAAATACGCAACACGTAATTGGCTTAATCATTTCTCGTATTGACAATGCTCCGGGCAAGTACGATGTGTTGGTCTCCTCAGTAATTATCAAAACCGAATATTTGCTATCATCATTGGAACAACGACTTCATTGAGAGGAGAAACGCCTTGTTCTACTATAATACTCGTTTTTATTTCAAAACATTTTCATCTTCTGAGTCTATCAAGGGACACTTTAGAATACAGAAACTCTACTGGATTCTTTCTTCTTATTCCGTTAATCGTCTACAACTTATAATGTCAATGTGTGCTATTTTTCTTTCGTTCGTCCTTCCTTTAGCTTTCAGGATTTGTTCTTGCGAACCTTGTTTTATTTCTAATTATGACTCCTCTAATCCCAGCGTTGAAAAACGTATGCGTAATGTTTAACAAAAACTTGGTCGCCAATTTATCCTTTCAAACACGAATGCAAAAGACCACCATTGAAGTCATAGGCCCTTGTCTGTTCCCATGCCTCTCCTTGAAAGCTTTTTTGATACATCCTTGTTTTTTCCTTTTATGTTTATTTTTGCATATTTTATTTATTACGAGAGAACATCCTTCAATTCAATTTTACTGACTATTGATACAATCCTATTTTGGTTTTTTTTTTGTATATGTCATAAGAGTATCTTTCAAAGTAATGAAGACGTTGTACTCCTTTTGAACAACAGTAGCTGTAAATGAATAAAAACCGAAAAAGCACAGCTTCCATGAATAAAGGTTTTATATATTGACAAACATCTATTGAATGTTATTGTTACCCGAGTAACAATACTCAAGTACGTACCAAAACAAGACTTGGAAAGAAACAACATGGAATCTTCCATCTAGAGATGAAATGTGTCGAGTGTAATACTACAGTTGATTCTTTGTTTACGGACTATGGACGGGGAACGAGTAATATTCGGTTAGCACAATGTGTAAGTGAATCGTCAATGGCCATGCGGTATAGATAGCTGCATACACGTATGAAAGGGATCTAAATTTTTACTTTTGATTCTATTTCCTACAACAGAAATAGATCAGAAAAAACGTCGTCATGAATGAAGCGTGCGAGATCTTGAGACAATGGAGTAATTCACAGACGCGCTAACGCTGGTCTAGAAAAATTGCAAGCAATTTGCTGATAAATACATTGAGCTGGACTTTGTATTAATAAGTATTGATGTGATTTTAATGAAGCCTCAGGTGTATCGGCATTTACTATTTAATTCTTTGTCTGCAAGGAACTTTCGCAATGTAAGACTATAATACGATACATAAGTGTTTGTGGAGAATTCTTAGAAACATAAGAAGCTTACGCGTATAGGTGATTAATTTCTCCATATTGATTGTGTTGTTTGACGTTTTTTTGATTTGGTCACGGCTGGAGAAGCGTGCAGCTGCTTTTCCCAGCATGATTACAGAAAACTCGTTTATATCATTGCCAATAGTGAGACAATATCTTTATTTATTACTTCTCTGCTTGGTCGAAACTGCTACCTACCAAATCTCTATCATTGCGCTCATGAATGTTCTCATAGGATGGAAACATTGGACGTCGGCGTGTGGATCTGTAATTTTATCTTCCAGTACCAAAATGCTGCCGGTATTTATGGTAATTTGGGACTATGATATTCCGGCAGCCGCCATGATTGTCGAGTGGGTTGTTCTTTTTAGTAATATGGAAGCGCTTTCGATTTTAACGGGAAAATCTCGTTTTACAAAAATTGGTTTAATTGTTCTTCTTTCCAGTATCCTACGTTCTTTTGCTGTTTACTTTTTTCTTCACCATACCGCTTTAACGAAAATTCAACAACCAGATAATTACGAACACTTTACATTTTACAAACACTTGGTGTTTCAATGTTTTCAAAAAATCGCTTTAACTGCTCAAACAGCGATTTAATGCCGGTTACTCCTGGTTCTCGTTAAAACTCCTTGATGCAAACACCCAACTAACCCAGTTGGATTCCACTTGTTATAATAGTAACTCTCACGGGTTATGAGAAGTTTTATCAAGTGGAAATAATAACTACAGTTGTAGAATTGTACACGTTGATTGGACTCTGTTTTACTACGTATAAAGACGCTAGTAATGTCCAGGGATCCGGTTAAATGCTTCGATGATCTTGATTTATCCACACCAGTCGAATATATATCCTCGCTGAGACAGCTAACGTATCTATATCTGTATATCTCAAAGATTTCTTTGTTTATTGGCTTTCCTTTGTGAAATAGGTTCTTTAATTCATAAAACGTATTTCTTTGTTTTGTTTACTATTTGTAATAATTATCCTTTTAGACTTATGACGTTTGTTAGTATTCGAAAATATCTTCTTACAATGGCGTATTGTTATATGTATAATTAACAAAACATCTATATGGACAATATCTTAAAAGGTATTAATCCGATGACGCCAAAAGCGATAGTGGAATGAACTGATATAAACATATAGTTGCTTACTAATACAGCCTTTTTTGTCCATATAACGACGAAATGACCAACTTTTTTACGACCTAAACCAAACACTCTAAGGAATAACAATGAACAGTCTTCCCCTTCAAAACAAAGTTGCAATCGTTACAGGAGCCTCACGAGGCATTGGAGCAGGAATAGCTGAGACCTTGGCGCGTCGCGGTGCCAAAGTAGCCATCACCTTTACCTCCGACAGTAGCATTGACGCGGTAGAACAATTGGTGAAGAAAATTAAGGGTTTTGGCACTTCAGCAGATGCAATCAAAATTCAGGCAGATCTACGTGATATTTCAAGTACTAAACATATTGTTGATACCACAGTTCAAGCTTTTGGTTCCACCATCCATATTCTTGTCAATAATGCCGGACTCGTCCTCAACCGAATTCCATTAGGAAGTCATACCATTGAGGATTACAACACAATTTTCGATGTGAATGTCCGTGCGGTATTTTTCATGGCAGAAGCCGTAGTGCCTTATCTTCCCAAAAATGGAGGTAGAATTATTATTATTGGAAGCATTGCTGGAAGAAATGCAGTTCCGCAGATCCCCTTATATTGTGCAAGCAAAGCAGCAATCGAAGGTTTCACAAGATGTTGGGCTGCTGAGTTAGGCCCTCAAGGCCATACCGTCAATCAAGTCAATCCGGGAGCCGTTGACACGGATATGTTAAAGGGACTTGGAGAAGGAGCCAAGGCTTTTGCAGAAAATACGCCCTTCGAGAATCGTTTTGGTTTGCCCCAAGATATAGCAGATGTAGTTGCTTTTCTTGTTGACGAGAGTAGTCGATGGATCACTGGGCAAGTGATTTCAGCTTCTGGTGGGTTGCGAATGTATTAGTTTTTAGTACAATGAACTTTTAAGAAGTAATCATAATTAGGTAAAAGAATTCTATTTTTTTTATTTTTTTTTTTTTTGAAACCATAACATATTTTATTTGGCCCTTTTTCGTATATGAACATTAAGGTCATTCCTATGATCGTTTACAGTTTGGAAGATATTTTTGTCACTGTAGAAGTCTCACACGTTATTGCAATTGTCTAACAAGTGGAAATATTAAGTACAATTTATAAGGATGTATTTCAATTAGACGATTTGGTACTACGTGGAAGAATAGCAATAACGTCCAAGGATCTGATTAACTGAATAACATTGACTTTCAGATAGAACCATCGTTAAATAATTTTTTTATAAAACACACAGATAGAATGAAGTAAATTATATTCTAATCTTAAAGATTCAACCAGAAAGTGTCTATAACATATAACAAACAGGGCGAAAACCACTATAATCTCGGTACATACAAACGTTATCACTAAAGTTATCTAAGCGAGTGACCAATTTTTTAAAAATAATAATGATAAACAAACATTTATATATCTATATATATTTATTTAACTATGTACCTATTGATAAATTTAATGAACGTTTTGATGCGTAGTTGTTCCTCAGGACATTGGAACGCTAACATATAGTTGCTCATTGCATGCTTGTCTTGGGAGCCAATAAAACCCATAAAAAAAAAAAATAGATAAAAAATATACGTACATATATAAATATATACTAACATTAAATACCTTTTTCTCTTCTTTCTATTTTTTTTATATTTATGTATTTTTTTTTTGTTCATTTCATGGCAAAACAATGGACTTCGACTAATGAACCTTTGTCTCGCAAACCTTCACTATAATTTATAGCCAGAGGGTGGCCGAACAAAAATTCAATGAAATAGATGACAGTGTATACAGAAATTTATAATTAAAAAATGTATTATACAATTTTTTAATACTGGAACTTTGGTTTTCAAAGTATACCTTGTTGGCCAATCGAAGGCGCTATGATTTTGGGGTTAAGAGCCAACCACAAAGCCTGCCTTTTCCACCTCTTACCAACTGCCAAACGCTAGGTCCGTGTTTTGTACCATGTTGTGCCGTCGAATTCAAGCTGTACGACCCTTTTTCAGAGATTCTTTGCTCTTTAGTGCCAGAAGATTTGCTACTGAGTCAAATGTTTCGACTACTGCCTCGAAACCTGAAGCAGCAGAGGAAAAACTGAAGACGTTTGAGATTTACCGTTGGAATCCTGAACGCCCGGAAGTAAAGCCCAAGCTACAAAAGTATGTAGTAAATTTAAAGAACTGTGGACCAATGGTTTTGGATGCATTAAATAAGATTAAGAGCGAACAGGACCCAACTTTGACGTTCCGTCGCTCTTGCCGTGAAGGCATTTGCGGATCTTGTGCCATGAACATAAATGGTAGCAATACATTAGCTTGTCTATGTCACATTAAGAATGATGAGAAGCCAGCAAAAATATATCCTTTGCCCCATTGTTTCGTTATAAAGGATTTAGTTCCTGATCTTACCTACTTCTACAAGCAATACAAGAGTATTGAGCCTTGGTTGCAAAATAATAATATTCCTAAAGGAAAAGAACTGTTACAATCTCGTGAGGATCGTGAAAAACTCGATGGTTTATATGAGTGTATTCTGTGTGCTTGCTGTTCTACGTCATGTCCTTCCTACTGGTGGAATTCCGAAGAGTACTTAGGTCCAGCTGTCTTGATGCAAGCTTACAGATGGATTATTGATTCTCGAGACCAAGGTACGGCTCGTCGTTTGGGTGCCATGCAAAATTCTATGTCTGTTTACAGATGCCATACCATCATGAACTGTGCACGTACTTGCCCTAAGGGTCTGAACCCTGGTTTAGCCATCTCCAAACTGAAGGCCCTTATGGCTACTTCTTAAGTTAGACATGTTTTTGTTTTTTGAATGTACAACTTTCGAATGTTGGAAGCAAATCTTTACAAATTTCACCGATGTTAGCTTCGGCAAATCGTCATCCCCCATTTTACTGTTCAGTTAACACTTTTCCTTTCTTTTCCTCATTACCATCGCTATTTTATGCAGTTTTAACTTGCATAATTAGGTTTAAAGGAAATTCATTGCTTCGTTTGGCTAATTCGTCACCACTTTACTAATGAATCCTAGTTTGAATGTTTTTTTTTTATTCAATATGTCAAATCCCCCTCTTAAATACTATTTCAGATTGTACGACATTGTATTCACATAAATAATTCTACAAAAATATACATACGATCAATAAAATCCAAATAAAGTCCTTAGAAAGTTCAGTCCTTTTAGAAGCGATAGAGTTCTTTTCTTCCAAATACCGTTCTGCGTTATAAAAAGCTTATTCCGTGTTATCGCACTGCAAGGGTGCGGTAAAAATCCTTGGTATTATTATATTATCTTAGTTATGAAAATTTATATTTCGAAGATCGGGCAGAACCTCACTTAACCAAAGCGTATATCTTTCTGAATAAATTTTAAAAGATGGGAAAAAAAATTAGATCTGAAGAGAAGAAGTCCTCCAGCAAAAAGGAGGTTGCTCCTAAGAAGGGAGCAATCCAAAAGCCATCTAAAAATAAAGATGTATCCAAGAAGGCTGCTAAGAAAGTTGTCGAAAAAAAGAAATCCAAATCTGGTTCTAAAAAGTCCAAGAAGCAAAAATCTTCTTCTGAAGAATCTTCTTCTGAGTCTGAATCCGAGGAGGAAAAGCCTGCTCCCAAGAAGGCCGCAAAGTCTTCAAAGAAGTCCTCTTCTGAAGAATCCAGTTCTTCTGAGTCCGAAAGCAGCTCCTCTGAGTCTGAAGAAGAAAAGCCTGCTCCCAAGAAAGATAAAAAGAAGGCAGTAAAGAAGGAGAAGAAGGAAAGCAGCAGTGAGGAGTCTTCTTCTGAATCCTCTTCCGAGTCTGAAGAAGAAAAGCCTGCTCCCAAGAAGGAGAAGAAGGAAGAAAAGAAAGAGTCGTCTTCCGATTCTGATTCTGACTCCGAGTCTGAAGAAGAAAAGAAGGACGATAAGAAGGAGAAGAAGGAAAGCAGCAGTGAAGAATCTTCTTCCGATTCTGATTCTGATTCCGACTCCGAGTCTGAGGAAGAAAAGAAGGAAGATAAGAAGGAGAAGAAGGAGAGCAGCAGTGAAGAGTCCTCTTCCGATTCTGACTCTTCTTCTGAATCCGAATCCTCTTCTGATAGCGCATCTTCTGATTCCAGTGAAAAGAAACGTAAGGCCGAAACTGTTGAAGAAGAGAAGCCTGCAAAGGTTGCTAAGCCCGCTGATTCTAACGAATCTTGCACGCTTTTCGTTGGTCGTCTCTCTTGGAATGTAGATGACCAATGGTTGGGTACTGAATTTGAGGAATTCGGTACTGTTGTTGGAGCTCGTGTTATCATGGATGGTCAAAGTGGCCGCTCTAAGGGTTATGGTTACGTTGATTTTGAATCTCCCGAGTCTGTAAAGGCCGCTACCGCTGTCAGCGGTCAGAAAGAAATTGATGGCCGCGCTGTTAACTTGGATGTTTCTGCTCCTCGTCCTTCCAATCCTCAACCTTATTCTCAACAACGTGCCGGAAAATTTGGTGATCAGCTCTCTTCTCCTAGTGACACTGTTTTCGTAGGAAATCTATCTTTTAACGTTGCCGAGGAAGATGTACGTACTGCTTTTGCTACATGCGGTGATATTCAATCCATTCGTTTACCCACCGACCCTCAGTCTGGTCGTCTCAAGGGCTTCGGCTACGTTACCTTTTCCGACATTGACTCTGCTAAGCGCTGCGTTGAAATGAATGGTCATTTCATTGCTGGACGTCCTTCTCGTCTCGATTTCTCTACTCCTCGTACTGGAGGTGGAGGCGGAGGCCGTGGTGGCTTCGGCGGTGGTCGTGGTCGCGGCGGTGGTGGCCGTGGAGGTGCTCGTTCTAGTAATCCTAACCGCGGATCTGTTACCGAATTCAGTGGTAACAAGGTTACATTCGACTAAAGTATGGGTTTGTGGAAATGAATACGAAAATTATTTTATTCCAGATTCAGCATATTTAGCTCCAAAGTTTCAAATATAGAACCTTGTTAGTACGGGTTTTATTAATTGTGGGATTTTTTTGGGTTTATGTCGGTTTTGGTGAGACATATATTTGGGTTCATGGTTTTTGAATAAAAATACATTTTATAATTTTGTATCTACAACTATTTATGGGAAATGCGAGGAAATGTTTTGAAGGCTAATCTTTCATATCTGCTAATGATAAAATGGCATATATGAGAAGCGTATCTCATTTTTAATAAAGAGTTGGGAATGTGTATCGTATAAATACATACATAGTATAATTTACTTAAACTGTTATGCTTCTAAAGCTTATTCAGATGCCGATTTGGTGATACTACTTAGAACAGGTTTTTTGGAGCTAGGGTAATATAATATGAATTACAGAATGAAGGAGGGTACTTTTAATCAATAATGCTGAAACCTAACATATCTTAAAAATAATCAAAGATTCCAAGATCAGCTAAGCGCTTAAACGAAGACTGACATTCATTACTGCTTACTGTCAAGAAATATCGTAGCATTCATGTGGTGTAGCGCATTTAGAACACTAACGTCTAGTATATTACCAATTCACCTATAAACAGAGCATTATGTAGACTACAGTTGTCCATGCTTCCTTCCTTAAAATACTTTTAGTTCATGAGTTACCAGAGAGCCTAAAATATCATGACGTTATCGGTGAAAACAAAAAGCCTGATAAAAAAGTAGTAGATATGGCTAATTATTCATAACCACCAGCTTAAGAGAGTCAAAGTAATGGATGACTTACTGGAACAAGAAAAATACGTGAAAGCTCCAATGAATGTCCCAAAAAGTAGCGATGTTAATGGGCCATCAAAGAAACAGGGAGAAAGAAACAAGAAAAGAAATGTAGTATGAAGATTATGGAAACGAATCAATAGTAACCGAACCGTTAGGACCTTTCTGGCTGGGAGGAAGATTTCCAGGAGCCAGAAATCACTATGGAGGAGACAGCTGAAAACCAAAAGCTTTATAGCCTGTACGTATGATATGTCTAAACTGGAGATTAACGCGCTAATTTGTTACAGAGATATTCCTATAATTGTGTTCGTGATACTGATCCAATTGGTTCATTGACTAACTATGTTTAGACGAATGGAACGCTTCATTCAGAAGTACAGAAGAAAGCGTAAATGGAATGATGCAAGTAGGTATCGACTTTTCACAATGTACCTTGCTTTAGGAGGTGTTTCAACTGGCCAAAAGGGATTCACGGGAGGTCTGGATTTGAATGAAAATGACGATGCTCAAGTTACTGAAAACCAAACAGCCGTAGACTACATTCAGTATGATCTTTTAGACGAATATGATGTTGATTTTGCTTGGGTGGTAGCTGTCTTTCTGTAAGTGTTCCCTCTGCGTCAAATGATGCATTATTAACTGGAACGTTAGATCTTCCCATCTTCTCTACAGAGCCGGTGTTACAGAAGAAAATGAGCTGAGAATGGCTTCTCAACTAGTGCAAAATTTTTTAAAGAGTGTCCTGCACAACAAAGTAGTACCGGAACATGAAGACAATGTTCAAAGTGCTTTGAATTTGGCAATTCAAGCCGAAAAAGAGCTTATTGATGATAAGAAGTTTTCTGTTTCTCTTCCAGGTCCTTTACAAAGGGCCTTATCTTACTATTTTGTTGATAATTATAAAGGATTATGGGACAATGCTGATGTTTATGTTCGTTATACTCAGCCATCAAGCACAGCAGGTGGAAGCAAAGAAAAAGGTTCCTTAAATACGCTTCCTTTTAATAGTGATTTTTCAAACAGAGAAGGGTTTCAGCCTGATGGGCACGTTAGATTTTCTACGGAGCAAGCAAAGGCACACATAACCAAAGTTTTAGGTTCCGATGCGCTTGAAGCGAAAGTTGTTGATCAAGAATACTTAACGGTAGAGCTAATGTCCAAAGAATTGATCCATTTAGAGCAAGTTAGCACTTTGTGCAATGCCAAGTTTGCAGTCTGGAATCCTCCTGGAACAAGTTATCCTCAGCAAACTGAAAAAAAAGAGGTAGAAATTCTCTTTGAACCAGAGCTTATTGAATCAATGGCTTTAAAAACACACCTGGAGGCATCGTTTACCTTTTTAAGTAATGACATAACGATCATGGATACGGTTTTAGCGGTCTTGCCTACATTTTATGAGGAAGTTGAAGAATGATGTGGGATAATATTCTGTTCCAGATGTCCTATGGTGGCCGTCTAGAGCTTTCATTGCTACATCCACACATGATGTTTAGGGAACATTCCAGCATAGAACTATCAATTGTCATCTGTAGCCCTAATCATTCAAAGCTAATTCAATCATCTCTTTAGAATGCACCAAGGTAAAATAAGCTTATATGGCTATTTCGTAAAAAAGGAAAATTCAAATGCCCTTGTACAAGTTCAATGTCTCATAAAGTCTCAATTCACGCACAGTCAAGAAAACTATATTTAAATTTTTTTCTTTCATACTAGTTAGAAAACTCGAATTAACAAACTACTGATTTCAGAGACTTAATAAAAATAACAAATCAAACCTAGTCCTCATGTCACCACCATCTAGTTAGAGACAGAACAAACTCCGTAAATTGTGGAAGATTACTGTATTTGGAATGAAAATCTTACAAAACAATTAGTTTCATTAGTACCATATGAAAAAATTCAACGGTTACCTTGCCCTACGCTTACGCTGAATCGTCATAGTATTTTTATGATATCGAAGTTACCATTCATTGGGATTGAAGTTTCTATTTGAAAGAACTTGTGTTAGAAAACTGATTACAATGGACCAACAGAAAAAGCGAGAAATCCGAACAGACACAACAAGTAACTTAACTTTCCTCGGTGAATTAGCCGAGGAAAAGGCTCGATTTGAAGAGGAAAAGAAGCGAAGAGTAAATGATGGAGCAGAATATGGAACAACAAACAAAAGGGTTGCAAGAATAAAAAAGGATGAAGCAAGTTCAAATCGTCAAAGACCCAAGAGGCATAACGAGGAAGAAAAACCCCGAAAGAGGTCAAACAATGAACAGAAACGAGGAATACACCTAAAGAATATGGATGACAATGAAGAGGATTTGAGGAAAAGTAGGCTAGGTTTAGAGCATAAAGCTCAAAAATATAATCAGCTATTACAAGATCATGGCCAAGTTGCTGATGGTGATGAGATGCTAGTTGATTTTACGAAGAAGTGGGCTGAAGAAGATCGGGAGAATGAGTTTATAGAAGTAACGGATGAATTTGGACGAACTAGGAAAGTATCCATCTATGAAGCGGGAGACGTCCTTCTCCCTTCAAAAGAGGACTACAGACCGGAAAATGTTATTCAGGGAGAATATATGCCGGAATATAAGGTTGATGAGCAGCGTATCGAGAATCTGCACCGACAAGACGAGCAACAAGCTGTACATTACGACTCCTCCAAAGAAATTCGTACGAAAGGGATAGGATTTTTCCAATTTTCGTTAGATGAGAGTGAAAGACAACAGCAATTTGAATCTTTGGATAAGATACACGAAGAAACACTACAGCATCAAGCGCGGAAAACGGGGTTAGATATACTGAATGAACGAGCAGATAAACTAGCATTCCGAAGAAATGCCCTTCAAAAGCATTATGAAAGAAAGATTGGAGAAGAATGGATTAGGCAGCAGTTTCATGAGGATTAGATTCTGTTCATTTTAATATGTATCTTGGTGAGAATAAACGGAAGCAAGTCATGATAAAACGGGAGGTGTATACATCGTAGTATGAATTTATGCAGTTACATAACATTCAATAATACTTGATTCATCTCATTAACAAGAATGAAAAATCGAAAGATAATGATGATTTTTCGCTTGCCATATACTACAAAGGTACCGTAATTGTACAACTTGATGCATCCATGTCACTATAGATTAGCGGAAGAATTAGGGAAGAGAACAGGACAATTGAGTTGAACCTAAAAATTCGTGAAAAAGAAGAAAAACAAGCAATTTACGTTAAATTCACTTTTGTCAGACACACTAGTCAGTACAGCCAGGAGGCGCTAAAACACTTGATGAAGACATCAACAGGTTTTTTGATGTTGTTTATTGGTAATTGGGAGCGCTTTAGATCCCAATTGCAATATTCTTCGAACAACAAGGTAGCCGCAAACAGAAACATCCAAAACGATTGCACTAAGTGTGGGCAAAGCTAGGAAAAATGCAAAGAATATTACTAATGCAAAAACAATATTTGAAATCATCTGTAAAAAATCTGCAAGAATCACACTCATTGGTGAAAAGGTAATATGAATGTCAGGAAGTGTTTGGAGAACGGATAGTACTGGACAGTGACTGAAGAAGCAAAAGACCGTGAGTCCTATGCACATACAAATTAAAAAATTCAACTTGTAAATATCAAAAGATGTCATATCGTTACAAAGGAATGTTACAATACTAGAACCAAAGCCTATGAATTCTTTTACCTACGCAGTGGTCATGCTGTGAAGGGAACCGAATGAATGTTTATTTTGATGATTCACACATTAAGAGTTAATGTTTCGGTTACTTGAACTCTGAAATCTAAAGCACATAAGAAGTTGAATCATACAAACAAACATGTTACTAAAAGCGAAAGAATATAAAAATGGATAACCTATGAAAGGTAGAAAGCAGCCATACTAGTGTTTAACAGAAATATCAAGGCTTTTTCTTCATTTCTTTGACGAATTTCTTAGATTCATGTTTGCAAATGTAAATAATAGGGTTGGATTAAACGATTTCCTACAAGATGCTTAAATGTTCACCAATGGCTAGCTACAACGAAGAACTGGGAACAGCTTCTTGTCTGTCTCTTACCAATGGATTGTTTGAGTTGCCAATCGGCGAAAACGATTGATGCCCACAAAAACCCCGGAAATTGAGCAAGTTGAGCATTTTTATGATCTTCACAAAATTCTTCCTCAAAAAGTTACAGATATATAGAAAATAAAAAACAAATTGATTTGATATATTTATTTACCCAGAAAGATCAAGGATAGCTTCAATATAATGATATATGCACTGCGTCGCCAGAGTTATATATCAGTTTTCGGACATTACATACGTCTCGTTTCCCAAACACCACTCTTCACAGATGGTGAGAGTATATTAATTTTGGAATTTTATAAAATAAGTAAATAAAAGCAGCTTGAAAACATAATTATAGAAGAGTAAAAAAAAAAAGTTTGCCAAATTATTCGTGTTTTCTTGATAGATTTAATATTTTGTCAATCAAACTTCTATTTGGTTTAAGTTGTCGATTTTTACAAATCTTTTTCTCATTTTGTGCAATTATCTAAAAAAGTTTGTTTTTGTACCATACTTAGAGTGTCTGCTTAAAATAATCTCTTCCCCAAAGCATTGCGAATTGTGTCACTTTTCTTTGCTAAACCAGTTCTGATTCAAGGCAGGAAATCTATAAAATAGCGTAACCGAGAGTAAAATCTGTCGGATTGCTTTTTCGGTTAGCTTTATTAAATCTTAAACCGGACTCGCCTGTGTCATCAGTCGCTTAATTGTCCGTTTTTGGCAGAACATTGTTTTCCGATCGAGCACCTTTCCACTTCTCTGTTTCAATTTTTCATTGTGTTGTAACTTCTATCTGTTGTATTCAGTCCTACTTCGTCCTATTTGAACCCAACCAAACGATATTTATATTGATTATTTTTTAAATTTTTCCGTTCTTTTTTTTCACAAAGCAAGATCTATTTCTTGACTTCAATCTTCATCTCTTTTCATATTCCTTTGCAATTAAACGCCGAAATTTTAACGAATCCTTTGTTTCCATATTTTGGCAATCGGTGATCATTAATCTCATCTAAAAAGACGGTTAGATCTTTTTATTTTGTCATATCATTCAGATTCTTAATTTCTCTGTATATTGCTATCGCAAAAAGGTTCCGTTTTCAGACCAGCCTCTGGTTATCACTTTATTTTTTTTGTCAATGCCTATGCCTGTCGCATACTCACCCTTCGCACTTCCGAACTTATCGTTTTAATTTGTTGACCTTTCCTTGGCATTTATAAGTCACTATTGGTCAGAATACTGGAGATTTTGAATTCAATATTTGCGTTGACATTTGCGACTTTATCCTTCCCTACTAATTTATTGTTTTTTCATTCCTGAATCCTGCCAAACTAATTCTTTTCCCTTTTATTTCTAATCTGGACTGGATTTTCATTTTAATACCGAGTTAATCGAGGAAATTCGTCCCATACTAATATTTTAAACGCTCTTCGGCATATTGATAATTATTTATCTCTTCTCCTGTTTGGTCTTTCAGTCTTTGCAGGCTCTCTTCTTTCTTTTCTTAATCTTTCCTTTGTTTTTCTTTGTTCTTTATATATGATTTGTACATACCTTAACAAAAAATGCACACTTCATCTGTTGGTCATTCAATCCCTATTTCTCAAGGGTACCCTTCGTTAAACTCTCATCTGAAACATTGCAGCGTGGTGGAAAGTACCATCCGTGCTCTTCCTGACTCTTCACTTTCCAGTTTGTCAAGATCTTCTTTTCAGCATCCTCCATCTCTACCTAATAATGCATCGCTGGACTATAATATACAACACAGAGTTCACAATGACTCACCTTCGCAAATTCATTCATATGATCATAAAGCTTTTATACATTCCCCTCACACTCCGGAACCATCGAAAAGGCAATTTTCCTTAAACACCCCTACTTCTGTACTGCCACAGACTGCCTGTTCTCCAGAAAATGATACCTCTTTTCAGAAATGGGGAACAAAAGATGATTCCCTATATGATTTACTAAGACTTACCTCTCCGCCGGACTACTTAGCCTTCAATACTCTACCTGCACACTCTACTTGTTCTTTTCCTTTTTTTAAAGACAATCCTCGAGGATCCTCTTTTCCAACTGAGAATAATTCGGCAAAGGTGCTTATAAAGCATTATGGTGACCAAACTTTAGGAGAGCCTTTTAATAATAATCAATTTGAGTTGGACTCACCTGTTTTTAATTTTAAGGTGAATTCAAATAATATCCATTCTCCTCGGAAAGCTTCCTCAAAGGATAAAGTCCTTCAACCTTCTTCTATCGCTAACAAAGTTTTCTCTCAGGATGACTTTGTAAATCCTATCTCAAAGGACCAATCTTTGGAAATGGGTAACAAGGCGCATGAAAATGCTATTGTTAATTGTTCTTCCTCATTGAAAGTTGAAAACTCGTCTAATTTAAACACGTCTGCTGTGCTAGACAGTTCCGCTGGTTTGAATTTCTCTAATAAGTCCTTACTTTCTGCACAGTTAAAACAATCCAAGTACTTCAAATCATCTAATCAATTGACTGTAACAGACGAAGTTGTCAAACAAGCTTGTCAACTATCAGAAGGAAAAAACACCGAACTCCACAAAGGATCAGAGACAAAAGAACGCCCCCCATTATTCTGTAATAACTCGTTTGCTGTCGGTGAGTTGTATGGTAGTCCGAAAGAAACAGTGACTGAAATATCTTCACTGCATTCACCTAATCGCTCTCGAATCTCTGGTGTAAAAGCATACGTGAAAAATACCACCAATATTCAGGTGATAAAGAAAAAGAATGAGCAATACATTGCACATTTTCCTGAACATAAGGAACGTCTTGATTTTTTGTGGCAGCATAAAGCTAGTCCTGCTTTTGCTAATTGTGCACTAGCTAGTAATGATCGGTTTTCTCTTTCAGAATTGCATATGGATAGTTCCGAGATTCTAGCTCGAACTTTGAAAAAATCATCAAAAAATAATTGTTTCGGTCCTTTCATTCTTGGGCGGACTATTGGGAGAGGTGAATTTGGAAAAGTAAAACTAGGATGGCCTTTACCGGGTTCCTCTCCTTCTCAGAAGCACCCAACACCTCAAGTTGTTATCAAAATAATTCGTGTAATCAAAGGAGGTCCTTTGCTGCGAAGGGTTATCCGTGAAGCGACGATCCTGAGAGAAGTTGATGATCATCCTAATATCGTGAAGTACGTTGACCTCATTAAAACCAAACATCACATTGGCATTGTCTTGGATTATGTGAGCGGAGGCGAATTGTTTGACTATATTTTAGCTTCAAGACGACTCGAGGATGAGACGGCTTGTAAATTATTTGCACAACTCATTAGTGGTGTTGGATATTTGCATTCCAAAGGGGTTGTTCACCGAGATTTGAAATTGGAGAACATTTTGCTGGATTCAAAAAAAAATATCATAATTGCCGATTTTGGATTTGCAACAACATTTGGTCATTTTGGTTCTCGTAAGAATCAAATAACTAATGCTAAACCAGATTTATTTACAACCTCTTGCGGATCACCTTGCTATGCAGCACCCGAGTTGGTAAACTGCAAAGTTGGATCATATGCGGGTACCCAGGCGGATATCTGGAGTTGCGGTGTTATATTATACGCAATGCTTGCCGGTTATTTGCCTTTTGACGATGATCCCCATAATCCGAATGGTGAGAATGTTGTACGGCTATACCGGTACATATGCACCACATCTCTTATTTTTCCCGAGTACATCAAGGAAGAACCGCGTGATTTGCTGCGTAAGATTTTAGTGCCTGATCCTTCAAAAAGACTTCATATGTTTGGAATAATGAGTCATCCTTATTTGCGAGCTCATAGGCAGCCATTTGAACTTTATAACAATTTTGAGCCTTTAAAGTACCCTGTGGATGGGATTCTTTCGCAAAAATCTGAAATCAGCGTGTCCTCAAGTTCAACGGTTAGCACCTTCTCTTCTCTAGATATACCTTCACGTGATCATAACGTACAACAAAAAGCTGCTGTGCATGGTAGTATTGAATTAAAGCAGCCAATAAAGACGTCTGCACTAGTTAGCAATGGTGTTCAGGCTTCTGTAATCTTATACCCTAAAGGCAACTGCAAAAACCGGTTGGTTTCCTTGCTTCGCAAACCCAATCAACTTCCAAAGAAATTCGATGAAGTAAGAAGGCACCAGAGGCACTTTAGTACGATCACAGTGGACAACAACCTTCGGAAACTACCGCTAGCACCCGTTGAAATGAAAGTTACATCATTAGTAACTACGAGTTATGAAACAAGGCGCAGAAGTGAAGCTGCTAACTCATTAAAGATCTTATTATCGAAGCCTAAGAAAGAATTATCTGGAAAGGGCTTTTTCTTCTTATTCAAGGGTTTCCTTCGACATAGAAAAGGAGGCAATGAGGTTTCACGCTACAAACAGTCCGGCTTAATTTTGGAAACAGTAACCCCAATTGTAAGTACGTCTGACCCTTTAACTTTGAAGAGTCTTCATAACTTGGAGAAGGGACATAAAAGGCATTATACTTTTGCATAATACTTTGTCCCGTATGAACCGATACTCCTTTGTTTATCCTGTATATACTAGGTAATTATTTATGAATTTCTGTCCTTTATTAATTCCTAACACAAACAAAAAGCTTTATTTATTTCGAGCAAAGTACGTTTCTGTTCCTTTGATTATTCGATCAGTTTAATTGCTGCTTTCTTTTTCTTTCTTTACTTTTATTCTCCTTCTGCACACTTTTTTTTTTTATGAATCGACGACCAGGCTTCGATCTTGGATATTAAATCATTAATTTAATTCAATCAAAACTTTATTATACGACGAAAAGTTCATGTAAGTTTGTACTTTACTGTAACCCGACTTGCACTACACCTAAATTGAATTTCTCTTGGGCTTTCTGAAAGGACAAGAAAGTGATAGTAGGCACATTGCTTTTTACATAAGTTTTTGTTAGTGCAAAAATTTGAAATCGTACTTTAAATTGCTTTTCCTGTTAGTATTAGACTGTCTGTTTACTTCGTTACCTGTTAGCTAATAACGGACTGCAGGTGACAATTAATTAAAAAACTGATGAAAACGCGACGCGTCGCACAAACACAACACTTTCTAATTTCTTATCTTTTCTGGAATACCTAATATCCAGCGGATAGTTTCATCGTATTTATTACATTGACAAATGCTTTTACTTGTTAAAGCTTTACGGACGTTCTTTTGTATTAGTTAATAGAGGTTTTATGATCACAATGTCGAAACTGAAATTTAATAAGGTTATTATTCCAAGTCATGATAAACCTATTGCTACTACTGAATTGGTTAAAAGGTTAAGGAGTTTACTGGATGAATTGTCAGATATGGAACAGGAAACTACAGAGCGCAATTCTTTGCTGCCGGTTGCTTCATCATTAGTCAATCAGAACCTTCTACACCATAGAGATAAAGGAATTCGCTCTTTTGTTGCTTGCTGTATCGTGGAGCTTCTTCGATTGTGTGCCCCAGATGCTCCATTTACATTATCCCAACTGGAAGAAATATTCCAAGTAATACTGAAGCTTTTAAGCGGACTCGAAAATCCCGAATCTACGTACTATCTTCAAGTTTATCGAATACTTGAAAGTTTATCAAACGTTAAGTCTGCAGTACTCATGGTTGATTTGCCAAATGCAGAGTCCTTTCTAGTTTCTATATTTCGTCTCTTTTTCGATATCTCAAGAAAGGGTACTAACAAAAACGTTGAGTTCTATATGCTTGATATCATTCACCAACTAATTAATGAAATTAATAGCGTACCTCAGATCGCCATGAACATTCTTTTTGCTCAATTAATTTCGGGTCATGGTGTAAGAGAATACATAGGTTCCCCAGACTCCCAGAACCACGGTCCTGCTTTCCAGTTAGCAAGGAATATCTTCCGTGATTCTGCTGATCGTCTACAACGTTATGTTTGTCAATATTTTTCTGATATCGTCTTTGATACTAAAGACTCCGTTTCGGATGAAAAAACAACTCCAGAATTCATATTCGCACATAATCTTGTTATTCAACTTTGGGAATATGCACCCTTAACATTACTCAATATTGTCCCTCAGTTTGAAAACGAGCTTCAAGCTGAGCAAACCAGTGTAAGACGTGTCGCAATTCAAACAGTCCGTCTGATGCTTCCTAATCACTCTCTTTGGTCGGACTATCCTAAGGTCTGGTCTGCCTTTTGTGGTCGCCTGAATGATAAAGTAACAGCTTGTCGCGTGGACTGCGTAGAAAAGCTTATGGATGTATTAAGGAACCCTTTGGCATCTTCAGACATAACTAACTATGTTATTCAACTTTATCAGGGAAAGCTTGCGGATACTGATGAAAAGGTTCGTATTGCTGCTTTGCAAGCTATCGGTCATTTGTCGCTGGACATTATAAAAATTCACGTTCCAGTAGAAATATTAAAATTAATGGGGGATAGACTTCGTGATAAAAAGCTTTCAGTTCGAATTCAAGCCATTCAAACGTTAAGTAAAATTTATCATGTTGCGTTTCCTGGGCTTGAAGCTGGTGAAGAGGTTAGTCTACACCTGTTCAGTTGGATACCTTCTTCTTTGCTAGAAGTATTTTATATAAATGATGAAGCTACTAATACTACTGTTGACCTTGCGATGAATGAGCTTGTACTTCAGGAATTGAACCCTGATACGAATACTCGTGTAAACAGACTTTTAGTTGCCATGAATCATTTCTCAGAGAAAGCTTTGCGCGTTTTTTTTATGTTACAGCAAAGACAACTCAGGTTTTCTGGATACTGTAAGTATTTTATTGAATGTTGCAAAAACTATAATGGTGGTGTTATTGATGAAAACGAAGAAGAAATGACTTCCAGGTTAAAAAAGGTAATAGGAGCTATCTCTTCGAAGACTGTCAATCCTTCTTTAAATGAATCATCGCTGCAAAAGTTTGCAGATACAAATGACCGGCAGGCATATAAAATGTTAATCGAAACATTTTCACCAAGGAATGACTATCAAACTGTTTTAAAAAATATTAAGCACTTATTTAAAAGAATGGTATCCAGCATGAGTAACCAACATTTTGAATGTTTTCGATTACTGGTTTACCGTTGTGCATTATTTGTTTTTAATAAAACAACTGTAATGAAGCTGGTCAATAAGATTGGAAGTTCACAAAGTAACTTTCAATATGCAAATTCTGCTGAGCTTTTACTTCAGCAATTACCATTGATTCATCCTGAGATTTACGAAGAGTTGTTTACTAATATGGAAAATATGATTTCATCTTTTGGTCTGAAAGCGGACGTCAAAGTCTTAAAGACTCTTTCACATTTTGCTAAGAAAAAGAAGAACTTTTCCGTAAACTCTGAAGTAATTAATACCCTTATGAATCTTTGTTTTCAAGGAACAGATGGTCAAGCAAAGCAAGCAGCTACTGTGTTAGCGCTTGCTGATAATTTCTTTGATATGGATTCATTCGTATCAAAAATCGTTGACGGATTACATTACGATAATTCTCTGTCAACCCGTCTGTCGGCCTTAACGCAACTGTTTTTATATCGTTTAGATGCTGTTGAAAAGCATGCTGATTTTATCACTGAATGCTTGGTTAAGGAAATAATTCAAATGGTTCCACAAACGAATGAAGATGATGTCGAAAACGATGAATGGTGTGAGTTTCAATCCTTGGATCACCTATATCGTTGCAAAGTACTTGCAATAAAAGTTTTAGTTAATCGGTTACGAGCTGGATATCGCTCTCCAGAAGCATTGGAGATAGCCGCGCCCGTTCTGAAATTATTAAATGTAATATTGTTAACGGAAGGTGAGCTTAGTCCTCATAAAAATACCTCGCGATTGGGTAAAGCTCATCTACGATTGATTACAGGAAAATCTTTGTTAAAATTAGCCAGTATCCCAATTTACGCTGAATATTTGGATTTTAATACCTATTTACGAACTTCATTATTATGCCAAGATCCTCTTTTTGATGTCCGAAACGCCTATATACAAAACTTACAAAAAAGATTGCAGTATCGAAAGCTTCCTATGCAGTTCTATGCAATTGTATTCCTTGTTGTTCATGACCCCGAAGAAGAGATAATATCGAAAATGTCTTTGTGGATATGCTCGCAAGTGATATACTTTCGTAAAGTGCGCAATTATACTATGGAGTATGTTATCACTTATTTGCTTCATTTACTCTCTCATCATCCAGACATCTCATTGTCTGATAATGAAAATGTCTTTGACTTTGTTAAGTATATACAATTCTATGTTGAAAATGTGGCTTCCAGTGAAAATATTCCGATTATTTTCCATCTGGTGCAACGGGTAAAGCAGAATTATGATGCTATTGAACCGGAAAGAAAGTACGTCTATATGCTGAGTGATTTTGCACAGAAAATTGTTCAAACTAAGGCGCAAAGCATGGGATGGAGTTTAACTACTTACCCGAAGCAAGTGAAACTACCATCTACTATTTTCAAGCCTCTACCAACTTCTGAAGAGAAGCAAAAATTCTTTGCAAAGAATTTCCTTACACCTGAGATAGAATCCGCCATAGAACACATGGTCCGAACTTCCACGATTAGTACTGCAAAACTACTTAGCCAAACAAACTCGACGAGGAACGGGAACCGTGAAAAAATAAAAAGGAAGCGCACCGGAACAAGACAACCAAAAGCGAAAAAGCAAAACATAAAAGATAAAAATCAGGTTCATCTACCTCGTAGAGCGAGTACTAGAGTTTCTACAAAGCAGGTGAATTATGCGGAAGCAGAGTCTAGCGGAGCTTCAGAAAGTTCTGAAGCCTCTGAGGATTTTGAGGACGACGAGTAACAGGATATGTTACAATTGATTTTAGCAACTTGTATTTGAGAGTATTTATTTAATATGTGTTATGAAGGGTCTGTGCTTCATGAATTTTATAAGCAAGATATATTATATTGCTTAATCCTTTGATTCATATTTATTAGCATGTTTACAAAATGGTTTGTTTTCCTGCAACGGTTTATTTTATGTTGATTATGCTTTAGAGGAATCCATCGTTTTTGAAAGGAATAAAGCCTTTCATTATAAACTACGATTTTTGCGTCATTTAGATGTTTTAGATCTATTTAGAATGTATCTGGTTTGGAATATCCATCATCAGTTTCCTGTAGAAGATCACTTAATTTTATGTTCCTTTTTTTTTTTTTAGTATCTGATATTGTAAACCAGGAAAGGAATCTTAAACTCTCATTGAATTTATAGTTTCGTCCATCTATACTATTCTACTTTTACTCTAGGAAAACATTCATTTCATTGAGCTTAATACCAGGACTATTTCCGCAATGTTTATAATTTTCATATTGTAAATAATCAAATGACTTCAAGCCTTTCGCTTATTTTTAAACTACACGTTAACGAATCTGAACGACCGTACAGTAGTCACGAAAGGATTTTTTAATTCAACAAGCTTCACAAATTTTCATAAACTCGCGTTAAATCTCTTTATTGTAAATTGCAATATCAGCCTGTATCGTTAATAACTGGATATGACGGTCATACTGGCTTTGCTTCTTACCTACAACCAACACCGTGTCTGCAGACGGACTTAAGGTTACCAGTTTCGTTAGAATTTGCTTTTACGAAGGTGTTTAGGAGTCAATATTAAGCAACATGCCAACTATTAAGTGCGTTGTTGTCGGTGACGGTGCTGTTGGTAAGGTACGTAGTTCATGTCATATGCACTGAGCCTATTCTTGAAAGAATCCTCAAAGGTTGTGAATGGTTAAGATGAGTATAACATAATTTAAATCACTGAAGTTAAAGAATAAACCAATAAATACCTTTGCAATAGGCTCTTGTGAGAGAAAATGGGGCTTTTATTTACTGACACACATGATAGACCTGCTTGCTGATTTCTTACACAACAAATAAATTCCCAAGTGACTATGTTCCTACAGTCTTTGACAATGTATGTGGAAGCTTTACCAGATAAAATGTTATGGATTCACGAAAAAGTGCACTTGACGGGATACAGGCTCAATTGTATTGAGCCTGTTGAGCCCTCAATGTATATGATAATTGACTTGGAAATAAACTATATGAAAGAGGATATCTTTCAGTTTGTTTATTTTCGCGTTAAAATTGATTTCGATTCATAATGTTGCAGAGTGTAGCGTGCAAGAAGTTAACCCTGTTATAGTATGCTGTTACCGTCATGATTGGCGATGAGCCTTATACTCTTGGGTTATTTGATACAGCTGGTCAAGAGGATTATGATCGCTTGCGTCCTTTATCGTATCCTCAAACTGATGTGTTCTTGGTTTGCTTCAGCGTCACATCTCCTGCCAGCTTTGAAAACGTCAAAGAAAAGTGGTTTCCCGAGGTTCATCATCATTGCCCTGGTGTTCCCTGCTTGATTGTTGGTACTCAAATTGATTTACGTGACGATCCTTCTGTTCAGCAAAAGTTAGCTCGCCAACATAAACACACACTCACACACGAGCAAGGCGAACGTTTAGCTCGTGAATTAGGGGCTGTTAAATACGTCGAATGTTCTGCTTTAACACAAAAAGGTTTAAAGAACGTGTTCGATGAAGCTATCGTGGCAGCACTCGATCCTCCTGTTCCTCACAAGAAAAAAACGAAATGCCTTATTATGTAATTTAGTATCTTGGCCCTCATTTATGTCGACATCTACAAAATTTGCTGGTACTTTAAAGTAAGCTTTAATTAACTATCCCTCTTATATAGCATTCTATGCTAGCCATTTCTGACATCTACATCCTTTTTCTCCGTCTTCCTATCTTATAACTTCTTTGGTTTCCCTGTATATGTTTAACTGGGCATTTTTCTTTTCCGTTTTACCTGTTATCTTTAGTTTGACCTTTGTCTGTTGTATACTCTTTTGCTGCAATTACACCTGCACGTTGTTTATATTGATTAACAGCGTGGTGAACAGTGATAATCTTAGAGTATAAACTTCTTAATTTAATTCTATAATTGGAATTATGCACTCTTTACATATATTATCGAATTACGGTGACCATGTAGTATCCACAGATAATTATGTTGAAAACGCTTACTTCTATGCTGCATACATGCTTTCATAAATGTAAAACTTTATAGAACAATAACTACTTTTAATAAATCCTAATTATCTCCGAAGATAAAATAAAGCTTTTAAAAATCTTCCTCCCGAAGATGAACAAAACTATATTAAAACATCATAAGCAAACGGTACCTAAATTTCTTTATTGTTTCTGTTCATCAATTTCCATTTGTTCATTTTGATTTTGCTGATCGCCGTTTTCCTCAGCAACTGGCTCAGCAGGAGGAGGAGGAGGAGCACGACCACCAGTACCAGCTTCAAATTTACCAGAGGGTACTTCCTGTTGATTTTTATTCTTCTCAGCTTCAGCTTTGGAAGCAGAAGCGGCGGCGTCCCGCTCAGCTTGAGCCTTTTGACGTTTCTCCTCTTCAGAGTCTAAATAACGCTGACGGATGGGACCTCCGATACGCATAAGATCTTCAAGCTTGGCAGTATAGACAGCCTTGGTAGTGTCTTCGCCTTCTTCGTACAACCAGTCTTCGTAAGCAGTAAGCATTTCTTTAAACTTAGAGCTTTCCTCTTCATTAGTGAAAGGGGCATAAATGTCCTCAAGTTTGGAGCGAGTATCATAGATATATTCTTCTAAAGCATTCTTGCGATCAACAGTCTCCGCAACAAGCTTATCGGCAGCAATCATTTGATGCTCCACTTCAGAATACTTCTGCAAAACCTTTTCAGGAAGACGTTCTTCCTCAACAGAAACACTAAGATCAGCAGTCTTCACCAACTTCTTAACCTTGCGCATCTTAACAGGTTCATCCTTTTCTTCTTCACCTTCCTTAGCAGGAGTCTCGACAGGCTCTTCAACTTCTTGCTCCTCAACAATGTAAGCTTGCTCAACAATCAAAATTCCGTGCAAATCAAGACGAGCCTTAATCTTAACAATGCTCAAATCGCCCTGAGCGTTAGGCTTAACGTCATTGATCAAGTAACGAGAAATGTTGGGGCGGATATTGCCAGGCAACAATTCCTTTTGAGAGTAGAAAGCATCAAGGGTAAAGGGAGCCTTACGGTAAAAAGTAAGAATCTTAGTAGAGGGGATAGGGTTGTTACGAGAGAAAACCTCCAAGTTGGTATCTTCTTCAGGGTTTTCAGGAATAGGTTCCCAGCTGAAAGTGATGGGATAAGGAGTAATATCATGAACGCTGAAGTCACGAACACGGAAAACAGGAGACAAGATAGCACAAGAGAGGGCACAACCACGAGCAACGGCTTCATCTTGATTTAAGGTGAAGGAAAGGGGCTTACCAAAGAATTTAGAAACAGTCTCCTTGACGCTGGGAACACGAGTGCAACCACCAACCATTTCAATGCTGAAAAGATCCTCCTTCTTGAGGCCGGCTTGGGAAAGGGCTTCTTGAAGAGGTCCTGTAAGACGCTCCAAAAGAGGGCGAATGAGTTCTTCAAATTCGTCTCTCTTCAAGAAAGAGCTGGCATCAATGTCGTTCATGATCATTTCGACATTAATGTGAGCGGATGCATTAGCGGAAAGAACCTTCTTGAGACGCTCAACAGCAGCGGCCAAACGGAAGGTGGCCTTAGAGTTAGATAGGACATCAATGTTGTATTTTTGCTTGAATTCGGCAGCGAAATGGTCAATAAGAGCCTTGTCCATGTTACGGCTACCAAGGTTGCGATCGCAAACAGTGGACTTGATGTGGAATTGGCCACGGCTGAATTCAATGATAGAAACGGAGTAGTTGGAGTGACCAAGGTCAACGATAGCAACACGACGAGGGTCCTCAGGCTCAGGCAAGTCAGTCTTGGTAATACCATAAGTCAAGGCAGCAGCAGCGTTGTCGTTCATCAAACGCAAAGGATTGAGGCCGGCAACGTTGGCAGCTTCCAAAATGGCACGACGTTGAATGTCGGTGAACCAAGCAGGAATAGAAATGACGACGTCACTGACGGAGCCAATCAACTCAGCCTCAGCAATAGCCTTAATTTTGGTGAAGTAGGCAGCAATGAGTTGGATATTAGACAAAGCATTTTCTTCATTGAGATAACGCACTTTGGCACCGACCAAACCATCAACCTCGGTGAGAGGAGCGGAAATGAAAGCAGACTCAATTTGTTGAATCTCGGGGTCATCGAGAGTACGACCGGCCAAGCGCTTTAAGCTTCCAACAGTGTTATTGTAGTTAGAAGCCTCTTGAGACTTGGCACCTTCACCAAGGAAACGGCAACGCTCGCCATAAGAGACCAAGGAAGGAGTAGCACGGTTGGAAACTTCGTTAACAATGACATCGATAGCACGATTACGAGCAACAGCAATAACAGTTTTGCTGTTACCGAAATCGATACCAACAACGTTCGTCCTGGAAGACATGATTCTACAAAGATTGATTAGTATTCAATGAACGTTATACTGTGCTGTGCTTCTGCAAACTGAAACAAGACTCGATTTTTAGGAAAAACCTACTGGAAATCCACACATCAACAATTTAAGAACATATGTTTCAGGAAGCTTTGGAAAAGCCTATATTTTTTCTCAAGTCTAGCAGCAGACATGCCAGCACATCTCCTGATGCAAAATTTTTCACAATTCACATACCTATTATAGGATATAGAAATACCTAGATGTGTAATTTAATTAAGCTCTGGAAAAAAACGCAAGAGCCTTTACAACAAGTATTTCACAAAAAAGAAGAATTAAACACTTCTTCACGTCCTGGTGCGAATTGGTTGAAGACAGACTGTTAGTGCGGTAATAAATGAGAGAGCGATTTCTGGTGTTTTTGGATTTAATGCTTATAAATACAGTAAGTACATCCAAAAAAAATAATAAAGTCAATTTATATATTTATTTGCTTGATTCTACATAAGGAATCTAACTGTTTCTTGATTGAACTCGAAACTTCTTTCTTCCATGTATTGGAGCCTTTTTACCGCAGTATTACAGGGAGCGGTATGTGTAATAGAGTATACAGATTTTTAAAAATTGGTAAAAAAATTAACGCGTATAGAAGTCGAAAAGCTCGTAATTCGAATGTTTACAAACAAAACAAAATTGAAAACGTAGATCTGTGTTTCGTAACAAAAGTTCTTTCCGAAGGAAGAAAGTGGTTGGAACGCTTTTAATGTCAGCCTGATTCTTTAAGAAAGAAAGCGGAAAACAGCAATTGGATGCAACGAATTCGCACACAAATCACAGTAGGAAGTAAAATATAATTGGTGTGATTTTTACTAAAGGTTTTGTGAAACGATTCAGTACTACGATATATATTTCTTAGGCTTATCATACAGAATTTACTTTCCATTGAGTTGAAAGAAAAGTATGACAATTGTATGGATACGCTAAATTACCTTAATAAACAACGCGTCCTTCCTCCAAAGAAAGAAAATCGAATGACTAAAACTAGAATCAAACTCAAATAGAACCCATTCCTATCCTCTACATCAAGCTTCCTACGAGGAAAGAAGAAACCTCCAGAAAGTGGTGCTTTCATAACAATTTCACAGCGTACATACACCGCAGCAGATTTTCAAACTCAAATATGAATCGGTTGTGATCATTTCATATTGTTTATATCTTTAAAAAATATCCAACATGATTAAGTATCCCACTTCTTCTTTGTGATGCAGTTGCGACACGTTGTTTTTTCAGGGTTGGAAAGTAAAACAGATCTATGACAATGACAACCCTTCGTAAAAGAAAACTCCTATCCCTTGTTTCCAGGTATGATTTCACCCTCTATATAAACTACCTTTCGCCTTGTTACAGACACTCCTTTTTCTTTTTTTTTTTACAACGCATGTTTTTCTACGCTTGCGCATGATAAACAACAATTACAAATAACATAATTCTATATCATTTAGCAACGCGTCGCGTTTTAATGAAATCGTTGGAATCCACTGGACACGAAAAAAGAAAACGCGTTCACGCTTATTGCTCCTTCAATTTCAGCCGCGACGCGTCGCGACACGAACGCGGTACTTCATATATATAAACATTGCAAGGGGCGTTTCAGGGTCTTTCTTCAGCAGACTTTGCGTCAGTTGCTTCAACAGCACTTGCAAATCCACTAAAGAAACTTCGTCAAGTGTACGCTGTTCCCTTTGTTTGTTGACATCCTTCCGCCCGGATTATGCCAAACGTATGAAACGTATTTGAGCGATTTCTTTAAACATTAGGTATTTAAGGTAATTCATTGAAGTGTTTTAAGTTAAATTTCATTCCTTTGTTTCACTCCCCCGCATCTTTCTTTGTTAGTTCGTCCTAACATTACATTTCCTTATCTAAATTTTGGTGCGTTTCCAAGAAGGACTCTGTTTTGTTTTTACTCTCTTCCTCTTTCCAATCGTTTCTATAATTTTAATATCTTTCATTTTCTCCAATGGCTTCAGTTACAGAGAATGAGTTCTCACTTCCTTCTCCACTCGCCTCGTCTCCTAGTACTTTTCATAAGAAAAGCTGGATGTCGAAGCATCCCAATGGCTCTCTTAACGTAGGGAATCCTCCTATAGGTAGGTGCCTTGTCTCTCAAGAAGGGTAGTAATTTTCAACTTCATTCTACACAATGTCTGTAATTGATTAGATCTACAACCTTCAAGCTTGTCTATCAGCGTAGCTGGAACAGTTTTCAGAAAACATCTTACTAATCTATTTTAGGTCAATTCGTTTTGACTCCGGAGCCTTCCAGTAATACATTCTATCAACCATCGTCACCCATCTCCGCCGTGAAAAGGGAACCTTTGACGCCCATGTCTTATGTGAAAATGAGCGTGTCTCGCGTTATCAAGATCGGACGCTCTTCCCAACAATGCGACCATGTCCTTTCCACAGCTGACAAGGCTATTTCACGTGTTCATGCAATCGTTATATGCACGCTCGACCGTATGATCGTTGAGTGTGTGGGCTGGAACGGTATGATCCTTACCGACTCTCTTCGTAAAGCCGTATATCATATGAAAAAGAATGACCGCGTCGTTTTGTTTCGTCCAGGACTTGATAGTTGTCCCATACTGGATGTGTTTGGGTATCGAATGCTACTGGGCTGGCCCGAAGACCCTTTCGATACCGAAGGAGAAAACTCGGATTATGACTACGCAAATGAAAATGAAGCACCGATGTCCCCATCGACTCGCGGACACCTTCCTCTGTTGCCTTCTTCTCCTCCTCAAGAGTTCGTTGCTGATCCTGAACTTTTTGCTGCTCAGGCATTGACCAAAGCAAATTCCAAAAATTTTCCAAGCACTCCTATCGAAGAAAGTGAGTCTACACGGAAAAGAAATATGCTGGAAAGACTTATTCAGGTTGGAATGGAAGACGGAAAAGTCAATCCACATGCCACTCACGAACAAGTTGACATGTCTATGATGAATGAATCAATAGCCGAGACGGAAAATGAAGTGCCTCATCTCGACGCTAACCCCAACACCGAATTCTTTAGCTCTGAATCAAACCATGCACACCAAGACATCCAGGTATATCAAGACGAAGAAGAGCATGACAATGAGTTCTACAATAGCATAGTGCCAACACCAGAAGAACCTATTGTTGTTCGCCATGATAGCATGGATGAAAGCGGTGAATGTTTGGCGAACAGAGAAAACGTAAAGAACCTTATTGCAAACGCGGAAATGGAGGACAATCAAGAACCTCCTACTGCCATTTTACATGTTTCACCATACGTTAATGATGAAAATGCAAAGACCATGACTCCTAACACTAATGACGAACAAAATGCTAATTTTTCTACTTGTGTGCACGAAAACGGCGATTCTACTGAGTCTTCTGATAATTATGTTGAGTCCTCAAAGGAAAATTCTGCTCCCGAAAGCTTATTAATGGGACTCATTTTGGATGAGTTGGTTTTTTCTACTACTTCTACAACGGCATTGACAGTGCTTGCTCACTTGTTTCCAAGTGGTATGCCTTTGGCTGCCGTCCAGGACCATTTACGCGAGCTTGCTAAGCAATACCCATACCTGAAGGAGGTTCGACGATACGGAACAGATGCCAATGGTGATCCTCTCTGGAGTGAGTGGTTTTACAACCCTGAAGAAGATGATGATGATGAACGTCGCCAGCGTTATGCACCGATTATGCGTCCTGTGCGTTCTTCTCGTCGAGTTCACAAGCAATATTTTTGGAAAAAGCCTCGTTCGCGCGTACGCTCGTCTAATAACTCCTCTAGAAAACGCCGTTTGGCATAAGCCAAATGTTTGCTGGCAAACATTTTTGTCATTAATTATTTTTCAAATGTGTTAGGTACTTACGATAATTGGATAAATGTAGGTTTTTTGTTTCTTTTTAATTTTTCATTCCCTTTTTGATATATTTCTTTTTCTTCATAGAAAGTAATAATGATTAATGAATTGTTGCAACGATACTGATACTCTTCATAAATCAATTAAGTACAAGGTTAAAAGTAAATTCCCCTGATCAGCTTGCTTAGCCATATTTATAGTATTTGTCCTTTGGTTTACCATCCCATTATGTCTTATTATGGTCCATTACCCATTATGTCTTTTTATGAATCAACGCCCATTTTGTCTCTATATGAATATATCTTTTGTTTACATTCCCATTATGTCGTTTTATAACGAGTAACATCGTTACTTGCCGATAAATCATCTACTACACCATGTATGTAGAGAGGACGTAATGAATATTTGTCTTGGAACCTTTCCTGGTAAATAATGAGTAATACCCTCTATAACCATGTATGATATATTACTGAAAGAAAAATTAACTGTGATCGTTAGTGTACCAAGTTAATTCAGTCGATACAAAAGGATCTGGACGAATTTGAGCGTGGTGTTGAAGATGAAAGCAACGCTATATCACTGGCTGGTATCCAAGGTAAAAAGAAATTCATATGGAAAAGATGTTTCTTTCTTTTCTTCTGTTCAAGAAGCGAAACTTTCCTTGAAGAACGGTCAATTCATTATGACTAACGAAACTAGGCCAAATATCGGCATCTTTTCTTTCTCTAACTCGCTCTATCGAGGATTACAATAGCATGGTGAAGCGAGAATTGATACCTGCGAAGAAAAATAAAGCCACTGTGCGTGTTCAAGAGTTTCGTCAAAAACATTCCCAATTATCGGAGCATTTTGAGCAACTAAAGGTCCAAGTTCGCGAGGCTGCCCATGCAAAAAATAGAAGGGATTTGTTTGGAAGAAGAGGATATGCGAATGCAGCTCCCGACAACCCTTACGGCGAAAATGCAATGACGGATGCTGAAGTCGTTGAGAATGGCTTGCCCAACATCACCAGGCAGGAAGGGCTTTTACGTGAAAATGATTTCTTAGGAAGGGCAGAAACCCAGATTGACGAGTATTTAGAACGCGGCCGTTTGCTACTTGGTGACTTGGTTGAACAAAAAACAATTTTAAAGTCGACAAAGAAGAAGATACTTGATGTAGCAAATACGTTGGGCATAACACGGACGACGCTCTCAGCTATCAACAGGCGTTCAAGGCAAGACAAAGTCATATTTTATTTGGGTGCAGCTTTTGTCTTTCTGTGTTTTTATTTAATTGTTCGATGGTTACGCTGAACCCCTAAAGAAAACTTCTCTATGGGTATGACAACTTTTTTACTAAACATACAACGAATCATGTGCTACCGCAAATTTGAAATCCTCCTTGGAGTTTTCTTTCAAACCTTTATTGAGAACACTCGTTCTTCGACCATAACGGATTTTTCACCATCTCTATCCTTTTTCAAAGCATGGCCTGTCATAATGAACTACTCTTCTGCTTACAGTGTTCTTCTGTCTTAACTGCTCGTCAGGACAAACGTATTTCTCATGATATCTGTTCAAACGATCGGTCTTCAACGACTTCTTCCTGGAAAAATGAATAGTAAAAGCGAGGATGAATCAGATTTTGGGCAGCATATTTTCTATATTTCTATTTCCTTCCTTTTTCGTGTATATAGTCTTCAATTTTAATAATTGTTAGCGTAGCCCTCAGAACTTCGATATTATAATATTACAAACCTCGTATTTATTTACACCACCATTGTATTGTATATACTGTAAGATCGCGAAAAAGTAGAATTTCCCTTCAATTTCAAGCATGATCCGGAGTAAAGGAAAAACCCTCTTTTCTACTCTTACTCAGTCGCTCAGACAACAATCTCCCTTCTTATTGAAGAGACCTACTCCTACTTTTCAACAAGTGACGAAAGCCAGACATTATGCTTCCTTTCCCAATTGGTCTTCCAACGGGACCGGCACCAGGAAATATCGGGAATTTAGCCCAAATCCAAGAGACAAGCGTTTCCAATTAATCGTCGGTGCTCTTATTGCAACAGGCGGAGTCTACTACTTTACGCATCTAGAATATGTTCCCATAAGCAACCGTAGACGTTTTAATGATGTATCGTTAGACTTTGAGCGAAAGATGGCTCAAAGTGCTTACAAAGAAATCATGTCCCAGTATGGAGATCGTATGCTGCCAAGTTATCATCCTACAACGTTGTACGTTTCTCGTGTTTTAAAGAGGATCATCGCTGTTTCAGGGATTTCAGATTTGAAGTGGGAGTTGCATGTGATCCGAGATCCTTCAGCCAATGCTTTTGTGCTTCCTGGTGGTAAAGTATTTGTCTTTGAAGGAATATTACCCATATGCCAAAACGAAGATGGACTAGCCGCTGTATTGGGACACGAAACGGCACATCAAGTTGCAAGGCACTCTTCAGAAAAAATCGCTTTTACTAGAGCTATTAGCTGTATTTTTTACTTAATAGCAGCTTCGTTGGATTTGTCGGGACAGCTTTCTCATCTCTTATTAAACTTTGGACTACTTTTACCGTTTTCCCGAAAGATGGAGGGCGAAGCTGATTACATCGGATTGATGCTGATGAGTCAGGCATGTTTCGATCCTGAAGCTGCAAGGGGCATGTGGGAGCGAATGTCTGCTGCAGAATCAAGTATGGGCGGTGCACTTGCTTTTGCTAGCACTCATCCTTCAAGCGAAAAGCGGATTCGTAAAATCCAAGAATGGCTTCCGGAAGCGAAAGGAAAGTTGGAAACCAGCGATTGCTTTCATCAAACATGGCCCCAATTTCAAGCTTTTAAAGAAACATACTGGTGATGGAAGAAAAAGGACTTCTTTACTACAATACAAGTGCTAGGTTTTCTAATCAGCATTTAGGCTGTAGTGTTTCGGATTCATATTGATCACTTTAGACACCGTTCGAGTTTACTCATTAGCCAATGCTGAGACAGAGCAGCAAGTATATGCTCGAAATTACGAAATTGTTATGATACTTTTATATTTTTACACTGTACTTTTTATGCGCTGAATGATATTACTAACTTGAACTGATGAAATGAACCGTAGAAAATAGAAATATCAAACAAGCCTTTTATTGCATCAACATACATATATTGATATAAGAAATGTGAACAATAACATTTATACCCATTGTCTATAGTAGTAGGCTGTAGAGGCAGCACCGAGAACAGTGAGCATTAAAGGAAGAGGCTTTCTAGTCTTCGCTAAACGAGGAACACTAGACGCAAGCAATAAGGCTGATGCAGCCAAGGCAAGAGGAACACCATTAGGAGAATTGGTGTTCATGAGTCTTGAGGAATACATATAAAGACCGCCAAGACCAACACCTGCGATGAGAGAAGCTTTGCTTCCCTTGCTGAAGTAACCCTTAGCTCCACCAAGGGACAAGAGGCCAGCCATAACTAAACCAATCTGATCAGGAGACATGATTCTTAAAAACCGTGGAAGATTTAACAAATGCTTTTGACAAGGAATATCGTTAAGAGTAGCTTTGCTTCCATGATGCAAGCCATGTCGCTTGTTACTTATTTAGCCCATGTGCGTTACTTGGTTTTGCAGGTCATTACGGCGAAGTTTTTTCCTTTGCAACTTGATTATGTCTTGCCTCTTTATTTTTATTTCACTTGATTTATTAAGAATTGATAATGATTCATAACACGAAGGAACCAAGTTTTAGATGAATAATAGAATAGAAGAATGAATAAATAGATATAATTACCAAATCTAAAAAATGCTAAACTCTAGAACAAAAAAAAAAGAGAAAAAAGGGTATTACAAACTCTTACAACAGTCGGAAGCCGAACAAGGCTTGTCGGCTTTACAACAATGCGTAAGACTTTCTAGCTGTTCTTTTAATACATATATCTGTGTTTGAATCTCGTTGATGTCGATTTCCTTCAAGTATGGAATGAGTTGATTTAAGAGGGAAGGATTGCAGTGCTTTTGAAAGACGGAAAGAGAAAAAATAGACCAAAAAGCCAGAGTTAAATACTTTGCATCTGAATGTGTAATCTTGGAGACTAATTTATAGGTTTCTGTATTTTCAAGGACATCACAGAAATGCTGAAACTCAGCAGACAAGGAACTGTTGGATCGATGCTGTATGAGCGGTATGGATGATTGATTTAAAGAATCTAAGCGAGAAATTAGATCCTGTACGGATTTTGCAGCATCAATTCCATGATAAAGGTGGTTCGAAACGTTTTTCCAGCTGTACTTATTTAGACCAACCGTAAACACGCCTACTGGATGCTGCATAGGTTCCAATATCACATATCCCCTTGGCTGATGGTTCGTAGCATCTAGAGGAAACATACTTTTGTACATCATTTCCAAATCTACCCAATAGCTGGGATATTTGAATCTGGCAACGTCTAAAATCAGAATTTTGCTGTCTTTTTCACTAAACCCTCCAACAGGACTGAAATGGCCATCTCCAGTTTGTCCTAGAACTTTACGGCAGAAAGAAATTGCCATGATCTTGTCCTCTTGTGTAGAACAGGTGATAAGGTCTCTGGTGAACTCTTCAAAGGAAACGTCTTTCACACATTTCGTCACAGTTTGCAAGCCATTGCAGTTTGCTAAACATGAAAACTCTTCAAGAGTAACTCCGTCTCGTTCAATGTCCGTTAGTGAACGACAACAATCTAGCATGTTTTGATCATACCAACGCCAAGACCCCTTCCATAAGCGACCCGGGTCTACCTTTAGTGAGTTAAGGATCATACATAAAGTACCTAGTCCGCAAAAGGCTGGTTCATTCTGAGTAACCATTTGCTGGGCCAAAGAAAAGTAATTTTCCATATGACCTTCTTGAAGTGCTCTCAAGAAAACCTGTTTACCCTCATGTGAGTCAAACGCCAAGCACTGAGACGGAAGTGTTCTTTTATAAAAAGTTTTATTATTGAACACAGGTGGCCGAACAGGTGTAGTCAATCTTTCCTTTACTATATTTGGCATAGTAGTGGTGACTTTTGAGGACGTTACAAAGCTTCGTATTGTTTGCCGTAAAAAACTCATGCAAACTTCAAAGTGGAAACCAAAGAGTCTAAGATAGAGAAAAAAAAGAAATGTTTCTTGTACCTCCAGTAGAGCAATTATGAAGAATAGGGAATCAATTGAATCTGAGAGGCTATTTTTAGATGCTTTTTTAAGAAATACTTTGGCCTTATTATATTCACCTTTTATAAACTCACCAAAACAATCTTTATCTGCCTTGAGAAAACGTTCCTGTTGGTCTACTCTTTTGAATTCCTCTAAATTGCGTTCGGCAAAATTGTAAGTACAAATTAATATGGGTACCTTTCTATTTTTTAGAAAATTAAGGAAGAATAAATATGTCTAATTTTAAAAAAGAATTATGCATTTGGCAAGTTGGCTGACATAGAAATTGGTTTGACTAAACTTAGGTGACAATGTGCCCTTGCACATTGAGCTCACATAGTTTGTGTGCATTTTACTTAGATACGTCTATATATGTTCCCTTAGAAGTGGTGTTGTATTATTTATTGAAACCCCAATGATTTAGCGCTTTTAACCTTTACCAAGGAATACAACTTGAAAGGAATCGCAAATCTGTCTCAATCTGGCAACTTAATCATAACAATCGACGTTCTCTTTCAAAAAAACGTACTGATATGAGTGCTCCCAGGTCAATAAATATCAAAAGACGAAGCAGCGAAAGCAATAATTTCAATATCGTTGGCTCATATTCAAGTAGACGATCTCAGCAGATTCATCGGTTATCCCATTCGCCTCTACAGGAAGAATTTGTTCCTCCACAGAAAGATTCTTATATAACTGTTGATACACCTTCTTCTCAATCGAATTGGCTGTCGAGTCGCCCACCTGAGTATGACAGGCCCATCCACCCGAATTATGGCTCGCTTGCGCGTGAGGAAAGAATGCCACACCGTTTAGGACTGGCTTCTGACGATATCCTAACCACAGAAGACCCAAATATCGTTCGTCGCCACTTAAACAAAAAGGGTCCAAAAGACGATGAGTTTTCGTCCTTATATTTGCAGGGCGGTGATGTCCACCGACAAGTGTATCGTTGGCAAGAAGAAATAGATCAAAATCAAGTTATACGCCGTGGACGCTCTCGGTCTTTTTCAGCTTTGAATCCCAATTCCAGCGATGCGAGTAGGAATATCCAAGACCTGAAACAAGCAGGCGGTATGCGAAGAGATTTCCTTCGTAATCGACCTAGTAGCATTTCCTTGGGAAGTCCTAGTAACTTTTCCGTTAAACCCAATTTCTTAAATCGAAATTTTCTTGAGTTTCTGTCTGTTTATGGACACTTTGCAGGTGAAGAATTGAGTGAAGAAGATGAGGAAGACGAAGAAGATTTTGCGATGCCCAGACGCGTTACTCCATCGATGATTCAATATTCTGATTTGTATGAGCAAGAACCCCTGCTTGATGGCCAACAAGCTCGCCATAAAGCAATGCCAAAAGGGAGTGCTTCCAATGGGAAGGCTGTCCTTCTTTTACTGAAGTCATTCGTCGGAACTGGTGTGCTTTTTCTTCCTAAAGCGTACGTTTTAATATCGTTTCTTCCAAAAAAAACCGAGAACTTTGCTAATATTTACATAGGTTTTTGCTGGGTGGTCTTGTCTTTTCCAGTGTATGTTTGCTGGTAGTAGGACTCCTATCCCATATCTGTTTTCTTTTGCTCATTGAAACGCGGTCCAAAATTCCTGGAAGTTTTGGTGACATTGGTGGGGTTTTATATGGCCCCAAAATGCGATTAGCAATTTTAACCTCCATTGTCGTTTCTCAAGTAAGTCCCTTTGACAACGTAATTTATACTAACCACTCTAGATTGGATTTGCTAGTGCATATATATCATTTGTGGCCAGTACCTTACAAGCATGTGTTCGGGCTGTTATCGCATCACATAAAGAGTACCATGTTGCCATCTTCATATTTCTGCAATTTCTAGTCTTTGTTCCTTTGTCATTAATTCGAAAAATATCGAAACTCTCAGCTACTGCATTGATCGCCGATGCTTTTATTCTTCTTGGCATCTTATACCTCTACTTTTGGGATGTTTTCACTTTAGCAACAAAAGGAGTTGCTGATGTTGTTTTGTTCAACAAAACGGACTTCAGCCTTTTTATTGGCGTTGCTATTTTTACATATGAAGGTATTTGTTTAATTCTTCCTATTCAAGAACAAATGGCAAGTCCTAAAAATCTTCCTAAATTATTGACAGGAGTTATGCTGGCTATTTCCCTTTTATTTATTTCAATTGGTTTTCTATCGTATGCTGCTTTTGGCTCCAAAGTACAAACAGTTGTCATTTTAAATATGCCTCAAAGTTCCTTCACAGTTGTTGTTCAGTTTCTTTATGCTGTAGCCATCTTGCTTAGTACGCCGTTACAATTATTCCCTGCAATAGCTATTATTGAACAAGGAATATTTACGCGAAGCGGTAAACGCAATCGTAAAGTGAAGTGGAGGAAAAACACTTTGCGTGTATTCATTGTCATTTTCGCTATACTTGTTTCTTGGGCGTAAGTTTTGATCAATTTTTTATTTCGGATATTACTAACTAATTAAATAGTGGCTCCTCTCGTTTAGACCAATTTGTCAGTATGGTTGGTAGTGTATGTTGTATACCATTGATTTATATGTATCCTCCTATGCTACATTATAAAGCTTGTGCGACGACTTGGAAGCTTCGTACCCTCGACGTTGCCATGTGGATTATTGGCTTTGTTTCTATGATCTTTACGGCATATATGACTTTACTTTAGTTCATTGGAAATATTACCTTGTTTATTAATTTATGAGATTAGAAGATAGACCAAAATTTGCTAAGTTTTTTGAGATTTTCTATTTCGTTTTCTATTAGATTGGTCTTTTTTGCTATTCATCCGAATGATGATGACAAAGGATTATTCTTGGTTATAAGCATTCTATTTTAATTATAATAATTAATGAAACTCATCTTGGTCTTTAAGAATCATGCATAACGTCTCATAATGTAAGACGTATATAATTTACATTCATTCACTATGCAAAGCAAAAAGCAAAGGAAAAGCAGAAAATAAAAAAGTTTAGTACTTAAAGCTTTATTCTCGAGTTCTATTATAAAGAGTATGTATATTCCTCATGTTCAAAATATGAAGAATATTATGTTGACTTTCTCCTTACACCATTCTGATTACTGACTGACTTTTGACGAATTTGTATTCAAAACTCCAAGTATGTTTTAATTAAGGATATATTGCTTTAAAAGAAGTTGAATAAATATAAAGCATTGTTTTGGTCCAATTCTCGGTCGTACAAATCATGTCAAGGATACTAAGAAAGGAAATCTTTTGTGGATTTGGTGGACTTCGTCCAAATGTATACAAATCAGATATAATGTCTCTAAAAAGATTTTCTGCTTCTTACGAGCCAAGTCAATCTGTTGTACAGGAATCCAAAGCTCGATTGATGCAAGCTGGATATGCGCCTGAAAAAGCGAGAGCATTCACAAAATTAATGCAAAGAATTACTGCAGAAGCGTATGTTTATCAATGGAAATCTAGTGGAATGAAATTACTAACACGACGGTTTAGATTGACTGAGTTGGAAAAAAACATTGGATTTAAGACGAAGCAAGAGTCTGTGTCTTTTCAGCAGAAAAAGACGTTTATTCAAATCAGAAAGTATTTAGAAGCCATTGAAGAGCAAGAGTTTGACAAAGTTAGGAGGAACTCGCAATCGCTCGTAGGGGAAGTTGAAAAAATGAAATCGTCTGTCCGGGACGATGTCAAGACATCACTAGCAGAAGTACGATTAACTCTTAACTTGGAAAAAGGACGAATGAAAGATACAGGGATTAAGAGAAACAATTCGGTTTATGACACGGAGCAAAAGATATATAAGGAAGTAGAGCTATTAGCTGATGAAATCAAGAGCATGAAGGTTCAAACTAATCAGTGGTTTATGGGATTTTTGGGAATTCTGTCATCGGTTCTACTTGCAATTTTATTTTACTTTTAATTGAAGTACCTGTACTTTAGCACGCAAGAAGATTTATTGATATACTCTATTTTTTTATGAAACGAAACCCCCAAAAGCCTAGTCTTATTGCTAGAATAAAAATAATTTATCATATATTATATTTTTGAAACATCATAATAGCCATAGAAAGAATCAGAAAGTTAAAGCAAGGTCTGACCCAAGCTTGTACGGATGATGGATCGAGCCAAGTTGACAGTGTTTTTGGTATCCTCCTCATTGCCTAAGCAAGGGTTGACTTCCATAACGTCGACGGCAACCAAGGTACTGGTTTCAGCAGTGGCTTCACAGATATACATGGCTTCGCGGAAAGTCAAACCACCTGGGACACGAGTGCCGGTAGAAGGAGCAACCATGGGATCGCAAGAATCAACGTCAAAAGACAAGTGAACAGGGTGACGGTTGCCGGGATTGATATGTTCCAAAGCCATTTCGACAACCTTGGAAATGCCGTACTTATCAACATGATGCATGGTAAAGGCAGCAATGTTGTGGTCACGAAGGAAGGCACGTTCCTGGGGATCCAAATCACGCAGACCAATAAAGGCAAGGCGCTTTTCGTCGATGACACGTTTGGTCCAAGCGAACTCGGGAGGAACAGGGTTGGCATAGCCAAGAGAGAAGGCCAAGGGACAGCCATGAAGATTCTTGGAGGGAGAGGATTCTGGGGTGTTAATGTCAGCGTGCGCATCGATCCAAAGGACACAAGCATCATCATAAACAGCTTGAACACCCTCAATGGTACCCATGCCCAAAGAGTGGTCACCGCCAACGTTGACGACAAGACGTTCCTCGCTCAATTCCTTCTTAACGGTATCACGAACTTGACGGCACACATCGCTAACATACTGAGGGTTCTTGATCAAGTCCTTGCTGGGACCCTCAATCTTAGGAGGGGTCTTGAAGGAAGGGTTTTGGATGTAACGAACAGAGTAGCCCAAATTTTCCAAATCCTCTTGCACACCGGCCTGTTCAATCAATTCAGGAGCGACCTCAGTGCCTTTCTTGGGTTGACCACCGGAAAAGGGCAAGTTAAGGATAGAAACCTGGTTGGTTTGAATGAACTTGTTAAGCATTGCTGGACGATGAGGCTCCATTGTGTATGTTTCTTTTTCCAATAGAATAAACTTTACCCTGAAAGAAAATTCAAATTTTTTATTTTTTCAAAATTGATCGTGGGTTCTTTTTCCTTTGTTTATTTACAGGACCTACGACGTTCTATAGCTGGTTGATGGAAATGAGACGATTCTCGAGTACAAAGGTTAAGGAGGTCAGTCAGAATCAAAGTATAAAGGAGGGTTGACAATGCCTTTTATGAAGGTTGAAGACTGTTTTTTCTATTGGTTCTTTACATCCGTTCATTCAATTTTATTTTTTTTCGCACTTATAATTCGGGGTTTTACGGAGCTTTGAAATTTTATCTGATGGTAGCGACGAATCATTATTGAGTTACGAGCTTACTTTAGAGATTCGCTTACGAATCAATCAAATGCTGGCTGCGGAACTTCCTGGGTTTCTAGTATCCAACGAGGAAATAAAGATGCTAATCTGATAAGTCTGTGAGCATTCATTGGAAGCAAGAGTATATTAATAAATGAAGCGATGATTGTTCGAAAAAATAAGAGAAACAAGCTGCTATAGGAATTTGATGTGGTAATTGGTTGAATTGAATTTATTTGAATCTACAGTTTAGTATAGTTCCTTTTCCTGGTGTCTACTCGTTATAACTATGCTCCTTCGCTTGGAAATAAGGCGAATCAAAAAGTTCAAACGCTTTATGGATAAAAAAATCTATTGCATTGGAAATCATAACTATACTCATTTCACTTTTAGAAGCATGTAGAAATTCTTTAATGTTCAATTGTTCTTTTTCAAGTTCATATAGTCAATAGCATCCAAGCGGTCGGTCAAAATTGGATGACTGTGATGATAAGAGGTATAAAGGGAATCGTACTCCAAGGGCGAAAGGTTATCGTTGTGAATACGAATCAAACCATCTCCCAAGTCCTTAGCAAGACCAAGCTTCTTGGCATAGGCATCTGCTTGATACTCACAGAAGCGGGAAATTTTATTGGAACCGAAAGTCAAAAGCGAGGACACGGGTCCAAGGGCATCGGAAAACAGTAAAAGGCCAATAATAACAGGCTTCTCTTTCGTAAAGTCAAATGCTTCATAAAGACTGTTGTTGCGCAAGAATGCTGCAAACATAAATAACTGTGCAAGGCTCATACCGTAATCTACCAAAGTATGGATCAAGTTGTGTGACAAGTACCAGTGGCCGAGTTCATGACCCAAAATAGCAAGCAATTCCTCTTCAGTGTGGTTCTTTACTAAGGTATCGAATAAAACAATACCCTTATTCCAGGGAAGACCATAGAAAAATGCGTTGGAGTGAGCCGAACGGCGACTAGCATCAACCACATAAAGCTTCTTCAAGGGAAATTTGATGGAAGCAGCAAGTTTTTCGATTTTTGTACGCAAAGAACCCTGTTCTAATGGGGTGAACTTGAAGAAAAGGGGCATAATTAGGGAAGGCGCAATGGACTGTAAAACCAAACCAAAGAGAATGTAGGCACCCCAAGCGTAGAGAACAAAGTTGTCACCAAAATTCATAGTAATCTTTACAAAGGTAGAAACCAGCAAACTCATTAAAACACCGCCAATGGTGAGCTCTTTGAACATGTCCATAAAGAAAATTTTTGGGGTGGATTTGTTAAATCCGTACTTTTCCTCAATTCCAAAGGTAGAGTACAAAGAAAAGGGAAGCTGGATGATACAAGAGTAGACAGTAAGTGCGAATAAAAACACACATGAGTGGGAAATAGGAACTGACAAACTAAACTTAGAAGCAGAGGCCGCCAAACGATCCATCCAAGAAAACTTTGTAGCATTCCACAAGTAAGAAAGGCCGTTGAATTTAATCAACAATAGGTCAGTCACTAATGCAAAAGTAGAAACAATCGTGCTCATAAAAGTTTTGTCTCTAGCGTAAGCTAAAGCTTTCTGATATTTCTCTTCGTCAACATGTTCCGCTAAAACCGTAGGAGGACTCTCTTTCAATAAGTAAGGAGCCTGTCTGCGTTGCAGGTACAGATCCCACACATATTTTCCAATAGAGAAACTGGCAATCACTGTTTTCCAAGGAAACCCTGGAAAGTCCAGGACATGCATTATTTGCTACAGCCGTCAGTTAGTAAAAGAACAAAATCTTTACAAAAGCGAAATCATCAATGACTTTCATGTCTGGTATGACTACCGTTTTTACAATTCATCCTACTTCTGCAAAACGAACAAAAAGACTCGAAACTGAATTGATCTTTCCATCTTCAACCTGTAAAAGCATACCTGAACAAGTCCCATTCTTTCTGTAAAAGATAGAGAAATAATTTGGGATGCTAGCAAAGCGTGGTTGTTGGTAAAGTACAAGTACTTGCAGTGGGGTTTTTAGATAATAACCCAAAGTAATTGCTACAAAATTCTTTTTTCTTAACTTTTTTTTAAATATATTCCTTTTTTATATTTTTTGAAAGGATTGAAAAATTGGTTTCCTATTTCTACAACACATCCAGAATATATTTACCGTGAATCAGGGCTCTCCAAAACTTGTCATTGAACGAACTTGCTGAAACCCGGTTTCAAAGACAAAACTAGTAGTATAGAATCAAGCTCCTTTTTGAAACCTCTACATAAACTTGCTACTAAAGTTATCGTTTACCTCGCGCGTTTTTCTGCTGGAAAAAGTGAAAAATTACATTTTTCATTCTTTTTACAATTGAATTGATCATTCATTTGCATGTTAACTTGCAAATCTGTAATTGACATCCTTTACCACTCCGTATACGTTTTTCTCCAAGAGTCATCTCATCTACTCTATTCTTGAGTTTTTCTGTTATTAACCGAGGAAAACAGTCTTCTTATGATCGAAACATATCCAGATAGCTAATTTTATCTGATAAATTCTAGTTGATGCTTATACCTATTGTAAAGTCATCTGCGAGACTTGTGCAATCTCACGGACATTGGTTAGCTCCTGTTATTACTTATTCGTCAACTTTATATGGATTAGGAGTCAACAGAAATTGTCGCCAGCTGTCTACGTCTAACGCAACTCATTCCGTTCGATATGTAAAGAATGACCGAAAGTTTCTTCCTACCGACCAGGCTCTCGGTACCATACGTTTGCAGAAGGGCTGTCAAAAATTACAAGGATGCTTTCGTTTGTACTCCACAAAAATCCCTTCAGAACAGCGTTTACCTCCTCCGTCACCTGCTGCCTCATTGAAACCACCAAAGAAACCATTGCTTTCACGGGCTTTTCTTAAGATAAAGAATGTTCTTTTTAGGCAAAACAAATTTCTAACAATTGATAATGTTACAGCTTTCTTCAGCTGGTGGCTCGTCAGCCACATTGTTTGGATTATCCTTGGAACGACTACTTTCTTTTCTTTATTGTTATACACACTCAATACAGTGTCGGCTCAAGAGTATTTTGGGAAATGGATTGGACAATTAATGACAAAAAACACGGGTTTTGAGGTTGTCTTTGAGAACGCTATTGTTCCTAATTGGAGAAAGGGTCTTATCACATTTAACAAAATTCAAGTACGAAGGAGGCCAGAGGCTTCATCCAAGAATTTACACAATCCATCAGATAAGCCAAACTACGAAAAAGAATTTATGGCCTTGCGCCAGAGCTACGATTCCACGTCCTCGGTCACTGAAGACATTGCTTTATTGAAGCAAGGAAACTATACCCAATTTGATTTATCCATAGATAAGGCAGATGTTTCTTTTAGTTTTGCAAGGTTCCTGAATGGAAAAGGAATCGTCAAGGAGCTCGTCCTAAGTGGAGTCCGCGGCGTCGTTGATCGAAGGTTTGTGCAATCAGATGTTTCTATAGACCCCAGATCATACCGAAGACAACATAATTGGGGAGATTTTGAAATTGAACGCTTCAAGTTGGAAGATTTACGAGTTACGCTTATGCAACCTGACAATTTTAGGCAGTTTCCTGTCAGCGTTTTCTTTTGCGAGCTTCCCAAGCTCAGGAAGCAATGGTTGTTTTATGATGTAATGAATGCTACGAATTTAACGGGAAGCTTTGACAACAGCATGTTTACGGTACACAGATTGCAGCTCAAGCCGTATTCACCTTATATGAAGCCGTACGAACAATCGCCAGACATGCGACATAGCAGGCTTCGAATTGATAATCTAGCTATTGATCATTTGAATCGAGGGGTTTCAGGAGCTTTCGGGTGGATTAATGATGGATCAGTTGACTTTTCAGTAAATATTTCTTGTCCTCAAGAGCCTGCGAAAAGCATAATTAAGCGTTATTTCCATCAGGTTTTAATGAATGCGAAATTAACAGAGAAGAAAGAAGATCCAGTTCCAGATGTACATTTTGATGTTGATGTTCAATTGCATAATCCGAAAGCGGCTATACCCATTTTCACGAATCAAATGGGTTATGTAAATAATGCTTTACTTCGACCAATTGTCGCTTACATTAATTCTACCCGTACTTTTATTCCTATCATGTGTCATTTATCAAAACCGTTGTCAGACTTTGATGGAAGCTGGACCATTTATGATAGTGGTGTACTGCAAGAAATATCTTCGCAGGTAAGTTTGACCCTATTTGTGTCTGTTAAGACAAAATTGTTCCCAAGGAGTTCATAGGACATTGGAGGTTGGTATTGGCCAGTTAAAGTACGAATATACTAACTCTTTGCTAGGTATATGATTCGTTTGCAGAAGACGTGGTAAACCAGGAACTTCGCAGGAAAAGAATTCGAAAAGTTGGATACTGGAGTTTACAACGTATCCTACATCTCATCCTATTATCTTTGCAGGAATTAGCTCCTAGTCCAGCCCCTTTATCAAATACCTCTTAGCTGTATGACATTACGAATGTAGGGGCATTTAATGATGAAAAAGATTGCCTAACAGAAACCTCAAGAAGAGTTTTTAGAGGAAATACGAATCTCCTTCTTGAGGTTTTCATTCTGTATGTTATATAATAATTTTGTTTTCTAGTTTTTTGATCAATCTTATTTATTATTCATATCCATGATAACCTTTGCTCTGTATGTGGAGATTATATTCTACCGGATTACGATCACTTTTGTACGCTCCTTGGTGGATGATTATAAGAAAAAAAAAGAAAAGAAATGGGTAGTCCGGTATTCATTGAGTCCTCTAATATAGAAAGTAAGAGTAGTAAAGTGGGTTGTCTAAAAGAGAGACGTTCATCAATCATGTAATGAATAAATCGTTGTAGCACAGGCGTTTTGGTAATTTTTATGATGACGATTTTTGGAACGCAATTTCTGTCCGATTTCTCTGACTTTGCTCTCGTTTTTTGATTAAGTCATCCTGAGCCGCTCGTAAAGACTTTGCATAAGCTTCGCTGGGAAGAGCATGAGGAGTCCAAGATGCTGAAGGCATCATAGATGCCGTCGGTTCAGATATACCTGCATATTCTTGCAAAGTATCTAATAATTGGGGATTTAAGAAATTTTCATTGTCTACAAGACGAGCATGAAAGTGGACATTATTCCTTTTTAATGCTAAAAATTGTTCAATCTTCTTCTCCAAAAGGCTATCGGCATTTCCTTCAGGCGATGATGGTATTTCCCAATTATTCGTTTTAGATGGGACCCATAAAGATTCCTCTTTCTCGAAATCTTGTGCTTCTTTCTCCTCGTCTGATTCGTAATTTACTAGTGACATACTTACTTTTTACTGCAAAGATAAATATATGAATTCTTTTACTTGTTTTCCACCAAGTTGCATAGCATGCTCTCCTTTTGGTGGAGTTTTTTATCGAGTCTAAAAAACTTAGCCAAAATACAAACTCGGTTTCTTTTGAACCAAGTATATCAAAGCTATTAATCGCTTGAAACGTAATTTGAAATTATCAAGTTAATGCCAACCGCTTTATCGATTTTCATGAACCAAAGTACCTCCATCATAAAATCGTCAATTCTCTTAGGTAGTGTAAACGAATAAATATATTTGCATATATATATAAGTATATAAAATTTATGAATAGGACTTCAATTCCATCTATCAAATCTGTTTCGTCGAGATTTTATTCAACTTTGTCTCGTTAGCACATTACTTTAACAATTCAATGAATACGAATTCCTACCCAAATATTCTTACTTTTCTTTTCCTTTTTATCATTGATCTATATTTAAGACACAACAAATAGCGTTTCATGACTGTCCCTAATGTCGATAATCATGTGAAACAACTTCAACCAAAGCTTTTGCTATTGAAGCTACCGACATGAAAGTAATGTGCCAAAAAAAACAGTATTCCAATATCCAAAATATCCCAATTAAATATATAGAGACTGTAATACATTTTTTTGAATTTATTTTCATTCATGTAAATAAACAAACCGACCATTAAAGTAACATCGTTACTTTTGGTTTTTCAGGCCTAACCAACAAAAGTATGGAAAAATCCAAGAGCCACCTTTAGGACGCCTACTTGTTTTAAACAGATTTGTTTAAAACAATATAAGTAGGATAGATCTTATAGACGCTTCTTCTAATTGTTTTTTGTTTTTGTTTCTAAGGTATTTCTTCCAGAGGATCAACAACTGCTATCGTTTTGGTTTGGTAACTGGAGAAAGTTCGTTTATAATATCCGTTGAACAGGGCTAATTATCGTACAAATGGTTTCAGAGAAATTTGATTTGAAATTTCGACAAATTGCTTCTGAGCGGCTCTTAAACTATGAAGTGAAAAAATGGGTCAACGATGCCACTGGCTTTACAGTCGCGTGTGTCAATACTCCCACTACAAGAGTCAATGGTTCGTTTGTTGTAGCTACCGAAGCTCACGACAATTCTGGATGTCCTCACACTCTAGAGCATCTGTGTTTCATGGGTAGTAAAAAGTATCCTATGAATGGCATCCTAACAAATTTTGCTGGAAGAGCCTGTGGTGATATAAATGCATATACCGATGTTGACTGTACCGTTTATGAATTATCATCAGCTGAGCAAGACGGGTTTTTAAGACTACTTCCAGTTTTTGCTGATCATGTGTTATTTCCTTTGCTTAGCGAGGAGGCATTCTGCACAGAAGTGTATCATACGAATCAGTTTGGAGAGGAATCAGGAGTTGTGTATTCCGAAATGCAGGATTCGCAAACTTCTGAAGTTGATGTTATGTTTGACTGTATCCGAACGAATCAGTATCCTCCCTCCAGCGGCTATTTTTACGAGACAGGAGGACACCCCGATGAACTTCGTAAGCTATCTATTCAACAAATTCGTGATTACCACAAAGCAATGTATGTTCCTAGCAATATCTGTCTCGTAGTTGCTGGCTCCATCGAGGAAAATCGCCTTCTTGAGATTTCTTCATCAATTGTTAGAGATATCATTGATAATGACTTAAAGACGCCTGAGGACTGGACGCGACCTTGGTCTCAAAAAGACGATAATACTCGAATCACCAATTCCATAGTCAAAAGCGTGAACTTTTCTTCAGAAGATGAATCTACAGGTTCCCTCTCAATTGCGTGGAACGGTCCTCCTTTAATGGATCAATTCAAAATCTTCGCTATACAGACAATTAGTGATTTTCTCAGCGAATCAGCGGTGTCTCCCCTTAAACAGGCTTTTGTCGAAATAGAGGATCCATTCTGCTCTTTTATATACTTTTACGTTTTCCCTAAAGACCCTTGCTCGATTCAGTTATTTCTTGACAGCGTTCCTGTTGAGAAGATCGATGGTTTGGTTGAGAAGGTTCTATCCCTTTTATCAAGCATCGAAACCATTGACATGGATAGACTTCGTGACTACCTAGATACTCAAAAAAATCAATACCTAACCGCCCTAGAGGTGTCTCCTCGCATTTTATTTACCAAGATCCTTACCCTTGATCATGTTTATGGTAGCAGGGATGGATCAGATATTTCAAAATTTATGGAAGGTTTATCCTATAATGAAGAATTGAAGAAATGGTCTGAAAAGGATTGGGTAGATCTCATCCGGTCTACTTTTATCGAAAACCATTCAATTTCGGTCTTGGCGTTGCCGTCATATGAAATGGCTGAAAGAGTAAAACAGGAAACAAACAAAACCTTGACCGACAGGGTGAACTCTCTTGGTAAAGAAGGTTTGGAGGCTTTAGGGCGTAATCTTGCCTGTGCAAAGGCGAAGAATGAGCAAAAACTTCCCTATAATTTGGTCTCCTCTTTCAAAATAACAGATCCTAGTCAAATATGCTTTTACAATTCCACAACTGCTAAAACGAAATGGTCAGGACAATCTTTTGAAAATGACGTTCAAAAATATATTGATTCCGACGGAAAAGAGCTTCCTCTATATGTACAGTTTGATCATATAGATTCATCGTTTATTAGCATAGTTACATATTTCGACACCGCTGATATCCCACCTGCTTTAAAGCAATATCTTTCCGTGTTTGCTAAATACATACAAGCAGCTCCTGCAGAACTAGAAAATGTAGGTTTCATTTCTCACGAAGAAGTTGTAAAGCGACTTGAACGGGATGTCGTGCTTTTTGATGCATCTTTGCTCTATGATAAAGCTTCTTGTTCATATTCTTACTATGAGACGAAGCGAGAGTTATTTTATTTAGAATGTCGGGTAACTAGAGAGAATTACCAAAAGGGTATTTATTGGATTGGAACATTATTGACTGCTACTGTATGGGACAAGAATAGGTTACTTTCTATTATAAATCAATTGTTGGCCGATATTCCGTATCAAAAGAGGGATGCTGAGTATGTTCTGCCTTCCTATGTTGACATTAGGTTGTACAATGAGAACTCTTTGAAGTATTCTTTGAATACATTAAGCCAAGAAAAAGTTCTCCGTGAACTCCGTCAAAAGCTCAGCGATAATGCTTCCGAAGTTTTTTCTGCTTTTGATGATTTGAGAAACCATTTGTTGCAATCTATGTGCCCTCGCGTTCATGTGATAGGTGATATACTAGGAACGAACGATGCTGCCTCTTCATGGACCAACTTTGTATCTCAGATTCTTCGAAACAAACCCTTCGACTCTCAGTTGTCTTCTTCTCCTTCCTTTTCTAGACTCTATTTACAAGAGAATGAATTTAAATCTCCAAGCTCTCTCACTATTATACCTATGCCTTCTAATGAAAGCAGTGATTTAGTTGTTGCCATTCCTGGTATAAAAAGCTGGAATGATCCGGATCTCCCCATCATAGTTTTGATTGCAAATTACTTGGGTTTAATGGACGGTCCTTTTTGGAACAGAATCCGTGGTTCTGGTTTAGCATACGGATTCAATATGGGAATAGACATTGACGGAGGGTTATTATTTTACTCTATTTTGACTTCTTCTGATGTTTACAGAGCTTGGTCATCAAGCAAAGATCTATTAAATTCAATCATTTCTGGAAAGGTATCAGTTAACAGCTTTGACTTGGAGTCGGCAAAGTGTATGGCATACAGTACAGTTTCAGAACTTGAAAATAATGCCTTTTACTCCGCTAAAAACTCATTTACTTTGCTTTCGATTAAAGATTTAGGAAAAGAATGGGATCGCCTATTCTTGGAAAGGATTGCCGCTGTTACGATTGATGAATTTATGGAAAACCTTAAAAAGTACTGTTTGCCTTTCTTTTCTCCAAACAACGATTTCGCTGTTATCACCTCTTCACTCTCAAGACTAGACCAGACCGTTTCTGAGTTCCAATCTGAAGGATTTGATGTTACGGTGAAAAGTATTCATGAAGTTCAAGGTTTAGACCCTAGTTCTGAAGATGAAGAATCTGAAGATGATGCTGAGACTATGTCTGCATCTTCTGATGAAGAGAAATAAATATGTATATTCTGTCTTGATGGCTATGTTTCTCTGAAGTAATCAAAAATAAAAAATGTTTATTTATTCATTTATCGAATATATTTTACAGAATAAATTTAGGATATTGAGTTCTTTTTACAGATGTTTGTGGGGTTAAGCGTAGCTTATTCTTATAAGATAATTATAGTAGCGATGCGAGCTGCTGTTTCAGTCGCGGCTCTAAACGAAAAACCTATTGACTTCAGTTTTTAAATGGAAAATTATTAAGTGTCGCTTGTTAGTATTTAACCTAAAACAAAAATCTTTAAAAAATGGCGTCTGTTTTAAAACACGACACCGTTAGCAAGGTATTTTAGGATGAGTAGTAAGAGAAGTGTTTCTGAAACTAATGGTTGAACCATAGGGATGTTATTATGTAAAACCGCGTAGGAAAGAAGAAAAACAGCCTCTTCAGCTAGACAACCTATTTGTTCCTTTGATAGGGAATCAAGAACCTCTGGAATGGGTCAATTTACGAAAGAAACTTTGCAAGAGCGTCATGCAAGAATTAAGCAGTGTTGTTCATCAAGCAACTTCAGAGAGCAATGCCAAAGTGATTCAACAACTAACAGAGCATGCACTGAAGAGTAATCCAGAAGGACAAAAACTAAAGGCCGCGATATTGTGTGATGGAAGCAGAAACACATTTCATCTTCGGTTTTTTGAACAGCTTAAATTAAAGCTTTATCAGCTTGGATTAAAGAGATTCGTTGTGCTGGATCTCAAGAACCACAGAGATCTAAAATCCTGCTTTCGACAAATCAAAGGCGGGTCTTTGGGCCTTGGAATTCTATCTTATGATATGGAAGAGTTAGGGGAAAGTATTACTTTGGTTTTACAGAATGTAGAGGACTGTGATAGGCGATTACTAAATGCTTTGATGGAAGCCCTCAATATGATTTCGCAAAAGTCCAAGGATCATCATGTTTATCTGATATTCAATTTAAAAGTACCTCTGGAACTTTTTGATGCATCACTTGACTCTGTCTTTTTTAGCCATGTCCAGCCCGAAGTATTTAACATGAAAGCCACGACAGATATCCTTGAAAGTATATTTACTCTCGTCGAGGAAAATCTAAGTTTAAAGTTTGGATGGAGAACTAGGAAGCTTTTTCGGTCGATGTTTTACGAAAGATCCTGGAGCGTTGAAAAAGTTGTTGGTTGTTTACGCTACGGTATACTTACACATTTCTATGGAAATGCTCTTAGTCCTTTACCTTATTTAATTCAGAATAACCAAACAGGTGCTGTCTCTACCTTTTACGTATCTATATTACGCACTGTTCCAAGCTTTCAGCATCGGATAGAACAGATGTTACGGGAAATGGGAACATCTGGGAAAAAAATTATTCAAGATTTATTGGAAAATGACGATGTGTTTTTGGAGTACATTAAAAGCACATTCCAGGAACTGGCAAGGCGAGAAAGCTTTCTGCGTAAGCATGTGAAATGCTGGCAGGAGCTGGAAACACATATGAGTAGGCCAACAAAGCTAGCATTTGGAGAGTATATGGAGGTTTTTCTTGAAGGGCTATGGTTTGAAAGCGAACAATATGAAACTTTTCGGAAAGATATATTGCGATTAAATTCTCATCAAGCACTGGCTTGTATGGAACACCTGAATAAGCATATGTTTTCTGGACCGAGAGTGGGTAAAGGACTCAACCTTGCGGATGAGCTTGAACATCTTGTGGATTCTTCCAAAAATAAGTATCTAGAAACGGTGGAGATGCGAATGAAGAATTATAGCGGAACGGAACATACTCGAAAAGTTATGGAAACAGGATTTGACAAGAGCATTCTTCGGTACTCAAGGTGGTTAAAAGAATTAGTGCAATTGTTGGATGAAGAGATTGAGCATGGGATGTTGGGAACGCAAGGTATGGATGCATATCCGTTTTATGAGGTTTTCTTCTTTGACTATCGGCGACCGCTAGAACAAGGGTTTTTGTCTGGACACCAACGAAGCGTAATTCATAGCTCGTGCATGAATCCAGAGTATTACATTGGTATGCAGAGGATAAGTGACACAGAAGAGAAAAATGAAGCGAATTTAAAACAGAATAAACCATGGCTGCCGGACCTATCTATTCTATACAAGCTGTATAGTGAGTCAGGAGCATTTTTGAATTTGTATGATTGGTACATGGCATTTTCAGAAAACTTACAAGTGTTGGCTACGGAGGAGCGGCTGCCCACAAAACGAAGGTTCACAGAGGAAAGCGAAGCCGACTTACCCAAAGATGAAATGAACGCCAAACCAGACAGGCAATACGTACCAATGGAAGTGGATGAGAATTCAAACAAGGAAAGCGTTGAATTACAGTCTCGATTTCTGTTTGGGCTCGAAGAATTACGGTTTTTAGGGTTAATCAAACCGACAACGCGCAAGACGGACCACGTAATGAAGACAATTTATCATCATTAAAGGATGTTAACCAAAGTGTGTATATGGATGAGTACAAACAAGAAGCACTCTCTACCCTGTGACAAGCAATCAAGAAACTGTACGACAGTAGACTTTTGAACATAGGGTCATTGCTGAAATATTGGTTTGACATATTGTACTGTGTTTATACGATATCACTTGAACCCGCATAGGAAAGACGAAGGAGTAGGATCCTTAGAGTGGAAAGCGAGTGAATTGAAGGGGACTACGAGTGGACGGTTCCCTGGGGTAAGGTTCATAGCAATTAGGGAAACGGTTCGATTAAGAATTCGGAGGAGGAACTAATGACAAAAAGGTTAAATGAAACGAGCATACTCCTGACCGAAAGCCGAGGATCTAACCTTTTGGGAATTTTAGCGAAAAAAAAACATACACGTTGGAGAGAAAATGAATACGCTAGTTTATGCAACTGGTGCAAAGAATCATTTGTTAACCAGAAGCTTTTTTTTTAACATATAATTGTTGATTTTTTCTGAGGTACTTTTTCTTATAGATACACAATGACAAAGTTCATTGGAACACGAGCAGCAACATAAACGAGAAGAAGCTTAACGGATACTCCTGATTTTGGGAAGTGAATAAACCAGAGTTTCCAAATAGCAACAAAGAATTCACCCCGTAAACATCGAAGATCCCGTCGTCTGTTGCTAACCCAGAAGAAGGAAGCGAGAGCACAGCAACATACGTGATCAACAACTTTCCGTTAAAAAGAGGAGTAATGATCCTTTGTAAGCATAAGCAACCCGGATAAAGAAGGAGACAAAGGGGGAACGACTGGATAGCGTACTATTTTAACGAATCAACAATCAACAAACCAATAATCATCCGATCAACAGAAGTGTTTTCTCTCGATTTTCTTTATTTCTTTGTTTTCCTATTGTCTGGATGCGTCGAGATACTTAGGGACGAAAACAAAGCGATTAATGTTTGATAACGAGCAAGGTGAACGTATGAGGTAGCGAGTATGTGACGGACGAGAGACTAGACTAGACCAGGCCCGCTTAGATTGGGAGTAAGGATGCGAACTAAGAATATAATAGCAATGACAAAAGGTGAAAGGGCATATTCTATTCGGTCTTTAATTCCTATTGAACTATAACGGCCGAAATTTAATTGCTCATTGCGAAGTCATCATCCCCATCCCTTCTTTAGCAAGTTGTTTTCCCGAAATAGACCAAATCTAAGGATAAGGAGGTTGGCTATCAAACTCTAAAATGGAAGAAGATAAAATTTAATTCTCCTTATTGAAACCAACGCTTCCCTAAGGGTATGCAAAAAGTTTGCCTTTTCTCCTGCCCCAGAATATAACAAAGAAATCCCAAAAGCCCCAGGTAATTTTTATCCTTTTTTATTTTTTGTTTCAGTACCTTTCAACTGGGGTACATACTAACCCTATTATTGGAGATTATTCCCCATAATCAGCATAGGAATACGTCAGGGAGGAGGTTACTATCTGACTTCTTGCCCAATAAGCTTGAAAAACAACCGAGCAGAACCCCGCTGCTTTCGGATAACGATGACGAGAAATAAAAGAAAAATTTTGAAAAGGAATGTTGAAGAAAGAGATGAATCAATCCAGCCGTGTATTGACAATTGCATAAAGAACATTTAAACATATTGTTTATGCATCTCCAAAAAAGCTAGAATGTCTTGTTAATTCATGACTTGGTTGTATGTTGCAATTCTTCCTGCAAGCACGCAGTCAATTTAAGTTGTCTAGATGCGTGTACTCCGAGCCATGACAGACACTCAAATTTAGCGAGAAGATCCAAAGTTTTGAACCCGTACAGAATGAAATCGACATGGTTAAATTTGACACGTATCCAGTGGCAAGTAAAAAGCCTTCTTTTTACTTGCATGAAAGAAAAAAAAACTTTTCAACTTTCTTTTACCTTGTGTCCTTGGGTTTGCCCTTCTTTTCTTCGGATACACTACGATGGTTTCCGTAAGGGGTTTCTGGACCTTGTTTCGTAATATGAACCCCCTCTTTTTCCCCTCTTATTATAAGTCGCCTACGTCATCGTTTTCTTAGCTTTATCTGGGGAAACTTTATAAAGGTCCCGCCCAGTTTATACCATACATGACGAAAAGGGAGGAGATATACTGTTTAGCCTATCCTATTGATGTTTCGTTTCTTGTTTCTTCCGAGCCAATTAGCGAATTCCGCACATTTCAGGGGTTGTTAGTTGAATGATCGTGAAACCATCGTTTATATACTGGTGTTGGTCTCTCTTTGTTGCAGAGCCAAACTATTATCTCGTTTCATTAGGATTCTTACCTACCTATTATCGTTTCGTTTGTGTTTATATTTCATTTATTTACACACTTTATTGGTAGGTCCTCTTATTTCGTTTGTTTCTTTCTTTTTTTTATTGGGTGTTTCGTCTCATATATAATAATTGGGTTTATTATTATTTCCTTTTTGTATACCCTTCCTTTGCCCGCCGAGCCTTTACCCGCTATTATTTTTTGTCTTTCCTTTCCTGTGTCCACTTTCTCAATCTCTTACTGTGGTAGCTCTCTCTTGTTTCCCTAGAGTTAGTTTGTTTACTTTTTTTCTTGGGGTCTAGGCTCGTTTTCTTCTTTTTCATTTGCATTGTTCTTTCTACTTTTTTGACTTGTCAAGTTTCTATCATTCTTCTCGTCTTTTTATTTTTGTTTATATTCAGACTTTGCATCTGTCTATTTGCTTTAGAAAGAACTCCTAGCACATCCTTTGGTTGTGTATTTACTGTATCCTTTGTGTATTTCCTTCTTCTTCTGGGTTGAATTGTTTTTCTCTTGTCTCTTGTCTCTGCCTTGGTTTTGGTGTTCGTTTTCTGTCTTTTCGTTTGGTCAATCCTGTCGATCTCTGGTTTTCTAAAAGATTCGTTATCGGTAACCTTGTTTCATTCTTCCTTCTTGGGTTTCATACGGGCTGAATTCTGTCACTGGTTCTGTCGCCGCCTTTGTTCACTTTATTGTTAATTTTTTTACTTATCTACTTGAGCTCTCTTTCTCCCTCTCTCTCTCTTCTTAGCTCGTTTGCATGACCAGGGTCTAACATCTGTGTTTTTCATTTCGTCTCTTATTCATTAAAATCCTTGTTATTCTTTTATTGTTTTCCTTCTCTACTACCAGTCGTCCATTCCCTTTTATGTCTAACAACGTATCGTTTTTGTCTGCCCCACCTAACCCAAACTACTCTTTCCCCTACACCTATCCCTCCAATCCCTCTTCGACCGCACCTTCCCAACAAGTCGCTCTTCCTTCTTCTTCGAATCCTTTGTATTCATATCCTTCTGCTCCTGTTACATATCCTTCTTCTTCAAACTCCTCTGCTACTTCCATCAATGTCCCTCCTCCACACTCTTCTTTTTCCGCTCCCAACCATCCCCATTCCCTTCCTGCCATTACTTCTTCCTTTTCTCTTTCATCCCTCTCGTCTGCCGTCAATCCTGCCCAGCCCTCCAACGATATTCCCTTATCCGAACCGCTTACCTCTTTTCTCCCTGCATTCTCTCAGGGATCTCCCAAATCAAACATCTCTCCACCACAGCCTTCTACCTCAGCCCCTATCAGCACTCACATAGACTCAAATACTTTTGATGCACACAAACAATCCTATGCCTCATCTCCCTACTACTCCAATACATATCCCGGAACTTCTTCATACTATGCATTTGGCAAAGACCCTGCTAATGATTGGTGTCCCGACATGGAGGGTCATCAACTCCCTCTCTCTCATCCAGCACCTGCCTATACTGACAGACCTCTATATAAACGTTATTCATCTGGTTCTTTAAACCCCAATTATAAGTCACCTCACGTTGATTCCGAAGCTTACCATCTTCCTCATACCAACGACCTGCGTAGGCAGCGTTCTTACTTGACTTCCTCGGATTCTTTTACCCTTCCTTCTTTTCCCAGAGATTATTGTCCTTCTTCGGAGCCCTCTCTCGTTATGGCACAACCTTCCAGTGACTCTGTTGCTGCAAGTGTACCTTCTTATAGCACGCTGGTTTCGCACTTACCTCCTTCACCCAATCTGACCCCTGTTAATATCAGTTTGCCCATCGTCTCTCCTGATTCTTCTGTGGATACCCGGGAGAGGAAAGAGAAACTGCCAGGTACTTCCTCCACGTTCTTCTTCGGCACTCCTTCACCAAGGGCTGCCTCTGAAAAACCAGACGTAGAAAATGTTCCTTCCTTACCGTCTCTGCGGGACCCCGTACTGCTAGACGATGCACAAAAGTCAGTGTTAAGTAAAAAACAGAGCCCAAACAAAACAAGAAGATCGTCGCGTTCCAAAATACAAGCCCCTCGTTCACCAGGCGGCACTTCTTTTGTTTGCCATATCTGTCAGAAAAAATTTAAGCGATCCGAGCATTTACGTAGGCATATTCATTCCCTTCACACTACCGATAAGCCCTTTGTTTGTTTTTGCGGGAAACGCTTTTCACGAAGAGATAATTTACGGCAACATGAGAGAATGCATGCCAATTCTGGCTCTTATTTTACTCGGTCCTTAAAGAATAGTAATTTGTCTCCTATTTTACCCCCTGCATCCTCCATTGCCCCAACCTCCGTGCCAATGTCTGTGAAGGATCCGATGTTAAACAAGTCTCTTTTAAGCGAGCATCATCCTGTCCTACTCCCTAAGGTCTCCTTGTTCCCAATGTATTCTTCTGCTGATCCTAAAACGCCCGTGGCGTATCAGGGTGCTAATAACAGCACTATGCCAATCGTGCAACTTCCTATTACTGCTCCTAATAATTTACCAGTTGGTATGAATGATGACTATAATTTCAGTACTATGTAAAAATATTTATAAAAATAGAACAAAACCATGTCATATACCCTTTGTTGTGGATGTGTACCATAGGGTGGATTATTATTATACTAGAGAACGTGGTTATTTATTAAAGCTTGATAACTATTTTACCAGGACGTAATTAATTGTTCCAACTTGTATTATTTTAATTTTAATTTTAAAAGTGTCTATTACTTTAAATATGATAAATGTTTTTACAGTATTTCATTCCTATACCTTTTGATTCTCTATGAGTGGACAGTAGCCAACACATATTAGTCTTTAAAAAACAATGCCCATATACCAAAAACTTTTATTAACTCAATCACAGTACTAAATAAAGAAAACGAAAACGAAAAAGTGAAAGAGAATGCGAAACATCACTCATACATTTATGCACATTAGAAATAATCATATCCCATCCCAAAATAAATTAAATAAATATATCCCGTAAAATACCAAAAAAATTAAACATTCGTAATGGGTAACTCACTTTCCGGGGAACGGTGGAAATAACACATATGACAAAGGCCTCCCGGCCACCAATATGGACTCATTGTCGTCGAACATTTGCTACAACTTTCTTCAAATAATTGTTGCTCTTCCAAGGGTGTATAAGTTTGAGCTGCTTGTAAGAAATAGAATGCGTGTTTGCTGTTCATACTTTCTAAATAAGCCTTCCAGGAATTTTTACCCAGCGACGGTATTGTGCTTGTGCGAGGTATAAGATTACGAGGGATATTAGCATGGCCGCGAAACACGACTGGCTTCAAAGAAAGGTAAGGAGATAAATCCGCTTCATTGCTGGTGACCGAGTAGCTGTTAAAAAACGACAATGTCGACATCCCAATTTCAATATTGTATTTAGGCGTATCTCTTCGAATTAAATCAAAACAGAGGTTCCATCCAGATTTTAACGCACAGCTTATATGAGCAAGCGATGCGTTATTATTATGGCAAGACACAACCACGCCACGGCCAAGTTGACATATTTCACAAGTATTAGCCCAAACATCCGATGGTAAACTACCAATTCCTAGAACGGGCTCAGATTCATCGTTTGAAATTATAACACCAGGTGTCCAAGCAGCACACAACATATGAACCCAATTTCCTTCTACAGTCCTTTTCATTGATAATTGCGGATCCGTTTGACAGCATAATAAACACTCAGGGGTACTATCAAGTCCAAACTTCGTAACAAAGGTACAACTTTCACATAACCACTGAGTACTTTCTATAGAATGATGAGATTTGGTGTTATTGTTCGCCGCACTTCTAGTTGATCGACTAGTAGATATCATGGACATCAATTTCGGTTGATCGTCTGCCCCCTTTTTTAAGCCCTGGCACGATGTGTGAACAATTAATCCACATCGGTGACATCCAATTAAATCGTCGTAGTTGTTTCCTCCGCATAAATTGCATTCTTTCTTTGTTATCAATGCCGGTAATGAAGCTTCGACTTTGATCTTTGAAGTACCATTTCTCGGATTTCTATTAAGTGGGCTTTGAAGACGCGGAGAACTTTCGCTTGCTGATTTAACATTGTTAGCCTTATGACTATCAATAGTCAGTGATGGCGATACACCTGGGCTATCGTCACGAGTATGGTGACTGTTGCCTATATTATGGATATTAGCAAACAATTGCTCCCATTCTAATATTCTTCTTTTGACAACTTTCTCAGTCGAACGACCAAACTCAACACCTAATGCTTTTTGCGAGGTGGTTGCATAGTACTTCCATATAATACCACACCTTTCACAGAATATAACAAGTTTATTCTTATCTTTATTAGTGTTATCCGTCCCTGGACCGACAAACCATTCAGAGCTTTTGCGACTTTGGCAATTGCGGCAGACCATAGGCTTTTTATATCTTAGTAATTTAGAAGGATCATAAAGCTCATAGTTAGAAAACAGTGTGAACTTTTCTTCCCAACTTCCTTCTCTTTCCTTCGTTGCAGCAAAATCCTTCAGAATTGCAGTCCCCTTCGCAGATATACTCCACGCCAAATAAAATTGTAAAAGTTCTTTTAAAGAGCAGCGGGCCTCCAAAGAACGATGTATAACGTGCAAAGACCCTCCATAGGCTTTCACAAGCTCCCCGAATCTCTTTTCATCAATTTGTAGGGACTCCACGTTTGGAAAATCACTTCCTGTTATGAGTCTCTGCAAATTGTCAAGAGCATTCGTCATATTCAGCTCATTTTGGTATAAGAATGCCATGGAGACATCTAAAAGCACGAATGGAGAAATCGCAATCTTTAAGTTCTTCCATTGATTCCAACTTTTTCGTAAATAGTCATCTAAATCCGAATCATCAAGCTCTAGAGGAACTAAAAGCATTCCTCCGCGTAGGGATGGTTCAAAAAAAGGGAATAGAAATCCCTTTAAATGTATGTTTTTTAAGAATGGCCATTTGGCAAAAAAAGAGGGCAGGTCTGATTTGGCATTTTCTAAAGAACGCACGTTTTGATCAATCTCTTCATCCGCAGTAGTCAGTAATCTAGGAGCTTTTGAATGAAGTTCAACCGTAGAAGAAAACCCTGGAGATGTGGCAGAGCGGACGCGGGAAGGATACAAGTCAGATTCACTTTCATCATCAAAGTCACTTCGTAAATCTATGTAACGCATGTTCCACGGGAGGCGGCGAAGCTTTGAAAAGGAACTGCCTGGTACTGATTCTAAGGGTGATACGACCACTTCAGTAGAAGAGCTCAAAGTATCATCTTTTTCTATATGATTATCAGGAGTCGCCATGGAAGAAAAGTTTGAGGGTGTATGCATGTCAGAGTTATTAGTTTCATCATTAGTATCAGTATCTTCTTTTACCGAAGAGACTGATGTTTCTATTGGTTGGGATTCACTAGGCGTCATCAATGTAGCGGAGTTTCGTAGGGAAGATTTTTTTTGTCGATGTGAAACAGAACATAATGCACAAGTCCAGCCAAAACCATGAGGCGGCTTTTTTACCAACGGCGGATGCACACATTTCATATGATAATGTCTCTTGCAGTCTGCACATTGTACCGAAAAATCTAAAGAACACCATTCGTCGCAGACGTTGCAAAGTCGGGGTGCTTCCATCAAGGCTCGTCCTTTCCCTAACTCTACAATAGCGAAATCATAGTTATTTTGTAGTTGGAAAAGAGTGTGTTTAGGTAGATTTGTTATATTATGGACAGGTAGTAAGTCGAAGACCTTATTGATATTTTGATCAAACAGGCGGTCATAATGAAATGATTTCGGCTGTCTTGTATATTCATCAAAATTGTGAATTTCTGTTTTGTGTTTCACGCTTACGAGTTCTTGGATGAATCCAATATTGTATATATCGCTGTGCATACTAGCGTACAAAAGACGCGTATCAGAAGAATTTCGTTGAATATCACGTGGCCGAAAAAACCAATTCAAACGGACAGAGTCATACAAGTTAGTCCCAAGACAAGATTCGGATTTTTCAAAAGACATAATTCGAGCTATTTGAAATGGTTCGCCAGCAAACGGCGAGGACACAAACACAAAGTCATTGGGTTGAATTCGTTCGCCATTCAATAGTGTACAGTACACAATTCCATTTCTAGGTAAAGGTTCCAACTCAAAGACTCCCGGACTGTGTTGAATTTTTGTCCTTACCTGCTCTGGAAGGACAAATCTTTTATTTGTTCTTTTCTGCTGATTTTCCGGCGTCACGTAAGCTATGGTAATGCTATTTTTTAATCGTTTAATAACCAATCTTCTAATGCCATGTTTCTGCAGTTTCTCATCCGTTTTCATACTCTGTTCACGGCTTTTTTCTTGTGCATGCATGGCGGTAGATGGCACTTTGTAAAGTGGCCTTCATTGAGTACTTAACTAGATGCCACTTAAACGAGGGTAAATTTGGAACACCCTTGGAATACAAGAAAATGCAATCCTTTTTAAAGAATACATGGAATTCTATCAATCCGTTAATTTCTTCGCTACTCAACAATGAACTGATCGTTTTAAAAGATGAGCAGTATAAAGTGCTTCAACTACTCGGTGAAGGGTATGCCAATAATACAGAAAAAGAAGAAAAAGGAAATTAATATATGTATAGAGGATATGCGTTTGTGTATCTTGTTGAGAATGTGAACAGTGGTGAAAAGTTTGCGTTGAAAAAGATTAAATGCCATTCAGGTCGAGAAGGTGTTCAAAAAGCATTAATAGAAGCAAAGTTTCATGAAGAATTCAACCATGCCAATTTACTAAAAAGCATACATGTTCAATTGCAAAAGGAGGTCGATGGTGTTCAATATGTTTATATTATGTTTCCCTTTTTTCAAAAAGGCACTGTTGCGCAGATTGTTCAGAGTCAACATAAAAAGAATACTTTTATTCCCAAACGAATTATCTTGAGCTGGTCCCTATGTCTTTTACAGGCTTTGAAATATCTCCATAACGGGGGTGAGGACTCTGCTTCTGAAGATGCAGTGGATACAACAAACCTAATTGATTTACAATTAGAAAACAAGCCCATGAAAAAAAAGAGAACCAATAGCTATCTTCATGGAGATGTGAAACCTGGTACGTCGCAAGCAGAGGAGAAAACTAACAGAATTAAAATTAGAAAACTTACTTTTGAGCGACGATATGAGAAATGCCGTTCTTACAGATTTTGGAAGCATCTGTAGGATTCCTTCTATTATTTCAAATAACTCAGAGGCTATAAGTTTTGAGGATAAAGCCTCAGAAAACTGTACTATGCCTTATCGAGCTCCCGAGCTTTTCCATGTAAGACCAGGTTCTATAATTACAGAGAAGGCAGATATATGGGTAATCAAAGAAAGAAAAAAAAGCAACGCAAGGAAGGAACGTAAGCTAACAAATATAGAGTTTTGGTTGCACTTTGTATACAATCATGTTTGGCTACACTCCTTTTGAAAAGCAAGTCAGTCAGGGAGGTTCTTTGGCTTTAGCTGTTTGTAACGCACAATACTCTTTTCCATCCGAAAATCCCTACGAACCGAGGCTGTCTAATTTAGTCTGTGCATGCCTACAGTTGAATCCTGAACAACGTCCATATGCAGATGATTTAATCCATGCCATTAAAGGAATAATGAACGGTTAATATACAAAGTATCGTTTGGCGGTTACGGAATCTATTTGGATAGATATTAGAAAATTCATGTTTTCTTTGATTTCATACAATAATAGCTAAGGAATCGTAATATTTATAAAATACCTTCTATGAATTGATTGTATATACATGGATGAACTTTGTAAATTCGCCTCAGAAATTCATGTTTGGCCAAAAACTTTTTCAGCATTCAAGCGACGTTAATACGACCTTGTTGGAACAAGAATGACAAAAACTCATTCATCACTGACGAATTTACATTGCCTATGTGTTCAGCTTGAAAACACTCGATAGAAATGGGGTTAAAGTCAGATTTGAATCTGCCAGTTATCCATGAAAATAAAAGCAAAAGTATTTATTAAGAATATCTAAATCTTTTTCCCAAAAAACTCGAAAAACTAGGTTTGCGGGTAATGGAGCTCGTGGGTGTACACTACAAAGGGACAGAAAGGTGTAGTAGTAGTAATAGTAGTAGCAGCATTAACCATCCTACAAGTAAACATTAGACAAAGGACAGTTGTTGAAAGTGCCTATGTTTTTCATTTATTAGCAGAATAATTGCTTATAGTTATCATCATTTTTCTTGTTATTTCGTGTCTCCGCGTTTTAAATCTGATAGTTTGGATATTTAGCTTGGTTTTAAGAAAAGTTTGAAGTCTAGCATTGCCAACTGGAAGACAAATTGAGGTTCTTTTAGGAATTGCAAAGAAGATAAAGTAGAACAGGATGTTTATATCGTCGTTCATGAGAAACGGTGCTCAATTTCATGGAATTCAAAAATCCGATGGCAACAAGACATTTGATGTAGCCGTGACAATATTACATGTGAATCCTGAGCAATCAATGCTCTGTGGGTTTTTTAAGATTAGTGGCCTGAGTGGAAACAATTCTTCACTCACGACATATTTTGAGGCGGAAATCATCGGAGACAAGTATGGGTTCCTGACACGGTGGCCGGAATGGGGTGCTTCGGAATCAACAGACTATAAACATTGGAAACGGCTAGGAGCTTTTCAATATGCAAAGCGGAAAGTACCTCTGCGCAAGATTAAGCCATTCAACCCTTGGAGGAAAGGCACTGTCTATATGCGGTGGAAGGAATTGGCGATGCTGGACAAAGTGAATGATTTTCAATTTCGAAGCAGAAACTCTTCGTCCGACGTCAGTTTTGAAGGATTCTATTATATTGCATTTTCCCAACGGACTGGACGAATCACCGGATACTATTATCATTACAAATTTGATCATTTTCAGTATCTGGAATTGGATCCTGTGGTTGATGGGACATTTCCTATTTTAGAATTTCAATGATTTTACGACAACTTGTGCATACGAGCAGAAACATAAAACTTTTTGAAATATGTCTCATTTTTCCTTTCATTTCTGCATTGACCTTCTGCTTTCTATTTAAGATTGATGAAGAAAATCTATTCATTTGATATTTTTATCTCATAACCTATACCTTTTCCTTTTATAGTCGTCGAGTTTCTCATTTTCTCTCTTTTCCTTTCCTTGCACAAACTCTGGACCATCAGACGTTTGTAATTAGTAGTGACTTGTCCCGATCTTTGGTGTCTTTCTGAAAAACACACAGAGGCTTCTGGGAATTTGTGAACAAACAAATGCTGGTTTTGAGTCCGCTTCATCCTTTCGTTTCCAATAAGTAAGACGAGTACGAATACGAATACGAGTACGATTATCTTTTCTTTTTCCTTTTCAGTCTATTGCTATTCGTTTCCCATCCTACAAATACTTCCACTCATGACTTCTTTAATTTACGATACTCTGTATGATACAGGATGCATTATGACTTATCTTTAATGAGCTGTGAACAGTTCTTTTTGCATTTGAAAAAAATGAATGAAGATTTCACTATTTTTTAAATGATTTAAATGGAAGACGATCATATGGAATAAATCAAAAGATACTTACTGCTATGTGACCAAACTAACCGATTTTATTATTATGCAACAGACCTAGAGTAATTGTTTGTACTTATATTTAAAAAGCTTTGTAAGTTATTGGACCACGCAATACGCACTTAGACAACCGCTTACTTCGTTGGTGTAAACAATTGTCATTCTGAGTAAAAAAACCCAATTCCAATGATCTATGCTTCTCTTAAAGATGTTCATTATAATAGTAGCAAAATGAAAACTGTTTGGAAGATTGTGTTATTTCTATGAAAAGTTAAAACGTGTATTGCTTTAGGAAATAACTTTAAAAAAATAAACTAAATATACGTTTCAGGAGCATAGGCTCTGCCTCATAATAAGGAGATAAAAATATTCTCTTTTGGCATACTGCAATATAATAGAAACCAACTTACAACATATAAGCTCATTGTAAGCGAACTTTCTGATGTTCCTATGTTCCTCCACGCGTTTACGACGTTGTTCCTTGGTAGTGTGCCATTATTCTTCCTCTGCAGTATCCTGTTTCAACAGCCAAAACCTTTGTGAACGCCTCCAAAAACTTTGTTTTTACAAATCCTTATTTAAGGAATTTTCTTAATATTTTTATTTATATCAAAATTGAAGATTGCATTGAACTCCAGATTTGATTTATACGAAGCGGATTTGAGCTTTGTAAGTTAGAATTGCTTTTTGTTTCGTTGGAAGCCAAGGAATCAGTTAATAACTTTGCAAATTATTTTGTACCTATACATCATTAAAGTTGGATACACACGGTAACTCAAAGACTGAGTCGCCTTTGCCAATCTTTCCGGTATATGATTGATACTAATGGGGTTTGAGAGCACTCAGTATACTTCTAATGATCCGGTCGATTTAGGATTACAGCAATTGTATCTTGATAATGCTCAAATTTCATCTACCGTCAACATCTCTGGTTCAAAATCTGCAGACGATTATGAGTCTTCAAAACGAATTATGAATAGTTCTTCCTTTCCTTCCTCTTCTTCAGGAAGAACGGGGGAGCGATTTGGCCATTCTAAGAGCTGCAATAATTCATATCACCCTTCTTTGATCACAGCTCATTCCCTTACTACGAGCCCTTCAACTCTTCCTCGCACTTCATATAATACCTACCAACACTATTCATCCATGCTCCGCTCTCCGCATAATGTCGGAAATAGAAGCCATCGGTCCGATTCCAATATAAACATTTATCCTCATATCACTCGACCCCGCGAAAGTACCGAATTCGTCCGTAACCACCATAAGAAACCTTCAGACATTTACGGTGTGCAGGAAAATTCGTATTACAATAATGTGGATCTTGACTTAGCTGCAGTAAATGACAATTCGTCGCATTCTATGGCATCCATTCATCATTCTGAAGAAGAAAGTGATAACGATACTGATTTTTCTGAGTCTGCTTATCCAGAATTTGATATTGACGCTTTTTACAACGTCCCAAGCATTTTATTTAGCGAAGTTGATCTCCAGAATCCCGAAAAGCGAGAGCGACTTGAATGGCACTTAATGCTTTCTTCGGTGTTAAAGGGCGATGTCATGCAGTCGGAAAAGAGGAGGATGCGTGACACGAAACAAAGTGGCTATAGTAAACAAACCATCACAGATATCTGGTTGGGACTTCAGGCTTGGCTTCACGGCCGTCTTGCAGCAGACCAAGCCAATGTCATCCGAAGTAATCGGGAGAAGGTTGAATTCGTCTTACAAGAGGTTATCAATTTTGAAGTTCAACCTAAAGAACGTTGTCAAAAATCCGCGTTTGAGCAGGTTGCTGAACTCCTTGATAAAGTCGAAGAATGTGAAAGCTATTATATTTCTAGTCGCGAAATGAGAGAAGACGCTCCTTTATATGCTTCCAAAGAATTTAATGACAAGTTGAATGCCCTGGTATCATGGAGTAATGTGAAGGAGAATGTTCATACGGAAACTGTAATCCTTCGAAGGTGGATTGGAAATGACACATTTGATTTGACAAGCCAAATCACTAATTCGCCGTCCTTTGTGGAACGTATATTCCGGCAGTTTGGTTTACAGAAAACATTTGAGCAGAGAACATTGACTACTCTAAATCGTCTTATTCACCAGGCAAAACAAACAATTATAGAGAATGCTAAAGCTTTTGAGGATATGAAGCTTCCGACATATGGTGATGAACTAAATGCGTTGGTCGATTTTCCTATCAAATTAGTGGATGAAGCATTGCGTCTTCGGTTAATGTATGCCAAAAAAGTAAAAGGGTCAAACTCATTCATGGTTGATTCTTTACTAGATGATTTCAAAATAACTTTATCGGTTGCTGTGCGTGTTAAATTAGAATACATTGACATAGCAAGGCCTTATCCAGGTTGGGATTTACCTCAAGATGTTGATGCCTATTACAATGACATCTTATTAGAATCTTTAAAATTTTATTTCAAGTTGCTCGCTATAAAATTGAGTTCTAGTAACAGAAACCTTTATTTTAAAGAAATAGATTTTCTAGAGAACGAATGGGCTTTCCTTGACAAGTATGTGGGTTGGATAGATGGAGGAGAATACCAAATGGCTAGCCATTTCGGTTACTTATTGAATCGTCTTTTAATTAATGTACATCGTCACCTTGAATCTCATTTGAAAGGGCCTGAAGAGCGTTCAATAATGTCTCTAACAAACTGGTTCACAACGCTTCTTAAGAACACCCAAATTCGATTCCGTAAGATCTTACGCTTTTCCGATGTGTATAACTCTCGATTCCAAAATGCTGCTGAATACGTCGTCCACAATAATTGTTTAAATGAAGTGGTCGACCGCCTGTCTTCAACGGGCCATTTTTTAACGTATACTGCCAATTTAGAACGTGATGGTGTTTTCGTTATTGCGGATGCATCTTTGGGAGAAAGACCGGATGCAATCAAATCTTTAATCGCAAGCACTGCGAATAATGATATAGAATACACTAAGGAGAATAATTCTTATGTCCTAATTATTTGTACCAAACAACCATTGCTTTGGAAAGGAAGGATAATTAAAGTTGATATTCCAGATTTTCACTCCGACTTAAAAGACAATCATATACGGATTGTTACTTCTAGTGACGCTGCTCATTTACAAGATGCAAAGGCTGTATTTCAAGATTTAAACACGGGTTTGGTGAGCGCTCACGTAAACTGTCGGTCTAATATCGCGCGCGTCTATAGGGACTATATTCGATTTAACAAACTTTGCATTCGTATCGCTTCTACTGTTGTTGATAGCACCACTTACGTCCGAGAGGCATGTAAAGGGTTTAATTGCTCAGATTTAATATATAGTGCGTTTACTTTCGCAGCAGAATTTAGTCAACGAATTATGCGATTTTTGAATTTTGATTCCTACTTGGATAGTCATCTTCAGAAAAAAATTATGGTTTTAGCGATTGATTGGGTTGCTTTCCTTTGTGAAGAATGTGATCCTCTTGACAGAAAAACGTTTCGTTGGGCGGTAAGTGCTTTAGAGTTTTTAATGGTTGTACTCCATGGAACAAATATATTGCTGCTTGACGACGCCAATTTTGAGAAATTACGAGATAAGGTGGGCAAAACAATGTCTTTGCTCCTAAATCATTTTGACATTCTTGGTGCTAAATCTAAAACAATTGATGAATTGGAAGTAGTAAACATGGATGAGGCTTCGAGAAATTACCTGAATTATGATACTATCGAGGAGGATGAAACAATTACAGTTTTGCAAAAGGAAATGATGCAACGAATTGAAGAGATTGAAGCTGAAAGAAATGCAATGTTGCATGAGCGGTTAGCAATTGGACATGTGCTCGATGTTTCAGTATATCGAAATAGAGACTTTATTAAACTTGCTTCTTCTCTATCCAATATTACGATTCGTTGGCAGCAAGGACAATTTGTTAAAAGTGGAATGTTTGGAGATGTGTATAGCGGTGTGAATCTTGAAACAGGTGATCTTTTGGCCGTTAAGGAAATAAGAATTCAAGACAGTCGCTCTCTTAAAAGTGCTGTTGATCAGATTCATAACGAGATGACGGTGTTGGAGAAACTTAATCATCCAAACATAGTTTCTTATTATGGTGTCGAGGTTCATAGAGAAAAGGTATATATATTTATGGAATTATGCCAAGGTGGATCTTTGTCCGATTTGCTTTCCTATGGCCGTATAGAAGATGAGATGGTCGTTGGCATGTACGTTTTGCAGTTATTAGAAGGTTTGTGTTATATGCACTCACGACACGTTTTACATCGTGATATAAAGCCAGCAAATCTATTGTTGGATAGAAATGGGAATATTAAGTATAGCGATTTTGGGTCCGCCCTTTATGTACCTCCTCCGGAAGATCAGGCGTCTCACGTTGAGGATATCCAGCTTGAGATGCACAACTTAGCTGGAACACCTATGTATACATCCCCAGAGATCATCATAGGAACTAAAAAAGGAAGGTTTGGTTCTATGGATATATGGGGACTTGGATGTGTAATCTTAGAAATGCTGGCTGGATGCACTCCTTGGAATCAGATGGACAATGAATGGGCAATTATGTATCATATTGCGGTTATGCATACCCCCACAATCCCTTCGAGTTATCAAATTACAAGTCTTGCTAGGGACTTTTTAGAACGCTGTTTTGATTGTGATCCAGAGAGACGTCCCACTGCTATTGAACTGTACCTACATCCTTGGGTAACCAAATTGCGTGAGAAGGTAGGAGTTGGACCTTCTACTGAGATGCAGGAGCTTATAGAAAAGCATAATGAACTGATATTGGAAAATGAACGTAAAAAAAAACTGGATGGCTTAATAGCAACGAATGACGATGAGAACATGAAGATTGTTGAAAATGATATCCCGCCAATACCTTCCTATTTTCTGGATGATGTCGTGGACAGATTGAATGTGGTCAAAATGGAAGATGAATGTCAAAGATCACCTTTGTCTGATTCAGAATCACTTTTTTGATTGTAACCTTGGGATTATATTTGAAATCTATAAACTATTCGAATTCGGTTTACGAGTTTTTTATGAATTCGGTAATGAGTGACTAAATGTTTATGTGTATGCGTAAACCAACGAAACTAATTGGACTTAATACAATGTTGGTAAATTATATATTTAATTTATTTTCAGATTATTGTTCTGTTTATAGGTATTAAATAGGATACTATTTGCACATGTGATAATGTTAGCTGTACGATACGACACTTTAGGTCAGAAATATGAATATAAGATTCGTTTGGTATAAGTCTGGATATTTCCATAAAAACCCGCTTTGTAAATGCCGACATTCAGCCATAAATACTACTACGGGTTTTTACCATACTTTTAGCTGATATTAAACAATAAGCCAAGAGTTCTTGTTTCTGGGTACTATTTAGCTTACGAGGTCTGCTTCAAGATGAAAAACTAATCAGTTACAATATTACATAAAATATATAAGAAACCACAGCAACATAAATTATGGAAATTTATTGGCTTATTCATTTTGTCTAAGCTTCCAAAATGTCGGAGTCACCAGCGTCAGTAATAGCCAAAACACCGACTCTAAAGAGTCTACCGCAAGCGGTACCGAGATCAATGCTGTACAGGTTAGTATTGCTTCTATAACTGAATACTTGAATAGGAAAAACTTACTTGGAACCAGAGTAGTGGTGAACATTGGCCTTGGAAAGCATAGCATAGTATTCAAGCTCAGACTTGCGGAGAGGAGGGCAGTTGCCGGCAATCAAGATGAGCTTGGCCTTACCAGAGCGGAGAACCTTCAAGGTAGACTTGTAGCCCAAGACGTACTTGCCACTCTTCATAGTGAGGGCAAGCTTGGAGTTGATAGTATCTCCGCTCTTTTTTCCCTTCTTGGTAACCACAGATGCCATTTTGAATGATGCTGGTTAAAGGTGTTGCAAAAAAAGATGTACGAAGTTTCTATTGCAAGGTGAAAAATTGTGACTGTTGTTTGCCCTAACCTAAGCTTGTCAGTAAATCGACGGTAGGTGATTCATTACAAAGGATATGTCGAGGATTTAGAATTTGAAGAATGACTATTTCATAGAAAGCGTAGAAGAATAAAAGTGGAATTTCCAGTATGGGAGCTCTTTCGGAATCGACCTAATTGTCTTTTTTTTGAATAGGAATATGTAGCGTGGTTCGTTGTTTGTTTTGTTTACTTTTCAGAGCAGGAACGAAAGTAGAATAGGAATGATGAAAAGGGCCCGCGATTCGGATGTATTTAACAAAGAATAAGAGTAGAAAAATATAAAAAGAAAGTTGGTACCGAAAAGCCTGATGAAATCTTAAAGTAAACTATAAATCAGTATGAACAGTAGTTTGTCACTTCGTAGGGAACAAATTCAAAAGGCATAGAAAGGAGAAAAAGGAACCAGATATAGAATGAAAAAAGATCTTGCGAGTGAAAAAGCCATTTGCTTTTCCTCTGAAGCTAAGGAACAGTCAAACGGTTCCCATGTTATTCAAAGTGTTTACTACGATGTAAACAAAAGCCTATGTAAACAAAGGATGAGAAGAACGGTAGCTTCTAAAACAGGGAGCTTTGGTACCCTTTAAGAAATTGCAATTTATTGTGCTTGATACAACCTCTTGGATGGAGAGATAATTATATGAACGAATGGTTGCTTCATGACTGAAAGAAAACAGATATCGTAGAGAGGAAGAAATAAGGAGAAAGCTACCTCCATTCAAATCCTTTCTACTTGCTGCTGTTGCTTATTATTTTCCTTCTTGCACGAAAGAATGCATGATACGAATTGTTGCTACATGAAGCAAAAGATTTTGGCTCAAAAAGGAATCGTGAATTCTAATTATTAAATGCAACTTCCTTTTTCTTTCTACTTTGGATTATAAAATAACTGCTTTCTAAGACTTTGTATACTTCCTTAGTGGTGTTGATATACTATACCAACTGACGCCTTGCTTTCTCTACCTAGTACTCCTCTGTATCTCTCGCTACTCTTTCCCTCGTTGGTGCGTCGAAACTTCTTTTTCTTTGACTTGAAGGATCCTAAAAAGACTGTTACCTTTGATTTAAGTCTTTTTCTCTTCTACGTATCTAATTTCGTTGATCTTTTTTGATCCTTTAAACGTCGAAACGAAAATCGATCCAATCTCTGTGGACGTCTTGGTTTTTCCATTTTCATTTCGAATTATTCTTTAGAATCTCATTCTAGCAGTTTTTATTTGTTATTTATTGTTGAGCGCGTTTCTCTGAGAAATTACTACGGGTTACTAATATGGAAAAATTGATTCCCTTAGTCAATCAACTTCAGGATCTGGTGTATAATACCATCGGTTCTGACTTTTTGGATTTACCCTCCATTGTCGTGGTCGGTTCTCAATCGTGCGGAAAATCGTCCGTCTTGGAAAATATAGGTAAGTAACTCTGCTTGTTCGGATGAACCCTTCACTTTAAACTAACAAATATCTAGTCGGCAAAGATTTTCTACCCCGTGGAACAGGAATCGTTACCAGAAGACCGTTAATCTTACAACTTATCAACTTGAAAGAAGATTCAAATATGAATGCCCCTGGTGAAGATGCCCAGCAAGATTCTTCTATCTCTAATGCCAACATTTCCTCTGCTTCCTTGGAAAAAGAAAGCGACCGGGAAGGATATGCTGAGTTTCTCCATTTACCCAATGTCCGTTTCACAGATTTCGGAAAAGTTCGTGCTGAAATCGAAAATGAAACTTTGCGAGTCGCTGGTGCTAATAAAGGAATTAATAAATTACCGATTAACCTCAAAATTTACTCAAAACACGTTCTAAATCTCACTCTAATTGATCTCCCTGGTCTCACGAAAATCCCTGTTGGCGATCAACCTACAGACATTGAAGCTCAAACTCGTTCGTTGATTATGGAGTATATCAGTAAACCTAATTCAATCGTATTAGCTGTTTCTCCGGCAAATTTTGATATCGTCAATAGTGAAGGATTAAAACTTGCCCGACTCGTTGATCCGAAAGGCAAAAGGACAATTGGTGTTTTAACTAAACTTGACTTGATGGACCAAGGAACCAATGCAATGGATATTTTAAGTGGGCGCGTATATCCTCTGAAATTAGGATTTATACCAACAGTTAATCGTTCTCAATCTGATATCATTTCCCACAAGTCTTTGAGTGATGCTTTGCAATCCGAAAATAGCTTCTTTGCAAATCATCCTGCCTATCGAGCTATCGTAAATCGATGCGGGACCTTCTATCTTGCTAAAACATTAAGCAATTTACTTATTGCCCATATAAGAGATCGTTTACCCGACATCAAAGCACGTTTGAGTACATTAATTTCTCAAACCCAGTCCCAGTTGGAAAATTATGGTGTCTTTAAAATTTCTGATAAAAGTCAGCGTGGAATTATACTTTTACAGGCTATGAACAGGTTTGCCAATTCATTTATTGCCAGTATAGATGGTAATTCTTCCAGCATACCTACAAAGGAGCTTTCTGGAGGTGCTCGTTTATATTCCATTTTTAACAATGTGTTTTCCACAACTTTAAACTCCATTGATCCTTTACAAAACTTGTCTATAACGGATATTCGGACAGCTATTCTCAACAGCACTGGTTCTAGAGCTACTTTGTTTCTTTCAGAAATGGCTTTTGATATACTTGTAAAGCCTCAATTAGCTCTTCTTGCTCCACCTTGCCATGAATGCGTTGAGCTTGTTTACGAAGAATTGATGAAAATATGTCATTACTCTGGTGACTCTGATATGTCTAGATTTCCAAAGCTTCAAACTGCCTTAATTGAGACTGTGAGCGATTTACTTCGTGAAAACCTAAGTCCTACGTTTTCGTTCGTGGAAAGTTTGATTTCAATACAAATGGCTTACATCAATACTAACCACCCTGATTTCCTAGGTGTTCAGGGGGCCATGTCAAATGTGCTTGATAGAAAAAATCAGCAGCTTACTACACGTCGTCGTTCGGCTACTTCTTCAAATCAAGCAATAGATGCTACAAAGAATGAGAACCCTGATGGTTCTATCACAGACATTGCAAACTCAGATGACGTTGCAGCTATTACGCCTCATAGGAAGCTACAAAATATGGGTTCGGACAACCTTGAAAGAAAGACATTCCTTAGTTACGTCTTTGGTGCCAACAATTCGGTGAAGCGAGCACCCATGCATAACAGAGCATTGTCGAACAGCTTTTCTATGAATGAGCCTGTCAATTTGCTCAGTGATCAAACCAACACACAACCACGATCAACTTTCGCTGATAACTTTCCTGTTAAAATGACTGATCTTTCTAGCGAGGTTGAATCTATGGCATTAGAAGAAATGACAGAGCGTGAAGAACTTGAAGTTGAGTTGATTCAAGAATTAATAACGTCTTATTTTATATTAACTAGGAAGATAATCGTCGATCAGGTTCCTAAGGTTATCATGCACCTGCTTGTTAATGCATCGAAAGATGCTGTACAGAATCGGCTTGTAAGCAGCCTTTATCGTGAAGAGCTTTTTGATTCTCTTTTGATTGAGGATGAAAATATTAAAAGTGAACGTGAAAAGAATGAACGCTTGCTTTCTGTTTATACGCAGGCTAACAAAATGATATCTAATGTCTTTTGATGAATTCTTTACCCTCGTTTGAAGCTGTATGTAACGAAGGTTGATTACTATATAAATGAATGATGATATATTTTTTACACTCCTCCTCTCGTGCTAGCCTTCAAATAGGTAACTTCAAAATCATTTTCCCAAAGATCCTGTTTTTAAACAAGGTACCTTTTATTCGGGAAATTCAGTCTTTGTTGAGCTTCTTAAAAAATAAATGAACGATAAATCAAATATGTAAGTATAAAACCTTTTTAACATTTAGCCGCTTCATGGAAGAAGTCATATGCTACAAAAATGCCTCGAAAATGGCAAAGAGCAGCAATGATCACACACACGTGAAACCATTGATGGCTACTTCCAAATATGTCGTACTTACCTGGGTACCACTTTTCTGGTATCCTTTTGGCGTAAATCGTGGCACCTACAATGTAAAATACCCCTTGAAGAAGTAGCCATCCTAGACCCATTCGCATGAGTAGATCGTTAATTGTGTATAGGAAAAGAGCATGCAATACTGGAAATATACCAAATAAACCCATGATTACAAATAGAATAGCTCGGAAGCTTCTCCATTCTGGTTGTCTAAAGCGATCCAGCATACAAGTAAATGCGACAACTACACCTATAGAAAAGATTGTCCCAATATAAAGTGTTCGAAAGCTGGCATGGCAAGCGAAACCGTAATGAAGGCAAGGCACGAAAGAACCAACGATCATAATAACAATACCCAAATAATCAAGCTTATTTCCATATTTCGAAACGTGACTTGAATGGTTCGATATGGTATGGTAAAAACTAGAACACAGAAGCATTGTGAGAGCGCTTATAAAAAATACCATAAAAACGTAGACATCCTGAGACGTTGTGGTTTCTCTTACAAGTATCCTTTCTGAACGTGTAATGAAGAAAAGAAACATGATTGCTCCGAAGAGGTGCGACCAAATGTTTATAGATTCATTGTGTAAATAGAGAATAGTCTTGAAGCTTTTTGTAAAAGAGAAAGTAGCTGGCCGGTATGCTGAAATAATGTAATGGTTATCCTGTTGCCAGGGCTCTATTTCATCCCAAAAGAGGAGTTTTGAGTTTTGAAAAGGAATCGCAGACTTCTCAATCCTCACTTCGTTCGTTTGAACAACGTTTGGATCATCCAGTTCACACTTTTCTTTCAAATGTGAAATTGCACTGTTGCTTCTTCGAACCTTCGAGTTACACATAATATAGTAACTTCGCAACGTAGATAATCAAACTTTGGAATCCTTCGAAAAATAGAATAAATCACTTCAACCTTGAAAGACTGTCGTATATAAAAGCAGACCCATGGAAATAATTGAGCAACTGAACAGTATTAGACATTAGTAAATCATCCATCTTGAGCTTTAATTTTGCTAAAAGATACCAAACAATGATTTTTTGGTGTTTTTGAAAATGATATTTCCTTTGTTTTGTTTTCTTTTACAGTTTTACTTACCAAATGTGTAATGTTCAGATCACCTAAAAAAGGAAAGCTATTTAGGTATCCTTTATTAAATACAAGTAAAAAGTGATTTGTTAGAATTGAAAAAAAAAATAAGAAAAAAAAAAAAGCAATACTAAAATGAAACGATTTTATAGTGTACTGATATTTTGATCGGTAAGTTCTAAAACAAATATGCACCTTCAAATGAAGTAGGGTGGATCAATGATTTCCTTGTTATTTGAGACGATCTTTCTTTTCTTCGTGTATGTGCCACGTTATACTTTACTTTGACGAATAAAAAAGAAAAGAATAAACAATCCGAAAACAAAACTGAAAAGGATTTGTAAACGCAGACTAGACTGAACAGTAAAGTAACTTATGTAACAAAATGAAGAAACATGTGTACAAAAAAAGATTTCTATTAAATAATGCAAATTATAATAATCAAAAGGTAAGAACTAAACGTACAGAATATACATGATATAACGTGCATAAATGAAAAACAAAAGTGAACCAACTTTTTATAAGCCATTGTTGTAAGTAAATGGCTTGTGGAGTAATATATTATTCTTTCAACTGATCATCTTCCATCGTATTGTCGCCATCAAAAGACTCATCAGCTTGCTCTTCCATATCTGTTTTGTCGTCCTCCATATCAGCATCTAACTTATTTAAACTAGTGGCAGACGTATCTTCACCGAATTGGTTATCAGATTCTGGCTTTTCTTGTTCACCTTCCACGTTTTTCGTTAACGGCTTCTTTTTCGGACTTATATTGTCAGCAACTTCACTAGTCTCTTCATCATATTCTTTAACTGGTTGCTGACCCTTAGACAACTCTGCTTCATCCTCATCTTGAATAGTATTGGCATCATCTTCTCCGTCAATTTGACTTGTTTCTTCAGACGTATTATCGTCGTTTATATCAATTCTTGGCTTTATCCGTTCTGCTTCGGCAATACCATCAGATTTAAGCCCTCTAGCCCTGTATCCAGACTTTTGTAAACTATTCTTTTCGGATTTCCTACCATTACCAGTTCCACCGTTCAATCCGTTTTTCCTTTTGCCTTCTGAGACTGTCATTTTTTCCGGTTTCGAGGCACGCAAATTATCCTCTGTAAATAAGGTATCAAGAGTAGCTGCTTTAATCTCTTTCAATTTCTCTTTGGTCAACCCTCTAGACCATCCATCTTCACTTTCTAACCATTCATGCCATCGGGACAGTCTATAGCTTCTTATTTTTTCAAATGGTCCAGGATAAACAAGCTTAGAGTTACGAGCAAAAACATCTTCCGTGTTTGGTTCATAAACTATTTTCACCGTATTTATAGGTATTGTGAGCGCCAAATCACATTTTAGGAAATTCGTGAGTATTGCATGAGCATTGCGCACTACATAATTGTTCTCGTCTTCTTCATTAACATCATCAATTGGTAAATTTCGATGCAAAAAAGGAATCCGAACTTGTTCTGGCAAAATGCCCTCGGTTGGACTAGACATTATATAGCTGCCGATGTAGTAACACCATTTCTCTGCATCGGTCTTTAGATTTGCCATAGTTAAATCTTCTCTTCCCATTAAACGAATAGCTGACTGTTGAGTTTCCGAATTCCAATCTATACAACATAAGTCTTCATCAGGTCCAATAATGGTTTCTGTTTGTACACGATACATAATTTGCTGTCGAGGACTAGTTTTTCGTTGCACTCGATCTTTCTCAAAAAACATAAATACTTGTGCTATCCGGCGGTTGGTAGTTATTGTATGCAATTGTTTCATCAAAGAGCCAATGATTTTCTCAACGGTGTACATCCTAAAAGCATGTGTTCCATATAAACACCGCAAGGCATCTTCAAATCCATTTTGATCTATTTCTCCTTCAATTATACGCTCGCATAATTCTAAAGCTTGACCATATACGGTATCAGCAGAAGGAAGTGGAAATCCCAAACGCTCGGAAGGATTTCGTATAAGCCCTAATTCAAGCGCAACAGGGTTAGGCTTGATACCATGCTGTTTCTGATATGCTTTTTCCTCGAGTCCTTTCAGTTGTTCTAAACGAACATATAAAATATGAAATAATCTAAAAAAACAATAAAGTCCCATATTCCCAAACAAATTGTATACATTACGATCAGATAACTTAGTTCCATCATCCAACAGGGTTCCGTCCGAATCGGTAAATTTACAGTTGACCCAAACTTCACCACTTGAAAATATAGACGTGGCTGCCAAATCATTAGGTTCTTCAGCATCAGTAGGGTACTCATCCACATCATTGGGATCGGGGGTTTCTTCGGCGGATTCGGGAACAGATTCAGATTTCACGCTTCTACTTTCCCGGGGGCCTTTTTGTGACTTTTTAAAAATATCCTTTAGCAACCCCAAGCCATTGTTGACTCCATGAGAACTGGGGGTATTTGAACGCTTCGTCTTATCATGACTGCTAAGCTGAGATTCAGTTTCTGAATCCTCGTCATTAAAATGACTAGGTAAGTACTCTTCAAATGACTCATAAGGGATATCAAAGAAAAGTGATAAGAAGGAACGCAAAAAGCTAGAAAGCTTTTCTCGGTCTTCTATCGAATGCGTTGAAACATGGACTAAAAAAACACCAAATAGCCGAGCCATATCAATAATAATCGACTTATCCTTGTATTCAAGTAAATATTGATAGGATGGTGTCGTTTTTCCTTCCTCTACTTCGGTTTTTTGCTGCTTAGATAAATTCCGAAGTTCTCCAATCAAAAACTTAGGAGTGGTGTTTTTCTTGTCAGTGGATTTGAATGATATGCCTTGATGATCAAGACTACGGTAAAAGTTCCTTTCTTCAACATCATGCCAAAGCTCATTCCAATGCTTTTGCAAAGCCCTCCATTCACGATCTTTTTGCTTCAATCGATTCAGCACAATTGGGATAGTGATGGCAGGATGTTTCTGTAAATTTTCCGTTATTTCTTGCGCTGCCTCTTTTCCATAAACTTTCTTTATGACTTTCTGATAAATACTGGGAGACTTACCACCAAGGCCAACGGGAAGAGTCCAGTTTTCCTTCTCTACTTCAGTCATTTTTTGACTTTTTCGGTAGTTCATTTCAAGAAGTTCAATGGCTCTCACATTTGCTCCGATGTGACGATCATATTTGTATCTTTCTTCTTCTAATTTGTGTAAAGATTCCTCAAACTGATTTTTTCGATGAGCAATAAAACCCGAGTCTTCGGAAGCCAAAGTTGGATGGCTTACCCAAGTATCATTTAAAATTGTCCAACATACATCATCTCTTCCTGAACAAGGCAATAAGAGTTCAATTTTAGGGAGAAGACGATAGCTTGGACCATAACTTTTACACTGGGTTAAGTCAACCCTTGGTCTTGGAACGGGAATACAATCATTAGGATCCCACTTTACTAAATCTTTGAGCCAATTCATTAATTGCTCATTATCATGAAGGAATGTCTGGCAACGTTCGACCAGTGCATTTTTGTCAAATACTTCCTGAGAGTATAATTCAAGGAGCTTAATGAACTCGTTATATTTAGACTCATTGACCAAATACTGACGTACAGCATCAAGAAAAGCAAGTTCTGTCGGGTTTTTGTTTTGGGCAATTGGAACATTGAAGGCTCTTGGAGTAGCTTCTTCGGCGGCTGTAGTTGCAGTTCTCGTGCGTTTTGCGTGACTTCTGGTATATACGGCTGGCTCTACACGGCGTTTCTCTACTGGTTGGGAAGGTTTCGTTGGAGCTGGAGGAGCAAATTTGCCAATGGGAGGAAGAGAAGAAGTTGTTGCGGCAGGAGACACTTTAGAAGCTTGTATCACAGGCTCTGAAATGGCAGCAATAGGCTTCTCTTGGTTTTCTGAAGTAGTTTTAAGAGATACATCTGGTAAAAATCGTTTAAACTCTTCCAATAAGTCAGGTGCCTCCGCAAACAGTTGAGAAACTTGATAATAAACGAGTTGAATAGGACGTTGATCATGTTGATATGATTTTAATATGTCCAAAAAAGCATTGTAAGCTTCAGGTTTGTGAGAAAACCTATTTTTCACGTTATTTACAAAATTAATAGCATGATCTAAGTCAGCGGCTTGCTTTACAGATGCATCTGCCGAGGGAAATGAAGGAGTCATCGGAGAAGGAGATGATTTGTATGGAACAGAAGTGGAAGAATGAGCAGAAGGGGGGATTACACCAGGGGATGGGAGGTCAGGCTGCGAGTTGGCTGTTGGATAAGGAGCTACATTTGGAAAACCTGAAGTTGGTTGGGCAGAAGCATGAGGACGGTTCCAGTCTGCAATTACTAGTGGTCCTTGTGGAGTTGTGATATGCACAGCGGGAGGTTTACCAGGTTCAGCAGGACCTAGTTCAATACCGTAGCCAGGTGGTAGGAACGTATTAAATCCTTGAATCAGTGCGGGATAACCAGCAAATAAAGTAGATACTCGGGTAATGACCTCGGGAGTTTCAATCCTATTGAAGTTAGTAAAAAATAAAGAAAAAAAAAATTAAAAAAAAAAAAAACTTTTGCTTGTAGTTGGAGTTGGAATATTTGTAGCTAAAGCAAAACAAAGACACATACGCCTGCGATTTAAACTCTTTCATGATATCAAGAAATTCATTATAGACTTCAGGTTCGTGGTGAAACTGTAACTTTACCAAATCCAGATAGGACAGAGCATCAGTTACATTTAATTGTCTAAACTCATTATTAGCCGGCGATGGTTGACTCGAGGGGCCGGCTGGGAGAGGAATGTTTTGATTAGCAACAAAGGGAGAAGTAGATGACCGTATATTTGTGGGCCGGGAGATATTAGAGTCTCCTGAAGGAGCCATCACAGATTGTGATGGATAATCTCCGTTTGTTGCAATTGAGCTTCCAGCTGCTACTGCAGAAGAAGCACGCTCGCCTGGATGGGTCGAAGGAGCAGGGGGAGCTTGCAAATGCTGCGACGGACCATAAACAGCTAGTCCAGGTCGAGTTGCAGGTATCGAAGTCGTTGGAGGAGGTCCTAAATTTCGATAAAGAACACGTCCAGTAGTAGGATCATATACTGGGCTTACAGAATTATATACTGGGTAAAGGGTACCTTGAGGACTAGTATGGGTAGGTACTTGAGCATAAAAGGAAGCTGAACGTGTTAATAAGTTTTATTTCAATAAAAAAATATTAAGGTCAACCAAATAAAAGAATTTTATTCTCATTTTGGTGATGCATAACAGGGACTACTAGGATTTACGTACTATTTGTAGGATGATATGCCATGGTTCCAGAATGAGTTACATAAGGTCCTGGATAATTAATAGCTACATTTGGATATTCTTCGATCCTCTGACATTGACCCAAATGCGCATCTTGCCAGTCTTTTGCCATCCCAGTGTTGTTGGTATTGTACATGTTCATGAACACCACGTAACTTGGTGGTTGTTCATAACCGAAGTAAGCGAAATAAACGAAGGAACATTTTCCACAGCTCAAGTAGTGATTTGCTATAGTTGACTTCACGGTAATTTAAATTTTGATCCCAAGGTAGCAGTTAGCAAACAATAAACAATGCCGAAAGCAAATTTGCTGAAAAAAAAAAGAAAAGAAAAAAGAAAGAAGGAGGCTCAAATACAAGAAAAAAGGCCGTTTCAAGAATTTTTGTTACTTTGAAATAGTTTTACCTTGTATACAAGGCACAACTTTGGTTATTGGTTTTTTTTTTTTTACTTGAGGTATTTGGGTTACTTGGTATGAATAAGGAAAAAACCGTCGGCGAAAATCATCCACAGGGTCGGATTTTGTCGAATTGAAAATCCAGCAAAAGCATAAACTGAAATATTGTCCATATTTGAGCGAAGAGGAATGATGATGGAACGAGTCGATGGAAAATGGAACTGACAATTCAAACAAAAGACGGAGAAAGAAAAAATAAATCATATAATATAATATATAAAAAAATAAAAGAGTAAGCCATCCAGTGTATGGGCTATGTGTGTTATTTTTGATGTACAATTTGTTTATTTACTTATTTACTAATAGGTCAAATTTCGAACGATGCATACAAATTAAAGAGGAAAGTCATATTCAGGAAAAGGAGTTTTCACAACAAGGCTTCTTATCTATTCAGCTTTATTATAAACGCATTTCTTTAAATACGCTGCAGTTGATTATAAAAATTGTAAAACGTACCTTGTTTTTGCTTTACTTATTACTTAAGAAACCACTACAGTATAATATTACTGTATCACTAAAATCAACAAACAGTACTACACAGGGTCTTATACAGTCAGTTTTTGTAAAAATGACCTAAATCCAAATTAATATAAATTGTAAACAGTTTAATTATGATTGCACATCGCTAAAAAACGTCTCAAAACCAGCGATTATTCCTTCCACTTTCCTTGCGTACGTTGTACTCAGTATTATAATATCAAGGTAAGATATTGTTTAGACTCCTTAACCAAATAGACACACCATTATCCCCAAATTAACCTGTACTTCTCCAATATCGTATAAGCGTTTGCTTTCGTTCTTTCTTTTCTGGATGTGGTATGGTTTATGAAAATTTTTACTACGAATGAAGTTGCTAAATGCTATATAGCGGTATTTTTGGTTACATCAACTATTTAGTCGAAAGAGACCGCGGTTACATCCTTGATACGCTTGTCAAAGGTAAGAAACAATTGTCTTGGAAGAGGAAAAGAAAATCTAAAAAAAGTATGAGCTGGTTCCATCTGCGTACATTTAATGGATGACTGTCCTCGTTACATGTCTGTTTAGAACTCTTCTTCCCCGGCAGGACTCAGTTCTGCTTCCGTTATGAGCTTTTTTTGTAGGATTGAAACCGCATAATTAACACTTCACTCTAGGCTTGAAGCGACTGGAATATCGTGGTTATGATTCTGCAGGTTGTGCCGTCGATGGAGATGAGGGTCAAGATGCATTGATGTTCAAAGAGGTTGGTAACGTCAGTCAATTAGAAAACACTATCAACCGATCCAACGTTAACAAGGACACCAAATTCATCAATCATTGTGCTATTAGCCATACTCGATGGGCAACTCATGGTCAACCTTCCCCCATCAATTGTCACCCTCAGCGCTCAGATCCTCATAGCGAATTTATTGTTGTTCACAATGGCATTCTTACGAATTACCGAGAACTGAAAACCGTCCTTGAGTCCAGAGGCATGGTCTTCGAAAGCGAGACCGATACGGAGTGCGTCGCCAAGCTCGCAAAACTCATCTACGACACTACACCTGGCATCGATTTTACTTCTCTCGCTAAACTTCTTTTTCGCGAATTAGAAGGGGCCTACGCTCTTCTTATAAAGAGCAGTCACTATCCCGGTGAAATAGTTGCAACTCGACGTGGTTCTCCTCTTATTGTAGGTGTCAAAAGTTCTCAAAACCTGAAGGTTGATTTTGTCGATGTAGAGTTTCCTGAATCTTCCGATGGCCTTTCCGGGGCAGCACCATCCACTTTACATCCCCGGTTCACGAAGCCTCCGGGCACAAGCGGTATGCTCCGTGGTGATAAACCAGATTTGCTACACCGTGCCCAAAGTCGCGCCTTTGTCACTGAAGAAGGGATACCGGGCCCTATAGAATACTTTTTTGCATCTGATGCTACTCCCATCATAGAATACACTAAGCGTGTCATGTTTCTTGAAGACGACGATATAGCTCATGTAAGCGACGGCGAGTTACATGTTCATCGACTTCGCCGTGAGGAGGGAATGAGTACTACGCGTACAATCGAGACGCTTGAGATGGAGATTATGAGCACCATGAAAGGCAATTACGATCACTATATGATTAAGGAAATTTGTGAGCAGCCCGATAGTTTACTCAACACCATGCGTGGTCGAGTTAATTTCGCTGATAGAGTCGTTACTTTAGGTGGACTAGAAAGCTATTACGACATTATTCGCCAAAGTCGACGTTTGGTTTTTCTTGCTTGCGGTACTTCTTACCATTCCTGTATTGCTGTTCGTCCTGTTTTCGAAGAGCTCACTGGCATTCCAGTAGTAATAGAGCTGGCATCTGATTTCATGGATCGATGCCCAAACATATTTCGTGACGACACGGTTGTTTTCGTCTCACAATCCGGCGAAACAGCTGATTCCCTGATGGCACTCAGTTTTTGTATGGAACGTGGTGCTTTAACGATTGGTATTGTTAATTGTGTCGGTTCTAGCATATCGAGAAAAACACATTGTGGTGTCCATATAAATGCAGGACCTGAGATATGCGTTGCTTCAACAAAGGCTTATACCTCCCAATACATTGCATTAACGCTGATGGCTTTATACTTGTCTCGAGATTCTGTTTCAAAGGCAAATCGCCGTATCGAAATCATCGACGGCTTAGCAAAAATTGGAGAAAAAGTACAAGAAACTCTTCAACTTAATTCCCAACTAAAAGAATATGCTTCCCAACATCTATTGGAAAAAGGGAACATGCTAATAATTGGCAGAGGCTACCAATATGCGACTGCGATGGAGGGTGCTCTCAAGGTGAAAGAAATTTCCTACACTCATGCTGAAGGTATTCTTGCGGGTGAACTCAAGCACGGTGTCTTAGCTTTAGTCGAAGAAGGCCTTCCCATTATTATGCTTGTTCCTGATGATTTTCAATACCCGAAAGCGGTAAATGCTTTTGAGCAGGTTAGAGCTCGAGGTGGAAAGCCGGTTGTGATTACGACAAAAAATTCAGATATGTTCAAAGGTTTACCCACTTTTGTAGTTCCCAAGACAGTCGACTGTTTGCAGGGTATACTAAACGTCATTCCGTTTCAGTTATTGAGTTATTGGTTAGCGGTTTTGCGTGGACATAATGTTGATCAACCTCGAAATCTTGCAAAGTCTGTGACCGTGGAATAATAGACAAGCCAGGTGTATCCTGCGGTATCTCTATTCTATTTCAAAAAAAATTTATGTCTATGATCAAGTAATGGTTTTAATTTATTTTTTGTATATGGCATGCTTGTTTGACATTGAAACTTTCGAGCGGGAATAATACGATCTAAGTGTTTTAACGTCCATGCATTTAGCCATGTTGAACGATATTCTATTACTATCCACTCACGATCCGATGCTTTTTTTAGCAACTGTTGCCTTTTTTTCTTTTTAATTAATACCTCCGAAACCTTTTAGTAATAGGTCTCACTCCTTTGGCTCGACGTTTACTAAGACCTTTTAATCGATTTGATGATGCATTTCTCTCACTATTGTTGTGTAAGCTTATTCCGTAGCGGGTGTATGAAACTTTAAAGGATAAAACATGATCAAAGTGGTGCAGCTTTGGCAAAGGGACTTGAAAAATTATGAGAGTTTTCTTTGTCACTTCACATTGAAGAATTAGCTGCTAGAATGAAAACTCTAGTTTGAGGGAGGGAATCTTTTAGATGGTTTTTTCCTATAGAATGAGTGTACAGTCAAAATAAATTGCAACTTAAATTAAATTCTCCTACTATTATTCAATACCTTAAGGAAGAGTTTAGTGGCTTTAGTTATGTAGTCTTCTTTTCAGCGTAATTTTATTTACCATTAAAAAAATGTAATCATGATATCGTGTCTTTACTTTTGCTGAATCACCTCAACCCAGTAGTTGTCAGGATCGAGAAGGAAGGCAATATCCTTCATTCTGCCGTCGGTCAACTTCTTCTTGAAAGGCAATCCTTTTTCTTCAAACTGAATACACGCAGCTTCGATATTGTCTACAGAGATACAAATGTGACCATATCCCTTAGTTTCACCGTCATTACCGTTATGATAAACAGCACCTTCTTGCTTCTCAGTGCCCCAGTTGTGAGTCAACTCGAGGATGCCTTCACGGTTATGACGGGTTTGAACTGCAGGATAAGCTAAGAAGTAAAGAGTGAACTCTCCATTAGGATGGTCGGACTTGTCAATGACCTTCATACCAAGCTTTTCATAGAAAGCAATACTGGCTTGAGGATCCTTCACGCGGACCATCGTATGATTGAAGCGGAAGTTTTCAGTATGAGCCTCAGATCGTTTTTCGTCTTGAGAAATCAACTCAATCCAATAGTTATCGGGATCAAGAGCAAAAGCAATATTCTTCATTTTGCCATCACTGAGCTTCTTCTTAAAAGCAACGCCCTTGGACTCGAGGTATGCACAAGCGGATTCGATGTTATCAACGGAGAAGCAAATGTGACCAAATCCACGGTGAGGGTCATTGTTTCCATTGACATACACAGGTCCCTCTTCCTTCTCTGTGCCAAAGTTATGGGTGAGTTCTAGGATACCTTCACGCTTGGAACGTTCAACACCGTGATGAAGAGCAGAGGGCCCGTCAAAAGCCAAAAATGAAAGCGAAAACTGGTTTTCTTCAAAAACCCATTGGTCAATCAATTTCATACCAAAAACTTCTGTGTAAAACTTGAGACTTTTTTCCAAATCCTTCACACGAACCATCGTGTGGTTCAACTTGTAAGTCTTAGCATCCGTTGTAGCAGCCATTTTTTGAACTTTGGTTTTTCGTTGGTTTGGTGTTGAATTATTTTATATGTACGCTTTCTGCTAAATTTTTCCGAGTGATGTAATGTAAATATACGATCTTTGCTAGAAAACTCTTACAGTGTATTGATGGAAAAAACCTCGAAATGAAGATATTCATACAGAGAGGAATTGAACTGAAATCGGTAGTTTCTTCCCTTGTATGATATATCGTCTTGTATGGAATTTTTATTACGATCTTTCAATACTAAGAGATGCAAAATAAAGCTCTTTGCTGTTTGTGTAGATTCATTGATTTTTACTTTTTTCTTGTTTTGATGCTGTATTAAAGTAATAAAAATAGCATTTAGATTCCGTGGCATCGAGAAAATTTGCTTGTAAATTCATATTCCTAGATTGCAAGACCCGATTGAGCCGTTGAAGATTGGAACCTGTTTGTATTCGGATAACAAATTTTATTCATTTCACATTCTACTTTCAAAAAGCATAAACGATGGATATTAAAACACCGATGACCTATAGAACAATAACAAAACTAAAAAGCAAAAAGTCCAAGAAGTGCATTTTCATAGAAGAACAGGGAATTTAAACGTGTAAGCTTTTCCATAAAAAAGAGTGATTAATTAATTACAGGATATAACAAGCTTTCAATCTTAGGAAAATCAACTTTCTCTACCACTAACAAACCAATTATTCAAAAAATCATAATCGGTTCCTCGTTCCCTGATCGAGTCTAAATCTAAATTATAGAAACAAGCAAAGGTTAGTTGCGGTCTACAGATGTGTGCAAGTAGAATTGACGGATTTTTAGAGAGCAAACGATTCCGACAAGAGCGAAGCCAGACACGATTACAAAGGAAACCGAGAATGCTTTAACATAAGATTGGATGACAAGACGACGAACATTTTCTGGAAGGTCAGGAATAATGCTGATGCTTTCACGCAAACGTCGGATGAGATCGTCTTTTCCTGGGACATCAGCAAGTTGCTTTGATAAATTACTCAGTACAAGAGTCAGCGTAGCCGTTTGAGAAAGACTAATACCGATAACACTGCCAGTGGCACGGAATAAGTAGGAAAGACCAGTAGCCACTGCTTGTTCTTCGGGAGCCAAGGAGCTAATGATAGCAATCAAGGTAGAAGTCAAGTTCATACCATAAGAGGTTCCGGACAGACTCAAAAACAAAGTTATGTAAATTGAAGGAATGCGTTGACCAAATGATAAAAGTACGCTAAAGGCGACAATGCTCGTCCACATGCCAAAATATCCAAATAAAATTAAAGGACGATATCTACCAGTTTTCTTCATGTAAAGACCCCCTAAGACAGAACCCAACGAAGTAAAGATAACATGAGGGAAGATGCGGACACCTGCCTCAGAGGATGGCATAAACAGCACAGCTTCAAAAAACAAAGGGAGTTCATAAAGGATAACGAAACCACAAAATGCATTAAAGAAATTACAAAGACAGACATTCAAAGGAGTGATTTGTTTCAAGATGAAGACAGGAGCAATAGGTTCCAACGCAACGTTTTTCTCTACCCAATAGAAAGCATAAAGGAGTAACAGAGATGAGGTTAACAATCCAATGATAATCGGAGACAACCAGAAATACGCATCTCCAGCCAAGCTGAAGGTGATGATCAGTAAACTAATCCCGCTGACAAGCAAAAAGCTGCCCAGGTAATCAATTCGCGACAATAATGGGGCATTGGAACCCCGGATAACGGGTTTGATGCGAACCCGCCAAGCAACCACGATAGTCGAGACAATACCAAGTGGAATTTGGAAAAAAAATGCAATTCTCCAACCCCATCTTTGAGCAATAAGGCCACCGAGGGGACCACCTAAGCTACCGCCGATTCCCCAAACAATGTTAGTAATTCCCTGCCAAGTGCCTCGCTCACGAAGAGAAACGATATCGCTAGAAATAATTGAAGACATAGTTCCGAGACCACCTCCGCCTATTCCAGCAATTGCACGAGCAATGCAAAGCCCAACAAGGCTACGAGACGTACCACATAAAAAGGTTCCGATGGTAAAAGTAACGTTTGCAAAGACAACTGCAGCACGGCGGCCGAATATATCACTCAAACGTCCGTACAAAGGCTGAAAGGCGGTATTCGTAATTAAATAGGAAGTAGCTATGTAAGAAGCATTATTCATTAATTTGAATTCGCTGCCGATCACTGGATACAAACTGGCAACAATGGTCATATCCAAAGCCGACAAGAACCCGCCGATCCACAATGCCGGTAAAATCGTCCACTTGTTATAATGGTTTTTTGTATCATCCTTGCTCACTATGTCTGAACCTAGTAAAGCGGTTTCTTCAGTTGGCGAATTAGGAACACTCATCTTTTTCACTGTTCTCCAAATCAACTAAGAGTATATGAAAGTGATACGGTATGAGTAGTCCCTGACTTGACCTAATGAAAGTAAGTAAAAATACCTCAAAGACACAATTAAGTAGTGGCGAATTCGAAAATTTAAGCAAACAAAACAGGATTTTATATATGTCGATCAAATATTCATCATTAAAGACCTTGCTGACTTATCAGCGAGAAATCGGTTATTTGATCCTCGTTGAGAGTATCTTGAATTGTTTGTTGTGTTGGTTTCAAATGCCTAAGCAGGGACCTTACAATTGAAAAAAAATTCAACAAGAAAACTGGATGAACAATATTAGTAAACTGTTCAAAAGAACTTGTTTTTTTTTTTTTTTTTTTTTTTTTTTTTTTTTTTACTCTCTTCGTTCGTTTTCGTTTTCGTTTCGTTACGTTAACGTTTAAACGTTTAACTTTACTTTACTTACTAACTAACGTAACGTAAACGTAAA